GGAATATCTATATTTACGCTATCTAGTCCTTTCGTTTAAAGTACTTTTATTAACCTAATAGACTCTATAAGCTAGTATTATCCTTATCTTATTACGCTAGTTATCTCTTAACTTTTAACTAGCCTCTATAGCTATATATTATACCTTCTTTTTTAAGAAGTATCTCTTTCTTAGTAGCTTACTTATATATTACTCTAATATAATAATATTAAACTCGTTATATATAAACTATACTATCTCGTTGTAGTAGGATATAGGGCGGTCGCGAAGGAAGTCTAGTACTTATAGCTCTTACTATTCGAGTAATAGGTATAGCTAGCCTCTTTTTATAAAAGTTAGATATAGCTTACTAAAGAACGCTATATTAAGCTAGATCTTATTAATATAGTAGCGGCTTATATTTATTTGTTTAGCTGTCTAGTTATTCGATAGTCCTACGTTAAAGAAGTTAAATATCCTATTAAGATTATATAGTAGTAGTTAGTTAGCTAGTAGCGGCTTATATTAGAGTATTATAATAGGTAGTAAAGCCTATAATAATACCTAGGACTAGCCTATACTATTATAGAGTCGATAACACGTTAAACGAGCGATATAGTACAAGAATAGTGGACTATTCCCGGTTTTACTAACAAATTACAGTATGAAGTCGGGAGCTCAGAATTGCGGCTATACCGGCGAGGGATAGCATGCTTTATTTGCGCGCACAATACCAGGGTGATTAACGCACAAAAGACGTGCATGGCCAGGGCCCTGTGCACTTGATTAGTAGACTCGTAGCTGCAGCGGGCAGGCTTAGCCTGTGCAGTAGAAGCCATTAGCGACCGCGCTGGTGTCCATCATAGGGGCTAGTTGACTAGCAAGGCTAAGCTTGTCTCGAAACAGGATACGCAGCAAGTCAACAACTAGTCTCATGCGCAAAGCTCAAAAGCTTCCAAGAATCAGTAGAGCAAAGTAAGAGAGTAGTGCGCCTCCTCTGCGTTGGGTCTTCTCGGAAGGCACTTGCTCAACGCAGTCACCTGGTAATAGTGGCCCACAGCCTCTCAGGAATGAGGTCATTTGTTCCTGTCGAAATTTTGGATATGGTGTCGCGACATGAATTCACCAACTCTTCTTCTTTGCACAGACGAATGAGTCCAAACTTGTCACTATCATGTCCAGCGAAACGAGAGCTTTTGATGCAGATAATAGCGTCGCTATTGTAGGCGCGGGAGCGTTAGGACTTGTGGCGACCAAGAACCTGATCGAAGAAGGCTTTGATGTCACGACCTTTGAGAAGAACACGTATGTGGGTGGACTGTGGCATGTGAATGGAGATTCCAACGTGACGAGTGCGTTGGTCGGGACAGTATCCAATGGAAGCAAGCAGGCAAGCGCTTTCTCTGACTTCCCCATGCCAGATTGTAAGTCTTACCGTGTCGAAGGATGTCCATCCGGAGCGACCAGCAAGTATTGACACCCGGTAGCATTTCCTACATATCCTAATGCTGCTCAATTTGAAGAGTATTTCGATGCGTATGCTGATCACTTCGACTTGAGACGATCCATCAGTTTCTCGACGACCGTGACATCGATTGCAAGAGACGAGATGAAGAAGAAGTGGGTTGTGGGGTTTCGACCTTCCACAGGGAATATAGAAAAGTCACAGTCACAGGAGTTCGAGCGACTGATCATGGCCACCGGATCGAACAACATAGCCCATATTCCGCAGGTCAAAGGGATCGAGAGATTTGAGGGCGAAATCATCCACTCTCAGGCTTTGAAGGATCCATCACGTTTCAAAGGGAAGGCCGTTTTGGTTCTTGGAATCTCCAACTCAGCTGCGGACTCGATTCAACTTCTTGCCGAAGCCGGTGCCGCCAGACTATACGTCTCGCATCGACGCAAGTTTGTTACAGTTCCACGAGCTCCACATGGCAAGACACTGGACTGCTATTTGAGCCTGAGAAATCAAATCATAGGCTCCTGGATCCAATGGCTGGCTCCATCCTTCCAGGCCTGGCTGATGACCAAGTTTCTCGAGACACTGCAATATCAAAACTCCCCCAAGCTAAGGAATCACGCTTGTCAAAGGGACCGAAAGTTTCCACCTCATGGGCAGTTCGTACCAGTAATAAGTGAGAATTTGGCGACTAATTTGACGGAATGGAGAATTCAGAGCGTGCACGCCATTGAAGAAGTTGTTGGAGCTGGCCGAGTGAGGTTACGCGACGGCGAAGAATTAGAGGACATAGATGTGGTTCTATTCTGCACTGGACTTCATCCGGATCTTGCGAGCATGCTGCCCCCTTCTGCGGATCCATACAACCCAGCACATGCTCCCGCGATATTTGCTACTCTTCCAACCGAATATGTCAAGGATCGTCGAGTTTGCCGAGCCTACAGAGGCTTCTTGTCCCTGCAACACCCGCATAGCCTCGCTTTCTTGGGGGCCGTACTATCGTTGCGAGCTGCGTTTCCCTTTTACGACCTCATCACAATGGCGCTCGCACAACTTTGGAGCGGGAAGGCTCCGATGCCGACCGACAAAGAGATGCAAGTGAGTGCAGACACACACCTGAAGCTATTGGCGAACACGATGCAGATGCATGGCGAAGTACAGCACGCCGGGACGATCGATCATTTTGCAATGGATGCTTGGCTTCATCGGACTGCAGGAACAGGACTGCTGTCGAGTGTGGGAATCTTCAATCGGAAGGCCTGGGTCCTCTACTGGACCGAACCTGACTTGTACAAAGCGCTCCTTGACGGGCCGCCAACCGCTCATGCGTTGCGTCTTTTCGAGACAGGGGGCCGGCGAGCGTGGCCAGGTGCAAAGAGTGCAATTCTCAAAGCTTATGCGGACAGTAAGGAGCTGGGGATAAAGTTTCAAAGCAAAGAGCAAGCAAAGATGTTGTAGTACAAACGCCCAAAAACATATATGTCTCTATCTCGCAGAGGCCTTCTGGTCGCAGGGATTTCTTTGAGATTGAGGCTTTGACCCAGAGGTGCGAGCCCTTATTTGCGAGCATGATATTATCACAACATACCTTGAGCAGCTGCATTCACGGGGGTTGATTTCACCTACTTGCGCATACTCAGCAGCTCACGGATTGGGAGACTCTGCTTCACTCTATCTATAGCAACGTTTCGAAGATATGAACCGTCTCAAGGTAGATTGAAAAGGGATTTGGTTTGACGGCGAAGGTTCTTAATTATCAATGTGCAGACGTGCTTGTAATAGCCGCAAGATCCAATTCTTCCTCCCGGCCTGCTTCTCAAGATCCGCAAGGACTGTGTTCACCTCCTCTTCCAAGCGCGATGATACACCCCGTGCATATGAAAGACCTCCAGCAGCTTTGATGTCCTTGACTGCGAGTCTGCGGACTTCATGTGGTACTTCCCTGCCATTTTTGCGCTGCTGCAAGATGCTGAGCAGTCGACTACGATGCGACTTCGATTGCAAAGTGTGAATCAAAGGCAATGATATTTTTCCTTCGCTGATGTCTTCGGCGTATCCCTTCTGTTCGGTGTACTGTTCGCCGTTAGTGACTCTTTCTATGATGGCGTTTAACTGACGTACTTCTGCGTTTTCGAGATTTTGATAGCCGTCGCGTGCTTGGAAAAAACGGCCGACCAAGATCATCAGGTTCCCGCAGTCCAGGTTTCTGTTGTTCGTTGCCTCGGATTTCATTAAGTCTGCCAGGAGGGTGAACAGTCCACCCGTCTCTGTATGACATTAGCATAGCCACAGGCAACAGGATGCAGTGTACTGACTGCCGTCCACCATCGCAAAGTACTCCCTTTCCGCGGGTATAATGGTATGGTGCTTCCAGTACAGATCTAGCCCTTGACCAACATGTGCGTCTAACAGGCGGTCTATTATCGTCAATACAATTTCATTCACAATGTAGCTAAGAATCAATTCACCTGTCAGAATAGTCAGAGCTGCAGCAGAAAGCTTCTCAGCGGCCTTGATAGCCTTCATCATAAGAAAGTTCGCCGCGTTAATTGTCTGCGCCGTTCCATATATGATATGTGCAGCAGGCTGGCCGCGTCGAAGGCTAGATTCATCTTGGACGTCGTCGAGCCTGTCTAAACAGTCAGCCTATGTGCTGGAGCGGGCCGAGAAGAAGAGCTGCATACATTAGAGAAGAATTGTGCAAATTATTGACAATACCTCGAATGGCGTCTAGCGAACTCTCTGGAACCTCGTACCAGACATCGAGCGCATCAATAGCTGAGTTTCGGACACCCTTGGACGGCATTGACCGAATGTAGTCGCAAGGTTCAAGCACGGTCTTGATTATCAGTCGTTATCTTTGAGAACTTGCGAGGACACTTACCTCTTCATAAGGCGCGAGTAGGGCGGCTGGCAACTGCAGAAACGGCCTTTCCGATTGCATACATGGCACACTTTGTGGCAAAGAAGCTGTTCCGTTCTGCCCATTTGCATGGCCGTTCTCTGTCACAGCCGCGGAGATTGGCTGATCAAGATTGTTTTCGGTTGAATCGCCGGATGTCAGGTGATGTTTAGCCCGAAGAGCTGGATACGCGTCGTCTCCTTTGAGGTATCTGGCAGTAGTCATACTCCAAATGAAGTTTCCGGCTGTGACCAGATCCAGCAAGGTAAACCAGTACCTCGTTCGCTCCGTCACATTAGCCTGGCGCAAATGTCTCTCCTTCAGCTCAGAATAGATCTTCTCTCGAGATATGATTTCTGCTCTTAGCAGTTCTTTGGCTTGCTTGGCATCAACGGAGTACCATCTCATAAACAGAAATACCGCACTAACAATCTCCCCCACGCTCCCATTTGCCTTGTAGTTTAAGACCTCTTTCTCCCAAGAGAAGTAGTCGTTCACAAGAACCCAAGCATTGTATGCAGAGATAGTGATGTGGGAAAGTTCCACTTCCTCAGCCTTTGTCAGTGCGAAGTCCATGGAGAAACATAGAAGGCTCATGGTCCAGCTGTACTTGCATGTTAGTATTTTTGTCTGAGATCGACTCGCGAAAGAAGACCTCTATTAACTTACGGGCAACCAGCGTCGACGAAGCGAAAGGGTAAGTACTCGTCGAGTGTCCGAAAATTGACGTCCCGAATAGACACAAAAACGTGCGACATCTCCTTCCATAGGCGAAGGCATTCCAGCCCTTTATCCCGATCCATATCAATAAGCTCAACGGCCATCTTCGCCTGAAGTTGTCTCCTTTTGATATGAGCCTTCGTTCCTGTGACTCCTTCATCGTCCATATCGAGCCCCTCAACGAGCTCGCGATTCGCCTCTTGCAGCTAAGTTCCAGATTAGAAGTCGGCCAAGGAAGGGTGCCTCGTCTGCCTCACCTTTTCTTCTGTCTTGTCTTCCGCGTACTCAATCACTAGAATGCTGAGTCAGTCAATATGTAGATGGGGCACTTTCCTCGATTGACACGTTACCATCATCGTGAATGTATGCGTACTCCACCATGTAAGTTGTCAATGTGAGCCTTTCGGGGAGAGCTTCAGAAGCACACAAGGCTGTAAAATTTCCGACAACGGGATTAATACATCCTACGGCGTAGCTCTTGTGGCTCTTGTTACGCTCAGAATCCTCCGGGCCAGTTGCAGACAGGAAGTCAACTTGGCATTTCCAGGATCCTTCATCTGCGAGGTGAGAGTCTCGGTGGATGCGGGGCGTGAAGCTGCAAAACCACTCGTCTTGCTGATAAAGCTGCGCTGGTACAGCGACCGAATACTTGAATGGCCTGTGCATGGTAGTGTTTTCCATGATAAGGTGAGCAGACGGACGAAATCCGAGACGGCTTTGATACTACACAGCAGGCAGTACTTATGCGCTCAGGGATATGATTGAGCATGACGAACGAGATATAGGCTACCAACGGCATCAAGCTACGAACTGCTGTCTGGCGTTGTTCGGTTGTGGGAAATCGGTTGAGAAGTGTGGATGATGCCCTCAGCGAATCGACGGACGGCCATGCAGCCCACTACCTTGGCCTTTGAAAGGCGCAGTGATCGGTCCTGATCTACACCATCTTCGTGCCACTACGTATGCAACTATTGTATTCAAGGGGAGGGAAAGGACGAAAAAAGTTCCCTCCCGCGTGATTCCTGCGCTTTCCTGGTTGGGCAAAACTTTGACGAGCCTTGCACAGGCTGAGAACGGCAGCACGGCTGCTTCTTTTGGTAGCTGCAGGTCGCGGACCATCTCAAAGTCACCGATGATTTGAGCTAGTCCATGGACTAGGGATTGGTGTGAGGGGACGTCATCTTGCTGCGGTATTGTGACCATCGACTCCAGCACTGCTGCAAGGTTAGACAGCTGGAAGGGCTCGAAGCTAATGATGACAAGAGAGGGAGTTGCATGCCCAGATTCCGCTAACTTTGACGGAGCATTGTGGTACATTGGTCTCAACCCGCCTTGAGCGTGTTGGAGTTTCCACTCCAAATTGCCGCCGCTGTGTATCGACCAAACTCCAGCATTTCACCCACAAGTGTCTCCACTGTTGCCATTGGTGAGATCGAGATTCTAGTTCGCTGCTTCCATGCGGCCGCCAGTCGATCGAGAGAATCAATGTCTCAATCAGCACGCCCCCAATCACCGACTCTCACTTGGCGTCACCAACGGAGTCTGAGTATGATCTTCTTCACCTGGACGTCTCGCGAGTGTTGACAGTAATACGAACGCAGCCGCAGAATGCTGTCGATAGCAAACTTCTGTGCTTCCATCGATATGAGCATCAGGCACAGATGAGATGGCAATTGCCTCATGCCAGACGCAAAGGAGCGAAACGCAATCGAGCGATCGTCCAGTGCACCCAGCGTATTGATGTGTCTTTCTCATGGCCTTGCGCAAAATATAGACTGCTATGAACACGAATCCAGTATCTTAGCCTTGGGCTTGCGGGCGACTATCAAGTACATGGGCGTGAATAACTTCTGCTGTGCGCCTGCGACGAGTGCATCGGCAGCCACAACAAGGCTTTCGGCGACCTTTAGCGTCCCTTTCGGCGCTATCCCAACAGTTTCCAGGGTACCCAAAAAGCGACGCATCATAAAGCGGCCAGGATATGTCATGCGAGCGAGCGTAGGGATGTCCCAGATGCTTTTCATGAGCTTCAGATCTCCCGAAATCAGCTTGTACCAAGGTGCGTCGTCGGTTCGCTCAGCGAGATTCTCATGTAGCTCAAGTTCGAAGCCAGCGGCCTTAACGGCTGCGAGAGCAACTTCGATCTTCTCCATATTAGCAATCCCATCGCCCTGCTCGATATCGAGTCGGATTTGGCGGTGGGTAGGGTTGGCATTATCGTAGGCGTCTGTCATAAGCCATTCGTAAACGCCGAAGACACCGCCGGGTTTGAGCACACGAAAGATCTCGCTATACACCCCCTGAAGGCTGGGCGCGTGAACTGTCGCTTCAATAGAATAGACGGCGTCGAAGCTGTTGCTGGGGAACGATATGTGCATAAAATCGCCCTTGACGAACGATAACTGCTTGTCCATGCCTTCTTTCTTGGCGTAATGGATCGCGCGCTCGATTTGGTAGTCATTGTTGTTTAACCCAGTGATGTTGGCCCCGGAGAATGTGGCAATTTCTCTTGCTGGCCCGCCTACGCCGCACCCGACATCCAATACCTGTGACCCCTCCTGGATTCCCATCTTCAACGCGAGATAGTGCTCGTGACGAGCCATGGCCTGGCTAAACGACTCGCCCTTTCTGAAGCGACAGAAGTGGAAGCTGTGTCCCCAGCCATACTCATAGATGTCCGTGACTAGATTGTAGTATTGTTGAGTCAACGTGGCGTACTCGTCACGACGGCTTTTGCGAACATCATCCGTCTCGTCGTCGGCGTTGAGCTTATTGTCCCAGTGCTTAAAGTACTCGTCCATGGCGAACTTTTGCGCATCATGGTCTTTGCGCGTTCGTGCTGAGGTTGTCTTGCCGTGCAGTGCCTGACTGAACGCGTGGTCGCGTGCGAAGTCTTCTTCCTGGAGTGCTGCTGCAGAAGGCGCCATTATGATTGTGTCAAGAGGTATTGCTGAAAGTTTTGAAGAGAGTTGCAGAGCATTTGCCTTGTGAAAGGAGCTCAATTCGAGTGACGGACGACAATGCTGGGTTGAGAAACGAGACAATGTAGCGGAATGTCTCGAGGATCTCTCCAGAAGTCGGACCAGCTCCCCGAAAATCTCTGAATCAGGCAGGTTATCCTCCAAAGGGGCCTTAATCTGCGCAAAGGATTGGGAGACACTAGTTACACCGGGAGCGTCAACTTTATGCATCTCGAGAAGCAGTCTGTCGTCAAGGAGCGAGCCTTGTGTGCATATTTAGGCTAGGCCCAACAGGGATCACGCAGCCGCTGTCTGATCAGAATTAGTTGAACTTAAATCATATATAGTTTCTCACAGCAACCATCAAGCCACCCGGTCCACTGTAACACTGAGATCATGCATTAGGGCGATAGACCAAATGGCCAGTGCAACTCGAAGAAGTAGGAGCTAAGCTCAAGAGGGGGTTGAAAGGAACGCATCGCGACATCATGCGGCATTTCAACCAAGATGCGGCTCTTCGACCGCGTGCTCTCTGCGACTTCCTAATCCATCTAGTCGGTCTAGTCCGTCGAAAGCTGGATTCTCTGTGACCTCACTATACGTGCCATAAGGCTTCCACGACGGTAGAAAGATCGGCATCAGGCAGTGTCAAAAAAGCACGTCTTGGAGCTCCTCGGAAAATACCTCTTGAGAAAACTTACTCGACACAATGAACGTCAGCACGATTCCCTCCGCCTGCCTGCTGGCCGGGGCAGCTGGTGTTGCCAGTCATCTGTTCTACTTTCGACTTGGAGAGCACCATATGCTGGGAGCTGTCTACGTGCAACTGTTTGCTGCGACTTGCATGAGCGGAACCATTGCTCTAGCCAAGTTCTCAGATGTTGGCATCTCCAACGGCCTCACGACGACCCTCGCGTTGGCATCTTGCTACCTACTTGGACTTTACAGCAGCCTGGTCGTCTACCGAAGTTTCTTCCACCCATTGAACAAATTTCCGGGGCCATGGCAAGCCCGAATCGGCGACCTTTGGCTATCATCCAGGCTGACAGGCTTGAATGCGTACTCCGTTCTTCATAGCCTCCACCAAGAGTATGGCCGTTACGTTCGCGTTGGCTCGAACACACTTTCTATTACCGACCCCGATATCATGCAGCGTACGTACGGAATCCACGCTAGAGCGACTAAGTCCGACTGGTATGATGGGGCGTACCCCCATCATAGCATGCATACTGTAAGGGATAAAGGCCTGCACGACCGTCGAAGGCGTGTGTGGGCGCCTGCGTTCAGCGACAAAGCACTAAAGGAGTATGAGAGCACCGTCAACGATATAAATGAAAGAATGATTCGCCATATTGGCGAAATCAGAGGTGGATCGATTAATGTGCAACTGTTGTTCAGTCTTTATGGCTTTGACGTGATGGGGCGTCTAGCGTTCGGGAAAGATTATGGAATGCTCCAAACTGGTCAACGACATTGGGCACTGGACATTCTCGCCGAGGGTCTGAAGGTCGGCGGCCTGAGGCTTCCCACCTGGGCGATGCGTACCTTGATCGAGATTCCCGGCGCTGCTGCGGGACACCATAAATTCCTGAAGTTCTGCTGCGATGAATTGAAAGGGAGAGTGCAAAACGGCAACGGCTCCGGCAAAGACATCACTGAATGGCTTCTTAAGGCGTATTCGAATGAGAAGCACCCAGAAGAAGACAATATGCTACAGGGCGATTCCCGACTGATGATTGTGGCTGGTGGTGATACAACGGCTGCTGTCCTGACGTATTTGTCCTATTATTTGGCATTGTATCCCGGCCAACAGAGCAAACTCCGCGACGAGCTCCAGCCTGTGACACGCGTGGACTGGGCCGACAGGGATATCAAGCATCTACCCCATCTGAATGGCGCGATTAATGAAACCTTGCGGCTGCATCCTCCGGTCTCTTCGGGTGTGATGAGGAACGCTCCTGCAGAGGGACTCCGAATCGGCGAGACGTTCATTCCAGGCAATACGACGTTCTCTGTACCTCAGTATTCCATGGGAAGAGGTATGCGCTGCAATGAGGACGAATAAGATACGAGCTAATGATGCGCAGACGAGCGAATATATCCTAACGCAAACTCTTTTATCCCAGAACGGTGGTACTCTAGACCAGAACTTATACAGCACCCTGACGCGTTCGCACCTTTCTTGATGGGCCCGTTTGGTTGCATCGGACAGCATCGTAAGCCTTCCTCACGTGTCTCGCAAATTGACACTAACGCGGACAGTCGCCCGGATGGAAATCAGAACATTGTTCGCCCGGCTCCTGCTGAAGTACAATATCTCCTTTGCACCTGACGAGGATGGTAGCAGGCTGTTGAGCAAGACGATAGACCACATTACTATCTCTCCGGGACAACTGGATCTTATTTTCACAGTCATTGATGATTAAGTAGAGATCTTAAGCCTAGCGATATTTTGAGCTCAGGTGTCTCCTCAGCCCAGTCTCGTCCCAGCCACGCTCTAAACTCTGAAATACGCCCCTTTCAGCTTTCTCAGACCCCTTTAGTCAAAGCGGCTTCTTCTTTCCCTTGTTCTAACCATCTTCTTTCTCTTCCATGCTCTGGACTTTTCTTTGTATACTCTCTCCCCCTACAAACGATACAATGGCCTTGTCGTTGAGTAGACCAGACTTGCCCACCAGACGCAACAATGGACAATGGGTCTCTCCTCGGAAATGATCGAACTCCACTGCGCTACGCTCTTCGGTCAACTTTGACGATGTCATCCAGAGAACGACACGACGGTGCCATTATTTCATGCATTCAATGACTTTTTAGAGTTTCTATGCAAAAGACTGACTTTCGTGTATGGCTTCCGAACGATGGAATCCAACTTCAACCAAAGTTACAGACCAAAATATCAACTCTTTCTCAGGCGTTGCATTGATGGCAGCGCCGCAACCCACCCTTCTGTCTCTCCACGGCAGCGTGTCAATTGTCATCTTTCGACCATCGGCCCTCTCTTTCGTTCTTGAACCTCAATATTGATGATATAGTGATAGTGTTGCTTTTTCTCCAACTCCGCTTCCACGAAAACGCCGGATCATGATTGTACAACTCGATGGCGGACACAAATTCAAAAACGAAAGTAGTACCATGAGGAGTCCGTGTATCTGATAGCATTGTAAAGCACGGAAAGTGTCTCCGGGCTCATCACTAATTCGAGAGGAGGGTCAAAGTGGATACCGGTCAGAGGCAGCGATGTTTATGGCTGTCTAAGTCTGCGGCCGGGTGGAGTAGTCTTAAATGTCTAGTGTCTTCCATCACACCTCCTGCATGATGTTTTGGGCAACCGGTCGTCTCATACCTGTGGCCCAATATGGAGTGTACGAAGTTGACATTCCTTCTAGAAGCTGATTGTTCATATACGGAACGACCTCGCGAGAACTCTCCGAAGAACTACTCCTGGTGTTAGGATCGACATAGACAGGATTGGGTGACGGTCCAATTCTCAGGTTGGTGGAACCGAATCGGAGACAGGTGATCTTGGCAGGTCGTACTTTGTCTTTTTGACAAGGTCGGCGTGCGGTTCAATTGTTGTCACCCTTACTATTGTTCCCTTTCTTGGCACTCCTCCTCCCGTCATGTCAAGCCAAAACATAACTTGATCCCTTGATTCTAGCCACGTTTGAAGCGGAACAGAATTACCGCCATCATGGAGAAGCTGTCGCTCTGGATCGGATTGGCAACCATCATCGGTTTGCTGGCGTTCATCTGGCATTGCATCACGTACGATCGAGATCTGTTACCGAAAGGCCTACCTTGGGGCGGCTACAGACCTGGAGCGTGGTTCGTCATACCTCGAGCATCGTTCAGTGAGCTATGGAATAGCATTCATTTCCTGCGAGACGGGTACGAGAAGGTAAGCCGCAAAAAGCCGAAGCAAGGGGCACGAGTCGAGACTAAAACAAACCTTTCTAATAGTATGGGAAACACGGCAAACCTTGGGTCACCCCCAACCGTAACTGGGACCACGAAGTTATGCTCCCGCTCGAGCATACGAAGTGGTTGATCGAATTGCCCGAGAGCGTCGCAGTGGCTTACAAAATCCTCCTGTTCGATGTGGCGTTCCTGTACATGTTTCCGCAAGCGAAACACATGGATAAGTCTTTTCACAAGGATGCGCTGAGGAAAATGAATTGGGACAAGATAACAGAAGACGTGGCAGACGAGATTGATGCGTGTACAAAACGATACCTGGGAAACAAGCCGGGGAAGGATGTCTCGTTTGATCTCAACAACACAATGCAAGCGATGTTCTCGCACATTGCGACTAGAGCGTTCCTCGGCGCGGACATTGCGAAAGATGAAGCGTATCTCAACTTCACCAGCAAGAAGTTCATGGGGCAGCTCCTACCGATGTCCATCCTGATTCGGACCTTTGTACCGTTCTACCTCCAGATTGCCATCTTGTGGCCCCTCTTCCAACTCCCGGTCCGCTTCTACGAATGGAAAGCCAAACGATCTCTTCGCCCGGTCATCAAACTTCGCCTTCTCGCAGCTCAAATCGCCAAGGACACAAACAATGAGATCAAGAACCCGACTATTCTCCAAAACATCGTCCGCCTCGCGGTCGACTCTCCTGACCCTAGAGACCGGCGACCTGACGCCATCACACGTCGGATGCTAGCATACAATCTGTACGACGGCATAGGCTCCCACACGCTCGCCTCGTCAGCCATCAACGCAATGGCTGACATCCTCCTCGCCGGTCCCGAAGTATACGGCCACCTCCGTGCTGAAGCCATTGCTGCCAGTACTTCAGGTCCTTGGACAAAAGCCTCCGTCAACCGCCTTGTGCTACTCGACAGCGCCTTGCGCGAATCTCTGCGTTGCTTGCCCCTGAAAGCTCGCGCCGTCGAGAGGATAGTGGTCGCCAAGGAGGGTGTCACCTTGCCTAATGGTCTATTCGTGCCTTATGGAACGCCGATTGGGCTGTCCAGTGACGATATCCATCACGACGAACAGTTCTACGAGAGGCCAGAATCGTTCATTCCCGATCGTTTTGTAAACAAAGAAGGACAAGGAATGGTGCAAGTCAGGGAGACTTTCCAGGCTTTCGGGTTGGGAAGACAAGCTTGGTAAGTTGTTGAGTCGTTTGTCATCAACGATCAATGCTAATGGGGTTTCTCTCGCCATACAGTCCTGGAAGATACATCGCGGCGCACATCCTCAAGATGTTCTTTGCACACATAATCATCAATTACGACTTCGACGAGTTGAAAAATCGTCCACCAGCCGTCTGGGCGTCGGATTTGTATTTGCCCAAAAGCGTTACTCTGACTTGTCGAAGGCGGATTGGAGGCGATGGCGAAGTTGGAAAGGAGCCTCCAGCAGGAAAGAAGAAAGTCACTTGATCCGACGATAGACTACAGAAAGTGCTACACCCCAGAATCTGACTCCGTGAATAGCAGTTCGGGGGGAAAGACTTGCTTCAGCCCCTATTATGGCAGAGGCCTCCAGATTCCTTCACCTTAGTGAGATTCCAGTCTCTCAGTCCTTATGGATCATGTGTTAGAACATTTTGGTATTACCAGCTACTCTCAAATCGACGCTGCCCGCCGAACAGATGGTTTCAACCAACCGTATTACATTGCGTTGGCGGTCTATCCAATTCGACCGGCTCACTTTTGCAGACCATTGACCTTTACTCGGATACCTTTGCTCTCCTTGGGGAACAGACCCAGGAAGTACTCTCTAGTAACACTAAAAGAATGTCAGCTCCAATAGAGCTCACAAAGAGCCAAAGACACTTACGTAACATCCTCCAGCGTCGTCTCAACCAACTCCATATCCACCCTTCCGAGCAAAGCAGCAAACGAGAGGTACATCTCACTCCACGCGAGGTTCATTCCCAAGCACATACGTGGGCCTTTGCCAAAGGGCACCAAGTAACGGAGAGTCTCTGTCGACTTCTCGCCCAGATAACGCTCTGGCTTGAACGCGTGCGGTTCTGGAAAGATGGCCTGATTCGTGTGGTGGATGTAATGGCTTACGGAGAAGGTACTACCCCTGGGAATCTTGACGTTGTTGCAAAAGAGGTCTTTGTTGGGTGATATACGTACGAGGCGCCCGGCGACGCCGTGAGCTACGCGTGTGGATTCGTGGAGACAGGCGGTGAGGTACGGCAGTTTGATGAGCTCAATGACGGAGGGTATGTCAGATGTCGCTGTGGGCATGACGGTACGGAGCTCGGCGAGTAGGCGAGAGTGGATTTCTGGGTCGTTCAGGACATGGAACAATCCGACGGCAATCTGGTCGCGATCAGTAAGTATGTCGTGACTCTTGGGAAGTAGAAGAAATCCCACCGTTCTTGCCGTCGTCTCTGTCCCAGCCGCAACCACGTTCATGGCCTCGGCTTGAATCCTTAGCTGCGTCTTCTCTTCAGGGGCAAGCACCTTGCTATAGACCATGGCCTGTACAATGGATGTCTCAGTAGCGTTCTTTCCATCATCTCCCTCTTGTAGCGCTTTCTTGTACGCCGGGTCTGTCAAATCCGCAATCATGTCATCGAACTCCTTGAACTCTTTGAAGATTCCCAAATACTTGGATGCATAGCCCATGGCCTCAATCATGAACCTGATGATCGTTCGAAATCGTCGAGCGACAGGATGCAGTTGCACGCCCCCTTCCATTTGTGCTCTAAAGGGAGCACCCAGATCTGGTGTGTCCAGACTGTGGACACTGTTTCCAAAGGAGTACTCCGAGATGACGTCCAATGTGAGCGCAGACATCAAGAACAACAGATCAACGAGCTCTCCAGTGTTCTTGTACTCGAGTAGTCGATCGACCGTCTTCCTCACATGCACCAGAACTCTTTCTTCTAGGTCTTGCACTTTCCTCTTGCTGAAGAACCCGTTCATGGCCGAGCGACGATGGGCGTGGAGATCGTGATCTAGGGTAGCGAAAGCGGACTGCCCGACCGTGCTCTTCATGCCTGTGAACCAGTACCATGTTGACGATTTGTCCCGACGCTTCGTGCTTGTGCCAGCGAACTCGGTGTAGAAGTCAAGATCGTCGATGTGGATCTCGTCAGGTCCAACGCGGACCACTGGTCCATACTGCTTGTGAAGTTCAATCTGATGGAACAACCACTGGCCCTGGTACGGGTAGATGTCGTAGTAGGCTTGGTAGAAGTAGGTCAAGGCTGCAAGTTTGGGTCCTGGTATGTGGGCGTTCCGAGAGAAGTAAACTCGGTAGACTCCACCAACGAAAGCATACAGAGCGACTGCAGTGGCTGCCGCAGCGAGGAGAGTGACAAGGGCTGAGAAGTCGGACATCTCGATCGTAGGGCCTGTACTAGTCACCGACGTCCTGGTTCCAGTGTTATTGATGCCGGAGCCTCTCGAATATCGTTCGATCTAGAGTGGTATGTGGAAGAGAAAACAGAATTCCTCCTCGAGGTTTTAGTCGTCCTACCTACATCACAAGAACATCGTCGTGGAGACATCTTGTCTCCAGCTGAAGTAATGTCTCCGGACGACAAGACCATTAGCGAGTGGCATGCCGTCGACTCAGCTGTTAGATTAGTCTTGGCGGTGAGACGGGTGGTCGTCGACTAAGCACGCGCGGCTGAGAAAGGTGGTCTTCCAAGCTGGTTCAGGTGGGGAAGGTGGTCTTTGATATCGCACACCTGTGACTGTGTCAGTGATGAACGCTCTTCTTCCTCTCCATAACATTCACCTCAACCTGAAACATCTCAAAGCCTGCTCGTCATGTCGTCCTCTTCCCCTTGTTCGAGTGCTCGCGTGGCAGGCGAACTTCATGTTTCGGCGAGCCATCTCTACATGCGGCAAGGCCTGTTGTAGGCAAAAGGAGTCGAAGTCACATCGCGAATTGAATAAAACTTCATCGACCATTGAAACAACTTCTAGAAGTCGCCAAGAGAGTCGTCATGAGCTGAAGTCAGTATAGCATGTGCGCAACTCGCAAAAGGCTACCGAAACGGAAGTTGTAATGTCAGGGTCGTGCCCTCGATCCTGCAAGATTCCATCAGACAATCCTTCAACTTGCCTATGTTAATGAAAAGCAAAATATTTCACAGTCGAACCTGCATCCTCGCATAAACATGGCCACACTGCCGCTCGTTCTCAGTGGACTGCTCGTAGCAGGTCTCCTGCTATATCGCGCAGCACTCCCTCGACTGCTTCCTGGAATCCCACACGATGCGAAGTCTTCACGGAGACTCTTCGGCGATCTTCCCGATGGCCTTCAATATGCCGCCAGGACCAAAGAGTTCCTGAGCTTCTTGAGTTGGCGCTGTGAGCAGCTTGGGTCGCCCATCGTCCAGGTATCCCTTCGACCTTTCCAGAAGCCTCTCGTGGTTGTGAGCGATTCGCGGGAGTATGACCTTGCCTTTAAACCGACACGGTCGGATGATTAGGCAGACCCTAACATGCAAGGCAGAACATTCGACATTTTACATCGACGAGGCCGGGATTTCGACCAGTCCGACGGCTTCAGATTGAACTTCTCCGCTGCCTGGCCCAACTCAACAGTCACGATGCGCACAGGCGAGCAATGGCGATACAACCGACGACTCGTCGTTGAGACCATGAGTCCGGCCTTCCTCCGCGATATCGACGGTCCCACCACGCACAAGATGTCGTTGGAGTTGATGAAGTTGTGGCGACGAAAGGCTGAGCGTGCTCAAGGGCGACCGTTTGATGTCCAGTCGGATCTGAACAAAGTGACGAACGATGTTATTTGGCAAGTACTGCTCGGGACAGAGGTCAGAGCGGTCAAGTCGCAGATCGAGTATCTCTCGTCCGCTGAAAAGGTCGACCTCCCAGCTTCCGTCGACGAAGTGGTTGCGCTCCCCGAAGGATCACTTCCTGAAGTCTTCAATGCTTTTGGTCTGCTTGCCGAAAGCTCGACAATCGCGCGGAAGAGCGTCTTTGGAAGCTGGGCAGCCCAGGTCGCCGTTCGCGTCTACCCAGAACTATCTCGTGCCTGGAGGCTGAAGAATGCGATCGTCAAACGCTCAGCTCGAGATGCCTGGAACAAATTCAAAGATATCGATCTCGTTGATAAGCACCAGGCAACTTCTGCCGCCGAGTTCGTCGTCCAGCGGGAGGTGAAGCAGGCTCAAAAGGAGGGACGTAAACCGGAAGGTCCGTCGAAGTGGTTAGAGGGAGAACTGGCGATCATGTTGGCTGCAGGCTACGATACCACCGCATCGAGTATGTCTTGGGGGCTGAACTACCTGAGCATCCATCAAGACGTTCAAGCAAAGATTCGGAGGATCCTGCGTGAGACGTTCCCCAAAGCAGTAGCCGAATCTCGAGAGCCTTCGCCAGCAGAGTTATACAACACCGCTTTACTCTACCTCGACGCATTCATCGAGGAAGTCTTGCGTTGTAGCCAGTTGATTCCCAGCCTCTCCCGAACGACCATTACCAACACTCGGCTGCTGGGATATGACATCCCTATCGGCACTACAGTGGTATTAGCAGTCAGTATCTCTATGTTAACCACCTTCAAAACCGTGCTTACCGTTTGATAGGTCTCCCCTCACCATCGTCCAAAAAGGACTGCACCTCGGTCAGAAAAGCCCTCAACTTCCAAAGGCCCTCCAGATACGAAGCTGGCACCGGTTAAAGACTCTGCGCGCACCTCCAGTGGAGAGGAATTCCAGCCACAAGTCAACGAATGGGATGATACCTCCGACGACTTGCAAAACTTCCGTCCAGAGCGATATATGCCTTCAAAAGAAGGCGATGAACACCTAGACCTAATGGCGGGACCGCACGTTACGTTTGGAGGCGGGACCAGGGGCTGCTTCGGCAAAAAGATTGCATACCTGAACATGCGTATCTTGCTGGCGATCATTGTGTGGAACTTTGAGTTGTTGCCGTTGCCGGACGAGTTATCTGGGCTGGAGAGTGTTGAGGCCAATACCGTGACGCCTCGACGTGTGCCTGTTCGTCTTCGACCTCTTGCGGGATGAGTCTGAAGGGTTGTAAGGAAGTTAGCGAGTGAGTTTCTTGAACTGTTGTATGATATTAGACGAATTGACGACTCATTTGCATCCGGTGCTAGACTTGGACTTGCTGTGCCTGTGCCATTGCGTTTACTTAGCTCTCCACTGAGAGCGACTGATCACTCCTCGCAGCCTGCACTCTCGCACACAAAGCCTGAATCTCCAAGTATCGCACGAAAGCATCCGTACCAATGACGAATGGATTCGCCTGTACGCACCCATCCGGTGCACATTGCCTCGCATTCAGCAAGTCAAAGTTCGTCAAAGATCGATCTTGAGTCTGATGATTGGCGATCAACGTGTCAACACCTGTTTCTCTCGCTGCAGCTGCTAGTTTAGCATATGATTCGATCTGGTCCTCTTTCGCAGAGGCGTTAGACGCTATACCTGCGACGCCGTTCATACCAGCGATATGCGGCGTGCCGTGGTCAGACACCGGGAATACAAGGCTCATGGCTCCGGGTGTATGTCCCGGCGTGGCGACGAACCGTACAGAAAAGTTGCCAAAGTCGACTTCTTGGCCGTCAGTGACGACGATATCTCGTAGTGGTCCTCCATCTGCGACTTCCATGGCCTGCCAAGCCAGCTCACTTGCGTACACTGGAGCTGAGAATGTGTCTTGTAGCGATCGTGCTCCTCCATAGTGGTCAAAGTGCTCGTGAGTGATGATCACAGCCGCAATGTCGTCGCCTGTGAAGCCAAATGTCTGGATGCTGGGCATCAGGATCTGTTCAGCTTCTTCAGCGTTGTTGATGGAGTCGATCACGACAAGGCCTGAGGTCGTGGAAATAGCCCAGGCGGAGACAGCACTTTGGCCGACAAAAAAGACGCCATCGAATGCTTCAATTGGAGGGACGAACCCTGTGTAGATGTAAGGACTTGGTTTGGGCAGAGTCAGGGTAACGCTCACCAGGTGCTTGAGCATTGCTTGAAAGCTCATCATACACTTGAGACATGATACAACGCCGTTGAAAGTGATCGTCGAGGTCGTCTCCAGCTAGCCCTGACGCTTGATAGAGGTGTTCCGACACGTTCGCCAGTTGGGCATTCGGATAGGTAGTGACATTCCAAAACTCCGAGAAGTTTGTTGGCCGAGAGGATTGAGCAAATACTGATACTGCCAGAAAGGCAGCACACAAGATAGGACCCATCATATTGCAGTCAAGGGTGTCACTTACGACCAGAGATGCAGAATCGGTTGACCTTTTATGCTTCGCTTCGCTCCCTCCCCGCACAGTACCCCAGGCTGCTCCACGGGGAACTTAATTGCCTTTTTGTTGGCTCATTGCATAGGAAAGAAATAACCCGCCTTGGCAATTGGTCGAAAGAGGGGGAGAAGGTGAAGTGACTGCTTTTCCGCCTTGGCAAGGCGCTTATCCGACTGATGGCGAACATGTCAGCCAAAAGCGGCACAGAGCACTGAACAGTTCTGAAAGTCGACCTCGGATGCTAGAGAGAAACCAGTGATGGCAAGACTTTTAGCAGAAAAAAGTACGATCGATCCATTACAACTTAACCTGGCCACTTTCAAGCTCTCGAAGTTCCACCTTCGCAACAGCCTTGCCACTTAGCAGTCCAAACTCGCGAACATCAGTCCAATTGGGGTCAGTCTTCCATGCCCACGCCCTGTCTTTATCCTCGCCATTACTCTCGCCGTCCAGGATATTGATCATGTACTTGCCAGCAACGGGCATGAACCTGCAACATGTCAGCTCCTGATCGAAAAGCAAGAAAGTGTTCGTGGACAAACTTGTAACTGTGGAAGCTACCACCAACAGCGAGATATAGGTGGCTGAGCTTCGGGTGTGGATGCTTACACATGAGCAAATCCTCGGTGGGCGTTTGGGCATCGTAGCAGATGCGCCAGTAGTCCGGCTTCTTTCCGCGAGTGAACTCTTGTAGGATCTTTGATGCTATGATGTCCTCTGTTTCACGCTTGAGCGCATCGGGAATATTGTACTGATCGGCTCGTGGTGCGGAGATCTTGTGTCCAGACTTGGTTGTGACGGTGTTGGTGAAGGTTGTCCTGGAGTTCGAAACCTTCATGAGGTTGTTCTCCTTCGAAGGAGAAAATATCTCCCCATTCCCACCGTAGACGATCACTGGCGTGTTTGCTTTATTTATGCGGTCGATCTCTCCTTCGGACATCTTGTAGTAGGCGGAGATGGTTCCTGTGCATCTGGCTTGCTGCTCAATCCTGTCCTGGTCAGGTATATGCAGTGCGTCTTCGATTGGCGACAACATGCTGCTCGTCCAAGCTCCTGTCGCCAGCACTACTTTGTCGCCAGTCAAAAGCCTGCCATCTGCAAGACGGACTCCGCTGATCCTCCCATCTCTCGCATCGAGAACGAGTTCTGATGCCTGAGCCGTCACCCTGTTCACGCCACGCTTCACAGCGGCTGCCATAAAGCTCGCTGTCGCGCCAGCAGCGTTGACCCATCCCGCTTCGGGGTTGAAGTACGCCCCATTGAATCCTCTCATCTCCGTTCCTTTCAGCACTCCGCCCCATTTCATAGGCAAGTCGTCGAGTGGCACATTTTCAGCGCAGTTGGATCCACGGCCCTTGAAAGTCGCATTGATTCTATCAGAAACATCGCTCCCTTCCTCATTCAGGTAGAGCCAGCCGACTTTGTGGAAGAAATGGCCCAGCTCGATGCTCCAGAACCATGGATGGATCGCTTCATAGGCGAGGTTGCAGTATAGCTGATTCGGGTAGTCTGTGCGAATAGCTCTGTTGATATCAATCGCAGCTGCTTGCTTCGGCGGCGAAGGTTCCCTGTCCACCAATGTCACTTTCGATGGATCCTTGTATTTCTGTGCCAGATGATACGCGATGGAAGTGCCAAAGGTACCTCCTCCTATGATCAGAACTGTGGGCTCCATGGTTAAGTCTTGAGGCCGCTGATGTGCACGTCGTGATGACGATTCGATACAGGATGGATATCGAGGGCAAGATCAGTGCGGCCAAAGGGATGAACCCCACATGTGAGTGAGTTCAACTTACGAAGCCGAAATGTCGAAACCTAGAAGAGTGCCATCGAGCGGCACAATACTTACCTTGCTTGCCAGAAGTTACGCTCGGTGATGCCCAGCCGTGTACAGGGCAGTTCGTGAGGGGTCTGCGTGTACTGAGGAGAAGCTTACAGCTAGCCATCCATGTCGCTGGGAGGAACATAGTGCGTGAACGGCAGCGTACAGTATTCGTTGCAGGGGACATGACTGGATGTGTTCCTTGCTGTCTCATTCAACCGCCGCCGCAACAACCCGACTCCGGTGTTCCGAGGAGACGAGTACTGAGAGGCGGTTTCTCGTGATCCATGAAGCAGACAACATGGTCACTAAGTATAGCCATGCAGTAGATGTTTGAGCCTCTTCACAATGTTGACGGTTAACGCTTCTGTGGGCTTGAATGTCGATAAGCGATGTCTGAAAGATATGGCTGGGTGAAGAAGAAGTGTTGTCGTCGTGCGGTGAACTCAAAATGCAAGCGAAGTGAGCACGCTAACAACCTGTCGATGCCTCAGGCAAACGGACTGACCGCTCCATCGCGCACCGCTCGCTCAGCTTCCACCATCTCCTCGACAGTCTCCTCCATCGATATCGGTTTCCGGCCCTTGGTTGCTAGCGGCTGCTCCAGTGTTGGATCATGGATCTCACACTCATTCTCCCTCAAAGCATCGTACGTTTTGCTCCACCACTTGATGAATGGCGCGTCCATCTTGCGGTCCTTAATGTAGTACTCTTCATGCTCAGGCCTGGTCACTACCTTAAGCTTGACCTCTTTGCCCTTGGCCCTCGAAATCATCTTGGCGACATCATCCAGCGAATGGGCCTTCGATTGTGAGAGGTAGAACGTCTTGCCGGCCCACTCCTCACTGGGCGCCGCCAGAACCAAAGCAGTCGCAAGGCCAAGATCCGGAATGCTCGTCCAGCTGATCTTGCTGTTTCCACCAACTGGAACTTCGCTTCTGGAATCGTTCGAGACGTCGTAGTGTCCAAAGTACAAGGGCCAGCTCTCGTTGTACAGGCCTTCTCGGATGGCCGTCCACTGGAAGCCGCTTTTCTTCAAGTACTGCTCGGTTCGCTCGTGGGCTTTCATGACCCGGCTGAGACTGGGATTCGCGAACGCCAGGCTCGAGTAGTAGACATGCTTGACACCAGCCTCCTTTGCAGCAGCAAGGGCTCGAAAATGATCGGCCTCGCGCCCTTCGCCCGGTGGCGCATCGTTGAAGTCCATTTCGACTCGGGCTGAGGATATGAGGAAGAGCTTTTCGCAGCCTTGAAAGGCCGTGACGAAGGATGCTTGATCGTCCCAGTTGGCTGATCTGACTTCAACGCCTTTCTGCTGTGCTGGCTGCAACTTTTGCGCTCCGGAATCTGATGACGTTGTGCATACGATATCTGATGGAGCCACCAAGCTGTGATCCAGAAGGGCATTGAGCGTCACGAAGCCAAGTTTGCCACTGGCACCTGCAATCGCAATTTTTCCCATGACTTGTTGATGAAGTCGTCTCCGAAGGTTTTATCGAGGGTGTCAAGGAACAATTGCGAAGTTGACGAGAAACTGCAGCGACGAACTTCAATCTCGTCTCAAGATATTGGCCTTCGATGACGTAAGCCGCGAGGTGTTCGAATTTTGAAGAACTGCTCACTTGCCAGACAAATCTCCATTGCGGACTCATTAATCTATTTATCGTCTTGCACCCGTGAAGATACCCTCAACCGCTCACCACGATTTAACACATTACTTAGCAAATGCGAGTCCCTTCGAAAGCCTGAGCCATCGGCCCTGCGAGCCCTAGGGAATGTCTCCGACCAAGAGCCTCGCCTTATCTGTAAAAATCAAGCTCGATTTGGCAAAAGGTACTTCGAATTCTTCTGGAATAGGCAATACGTCTTGATAGACCACTACGCCCGTATTGCTCAGCAGTTGCAAGTCTAGCATTATCACGATCCTTCTCTGGCACTAACGGACCAGCCCAAGAAAGAATCCACGCTAGCAAAGAGAATTCCGGTTTCATCTATTGGATCTGGGACTGTCGCAAGTATTACTCCTCTTCTCGTCGCTCTTACTATTGATACACATAACAGTATGGACCGCTCGTGGTGCTCATCGTATCAATCACACGGACTTGCTGAAAGCCAGGCAGCGGCGACTGCATGTCAACCTGCGGCGGCGGTCCCTCTGGAAAACCACGTCAGTTATGTCTTTCTTAAACATCTCCACGGGGTTACTCACGCCCTAATTCCTGTCGAGTATCCACGTACGCATTCGGCGGGGCGAGATCGTTGAACCTCGTACTGGGATCCAGACTCTGCCAGACACAGTATACCAAGTCCAGCCATGCGTGGAGCAGCAAGAATATCGGCTCACCGGGAGCGAAGGCTGTGAAATCCTGCGTGCCGCCGACGAAGACATGCATCGAGCCGTGCATGAAGTTTGGGCCTCTCTCCACGGCAGGCATGAAACTGGCAGCATCTGGTTGTGGTCAGTACGGCTGGTCATAATGGCGTTGCGGTGTCTCATACCATTGTTGTTGAGGATATTACCGAGCACGACCTGTTCGCTCAGGAACTGCAGCTGGCCCACATCGAAGCGTCTCTCGAGGCAATGAGGATTCAGCCCGAGACCGTTCTGCTGTGGGTTTCGTGCACAGCGCCCATCGGTACCACCGTCGCCGAGATCAACGACCCAATTCGCAAGAGGTCCCTCGGTGACGCAACTACAGCCATCTTGAGTGGGGACACCGTTGCCAGAGAGAGACGTGGGAGAGTTGTCGAACACTGGCCACTGCTCAGGTGGAACACCTTGGTATCGAGTGAAGTCTAGGTATGGGATACCAAATTGGTAACCGCACTCTTCCCGAAGGGCACGCTCCACCTCGTTGTTAAAGTGTCTGTGCCAGGAGAGCAAGATCGGCGAAACGTGGATGGGGTCGTTGTTGATCGCATGGATAGCGACAAAGTCGTCCCATCGAGTCTGCGCTCCTCGCGCTCCCGGCAGGTTGACTTGCGAGGGCCTTTGATGGAGGCAGAAGCAAGCTTGTATGAAAGCCTGGCGGGCTTGATCATCCATATCACTCCTGGAAGCTGGTCAGTCGATGTCTCCATGGGGTTGGAGGCGATCACACCATTCTCTTCGAACGATCAGGTTCTGTGCCGTACAGCTCCCTTGCAACGACGACTGAGTCTGCTGGTTGTAATTCGCGACAAGCTGCCGGAAAGAAGCCTGTTGTCGTCGAGGAGTAATGGGCTCATTGTCTGGCTCTTGAGCGCTCAACACACCAGTCGCTTGGAGCAGGAGGCACGCAAAGGCCAGAAACCTTGAGCTGTTCGACAACATTCTTGCAATGCTACCACGCCCGGACACCTTGAACAGTGGTCTCAGCCATTGATCCTGCGGTAGACAACGATATATATACCACCACTTCAAGTGCAATTCCGGCCATCTTCGGATACAGAATCAGAAACCACGCAGCGCAAAACAACGCGAAACCTCTCGAACAGGTTCCTATCAAACAAAACTCTACACGCATGATCCCAGATCTCATCGCGACATCAAGCGTATTTTAGGAATGAATCTCGGATCCTGAGGCGAGCCTGGATTGCTCTTTACGGCGCGGCATGGACACGAGGCTACCTTTTTGGCTACAGGACACCGTCGTATACCCTTCTAACCTTTTGTCGATCATCTGAAGATTCGTCTAGCGTTGCTCACAAATCACGCGAGAAAGTATGCGAAGAGTACCACTACAACTTATCGCATTCGCCTAGGAATGCCAAACCCAGCATCCTGGCGCCCATCGGCTTGTTTGTGTCATTTAAGCTTAACCTTCGTCCTCGCGCAATCTTGAAGAGAACTTACGGAGGTTTGAGACGAAGTTAAAGAGAGCAATCCGGGGAAGTGATCTCCTCAGGTGTCGAGGATTGCTGGTGGGCATCTCGTGTCTTTGACGTGAGCCTCATCTCGATGCAGGAGGCTTTTTAGTCATGTTGCTAGAATATGAACATGGGGCTGGGATCAGCAGCTTGGATGGGCGTGGGTGCAGGTGCGACTATGTCATCGACGAGCACAGCAAGGACCACACACTACAGTGTGCGATGGCTTCCATCGGGAGGACCAAACCTTTCAACTTCAAAGATCAAGTTCTTCACCAGGAGCTACCACTACTACAACATCATAACGGCACATGTCACTACTTGTCGCATGTCTCAGTCTGGTACGGAACATACTTCTCCAGCACGTTGCTAGGCATCGTATCCTCGAGTTTCCCTGACATATGCACCATGTCATTGAAAATGACTAATTTGCAGGAACCCGCGGCTGTCTGTTGTGCACCATAGCTCGCAATCAAGGACTTCACAAGGTCAAGAAGTTACTGTAGGAATGTTCAATGGTAAGTGACAAAAAGTCCATTCGCTGTCCATTGACATGGAAAAACTTTCATCACCCTCCTCGCTCATTAATATACACAACCTCCAAACCCCCCGAAACCTCAATGCTTCTTATGATAAGCCGCAAACTGCACATCCCTCTCATAATCATTCATATCCCTAAACTCCCCCCTCAAACTCCCCACCCCATCCCTCCTCACATCCTCCACCAACTCCTTCACCTTCACCGCGATCTTCTCCCCATTATAATTAAACCGCTCATACACCACATTCCCCGTCAAAGACTGCCCGAACGAATGCATCGAGTACCCGGCGTCGGCGTAGCGCTCCCAGCCGTTGGGGGAGTACGCCTCGATGACGACGCGCGGCGCGGTGCCCAGCACGGAGCGCTTGTACTCCCGCGACTGGGCCTCGAAAATGCGCTGGCAGGGGAAGGAGACGATGCGGGCTTTGAGGCCCTTCGCGACGAGGGCCTCGCGGGCTTCGACGGCGAAGCGCATCTCGGCGCCGACGCCGATGAGCGTGACGTCGGCGTCTTTTTCTTCCAGGAAGACGTAGGCGCCTTTTTGCACGCCGGCGCGGGAGGAGTGTTGTGGGTATTGGGGGACTTTTTGGCGGGAGACGGAGATCATGGAGGGGGTTTCTGTGGCGTTGATGGCGGCGATGACGGCGCCCGCGGCTTCTTCGCTGTCCGCTGGACGGATGTAGTGGAAGTTGGGCATGGCGCGGTAGAGCGCGGCGAGTTCGATGGGTTGGTGCGTGGGGCCGTCTTCGCCGGTGCCGATCGAGTCGTGCGTGGCGATGTGGATGACTTGGAGGTTTTGCAAGGCGCCCATGCGCACGCCCGGGGCGGCGTAGATGTAGAACATGAAGAAGGAGGAGGTTACCGGGAGGAATGTGCCTTTGTTGAAGGCGGCCATGCCGTTGGAGGCCGAGGCCATGGCGTGTTCGCGGATGCCCCAGTGGATGTATCGCCCGCTGTAGTCGCCGTTGATGCCGCAGGCGGTTCTGAGGTCGGGGTTTTGGAAGTCGACTTTGCCTTTCCAGGCCATGTTGACTGAGGGTGTTAAGTCGGCGGTACCGACTAAGACGTTCCTGCATTTCTCAGCGATGGGCTGGAGTGCGGTACCAGCCGACTTCCTCGAGGGCGTATCTTCCGTTGGGAGATCGTCGAGCTTGGGGATCAGCTTGGTCCAGTCGTCGAGGAACTCGCCTTTGACTCGCTTGTCGAACTCAGCGGCGAGCTCTGGGTGTTCTCTGGAGTAGTTCGATACGAGTTGTGACCAGTCCTTCTCGAGCTGCTGACCCCTGTGTACAGCTTCGCGGAAGTAGTCGTACACTTCGTCCGAAACCACGAAAGTCTTCTCTGGGTCCATGCCGTACGTCTGCTTGACATGTGCAACATCCTTCTCACCCAGATCCGCTCCATGGGCCTTCGCGTCACCGGCCACCTGGCTACCAACACCAATGACTGTTCGGATGTTGATGAATGTCGGTTTGTCCTTCGAAGCACGAGCTTGAACAAGCGCCTTGACAATCGAATCCACATCGTGGTTCCCGTCTGCGACTTCCAAGACATTCCACCCAACAGCCCGCATCTTCGCGTTAACATCGTCCGACGAGCAAATGTCGACGGATCCGTCGCATGTGATCTCGTTCCTGTCGTAGATTACGCAAAGGTTGTTAAGCTTCCAGTGGCCCGCCAGCTGGAACGACTCCATTCCCACACCCTCTTGCAAGCAAGCGTCTCCAATCATGCACCAGGTCATGTTGTTGACAACATCGTATCCGTCGCGGTTGTATGTAGCACCAAGGTTCTTGCTGGCCATTGCCAGCCCAACAGCGTTGGCGACGCCTTGTCCGAGAGGTCCAGTCGTCACCTCAACACCGTCAATCTCGATCTCGGGATGTCCAGGAGTGATTGAGGTATACGAGACAGAGTGATATGATAGCAATTGCTCCCACGTCATCTGCTTGTAACCCACGAGGTGAAGAAATGCGTATTGGAAGAGACATGCGTGGCCGTTGCTGAGCACGAATCGGTCTCGATTGAAGAAGTCTGGGTTCGAAGGCGAGTACTTCATCACGTATTTCCAGAGTGCAACACCGATGGCTGCCATTCCCATGGCGGAGCTGTGCGAACGTCAACATGAGATTCGTTGTCCAACTCTCAAGATCACGTACCCTGGGTGCCCACATCCGAACTGATGGCACAAGTCTGCAATCAGACATCTGAATGTCCTCAGCACCAAATCTGTCTTCTCATGTGCCTCCATCTGAATATCCTCCACATGTGCCTGCGCTCCATTTTGCTTCCCATTGACCTTCAAGGGAAGGTGATCAATATCGCCATTCGATATTGCTGAAGGAGCCATGATTAAGGATACTGCTGTCAGGTTGAATCGAACAACTGTCGCGGTAGCAGCAGGCAATTTAGAAGAGTAGAGCAGTAATAATGATCTTTTGACAGATCCAACCGACGTCAGGTATTTATGTACGTCACCCCGGCCAGAATCTCATTTCTGCGGCGTCTCCAGCGTATACAAGTACCGAAACTCTATCGTGCCATGATCTGTCCATAGCTGTCATTCGAGCTCACATTTCTCCTCACGGAAGAAAGAAGCTGTGAGCTCTGGTTTGGAATGCCATGAAGTGCAGTGGCAAGTAAGCCCACGGTTGCCCAATCGGTCGGAAGGGAAAGTGGAAGCGCTCGAGACGAGGCTCGACCAGGTGCTTCGGATTCCTGTTTTTGAGAGCTCGAGTCGGAGGGTTCTTAACTAGGAGGTACCGCCCTCAACCTATTCAACATGGCGGTTGCGCGTCGTCTTCGGCGAACATTCTTGAGGGTGGGTATTTTGTCAGATCCATGATCATGGAGACCCAATCTTTGGCATGATGCAAAGATTTTGCAAGGGCAGAGATATGGAAGCGGCGTTTGCTGTGGTAAGTATTGCGTCGACTTGGGCTGTTTCATCTTTTATCTTTCGTCGTCGTCCGTTGGGTACTTTCAACAAACTTTTCAGTCCCTCTCAGTCATGGCCCCAGGCGCTCTCGTCAGTGATCTCGCTCTACCTCAAGAGGTACCTGAGTCGAAAGAAACAGAAGCAAACGCACCATCGAAGCAGCTGTTCTCCTTAAAAGGCCAGACCATCGTCGTCACGGGTGGTGGCCGTGGCGTTGGTATCACGCTCGCCCTGGCAGTGGTGGAGGCAGGAGGATCTGTAGCATGTCTCGATATCCTCTCAGAACCGTCAGCAGCAGAATGGCAGCACCTCCAGACCACAGCAAAGAAGTCCAACCTGACAGCAACGTACGATCGATGCGACATCACCAACGAAGCCAACATGGCTAGCAAATTCCAGAACATCTCGTCAGAAGCAAAAGTCCGCGGCGCCCCATTCTCTGGCATCATAGCATGCGCCGGCATCCAGCAAAGCACACCAGCAGTTGATTACTCCGTCGACGACTTCAACCGCATGCTGAATGTCAATGTTACTGGGACATTCATCACGGCCAAGCACGCTTCTCGAATCTTCATCGAGAACAAGACTCCAGGCTCCATCGTCCTCATCGCGTCCATGTCAGGACAAGTAGCGAACCGAGGGCTGCAATGTACGGCGTATAACACAAGCAAGAGCGCGGTGCATCAGCTTTGTCGTTCCATGGCCCAGGAGATTGGACAGCATGGTATCAGAATCAACACCTTGTCGCCAGGGTACATCCGAACAGCCATGACGGATGCTTTGCTGGAAGCGCAGCCTGAGATAGAGAAGATCTGGATGGCAGGAGCGTTGTTGGGCAGGTTGGGTGCTCCTGAAGACTTCAAGGCTCCTGCGATATTCTTGTTGGCACCTGGTAGCTCTTTCATGACTGGGGCTGATTTGCGCGTTGATGGAGGACACTGCGCTTCAGCATGACGAGATAGATGACTGTATCGTATCCCTTTGACTTCAGGTTGAGCGTCAGTCTATGCGGCAGCTCAGAGTCCACAAGGACAATCATGGCTCCTTGTCTTGGCGGAAAGTAGACTCCAGGCCGTCACCGGAACGTCGTGTCTATCGAGTCTGATCAAGATGAAGCTAGGCACGTGTTAGCAACGTGATGGTGTAGCAATGGTAGTTTAGGGGCAATGCAGGTCCTCTGGGTCCAGGTCCACCGATGGTGCATGTTGGTGCCGGCAAAGCTGCCTTCGACAGAGATGCCACTTCAGGCACTGCAAAGGTCGTAATTGCCCTATCACGTGGTGCGTTCTTGTCAGTATTCCTTGATGAGCGTGTATTGTTGCTTGTTGTCACGACGCGAAATCGCGAGATTCACCTCGCAATCCTGGCGGCGGCTCGTGTCGAGGCACAAGTCTAGCCACTCTCAGTCTGCCGATCCCAGCAGCCCCAAGACGACCCTTCGTCTTCGGCTGATGGGCACGGTGCGGAACCACTCCTCTACCTGGAGCTGCACCAGAGCACTGAACCATGCGGAGAGGGGCCCGACCTGCTGATTTGGGGGAACGTCATGTCCTGCTTCCTGCTGCTGTCCATCAATGGCTGTGACCAGAATCGAGCATCTCGTCAACAAGGACCACGAACAGCCGCTGGCGACTGCGCCTGCTGCACCAGCACGGCCGGAGGCGGATGGCAGACTGGCCACGGTGGGCAAGAAGAGGACCAGGACGGGCTGTTTGAATTGTCGTCGTAAGCGGAGGAAATGTATGTGGAGACTATCACGGTCGTAGCTTGGTCTTTCGCTGAGTGAGAGGATGTAGGTGACGAGGCCAAACCGACATGCGAGGGCTGCCAGGCTCGCAAGGAAGTGTGTGAGTGGGGAGTGAAGGTCTCATTCAGGCCCGAGAATGCTCAGACCATGGGACGTGAGCATCCCTCGATGCGTCAAGCGGCGACGAATGGCAAGAGCCAGAGCTTTCAAGTAAGATTACCTCCATTTAACATGGAGAAGATCGAGAAGACATGCTCACAGAAACCACAGATCATCAATGTGACCAAGGAAGTCATCAGAGACTACTTCGAAGAAACCGGCAGCGATGAGGTCGAAGACATACAACTACCAGATGTCCAGCCGCAACATGTATCTCCAATACGCCAAACTGCCGCCCCCATCATCTCGCCCACTTTCGAGGCCGTGACGACCATGCCAGAACATCATCTCAGCCACCAACCCTCTCCAATCCTGGTTTCTCCCGACATGACCACTGGAACACCGTACATGTCCAACATCGACCTCTTCCTCTCGCCCCAATACAGCGACTCACCATTCGAAGATGGCATCTTCCTCCCAGGATCCCAATACCAAGAACTCCACGCCGCATTACGAAGTCGGATCATCGACACCGCCCGCTCGACAGTCCCCTCCCGTGTAGGCTCCCCAGAACCACTCCACCCTCCACCAGACCTCCACTCACCCATCTCCATCCAAGCCGACGACGACGAATCCCGACGCCTCGCCCACCTCACCGCCGAAGAAGAATACACCCTCTGGCAGAACTACATCTCCGAGGTCGCTCCCTGGCTCGACAAATTCGACATCGCGCGCCACTTCGAGCTCGTCCTTCCCATGCTGGCCAAATCGCACCCGCACCTCCGCTACTCCATCCTCGCCCTCTCCTCGCGCCAAATGGAACTCAAAGCCAAGAAGCCCGACAACTCCTGCAGTCTCGCCCTCTACCAGCACGCGATCCACCTCCTCTCCCCGCTCCTCCACCAACGCACCTCCGTCGTCCTCGCCTCCTGCATCGTCCTCTGCGTCCTGGAGATGATGTCCTGCTCCCCCAAAGCCTGGCGCCGCCACCTCGACGGCTGCGCAGCGCTCATCCAAGCCCTAGGAATCAACGGCGGCTGCGGCGCCCTCGACCAAGCGCTCTTCTGGTGCTTCGCGCGCATGGACGTCTGCGGCGGCCTCATCTCCTCCGAACACACCCTCATCCCCATGAACAAATGGATGAGCGGCGGAGACCTCCCCTCGGACCTGCACATCTTCCAGCACAACGCCGCCTTCGCCTTCGACATGTACGCCAACCGCGTCGTCTACCTCTGCGGCCAAGTCCTCGACCTCCTCTGCTCCTCAGGGAAATGGGAACAACGCCACCAATCCTCCCCCTCCCACCACCACAACCAACAACCCCTCCTCACCAAAACCCAATACATCCCCCACTGGACGCACCTCTTCTCCACCCTCGAACAATGGTACCACGACCGTCCGGAGGAAATGCTCCCCCTACTCACCATCCCCTCCACCAACCCCTTCCCCACCCTCCTCTACGCCTCCGGCCCCGCCGTCTCCGGCAACCAACTCTACCACACCGCCTCCCTCCTCATGCTCAAACACCGGCCCTCCCACCTCCCCCTCCACGCCATCAAACCCCGGCCCCCACACTCCATCCTCTGGCACGCCCGCCAGATCTGCGCCATCTCCATCTCCAACACCCACCACGGCTGCTGGACGAACAGTATCCAGCCCCTGTGGGTCGCGGGCCAGCATATGAGCCACCCCAGCGAGCATGAGGCGATCTTGAGGATTCTCGAGAGGATTGAGCGGGAGACCGGGTGGGCGACCAAGTGGCGCGCGGAGGATTTGAGGGAGTATTGGGGGGTGTTGGATGATTGATTGATTGAATGAAAGCTGTTGGTTTAATCTGGGAATAGCATGTAGATATGATCTGATGTGATGCGAATACGTCGAGACGAGAAACGTAAAAAGCAGTCTTTCATCAAACGATATCGTTCATACACCAGGGCTAAATGATACTTGCTTGACATCTATCCAAAGGCTCCACTGCACTCCTCTCCTCTCACCACCTCCACCGGGCTGGTCCCAAATCGCAGTCCAAAAGCCACGTATGAACACTCCCTTTCTTTCTGTCTTTGTCTTTCCGCCTCGAATAGCAATTTGGAGCTCGCGCTCGCAGCCATCTAACAGCAAGCCACGCAGCAGCAGCAGCAGAAGACCGAAGCCCAGGAAATGCAGCAAAAAGAAGAAACACACACACACACACACACACACACACACACACACACACACACACACACACACACACACACATAAAGATACTTTCAAAAAACCAAACCCCCAAAAAGAAGAAAAAAGCAATTTCCATCCACTCCCCCTCCACCCCCAAAGCGCATTCACACCACAGCCATGCGAAAAGGTGTCTTGTCGTCGTATCGTCCATATGTCCGCCCCGGAAGTAATGAAGCAGCAGTAGCAGCCGTACCACGTATCAAATGGTGTTGGGTCTGACCTCCCCTGCGTGCAAAGACGCAACAAACGCCACGCCAGCCGCCAGTCTTTTGCGGTGCAGGGCCGGCTCATCTCGACCTGTCTGTCCAGCCTTTTGGATCGGCCGTGAGCGCGGCTCCACGTCACTCGCTGTCTATAGTCTATGTTCTCGTTAAAGTCTTCTGTTTTCGTCTCAAATCACTGTATGCCTCCCATTGGTTTTGTGGAACTTTCGGTACTGCAAGAAAGAGTAACGCCGCCCTGAAAGAAGAATGCCGACCGTGTATCGCGTTATCCGAGGAATGCGTGATGCCGTCGTGAACTTTTGGTGTCGGGCAAGCCGACATATCGAATAGAATTATGAAGAGTGTGACTTAGGACGCGGCCGTCTGGACGCCCGCGATGGGACTGTCCACTTGGCTGTTGTATGGCTTGAAAAGAAGCTTCATGTCGAGGGTCAAGGAGTCCAGGCCGTATTGATCGTCAATGTCGCCGACAGAGCCGATGTCTTGACCCTTAGTCTCGTTATCGCCGACGACAACACCTTTGATGCGCTTGAGCAGGGCCATGACACGCTTGAAGCGCATGTCAGCTGGCAGAGAGAAGTCGGTAGCTTGTTGAGACTGCAGGAAGCTGCGACCCAGATAGAAGAAGTGGACGCCGTCTCTGCTGAAGCCAAATCGTCGCTGCTGGACCTGGTTTGGCGGGTACTGCAGCTCCATGTCGTGGTCCCAGTTGCGCTTCCACTTCTCGAGTGCTTGTCCCAGCCGCTTCTTCTCCTGCTGCACCGCATTTGAAGTTTGCATGGTCGGGCTGAAGCTCTCGCTTGGCGTGACATGACCGCTGTTGTTGGCGCTGATATTGCCGCTGCCACCACCATGTTGCTCGAGCCAATCGCCCTGCGAGACTGGCGTTGCAGGTGTGCTGCTGTTGAACGCGAGGTTGAACGGTTGGAACTGCTGATCAGGCTGAAGCAAGGCCTTCTGACACGCAATGATACGCAAGATCAGAGCGTGGATAAGCAGGAATTTGGAGTAGACGTTGGTCGATCCGGCTTGGAAGGCTGCGTATGGGTCCAGTAGCGTGCGCATGGCATCTCGCAAAGTGGGCTGCACAGGCTTGCGAGTACCGGTCATGTTTCCGCCCTGAGCTTGGGGTCCGTTGAGTCCCAGCGCGTTGGCGCACTGCTGCGAGTTGGTCGCATCCCAGGCGGCATCATCAGATGGAAGCATCAGACGAATCTCCAGAGGATCAAGCTGTGGAGGGCAATTGAAATACATCACCATGGCTGCGTCAGTGACGAGCAAATGGTAGAGCATCCTGTTGCGCTTCTCTTGCTCCAGCCATCCGCGCCAGTTCCAGTTCTGAACCTGCACCTGCTCTGGTGAAGCACCGCGCGTGGAGTGTAGGACACTGTAAGCGTAGTGTCCTGGTGCGGCCTGCTGGCAGAGGCTCATCGCCTTGGCGATGAGGATGACAGTAGGGAATTCCGCGCGAGCCGCTTGCCTCTGTGCTGGGTCGCCATGCCAGGTGAATAGAATGTGCAGCATTGACATAGCTTGGAGCTCTTCGACCTCGAAAGGTTTGTTGCCGAGTCCGAGCGATTGGCCATTGATCGTGCGCTGGTAGATGGTGCAGTTGCTGTGGACTGTCGCCTTAACAAACTCCATCATCTGCCTCACTTGATGAACAGTAAGCCTCGGGCTGTAGACAGCACCGATGCAGATGATAGCTAGCACCAGATTGTTGTTGGCTTCCGAAAGCTTGAATGTCGGCATGTGCAGAATGGGCCAGTGTCCATGGTATGAAGTGTAATGCTCGGCGAAGTGCTTGATGTTGTCCACGGTGAGCACCGACTGCATCAGCTCAGAAGCAGTGGTGGAGTGGGTGCCGTCAATGCCATGCGGGAAGCAGTGGTGCATCAAGCTGTCCACCTTGGCTTGCAGTGGGTCGTCCATGCTCCAGTTCGGGAATCCTGGGATCCCTGCGTCCTCGCCACCAAAGCCACTTGGGTGCGAGTAAAGACTACCTAAAAAAGATTCGTTGTTGAAGTCGTTTTGCATGCGGAAGTCGTGCTTGACGTCCGGTTCGGTCTTGATAAGAGTGTTTCCTTGCGAGCTCGCGTTCGCAGAATGGCTGCCGATAAAGCCATCCTGGCCACCTTGGGTAAACATGCGGGTCCAATCGGCGCCGCTACCATCACCATTTGGGATCTGCTGATGGTGGTTGTTGACCTGGCTGTTGTCGAACCGCGAGCTCTGATGGCCTAAAAAAGACATCTGTTGCTGCGGGTGCTGAGGTTGGGGTTGTTGGGGGTGTTGCGCGCCGTTATAAATGTTGCCATTCAGGTGCGGTGGCTGGTTGAATGAATAGTTGTTGGGCATCTGCGGCGCACCGTTGGCTGTGTTCTGCATAGCATAGGCACTCATACCTGGCTGATAGGGAGCAGATGAGTTCATCTGGTCCGCATTGGGGGCGTTCGACCCCAGGATCCCCAGCCCAGCCAAGCTGTTGTGGCGGCTCTGCGTGCCCGGCGTGATCAAGCTGTTAGCTCTCGACGACCGAGCAGAGAAGTCGCCATTCACAGTTGGGCTGTTGCTGATCACATTGCCGTTGTAACCAGGCTGGCCGCCAACTTCGGCCATGCCCGCCAAGCCGATGGGGCCATCTTGTTGGCTGATCGACAGGCGGTTGCCGTTGTTGGTGTTGCGTCGCTGGTGCGCAAGGTGATTCGCACCGGTAGGATTGCCGCGTCGCAGCGAACACTTCTGGAAGTGGCGCTTCAGGATGTCACTGCGAGAGAAAGTATCTTTACACAAATGGCACATGTACGGCCGATCGCCAGTGTCTGTGTCACGTTAGACAAAAGTTTTGAAGGATAATAGGAAATGAACTCACGTCTCAGAAGGTGGCGCTTCAAGTGTTTTGCGTGCAAATACGTCTTGTTGCAATGTGGGCACGGGTATTTGCCATCTGCGTCCTTTTGCGGGATCATGCTCTTTGTTGTCTGACCAGTGCCCTGCGCAGGCGGGTTAGGCCTGCCTGGAGCACTGGGCAAGATGCCGCGACGACCTTGCGAACCGACCACATGTGTAGGTGCCTCCTCGTTCTGCAAGAAGGATGGTTGCTGGCCAAGCTGGCCCAACTGACCCGCGCTTGCGATGCTCGGTAGACCATTAACCCCACCAACACCTCCAGGCGGCATTGGTCGGATGGTCGGGAGACCGACTGCCGAGCTGGTCGGTGGCATCGTTGTCGCGGTTGATGAAGGGTACATCATGGACTGTGACATGCTGCCGTAGGGGTTGCTCGGGAAGGACGGCGGTAGCATCGAGCCAGGCGCAGTGGTGTTGGTCGGCGAGACGTGCTGCGAGTAGCTGCCCGGCTGGTTGTTCGACATGGTTGCCGTCGCTGGGGTGTGAGGCGTCGTCGGCGTTTGCGACTGGCTGCCAGGGTGGGCGTATGAGATGTTCCCAAATTGAGGGTAGCCATTCTGGCCTTGCAGCGGCGGGAGAGTTGGGTGTTGTGGCGAAGGTTGGGTCTGCTGCTGCGACTGTTGTTGCTGAGAGGCAGCTTGTTGGCTCACAGTTCCAAACGACGCCAAGCTCGGCGGCTGTTGTTGCTGGCCCTGTTGCTGAGGTTGCTGTTGTTGTCCAGCGGGTGGTTGTTGGCCTTGCGCCTGCTGCTGCTGCGGGGGCAGCGTGTTGGGGGCGGCGTGGGCAGGGTAAGGCTGGTATCCGGGGTTGAAGTGGTTGTTATCCATACTGGCAATGGATAAGGGGTGGCGGAGTGGAAAAGAGTGGGCAGCGGCGGGAGAAGGTGGGGACTTGGCGACTCGGGAGGTATGATGCTAGTCCTCGAGCTCTCATCGGAAGCGCCAGCTGAAAGCTTTTATCCAGAAGTTAGATATTGATGGCAGTAGCGAATGACGACAGGTGGGTGGGCGGGTGCGGCAGGAGCAACTGGGTGCTCTTGCAGTGCGTGCCTGCACGGGCGCGGCGCAGGAGTGATGGAGGTGTTGTCGTAAGGAAGCGACGACCGTGGGTATGGGGACGTCTGGAGAGGCAGGAGCGAGCGCAATGACGCCCGCCGAGTCTGGTGGAAGAATGATGGTCAGTGGGCAGGCCGGGAAGGGTTGACGAGTTCGCGGCGGCGGTAGCAGCGGGCGGCAAGCGGCAGTGACAGCAGCCTTCAGTCAGTCGCGGTGGATGCAGGTGGGTGTCGCTTTCTGCTGCGTTGCTTGTGGCGTGCGTCGACCTGAACTGGCTGCGGCAAAACTCTGGCCGAAAATTGCAGCTCTCGCCCAACGGACGCTGCTCGCACCAAGCGCGTAAAGTCCGACTCTACGGCGAGCCAGTCGGGCGGGCTGGTGGTGAGTGCTGGTCGGCCGCGCGCAATCACGAACGACGTCGTCGCCGGGCAGCAGTGCGCCGTGTCTCTGCCTCAGCGGCGGCAGTTCAGGCTGGCAAGACAATCGCAGCAGCTGTTGGCTCGCGTGCAGTTGTATTAAGATTTGAGATTTGCGCTTCAAGGTCAAGTGGGACTTGCGAAGCGGGAGGCTCCACCTGTGCACACCCTGTACCTGAGGATCAACCAGCGAACCTGGTGGGCTGCCGTTGGTCAAGGCTGCGCGGAACAGCAGCGAGCGCTGTGCCCGCGTCTCTTGCGGTGGAGGAGTGGTGGATGCAGGTCGGCAGAGAGGAAGAATCAATGGATAAGGCGCGCAGCGAGGGTGAGGTGAGAGGAAGGGCGAGAGAGAAGCGTGCGTGCGTGGTGGTTGAGAAGAGGAAGCCGGGCACAGCGCGCAGAATGGGAAAAGCCGCCGCGCTCTCTCTCACGCACTCTTCGCCGTCGCTGGAAGCTTTGGGAGCTTGGGCGGGTGACGTACTGCGGCCGTTGGGCGAGTTAAACCAGCCAAACCACCGCGCCGCTAGCCGCTTCACCACCGTCAAATCAATCGCTACTTGTCTCTGCACGCCCAGAACGCGCGCGCTGCCTTCACCAACATTCACTTGCACATGACTCGGGCTCGCAATATCAACACGCTACTCCCTACTCGCCGACTGCCCACCTCGCCTATCCTGCCCTTCCCTCTGCGCGCGACCAGGATGTCCACGGGCGTGTCGCTGGCCAAGACAGTCCGCCGTCGATCTCCTGTTCCGATATGCCGAGTGCAGCAGCCGTCCATCTCGATATGCCTTGTGTCTGCATACACGTTATGTCGCTGTCGGCAGCTGTCCGAGCGACTCAACAACGCGGGTGGCAAGCATAAATCTTCTCATCATATGATTATAAGCTCGCCCTCATCTCGTAAGCTCAAATCTTTTCAATTCGTGTGCGCGTTGTCGGCGGTACGACTCGAACTCTGCCATGCCCGTTCTGCCCTAATCGAGCAAGACCGCTAAAGCGACTCTCGGACCAGCGCCCTCACGTTCAGCACGTCGGCATGATTCCGCCTGCGCTCTCACATCACCGCCGACAGGGACACCATAGCCTAATCACCATCAGCTTGCCTATTCAGCGCTTCCTTGCTTGACCCCGTCCGATTCGCCATCGCTGACGTCGCGCCTCACAAGGCACTCACTCGCCACGGCTCAAGTCTGGCTGATGATGTCTCGCCGTCCTCCTGTCTGACCTCATTACTCACCCCCAGTGTCTCGCCTTGCGCTGGAACGTAGCGTTGCGAGGTGAAAAAATCTCAGCGCAAAGGAATAGGTAAGAAAAAACTTCGGCCCGGGCTCATCGATATGTCATGGAGTCCAGCTGCAGGTCACATCGTGTGCTGTGGCGGGTGGTAGTCCGGACATGCCAACGCCGCAGCCGCAGTAGTGTTTCACAATTCGCCGGCCGTGCGCTGTGCTTGATCGTTTACCACGTCCCCAAGCCTTGCCATAGCGCTCGATTCGGCAGCCCACTGCCTAATTGCGTGCAGCCTGCGTCGTCGACCCTCGTCGAGCAGATCCTCCATCGTCCAACGGGGACAGCATCACCCACCGCCGCGTCGCCACATTGGACGCACCGTCGTACGACCAGGCCGGATAAAGTATCAACGCCAGATGCACAGCGTAGGAGCCGGTAGGAACCGCGGGAGGAGCACTGCTGAGTGGCCAGTAAAATCTCCTTGCTGCTCGGCCGGCAGCGTTCTGCCTCTCCACGCGCCTGCGCCCAGCAATCAAGCAAGCATCGTCAAAACAATAGTTTGTTAATGCCCATGTACCACCCTCCACCGCCCTGCGCCGCGCCCCTCTCACGCACGCAGGGCGACTCTCCACCTCGGGATCAGCAAAACAACCACACTCAGATTCAAGGAATGATGGACGACGAGACCTGTTAGAACGGCGATTACGAATGACGAATTCTTCGGGGTTAGAGTTCGAGACTGTACTTTCACATGTCTTGAGAGAACCCGTGGGACCATCGCGAACCACATCATACGGCCACATTGCGGATCCGAGCGACACGACAGCAAGCACGCAACGCGTATCTGTTTTTCCAACTACTTCTCCTAACAATTATTATTAGTCTTGTCTATCGAAACGAGATGTCAAGTTCTTTTCGAATGGCGAGACACTTGTCAGGGATGACATGAATGGCTCGGCACTTCATCACGCCACGTTTTCACCGGTCACGACAACGAGCGGCAAGAAGCGCGCAATGCAGGATATCTTGCCATTGCTGAGTATTATCGCCATGAGGCAGACATCGAGCTCATGGATGTTCAAGCTTGCCCCGGTGAGTCCATCACCCCTTCTGCCCCCAAACATACCCCTTCTCAATCCCATCCTCGCCCTTCTGCATCCCCTGCAGATTCACACTCAACTCAGGCTTCTTCGCAATCGTCTGCAACACCACACAATACCTCTCCGTCAACTTGCCCAACTTCTCCACCTTCTCTTCAGGAACCTCCGCCCCCTCCATGAACTTCAAATCAAAGGACAACCTGATATCCTTGAACCCCACCGGCGCGCTTTTATCAACCCCCATAGTCCCCTTGAAATCCAAGTCGCCTTCTGCGCGAACAGTGCCGGACTTGATGGGGATTTCCATGGCGGTCGCGACGGCTTTGAGGGTTACGCCGGCGCAGGCGACGAGCGCTTCAAGGAGGAGGTCGCCTGAGCAGAGTTCGCCAGAGATTTCTGGATCGTCGCCGCCGGATTTCTGGTGTAGACCCGCGATTTTCTGCTGTGCTTCCGCCATCTGCTTGCCAGTGTCGAGCTTGCAGGTTACGGACGAGGAATCAAGACTACCAGAAGCCTTGAGAGTGACGACGGCGGAGGTAGGGTCATCTTTGTATTGTTGCTTGAGAGGTGCTTGTTTCTCGCGGAGGGTTTGCACGACCATGGTTCGTATCTGATCTTTCTCTCTATGTTTTTTCCTGTATGCCTTCTCTCTTCCGAACGACGGTCTGTCTATGCTCCACAAGACGCAAGAATACGTCCCTCTCCAGGTCTATAACATGGGTACCGGCATGAGAACAAGACATTCATTTCTCCGTTTACCCCGCTCGTCCCCATTACCCCTCCATGGTACTGGAGACATCAAGGATTGATCCATACCACCGAGCGCGTGAGCGGGCGTACCTGCATGTTCGCTCGCACCAGTCAGCTGGGAGGAGAGGAGTGTGCTGGCAAGTTGGCGAGAAGAGACGAGGAACAACGAGTTGCACCAGCACGTGAGCGCGCCTTTGACTTGGAACATGGACACGAACGACACGACTCCCACGCGACTTTCGTCGGCATCGTGGGTTTGGCGTGGACGACCTCAAATGGATTACTCGATTGGGAAGTCCGAAAGACCTTCAACAGCACACGAGGTAGGAAGCACTTTGCCCCTCCTGCTGATAGCTTCTCCACAACAACCACCGCCCGCAAGAAAAAGGGTACGTATAAACAGGTGGTCTGGTCTGGCTTGCAGTAAGTGGAAGGCCTAGATGACGGCGGCGACCTCAACGAGACACTTTTCCTTCTTATTCTGCTCCTCGCATAATTAACCCTCTCTCCCTCTCGTCCCTCCCCAAAAGAGCTCCCCAAAAAACCCCTCCTCCACCACACAACAACAATAATGGCCGTCGTCGTCGAACAAACCCTCCCCTTCAACACCAAATCCCTCGACCTCACCTCCTCCACCCGCTGGAACACCCTCTTCCCCCTGCTCCGCCCCACGGTAAAACCCATCCAAACCTCCAAGAACCAAACCCTCCTCGTCGACACCTCGAAAGCCTCCTCCAAAAATCTCCACATCATCGCCATTGGCTCCGCGGGAAACTTTTCTTCCAAACTCCTCGACGACAGGCACGTCACGGCCATCGTTAGTGAACCATCAGGTGGAGCGGGCATCCTCACTGCACAAGATATCCCGCATGCTTTGCAGTCTGCGGGCGTGGATGTCGGTGCTGGGATTGTGGTGGTGAGATGTGGGAAGGAGAGGAAGCTGGAGGTTCACGAGCCGGGGGTCATTGAAGTCACAGCCAACGGTGAGCTGGAGACGGATCATCTGCTACACCTGCTAGGGAATGCCACGCCAGGTACGAAAGCGAATCCGCACCAGACGGCGGAGCTGGTGAAGTCTTTTGTGAAGGGTACGACCTCGACGCATTCGAAGTTTCACACGGAGAAGGCGGATGGGAATCCTGCTGTATTGCATGCTGAGGGGCCGAGTGCGTTTAAGGGGTGTAGGGAGGCTGTGGAGAAAGATCTGAAGGTTGTTCTGAAGGCTCATTCGGGGCAAGAAGGGGACGTGGTATATTCGGTGCATTTTGGGGATGTCAACGGGTTGAGTCGGTTGGAGAACTATATCATTGTGGGGGAGATTGCAAAATTCTTGGGTACGTTCATCTCACTCACTTTCGTCTTCCTCAGGAAAGGAGGCTCCCAACTAACGAATGCATTCGCAGACGCCCAAAACCTCCCCTACGCCCTCTCCCACAGCACCATCCTCAACCATACCTCCCTCGCCCGCGGCTTCTCCATCTCCATAGCTCCGGTCCCAACGTCGTACCTCTCCGCCTCGCCCAAACCAAAACCCCACACAGCCTCCACAGCCTCCCTCTTAGATACCACCAAGACCCTCAGCCCCACAACCTCCAAAATCCCATACTCCGACGCCGAAGTCCGCAAACGCATCGAAGCAGGCTGCAACGCCGTCATCAAAGAAGAGCCCACCATCACCGAATACGACACCATCGTCGGCGACGGTGACTGCGGCTACACCCTGCGGGACGGCGCCAAAAAAGTCCTAGACTTCATCAAGGACAAAGACTTAACGCACCTCCCCCAAGTCGTGGCGTCCCTCGTCTCCGAACTCGAAGTCAACATGGGCGGCACCTCCGGCGCGCTGTACTGCATCTACCTCACCGCACTGTCCAACGCCCTCGCGACGCAGAGTTCCGTGCCGGCGGCGTTGAAGGCCGCGCTGGAGCAGCTTTGCAAGTATACGAGGGCGCGGGTGGGCGATCGGACGATGATGGATGCGTTGATTCCTTTTGTGGAGAGTTTGGAGGGGAGTGGGGATGCTGGGGCCGCGTTGGAGAAGGCGGAACAGGGGGTCGAGGGCACGAAGAAGATGGAGGCGAAGTTGGGTAGGAGTACGTATTTGGATGAGAGTGCGACGAGGGGCGTGCCGGATCCCGGGGCTTATGGGTTGTTGGTGCTGTTTAGGGGGATGAGTTTGGTGTGAGGGGGTTTGTTGTAGCGTTTTGGTATGGTCTGTTTATACATGGCATGTCATCGTCATTCATAAATCCAAGTGTCCGTTCACCCACCTTACACCTCCCCTCTCGCCTTTCGGTCTCGTGAGTTCCCTCCTCACAATCGCCGCATCGGCCTTGTTCTCATCCAGGAACCTCAGCACCTTACCCTCACGCACTTTACACGCTCCAAAGGTGACCTTTTCAAGCCCACTCAACTCAAGCAAACAAGCGACTCCATCCAAGAGCCACAGCGGCGAACCCGGCAGGACAAGCACGGGTCTTTGCAATCGAATCGTAATCACCCTCAGTTTCGGACACGCCGCCAACAACGCAAAAGCAATCGCATCCTCCCTCTGTCCACACGTCACATCCACAGCCCTCAGCAACCGTCGTCCATGTTCCCCGATGTGACGCAGGAAGAGGTAGAGCAGTTTCGTCGACTCAAACCTATACGTCGTATTACTAAACAGAATATCGAGAGCTTCCTCATGGACCGCGCGACAGGTACTGAGAAGATTAATCTTGGTCATATCGCGAGGCCCAGTTTTCATGAAGCCCATCTCGGTGACGATGCGGATGGATTGTTTGGAGAGGGTGGTGATGGGGGTTGTGCGGTCCATGGTGGGCATGATTTGGGAGTAGATCTCGAGGCGGAGTTCGGTGGGGAGGGAGAAGAGGGAGCTCGTTTGAGGCTCTCGTTGTTCACCAGTCTGAGTCCTTGGCTGGGGTTTCGATCGCCTTTCCCACATACTTCGAATCGCGTTCAGACTCATCCCGCCCCCACGTAAGTCGGATTCAATCGATTGGGCGTCGATCGGCATTCGGTTCTGCAGGAAAGTACAAGCTGCATGATGGAGTTTGAGGCCTTGGTAGCAGGAGTCGTGGTTTTGGGTGAAGAGGGAGGATTGGAGTGCCGAGACGGAGTCTTCGCGTTTGACGAACTTGTTGCAGATTATGCAGTGGGAGCCTTCTTCGAGCGCTTCGAGGGGTGGGCGGTCGCACACGTGGCCGGTGGCTGCTAGTTGGCGGGTTGTGGGTTCGAGGGAGTTGGGCCAGAAGCCGGAGAAGGTGGAGAGGCGGTCGATGTAGCTGAGGGTTGGGATGGTGGTGATGGTCATAGTTGTTGAGCTATTCATGGAGTACATCACCGTGTGTGTGAGGAGTTCATGGCTGACTGCTGGCGCCTCTCGAGGCTGATGGGCATTATATGCCTGTTGGCGTTGTTGTTGCCTCAGTAAGAAGTGGTGGAGTACATGTAGATATAGCATCCGTAGCTCGGGACGAGCCGCGCACCGGCAAAAGCTTCCTTAGTCTACTCTAAAGAAATTCCTTGGATTCGCAACTGAGCTTCTTCACACGACCAACACCGGCACCATGCCTTCCACATACAAGAAGGAGAAGCCGTGGGACACCGACGACATCGACAAGTGGAAAGAGGAACAGTTCACAGCAGACCAGAACCTCGGCGGCACGTTCAGCGAAGAATCCAGCTTCGCGACTCTCTTCCCCAAATACCGCGAAGCATACCTCAAAGCATCATGGCCCTTGATCACCCGCGCCCTCGAAAAGCAAGGCATCGCATGTACGCTCGACTTGGTGGAGGGTAGCATGACGGTCAAGACCACGCGAAAGACATACGACCCAGCCGCGATATTGAACGCACGAGATTTGATCAAGTTGCTGGCGAGAAGTGTGCCTGCGCCTCAGGCGATCAAGATCTTGGAAGATGGCATGGCTTGCGATGTGATAAAGGTCAGGGGTATGGTGCGGAATAAGGATCGCTTCGTCAAGAGACGGCAGAGGATACTGGGTCCGAATGGCAGCACACTAAAGGCGCTCGAACTGCTCACGCAGACGTATATCCTCGTGCAGGGCAACACCGTCTCGGTCATGGGCAGTTATAAGAGTTTGAAGGAAGTGCGAAGAGTTGTCGAAGACTGCATGGCCAACATCCACCCCATCTACCACATCAAAGAACTCATGATCAAGCGCGAACTCGCCAAAGACCCGGAACTCAAAAACGAGAACTGGGACCGCTTCCTCCCGCATTTCAAGAAGCGTAACCTTTCCAAACGCCACAAGCCTTTCAACGTCACGGACAAGAGCAAGAGGGTCTACACGCCATTCCCGCCGCCGCAGGAGAAGAGCAAGGTGGATCTGCAGATCGAGAGCGGAGAGTACTTCCTCAACAACGCTGCCAAGGAGAGGGCGAAGAAGGAGAAACGGGAGGATGCGATGAAGGAGAACATCGAGGAGAAGAAGAGAAAGAGGGAGGAAGCCTTCGAGGCGCCGAAGGAGGATGGGGAGACAAAAAAGAAAAAGAAGAAGAGGAAGAGTAAAGATGGTGAGAAGAAGGAGAAGAAAGAAAAGAAGAGGCGGAAGAGCGAGGATGTTGAGATGGGGGACTAAGATGTGGTATGCACTTGTCGTGCGCAGTGTACAAATGATCTTAGCAAGGCGTCGGGCGTAAATCATGATACCAGGACTGGACTCTGCAACCAGTCTTCAATATCCGCGTATCCTTCTCTTCCAGGCCGGGGTTGTCTAACGATGAAGGTTCCCTCTATACAAATTCTGCATCACGCAAGACGTCTTTCAAATCCAGCTCGACTCTCCACATGCTGACCAACACTAGCTACAGCGAGCTGAACCTCGCCAAGATGTTGGGCTCAGTATAGAGTGTGCGGCTGCGTCAATCCATGCAGACCGAACCGCATGTGGCTTCAAACCCTCAAACGAGCGGCTCAATCAGGACACCCTCGACGTGACATCCCTGCCGCGCTTTATCTCTTGGCAATCAGCTGGACGGCTCGTCTGCCTCTCGCGTCGGTTCGGGCTCACTCCATATTGGGGGCCAACGTTACCACGCAAAGACTACGGAACAACCAGCGTTGAGACAGTGCACGATGCCGCGGAGAGCCGAGCCGATAATGTTCAAAAAATATAAACAATTCGATTGTCAGTCAGAGTCTAGAAGTACGTACCCTAGACCTCCGACCTGCATACTACCTGCAAGCGCGGCAGTAACACTTGGCAGCCTTGTTGCGGACATCCTGCGTAGGCCATACCACAGGGCGGGGCTGCAGTTCGAGGCGCTCAAAAGCCTAGCCTTTCTCTCTTCCCGCAATGCCTTTCCATCCTGATCCGCAGTCATCATGATCATTCCTATCAACGTGACCTATGCTTCGAGCTATTACACCGCGCAATCATATTATGTGTGGGACCAACTCATGACTAGCAGCGGAAGATGGGGCTCATATGATGCCGTCTTGTTCAGCGAGGGGTGCGATGTGAATGGGAAGACAGACTGCCGTGTGGCGTGCGAGGATCTGCAGTCGGTGTGGAATACGGCTGGCTCGATCTTCACGTTGCACAATTGCATGGTATGGATTTCAGATTTCACGAGTTCGCAGCGGTCTCTTTGCTCACATCTTCACATCAGATGTATCCTCTCATAATCGAAATGTACAACGCAGACAATTTGACATCCGAATCAATAGATGTCGCCGCACGGTTCAACATCGTTCCCACAGATGTCTCTGAAAAGGCCAACAATATGGAGACCATCGCCACTTGCGTCACGGACTTCTGTAATACTGCCAACGCGAAGAACACGCCGGGTTGCTTTCCCCCTTGGTCTACACCGCCGTTTTACACGGACTTCTGGGGACACAATTGCACGGGACAGGAGAATGATAAGATATGGGATGGGTGTAGACCGGATTATGAATTGGTGCTGCAGCCTTCCCTTCGAGAATTCCAGAGATCATGCTGATGGTCATTAGAAATACAACCCTTACATCTGCACTGATGTCGCGAGGTCTCTAGGCGTGAACTTGGACATATCTGGAATTGGAGTATGAACTGATCCTGTTTCACGATGGCTGGAAAGCGGTGACTGACTGGCTGCGACCGTCTAGATGCTCGTAGCTTACATCGTGCAAGTCGCCGTCGTCCTGCTAACTTGCATTCTTTGGCACTGCCTACAGGACTGGGCGAAACTCGTCGTGTTCATCCACACGAAGCTCTGGAGACGATCTGAGGATCCTTGGATCTCAGCAGAGAAGTCACAGGCCAAGCTCAAGAAGACCAAGCTGTACGCTTCGTTCGTCAAAGCCTTGGCGGAATTCCAAAAAGCCCAGGTCTTCTTCCTCGCGGCTGTCCTCGTCGCTGCACTAATTGCCTGGTTCCATCCAACAGTCTTGTCCAATGATCCTGATCAGCAGCTGGATAAGCACGATCAACAACGAGCGACAGCGACTCTGAGCAAGAACCTGAACATGTTCATCGACCTGGCGTACGCCGGTTCCTTTCCAGTCGTGCTTGGGTTGCTGACGCTCAGGAACGCCGGCAAGAGGGATACGTACACTCTCGTCATCTCCACGTTTCCGCTCATCCTGGCAGTCATCCTGCTGATATCGACAGCAGATCAAATGGATGCGGAAGATCAGGTTGCTGTCGCACCGAGCGGCGGGCCGGACTCTTGTGCTGGCGTCAAGCCGACGGATTACTGCTTCCCGAGTACGTACACCCCGGGGATGCTGGCGAAGATAGGTGGATGGCCCATCATCGTCTGCTTCGTGGTCTTCCTGTGTATCCTGCTGGAAAGACTCAAACTGTTCAAAGACCACAACAAGCCACCTGCACCCCAACGCATCTCGAGAAAACCAGACAATGCAGTTGCCAGGCTCTGGAGACGAATCAAAGACGGCTCTGTGCACAGACAAAACCCCTTTGAGGCTTTACGGGACTGGACGCTTCGACGGCAGCGACTCTGGGTACGCTATGAAAGGTTTGTTCAAGACAGCCGCTGGCTGCGATGGACTCCCGTCCTTTATGTCGATACCGCGGAGAGCCTTATCCACACGATTGGTAAGGTCATCGTTTTAGCCGCAGAGATCACCCTTGGCGCCTTCAACGTCGTGCTCCTCCACGAGTACGCCCGCATCATCCGACCGAAAGAGTACCGCGTCTCCGACTTTCAGCTCTGGACGCTAGGCCAGGTCATCGCGGTCACGGTCTGGTTTCCAGTTCTGGTGGAGTTCATCTGGGACTGCTACGGTAAGTCGCATATCTCTCCGAAGACTGCCAGCCCATTTTAGCAGATGCAGCTAACCGACGCCTCGCTTTGCGATGACAGACGGCATCGCTAAAACTCTCGAAAGCCGTATCCTTCCCGACACATATCGCGTCGTTAGTATCGATCCGCAGACGGCGCTACCAAAGGACGACACGGCTTCGACCGTTCACTTGAATCCGCTCCCGCCGATTACGCCTTACGAACCACTGCAAGCTGACCCTCTTCAGCCATAGAAGCAAGGCCCAACAGATGATCCTCAGGTGTTGCTTGTAGTTATTCGCGGAGGTTTCCGCTTCAAGCCAGAGTTGCCCTTTTCGGCTGGCTTTGCGCATGTCGCCCGCTCAGCCTGATATATAGCATCGCGCTCATCAATTTCTGGCAGAGGAGACAGCAGACGACGAGCCAGACGAATCCCATCATTCGAAAACGGTCGACGAACAACACCACCACCGGGCGAAAAATCAAACACCGACAAGATCCAACGAGAAAAAAATTCCAAGATGTGTATCACCGGTGCCTTCTACCTCTTCCGCAAATCCCGACAGAATAAACAGGGTCAGGACACTGGAGAACCGCCGGCGAGAGATAGGTACTATACCCCGAGGGAGGGTCAGAATGGAGGGAGTGCTCAGGCGCCGCCGGGTTATGGTAGTGGAGGGAGGGTTGAGCAGACTGGGTATGGCAATGGTGGGAGTGCGCCGAGAGCTGGTGGATGGTGATTGTTTGGTATGTCTTGCAATGGGTGATTTGCTCGGTGGAGTTGCTAATGAGATGTCAGACAAGGCGTGTGGTTGATGGCTCAGGAGAGGACTTACTGTTCTGTTCGTTCGAAGCGTCGCGGATGTAAGAGGCGGGGAGTTGCTGGATTCGATGTATTACGATAAAGCTCGGATTATGTTACAAATTGAACAGCTGCTACAGAGTACTTCAACGACTTCGGTGAATGGTGTGAAAGCCATGGTAAGTAAGATCAACACGCTCTCGCTCATTGAATTGGCCCCCACAGCAGGCACAATCAGGCGTCCAGCGTCCGACTCGAGGTCTCGATAACAGGGAGTTGGAAGCCAGTATTGTTCCAACTGGCTCGGCCCCTGGAAGAAGCTTTCGTGGGAGATGCATATGGATACGTGCCTGTCTCTTGTCCAGTTCTGCTTTCTAACACGGCGTGAGCTGAGACCATCATTGGGGATTGCTTACCAAGCCACAGTCACGGGCCCCGAATCTTGACTCCAGAAGAACTGGAGGACATGCATTAGCAACCACAAGCGCGATCGCTCTGGAAAGTTAAGAGAACATAGCGACTTGGCAGCTGAGTCTGGACGGTAAAGTCAGCAATTGCGTGACACCTGTTGCCATGCTCAGCTAGCCTCGAGGTTTGAGCTGAAGACAAGCGCGCAGGTACCGGCAATAAGTACATGTCAATCGACTGATACCACGCCTGCATCCGCGCACCGAGCACGAGCATGGACGCACGATTCACAACTGCCAGAGGTGAAGTTGGAGGAAAGATTATTAAGGACGCCAGCCATGTGTTTCAAATCGTCCTCAGCTCCACGCTGCTAGCCTCGAGGGAGTTTGGTGGCGCTTCCGCAGATCTACTCTGGGCCAATCTGCACAACGTGGCCCCCAAAACCATGTGTCCATCCTGTGTCCTCTTTCGGCTACTTCAAAAGACACGGGCCGTTTATACAGCAGAACCGGTCCTTACTATTGGCCTCTTTCGTCAGGATCTTTTGACCGGTTTGAAGAGATGAGTCTAGCAGCTGACTGATAAACGCAGAGTCTCCATTGAACGCTTAGCACAGCAGACACCCTGTTGCCCTTTCCTACCGCCATGCATGAATGGTAGGAACCAGAACTCGTTAGCCCGGCACGCCTGCCGCACGCGACGTGTTGGTCGTTGGGAGTTCGGCCAATGAATGCGGTGCCCATGCAGCCTCATGTGCTGAAGATTAGTATGCGGCTCTAATCATCCCTAGTCCAGGCTGTTGGGCTTGGACCAGGAGATCTACGCTGCAAGGCGTTGGAGTCTAATATGGACCCAAAGGCGCTGTCGGCGGTAGGGCGACGAGGCGACGCATATATTCCCGAGGAGAGACGCTCTCGGGAGTTGAGCTCGAGATCGTCGTCTTTCTTTAACGTTGTGCTGGGCCTGTCATGGCGGTCGCCATTGTCAACTCGACGCTCTACGCAAGCTCGGGCTTGTTCTACGACTGGACGGATGCGGTGAACGATAGCTTGTACCAGTTCGAGAAGAACACAATCGCTCTGTACCAATTGGGATGTCTGGCGGACGATGACTGGGACGGGGACGGCGATGGCGGATGGGACTGCTTCTCTGCTTGCCAGAATGCAACAAAGCTATGGAATTCCACGTACAGCGGATACACATTGCACAACTGCATGGTCAGTGGCATCGCTAATTGCTTGATCGACGATACTGACGTGATCCAGGTCTACCCTATCGTCGCTCAGATGTGGAATGACGGAAACCTGACCGCGGAAGGCATCGACATCGCAAAGTACTACGGCATTCGTAACGACACCGATACCCCCATGTATACTGGCTCTCCTGGTATCCAAGACTGCTTCAATGACTACTGCGTACGTTTCGAGAGCGAGGACGAATGGTGCAAGTCTCCGAATGGCACATACGATATAGGCGAGAATTGGTGGCAATTGGTATGCGACTCACTACCTCCCTGATGAGGTCGGCAAAGGGCTGACAGCTGACAGGACTTCCCAACGAACATGTGCGATGGTCTTGATGCTCAGATCAACGGCGATGTCATGGGTATAGGGGTAAGTCTGGAGCAAGATGACGAGAGCGTGGTCAGAAACGCTGACAGGGGGACAAGGTCGCCATCTCGCTGCTCATGCAAGTAGCTATCCTTACATTATCGTGGCTACTGTTCCATTGCACACGAGACTGGATCAAGTATCTCACATGGCCCTGCTTTCGACGGAAAGACTCCATAACCCCAGAACGATTGCAGGCGGCTCTTAAGAACAGCAAGCCTTCTAAGGCTCTCGTGGAGTGGGAAGGTTTGGCCGAGTTTCAAGATACACAGGTTTGGTCAGTCTATACACCTACTGTCCTGCTTGGAGGCATTCACCCGCTGATACCATGACAGGTTGATGATCGCCGTGCAGATCGCGTGTCTTGTCGCTTTGAAGCGTCCTGAGGCGTTCGAAGCGGAATCGTGGCAGCAGTACAGGAACAACGTACGACCTCAAGTTCTTGACCCTTCGAGATACATGACTAACAGTGTGTATAGGTTGGCGTCATCTATGACTTGGCCTTCGGAGGCTGCCTCCCAGTCCTGCTCACCCTCGTACTACTCCGCCAAGCGAACCAGTCCGACTGGCTTGTCCTACTCACCACTGCTTGCTCCGTATCTCTGGCCGCAGCAGCTTGGATGATTACCTGGCAATCCTCCTTCCGCGGCTTCGAGCCCGCTGCGATCGAACACAAAGGTCCTGCAACGTGTGGCCAGCTCAAACCAACAGCCTTGTGCTTCCCCAACGACTGGTTCGCCAAGAGCTCCGTCGTCGGTTCATACAAAGGTCTCGCCGTATTGATCTTCTGCTGGGTCCTCCTCCTCTACCTCATCATCGAGAACTTCCGCGTCTTCAAGCAGCGCCCCGGCCGAGAAAACCGTACCTGGAAGCGAAACATCCTCGAAGTGCACAAGTCTTGGATCGCGCACACGAGCAGAGCGCGTTCGTTCGGCTTGGAGTCCCAATCATCGATTGTGCGTCGTACGTCGCAGCTTGCGTACAGCAATCAGTTCTGGCATGCGTTGTCCAAGTTCATCCTCCTCGCCGCGGAGGTTGCGCTGCTGGCACTTACGCTTCGCATGCTGAAAGACTATTCCAACGTCTTCGACAATGAAAACTTCGTTGTGTTGGACAAGAAGTCTTGGTCGTTAGGTCAGGTCATTGCTGTCACCGCGTTTGTGCCGCCGGTGGTCAGGTTCATCTGGTACTGTATCTGTAAGTTGAATTCCCTTGATGGTGTTTTCTTTTTACATATTAATGGGTCCTGCAGTTGGCAAGAAAGAAGAGGATGGACGAGAGGACCGATCACCTGAGTACAACCGTGCTTCGAGATCAGACTCCGACCCGAAGATGAACAACTCGCCAGAGATTACGGAGTTCCCTGAGCACCCCGGGGGCGACATCAGCTACCGGGCCTAATGTCACTTACGATGGATGTGGTAATGTTGGTTGATCTGATCATGGTGCACGGTTGCTCAGCCTGGTCTCGGAAGGCTGAGCACTACGTCTGAGTAGAGTGTTGTGAATCGTTGATAAGATGTTGAAGCGTCTCGTTTAGACACGAATGATATACCGTAGATCGCACAAGCAATTGTTCGGCAAATGGTCCTTCGGCATCTCCATGAGCCTTCCCGAATCACAGGCCGAACAATCTCCCAATTCGGCTGGGATCGGCCACGCCTTTCTTTCTCAAGTCATGCTTTCCCGACTGTTCATGCACGGTAACCCGACTGGACTTGTTTACAAGCAATCCGTTGTGAACACCGCCTTAGTGTCGGGGTCGGTGAGTGCTTCATGCCGTGGGTTTGCTCCAGCATCATCACTAAGTCGATGACAAACTATGGGCATCCACCATTTCGGGAGATTCATGCCGGGGAACACGCGGGGAGGACATATTTGGAGCCTGAAGGATTCAACTTTCGACGTAACTCTATCAACATCATTGCATGGATGTTCAGCTGGAAGAAAAGCAAAGCCAACGTGTGGCCCAGCATGCCCATCCGTCGTCTCATGTCGACTTGAGCGCTCTTCGTCGCTCATCCTGTTCTACCGGGCGACATCAACCTCACGATGCCGTGGGATATCTACAGCGCGGAGTCAAGTCCCGAGTTTGGCGTCCAGTATGACTGGAGCAACGGCATTAGCGACCTTTTCTACAACATCACTCTTTACAAATGGGGTTGCGAGTACGGCGAGACCAACAACTGTACCAAGGCATGTCTAGATCCGCAGAAGCTATGGAGCGACGAGGACTCAGCCTACACGCTACACAACTGCAATGTAAGCGGCCTAGTGGAAAGATGGTTGAGACTTGGTAATGACCTGTGAATTAGGCATACTCGGTCGTAGCCCAACTCTGGCACGCAGGCAATCTGACGGAGAAGGGAATCGAAATCGCCACATCCTTTGGCATCTCCAACGACTCTTCGTCGCAGCTCTTCTCCGGGCCTGCTGGTATCACCTCTTGCATCGACGCCTATTGTGACATCACCGCAAAAGGCGCGAAGTTCTGCAATGGGACGGGAGAAAGACCGTTCCTGACTTATTTCAATATTACGAACACCACCTTCCAGGATTTCTACTTTGTGCGTGTGCTGGGAAATTACATTGGTGCACATTGAGACTGATGTTCTGAAGAACTATAATCCGAACTTGTGCAATGGCTTGAATGCAGAGGTAAATCCCGATATTGGAGGTGAGTCAGCCTGATGATAATAACGCTTCCATCACTAATCATCATGAGCAGGCATTGGAGTGAGTTATATCGTGCATTCAATTCACTCTTCACAAGACACTTAAATCATACAGGTCTTCACCTCGTACATTATGCAAGTTGGTATCGTTGCCATCACCTGGGTCCTCTTCCACATTGGACACGATTGGACCTTCTACACGGCATGGGTTTTCGCCAGAGTCAAGAAGAATAACGAGAAGCCACTTGAGATTGCCAAGCACGCGCAGGAGAAAGTCAAAGACATGAAGATGTTTCAAGCTCTCAGCCGAGCTATCACTGAGTTCCAGAAGGCTCAGGTGTGGTTTATGCTGGCTGTTCAGGCAAGCCATGTCGCACGAGAAGCGTCTTTGCGGTCTTGCTGACTTCAGATGAATTTTAGATTGCAGCTCTCATTGCGCTCAACAATCAAGAATACTTCGAAGCGTCGACCTGGCAACAGCAGCGGAACAATGTAGGTTTCTCTCCTTCTTCAGTCAAATGTCTGCTGACAGTCCTTGTCAAGCTCGGTATCTTCTACGACCTAGCGCTCGGAGGCTGCCTTCCCGTCCTTCTCATCGAGCTCATCCTTCGTGAGGCCCATAAGCTCGAGGGCTACATCTTGATCATCTCGGTCTGCTGCGTAGCTCTCTCTGCAAGCACTTGGATCGTCACTTCGAACGTACTTAATGGATATTCACCGGAAGATCTGACGCATAACGGACCTTCAGCATGTGCTGGACTAGTGCCAACTGCAGTCTGCTACGCAGACGATTGGTTCTACAAGAGCTCTGCCGCTTCTGAAGGCACGGGTGTTGCGATTGTAATCTTCAGCCTCCTCGTACAGGCATGCATCATTCTCGATAAACTGAGAGTGTTCAGCCATGGTAATCATGGGTCAAGGAGAAATTCGTTCGAGCTGGTTAGGGACAAGGTCTTCGGTGGAGCGGAGAGCCAGGGCAAGACGCAGACCTTGGAAGCATCCCGCAACCGCCTGACAAGACTGCGCTCGTCGAACTCTCGCAAGACTGCTCATATTGTTGGCAAGCTCATCATCGTTGCGGCAGAGATCGCTCTTCTCTGTCTGACGCTGCGCCAACTGAAAGATTATGCGCGGATCTTTGGTGCGGGAAAGGTCGATGACTATGTTGCCGTCAACAAGACGTCGTGGAAACTGGGACAGATCATTGTAAGTCCTGCCAGCGTGTTCGATGAACAAGTTGCTAATCTCACTCTAGGCGGTAGCCGTATTCGTGCCTCCCGTCGTCGAATATATCTGGGATTGCTACCGTAACTTTCCTCTGTCCTCGTTATACCAAAACTTGAGCTAACTGTTGAATAGGAGGCATTGCGAAGACTGTCCAGAAACGGATGCTGCCGGAAAACATGGCAATCGTTCGAAGGCAGAATGCAAATCCGAGCGTGAGAACTGCGACTGGACGACAGGCTTCAGATCCTCTCGATACGTCCAAGTCGCATGTGTCTTTACGTTCTCTCACGAGCGCACATGTCTACCAGCCGCTGTCTCAGAATCAACAGCCATAGCAATGAGATGGCTGCTGGAGAAATGTGCCTGAAATGTCTCTTGATGTTTGTCATATCATACTAATATCTGCTAAGAACGCTTCACTCAATGTGCTCGGCCTCGAACTCCTCGCTGAAGTGCTTAACGGTATACATTGTTCCCTCACACTCTAGATTCTCGCCTCCTCATCGCTGCTGCTCTCTGAAGCAAGCTTCTCAGCCAGGTCTTGACTCTCCTTGGGGAAACACCATCCTGGATGCCAGATATTCAGCACAATAGTCGCAATCGCGCAAGTCACACTGTCCAGCCCGATGAAAAGCCCCTGATTCCTCAAGATCTCGTTGTCATCGCTCCATCCCTTGGCCAGCTCTGCTAAGCGATACGCGCATCGGATCAAGATGGCAAAGTATGACACCCATAACGCCACAATGAAGAGCTTGAAGCGGCGGGAGTTGCGCAGGCTCGCGGTCTCAGGGTTCAGACTGTTGCGGTTTCGCAGAATGGCAAATCCATAATCGGCTGCGAATATCCCGAAGACAACCATGGTGAACACTTGGAAGGCGAGGCCAGCAATCATGATGTTGTCGCCGATCTTTAGAACTGCCTGGTCTTCGGATGCTGATGCCGTGGCCCCACCCGCGGCTTGCAGAATGATGCTGAAGACGTCGCATGAGATGAAGATCCACGTGTACCATGAGGGACGGAGTCTGCTGAAGCTGGAGCCGAATGTTAGGCAGATGTGCTACGAACGATCAGTATATCAACCAGGCATAAATTTGCGGCAATGGCCTTACCTTCAAAGTGTAGTAAACTCCAGCAGAATAAAACGCCGGCGCGAACGTGAGGAGCACAACGCTCATCTTGAAGCCCGTGTCCGAGAAGGGGTCATCCCACAACAGCATTTTGGCGACATATCCAAGTGTTTCGCTGAAGCATCCCAGGAACATGGCGACGCTGAAGAACCATGTCTTGCTCTTGATGCCTTGGAAGATGTACACAATGCCGGAGAGAGCGAAGATGATCAGGGAGATGGCTGTTGCGGCAAGGCTGGGTCGGTAGCCGTAGATAGATCTTGAGGGATCGCATGTTGCTTCTGTGCAACCTTGGTTTGGATCCAGTCTAGGGAGTAGGAGGTGTAGGGCGTCCATTGTGGGGGTAGAAACAACGGCGACTCGTTCGGAATGTTTGTTGCTGAATTGTCTTGACTGTGATCTTGTTGGAGTACTCAGTGCTTGGATGTGGACTGCCTGAGTGGCAAGCTCCCGCAATATATACTCTCAACAGAACGCACGAAACAATGAAACCAACCTACCTGCATTCCCTATCCACATCGCCAAAATATTCCGTCACCCATTGTCGGAGCCTTGGATCTGGGCATTGCCTCTGGTACAACCAATCAAAACCCATCAACGACGGCCGTTAGAACGGAGTGCCATGTGGGCTATGCAACCCACGCTCCTAAATCTAGCAGCACGATCTGGGACTTGTGCAGCAGAATCGTAGAATCGGTGCATCTATTTCGCAGTCAGCTTTGCTTTGGGAAAGGCGTGGTTTCTTTGTGTGAGCGTCATCGCCCAGCCACCGGCCGTAGCGATCCTTCGAGCACGTGAAATGGAGGCCCGAGCACTGGCCCCTATTCCTCTTTGAGCTGCTATCGCGACGTGCTTTGTTTTCGATGGACGAGCCAAGCAGGCATCATCATATCAACATCACCACTTTTCTTAGATCCTCGCTTAGATCCTCGCTTATATCCTCGCTTGTATACGGACGATATAGTCGCGAAAGATTAAGGTACAATCGATCGCAGTGTGGCAGACTTCGGCAGCACATCGTCCAGCAAAACAACCCACGAGGCAACCGGTGGTGGACGTAGTACTGGAGCGCTGGAAAATGCGGTCTGATGATCCAACTATCATGCACAGCTGGACACATGTTTTTGTCTAGAGAAGCGCTCACCAAAAAGGCAGTGCCGGATGAATAAAATGTAACGCCCATACCCCCGTGTTCACATGTGTCTTCGATCCTATTCAATCAAAAGGTACCGGCTCGCGACCGTCATGACCGTGGATTCTTCGCCTTCAACTTTTCCACGGGCGCCTGGACCTTGAAATCCATCAGCTTCTTCAAACTTCCCAAGAAGATACAAGCAATCACAGCGACCGCGCCGAACGGAGCGACGATTTCCCAGACAACACGAATCGAGTCGGCCATGGCCTGCTTGAATGCAGTCACTCCTGCCTCAGCAATAGCTGGCGTGATCCCCGGGACAGCCGCGAGAGCGGTTATGTTCTCAGTCGTCAAAGCTGCGATGAAGGAATCGACCGAACTGCTAGGAAGTCCTGCTTGAACTACGGCTTGGCCGACGTCTTGCGGTACGAGTGAAGACTCCTCGCTGTCCAGAGCGGCTGTAAGAGCAGCTGTGAAGACTGCGTCTGCGATTCCTCGAGCTGAGATAGCTACCGCTGTCGCTGTGCAGATCAAGTGATGCGGGACGGCTAATTGGACAGCGGAGATGATGAGCACAAGGGGTCCTCCAAATCCAATACCCGCTAGGCCAGAGAAGATCAGGGCGTTTGTAGAGTCGTCAGGCTCGATTGTTGCAAAGCCTACAATTCCTGCAGTGAAGAGGGTAAAGCCGAATGCCATTGGAATACGGAAAGACTTGAATCGAGAGCTGTAGAGTCCATAAAGACCGGTTACTATTCCATTTGCAATCCAGAATGGCTGGGCGCGAAGGACTTGTAGGAATGGATCGGTTTCGAAGAGAGTGGCGGTCCTGCAGATAATATGTCAGTGTTGGGTAGATGCAACCTTCAAAGGCCCGCCAACTTACATTATAGGGTAGAAGATCATGTACGCAAAGAGCAATGCGCCCTCCAAGAAGATCAGGAGAAGGCATATGGCAAAGGTTCGTCCTAGGCCTTCTCGACCCTCTCCGCCGCGGAAAAGCTCGTGGTTCAGGATGCCGGTCGATGTGCCCTTCCATTCATACAAGAGAAAGAAGCCAAGTATGACCAGGCCACTAACAAGCGTGCCTATGACCCGGCTATCGCTCCAGGGGTATTGGGTGCCTCCCATGGTAAGTCCAACAAGCGTGAGAACGAGGCCGGCCAGCAAGAGGAAGAACCCGATAAGATCTAGCTTTAGCAGCTTTTGCCACCACTTAAGGCTGTCGACTGAAGTGATTCTCTTCGGCGGCATGTATCCAAAAAGGAGTCCAATAACGGTAACACCCCAGAGAGCCATCTGGATCCAATAGAAGTCCCTCCAGCCGTCCAAGGTGTCTCCCTCTACCAAAGCGCCGATAATCAAGGGGCCCGCGATAGCGCCGAGAGCTGCAGCGATGTTCACAACACCCTGCACGATGGACCGCCATCTACGCGGCAAGATCTCAGCCGGGACGCTGTAAGCAAGAGGAGCACATGCGAAGCCAAAGCCGATTAACGTCTGAGCTGCGATAAGGCGGCCGATTTCCTGTGCTCCGGGGGCGATAGCGCAGCCGATGAAGGATAGCGTACAGCAGCTAACGAGGAGTATCTTTCGAGATGCGATCATCGGTCCAACGACTGCCTGCACGAGGGAGAGTGAGTTCGGGATCCAGGTCTCTGTGGTCTCTGCGTTGAGGTCTTTGCCGATGTAGGTCAACTGGCATAAAAGGTCAGTATATGATGCCTGCCGCGTTCCTTGTGCGTCGCATCGAGCTTACAACTGCTGGAGGGCCTTCCAAAGCGACCACCTGGACGAAGTTGAGCATGAACATCGCCACGCATGCTACGACGGTCCTCCAATGAAATTGGGGCTCTTCATCCGCGTTTTCGTATGTGAAGTTTCCTTTGCTGTAATCAAGGCTCTCGTTCGACTCCATTCCACTGTTGTCGCTTTCATTTTCTTTCGCCCCATCGGTGGGAGATTGTTTGAACTTTTGCAAGAAGGAAAACATTGTGAATGCTCAGGGCCGCTCTGACGATTGCTGGATGACCCATCTCAATGTGTCCACTTACTGAAAATATATATCATTCCCATGGTCGTCGTTCATGGCTCGAATGCTGTTAATGGAAGCCATGTCGATCGACCCAAAGCGGCAAGAGGAACGAGGAACGAAAGAACGAGGTGCACAACCTCAGGCCAGCTAAAGGGAACTTCGCCGGAATAGTCAGTGAGTCGCTCCAATCGCAAAATCCCCGAGGTATGATATAGACTTGCAGCCCAGCAAGCATACGTCAGTACTTTGTATACGTTGACTGCTGCAGTCGTAGGTTGGTTTTCGTGTCTGGTAGGAGCGTTCCATCCTTTCGATCATCTTTTGCGGAGGACTGTACCACAGTCGCTATGCCGCAGCAAGTATAGATTATGTGGGTTGGTACCACATGTGGGACATTCGTACTCCCAAGGTGACGAGTGCATCTTCGCGACGGAGAGGCGTGAATGGAAAAGTCTCTCCCCAGAAGTGAAGGGGCACGGTTCGAAAAGACACTGATTGTGCCTGGAATAGCATATCGGCTGAGAGAAGCCTGTGATGTGGAACAGGCGACGCTCTCCTTTCCTTCGAGAAGAATGGATTGTGTCAAGTAGACTCATAGCTGCAATATTCGCGTTTTTGATATATTCTGCAGGCCTCGTGGTCAGCAGTGAGATGATGTTGTCGCGAAGACTGCAAGGCTGTCAGTGAGACTCAGAATCGGACTTGACAAGGCCTATCATGTTGTCTTACGATGAGAATCTCGATGACGGCGAGTGAATACTGTTGTCTTTAGCCGAATAGAGACGGAGGATCTATCGCCGAGCTGTGATGAGAGTGTCTCTGAAAAAAGAATGACTGTGTGAACTTTTGCAATCTCACAGTGGCTATGCTCGAGTCACTGGCAAAATTCCGTGCTGTCCACACTAAAAGCCCCCCAACTTGTGTGTTTGAGATGTGACTGTGTACAACAGCCCACGGCAAATGCACGCGGTCGGTTTCTGAGGGTGGAGTTGGCTTGGAGCTCCACCAACACCTCAATAAAATGGCCACTCATGCCGAAGCCGCAATCATCAAGGCCACCACAATAGAAAAGCACTGCTTCCACAAGTGAGAAAGTACTCGACTAGACGTTGACTGCAAATCGAGCTGAAGGCTACCCAACTGGAAATCCATCAAGACGACCACATCAACATGAGCTCCAAACCGACTCTAGCCTTCGCCGGCTTGGGCGCAATGGGAGGCGGAATGGCAAAGAACCTGGTCAAGAATGGATTCACCGTCTACGGCTACGATGTCTACCAACCCCTCGTCGACAGCTTCGTCGAGGCAGGTGGCAAGGCCGCGAAGACGCCTAAGGAAGCGGCATCGCAGGCCGACTTCTTCATCTCCATGGTTGCGAATGCGGCGCAGAACTCAAGCCTCCTTTTCGAAGGCGAGGATGCTGTGGTTAAGGGATTGGGGAAGGGAAAGACCTTTATCCTGTGCTCGACGACACCGCCTTCTTTCCTGCATGAGCTGAGGAAACGACTTGATGAGGAGTTTGGAAGGTCAGACGTAAAACTGCTAGATTGCCCCGTCTCAGGAGGCACTCTCCGAGCAGCAGACGGGACGCTCTCCATCTTCGAGTCTGGACCCGAGGAGGATCTCAACGCCGCAAAGGACGTCCTCCAAACAATGTCCGGCAACCTCTACCGCATGGGCGACATCAGCGCGGGCACAAAGACCAAAACGGTCCATCAACTGGTCGCCGCAACCAACATCATCACCGCCTGCGAAGCCATGGGCCTAGCAGCGACAGTCGGCCTCAACACCCAAGCCGTGTTCGACCACGTCAACAAATCGGACGGCACGAGTTTCTTCTGGGAGAACCGCGTGCCGCATATGCTCAAGAACGACTGGCATCCGTACTCCGCGCTATCCATCATCCTCAAAGACGCCGGGATCGTCACGGACACGGCTAGAAAGGCGCAATGGCCCACGCCGATGGCCGACACCGCCGAACAACTCTACCTACAAGGCGTGCAAGCGGGCATCCTCAAAATCGACGACGCGGCACTCGTCCAGCTCTACCTCCCCAAATCCCAAGGCGACCTCGTCAGCCAAATGACCAACGCAGACGTCAATATGACCGCCTCGCACAAAGTCAGCAAAGACACCATCGTCGACCTCCTCTCGGGGATCCACCTCGCCTCCGCGGTCGAAGGCATGGCGTTCTGCAAAGAACTCGGGCTCGACCGCACCGTCATGTGCGATATCATTTCCAAAGCCGCCGGGTCGAGCGTGCAGTTCACGAAGAGCATCCCGGGGATGCTGGGGAGGGATTCGTGGAGTCTGGCGGATTGTGCGCAGGCGGAGGAGGTGGGGAGGAAGTTGTCGGAGGCGGTGGAGTTGTGTAGGAAGATCAAGTATCCGTGTCCGATGGCCGCGAGTGCGTTGCAACAGTTTCATTTTGCGACGTTGAGGGGGAAGACGATTGGGACGCAGGATCGGTCTGGACGGTGAATGAATGAAATCGCTGTGTCCACGCTAAGTAAACGACTCAAGAAACGACGAATAGATCCCATGCCTTCAACCTGACCGACCAGGACAAAATCCCAAAACCCCAACGCCAAACCCCCAATACCCGCTCCCCAAACACACACTCTCTCTCCCTCAGAAATCAATTCCACCCCATGACCCCCTGCCCAACAACCCTCCCCCTCGACACAAAACTCACCCTCCTCCCAATAACTCCCTCCCCACCAACGCCCAAATCCAACCTCCTCCCCACCTCAAACCCCTCCCCCTCCCTCACCTTTCCGGGAACCGCCAAGAAATGCAACACACTCTCACGACTGACTGACGAAGAACGGAGGTCGCCGTCTCGACTACACGCACAATACCACCATTATCAGCATCCGCTTCAACATCAGGGAAGGGAAGGGAGGTTGAGAGGAAAGGGAGGAACAAACGTACTGTATAATAAACACCCCACCCTCACTGGGACTTTCCAGACCGCCGATTGTGGCGATTGTGGAGTTGTTGGTGTTTTTTGGGGAGGTTAGGCGGAGGGAGAGGTCTCTTTTTGATGGGGGGAGGGAAGAGGTGAGGAGGGGGCGGAGGACGGCGAGGGTGCCGCCTTGGGATGGGCGGTGGGGGGAGTCGCCGTTGCACATTTTTGTTTTTGATGGGTCGTTTCTTCTACGGGTCGTAGGTGGTGTTGTAGGAGTTCTTCGTGATGCGTTGGTGTCGTTGGATGGTTGTCGTCGATCGAATCGTATTTCCGCCTCGACCTTCTCCTTGGACAACGTCGCAAAGATCGAGATGAATAGTCCACCCAATCCTAATCAATAAATCCAATAATCTCTTTCGGATCAGTAATGCAATTCAACGCAGTGTGGTATAGCAACCTCCTCGTCCTCCAACCTTGATGTCTGACCTTTATGAACCAACCCCCCACGTGACCCTCTCAAACACAACGCAAACTTGCTCAAAGCCTGAGCAAATGTAACCACGCTACACATCTGACGCCTTTCAATCTCGGGCCAACGCAACGGGCGTGTCTTACCGTGAACATGGGTTGATGAGAACATAATAATAAGAATCGGTCGGGAAAAGTGCTGAGGTATAAAAGTGTGTTTCTTTTCGTGCTCTTTTGTCTCGAGCCTTTCTCTTCTCTTTCCTCCGCTTGTTTGAAAGTAGTATCGAACAGCAGCACATCCGTGTTGATCCAGACTGTGCACCATCTCAATGATGACGACGATGATTACAACAAAATCTTTCTTTCCTTTTTGTGGTCCAGCAGACTTTTCACCGCTCCCTGGTCCCGGTTGAATGGGTATCTTCGAAAAAACACAAACGCAAATGCTCCACCCTCTTCTCAAAAACCACTAACGCCTTGGAACACTTTTTGTGGGTGTGGCTTCTTGTTGAAGTGTGAAGCCGTGCTCGCTCAGTCGTAAACGCCTCGCTAGATGCCAATGTTAAAAACTCCTCGAAGCCACTTTTCCCCAGCCTTGATTCTACCCTCTAGTTCTTCAGCGAGCTGTTGGAGGTCGCTTGGTGGTCGCCATTGGGCAGGCCGTTCACTTGGGGCTTGCCGTTGGTCTCATGGTGGTATCCGTTGGTAAGGGGTTCGCCGTCGAATCCAGGTGCTTTCAAACCCTTGAAAAGTGGGAAGATGCCTTGATCCTGACGGAAATCGTTGTGGACGATGTTGACGAGGTACCAGTTCTGCGTGATATCCCTGATCAACTTCCGGCTTTCGCTGTTCTCATCGTAACACTTGCTCCATTCGGCGCCGAGATGGTAGAACTCGTCTCTCCAGGCCAGGAATGACACAGTTTCGACGATAGTTGGCTGCACAATCTCTTTGCCAGGGAATACACCCCAAGTCACGGCGTTTGGTCCACCTTCTTGCCCAGCGTTCGTCTTCAACTCACCACTCGAGTTGACAGCGTAGTAGGTGATGTCCTCATCCTTGTTCATCCTTTCAACGACCGTGTCGATGAGGTCCGGCGATACCAGGACTTCCAAGTACTGCTTTTGGTACACGTAACCGTTTGGTGGACCCCAGCCATAGATTGGGTGGTTGGACTTGGCTCCATCAACAGCTGGCTGCGAGTTGATTGTGAAGATACCGCGGCTGTTCAGGTCGACAAGGTCGTTGACAAGCACGTTGGCCTCCTCGTTGATGGGTGCTTCTGACCAAGGCAGAGACTCGACCTTCCCGCGCATGAAACCAACGAAAAGATCCGAGATCTCCTTGAGAGACTTGGGCTCTCCCCACAGCTTGCGGTTGTGCTCGTTGGTTCCCTTCAAGCCAATACCATATTCGTCCAAGCCACCGAATGCAGGCGATCTGCTGTCTCCCCAGCGGCCGTTGGGGAACTCGTCCCATTCTTGAGTTCGCTGAACGTATGCACGGTTTCGGTTCCTCCAGAAAATTGGGCGTACATTCTCGTCTCGCCTGTTGAGACCGAGCGATTGTCGCCATGGCAGTGGCTTGAGGTCCGGGTTCGGGCTGCCTGCCGATGGAACCATGTCCAGCTTCTCTAACACCATCTTGCATGCAGACGCCAGGTTCATCGTGTAGAAATGTAAATGCATGATGCCAAAGTCAAGCAATCTTTGGCAGAACTCGACAATAAGATCTCTTCCAACGTCTCGTACGGCTGCATCATCATTCTTGATTGGCTCCAACACTTCGTGCCATTGTGGTGGAATCCTGCACTGGCTCCAAGTTGCTCGACGGATCAGTGCCGCGTGAGTGGAGATGGGCATGATTCCAGGAATGATAGGTACCGACTCAGGCACACCAGCAGCACGAACCTTCTTGACCCAATCGATGAAGATGTCGACATCGTAGCACATCTGAGTGACGATGAAAGTGCCTCCAGCGTCTACCTTCTCCTTCAAGTAGACAATGTGCTCGTCCGCGTTGGTCGTCTCGTCAGGTCCCTCAGGATATCCAGCAATTCCAATGTCGAAATGATCGCCATAGGTCTTCTTGATGTAGTGAATTAGGTCTCGTGCATAACGAAAGCCGCCTTCTGTTTGTTCCCACTTTTCCTGCTCTCTGGGTGGATCGCCTCGTAGAGCCAAGATGTTTGTGCACCCAGCGTTATATGCCTCTTTCAACGCATCATCGATCTTGCTGCGTTCCATGTCGGTGCAGGTGAGATGCATGCAAGTCTCCAGCCCATACACTGCCTGAGCCGTCTTGACCATGTCACAGGTCAGAGTTGAATGCCGTCCTCCAGCGCCCCAGGTGACATCGATGAAAGCTGGGCCAAGACCGTGCATCATGTCCATACGATCGTAGAGGTTCTGGACACCCTGGGCGGTTTTGGGTGGGAAGTACTCGAAGGAGAAGGTCTGCTGGCCCTTGGAATGGGCCGCAGCCATCTTCTGTGTGATATGCATGGCGAGTTGGGGGGTGAATGAAGAGTAGAGGTGGACGAGGTAAGATGTCGCTCAGGGTAGTAGTAGTGGGCAGGCTGCATAAACTATGATGTTAGTGGAAAAATCACTCAATGCAGATCGCGGCGCATAGGCGTGTTTGCCACGTTTTGAGAGGCAAACAGAACACCAAAGGATGGAGTAGGACATACATTGCTAGAGGGGGTATTGGTATATGAGCCAGGTAAGCAGGCTGCGAATGGTCCTCGATCCTTTGACGCCGCTGTCCGAGGGAGTGTATGTGGTGGTGTCTCCGATGGCTAGTAGAGCTCTGAGGTTGCTTTGAAGTCGACCAGTTCCTGTCCGTTGTACAGTGACATGCCTTCGTAAGGGGAGCGATCAGGGTGAGACGGCGGTGGACATGTTGCAGGGCGGACGGGGTGGGAGCCAGCAGCAAGCAGCGAGAACAATCCCAGACGCCTTGTGCTGCCTCTCTTCTTGAACCCCGGAGCAACGCCCACTCGCCCCGCGCTCAAACAAATTAGACTTTCTTCCTCCATCATCAAGCCGCCGACTGCGGGCGGCTGCTCCCGTCGGCCTTTCTGTTTCACCTTGAGTCGACCTTGCCTGCTGCCAACAACATCTTCCTTTCCCCTCGACATGCACCGTTGATGCCGTGCACTTGAGATGCTGCATCTTGTTGGCTCACCCTCACAGCGGTGTCGCTGGGACAGCCAGCGGCCCCCTTCCTTGTTCCTGGACAGCACATGCCAGACCCCTCGGAGACTTGCTCATCTACAATCCCCCGAGGACCTCAGGACGGCCGCCATAACGGTCACCGAGCACCTCTGACATCCATTACCGCTTACTAGCGGCGTCGATTCCACAGATCATAGAGGCTGGGAATTCCCTGACCGACTATAGCTATTTGGTGGTCAGCGTTCGATGCGCCTTGACGCAGAGGGAGAGCACGCGAGCTGGAACCCAAGTACATGTGCTTGTACCTCAGCAGGACGTACACCTGTACGCAGAACAGCCTTGGGTCGTACTCTCGAGTGGGAAGCACAGCATATGTGGGTGTGATGAAGCTCACCGGTTGTTCATCTCGCGCTGTAATTCCATCAGACATCGGTTGAGACACTTTTACCACTTTGCAGTGCGGCTTTAGACCAACACGATAACTATCTTCATTCATCAATTCAAACACGCCATGAATTCCTTGTTTGTCTGAGGGAGTGTCCAGATGCCGTCGCTGCTTGATCACTTCCTACCAGATGCAATCCCCGTAGCCTGGCTGCTTGGCGTCGAACACAGAGGGGACTGCGCTTCAAGTCGATGAAACCTCATCGCAGACTCGCCATTGTAAAAAGTGAGCAACAAAAACTTTCGATACGTGTTCACCGCCTTGAGTCTCTTGGTGTGGTTTGTCGAGATCGTTCTCGAGAGAGAGACACATTTCGGGTTCGCCAACTTCGGCATCCCGGTTCTGAAGCTCCATCAACCTCGTCTGTTCAACCGGCGTCCTTGTGGACCGCATAGCATCTCCAACATATAACCAGAGCTGCCTTTTCTCACCCAAACAACCGTGTAGGTACCTGAATCTTCTATCTTAATTTTCTCGCAGACCATCACAATGCCTCCCCTCCCCACCAAGCGAGAAAATCGCCTCGTAGGCACGTCTCTCAAAATGTACTTCGACCTCCCCTCCACCCTCCGCTACGTCGAATCCGTCGCCGCCCTCTCCCAGACCGCCTCAGCCGCCAACGTCGACCTCTTCGTTATCCCCGACTTTGTCTCCCTCCTCTCCTCCAAAGACCGCCTCCAAAACACAGACGTCTGGCTCGGCGCCCAAGACACCTACAGCGAAGACAAGGGCGCCTACACAGGCGAAGTGAGCCCCCTCACACTCAGCCAAGCAGGCGTAAAAGTCGTCGAAATCGGACACGCAGAGCGGAGGAGATTGTTCGGCGAAACAGACGAAGATGTAGCGAAGAAAGCCGCCGCCATCGTCCGCAACGGCATGATTCCCCTCATCTGCATCGGCGAAAAGAGCAAAAGCGATATCGCCTCCCAAGCCGTCGGCCTAGCCGTCAGCGAGTGTAAGCCGCAAATAGAAGCTGCCCTCTCCCAGCTCCCCGACGACGCGGAGGTCATCCTCGCGTATGAGCCGGTGTGGGCCATTGGGGCTTCGGAACCTGCTGGCGCGGACCATGTGGTTGCTGTGACGCAGAATTTGAGGGCGTTGTGTGCGGGAAGGAAGGGGAGGACGAGGATTTTGTATGGAGGCAGCGCGGGGCCGGGGACGTTTCAGCGCTTGAAGGAGGGGGTTGATGGGTGCTTTTTGGGGAGGTTTGCGCATGATGTGGGCAACTTGGAGAAGGTGATCAAGGAGATGAGTGAGTGAGCTTTAGGCCCATGTGCTCCTGCCGTTTGTGTCAGATTTGGCACCTGGCGGCTTGTCCCGAAAATTACACTGGCTTCGTTTGCACCGCTTCCACTGCGACTTCATCGCCTTCCACAAACCACCAACCTCGCCCCTGGTGGACACACGTCACCCTCACCATCATGTCGGGTGACACCTCCGACGAGCCCACTGGCATCGGTACCAGCGATGCGCCATCTCCACCACGTGCAGGTGAAGATGAGCGGTGCCGGCTCCAGGAACTTCCTCCAGAAATCAGAAACGACATCTTCGCACTTGCTATCGTCGAGCCTACGCCCATCAAGCTCACCGTCACTCGATTCTCCCAACAAACGGCTATCAAGATCACTCGACACCAATACCACAACCAGTTGACGGGTCTGTCATTGGCGAGCACATGTCGCCAATTCCGCCAAGAGGCCATCCAAGTCTTCTACGCCGAGAACACCTTCAGTCTCGAGCTCGCGCGATTCGCTATTCGCACAGAAAATACCACCTTGAAGTTTCCACTTCACAAGGCGACCAGCATCGTATTCAAGGCGTTTGGTGAGAAGGAACGCGACAGCTGGACTGGTGCTTCGGTCTTCATCGAGCCCAAGCTTCACGTCGAGAAGCTGGCAGACGGGAGCCTCAGCATCCGAGCTTCTGAGTGGGTAGTCGATGACCCATGCGTGTGCACGCTGGATACAATAGCACGACGCTGCCATGGGGCCGATTGCCTGGTAGCATTCGCTAAAGAGTTTGTTGAGCAAAATCTCTGGGATGCTCTTTATCGGAAGGTGCGCCGCTATTCCCGAACTGCAGAGTCCTGCACACGGTGTGGCAAACTTAAGGCTTGAGAATGGGAATTTCCAACATGGCGCTTTCAACGAGTACTGGGAAATGGCTCTCGTGATTGGAGATCATCAGGGAGAATCGCGGCGAAAGGAAGGTGAAAAGGGGGCAGACTACTGCTTCATGTGGTTGGGGACGGGTCAGGCTCAGGCTAGGACAAGTACAATAGCATTGACATGTGTATTAAGATCGAATCCATCGATGCAGCTTTTCATGTGCTCGTGCCTCACGCTCCTGCCGTTTCTGTAATTTGGCACGTGCCACGGCTTCTTCCGAAAGCTACAGGTACCTTTACTTCGTCCCCTTCTGTCGCTTGCGTTCATTTGCTACCTTCCTCTTCACCAAAACACCGACATTGACAACAACTGCAGTGTGCACATATGCGACTCCATCATGGCGGAAGACTCCTCCAACGACCACACCATCACCGCGACCAACACCAACACCGGTGTTAGCGTATCTCCACCAGTCCAAGACGACCAATGCCGACTGAAGAGCATCCCACCAGAAATCCGCAACTACATATTCTTGCTCGCAGCCGTCGAGTCTGAGCCGATCACCCTCTTGGTTTCAATTCCTACCAAGCAATTGCGCAGAAAGATCGAAATCGACGAAACCGGCTCATGTCCTCAACTGACGGGCCTCCTATTGGCACGCACGTGTCGTCAATTCCACGAAGAGGTCACGCCGGTATTCTATGCTTAGAACACCTTCCACCTGATGGGAGACCCCTTCAAGCGTTTCCGGCCCGTCAAGTTCCCACTGGCGAAAACACCTTCTCTTCAAGGTCTTGGGTTGGAACCTGAAAGCTGAGGCCGAACTTCATGTCAACAGACTTGTGGACCAGGCTCTCGGGGTCGAGATCTCTGGCTCTGGCTACGATGCTTTGCGCTCAAGACAACACGGGCAGGTGGAGGTACAAATGAGTGTGCGGGAGGTGATGGGCTCACACAAGCGAACAGGAGAAAGGCTTGGGATCAGATTGGCTGAGATGGGTTTGGTAAATTCAACGGAACGGAGCGAGTGAAGGGAAGGGGTCTATCATCAAAACACCTCTCTACCATACCAGCGTTACAGTTCCAGATAGCCTATCCACCTCTTAGATTCCTGACATATCGATATGTAACGTACTTGATAGGGAAGCTGCGCAGACGGTGAAGCTACGTATAAGCCTCGAATCCTCGATACTCTCGACTATCTACGTAACGCTATAGTAATATAGCTACCTTTACTATCGCTATCCTCGTTCTCGAGTACCTCCTCGATAATATCCTCGATTTCCGGACTCGGAGAGGCGTTCCGCTTCCGTTTATAAGTTATTTTCTTCGCTATCTCCGCTTCGGCTTACCGGGCGATTTCGAGGATTTCCTCCGTATTAAAAATAAAACGCCTTTCTAAAGCGACTCGTTTCCTTTTCGTTCGTTTCTTACGAGTCTCGAGAAGCTCTCGTTATTCGGTATTCTCTTTTCGTAAAAACGTATTCTCGGAATTCGACTTTTCGAGGGTAGTAGTAGCTCGAGCGATATATCGCTTAACTAGGCTTTCGAGTATTTTATTCTCCCGGACGATCGAATTAAGTACCGAGTTTACTTATTATAGTTCGGTACCGTCCGGAGGCGAGCTATCGAGAAGCGAGCGATCGAGTATATTCGTCGTTATCGATAAAGACGCTCGCGGAGTACGAGAAGCTTTAGGTATTTCGAGAGTCGAGAGAACCGTAACCGGACTAAGCGGCGAGATACCGCTTTTACGAAAGCTAGCGAGTATATTCGATGTCGTAATAGCTTACTCTCGTACTCGAATATAAGTAGAAGTCTACTCGACTCGAGATATCCGGCTAGAATCGAGGCGAACGAGGGAGTCGGTTTCTTCGGCGAGAGCCCGTTTTAACGGACTAAAAACGGCGACGTCGAGAGGCTATAAAATATACGATAAGTACGGCGGTAAATAGATAAGATCTATCGCGTTATTAAGATAATAAGCGATAAATCGAGAAGTTAAGTATAAGCTATATCTATCGAGTAGTAGAAGTCGACGCTAGCCGTCTTCTCGTCTCGTTTCCGGGTCGAATAAAGTAGAAATCTACTTATAGGCGTACGAGTCGCTCGTCTAGCCGCTATTACTTATAGAGAAGCGCTAATTTACCGGCGTATTAGGCGGTATCTACCCGGTATTTATATATTTCGCCTTTAAAATAAGAAGCGGTAGTAAAGCTTCTCCGGAGGTACGAATATACTCGATAGCTATAATCTACTCTTATCGCCCGGGTATACGCTTCTAACTTACTTTATCTTTTATATTTATAAGTACTCGAGAGGTTTAACTTACGCCGATAGCGAAACCCGACTCGTCGACGTTATAAATATCCTTAGGAGCGTAGCGATTTAAGACGAAAAGCTCGGTAAAACTTAAGAAGTAGGACTCGACTATCGAATAGCGAGTACTATTATACTAGCTTATTTCTAGCTATTAACTCTAAGCTCCTTTTATTTCTAGATAGCGAGTATATAGTCTATCGATCTACCTTTTACTAGGTCGGAAAATCGAGGTTATAGAGGAGGGGTTCGGCGTCGAAAGCGGGACTCGAGAACGGTATATCTCGAAAGCGAGTTCTTACGCGAATTTAGGTGAAACCGGGTAGCTATATTTCGATAACTTCGAAATCTACTTAATAAAAGTCTACTCTTCGGTCGTAAATAGGTATTACTCGTATTCGTGCGCGATAGATCGAGAAACGCCGCCGGCGAGCTATAGTCGAAGCGTAGATTCGCTAATAGAAAACGCGGTAGTACACTTGCGTTTCGAGGTATATAGATTATTCTTATAAGTAGATATTACGTCTAGTATACGCTGCTCGAGATCTATAAAGTAGAAGAGTTAAAAGTTAAGCGTGTCGCGAGAAATTAAAAGAAAACGCGAAAGTGTCGCGGATCCGTGCGCAGCTTCACCGTCTGCGCAGCTTCCCCATCAAGTACGTTACTTCAGTTCTTCATGCGTTAGCCGGCCACACAAAGGGTCGATAAGTCTGCTCAACGAGGACTCGCCAAATGTCGGCGACGCGTGATCTCACCCGTGGACTTGTTCGTAGAAGTCCGTACTCTTAGATTCCACGTCTTCTCGCGAATCTTGCAGTCGGTGTTGTCACATGCTCCCGCTTTTAGCGTCTAGCTCGTGCTTCGGATCTCCCCGAATCTCGCTTTCTTTATCTTCCTCGCTCGTCTGTTCCTCTCCGTCTTCCTCGCCGCCTTCCTCGCCGCCTTCCTCGCGAAATCATCAACATCAACAACAGCGGTGCTCACAAGTCGGACCCACCGCCACGATGCCGGAAGACGCCTCCAAGGTGCCTGCAGCCTCAAGCACTGCATCGCCGACAGTCGCAGAGGACCATTGCCGCCTCAAAGACCTACCCCCCGAGATCCGCAACTACATATTCCCACTGGCCATGGCAGAGCCAAATCCTATCCGACTCGCCACCCTCGACATGGCCGACCGAATGACAATCCTCAAAGTCGCTCAAAAGCCCGCCTTCACCAAACTCACCGGCCTCTCCCTCGCCCACACCTGTCGCCAGTTCCACAAAGAAGTCATGCCCGTCTTCTTCGCCGGGAACACCTTCAGCCTGCACTCCGTGTCCTGGGCCCGTCCCGCAGGCCCGGACGCCGTGGACATCCCCCTCGCGAGAATGACAAAACTCATGTTCGCGTGCCCAGGGTTTCCGGACCATCGCACCGACACTGAACCGGCGCTTTACGTCGACAAACGCAAGGACAAGACGCTCCACATCAGGTTCCGCGGCACTACACACGACTTCTGCACGTGCAGGTTCGAATACTACGCGGAAGAGGAGTGCGGTGGAGGCGAGATCGTCGCGGAGTTCGTCGAGGTGTTTTGCCGGTATAGGCAGTGGGAGCCCCTGTGTCAGAAAATCTTCCATCGTCGACGGATGGGTGCCTCAAGCTATTTGCAAAATCTGTGATAAGGTGTTTTGTTGAGATGAGCGGGACAGAACATGCGTCCTGCAACGCAGATTCAATGGCAACATCCTGTTGAGCTCGACTTATTATATCACGCGGTTCGAAGGTCTCGAGGCATGTACGGCGAGAAGATATCTCGCGTGGATGAGCAGGGAGGAGATTCAGCGTCAGGATGGCTGGATTGGCTTGGGAAAATGCAGTGCAACGTGCCAAATGATGTCCAAAGGAGATCGGGTCTTGCTAGCATTCCGAGTTGTTAGAACAAAGCATCGGCTGGGAAATGAAAGAATCCAGTTAGGCATTGTTTGGTATTAGGCCTGGCTGAAGCCAAAAGGGGGTTGGTGAAAGGGAAATGACGAAGTCGACGAGGAGAGAGAGGTCGGAGAGACATCGTCAGCTCGGTACAAATGCCACATCGTCCAGTCGTTCGTCGGACAGCTCATACTCAAGCCGCCTCCCCATCACCATCCCCCTCAAACAAAGTCTTCACAACCGTCCTCCGAATCCTCCCCAACCTCTCCCGCTCCAACTCACTCATCTCCACCTCCCCTCCCTCCCCCATCAACCCCCTCTCCACGCCCTCCCTCGTCTTAACATCAAACCCAACGCACACCCTTCCCCCCTTCCCCAACAAACTCTCAAACTCCACCTCCACACTCCCCTCCACGCCCTCCCTCAGCGCCCTGATAGCCGGCAGAACCGCAATCCACCGCGTGAAGAAGTCCATCCAGCGGATCCGCCCGACCGAATACATCCTGCCGAGGAAGAGTTTCGCGTGCGAGAGATGGTGCGTCCGGAGTTGTTGGGTGGCGATACGCTGGAGGCGGGAGATTATGAGGCTGCGGTCGGAGGGGTGCTCGTCGGAGGGGCGAGGGGTGAAGATTGGGGCGTGGATGTGGACACTGTTGATGTTGTAGAGGATTGGGCAGGTTTCGGCGTGGATTTGTTGGGAGGTTTGGAGGAGGGCGGAGGGGATTTTGGGATTGTTGGGTTGTGTTTCGTTTTGGGGTGGTCTGTGTCGATTCTTGGGTTAATGGCAGAATTGGTAATGTAGTCTAGAGGAACATGGATTTACCTGAAATCAATGACAATAACCGGCGGATCCAATCGTAGAGCGAGCTCGTAAATCTCAACTCGGAGTTCTGCTGGTAACAGTTCGAGGAATAGGCATCTGCTCATGCTGTCCGTCCGTGGCTGGTCTTCAACTGTCAGGTCTCGCAGACCTTCAGCTAACGTGTCGCACATTGCTTTGACGGGTTTGTCCTGATGTTTGTCGAGTAATCAATCTGATTTTCTTTTGACATTGATTCAACTACCCTCAGGCAGACGCATTGTTCTGGATACGAGGTTAGTCATGCACGCAATCGTCACAATGCTCAGCCGTGAAATGTGGAGTCAAACGAAGTGTGTCATTCAGCCAAGTCATTGGGGCCGGAATTCGATACTATATCTGTGACTGCTGCAGTATAACAACGAAAATTACAATGCCTTGCTGGTGAGGTGATGTTGTAAGATGCAGATTCTTCTCCTTTACTCTCCAATGCTCGCCCTGCGCAGACCACTTATCTCCATGCCTCCTAGTTTCTACATCGTGGACATCAGCTCGTTGACCATTCCTCTCGATGTCTTGTTACTTGCGACCGAAGACTTGATCAAACGGTTTCGTTGCACTTCAAGCCCCCAGTGACGTCAAGGAACTCATGAAACTTGTCGTCCAGGACTGCGTCAATGCAGTTACTGTAGTAAGGATGCGGATCATACGGATGCACGGCCAAGGAGATGTTGTAGGTCCCCACGATGCCATCGTTATACATGGAGCTTCCGTCATCATAGCATTTCCAGTTCTCCATACGGACGTTGACCGGGGTGGTCAAGCAGGACTTCACCAGCGTTGATTCGGTGTCGACGCAGCGGTTCACGTCGTACGGGCCACCCACTTGGATCTAGGTCTGATCAGTGTCGTTTCAGTCTCATATTCTCGTTGTGGTAGACGACTAGCATTGTAAAACATGTAGTTAAAGATGTCGAGGTACTCGCAGTACTACTGCTTGTCGTCGATCATCTTCACGGCGTTGCGTTCTTGCATCTGTGGAGCCTTGCGTCCGGTGCAATCAGTGACATCCAGCTGGACGTCCGTCTTGTCCGGGAACATCTCCTGCAGGTACTCGTCGACGCAGCTCATGTTGGTCGTATCTGGAATCATTTCCACGCGAGCGTAGTATCCTCCGGTGCCGTTGTATGCACCACTTGCGTCGTCTTCGCAGCCCCAGTATAGTAGTCTGTCGTAGGAGCAGTCCTGGATGGTGGCCGCAATGGCACTGCATGTGGATGCGTCGTAGGGCTCGCAGACTCGGACCTGAGGAATGGGTCAGGAAGATAGGAGCAGCTTTGCGTTGGATGTACTCACTTCGAAGACAGTTGCGAAATCGGTACCGTTGCAGATGTCCTGTTCTTGTCGTGTGGCGATCTGGATGTTGTTGTTGTTGGTTGGGACCGGCACTGCAGTCGCGGAGAAGACCAACAGCGGCGTGAGGACAATCTCGAAGCGCATGGTGATTGCTGTTGCAGGAGTAGTTCAATTGTACTGTTCGTCACTGGGTTGGTCTTCTGCAGAGTTTGTCGAGACCTGGAAGAAGGACTCAGGCCGAGAGATGTTGGAAGACGCAACTGCAGGCTTTATCGCAACCGCTTCATCCGAACCACACTCCTGCTTTCAATTTGTAAAGGCAGGAGCCTTTCGGTCTCAAGTTGTTTGCTTCGAACCCGTCTCCATACAAATCATCCGTCGTCCCGTGGCCAACTTGATCCATTCGGAACGGCAAACATGGCGGGTAGGTTTCGTGCTCTCTCAAGTTCAACCTCCTTCGTAAGGTGTGGCTTCCACATAAACACTCAAGCTGAATGTTAGCATGTTGGCCTATGTTTTGTCGATGATGATCATGCTATCAAAATTGAACGCTCGCGCGTGAAAATCAATATGACATTACGCTCGCCGGCTCAGTCAATGATATTCTTCTACCCAACGCTCGTCACTCACGTAGCCACAACCTTTCTCTATCCAATCATCAAGTACAGGGTTGTACCTGATGAGCGGAAGAGGAAAGAGCAGGGTCATCTAAGGGCGAAGTGTTGCACCTAAAAATAGGCTTCGATGGCCGGGTTAATGGGGACCAGGTCCTGCAATGTGAGCTGCAGCATTGGTCGTCTCACTTCCAAGCCTCGACCTGATCGTAACCAGTTCCAGGGTTGGATTTCATATCCCTTGCTTGCAGGCAGCAGTAGTCGGGGAGCTTTATGACGGACAAGCATTTTCCCTCCTCAGAACCTGGGAAACTTGGCCGGACGAGATTGCAGCTGAACTTTGTCATCCTGCTGGTATATATCTGTGTGCACCACCAAGCCAGACGTCTGCGCTTGGGTAGTACGAGCAAATTGTCACCAGATCCGATGGCTCCAATCCCGATCGCACTGTGCGGGAAGCATCCGGACATGTGCGACAACTTCGTCAAAGGCATGTTGCCTGAGTATGAAGGTAAGTTTGTGCACCCGTCCAGATTCAAATTCCCACGGCTGATTTGCTGATAGTCGTTCACGTGTGCCATAACGCTCCAATAGCCAAGTCAGAGCTCCCTCCGTTGCTCAAAGGCGAACGAACCGAGCCAGCGTCAGGCAAAGGTAGCAACACCAAGACAGGTGATCCCAAAATCCCCAAGGCCATTTTCGTGGGCGGCGGATTCTCGCCATCTGAGCTGGAGGAAATGCGAGCTGTGGATAGTTTGAGAACTGTTCCTTGGATGTATCCGCCTGCCCATAAGCGACCTAAGACGGCTGGTCCGCCACCAATCGATGTAATCATCTCGAGGGCCAAGGAGGCATTCGCAGAGCGTGGATTTGTCGAGGGAAAGGAGGATCAGGTCGAGGTTGGACTGTGGGATTACTGAGAGGCGGAATGCCTTTCAATCGCACAAGAATTCACAATCAGTCCTGTTAAATCCTCTCAAGCCGCCGCACGTGGTGGTCTCTTGTTGTATTGCACAGCCTTGTGCCCCGTCTCCTGGCCTGGGCCACTGCCGTGACCTTCGTCCCAGCAACCTTGGCAGTAAAGATCACCATCGCATCCAATGCATTTCACGTCGGCGTCCTCATTGCAAATGCAGCACCATGAGTCAATGTCTTCATCCGTGTAGGCCGGGAGGTTTGACTTTGGCTTAAGCTGAGCCGTCACCTTGGGCTTCGTTGATGACGGCTTTGCAGTTGGAGTTGATGGAAGATTCAGGCCACCACCCAGCCCAAGCTTCGAGAATCGTGCTTCGAGCTCACTATCTTCGTAGGAAGGTGGTTCGGGATCTAATGAAGCTGGCGGGTCCAGAACCTTTGATGGTGCTGAAGGCAGTTGAAGGCCATCGTGAGCAGACTCGGCGTGATCGCCTGTACTACCATCTTCGGGCTCGTCGTCATCTCCAACGCCATACTTCTTTTCCACTTCAAGCTCGGCTAGTACCCGTTTCACGTAATCGTCGGCCTCTGCTTCATCTCGTTGGTCTTCAGTCTTTGAAGAGTCTGGCGCTTCCTCGCCAAGGGATTCTCCATTACTGGCTGTCGCAAGGTCGCCTGAGGTTTCTGCGTCGTAATTCGCTACATCGCTCTCGCTCTCCTTTGGCAACGCATCTGTGGCCTCTTTCAGTAGGGACTGAATGTTCTTTGGGTCTTCAGGATCTAACTTCCATTGGCCATCAGATCCTAAATCGGCGAGCAAGTCGTCCAAGGTCTGGTCGTCCTCGTCTTGCTGCTGAAAGTCGCGAATCGGATCGCGTTCAGCTGTGACTTCATCTCTCACCCTAGCAGTCAGATCTTCAGCCGTGCCTTCTACTCTCGTAGCAGGAGGAAGAGAAGCACTTCCACCTGCGCGTAGACTCTTAAGACGGTCCGCAAGCTTGTCTTCCACGGATTGTGGTCTTGATGTCTGTACATCGACGGACGGCGCCGATTGCTCGAGTTGTACGCTCGATGGTTTCAGTGCATTCAGTCGTGCTAGGAGGTCGTCGTCGGCAGAAGGCATCTTCAGTCAGATGAGGTGGTTTGTATGGTGATGGCTTTAGATGACGAGTCGTCAAGGTAGAGGCAAGGATTCCAGATTATCTCAATGACTCGGACCTCTGAGCTGCGGAGACAAAATCCTCCCAAACCTCACCTCCAACTTCACCTCTTGCTCAAGATTCGTCGCGCGCAGAGACAACTCGAATATACCCCGTTCACTTGTCTACCGAATTGCATATCTATTTACTAGAAAACTCACGCCGTCGTCGTCGTGATGCTGAAAATCCCTGTTATCCACAGCATTGTCGACTGACTTGAGTGCAGTCGGCTTTGTATTGAGCATCTCGTGTTTCCCAGGCGTGAACGATATTCGTTTCGGTATAAGAAAAAGATCCAATTATGGGTTGGTTTATTTAGGTAGGGAGACCCCATCAAAGAAGAAAGCATCCAACGCACCATCACCGACGACGCATCAGAACCCGCCGTCTCCGCCTGTCCGACCCACAAGCATCCCTGTACGTCTTCCGCCCTCGTGAGTCCAGCTTCTCAAACACATGCACATCCCAAATAGGAGCCTCGCTCGGCTCCAGTACCTCCGCATGACGGTCCTCCGCAAGACGGTCCTCTGCAACCTCACCTTTCATATTCTCATTCGAAGCAGCAGGCGAGTGCCACGCCCCGTCAGTACTGCCCATACTGTGCGTGCGCGACTGCTCGTTCACCTGTCCCATACTCTGCGATCTTCTGGCTGCTCTATTTGCATCTTCCTGCGTGTCGAAAACAATCTCGATTTGATTCCTCGCCAACGGCTGCGATCTCTGTCGTTCGGGGACTGGCTGGCGAGGGGCTTGGACCAGCGGCCCGGGCTGGTGGTAGTGGACCATCCTTCTGCTTCTAGCAGGACCGACTTTGACAGCAGTCCCAAGCTCGCTTTTCTTGTAGCGTCCGTGGAGCGGGCAGATCGCCTTGCCTCCACTTTTGTGCTTGTGGTGGAGGGGGCAAAGGGGCGAGTTGGGGAGATGGTCCGGCACGTTATGCTCGTGACCCAATTGGATCTCCTCGTCCCCGTCCAGGTCGTCATCATCCATGCCTTCTTCGACTAGTGAGCGAACATGGTGCAGATGCGCTCGCTTGCTATCGTAGTACCGCTGCATGAACGGTGTTTGCTGGAAGTTGATCACCAGCAGGTCGGCTGAAGCGAGTCGCTCACGTCGAGCAGCTTGGAGCTCCTCTGCCGTCGGCTCCTCTGATTCCTCCTTGACCCTTGACATCCGCGACGATCGCGTTCGCTGGATCCACAGTAACGACCCGGAAGACTTTGAGCCTTTTATGCGCAGCGGCGGTCGAGGTTTGATTATGGTCAGAGAATTACGCGGCAAGGAGTTGCATCGGGTGTCTGTGCGAGCCTCTGGGGATTCTTCGTCATCTCTGGCCAGCTTATCTACCACTGCCAGAGAGACTCTACGTACGCCAAGGACAAAGTTCTTGAATCCGCTGTTCGACTTTTGCAATGGCACAGGCTCCGATTCGACTGTTGACGATGGAGGAGCGGCATGGCTTGGTGATACCGATCTCATGGAGCTCCGGCTCATTGATGAAGGCGGCTTCTGGCGTCTTCCAGCGAAGTCGACTACTTGAATCTCATCTATAGTGGGCTCATGATCTGACACCTTCGACAATGCCATGTTTGGGAAGTGGACAGGCTGGCCCTCGGGATCGTCGTGTAAATTCTCCAACGTATGCCGATGTCTAGCTTTCGCCCTGGACCGCGGAGTCGACATGGGGGAGAGCTGCTCTGAAGATGATCTGTTGTTCATGCGTCGTCGAACCTGAGAGTCGCTGGCAGGAGTGGGGGCTTCGTCGTCGATTGTTGCGAGAGGAGAGGCACCTGGTGTCGGTGTAGGGTAGCCGTCACTCTGAGTCTGTCTCGACGACGATCGAGCAAAGTAGGGAGGTATCGGTAGATGCTCAGGCACAATGCTTGACAGTCTCCGTCGATCCACTGTGCCTTCTGGACTGCTCACTGTGAAGACTGGCGTTGAACTTGCCGGACTGGCTTGCTGGACATTGGGAGTCGTAGGGGGAGCGCCAGCCTCATCGAAGATCCTGTCGTTGAAGGCATTTTTGCGGAATATCTTGAACAGACCACTTGCTCGCCTGGCCTTGGTACTGGTTACAGTAGAGTCGCTCGGCATCTTCACATGACCTGTCACAAAAGGTTGGCTGGGAACCGGATGTGGTAGAAGCTCAAGCTCTGACTGTTTCCGAGACAACCTTCGTGTCTTCTTGGAGGGCTCTTCTACCGCCGGTGTCCGCACAGGCACGAACTCTTTCGTGAGCATGGCATCTGGTGGAAAAGTGGAGAAATATGAATCGCCATGATGGAAGGACTTCAGCCCGCCGATGCTGGGTTCCCTTTCGGGGGGCGTCATCGCGTGATAGTGCTGCTTGTGAAGATACTCATGGTGATGGTGGTGCCGTGAATGGTGCAGACTGGGTGTTTGCGAGCCAGAGCTGGCCAGAAAAACGGGTGTGGGTCGGGCGGTGTTTTCAGCCGGAGACTCGATCAGTCTAGGACTCTCGAACCGTATCTGTCGTGGAGCAGCACCGGGGCGTCGCGCAGGAGGAACCGAGACGTCAGGGGCTGACTGCAACTCTTGCGCAGAGAGAGAGCGTGATGGTGATTGATCTGCGTTCTCAAAAGGGGGCCCATTGTCGGTGGCAGTCATCGTCTTGAAAATACTCGGAACAACAAACGTGGTCGCCTTGCGGAAGGGTTTGATGGGAGCAGACGCAGTGCGCTGCAGGTCAGGAAGCTTGAGAGCCATGGCCTTTGATGGTTGCGTGCTCTGGAATATGTCGACAGTAGTGGATTCAATCACTCCGGTGTCCTCGGCCACTTTAGGTTCGTAGAAAGAAGGTGATCGCAGGCTCTTCCCAGGCTTAAGAATGGAAGGTCTCTGAAGAAGGTGCTGTGATGGCTGATTCTTCTTTTTGAGGAGCCGTAAGTCGGGACGACGATTTCGTATTGCGTATGCGAAACTGCTGGCATCGGATGCTTTGGATGCGATTGTCGAGAATGTCATGCTCGACTTCTCAGAAGCGGGAGTCTTGGGTATCGATTCTTTGACCGACTCTTTGATCGATTCTTGAATCGACTCTTTCCAGGATGATGAGCGGACAGGCAATAGGTTGGCCTGGCTTGCCGTACGTGAGCCGGTGCAAAGTAATGTTCGTATCGCGGCTACATTCGACGCCACTTGGCCGAATTGATAGCTTCGAATCGAGTCTGGTGTTGGGGTGCGAGTCAATGAGTCGGCATCGGACCCAGCACGCCCCCCTATGAACTGTGGTGATAGCGCCTCGGAGGTGGATGCCCGTGATGGCGGTGGCGGCGTTCGCGATCGATGTCTTGGTCGTGGGTATGATGGCGCCGGCCACTCGAACTCGAACTCATCTCCCCCTCCTCCGCATCCCGGTATCTGTAAAGTTTGCCGTCGCGGAACACTGGTATCCTCGATGGGACTCTCGAGGATGAATGATGCCGGGGTCGGCGGTGGCAGTGAGGTGTATGTGCCACTCTGCTGGGAGAATGGGAACGATGTCTCGCTCGCCTGGGGTGGTGGCTTCGCTCCCAGTCCTCCTCCTCCTGTTGGCGCTCCTCCAATTCCTGTACCTTCTGCTTCATCTTTGCTTTGTGTTTGCCGCTGTAGTTCTGAAAGCACATGACCGGGTAGACGCTGCATAGTATCGCCGTCAAGAGACTGGCGCCGAGGAATGTTGGACGATGATAGTTGTCCTGATTCTGGTACCAGCCCATGGTATGGTTGTGGTAGGGACGTAGGTCACCTCGTAGCGATTGGCATCAACGGGTGTGTGTGGTTCGCGGCGTGTTTGGATAGAGATTTGTGGTGGATTGACGACTGGGTCGGTGCTGTCGCTTGCGAAATGACGACTAAGACGACGGGAGGCAAGGTAGGCCCGCCACGCGAGTTATTAAAGTGTTGTCTTCGGAGGCGGCGAGATGCCGATTGTCGTTGTCAGGTAGGCACAGGTGCGGTGATCGGTAAGTCGCAGTCGGAGTGCGGATGCTGTTGAGATTCACTTGCTGCGTGGAGTGAAGCGAAGGTGGCCAGTGGTAGCTGCCGAAATGGGAAACGTCATGTGCACCGACACGCAAGGTGGATGGAAAGCGCTGGTAAGACCATTAACTTCTCTCCAAGTCTCGCATGGCCACTGCCATTTGTTTGCCATGTGAACGTAATTGTCCGACCTCGCTTGGAACCGGCTTTCACATGTCACAGAACAACCCGCTGGTCCAACTTGGAGAATGTCAGCTTCGATATATCTCAATGTCAAAACATTCACAAGACACACCTTGAAGACTACACTGCTGGCAGTCGCGAATTCCTTTCGTAATCTATCGTTTGAGAACCATACCTGTTCATGGAGAGGAAACACTCTGTCATACCGACTACAGCCAAGCCCAAGTCACATCAACTCTCCCACTTGCAATAGGCGCCAGTTCTTCAAAAGCAGTCTCGGTCGTGTCCAAATCATCAACAGCGCACCCGGTGCACCTGTCAACGACCTTGAGGTCCACACTACGCATCTGGCCAACTTCCTCGTTGTATCGCTGAGCCCGTAACATTCGCCCACAAAGAGGATTGTTGTTCGAGTTGCCACCATTGCTGGATGTCGAACCTGTACGGGCATCAGCATGAGTTTCACTCCAGGAGTATCTCGAAGATTAAGTACCAGCAGCATCGAATAAAAGATGCGAAAGAGAGACAATCTTATCATCCTTGGTCGAAGTCACACCGCACGCACCAAGACCAGGCCCATAGTACGTTAGCTCACCGCTGAACGTGTTCGTGTTTGAAGGGAGAGGCAGGTTCTTGCTCCTAGAATGTGGGTTAGTCTTCGCTACAACACGACGTTGGCCACGATATTGCTTACCCTCCTCCTCGTGTCAAGCCAACAGCCAGGCCTATTATGAGCGCCAGAAGAGCAAGCACAACAGCCAGCAAGACCAGCAGGAAAGCCCTCCTCTTCATGCCCAAGTACTTCCTGTGTGGTGGAAGCAACCCATTGAACTTCGATCCCATAACCTGCTTCAATGACCTCCCAGGCTCTTGTGCACCTCCTCCCTCGTGTCGAGCAGCGATATGCTCCCACTCTGGTATCTGCGTCTCTTTATCCATAGCGGCCTTCGACTGCTCTTGCGCCGCCATCTTCACGACCTCTGCGCAGATGTGTAGTCCGAAACGATTGAGAAACCAGCGAAGAAGGGAATGTGTGGTCACTTAGCTCGTGTTGATGATGTACGCGACATTTTACAGAATGCCGCTGATCTTTGAAACCGGATCGTAGACGAGGTGAGCCAGGGAAATTGCCAAAACTAGCCGCCGGCGCTTGATTGAGGTGAGGGTCAATTGCTGGCAATACCGTACGCCGTACCCAAGTGTTTTCGTATGCCGTAGACACTTCAGCCTTGCTATCGACCGTCGACATGGTATGCAGTGGGGCCGCATGAAGCACTGGGTACAACGAGGCAAAATGCCATCGATCACCAATTTGAGGTGAAGATAACTATCTAAGCTTCACCACGTGAAATGACAGGGCCTTACGGGCATCCTCTTGTTGACCTATCTTTCACCGCCGAGATAGAGTTCCGAAAACGAAGCAGTGAAAGCCATGCCTCGGCGCTCACTTTGGCCTTGTTCAATGCAGCGCACGTGTTCGCCCTCATATCTCCTCTACTCGAATTATATCCCTCTTCCTCGTTCATTCACTTCACGACTGCTTGTGTCGACGACGCCCGTGCGCCGGGAATAGCAGAGCGCTCGGCAGGGGCCACTCGGGCCGATCGGAAAGTCTATTTCAACACCACGACGTGGGCGCGCTCAACCGCGACGTTGACATCACAAGCAGTCCCAACACCGGACTGAGAGCGCGGACGACAGACGACGTTGACCGCGGTGTGGAATGCTGTTGTCAACTGCAGCACTCGGGCTTGGAAGGCTCCTCACGTACACGACGCTTCGATGCTTGCCCTTCGGTTGACAACCACCCCTGTTCGGACGATTAACGTAAGAACAGCATTATCAACCACTTCAACATGCACGGGACGGCACTTCTGGACATGGAGCGCCTTCAAGAGTGCCGCAGAGACTCAGACCGAGACGCATCATGAGCGATATCGACCACGTTCGAGAGATCCCCAGGCCGGTCTGACCACCCCTGCGCCTGAGGAAGCAGCAGACAAGAAGAGCGCCAGTCCCTTCTACTTCGAAGCCGGATATGCAGGATGGGCTAAGCGACCATCGAGACCATTTCCTCCTCCCTTCTTCTCGCCGCCGAGCGGCTCCTTCAGTGATCCCCTCACTACCCACGACAGATCAGTCGATCGGAGACCGAAAGTAAATGGACAGATGATAAGAGGCGTGACGAACGGTGATGATGCGATGCTCGCCAGTGAGACGCTCATCTGCACAAACGATGGTGTGGGCCAGTGGGCGCAGAGAGAAAGAGGGCATGCGCCGCTGTGGAGCAGGCTCATTGCGCATTTTTGGGCACTTGCAGCTGAGAAAGATTTGTACGGTGGAGAAGGGGATCCAGACCCCGTGAAATATCTTGATGAGGCGTATGCAAGGACGAAGGAGGCTCTGAGCGAGCCGAACGAGTGGCATGGGACCACTACTGCGAGCTCGGCCCTTCTACACTGGGTGGATGGAGATAGTGGTCAGCATCCAATGCTGTACGTCACTCAACTAGGGGATTGCAAAGTCTTGGTCGTGAGACCGCACGACTCTACAGTGCTCTTTGCAACCAAAGAGCAGTGGCATTACTTCGACTGCCCGAGACAGCTCGGAACGAACTCTCCGGATACGCCTTCAGACAACGCGGTACTGGACAAAGTCGAGTTGCTCGAAGATGATGTGGTTCTCGCCATGAGCGATGGCGTCACTGACAATCTGTGGGAGGAGGAGATCTCAGATTACGCAGTGGGAGCGCTGAAGACGTGGAGAGATCAACATGGAAACGCGGATGGCGCCGAGGCTATGAAGTACGTCGCGCAAGAGGTCGTACTATCTGCGAGAAAGATTGCAGAGGATCCATTCGCAGCGTCGCCATTCATGGAGAAGGCTATCGAGGAAGGTCTTGCCGTGGAAGGAGGGAAGTTGGATGACATCTCGGTTGTGGCTGCGATTTGCAAGAGACGAAAAGACGGTTGAAAGTTCCAGGATTCAGCAGACATGACCATCATCGACGCTCGGCAACAACGGGTGCGACCATTTGCTCACCCTAACCACGAGATTACCACGTCTGAGCAGCAACTACCCCAGTCCTAACTCGGATCTGACAAAAGCCAGCTGTGCCCATGCAGCATTCCGTGCCGACATAACCGCTGTCATTTGGTCGTCGTTCCAGAACATAGGCTGGCACGGAAGAAGTATTCTTCCGATGGTTCAGGCTTTCGCCCCTGTCGTCAGAAGAGATCCGGCAGGAGACGATTTGCATCTGTCAATGCATCCACGCCGCAACCATCTCAGGGGAGGAATCCAGTCGGGATAAGCCAGCATCAAGATGCGGCAAACAGCTCATGTGTCTGATTCAACTGAGTGCATTTAAGAATGGACCATTGCTGTACACGAATTCCAGTATGAATCGCGATTCCAATGCACGCAACTTCTAACTTTCTATACCAGCTCTTGTGCACCCGACTATGCAGATGGTGTAGGGCCGAAGTCAACGGCTTGTTCACGTGAAAGCGCGTGTGTGGAGCGAGATGACGTTGATTTCGACAGGGGCTTGACTTCACCTCCCGTCGCGTGTTCCCTTTGTTGTGCTGTTTTCTCCCATCAACACGTCCTCGTTCTTTTGATCCAACATTATTGCGCCGTTTTAAGATGTCTTTAGATCAAATACCTGCCGAGCTTCTCCATAATGTCTGTTCTCATTGCTCCAAACACGAGATCAGAAGCCTACGCCTCACTTCACGCTTTGTTAGTGCGGTAGCAGATGAGCACTTCCTTCGAGATCTCGTTCTATTCTACTTGAGATCTGAGTTTGATACGGTCGAAGAGATTGTCAAAAACCCACGCGTTGCGAAAGGTGTTCGCAGCGTTCGATTCCAAGCCGATCGATTGCTGTCTCGTGGCGACGGACCAAAGGGCTTCAGTAAGATCAGGAAAAGCGTTGCACGGCTTGGGAATTTGACAGCTCCCCAACCAAGCGAGGACGATGCAGTGCCCGTGGAGAGCGAGCGCCAACAACGACAAAGACGCAGAGAGGTCGTCAAGCACAAGGCGCCGGCTCCGGCCAAGTTGGCTGCAAAAGAGGCAGAATTTACTTATCTTAAACTTTATCTGGATCAAGCTGAGCTGATGACAGAAGAGCGCTCAATGATATGTATGCAGAGACTTTTCACCGCATGCCCCAAGCTGGATTCTGCCATCGTCACCATGCAGCACTACGCCGACACTGGACCCACTCTCATGTCTCCGGCGCCGTGGCACAGTGTGCGAATGTTTCTCCAACTTCAAGTCACACCCTGGAGGGACGATATGTCGTCTAGGATCTTGTGCAGGCCGTCGAACGAATTGGTCACGGCGGCGTTCGAGGCTGGACGCAAGCTTAAATCGCTGACGCTTTCACCGATCTCTCATCAATTCTTCTCTCAAGAGGAAGAGGCAATGGCAGAACTGCATTCAGTCATCAGTGAGCTGGAGCAGGTCCACATATGTCTGGATGGAGAATTCGAATTTGATCGAGATGACGCTGCAGAGGAGGCTCGGATGCAAGCAATGGAAGACGAAGGCATAGCCATTGATGAGATCCTTGAGTCTGTTGCTGAGACCCATGACGAAGCTGCTCGGCGGGTTCTAGGTGCGCTTGAGGACGAGAGAGTGGCACGCTTCTTGCATCATGCCCCTTCACTGAGCGAGATCAGCCTGAAGGGCCCAATAGTGGACGAACCGCACTTGAAGCCTGTGGAACTCTCGCACTTGGTCGGCACAGACCCACCGTGGACGCATCTTCGATCTCTCACGCTTCTTGAGTTCAGCTGTGAGCACCCGCAACTTGTCGCTCTGATATTGAAGTATCGTGACAGCTTGGAGCATCTGAGACTCGAGGGTGCGAAGATCGATAGCTCGCTCAACTGGTGGAGGGTGTGGGAAGCCATTGCTGGGAAGCTACCAAAATTGAAGACTTTCAAGATCGACGACGACATTCTCCTCTGGTCGCGTGTTTCTTATTGGAAGAAGGACGCAGTACAAGCGTTAGAGCGGTACATTTTGACGGGCGAGCGGCCTCACATAAGTGAGATCTGGATGTAGCGGGCGGGTTATCGTCGGCTCTTCGTCATTCACTCCGTTTGCTCTGGCGAAACATGTGACTGGACTGTTGCTAGGCAACCACACCGGCACAATTTTTGGCAGCTCGCACACAGCGCGCAGAACATGCAAGACGCTCTGCGCGACAACCGCACACTCATACTCGCACGGCGCAATCGCGGTATAATCTTAACTTTACACCACCCGCATCCGCTGCTGTCCACCGACCATCACCGACCTTTCACGAGCTACCGCGGCACCAATGATGCCCGCCGCATCTTTGCCAGACCGTTTGGTCTGGGATCGCTACACCCTCTACAAGACTGGCACCAAGAAGGTCGTCTCTTGGTTGCTCGACACGGCAACATCCATTGGCTATGGAGACCCAAAACAGAAGCCCACTGGCCCAGTAGCAGTCCACAAGATGCTCAAATGCGCTACCGCCATTGTCAAAAGTCAGCGTGTGCACATTCCTGGCAGTATGGTGGACCTGATCGATGAAGTCATTCGAGGACGTCAGACATATGCAGACCTCTTTTCCTCGTCACGTCGCTCCACCGAGAAGCCGGATAGCAGCGACATCAGCCATCAGCATTTTATAGAAGCTCTTCAGGCTATCCACCAGACCTTGAAAGAGGCGCGAAAGAAGCAAAAAGCAGAAAAAGATGGACGTAACATCAATAGCATGGCGAATTTTGCGACATCACCTGCCACTCCTATCAGCCCAACGAAACCGTCCGAATTGACGCTGCCGAGAGAGCAGTCCCTTCAGAGCCTCTTCAAACACCTCCAGGTGGATGAGCCAGTGGCACAGCCGTTCTCGACGCCGGAGAAAAAGAAGGAAGCCACAGTGGCTAAGGCGCAACCCACAGTTGCCATCGATCCGATCGCTGAGAGTCGATTCGCTCTGCTCTGCTATCCCGAGGACATGGCTGAGATTCATGCCTTCGTGCGAGACTTGTGGGAGGACGTTGTTTCCGGCAAGACTACAGCAGACTGTGCCACTCAGGTCACTGAGAATGCGTTTGGATGCATGCGTCGCGGCACTTACACCCTTCACAACACGTTTCAAGGGCTGGGCAGGCGCGATGTGGATGAGTAGTTTATGTATCTCAACACTATGGCTACCACGATGCTGAACAAGCACGCAACAAGCGCCGTGGTTGGTGATCGTGCGCATTGGCATTCTGACAAGACTCACCTGCTCTGCCTTGACGCTACACTCATCGCCAACACTGCCGTCGAAGAATGCAGGGCGTATGCAGCAGCCAAGAAGAAGCGTGGTGGTGTCTATAATTTAGGTGAGACTGCAGTGAGCATCGCTGGGGTTCACCCCTTTGCTGCAGCACTTTTCAAAGCAATACCGGATCTGCACCTGGTCGCCAACCCGAACAACGAGTATGCAAGCGTATTTTATCCTCACGACGGCAAGTACGACATGCAGATCTGCGCGGCGATGATGACGCAGTCTTACATCGACATCTACGAGATCGTCGGGCCTGACAAGGTCGGTGAGCTCTTCGTGGACGCCACGAGCAGATTCGTGAAGCGACTCGAGGGAGATATCGCCTATAGAGACGCAGTCGTGGACCAGGTCCGCAACCCACCAAGTTTTGGCAGGCCGGAGACTCTGCTTGAGACTCTCATCAAGCAGAAGAAGTTCCTTTCCCAGCTTCAAGCCCCCAACTTGGCAACTGCGAAATCAAAAGTGGCGGCCGAAGCACGCCTTGCCAAAGCGCTACCGATCGGAGCTTGGGATCAATTGAAATTCAGCAAGTGGATGGTTCGTCAAGCCTCCGCTGCGATGGCCAACGATGGTTGGGTTACTCTGGGAATGGCCTATCTGTACCGTGCGTCCCGGTACTTCGGCCTACTGTCCAGTGAGTGGCCTGATATGGAGTGGCTTATCAAGTTGCAAAGCCAGAATCGCTCCTATGTCATCGAGGTGGCTGAACACGCCGACGATGAGGCTTGGTCTCGGCACTGGCGAATGGCGTTTGGGTTGCCTCCTGAGTACATCAAGAGGATCAACGTAAGTCAAAGTGAAGGATGGCAGGATGAGACAGACTACGCTTTCAACAGCATTGCTGGCTGCAAGAGGGCGGCAATGCTTCCAGAGAGGAATTTGAGAGCTTGAGACATGCTGACATTTATCCTTTGCGTGTAGATGAACAGGATCACAGACGGCATGCGCAAAGTCGAGAGCAAGCTCCTATGGCCAAAGCTCGGCGAAGTCCTGGCCCGGGCAGAGGAGGTGCTCGGATACGAGCGCGGCGACATGGCCGAAGAAGTGCTGCACCAAATCGCCGACCTCGTGTACGCCAAAGACGCCAAGAAGCAGCGTCGCGGCGAAGCGAAATACACCTCCATCGAACTCCTCTCCGCCTTCAAGCAAGCCATGACGCACGATGAGCTGCAGCTCAACTTCTCGTACGCCGAGTTCTGGTCGATGAATGCGAGGTTGCTGCATCAGCTCTGGCAGTTTCTAACTCCGAGGATTCCGGATATGCTCAAGGAAGAGGGTATTGGTGCTGATATGGAAATTGTTCATCCGTTGCTTAAGGAGGCTGGACTTAGTGTCACGGCTAGTCAGCCTCTTGTTGGCACGCAGTTGGCTGTTGCGGCGAGGATGATTGAGATGCATGTCTTGGCTTGTGGCAATAAGTTCACGAGGGATTCGGGGCTGATGTCGAGTGAGGGGGCTGGGGAGGGGACTTGGATGCTTAAGTGACCAAGTTGAGGAAAGAGGCAGCCAGCGTTGCCCCGGCTGCAGGTTATGGGAGAGGTGTGCTGCGGTTTTTCCAGCGACATGGCGATCACATTCGGAGGCAAGATGAGTGCAGACCTGGAAGGCAGTCAATACGGATCGTCCGTACTGTATTGAATGAACGTTTCGAGCGTCGAGGTCTTGGTAGTCCCTTTTTCTCAAGTTCAGGCTGGCCACATGCATGGAAGGCAGTATTCCAGCCCATTGATATCTTGAATGCACTGTTGCTGTCTCCTCGCGATCATGGAAGCTCGTTAGTACCAACGACACAGTGCCCGCCGAATCTCCTTGGAACCCCTATCCCTTCAGCCCCTCAGCCTGATCACCGCAACCTGCCTACCCCTATCCCTATCCCACAACCGCAACCGCATCCCAATCCACACTCAACCACCAACCCCATCTCACCAACCCCATCTCACCAACCCCATCTCACCAACCCCATCTCACCAAACCCCTCGCAAAATGTCCCACTGCCACTGGCCCGGCACCCGAGGCCGTCCCCCAACCACGCGAGGCGCCTACCAGGGCCCCGACGACCCCACATGGACCGGCCGCGATCGATTTAACACCTCTCGAATGTGGAATCGCAACCTTCGTCGTTACGCAGGGAACGATCGAGGGCTTGAAGTTGCGTACGGGGGTGGTTGGGGAGGGGCTTATGGGAGGGAGTGGTTTGATGAGGCGAGGGGGAGGTTGAGGGGGTTGCAGGGTGGGGGTGGGAGGTATGGAAGTGGGAGGGGGGGAGGAATGGTGGGTTTGTGTAGGGAATTGAGGTGGTGGTATGGAGGTGTTACGTCTTCAAGCTGTTTTGTTGTCCGCTCAGAAGCACTTGAGATATTGGGATTAGAAAGTCGTCTTCGTCTGGCGTTCCATAATGTCTTGCGCTACAGTAGTTATCTGGACGAAACAATGTGTTGAACGCCTCTATTACACGATACCATGCTATCTCCTTTGGGAATTCAGTGTGCAATGCTGTGTGGTACGACTTTGAGCGGGAACTCAATGTTGATGAGATCTGATGTTTTCGACCATTTCTGCATTGACTACCTCGGAAACCCCTCTTCAATGATCATGAACATATTAAGTTTAGTCGCAATATTCGTGGCATTTGATTATGAACGCTCTACTATCGCAGACGCCCCATAGCCTGATCACACCTCAGAACAACCACTCCTCACAAACCCCCACCAAAACCTAACAACTTCCGCAATCACCTCCAACCCACCTCCACAGCCCCTATAACATGCAACCTTGGCCAGGAACCCGAGGCCGACCGACCTTCGGCAGCCGCATCCAATACCAAGGCCCTATAGGCCAAAATTTCCCTGGTCGCATTGCAATGCTTGAGAGACAGACATTCGGTCGGGCTGCACGATCGTCCATCAATGATCGTGCTTTCGGCTATGCGGGAGGTTGGGATGGGCCTTATGGAGATGCGTGGTATGATCAGGCTGCGGGACGGTTTGGTGATTTGCAGCCTGGCTATGTGAGGCGGGGAGGGTCGCAGTTGGGGAATGCGCCGTATTATGGGGGGTTTATATAGATTTATTGGGGAGTTGGGGAGCAGGTTGTATGAGGTTGCTTGAGCTGTTGTTGAATGTGCTTTGTACTTCCCAAGATATTTGGTTCCATGTTCATCCATCCGACACGCTGGCTGCTTCTACAGGTCAGGTTTGAACCATTGTAGCCCTATCTTCGTCGTTTTCGTCATGCCTATCAGAATGACAATGTATAGTGGATTTGGCCCTTATAGCGTTCAATCTGACAACTTTGGCTTCGCGCAAAGGTCGTACATTCCTCAGAGCTACAGACTTCTCTTCGCCGAAAACCATAGAGCAAGACCACCTAATTGAGCATTCCATGTACGTAACCTGTCGTCCACAAGGAATTCATGTGTGAAGTATTTGGAAGTAGTCAATATGAGTCCCACTCCTGCATTTAAACGCAGACCCAACGCCCACAGCCTTACCCCCAACTCAACATCAACACACACCAAGCCCCGTCAGCTGAACGATTTCCAAGCCCCTCAATACCCATCAACACTTCAACCCACTATCAAACCCATACCTCAACAATGCAAGGCTGGCCAGGAAGCAGAGGTCGCCCATCCTTCGGCCGCGCTGGCTACTTCGGGCCCAACGGTCGATTCCGCGGTCGAGACGCCCTGCTGGACAATCAACTCGTGAACCGCACGAGCGCACTTGGTTGGCCCCAGTACGATTTTGGATATGGAGGAGGGTGGGCTGGGCCTTGGGGCCAGACGCAGAGGGTGCGGATGCAGAACCAGTTCAACGCTTTGCAGCCGGGCTTTGTGTACCCCGGGCGGAGGAGCTATGGGAATGCACCGAGGTATGGTGGGTTTATTTAGGTAGGCATTGTGGATTGAGGTTATGTCTGTAGGTGAATTATTGTAGCGTTAGCAACTAAGCAGTTCCGGGCTTCGTGCGATATCATCTTTTTGAATTTTCTGCGTTCGTGGTAAGGCCACTGCTGTCTGAAGTTGGTTGTATATTTGAAAACGAGGAACATGAGAGCATCAGCACCTAGGCCTGTACTTGTCTTTCAATCGCCCTCTTGGTAGCCTCATCAAGATTTTCCTTTAGCAACCCCAACACGCGATTGAGCGTCCCCTTGGTGCTTTCAAAGTCACCACCGCCGTTCGGAAAGAAGACCCGAGAATAGAGGAAGTTAGCGCCACCGAATTTGCCTTCCTTCATCTCTTTGATGCCTTGTTCGTACAACTGGCGGGAATCTTCTTTTGTCACGGTCCAGTCTGTCTCTTTCGTGCTGGTGACTCGGAGAGCTGACTCCAACATGTCTTGTTGACTGACGGTGAAGGAGTTGATGTAGACCAATTGGTTCTTGTAGCGTTCAAGGCAGGGTTCAATGTCGGAGTGGACGGGCAGGCTAATAAGAGCTGCCACAGCGCGGCCAACCTGGAGTACGTTAGCCATGGATGTGCGGTGAACATCATGAGTCATAGCTCACTTGTGGCCAGGTCGAAGTTGAGATCTTCGTACTGCCATCGTCGTAGAACTTGACGGCTCGCTTTGCAAAGTCGAAGCCATAGTTGTTCGCAATACCAAGGCTGTACTCGTACCAGAAGCCAGTGGCCACTGCAACGTAAGAGCTCTTTCTTAGGTCCTCGATGAGCTTTCGAGTAGCGACTACAAGGCGCAAGATTCGTCAGCAGAAATTATGCAGCAAACTCCAATCAAAAGCTTACCTTTCATTCCGAAGAGGAAGACATCATCGATAAGGCCTTGGTTCGCAGAGTCCGGAGACCATTCATTCGGTAAGATCCACGGCACTCCAGCCTCCCCAGCAGCCCTAACCAGCTTTTCTTCGATTGACTGAATCGGCGAACGCCCGCTGACCGTGATGACGAGAGCATCTTGGCCTTTCAAAGCCTCGACTAGGGTCTCTGGCTTCTCGTAGTCGACTCTCTTGGGGATTACGCCCTCAGGAAGGCTGCTTTGGCTATCAGCCCGAGTGATTGCTGTCACGATATGTTGGCCAGTCTTGAGCAGGGCTTGGGTGATGAAACGTCCGACATTGCCGCCAGCCTTGCATTATGCGTTAGATACTCATCAGCATGGATAAAATGATCGACATGCTTACGCCAACGACAGCAACTTTGCGAATGTAATTTGTGTTAGCCATGGTAAATGCTGAGCCAGTCAAAACAATCTTGTTTGAAGGGAAGAGGGAAGACTGGAGACACCGAAAATTGATGGAAGCTTGGTAGCTTTAAGGCTGAGCAACAGCCCAGCGTCTGCATCAATGGCAATAGGCGCAAGTCTCGGGGTTTACTGCGACCTGCATCAACCTACTTTGGCGCCCAATGACCACAAACATCACTTTCGGTTTGCAGCCCGCAATTCTCTCTCAGCCGCTCGGCGACATCATTATCGCATGAAATGCAATCCGAAGCAGTATGGTGTGCGTAACTTCGAGATCTAGGGTCCACTCAAAGACGGCGACTAGCCCGATCTCGTATCTTGAGAGCGGATAGGCCCGCGTGAGGGGGCGGGGGCCGATAGAGTGAATGAAAGACATCATTCTTGGAAGGTGCGTTCTTGAAATCGACAGGTCGTTGTGGCCGGATTCGCGCATAGGTGTGCTAGGACTTAGTTGCGAGCGTCAGGGATGGCGGATACTTGCAGCTGCAAGTACCCATGCGGTCAAACGAACAGCCAAACGGCCCTCGTTTGCACAGGTTGGATCAGACGGTTCTCCGCAGCATTCGCAATGCACACTTCGAGTACTCAGTTAATATCGATGTCACTTTCATCCCTCGGACTACCTTTGGCCAGGTCGGCAATTTGTCTTTTCAGCCTTCGATACGTTCTCGAACGCCATCTTCGAGTCGGCACCGCAGCTCCCACTGAAATCACTCTCCTGAGTTCCATTCCGAGCAGCTGTGCCTGAGGAGAATATCGCCATCTGGTTCAAGTACGAAATTGAACGTGTGAAGTCTCAATGGCCTCCAGCGATATCGGGCGGCACTATCGTGTCTACAAGCAAGGAGGCGAGCAAATCGCCCGCTGGTTGGTCTCCACTGCTGCCGATCGCGACCGAAACCGAAGCACGAGTGACAAAACTACCTCCGTATCCACAACTCGCCTTCTCGAGCTGGCCAAATCAATTGCCTCGTATCGTCCTCCAGTTCACATCTCGAACCACATCCTGGATCTGATCGCAGAAGTCATCGATGGTCGTGAGAACTGCGCCAATTTCTACGTCAGCCAGGGTCTGGACTGCTCCGGCCACCGCCACTATATTCAGGTCCTTCGCCAGGTCCAAAAAGTGCTCAAGCAAGTACAGAGCCGCCATGGAGAGAGACTCCCACCAGTTCCGGCGAGAAGTCGCTGCCAATCAAACGGACCGCTCTGGGCAGTTCACGAGCCAGAAGCGTCGGCTACGGTGGCCGAGTTCCTGGAATCGCAAGATCCTCCACTGGAAGGATGGACAGTGGTGTGCACAAGAGGACGGAGGCGCTCAACTCGAGTCTTGTGAAAGTTTCACGGACCACAGATGCCGCAGCAAGGAAGAATGGGATGTCACATGGCTTTTGCGACTTTTACAGCGAGACCGTCAGGGAGGACCTTCCCTCGATGCCATGGACGCTGGATACCATATGCTCCGATGAAATGTACTGGTCTCCAATTGAACATCAGAGACATTGCGGCAGTCGTGTCGGCCATTGGAGTCTTTGTTCAGGAGAGAGCGTGTCGGAGTCCAGAAGGGTGGCCACGCAGGAGCTGATCAATCGGACTCTTTCAGGGGCAAGGACGTTGATTTGCATGGCATAGCGTTTGGTTTCATAGTTTCCTCATCGTAGTATTCCTGATAGCGCAACCAACCCCCAAAACATCGCCTAGAAAGAGGAGGTAGAGAAAGTCCACAGCCCTGCCGTTGCCCGTTGGTGAAGTTGAGATTGAGTTCAAGGTTTGCGCTAGTAATTGCCAAGTCTCGGTATACCTGCCGCGTCTGGCCATCCGCGTCTTTGAACTTCGACATCTCGCGTGCAACTTGAATGCGACATTCAAACAACATCATCCAACTCCGCAATCATGGCAGCAACAACGGCTGGGCTGCCACCCGATCCATTACTCCTGCTCAAACAGTCAATCGCAAAGGGCTCACCTCCAATACCAACGACCGACCCCGATCCATCCAACCAGGCCGAATCCAATGTCGCTACCACATACGCCACGCACCTCATCTTCAACCTCGACTCGCCTCAAGATGGCCCACAGCACATCGCAATACCAATGTCACAAGAAACGCGCTTTGTTTCAGCTGCATATGGCCGGGCCATGGAGCTGCGGTCCGTTTTCTACTGCTGGGAGAAGAGAGATATGCAGACTGCCGACTACATTCGATCAGTACAGTTGCTAAACCAGGATCTCAAGAAGGCGGGCAGAGACTACACTGTGACCAACATCCAGTTCGCTGAGAAGCTTGACCTGGTCTCTTGGCTCCAAGGCGAGATCACAGACCATGAGAGCCTGTACGTCAAGAGCCTCGATGACAACAAAGAGGCGAGGGTCGAGGCGAAGGATGCCGCCAAGCAGGCTGCTGGAGACGCAGATGTTGAGATGCGCGATGCAGCGATGGATGATGGAAAAAGGAGAGAGGAAGAGGAGCGGTTGCGGTTGATATACGCGGCTGAGCGCAAGATGGGCGACCACAACACCGTGCTGCGCGGAGTCAAGATCCAGGACTTCAGTGGCATTCGCAAATACAGCACTATCTTCCTTGGTAAGGCCAAGAACGCACCCAACGCTGCCCAGGCACAGGCCAACACCACGACTCTCACAAACAACCCTGCATTGCGCCCGCCCGTTAAGCCCGCATCTGGACGTCGTCCGGAGCCCATCATCCTGCTTTCATCATCCTTCTCTAGCTTGCTGCGGATGCCGAACATCAAGTCATTCCTGGCAGAAGGTGTCTACACTCCTCTCGAGTCGAGCACCGAGGCACCCAACATTCTGCACATCTCTCGCCCACTGCGAACCATCTATCCCGGCCACGCGACTCGATTCATCATGGTGGACGACCCTTCGAACTTCCGACCCGACTACTGGAACCGAGTTGTTGCAGTCTTCACTACTGGTCAAACCTGGCAATTCAAGAACTACAAGTGGCAGAATCCTGCTGAGCTCTTCAGCCACGCGCTTGGTGTGTATGTCGGATGGAAGGGAGAGGTGGTGCCCGACACGGTCAAGGGCTGGGGTAGGCAGGTTATGAGCGTGCAGATCGACAAGGGGTCAAACAGATGGCGGGATCGTGAGGTGGTGGAAGATATCTGGAGTCAGATTGAAGCGAGGATGCGGGCTATGGGCTGGGGAAAGTGAGAAGTCAGTCTCAGCAGGGGACATGTCTTGTTATTGCAATTTTGCTGCGTTCGAGCGAGGCGGCGTTGGTAATGGAGCTGCAGACGCAGCTGGGAAAGCAGCCGAGTTCAGATCACTGAGAGAATTCACGAATGAAAACGCATGAAGTGCATAAACGTACACCCTTTGATCATTTCGAGTTCTGTTACCCAATCGAGACCTTTAAGTTTGTGGTCTGTCTCCTAGCACTGAACCATTGGTACCTCATCCCATTGTGCACCAAATCAACTCGCAAGCTCTATCCTTCTCCATACCGTGTGCAAGCAATTGATCTACACTCTTACTCCTGCAACTTCCGATCCATCGCCGCCTGAATCTTCGCCTGGCTGATCAACTCATTCAGCGCGATCTTCTGCTTAAAGTCTGCCGAGTCGAACTTCGCAAAGTCCTCTTCCGACAATTCCAACTCAGAAACGTGGATCTTCACCGGCTTGGCGCACGCCCAGCCAGGGAAAGGGTCTTCAGGCTTTAGGCCCATCTGCTTCTTCATCATATCTTCTTCGCCTTTCTGCCACTCGGCCATCTCCTTGAACTTCTGCGCACTGCCGCGTGGGTCGTAGACGACCTTGTGAGCTGCGGTGAAGTGGCTGAAGACGGCTTCTTCGCTGGCGAGCATCTGTTCCATGGGCGACGTGTCCATATTCGCAGAATCGAACTTGCGGAAGTTGGGCCGCAGGTCTTTAGGGATACGACCGCTCGATTGCCGGAATGCCGCGGTGGAGATTTTGTTGGAGGAGAATTGCTCGTCGTTCTGGGCTTTCTGGCCAATGTAGACTTCGAGGATCTTGCAAGCTCTCTCGAGGGCAGTGATGCCTCTCCCTGGTGAGGTTTCCAAACTGGGCGGGTTCTGACGAATGTGGGAAAGGAGCAGGTGGTAGAGGAACTCATAGGATGTCAAGAGATCGCGATGAGGCAAGTCGAATTCCGTCCCCAGGTTGGGCATCACACGGTCGCGGATGTAGGGCTCCATCATGGCACAGTCATAGGTGAAGGCGAAGAAGTCGAAATTGAGCATTGGCTCGTCGGCGATGAAGGCTTTCTTGAAGGTTTTGAGGAGCTGCTTGGGTGTGAACGGTCCCATTGAGGCATGCTGCTGCTTCGCTCCCTTCTTCTGTGGCTGCGTCACGTTGATCTTCTTCGTCATGGAAGTCAACATCAACTCGAGGAGTTCATCCCGCCACACGCCGAGCTCTTCCTCGACTCGCGACGTCTCATCGCCACTTCTTGGAAGCTGGAGTGTGTTGACTGGCCTCTTGGCCCTCTCCGCGTATTTCTTATTGGAAGGCAGACCGGGGATCTTGTTGTTGGCGAACTCCTTAGCTGACACTCCTAGCGCAAGCAGGAAATGCTTCAGACAAGTCACAGCATCAGCTCTGCTGCCGGATCTGGTTACAAGAGGCTCGATGGACTTTTGGGCTGAGATCACCATCTCCATGTCATGCCACCCCGACTGGATCACGCCGAGCTTTCGTCCTGTCAGGTAAAGATGTGCCATACAAAGGACAATGTTGCCGCGGCAAGCTCCGCTGATGCCAGCCTGGTGGAAAGCCATCTTGTACCGCCACAACTGCGTCCCCATGACACACGGCAGACCTTGTATGCTCTTCAGTGGGACGCCATCGGTGAGGCCAAGGTCTGTCTTGCAGTTTCGCAAGAGCTTCTTTGTGTCTGCTCGCAAATAGAAGCTGAACGACTCGTGGTTCGTGTTGAGTTGCTTCAAGGTCTTTCCCAGGATGGCGTCATGTGAGGGCCGTCAAAGGTGGCTCTCTGGCGCTGAACAATGCGCTGCATCTCTGAGACCTCGTCTAGGTACTGGTTCGCCATGCGCGCCGCGTCCGCTCCAATGACCTCGTAGATATCGCAGTAGATCTGACAGGCTATAGGGAGCCACGGTGCCAGTTCTTTAGCGCGATAATAATTGCGAATCCCCTCCACAAACTCGCTACTCAGGAAGGTGTTGTTATGGTTGCCGGCATTGCGCTGGCTGCGCTCTTCGGGGGAAAGTCGCCATGTGACGAGCTCCACGGCTGCTGGAAGCAACAGTAATCGTGGGAACTCGAAGATATCGTGGTTTAGGGGCATGCCGCTTACGAACGTGCCTCTCGTCAGATCGCGTGGATCGTGCTTTGTCGCCTCTTCATGCATCTCTGTCTTCAGCTTTTGCAAGTGATAAGCTGACGCTGCGCAAATCAGATCGGCCAGATCGGTTGATGACTTCGACTCCTGTGAAGTTGGGGCAGTGGATCGCGGGTGGATGTAGATGAATGGGCTTTCGTGGGGCAAGTGGGTTGTCTGCTGCTCGAGGCCAAGGTATTCGAGGATGTAGGACCAGTCCCGAAAAGCGCTGTTCGCAGCGGTGAAGTTGGTACCGGAGATGCGCAGTAGGGCGATACCAGCTTCCGTGATCGTCGCGACTGCGGCCATACTAAGATCGCCTCTCTCATATTCTGTCCAGGCCTCTTTGAGAAAGACGCGAACATCTTTGGCGTCTTCGAGAAAGCAGAACAGGCCGAAGGCAGTATCATCCTTGTTGTCGCGGTCGCCGAGGCTGATGCTTGACTTCTTGTTGCCAAGATCGATGGTGATCTCGTATTTCGGTGCCTGGCCGAGAGGCTCATCAGATGGTTCTTCGAGTTCCAGCTGAGCGAAAAGGTTGTTGAAGTCGCATCCAAGGTCGTGCAGAGACTCTTTCTTCTTTGATTCTGGCTTTGTCTCTTTGTTCGCCTTGCACTCCGGCCGTGCACTCCCCGAGAGAAGCTGCAGTACCCGCCTCAACACCTCGATGAAGAAGGCATGGCTCTTGTTCTCGTCGGCGAGATCTTCTGTTAAAGGCAGCAGAGCGTACCAGGTTGCGCAGGCCTGGCGACCCTCGATCACTTGTTCGAGAAGGCTAATGACAGCAGGCGGAACAAGGGCAGAAGAGTTGGATATAGTCTCCGCAAAAGATATGATCTCTCGAGTAGTGATTCTCTTGCTCGAATCGCGCTTCCTCGAGCTCGAGGGCGGCGTCGCGACGGGTGTTAGGGTGTTGGAGACGCGCTCGGCGGTCTGTACAAGCCACTCGATGAAGCGCTTTGTGCTTGCCTTGTATAGTATCTGGCGACCCAGCATTTGTGCGTCCATCGTGGAAGTGCCTCAACCTGAGTCTGGTGGCTGCACAAAGTTGTCGAGTGTCGCGAAGTCGGAAGTTGAGGAATACGGAGGAGGATAGATTTGTACGGGAACCGCCGCTGCAGCGCGGAAGATGACTCATAACTGCAAGTGAATGTTCGTCGCTTTGCGGTAAAACTGCCATTCACCAAACTATAGATAGGGTTGGCAAGGGATGTATAGTGAATTCAGCGAAGTAAAGGTAGTGAAATGACTTAGCTTTTATACCTTGACTTCCAGTTTGCTTATAGATCTAATGATAATTTTGTCGTCTTTGAGAGTGTTGTGGATAAAAGGCTGCCATTTCGCTTTCAAATCTCTCCACAGGCATGAGGAGGTTTTCCTGCCTTTTTCAATCTGAACAATGCCGACCGTGGCCCTTAGTCTGGCCATATTGATCAATCTCCTGACGTATAATTGCATCATGTCCGTAGCGGAGGTTTGCCGAGTAAAATTTGCGCATCGTTGTTGTAGTCAAAGAGTGAAAGCTGCTGAGGAGCAGGTGAAGTCGAATTCAGATCGGCCCCCGCAGTCGGCACCCCGCCAAGAGCTCCGAGACGACATCCCACTTGACCTCAGCTGCAAGGCACCACTCACATTCCCCAAACAACTCTCCAACCCTACCTCAACAATGACCACCGCTGACCCTTTCGACGCTGCTCTGTATGTCACCAACCTACCGTTGCTTGCTCCCCGCTAACGCCATCCCCAGCGACCTCCTCCGACGCCTTCCCCCGTCCTCCACCCAGAAGAACCTCAATGGCATCATCTCCCTGCAACCCGACCTCGAAGAAGACCTGCTCTCCTCAGTAGATGTCGCCTTGACCTCGAAACGATGTGTCACATCCGGACGAGACTATCTTTGCTGCGACTACAACCGCGACGGCAACAGCTACCGCTCGCCCTGGTCCAACGAGTTCGACCCGCCAATTGAGCCCGACGATGCTGCGGAGGTCACGCCGCAGGGCCGAGTACGGCGGATGGAAGAAGCCTTGAACTCTGCTGTCGATGTCTATCGAGAACTGTACTACGAGGGAGGTACGAGCAGTGCGTACTTGTGGGCCCTGGACGAGGGCTTCGCAGGATGCGTGCTATTTAAGAAGAGTGCGAGCCAGGGAACCGGAGGCAAGGGAGGCTGGGACAGTATACACGTGCTGGAAGTCAACGAGGCGGCTACGAAGAGGAGCGCGGACTACAAGCTGACGTCGACCGTCATTTTGGATCTGGGCCTGCAGTCTGCCGCAGTCGATAATCTGGAGCTGGCAGGCAACTTGACGAGACAGACGCAACAGAAATGTCCATTGAATGGCATGCGGGACAATGAGATTGAGCAGAGCCATGTGGTCAACATCGGACGCATGGTCGAGGATATGGAGACGAGGATGAGAAATCTGCTGCAAGAGGTATACTTTGGCAAGGCGAAGGATGTTGTCGGCGATTTGAGGAGTATACAGCCGCTCAGTGAGGCCGAGCGTGACCGAGCGGCACATCAAGAAGTCATCAACAAGATGGGACGATGAGCAATGAGATGAAGCTGAACCAACGCATAGAGATACCAAGCTACAGCATCGAGTTGAAATTCAGAAAACTTGCCAAAAGACGCCAACAGTCGTGCATATTCCGAGTGTTTCTGGTCCTTGATGCTCAATCTATTAAAGTGTCGCTGGCATGTTGAACCCATTCGGGCGTTGCTTATAAAGTGATTGTTTCTAATTGTCAATGAGGAGACTTTGACGCTGACAAACCCGGGGACTGGGCCTCAGAACCAGGACGATTAAGATGCACGGTATGCCGCTCAATCGTATAAGCGACTGCGGTTGACTTCTCGACCAGGGAAAAGTAGTGGCCACATGGAGCACTTGTCTGCGAAAAACGTGCCACAACAGGGCAATCATCGCGAATATCATTCCGAACATCGAGCAAATGCCGCTTCCAGGCCGATATAAGCACCTCGTCGAAGCGAAACAACCCCGCTCATCTCTTCATCACTTGTAAGAGAAGGCAGCATCTTGACAGCACCCAGCCTCGAACTTTTCGGGTCCGAACTCGAAATCTGACAAACGCATCTACTCCACGGCGCAACCAGAGGCAATGTAGTATAGAACGACCGTACGCGCTCATGATGGGTGAGAGTATGCAGTTGTGGCAACCAAGAAATGAAGCCAGTTACTACCCTTGCTCTCGCAGCGGCTTTGCTGCCCTGTGTCAGATCAGTCGGGTCAGTCGGCGGCCATGTCCCTCACAAGTGCTTGAACGACAGCGGCTCTTTCTCGATTGATCACCCAACGTATATCCTGAGAGCGGTGACTTCGACCCACAGACGTGTAGTGCATACATCAGGTCGGAGAATCTGACAAGAACATGAGGTTGTTAGGCCCAGCTGACTTGGACTAGCTCTACGGGAAACAACACCCTAGTTGTCTATCACTTCCCATCGGCCAGTTCCAGAGCTGTACAGTTTACAGGAATCTCGTACAATGACGAATATCTCCTCGATGGCGTCGACTTTGATCGATACTCAGGGGATGTCTACGTTTCGGCCGGCGCACGCCCTGCCTTCTTCACCAATGGACAAGACTTGACGGGCCCAAGCGTTTTGATCCGCTATAACCCACGCCAGGACCGTGTGGTCTGGATATCCAATATCACCGAAACAGTCGCTCAGCTTGAGTCCAGGCTCGGACATTCTATAGGAGGCTTTCAGGACCAAGCAGAAGACAGAAAGGGCAACTCATATTGCATGGCGACATGGGGCAATGTCTTGATCAAAGTCGATTCACGCGGCTCTGCTGCACCCTTTTATGCACCATCGGGACCAACAAATGCTACTTCGTCTGCTGGCTTTGGCGGGCTGTTCGTCCAAGGAGACACCATGGTCATAAGCGACGTCATAAGTCAAAGCTTTGTGGTCTTCCATCTTCGCTCTAAGAAGCCACGACCACATTTCACTCATCCAACTAATGTCCCAGCTGGATACAAGCCCTTACTCTGCGACTCCCTCTACGCACCATCAAGGTACCACGGCCGCATTGCCCTTTGTGCAGATGATTTTGTCAACGGTACGGGTGGCATTGTTGCTTATGCATCGAATGATTCCTGGCAGACGGCCGAGTATGTCGGCATTAGACAGAACGACTTCAACGATGCACCGAACGCGACGGTGACGGCAACGTTGCAGACGGAACAGGCGATATACGCTGTGGTTGCTTACATTCCTGGTGCTGATGGGACGTTCGTCAACACTTCGTATTTTCCAATTGTTGATATTACGAACGATATTGACGACATTGTGCGCCCCGTCTTGAGTACTTGGGATTATGGCTGGCAGTAATTTGGATGAAGAGATACTTGAGCTGGTGAGAGGGGAACTATCTCTTCGTCGAATCGCAAAGACTTTCTCTAAACTTTTCCCTGCCGAAACAGTATGCTTAACAAGACATCCATCACGAGGTCCTTGATCACGCTGCTATACAGAATCCAGGCTCAGCCCTTCATCTCAGATCGCTGTCGTACCATACAGCACCAAATCGGCTACGTCGGCAGTATGAGCATTTGGAACTCCAATACCGCCCCTTGTTTCAATCCAATCTACGTAGATCAGTCAGTTGGCACATCACCTCGTCACCTGTGATTCATCACTTACATCCCCGAGCGTACCCTTGTTGTCCACCCCCTTCCCTACCTTCATCGCATTCCCTTGACTATCATACACAGCTCGGCCTCCATAAATCAATTGCCTCCTCCCCCCTGGCAAATTCCCATGTCGTTCAAAAAGCAGCATCCCCAGATCCTTCAAGGGCGTCTTCGGTCGTCCATGAACTGGTACGAGCTGTTCTGATACCGATCCAGAAGTCTTCGCCCAGAAATCAGTGTCTGAGTCTGGAAGACACAGTCCTGGGAGATGCGTGAGTTCGATCTGGGTCCAGAGAGCAGAAGGGCGTAGCATTCCGTCGTTGGAGAGGGGGAGCTATGTCTCGGGTTGCGTTAGTATGCCTTCGCAAGATATTTCGAAGAGGTATCAAACCTCATCAAACGTCTTTTGAGCCTCGAGGACCTCATCGTTGAATGTGAGTCGTTGCCGGACGACCGGCACTCCGGTCTTGGCTTCGACAAGAGCTTTGAGATCGGCTACCAGCATGGTGTTCTTGATATCGAAGACGTAAACGCCGTGGTCTTGCCAATGGACTCGGACTTGGTACTTGATCTCTCTTGTGATCTTACTGTCCCGTCGTTGGATAGGTTTGGAAGCTTGTTGTCTGCTTGGGTAGTTATACCTCAAGGCATCGACAAGGCTGCGGGAGTTCCGCTCAACAGTAACAGTAGACGCCATTCTGATTAGTACTACCCACCCAAGATCCTTTCTATTCAAGACGAGACCACCACATATATATCCTAAACCCCCATCACGTGTCGCCAAGCTCATGTCGTGAGCGAGAGAGGGGTCCCGTCTCATCCATGTCATGCCAAACGTAAGAAAAATTACGCCTCTGCAGCACATGACATTGACCAACTAGGTCGAGCTACCAATCGAGCTGTATTTATGTGTCAACATTGACTGAGGAGCGTAACGTGGACGAGAACTTTGATGGACATGTGATGGGATTGCCGAGGGCTGCGAGTCTTTGCTGATGGTTCATGGTTGATGTTTTATTGATGGATTTCGGGGTCCGAAAAAGACGTGCTATTAACTCCATGCTGGCTGAAACGATGGCAAGAAGGATGTTAGAGTAAGGTGTGATGCTTCACCGCATGGTGTTGCAGAAGTAGAGAGTGATCACGCTCTCTGGTCCAATTCCAAGCTGTTAGCACTGTCAGCAAATCCATTCCCATCCTGAAGTTCGGATGATCAACTCACCTCCTCCAAAGTGTATATCAAGTGTGCTTCTCCAGAATCATACGCATACCCGTCAAAAATGACATTACCTCGGTGGACCAGCCTTTGCAATCCTGGACATATGCCTTGCCTGTCGAAAACCGCAGAAGCCAGCTCTGCAGTCGTCGTCTCGCCTTGGACCAACAGGGGAATTTGTTTATCACCGACCGTCTGAACGATGATTTCGTAACCTGGGTACGGTTGACACGGCTCTTCCTCTTCGCAGTCAGAGGCTGGCAGTGTGTCGACAGACGGTGCTTTTCGGAGGAGGTGAAGTTTGGAGCCATCGCCAATGCCATACTGAATCTCGTTGTTAGCTGTGCGTTCTCCATAAGGTTGGATTGTAAGACTAACAGTGCTTAGTGTAGCATCGGGCTGATTCAATCGATATCCTCTCCATACCAGCCGCAGCGCTTCAGCCGGGACGCCAGAGACCTGCTCTGCCCTGAAGGCAACTTCTTCGACCGTCATTGTACCTGTGACAGACAGATAATATATTTCTTCCTCCCCGTTGACTATGTCGACAATGTCGATTGAGAAGTCGTCGTAGTAGCTTTCCCTCGCCGACCACCAACTGTCCGACTCTGAAGAGCTTGCAGAGCCTCCCTCTGGTACAGACGCTGGTATAGATGCTGATGTAGACCGTGAGGCGATCACAAATTCCGAATTCGGGTCAGGGAGTGGTCGACCCGTGTACGAGATGCCCGACGAGTTGCCCTGGGAGTACGAGTCCGACGGTTGTCTCGAGAAACTTCCTGATAACTCTCTAGAGTAGCTGGAGGATTCTTTCGAGTAGGTCGACAAAGGAGGCGTCAAGACACCATAGGGTGACAAGTTTCGATTTTCTTCCAGGGCCGGTGAAGTTGTGATGCTCCAGGGGAGTGCTTTCACCGCGTCGATGACGGCATTGGCAACCGTGAACAACGCCGAGTCAACGTCCTGATCAGCTGTGCGAGAGTCGTGGGCTTTGCGGAGGATGGCTGCTGTCTCCAGCGGGATGGTGACTGTGAGATTCAATGACATATTGCCGGCTGATTGTGTGAAGAAGGTGTTGGGCATTCCTGGCCTGAGCTGAGGCTGCACTCTTGATTTTGACCGTGAGATTGTTGACCTCGTTGCCAGAGCAGACCTCGATTGTTGCTATGGCCAACAACGCCGCCGGACAGTGAGCCATGCGTTCGCGAACTGGTTTGTCTAAGGCCCATGGAAGACCTGTCGTTCGTCCATGTCGATGGTCGATCTTAGCTGAATGTGGCTAGCGGTCTGGTCGTACCAGATGAAGTGAAGCCTCGCCATGGATGCCACGAGTAGCAAGACCGTTACGGAGAATTTCCCAACGGCTGTACCATATTTCCTGGTTCAAGACGACATCGTCGATGTCCAAATGCTGTGCAATATTCGTGATCGCTCTGCTTGTCCAAGCGCTTTGTTCTCTGTCTCTTCCTGTATCACATTCCTTCGAGTAGTGGAGTCGTCACGCGTCTGTCTCTGGATTATGCATTGTGTTGTCTTGATTAAGTCCCAATTCCTCCTCTTCGACCTTTTTCTGTGCTAACTGAAGAATACTACGATTGGATCGCAAGGAACCCTACAGCACCAAGATCAGCAATCATTGCATCAAAGCACGATGGAGGGAGACTAAGGAAAAGAGATGCAACAGGATAATGAGCTTGAAAGTCAGGCTGTCATTGAAGAGATACCCTGTATCCAAGCAGTGAGAATCACGCTAGGGAATGCGCGACCATCAAGGTGGATGTTGCAGGGTGCTTATTTCGACTACATCTTGAAAGTAGTCAAGAAGGAGTTGGCAAGCTCACAGGTTTCTCTATGAGCCGGATTCCATGAGCTTCTTATCAGGTCCTGCCCACTTGATCTCATATGTGTCGATGCCCTGATGCGAGCCTTGCCAGTCGTGTTTGTGTAGGCCGAATGCTTCTGCGACCGGGGTCGGGATTCGTGGGAATATGCCCATCTTGAGGATGACTTTGCCAGGGTACAATTCGGTTTCAGACTTGATGGGACTGTTGCATAGCATGTCAGTACATCTCCCCGCTGGCATCCCCCAAGACGCTCTTCCACTTACTTCCCATCCTCCGAACAGAACGTTCGGTATACTGGATTTCCGCTCAACGTCTCGCGGTCTGTGTATGTCTTCAACGTCCCATTTTTGTCTTCAATCGTGACCTTCTCTTGATCGAGCAACAGGTTGGAGGCAACAAACGATCCAGCAACCTTGCGGCAGTTTGCACAATGACAGAGATGGCCTTGGGGCTTGTCAAACAGCTCGCCGTCCTTGATGTGGACGGTAACACTGCCGCACAGACAAGTTCCTGACATGCCATCCTTGAACTTGGAGGTATCGTGCTGCTTTGGGTCACCCGTAGGTTCTTTCGGCATCTTGAACGGCGTGGAGGTCGAGAAGGCGGTCCTTGGGGCTCGTAATTGGTGCAAAGGGGTCAGTATACGTGGAGCTTGGTTCGTGAAGGAGATTGAAGAGACAGAACTGGCCGAGAGAAAGCAACGAGAGTAACGAGAGGCCATCTTGCGTTGACGTAGTAGCTTGATCTAGACCCCTCCGGACTTGACTTGGTATGCTCCGTTCGACCTCGCCAATGGCTCGTTAGTTCTGAGTAAGTCTCGACCACGAGATCAAGCGGCTACTACATCGTGTCGAGAGCATATATGCCCCATGGCCTTCTTTCCAACGTAGATGAACGGAATGAATTGGACAACGACCATACTGATCGTGGAAGCATTCACTCACTTCGCTCGGGAGAGGGGGACGTCGGCTAAAGTGGAGCCGCTGAGTAAGCCGAAGCCAAAAACGCGTCGGCGTCACGGCACGCGTCCTCCGACTTCAACTTCCATCTCGCTTGCCACTGCGACAATGACAACACCCACGTAATGCTAGAGAACTGGAAATATGCCATTCAGCGACGATTTTGGCCTCGACGATGATACCGAATTCCTCGCCGCCGCTACACAGGTCGAGGCATCCCAGCATGGCGGCCTTTTCGAACCATCCCCAAGGCCTACCAAGAAACGACGAGTGAGGAGGAGAGGGCCTGGTCAATTAGATGGGGCAGATTCAGAACTTCTGGAATGGTCTGAGAGCGACGAGGAGAACCGCAGTCCTCCCAATCCGTCAACATTCTTCCAATCACCCGCACGGCAAGAGGCAACAGCAACCCAGAACGGCGACAATAATGTCGATATTGATGAAGAAGGCTACTACCTGCCCGGTGAGCTCGGTATCGAAGACAATACTGTGAAGAAGCCAAAGTATCGCATCCATGTTCCTGAGAATGGGGGCAAATTCCCCGACATGATCTTCACCCAAACTCAACATGGACTAGACGAGAACCTGGCCAAGTTTCGAGGAGCTATCTGGAAGAGGCCGCCTCTTCAACCCCAGCTCAATGTCGGTGGTGTTGCAAATCAGAATGGCTACGGCATGTCTGTGGATCCTCGCGCTGCGAACGCAGTCAATGGCATTGGCAACTACTTCCAAGCTGTTGGTCACGCAGATCCGAGTGTAGACGACGATGCTGTGCTTGCGGCTCGACTGCAAGCAGAAGAGAACGCTCGCTCCAGGCAGAAATCGAATGGCACACGCTCGTACGACATGACCCAGGAGCTCGCCGATCTGCCTTCCGATGCCTTCTCCTCGTCATCCCCTGAGAAGTCACCTAACAAAGACATCATCGAGCTGTCGTCTCAGCCAACACAGTCACGCCGTCCAGCAGCACTTCGTGGCCCACAGAGTGGACTCAAGCAGATGACCGTCTTTGGACAACCTGCGACACAAGACCTCACAGCGTCACAAGCGGCGCAAAAGCGGCATGCATGGCCGCTTGCAGCCAGGGATGAGCCACCAACACACCACAAGCTGGATGATGAAGCCATGAAGACGTTTGTCTATCCGACCAATCTTGGCACAATCCGTGACTACCAGTACAACATCGTTTCTCGCAGTCTTTTCCACAACACTCTTGTCGCTCTTCCTACTGGTCTGGGAAAGACCTTCATTGCAGCTACCATTATGTTGAACTACTATCGCTGGACGAAAAGCGCGCAGATTGTGTTCATGGCACCAACTAAGCCTCTTATTGCCCAGCAGATGGAGGCTTGCTTTGGTATCGTGGGCATTCCAAAGCGCGATACAGTTCTCATGACGGGAGAAACTACCCCAGCCGTTCGAGCTGACGAGTGGCTGGAGAAGCGGGTCTTCTTCATGACACCACAGACAGTCATCAACGATTTGAAGACTGGAATCTGTGACCCAAAGAAGCTGGTCTTACTTGTTGTTGACGAAGCACACAAGGCTACAGGCGGCTATGCTTACACCGAGGTGATAGCATTCATGCGCCGTTTCAACAGCAGCTTCCGTGTGCTTGCGCTCACAGCCACTCCCGGCTCTACTGTTGAGGCTGTCCAGGCTGTTATTGACAGCCTTGGAATCGCCCGCGTGGAGCTGCGAACGGAGCAATCCCTTGACATCCGCGAGTATACGCATGAGAAGCACACAGAGACACAAATTTTCGACTACAGTGATGAGCAAGAACGTATCATGACTTTGTTTGCGAACGCTCTGCGACCAGCTCTGGAAAAGCTTTGCAGTCAGAATGCCTACTGGTCGAGAAATCCTATGAAGTTGACAGCATACGGGTAAGTTCGAGCGACCAACATGTTGGTATCGGGCGAAAGCTAATGTTATCTTTCGCGCAGTTTGACCACCTCTCGACAGAAGTGGATGCAGTCAGACGCTGGTCGCAAAGCGCCAGTGCAGATCAAGGGCATGATGAACGCCATCTTTACTGTTCTGTCTAGTCTTGCGCATAGCATTGGCCTGCTCAAGTTCCATGGCATAAACCCGTTCTATTCAGGAGTGCTGGCTTTCCAGCGGGAGGTTGACAGCGGACAAAGCAAGGGCAAGACGGCAGCTGGCATTGCTCAATCCGAGCACTTCACAAAGATGATGTCAAACATTCGTGCCTGGACTAACAACCCGGAGTTTGTTGGTCATCCAAAGCTGGAGTATCTCAAGGATGTGGTCTTGAACCACTTCTTGGACGCTGGCGAGGGAGCACAAGGCAGCGATGTGCCTCCAAGTGCGACGCGAGTGATGGTGTTCGCAAGCTATCGTGATAGCACGGAAGACATCTGTCGGATCCTGAAGAGACACGAACCAATGATCCGACCACACATCTTCGTGGGACAAGCTGCTTCGAAAGGGCAAGAGGGTATGGACCAGAAGAAGCAGAACGCAGTGATTCAAGACTTCAAGACTGGTAAATACAACACGCTCATCGCAACCTCGATTGGCGAAGAAGGTCTCGATATCGGAACAGTCGATCTTATCGTCTGTTACGATGCATCGTCATCACCTATCCGAATGTTGCAGCGCATTGGCCGTACTGGGCGTAAAAGAGTCGGGCGAGTGTGCCTGTTGCTCATGAAAGACAAGGAAGAAGCAGACTATGCCAAGGCCCAGGACAACTATCTGTACATTCAGAAGACGATTGCAGATGCTTCGAAGTACTCCTATCGCGACGATCAGAGCCCACGCATCCTGCCCAAGGAAGCCAAGCCGATCGCAGACAAGCGTCCAGTGGACATTCCCATTGAAAACAGCCAGCCAGTCGATTTGAACGAGAAAGGAAGAAGAGGCAAAGGAAAAGGCAAGACGAAGAGGCCACCGAAGAAATTTCACATGCCTGACAACGTGCGCACTGGATTCGTCAAGGCTTCCAGGATCGATTCTGACACCGATGGAGAGAAGCCAGCTCCGAAGAAGAAAGCGACAGTGAAGAAGCAGGCGCAGACCAAGTTTCGACGGCCGTCTCCATCACCCGAGCCGGAACCAGTTGCGCTGCCATATCTGGCAGATGTCGTGCTGACCGATGATCAATACCAAGACCTCGTCAATAAATACGCTCAGACAGCCGAAGCCGACGGCGGCATCATCCAAGGGCCAAATCACTCTCGCTTTCCCACGAAACTGAGGCAGCTAGGTTCGACGAAACACATTGGCCATGGACGCAGCTCTCGGCTTGTCGAGAAGACGATGCGTGCTATAAATGAGGTGGACGTCATGGATTTACACCGCATGGATGATCTTCTTCACATGAGTGATCTTGAAAGTGCTGGATCGGCGGGATTCAGGCTGACCAGCCCCAAGTTCGAGTCCGTGAAGTCACGCAGTGCTCCCAAAACGCAAGCGTTCACTTCCGCAAAGGCGGCACTGACGACGGCAAATACTGCTCCTCAGGCCGATGATGTTCCCGATTCCGAAGCAGATCTACCCGCTCGTCCTGTGCCACGGCCCAAGGTCACAATGAAAGGGGAGACGGGCGCAAAGAACAACTCGAATTCGGAGCCAGAACTGATCGAGTCTGACGCTGAGTTGCCTACCGCTCCGCCGTCACTATTCAAGCCAGTCCCTCAACGTCGTGCGGCGCCCAAGCCTCGTGGCAGACCGAGAAAGAAGCAGCCCCTTCAGCGCACGACATCGTACGGGTCTTCCGCAAAGGAAGGGGATGAATCGAGCCCAGAGCCAACGCCAGCTGATATGCGCATCGGCACGCAGGGCATCGATCTAGGATCTCGCGACACCAGCGGCGAAGACGAGGACGAAGAACCTGACAGCGAACTAGAGGAGTTCATTGCCAAGTCGAGTGACCCCATCGAGATGATAAGCTCGTCTCAGCCTGGAACACCCGCTGCGAAGAAGAGTCGTGGGCTCAAGAAGAGAAAACGAGAGGCCGAGCTTAGTGATGTCGAGGAGCTTGAGGAGCTTGGAGACAGCGACGATACAGATACATTGCTGCAGGACGAGCCAGCTGCAACACCAGGCAGGAAGAGGAGGGTTGTCGAGGACAGCGATAGCGATCAATGATGCCGCAACACGCCATAGCATGCTAGAGACCGATTTTGCTCAACTAACGATCATCATATCAAATCCAAATCCAAATCCTCACAAGCAGAGCCATACCATACATCCCTCACATCCCGCGCCCCGTCTCCACCGCCACCATCCACCCCCTCCCCTCCAAACCCCCACTCGTCCCCGCCCACTTCTCCTGCCCCGCCCTCGCATCCCCGGGATCCCCCTTATCCTTCGGCCCATAGTTCGGATACAACTGCGCGACTCTGGCGAGATCACCCTCTGAAGGCTTCCTCCTCACCGCCTCTGCATAACCGCCCCCGAAGAACTCCTCTTCCAAACCGGGGTTTGCGCGCCAGGTCTTACTGCGGGGGTGTTTGAGCATGACGGTTTTGGATTTGTCGTTTTGGCCGCTGGGGATGGTGGCGCCTTCGTAGGAGCCGTAGATCATGAGGCTTTCGAAGTCGAAAGTTTTGCCTGACCAAGCGAATTGCCCGATTGAGGGGGCGCGGGTGGGGGTTTTGAGGAAGGCGAAGGCGGAGAAGGAGTATTTGTGGGCGGTGGCGTGGTCGGTGCAGGCTTTTTGGATTGTGTCGCCGGAGCCTGATTGCTGGATGCGGCGCTTGAGGGGGGTGGGAGATTAGTGGGTTCTTTTGAGGGGTGGGATGGTAGGAGAAGGAGAGGGGGTTGTGAGAGATATGGAGGGGGACCTTACCTTGACGTCTTCGTAGTCGCGGAGGTTGTTACAGTAGAAAGAGATATACTCATCCCGATCGGGCCGCGTGTGTTCATGCTCGAGGCCTAAGGCATGTCCGATCTCATGCGCCAGCGTAGCGACATCGTAGGGTCCGGGCTTGGAAGGGTCGTTTCGATTCTCCAGCCTCTCGAACGCGATGATGTGTCTTCCTCTCGTGTGCTGCTCCGGCCTCTGATGCCAATACCCCACCGTCGTCATCCCATGCACATTCCCGTCGGAAGGGTCGACGTCTGAGATGTGCAGTGAGTCCGGGGCGGCTTTCTCGCAGAGACAGTCTACTTTGGCGCGGCCGCAGTCGGGGATGATTTTCAGGGAGGAGTACGGCGTCATGGCGGGTTCCCAGAGTTTGATGGCGGACTTGAGGAGGTTGTTGAGCGCGGTGTAGTCGGTTTGCTTGACGAAGCAATAACAGAGGGGGCGGTCCCATGGGGCGGCGGTGTGGGGTGGCCAGGCGTTGTTGGAGTAGGGTTCGGTTCCGTGAGAGTTGCCGATGGAGAACCAAGGGGAGCGGTTTTGGAGGTGGAGGGTGTGGTTTGGGGAGGGGCAGGCTGTTGTAAGGGTGATGAAGAGAAGGAGGAGCCATATCAGGCTGGGCATAAGAGGAGGCTTGGTGGTGAGAGGGCAGAGCCTGGCGCAGTGTCTGACGCAGGAATGCTGGACAATACGCTGCTCTTGCGTGTTTGTTCACTGAGAAAGAGATTCCTTGTTGTGACTGGACAACACAGAGCAAGATGAACATTTGAAATTTCAGAAACCACTTACATGTGCAAACATTTGCAAAGACTTTGAATACCGCAAGTGTGACTATCAAGGGGGAGTTCAGTGTCTTCGCGAGAACAATGTAATATGCCATTATCAACAACGACAGGAAGATATTTGAACATCTTGTCTTCCCACTGGTATGGTGGTACTTGAGAGGCACGCGAGAGAGGATCTCGCGAAGCAGTATTTGGCGCCAGACCAGCCACTGTTATGGAAGTCCCTTGATGGAGGGAGGTCTGGTGGTCGTGGGTGGTTGGTTGATGGGGAGCCTCCTGAAGCAACACTGGTCAAGCGACGTGTCTTGATGGTCTCCTGGATCATCGGATGTCGTCGAGACCGTCCCCTCGTACTATCGCATGGCGTGGAAGTCAGACTGTATGGTAATTGTCATTGTTGAAGTGTTGCGAAGTTCATCTGCCGCGGCAAAAGGCCTTCTGCCGTCGTGTCGAGTCATGCAATCGTTCAAGCCTGCGTCGATCGCGTGTAATTTCAAGAGCGCGAGGCGCCGTCGAGGATGGAGGAGGAGCGGCCATCGGATATTTCCCCCACCGGCCAATGAGCAGGGGTGATTTAGAGTTCTCGCGCCGACCCCATGCCGCTTGGCAGCGACGATTCGGCTCGAATCGAGATAGTTAAATGAGAGGCCGTTGGCAACCCGCACGTCGAGAGGCGGAGGATTCGACCATCCAGACAGACAAAGGTACGCGCATTTCGCCCTCGCTCTTTCCTGGTGCTGTTCCTGTTGTTGCTCTCCTACACGTCCGACGACAGCATCGCCCGCTCTCGCAGCAGTCACTCGTTCAACGACGATCCGCTTCACTCTTTCAGCGGCGTCATTCACGTTCACTACGCAAAACATGCAGTACTACGCAGCAGCGGCGGTCTTCGCCTCGGGCCTGGTCGCCTCGGCCAGTGCCGGCAGTGTGCACGCGATGCACCACAACCTGCACAAGCGAGGAACACCTGAAGCCTACAGCTTCCCGGAGACGGCCAATGCCACCTGCGGGTGCACCACCTGGACCACCACTTGGTACGGCGAGGCTACTCTGGTCCCAGGCCCGTCGACCGTATCGTCGTCGTCGTCCTCGTCGTCCTCGTCTGAGGTGACTTCTTCCTCGACCTGGGTCGCGCCTTCCACCTACGTCGCGCCCACGACCAGCACCAGCGAGGCTCCCAAGCCAACCAGCACAAGCCCCTCGTCTGCCGCGCCTCCACCACCCTACACCAAGGAGGTCGAACACCCCAAGCCGACCAGCAGCGCGCCAGCACCAACGACCTACGCCGCGCCAAGCTCTTCTTCTGCGCCAGCACCCAGTTCTTCATCTTCCAGCTCTGAGGGAGGATGGAACATCCCATCGTGGAGCGCTCCTTCGTGGAGCCAACCCTCTGAGAGCTCTGGTAACAACGGCTGGGGCCATGGTGGATCTGGAAACAGCGGCTCTTCGTCTCCATCTCCCAATGGCAACAAGTGGGCCATGACCTACACTCCCTACACCTCCGGTGGCGAGTGCAAGTCTGCCAGCGACGTCGCCAACGACATTGCCCAGATCAAGGCCAAGGGCTTCACCACCGTCCGTCTCTACGCCACCGACTGCTCTGGCGTTCAGAATGTCGGCTCTGCCTGCAACGAGCACGGCGTGAAGATGATCATGGGCATCTACATCGACAGCGCCGGTCTCGACAAGGCCCGCGAACAGATCTCGCAGCTCACCAACTGGGGCTCGTCGAACGGCTGGGACAAGGTCGAGATGGTGGTCGCCGGTAACGAGGCCATCTTCAACGGCTACTGCAGCGCTTCCGAACTCGCTGGCTTTCTCGGCGAAGTCAAGTCTGCCTTCAAATCCGCCGGCTACAGCGGTCCCGTCACCACCACCGAGCCCCTTGGCACGATCCAGGAGAACGCCAACACCATCTGCGGTGCCGTCGATGTCATCGCCGCCAACATCCACCCCTTCTTCAACGGCGCCATCTCCGCGTCCGGTGCTGGTGATTTCGTCAAGTCTCAACTCGACCTCCTCAAGGACGCTTGCGGCGGCGCCAAGGAAGCCTACAACCTCGAGACCGGCTGGCCAAGCAAGGGTGACTCCAACGGTGCCGCCATCCCCGGCTACTCTGAGCAGAAGGAAGCCATCGACGCGATTGTCGCCTCCGCCGGTGGCAAGTCGGCCATCTTCTCGTACGAGGACGACAGCTGGAAGGCGCCTGGTGATCTCGGCGTGGAGCAATTCTGGGGCTGCGCATCCCTCTTCACGGATTCATGAAGAACAAAACCAACAGCAACAAAAGATTAATGTCTATGATAATGGCCTCGGGGGCAAAGCTTCTTGGAGAAAAACTTACCCACTTTTTTCTTGCGATGCGATTGCTGATTGATTGTTGGTTGTTGATCAGAGCGAAGGTGTTGTTTTTAACGATTGTCTTTTGGATTGATGGACGCTTCTTTGGGAGGGGGAGGGTTGAAGCGCTTTTCTGCTGGGGATGATTCGAGCTTTTTGTTGTTGATATGCATGTTGAGCGACGGCCTTTGTTGATACTGTGTACCTGACGCCCATTATACTCTCGAATGATACCCTGGCGATTCGGCCCGCGGTGCCATTTTTGAATACGTCTCGAATGCCTCAATGCTATGCAACGCAGTTTTAGTGTCTTCTTTTTGCAATGAAGATGAGCACATACATACTTTTCGCCAATTCCGCTGCCTTCCAGACCGCTCCCTCTCTCCAGTCAACCCCTCTCAACATGACTTTCTCTTTTGCTCTCTACATCTCCCCACACTGTGCCACAACCACATCCTGCTGCGGCCGATCCTCCCTCGAAGTGCGCACATTCTCAATCTTCCTCACGACCTCCATCCCCTCGACGACCTTCCCAAAGACGGTATGCTTCCCATTCAAATGCGGCGTATCCCGCAACGTGATGAAGAACTGCGAACCATTCGTATTCGGGCCGGAATTCTTCCACAAAAACAACAAATCAGCAAAACCCCCATCACCCCAAAAAACCCATCCGGTTAAAAATGAAATATACGTACAGCCATACTCAACAACCCCGCAGCATCATGTCCTAATTTGAAGTTCTCGTCCGCGAAGGTCTTGGTGCCGTAGATGGAGGTGCTGCCGGTGCCGTCGCCGTTGAGGAAGTCCCCGCCTTGCAGCATGAAGTCTTTGATGACGCGGTGGAATTTGGAGGATTTGTAGCCTTGCGGGCGGCCTTGGGGGGTTTTCGTTTCGCCGGTGCAGAATTGGCGGAAGTTCTTGGTTGGATATTGTTAGGTTGGAGGGATGGGGTTAGGGAAGAAGGAATTGGGGCGTGGTGGGGAGCTAAGGGGGATTGGGGTTGGGCATGGGGATGGGGATGTACCGACTTCTGCGGTTCGGGGGACGACGTCGGCGAAGAGTTCGAATTTGATGCGGCCGAGGGGTTCGCCGCCTAGAGTCATGTCGAAGAAGACGATGGGGTTTGGTTGGGGGTCGGTGGTCGCCATGGTGAGTTGTGTTTGGTGGGTGATGTTGTTGGTGGAAGGGTTTGAAGAGTCTGCTCAAATTGGAAGGTACGAGACAAGTGAGTGAATGTTAGAGCTCCTCCAGCTGCATGTGTCTAGCTTGTGATTGGACTGTCATGCACAGAGCTCTTCTCGGGTGAAGCGTGTGGTGATGAAAGAAGGATGTAGACTGAAGTGGGCTCGGGTGAGGAAGCCGAAGAATTGTGAAAATTGTGCTTAGTGCTCTCTATCCTTCTCGCTTCCACTAATGTTCACGATCGACACGATGCAACAGATGTAGTTCCATCTCGCTTCGACTGACTAATCCATCACATTCCACACGGCTGCAGAGCTCGCTTCTAGAAGACGGTGTTTTTGGTAGTACTTCGTCGATCGAGACGTGTCGTTCTCATGACGGAGATAGACTTTTGCGTGCGGGGTTGGCACTTGCACTTGCACCGACTGGCACTTGTGACCACGCGACCGCACGTGGCATCGATAGTAGCAGGTAGTCGAGCAGTAAAGATATTTTCCACCACCACGATTTCCACACCTCTCTCTCGTCGGAAGATCTCGCTTGGCCCTCCACCTCGCGCCCGACGCCACCTGCGCACCAAGTCGATGTCTCGCGGTGGATGATCGCGTGGACGACAGACATCGGCCGCAGCAGCACAATCCTCCCGGCGGCATTTGGCCTACCGTGCGCGAGCGTTGCTTGCTTTCTCCGCTGCTCCAAATGGCTCGCGTCCACTAGTCACTGGCAGCATTGCGTTAGTTGCCTCCCACTGCGCCGCCCGCCCACTTCTCTTGTCGCCTCCCCTCGCTGTGACCGCACCGCATCTGCCCGCCTGCGCTGTGGCTTGCCTTAGGCCGCACTGCTCGTACAACACGCACCACTACCACCACCGAAGCATGCTCGTCTGCCCTCACGACTCATCACCACACACTCTCCTGCTAGAAGCGCCGGGTTGATCAATCGCTCCATCTCCTATCAATCCACCCACCCTGCGAATCCTCATCGGCCAACGGACCCTTCCCCACCCATGGAGACGAGAGCTCGATAGTCGTCGATTACTTTACGCGCGGAGGATCCTGATTGCGCAACGCAAGCGACCTCGCAGCACCGGGCGAGCGAGGAGCGCGGGAGGAGGAAGCGCGAGAGAAAGACAACACCAGCCCTCCTCCGCAGCTTCAATACTGCCGTCTGAGTGAGGATGTCGTTCTTTGGCAAGTTCAAGACAGGCTCGGTAAGGCCCATCCTACCATGCCCGCAACTCAGCTTACGATACCATGGAGCTTGCCGTCCTATGCCATCATGACGATACAGGCATCGCCGCCGGAGTAAACCAATAGCAGCTGACAGCGCATCGTGCAGACCCAAACTGGCTCAGCGTCCAAAGACTCCGCCGCCAAGAAAGACCCCAATGCGCCGCAACCTACACCGTTAGAGAAGCATCTCGCCGATGCGGTAGGGCCGCCGCGCCCTGATGGAAGTGATAAGTTCTTTGGGTTTGAAAACGTATGATCCCGAAATCTTCGACATGGATTCGCATATGCTGACGGATATGGCTACCAGTACGGTTCGACATGGTACGCTTCATCAAAGCAAGCGTCTCTACTTCGACTGACTTCCTCCAGCTATTGTAATTCGATAATACAGTGCTTATACTACTCCGCGCCCTTTCGGGAACACGTCATCAACTTCCCCTCGAAAGATGTTCTCGACACGATACGAACCAAAGACGCCAACGGCGCACCTCTATCCCCACGAGAGACATCGACAACACCCTATCCAAACCCTACCTCACCCGCACGAAAACAGAATGTCCCTGGATCGCCGGGCCCGCAAGGGCAACAAAAGCCTGAAGAGAGCAAAGACTCGCCAGAGTATAGAAAGAGGATGGCATTGCAGAATGGGCCCGTTCTGGACATGACATACGACAATTCGGCCAAGTATGGCATGGACGAGTCGCTATTCACATCGCTAAGAGACATCTTTGAGAGTATTATCGGGAACCAATCGCGGATAGGTGTGGTCAGCCCGCATCGATTTCTGGAGATTCTAAGACGTGAGAATGAGATGTTTCGATCGGCCATGCACCAGGATGCGCACGAGTTTCTGAACCTACTATTGAACCAGGTGGTGGATAATGTGGAGATGTTCTCGAAGCAGCATCCCGCTCTCACGGCGCCGATCCAGGCCAATGGTGGAGCTCCTGAGAAGATTGCGGGAACTGAGTTGAGCATATCGACAAATGGACTCAATGTACCGCAAGCTGGACTGGACACTCACTGGGTACACGACCTGTTCGAAGGACTACTCACATCAGAGACGCGATGCTTGACGTGTGAGAATACATCGCAAAGAGATGAGGCATTCTTGGATCTGTCCGTGGACCTCAGCTCGCACACCTCCGTAACGTCATGTCTACGCAAGTTTTCAGAAGAAGAGATGCTGTGTGAGCGCAACAAATTCCACTGCGACAACTGCGGCGGCTTGCAAGAAGCAGAGAAGAGGATGAAGATCAAGCGGTTACCACGGATTCTGGCCTTGCATCTGAAGCGCTTCAAGTATACTGAGGACCTGCAGCGGTTACAGAAGCTGTTCCATCGAGTAGTGTATCCATTCCACCTGCGACTGTTCAATACGACTGATGACGCCGAGGATCCGGATCGTCTGTATGAACTGTATGCCGTCGTGGTGCACATTGGCGGGGGCCCCTATCACGGCCATTATGTCAGCATCGTCAAGACGCAAGATCGAGGCTGGCTACTCTTCGACGATGAACTGGTGGAGCCTGTCGATAAGAGCTACGTGATGAACTTCTTTGGTGGGGAGCCTCAGCCTGGAGTTCAGGACGCGAAACAACTGGCGTGCGCATATGTGCTCTTCTACCAAGAGACGACACTAGAGGCAGTTCTCAAAGAGCAGGAAGCGGAGAGAGGCGCTGCCCCAGTACCGACTCGAACATCTGATGTTGAGACCTCGAAAGATCCATCGTCTCCCATTAAGAATGGTGACGGTCTGGCCCATGTTCACACTGCCACTACTCCTTCGCCGCACGATATGGAGCATATGGATATGCTCGCACATGCTGCAACCGCACCACAAATGCCGAACTTGGCAGCAGCAGCAAATGCGAGACCTCACTTGGATCATCTGCAGGGTACTCCACTTTCTCCCGTGATGCCGACCAAGACGAAGAAGGAGCTGAAACAGGAAGAAAAGGAACGCGAAAAGGCAGCTAAGGCGGCGAAGAAAGCCGAGGAGAAAGCGCTTGATGAAAAGCGCCAAGAAGCCAGCAGGAAGCGACAAGAAGCATGGAAGCGCCAAGACGAGGAGATGAAGGCTGTGATGGAAATGAGTAAACAGACAGCCGCCGAAGAAGCCAAGACTCGCGGCGACGAAGGTCCAAAGGAGAAGGAGAAAGAGAGCGGGTTCTCCAGGTTCAGGCACGGAAGCATGAGTCTGAGGAAGAAGCCGATGATGTTTGGCAAAGATAAGGAGAAGAGCAAGGAGGAGAAACTTCCTCCCGTGCCGCAGAATGGGACCGTGGAAGTGCCCAACGGAACCGCGCCGAGCAATGGTGCAGTCCAGGCGGCTCAAGCTGCAGCCGAGAAGACGACCGCCAGGGATTCTGTGGGTGCTGCGCCGGCGGTTCAGGCTGTACAGCAGCAAGAAGAGAAGAGCAAGAAGAACCGGTTCAGTCTGGGGAGGAAGAAGAGCACGCTTATCGGGTGAGCGAGAAGTCACAAATTCTGGGCAGGACAGACTGTCTGGTGATCCGGTGAAAATACGTCCAGCGTTGGGAGCAGGCGGCATTTTGTAGGTGTGCGTTTCGTTTTCCCGCCACACCTGTGCATATAGGAGGCCAGAGCCGCAAAGCGAGAACTTTGGTGTTTTATTGGCGAGGCTTGTTTGGGAAATATGCATGCACGGTGGCGTTTTCTTGGTGGTATGAGTGTGTGAGCTTCGAAAATGGGCATTTGGGTTTTGTCTGTCTGGGGTTTTGTGGGAGGACGGAGATCCTGGGTGGGTGGGTAGCTTAGATGGGACGGGCGTGCAGAGGAATGGAATCGTGCAAAGAATCTTTGTTCTCAAACGATATTCATTCATCTATGCTCAATTGACTCGGGAACGACTAATGGTTAGGCTGTTTTCTTTCGTCTCAACAGCTCGCATTTCGGCCTCTGTTTGACCTTGGGGTATCTCTGTTTCGCAAAGCGCTTTGGTATCTCTTCCCCAGACGCAGACGTGTCTGTCCGGTAGCCTTGGACCACGAAGCCCGTGTGCCTCGTCACTCGCGATCGCGCTCCCTCCAGCACCACAAGCCGCATATCCTCGCCTCATCATTCGTGCCACCCACCCACCCGCCCCCTCCCCCTTGTGAAAAAGTATTCTTCGTCCCTTCCTCCTCCCCCTCCTTCTTCATCCAAACGCCACCGCCCAAACAATAATCAACACATTCAAAAAAATCAACGGGATCCGCATCAGCGTGCGCACGGAGTTTATCAGGTTGATCATCTTGCTCTTGACGCTTTGGTTGTCCCCGGCGGCACCGCCGCCGAAGGAGGGTTCGGGCGAGGCGGAGGAGGAGCCCCAGCCTATGCGCGCGAGGAAGCGGTCTTCGGAGAGGATTGCGATGGCGTTGACGAGGAGGATGGAGACTTGGAGGGGTTAGTGGGGGGTGGGGAGAGGAGGAGGGTGATGGGATGGGGGCAGGGACGGACCTTGGAAGAGGCCACCGAAGGAGAAGAGGAGGGTTGCCATGTTTGTCTTGGTCTTTTGAGGGGATTGTTGAAGCGGTGGTTAATCGTGTCGTTCGTGCGAGTATCGCGTCTGGCGGAGTCCTTGTTGTCGAGTAGATGTGATGTGTTTCTACAAGTTGGCCAGCTGGTTGAAGTGAGGTCGGAGCTTCAGACGCCCTCTTTCCCCGACGTGCCAACCTTGTGGCTCCCTTCTCCTGACAACAACTCTTTACGACAGAGAATGTCGCTGTCGGAACACTACACCTGGCGCGCATTACAGATTGGTGCTTTCCGCGAAGAGCGGAGGAGGGAGCGGAGAGGGAGTATGAATCCCAAATCGATGGGTATGAAAAATCGCGACATGTGATTTCTTTGATGGTTCTTCGTTGTGCTGATGATGTTGTATGTCTAATTTAGGAGACATCGCGCTCAACTTATTACTACCCGCGACGGTTCTGTTGCATTTATTCTGCTCGCCGTATACGAAAGTCGAAGAATCTTTCAATATTCAAGCCACCCACGATATCCTCGAAACGGGCGTCCCGCTCTTGAACACCACCGAAGTGCTCAAGGCCAACTTCGACCATGTCGCGTTTCCTGGATCCGTCCCCAGGACTTTCGTAGGCGCTTTAATCCTCGCCGGCATCTCCAGACCATTCACATGGTTCCTGACATCCCCCGATCAAGTCCAACTGCTCGTCCGCGCGATTCTCGGCTTGGCGAACGCTGGGGCGTTATGGTTTCTCAAAACTGCCGTGGACACCGCGTATGGCCGCACGGCGGGGCGATGGTATGTCCTGCTGCAGGCGAGTCAGTTCCACGTCATGTACTACGCCTCACGCACGCTACCCAACATGTTCGCGTTCTTCCTCACGACGATAGCGGCGAGGAATTTGATCATGGTGAAAGCGGTTGCGTGGAAGCAGGACCGCAGTTCGAAACGCAGGAGGCTTGCGTTGTACATGCTTACGCTCGCCGGGGTTATCTTTCGGAGTGAGGTGGCGATTTTGTTGGCTGCTGAGACGGGGTATTTACTTCTCCAGCGCAGGATATCGATTACCAAGGAGATCATTCCGGCTGGGATCGCGGGTGTTGTTCTGGGACTTGCTGCGACGGTAGCCGTGGACTCGTTCTTCTGGCAGCAGTTCCCGCTTTGGCCGGAGTGGGTCGGGTTCTACTACAATACGATTCTGGGCAAGTCCTCGGATTGGGGCACGAATCCCTTTCATTTCTACTTTGCGAATGCCCTGCCGCGGTTGCTGCTCAATCCGATGAATTACCTGGTCTGCATCCCCAGCGCTCTGAGCATCCAGACGAGCGTGGACATCCTCCTGCCGCAGGTCCTGTTCGTGGCAGTGTACAGTCTGTTGCCGCACAAGGAGTGGAGGTTCATCATCTATGCGATCCCAACTTTCACGGCTGTGGCTGCCGGTGGAGCGGGCTGGTTCTGGACGAGGAGGGAAAAGACGATCAAGTACAGGTTGTGCAGTCTGCTTCTGGTCATCTCGACGATCGCCTCGTTCGTTGTCAGTTTTGGGCTGCTGTATATCTCCAGCCTCAACTATCCCGGTGGCGAGGCGCTGAGAAGACTGCATGAGATTGCACCGAAGGGTCCTGCTCGAGTTTATATGGACAATCTGGCTTGCCAGACTGGGGTCACGCAGTTTGGGCAGGTTCGTTCAAATTGGGATTATGATAAGACTGAGGACGAGGAGAAATTGCTTGATCCAATGTTTTGGCAGCAGTTTGACTACGTCCTCGCGGAGCGACCGGAGAGGATCATCGGGGCCTGGCAACCTATTGAGACTGTGACTTCTTTCGCAGGAATCTCGCTGAGGCCTGGAGATGAGGATGACATTCTGCCTGTACCGGCTGTGTTTGGTGGTGCTGGAAAGGCGTTGCAGCGGACTTACTACGATCTAGCGCTGGCTACGAGGAAGCGGTTCACCAAGGGATACTGGCCTTCGATTCGGATGGAACCGAGGATATTCATTCTACAGAGGGAACCACCTCCTGCCGAGCAGAGACAGACGCCGCTGAAAGCCGCTTAGACGTAGTTCGACACCCTGGAGACATCTCAGTCAGCAGCCCTTTGGAAAATGTGAGAGAGTGCAATCCGACTCACTCAATCAAATTCTCATCCGGATCCCGACAATACACACTCCTCAGCTTCCCCACGGCCCCGGTCCGGTCAACGACCTCTCCTCCCTCGAGCACATCTATCCCCGCAGACTTCCAAGTCTTCAGCACATCATCAACGGGGTGATCGGTAATGAAACACAAGTCCTCCGAACCGGGCTGCACCTTTCCTGCTTTCGGCTCGAACTCCTTCCCAGACTGGTGCAGGTTGAGTTTTTGGCTGCCGAAGAGGAGGGCATGTCTTATCACGACACACCATCAGCTTGGAGGGAGATGTCTGGGTGGATGAGGGACTTTACCGCTCCACGCCTTTGGAAGTAAAGACCTCATGCTTCATGCCCAGGCGCGTGGTGTAGAAGTTTATCGTCGCGGGGATGTTCTTGACGGTTAGGACGACGTGGTCGATGGATTTCACGGCGATGGAGGCCATGTTTTTCGAAATTGGGGGGAACGTTAGTGAAGGAGATGGTTGTGAGGAATTGTTGGTTGATGCTGGTGTTCGAGATGGCCGTCGTCGGCGTCAGGCATCCCGTCGACGAGAGAGCTTGCTGGAGTGGGGCCCGATTGGGATTTGCCTGGTTTGGTATGCCGCCAAGGCGAGTTTAAATACCCGGAAGAGACGTGAGGACACGAGGAGGAGGACAGTCGGCCGCGAACCACATGGCTTGTAACGTAAGGGTCTTCGAGTCTGCGATGCTTCACTGGCAGTGCGGGTATTCAAGATTCGCGGACGACAAGTCATTCTCCCCGGCGATGCAGCGGTACAGGGAGCGATTACCAGATCATGAAATGGCTCTTCGGTGAATCGGATTGAAATGGAACGAGAAGAACGTACTCGACACTTTTTATGGTGGTGGACTCGTCGGCCTTGGGGAACTTTACGCCTTGCGTCGTTTTCGACTTCACCGTACCCACACGCTCGCCACCTCCCTCGCAACATTCAGCAACGCCAAATCCCTATACCTCGGCGTCGTAAGACTCAACCCAACCGGCATGGCATGCTCCCCCTTAAACCCTGGGATATTCACAACAGGCACATGCAACGCCGTCCAGACCGCATTGAACACCGCACTGCCCGTATGCCCCAGCCCCTCAGGCGCCTCATCCGGCACAGAAGGCACCACAACAGCGTCGTACTTCTCGGCAATGGCGTCCCACTTCGGCCTCCAAGACGCGATCCCGTCGAAGGCTTCGAGGGAGTCTTTGCGGGTATATCCGTGCTTTTCCTCGACGTGCTCGACGAGGTCTTGGGGGAGGAGGTGTTTCGCGGTTTGGTAGAGGGGACGGAAATTGACCCGGCCTTCGGAGTAGAGGACGCACGTGTGCCATTTGGCGAGGTTTTCGAACCCTGGCGGGGCGTCGATTTCTTCGACTTGGGCTCCGGCTTCTTGGAGCTGGGTCTTGCCGTCTTCGAAAGCTTTTTTCAAATTAGGGCCGGCGTGCGACCATTGCGGTGTTTTGAAGAAGGCGAATTTGAGACCCTTGACGCCATTGCCGATCGACGTGGGAGGCTCGTCGTCTTTCAGACCGAAGACGTCGCTGAGCAGCTCCAGGTCCTCGATCGATCGTGCGTAGTATCCGAGCGTGTCGAAGTCGAGGCTGTAGATCTTTTGGCCTTCTCGGGAGATGGCGTTCCAGGTCGGTTTGAAGCCGTAGATGCCGTTGAAACTCGCGGGGCGGATCACGGAGCCGCCGGTCTGGGTGCCGAGGGCTAGAGGGACTTGGAAGTCGGCCACTGCGGCGCCTGAGCCGGATGATGAGCCGCCGGGCGTGCGGTTTGGATGGTGGGCGTTGGCCGTCTTGGTGCCTACTGTGTTTGCTGCGAAGGTTGTGGTTGTCGTCTTTCCGAGGAGTAGCGCACCGGCATGGCGGAGCATGATCACGCTCGCGGCATCGACTTCGGGCTGGTCATCTTTGTAGATCGGCGAGTTGTGCTGAGTCGGCATGCCTTCGCATGGAATGTCAGTCCTGACTATGAGCCTCCTAACTTGATCCAAAGATCTCACCCTTCGTGTAAATGACATCCTTCACACCAACAGCAACGCCATGTAAAGGACCTCGTTGAGCCTTGGGAATCTTATCGAGTGCTCGAGCCTGTTCCAAGACTTGATCCGGACTCAAATACGCCCAGGCCTTCACAGCATCGTCACGCTCCTCGATCCTCTTCAATAAAGACTTGGCGTAGTCCTCGACTGTTAGATCGTCTTTGCTGAATGCCTGCAGGGCTTCTGAAGCGGTGAATTGCCAGGGTGCTTTTGACATTTTTGTCGCGAGTCTTATGTTGGTAAGTAATGTTTATTTGATCTGCGGTATTGAAGTCTTGCCGGGCGATCCTGCGCAGTAAAGAGGGATGTACTGGCTGCCTTGGTGGGTGGTTTTGTAAGCGATAAGCCGATATCGGCCGAGGATAGGCCATTGTTGGCTGGGCCGCTGCGGTGGAGGCAGTCAGCCTAAGAGGCAGATCTGGTAGGGTATTGTTCTGGTAGACTACATGTAGTATGCCACAGTGTTCGCACTCAAGTCCAGCACAATATGAGAACTTGGAAGAGTGCCGTTGATGAGAGCACAGTTCTGACCTCGCATTCGGGCGAACGAAGTACTCGGGCCGAACGGAGACTAGCTTTGGCTGTGAAGTGCTCGACGCCCCGACTGAGTCGCGATAGACATCCGTGAAGTCAAGTCCATCGAATTGACATGTCTTCAGTCGAGCGAAGACATGTAGCTCGAGTAAATCCCAGAGTTTCTGTGTATTCATAACAGAACACTCTCGTCGAACCTTCAAGTCGACAGATCAAATTCCCATCTTTGTCCAACATGTTGATGCTACACGGCGATAGCAATTTCCACTAGGAGACGATTCGATCGATCTCGTTGGCCTCGGCATGCTGGCGGAAACTTATCGAAGCAACTGGCCACTTCGAAGTATGGTACGGCGAATGGCACAATCTGGCATTGCTGGTATTGTCCACCATCGATGAGTCGAAGCCGGACTCTCACTCGCCGCTCACACTCAGGGATGTGTATTTCCGCGCCAGCCACTACTTCTTCGTAGCCGACTTCTTTCTTCATGGCGACCGTAGCGATCCCAGGAGTGACCAGACTTGCAATTTTTGGGGCCAGTATTGCAGGAAGGCTAGCGACTGCCCTCCTATTCCAGGCGTGCACATCGATGTGTCCACGAACTGGGTCATGACTTGCCCGGCACCTTCTCTCGAGCATTTTAGGTGTCTGCGTTGAAGCCACGGCCAACTCACCTTCTCGGTGGAGGCTTCGATAGCAACAGAGGGAATATAATGTTGTTTTGTATGAAGGGCCTGGTCAACCCGCCTTCCTCCGCAATGGGAAGCGTATCGGTTGGAGACACGATTGCGAGGTCGTCGTAAGCCCACTGGTGGACTATATCGAAGCTGAGTCCACCGAAAGGCGGTCGTACATCGACACGAAGAAGATAGAACTGTTCGGCTACAGTCTTGGCGGATGTCTTGCTGCTCGTGCTGCTGCATGTGAGCCTCGGCCTACAGCAGTCATCTGGATTGATGGTTTTTGGAGATTTGATGACGGTCAGGCTGCGGAAACACACTGCCAGAGCGGTGCTTCAACCTATTTCAACCACAGGGTAATGGAATGGTTCTGCGACGTGGTGCACGATGGGGAGAAGATCAAGCATCGTTAGAAGCGGTCATTGTGGGCCGCATGAAAGCTGAGTCGTTTTACGGTCACATTATCAGACTCTCGTGCGGGTTCCAGAGTATCCATGAACGAAGACTGATCTTGTGCAAATCCAGTCGCCCTCTTGAAACCGGCGCCACTCCAGCATAGCGACACTTTCGCGGGTCATCATGTCGGGAGACTCGTAACTAGTTAGGAAGCCTCTGAGCCAGACGGTAGCCTTGTTCTGCTTGTCGTCAACAGTTGATGCGGAATCCAACACTTCCAGATGGATTTCGGGGTGGTGGGCAACGGCATCAGCTCGCAGCTTGATGAACGCCTCCTTTGTATGGGTCGTAATGGGCGCGGTAGGTGGCTTGACCCCATCACCTGGAAATTCTGCTTGGTGATTTGGAGCCAGATGCTTGTAGGCAGGATTGCCGGCGGTGTCATTGTCCAAGGCCACCAGAATATCGACAGATATGGACTCGAGACGTTTGCAAGACGAATTTGCGGTCTTTGATGTCGGCAGCATGAAGCGCGGGCGAGTAAGTAGCAGACTCATTGAGGTCCCGCAGCTCTTCGGGTACGCAGGGGCGGTTGCATTGGGCAGCCTGCAGGGAAGCGTTAGGAAGGATTCTTGCCTTTGAGATTCGCTTCAAGCTCACATTTCGGGTGGTTCATCGCTACTGCATTCACTTGTAGGACTGCTACCTTCTCCTGCCATTATAAAGAACATTGCCCCCTCGTGGGGGCTTTCCAGACTCCAGCCGAATTTCTTGGCGACGACTAGATGGCCAGTGACGCTTTGATAGCTCAATCCTTCATGATCAGGGCAGAGTGGACTACCTCTTGTCAGCAATCTTCAGTGAGATAGACTGTTGTCGCGTTGCTGCCGTCATGAAGATGCCGACCTAGACCGAGGCCGCGCACTGGTACGAATTTGATTGTCGGCCGATATCGAAGAGCCCGTAGGCCGTACAGTACAGGTAGCTTTGGACTGATACGGCCTAGTGTTTAGGGTCCTTAATCAGCGGCCGTCTATGTGTTGCCGAATTGGTGTACAGCGGAGGATGAAGTTGATCCAAGTTAGGGCGTTCAAGACGATGGGGAATTAGGGATTGACCGGCCGCAGTATCCAGCCACCTGAGATGGCATCAACATCAGGCCTGCCACAGTTTTGTCAGGCAGACTGATGACGAGTGTTCCACGCAGCTTGCAGAAATGGTTCTGCTGTTCTGGGCACCGGCTCAATCTTGTCGGGTGTAGAGCGGAAGAAAGACGTGTAGTGAGTACCTGCCTAGCGTTCGGGACGGTGACTAAGCACCCGATCGTCAACATGAACCTGGCAAATTTCCTGGCCCTAAACCTACCTGCAACCATCCTTCTTGCCCTCTCCTCTTCAACTTTGCCAAAGACTTGCTGCACTTTCACCCTCACACGAGGTTTCTCGATGCCCCGAAACGCAGTGCAATGGTGCTCAAAGCTGCCACGAGCACTGTCGAGCGCCTACGCTGCCCAAGTCATCAGTCTACCGGCATTGAAGCCTTGCTCTTGAGAGGCAACCTCGGTACCTGTCAAGGCTCTGACGAAGATAAGACTCTGCCGAAGACGCTGGCTGCCTCGTCTGTCTTTCCCCGACCTCATTTGATGTCCAGTCTGTTGTTAGAACTGGACGAGCGGGAATTTGCGCTTAGGACCCCGGGAGCTTGTATAAGGCGCCTTGAAGAATCGAGCCATGTGAGGAATGCCCTACTGCGGGAGAGGGTTGCACTCGATCATCGTGAGCCTCGCTTTCGATACAGGACGCCTCGCGACTCGTGCAGTCATTGACCAGCATGCAGTACCGAGTCGCCTTGTGGCAATGCCGGGTGCTCGAATGGGAATGCTGATCGGTCGCTACTTTTTAGCAAAGAATCGCAAAACGCACTCTTCCGATGAGGAGATCAATACGTTGTGAATCTTTTAGCTGACGCCTCCTATGCAGACCACTCGCAAAATGCTCAGGAAGTTCGTCATGACTTCGAGTATCGTTGCCATGAGCCGGTGGCGTGGGAAACCGTTCGAAGGTTCAACGCTGCAGCATGCTGGAAACGCTCAGCTCCAGGATGAGCATGCCAGCAAGACTTGCCAGAACAGGCCGCTCTGCCGCTTGTTTTTCTGGGAAGGATGCCACACCGTCTATGAGAAAACAGCTGAGCAAAAGCCGCTTTCACGATCGACTCGATCAAGACCCGAGACTTACACTGGCAGCACTGATCAGGAAAATACAGAATGTGACGGCGCGCAGAGCCTTGAACTATTCTCGGTAACGGACCTCTTCCCGCGAGCGACTCGTGGAGTAAATCTCCGAATCGGTTGAGTCGTAATAGCGTCAACTTTAAAGACTGGCCACCTCCTATCCGCTCTCACGCTCGGCCTGAGACTCACCTGCGACTTGTACCAGACTTGTATAGCAACATGGTGTCCGAAGACAGAAGTATCTCGCAAGCAGTCCCCAGCTTCACATCAAAACAGCCCCAGGCGTCGAGCATGTCCCGCAAGTGTACACAATGTACACAATCCTTTCCCTCTCGAAGACACCGGCACCGCGATTCGTCCTCGCAATGTTCCTAACTCCAAACTCATCCCGCCTACCCACAATAATCGCTCCTTATATGACGTAGGCATGCAAGATCATACGGAACGCTTTTCGTCGCGCGACCAATGAAGGACAGCCCAATGTCAGCCGGTCTTCACGATCTGACACGTGCATCCGCCGTGGTGGAGAACCATTTCAGTAACTCTCAAACCGCAAGCAAAGCCGTCGCGGTTCCGTAGTGAAGACCGTTGAGTTTGGTTCTTTAGCCTTTGCATGACTGCAGAGCTGCTCCTACGGTATGTGCATCACAACCAAAACGGGGCAGTCAATCGATCGATGACCTTGTCGTCGTGGGTTCTCAAGCCGACATGAGTTGGGCACCACAGGAGTATAAAGAGTCAGGAAGTAGATGCTTCCTTGCCGCGACTTGCCCTGTCTCCTCAAGCGCTCATTCTTCCTACCTTTTCGTTGTTCATCTTCCTCTTGATCACCTTCCCCAAAATGAGGTCTGGTCTTTCACTTCTTACCTTGCCGGCATTGGCCTTGGCATTTCCTGGCGCCGTTCGAGACGAGAAGAGACAGTTGCTTGGTACTGTCGGGAACCTACTGAACGATGTGTCTGGTCTTCTCGGCTCTGTAGCATCATCGATCGACCCAGACAACTTTCGACCAGAATCAGGCTACGATTTCCAGGCTCCAGGCCCAAACGACTCAAGAGGGCCGTGCCCGGGGTACGATCCCAAATACTCAACATCACGTCTGCCCTCGTCGAATTGGCTAACCTTCGGTCCAGGCTCAACCTTCTCGCCAACCATGGCTATCTTCCGCGCAACGGCTATGTGAACTTCGGTCAAGTCGTTGAAGCCACCGCCCGTGGCTTCAACATGGGCGCCGACCTCGCCACTGTCCTCTGCGTCTTCGCAGTCCTCACAGATGGTGACATCGAAACCGAGTCATGGTACTTGGGCGCCGGACCCCAGAATGTCGGCGGCTTGGTCCGTCACTCAACCATCGAGGTCGACATCTCGCCCAACAGAGAGGATTACTTCCTGGGCTGTGGTGACAACCACCACTTGTCTTCTCGCATCTTCACGCAGAATGTCCAGTTCGCTGCACAGAGTGCCGACAAGGACTTCGGCTACGACACTATGGCTAGACAGTACGTTTCATCATCTTCCTTTGACTCATCGCTGACATCGGACGTAGCTACGGCGCGAACAGCAGATTCAGCCAACAGTACAACCCATGGTTGTACTACTTCCCATTCCCATCCATCGTCTCCGTCGTGGCGTTCAACTTCTACCCGGAATACTTCTCCAACGGCACTTACGGCAGCGGTGGTGTCGCCAACTACGAGTCCATCTCTAGCATTGTTGGTGCCCAGCTCAACAAGGAGACTGGCCAATACGAATACGTTCCCGAGAGGTGGCCAGAGCAGGGCTGGTACCGCCGCTCAACCCCTTACGGAGCAGTCGAGGCCTTGACCGATGGCTTCACTCGCATCTACCCATCCGTAAGCCAATCACTCCCATCAACATCCTCCCTTTACCCACCAATCTAACCCAACCACAGAACCTCGTCCCAATGCCCATCGCCCAACTCGGCACCCCAAACCTCAACGTCAGCACCATCCTCTGCGATATCTACCAAGGCCTCAACTCCGTCACGCCCCTCGAGCTCGGCGGGGAAACCACCGACATCGAAGCCCAGATCACCTGGGCGCTCGGCAAGCTCGTGGCCGTGGGCATCAGCGACACCATCCTCGGATGCCCCAAAGATGTCACCAACAACAACATCCTCTACCCCAACTCGACCACCGCCGGCGGACCGCTTGGGCCGGACCCAGTGGTTGTGTCGAGGGCGGGGAATAATGTCTACAATAAGGTTTACTTCACTGCTGCGCCGACGACGCCGCAGTGTTCGTAGAATGCCATTTTCTTCTATTTATTATTGGTTTGGAAAATAACGATGGAGTGTTCAGATTTGAGATGAGTGAAATTGGAAGCTCTACTAATGTCTAGACGGCTGTCGGAGGATTGTGGCACAGATGTGGTATACAAGCCTAACAAAATATATATGATCCTACCCAAGCGTAAGATCGATCCACCCCAACGTCTCCCTCTCCAGCACATCCTTCGCTATCCTAGCCAACCCTTTCCTCTGCGCAACCCCACCCTCCCATTCAATCCACATCGCATCATAATACTCATACACCTCCCCCTGTCCGTACCTCTTATCCAAATACAAAGCCTCCAGCGTCGTCTCAACATGACAGCACGCAATGCCACTCTTCGCCCACGGGTCCACATAGTACTCATCCTCGAGGGAGGTCGTCGGGCCGTACTCCCGACAACTGAAGCGGATGACATGATCAGGCGAGGACCAGATTTCCCTTTGCGAGGGCTGCACGTCGCGCATGTGGCAATGGCGGATTGTGAAACTCCGGCGGGAGAGGGCGATGAGGGTGATGGGGCTGTGGTGGGAGATTGGGGCGTTTTGTTCGTAGAGGACGCCGGCGAAGGAGCTGTTTTCGTTGTTCACCGTCAGGCAGGTGAGGCCTGGGTGGAGGGCGTCGCGCTTGCATACCATGAACTGTGCGAGGAGTGCACGGCCGTGGAGGAAACGACTTCGCGATCTTGAGGCTAATGTGGAGTGGCCTGTGTTGCTTTCCACGTCGCCTAGGAGGTGGCATGTAGAGGCTCCGTCGTGGGTCTCGGTTACGACGGAGGCGGGCACAGGCTTCGGTGCATCAGGCTGACATGTCGTGGGCTCATATCTCGCATGAAGTGACCATGCCTCGATGTCCATATCTGCAGCACTGCTAATAGGAAAGCGGCGGGAGTTCGGTGCTTCACTGACTGACCACAGCACTATTCCTCGAGGGCTTTCGTGTCGTTCTCCCGACCTGCTGTTAGGGAACACCACGGGCATCAACCAGCCGATCCAGGACCAGCTTGCCATGGGCGAGGCTGCCGTAAGCCGCTTGGTACTTTGAGCCTTGCATGTCGACCTCCACAAAAGGGCACATGGCAGCCAGGTGGCTGGGAGACCTTGAATGAAGCCTTCCGCGCAGGTGCTTTCGAGGACTTTTTGAATGCTCGAAAAGGCGTAAAAGCGGTCTTCTGGGTGGAGCTCGTTCATGAAGCGCTCGGAGTACTTTTTGACCAAGGCTGTGTAGAAGTGGAACGCGAAAGTGGGCGGACAGTACATGCCGCCGACTCGCATGTGGTCGCCCGAGCTGTTGAACCAAGGGAGGAGTCGGTCCCGTCCACTTCGGTAGTCTTTATTACCGCCACTGCTGCTTGAAGACTGCATGGTTGAGCATTGCCAGCTGACGTTGTTCTGCTTTAGCCAGATGAGTCGGACGGAGAACAGCTCCTCCTGGAAAGTCCATGCTCTGGCAGGCCACAGGCACTTCTCCACGTCGACAGTCGCTAACTTCTTTTCGTGGTCCGCCAGCCGGCTTAGAGTTGGAAGACCGTGGATTCCAGAATCAGCACTCAGGTTGTCCAAGGCGATGATTGTGCAGAACGATCTTGCGTAGATGTAGGCCATCTGCTGGACTTGGGAGTGCTTCGATCTCGGATCGTCCTGCACGATACAGAGTCGATCGCACCAAAGGTATCGTTGGCCGAGAAATCCAGTCAAGAACATGGCATCGCGGACAGTTCTTGGAAGGCGTACCTGAGATGCTCGGCCCAGAAGTGAACCAGGCTGTTGCAAGTCGGTGAGATTCGAGACGCTTGTCTTGGCCGTTTCCACCCTGCCCCAAACATAGCTAAGAGCCACATAGCTAAGGGTGTGTCGGTAAGGTACCAGACAACAATCTTCGATATCGATCAGCCAGAGAGGACATCGATCGTCTTCCCCGACCAATGGCTCGCAGATACGGTGCGCGCCATCTTTCTCGCGATGATGTGCCTCACAATTTCGCAACCAATTCCTGAGACGGAATATTGTGAGGTTGGTGTTGTGTATCCGTGCATATGTGTTCAAGCGTTCTCCACAGCCTGCTAGGAAGGCCTCGATACTGGCGCCATGGTCACTGAGAGGAATAACGGAAGGGCAAGCACGCCGGCTCGCATAGCTACTGAGCAGGTCCCTCCTCTTGAAATAACGAGGCTTTCGGATGTTGAAGATCCTGGGAATTCGGGGGAAGACGTAGGCTAGCAAGTCTGCAGCCCGTGATATCGGCCCGTTGAGCGTAAAGGCGAGGAGGGCTCGAAGGATACGAGTGCCAAAGAAGAGGACGACGATTGCCGCTCCGAGGCCAAAGATGCCGATCACGAGCCAACGTATGATTTCACCTGCGCGTGAGGCAGCATTGGGAGCCATCGATGTTGTGGGAGTTCCCTTGTATGACAGTGGTCGGACAGCTTTTTCATGGTGTCGTGTTTGTCCAAGTCTGAAAGTGCGACTCGAAATGCAAATGTCAGCCTTTTTGATGGCCAGTGATCGTTCGGTCAGCCGACATTCTTGAAGGCGGCTTTTTCGCTGCCCTGGGCGGCCCCTGAGGTTGCTGCGACGCCCTCTGAACGCCACTGACACAGCGCCCACGTATACACGCCGCCCTTGTTCCTTGCATCAGTATTCAGCCCACGCGAGTCTAACTTGCAGTGTTGGCTCTACATCAACCCTTCACTTGACATTTGGTGCTTGCTAGGTATCGTTTGGTGCGAAAGGGATGAAACGACAAACGCAAGATATGGGCCTCTTTCTGTGTATTTACTCGACGAAGAAACAGTGTCGCCTTAGACCGGATCTTCAGGCTCTCTCAGCGCACGCCTCGACAGTTTATGCCGAAGTTGTATTCCATACTGCGGCAAATGGATCATAATGGGCATCCACATGACGCTCATACTCCATGGAGCTAGACCTCGTCAGTATTGCCAACATTCTTGTTGAGACGTCTTATACTCACTTGACCACGTTCGTCACAACGTCATCCCCATAAATGCAGCGGATGAGCGCCAGCATTCCATCGATGCCCGAAGACACACCAGAAGTTGTCCAGATGTTTCCATCGGTCACCCATCGAGCCTCAGGCACCCAGTGGACTTTGTCGTTCGTCGCTGTAATGCTCTTGTACGATCGCTTGTTCGTCGTGGCATTCCTTCCATCCAGAACACCAGATTTGGAGCACAGCAATGCGCCGGTGCAGACGCTCAGAAGGTACTTGAGCTTAGGGTATCGGTCCCTGATGAAGTGGATAGTACTGTTGAGGTATGGAGATCGAGATCCGATGCCTCCAGGGACGATCAGGACATCTAGATCAGGAGCCGTCGTGAGAGTCGTCGTCGGCAGGATCTGGAAGAAAGTGCTTGAGTTCTGGGGAATCATGCCCGCGCTTGAGGGCCGGGTTGTGACTGGATCAAGAGTTTCAGAGATGAGATGGATGTCGAGCTTGTACAGGGAGCCGACGTAGTTGAGGGCGTCGAAGGGGCCCGAGAAGTCAAGGGGTTCGAAGGCTGGGTAGACAAGATATTCGAAGCTTCGGGGGAGGTCAGGGGAGTCGTTGGCCGGTGTGGTGGTCGTGCCTGACACTGAGGGTAAGCTGCAGACCAAACTGCTCATATCTGTTGAAGACTTACAATAGGCCGGCTGTTCAGATGGCGTACGATCACACTCGGCTGCTGTCTGTGGGAAGTGTGCTGCGAATGCTGAGAGCAGCAACAGAGTGGCACTTGGAGGTATCATCTTGGGCCACTTGGAAGTCTGTGTTCGCTTCTCTTTGGCAAGACGCCCGAGATATATACTCCCCGCCTTACTTCTTGCGCTGGCAACCGCAGTCAGACCAAGATGGCAGGAACTCGTACATCGAGTAAGGAAGGTACAAAAGCTGGAAGTTACGAAGCGCCTAACATGGGAGGTAGCGACCACCATATGCCACCGGCATGTCAAACTCGGGTGTCATCCATCTGCAGGCACAGCGACTTGTCAGCGAAACGGTTAGAGGCTGATATCGTCGTACGAAACATCCATCGCCTTAGCTCGACTCAAAAACTACCACGAGAGGAAATGATCACAGCGTTTTGACTTTGGGGCTGAAGTGAAGGAGGTCTTTGTCTGCCCAAGAAGGAACGACGCCCAATGGAAACGTGCTCAAAGAAAGAACCTGCTCAATTTTGCCAAGACGAGAGAGAGCACCTGCCGCTGCTGGTAACATGCAAGGGTCGGAACATGGCGAGAATTGCCACCACCTTCCGACCTCCTCGAATACGATATCGAGATAGGACTCACAGCTGAAGCCTGACTTTCACTCAGAAGCGTCCCTTGGTGCGACGACGACTTTCCTCAACACCACCCCGTGGAATCTCGACATGGATATGGCGACGACGTCGACAATGGCCGACATGACTGGCATGAGAATGGCCACCTCATCAGCTCCAACGGCGACTTCTTCGGCAGCGATGGATATGGGAGGAATGAGCGGCATGGGAATGGGCGGCGGCGACGCTTGTAAGATCTCGGTATGCTGAATTCGAGATGCTCGCAGTAGAGGCAGCGCTGATATTCAAATCCAGATGCTCTGGAACTGGTACACCATCGACTCCTGTAAGCAACAATCAAATCAGCTCGCCAGAAGAAGAAGTACTGACCTTGTCACCAGGCTTCCTGGCCGAAAGCTGGCACATCCGATCGTCTGGCGCCTTCGCGGGTTCTTGCATCGGCGTGATTCTGCTCGTCATGGTCCTAGAAGCCCTTCGTCGTGCATCCAGAGAATACGAAGCGTTCCTCATTCGAAAGCGCCTCACCAAAAACCCACCGGCATCCCCAGCGCGCTCCACCAGCGACAGCGACAATTCCAACGAGAAGACCGGCACTGCACTCGCTCAACCAGCGTCATGTCCAGCCTTCGTCAAGCGCCAATTCCGACCTACGCTGTTCGAACAGCTCGTCCGGGCCTTGCTGCATATGCTGCAGTTCGCGGTGGCGTACTTCATCATGCTGCTTGCCATGTACTTCAATGGCTACATCATCATCTGCATCTTCATCGGTGCTTTCCTTGGGGCGTTTGTGTTCAGCTGGCACAATATCGCACTGCCGTATGTCTTTCACCCATCCTCCTGCTGTGTGGTAGCTGACGATTTCTAGGGGCGAGGAGCGTGAGATCACGTTCTGCTGCGGTTGAACTCCTCTCGAGAAGGATCTCCGGAATACCCGCGTGTTTGATCCGGCAGGATCTATCCGAGAAAGAAGAGGCAGGCTGGTTGCACGATGGTAGCAACCGTAGCCCGGCTAGATCCCAAGTTCTCCACAGTTAGTTCCCAATCGATTGCCGTTCCTATGGGAGGACTATGTGCAGATGTCACCAACGGAATATGACGGTCCTCTCACTAACTCGGTAGCAACACACATCCAGATGCCGTGGAGATAATCCGTCTAATAGCAAAGCAATTTATCAGCAATGCTAAGGTCCGGTCACCGTCCCGCGCTTCCACCACCAAGTCGTATCGGCCTCACCTCTATACAACGACAAGGCTCCTGACATCCTGGATAGCTCTTGAAGCCGCTTCTTGGCCATGGCCTCTTTTATCGCCTTGTTTCTAAAGATCTCTTGGATGTCCTTGGCTTTTTCCTAGATGCGTAAACGAAGTTCTCGTTTTCTTTGAGAATGTCCCGGGAAAGGTACGAGGGGTGGCCTACTTTCTGACCCTTCTGACACGCAGCATTTATCATCAAGATGGGGCTGGTTGGTGAGGCAAGCGAAAGCGTAAAAGGACACATCACCATCTAACCCCTGCGACGTCGTGACTGTCCATGGCATACTGTGAACAAAGCCATCACTTTGCAATGCAGCCCAACAAGCTCGAAATCAATCGCATCATAGCCGCCAGATTTCGCAAATACTCAGCTTAAAGTGGTACCTCACGAAAGGAAAAAGGAGCTCAATGGTTGATGCGTGCCTGCCCGTGGACCCACCATGATTTCATAAGCTTCGGCAAGTTGAAAAGACCGACGTCTTCGCGCATCTTCCCTTGTCCCTATATACTAAGCAGGGCTGAAGGATCGAAGGGACGATATACATATATATATATCGCTCTCTCTCTTTTTGGATCGATCAGAAGAAGTCATTGCATTCACAGAGCAGATTTTGAGATATCAAAGAACGTCCCTTCACTACGACGAACATGTCCAACCAAGCAGCGTGGATCGATGGCAAGGCCCAGAAGCTTAGAGTACGTCAACGACTTTTTCTTAACAACAGCACTCACACACTCATCATACATATGCTAATCGTTCATTGACAGGTCGCTTCCGCCGACTTGCCCAAGCCTGGCCCAGACGACGTCGTGATCAAGAACCACGCTGTTGCCATCAACCCCGTCGACTGGAAAATTCAAGACTACGGCGTGTTCGTGCAGTCCTGGCCAACCATCCTCGGCGAGGACATCGCTGGTGAGGTGTATGAATTGGGTGCGAATGTGAGCAAGTTCAAGAAGGGGGATCGGGTTGTTGCGTGAGCTTGAAGTGCACCTCTCCCAAAGGTTCGGGTGTGCTGACGATGGATTCGCAGCCATCAACTCTCCCTCGTCACCGGCAAGCCTGAAGATGGCGGTTTCCAGCTCTACGCCCGCGCTGCCGCGGTCTTCACCGCCAAGATCCCCGACAGCCTCTCCTACACCCAGGCCTCAGTGCTTCCCCTCGCCCTGGACACAGCCGGCCACGGCCTATACGACAGCCGCGAGAAAGGCTTCATCGGCCTCGACTACCCCTCTCTGACCCCAAAGCCCTCAGGCAAGACCATCCTCGTCTGGGGCGGGTCCTCCTCCGTCGGCGCGCTCGCCATCCAGCTAGCCACAGCATCCGGCGCAAAAGTCATCTCCGTCGCCAGCAAGCACAACCTGGACTTCCTCAAATCCCTCGGTGCCGTCGAGGCGCTGGACTACAACACCCCCTCGATCGTAGACGACGCCGTCACAGCGATCAAATCCGCCGGCGGCGACTTCGCCGGAATCTACGACGCCATCTCCACCGAGGCGTCGTACAAGTTCGTCCTCCCCATTGCCGAGAAGCTCGGCGGCACACACGTAGCCGTGACTCTGCCCGCGCCAAAGGAGTTGCCGAGCGGTGTCACGGCTGCGAATGTGTTCGCCGTTAACAAGGACGTCAACGGCCGACTGTGGGAGGAGTATGTAACCCCAGCGCTGGAGCAGGGCAAGTTGAAGGCGGTGCCGGAGGCGTTTGTCGTGGGTAAGGGACTTGAGTATGTGCAGAAGGGATTTGATACGAACAAGGCGGGTGTGAGTGCCAAGAAGGTGGTTGTTGAGTTGTAGAGATTCTCTCTTTCTTGCTGGAGAGCAGCTCGTGTTCGGGCTTTAGATAGCTTTCCATATGAATGACCATATTTGTGAAGTGATGATGTGGTGTTTTTGTAAGTCATCTTCTCCCAATAATTGAGGCTGTCGAGGTAGGTGTGTCGGCGAGGCCGCACCAAGGCGTTTCAGCCTCCTGCCAGCAGTGGTGGCGGTGTTGCAGAGCTCGCAGATCCGCATAAAGCCTTCCTCCCCCCCCCCCCCCTCTGGTCTTCCTCTCGAGTGTGAAAGCATTTTCCACGGGTGATGATTGGAGATTCGTCATGTCTCAAGTTCAGAGCGTCTCATCAGAGGAGCCTGTTGACATGCAAGAACTCCAGGACATCCCGAGCCGCGATAGAGGTGGCCCGGAAAACAACCAGATTTCTGGTAGCAGCGCAGCCAACTCGTCTGCGTCAGAGCAACACATGATCGTCTCGATTGCACCAATCCATCCAAGCAACATTCCCTCAGGCCCAACAAACCAATGGCGTAAAGTCCTCCAGAGCCCCGAACTCATCGGCATCGTCTCCCTCACAACCCTCGCCTTGACCATCATCGCCGTCGCCATGGCCATATGCTCGACTCTATGGGCCTCCAAAAGCTTCACATTCGGCGCCTGCGTTAGCCTGGCCGTAAGTGCAAACACAACCCGCCTCGAGCTACCTACCGCACTGACATGTCGATCAGCAAATCGATCGATTCACGCGGTCGTGCAACGACACCATCGCAGGCGGCATCCCTGCGTTTGGTATCCGCCAGCGCTCTGCTGACATTGATTTCGAGAACGACAATTTCGAGTGGAGCTGGAGCAGGGATCATGGGTACAGTCGACAGCAGTTCTTGAAGACCTCATCGCTGCGGGAATTCGTCTCTGTGACCTTGCTCTTGGTCCGTGGCTTCATCGCTCTCGCGCTGAGCTGTTTTCTGGACCCACTGCCGCCGGGATCGCGATTTAGCAGTCGATATTTGTGGTCAGAGGGCTCTTTGCTCCTGCGAACGTTGGGCATGTTTGCTGCTTTGTTCTGGTGTGAGATTGCATTTTATGGGCTGTATCCGAAGGACACGGTGGCTTTTGTGGAGATTGTAACTGTTCTAGTGATTGTTGGTATCGGTTCGGTTCTGTCGGTTCGCTGGAGGAGGCTTGGGTTGCGAAAGCTGAAGGAGGGTTGAGAGTGGCAGATGGCGAACGATGGTGCGAGCGTGGGAAGAGAGGTATGGCTGTGACGAGATATCGGGGAGTTTCATATACACATGTCAACGGGTAATGTCGCTCAATGCAGGACACCAACAGGAACGAATAACACTGTACTTCCCTATGCCTGCCTCTCCTTCTCCTCCATCTTCCTCCTCGCCGCCAGAATCATGTCCTCCCTCCGCTTCTTCAGCGCATCAGCTCTTGCGTTCTTGTCCGCACTCCACGCGTTCCTCTTCTGCTCCTCGCTCGGCACTGGCTCTTTGCCCTTCCCGCTGACTCTCGTCTGCAGGTTGTATCTCGTGATCAGATCAGGCAGCGGGGCATTCGATTTCCTGCCTGATGCCGTGCTTCCACTCGCATTCTGCGTCGTCGCCGGTGTGGGTATGTTGGGTTGGAAAGATGGTGGAGGCGACTCCAGCCCTCTGCCGCCTAGCACACGTTCCATCGTCGCCTCCACATTGCCTCCATTCCGTTGCAGGTCCCACGCTATGCTCCTCCGATCGAGCTGCGGGAATACCGAAGATACCTGCTCGATCTTGCTCACATCAATCGTGTTGCGCCGCGAGGTGGATGCGCCGGGCGTGGAGGGTTTGCTCATGAACCAGCGGATAGCGAGGAAGCCGACTACCGCCACGGCGATAAGCTGAGGGATGTTGATGGACGTTTGGCCATCTTGTGCCATGGCGTGCGCGGGGAGTGGAGTGTATGCGAGGCACGTGGAGGGTATCGCCGGTGGTCTCGTGAGTGATATACAGCAGCGGATACCCCAGCGGTGATTTCAGTTGATGCTCCGTTAAATGTTCGAGGCTGTGAGAGGTATTGTAGTCCAGCAGGCTTGATGCACAACCCGGATTCCGCGTGTGGTAGGTATCGTAGGTGGGTGGGGAGAAGATGCGTTGAATTGTTACGCTGATGAGTCTAGAAGTCCGCGGTCGGCTTCACAAAAGTGGCTGACTGCGCCACATCTCGGCACGTGCTCGGCTCGACTCCCCGGATGCCGAAGCCTCATATGTACATAGATGACTTTCAAAACGATTCTCTCCGTAGTGAGTTGCACGGAACGTATTCCAAGGCACTTGTTATCAATGCCAGTTGTGTTTTGCGTTCAAAGGAGCAGGATAATGCGCAATATTTGGCAAATACGCTCGAGAGTACTCAGCTCCGCGCCCTTTTGAGGGCAACAACTACCCCATGGAAAATTACACTCGACTTGAGCCCTCGCTACCTGTTTTGAAATACACCGAAGACATGCTGCGATGGAACTGCGGCGCAAAATAACGTTTCTTGGGCAGATTCACATCGATACCCAAAAATGAAATCGGCCATATCTCGCCAGGGATGGACGGGACGGTGGACTCGATCGAACAGCAAAAGGACGACACCTGAGAGATTCGAACTCTCGCCTCCGAAGAGACGGGCTTAGCAGGCCCGCGCTGAATTATCGTTAGCCATGATATGGTGATTTTGGCGAATGAGGGAGCTTACCGTTAACCACTCCGCCAAAGTGCCAATGTGCTGTGATTGGTCAAGGGAACCTTTTATGTTGTATATAAAAACTCAACGACTGATCTAGAGCGAAACGAGTACCGAAAACCAAAAAAATCATTTCGAACGAACGAGTTAGCAGATATGTCAGTTTCACAATGAAAGTTCTGCTACGACCATAGAGGGCAACGCATGCATGGGCGGCACGGGGAACATGAGAAGGGCAAAAATTATACAGCACCCGGTACTCCCGCAAGGTCTCCCACAACAGTACTAATCAGGCGCTCGACCAGTTGTCCTGAGAGAGCAGACGGGATCTCCAATTTTGAGTCGGCTTTGGCTGTATGTATGAGACAGGAGTGTTCAGAGTATCATAATGGTTTGAATCAAGCTATACGAAACGGACCTTGGTACGAAAACGAGGGCTGAGACGCAGCAGTCGAGAATTGATCATTGTTGTTGGTACTCAGGACACCAACGACACGTCGATAGTGAAGTCCTGTACGCATCTGTTGGCAGTTCCGTCGACCGCGAGATTCTTGGGAATTCGATCACATTCGTTCATGGCTCTGACTGCCTTCCAAAAGTTCAGGCTGTCGACTCGCACAATCTCATCTTATTCGCCCTTTGTACGGAAAACAACGACAATATTCGAGAACATTCGCATCCCAACATCCTGAGGACGACCTCTCGAGGATATGATTCGTGCTAGTCATGGCGTGGATGTTAACCCTCAGCTTCACAATATCTTCGGGAGCAGCCGCACTGCCTAGAGTGGAAGTTACCATGATTCACACTGATTCAGCCCTAGCGTAGCTGAACTCGAGCCATGGGATATAAAGCAGGGCTGTTTCTCGATAGAATCAATGCACCATCAATACACCATCAATCGCAACCTCCACCAACCCATTCCACTTCGCACATCATGGCCACCGCGGAGCAAATCAACAAGCTCGTCGAAGCTCGAACCCAGAGTCTCAAGCAAGCTCTCGAAGACCAGGATATCGCGGCAATCGTCTCCTGGCACGCAGAAGAGTCCCAATTCTTCGATCCATGTGAGCAAATCCCCTCTCCCTTTCACTGCCATGAGCTGAAGCTAACTTCCACCAGTGCGAGAAGTCGACGGCCTCCCACGCGACAAACTCCACGACTTCTACTCCGTCCCGTTCAACAACTTCAACTCCTCCAAGATCCTCAGCTCGAAGTCGACTGCATCGACGCCCTTCTTTCAAGCGTGGGAGATTGTCGGCGAATCGACCGCGTTGGTCGACGATCCGCTCAATTCGGGGGCTAAGATCGGGCACAAATTTTTGGCGAACCTGGTCTCTTTGATTTGGTGGGAGTGGGAGGGGGAGGGGGAATGGACAGGCGATTTGTCGGAGGAGTCGATCCGGAAGTGGAAGATCGTGAAGCAGCATGATTATTGCGTGCCACAGAGAGCCAAGGAGGCCTGATTCGGTGGCGATGTTGCCCAAATGTGAGCGCCGTGGGTCCTTCGTCGTCCGTTAATGAGTTTCGTATGTCCTCAGAATGGAACGAATACTGCAACAAGTTCTTCATGTCTTCTCAGACTTCAGCAGATCCTCGACGTACGCAAGATGATCTCTCTCATCGTGTACTATCCGAGCGTATTCCAGTAAAGCGCGATGCATGTACACCAACATGTCTTCCTTTCTCAACACTGCATTGGCCCACTTCTGTCCATCATTCGCGATCTTCTCACCAGCAACGTCGTGGCCACAAGTTGATCCAGTCCCAAGAAAGTAGGCCATGACATCGTAGAGCCCGTCGAAAGAAATGTCAAGAGGTATGTAGTGCTTCCAGGCAAATAGGCGGGAGTCATGCCACTCCGTGAAGATGGTCGCTTTCATGACAGCGCTGTTGCTCTTCATAAACGCACGGAACCGGCCAGAAAGTGTATTGCCATCAATGTCTGCGAGGTACTTCCACTTGAACTGTTGGCCCATTTTGATCGAAGAGGCAGCATGATAGTTCTGATGGAGAATGGAGCAAACTTTCTTGCCCTGTGGTCCGTTGCACAGAATCTTGCTGAGGCCAACATCAGCCGTGCGAGACAGCCAATCTGCCAGCGGTTCTTGAGTCTTCGCCCTGGCACTGTCACTTGTTAGCTTTCTACCCTCAGATTCCATATCTGCGTTGCTGGCGTTGAGATGTGAAACGAAGCGGTGTCGATGGAACTGCTTCCAAGTGTCCACCCTTGCATGGCCTCCAGTCGCAGCACCTCGCCAAACGAGTCCATGGACCTTACTGTTCCAGGGAAAGTATGAGCTCCAGTCGCCACGCCAATCTTTGCCGCTGAACAGCTTGTTGTCACTGTAGTAGGCTGGCTCAGGGAGGAGAATGTCGTTGTTGATGCCGAGCTTCGCCGCGCTGAACACGGGTACCAGTGATGTGGTGAAGTCGACGCTGGCAGGCTCAATCAGGAATCCATGCTGTGCAATCAGATTTGGGTTCTGGCAGATGTCCTTGGAGGCGGTCACGTTTTGAGTGAAAGCATTTTCCAGACTGTGCGGTGTAGAATCTGCCTCCTTCCTCAATGGTGAGTCTGGTGCGCAGCTGTTGCGTAGGCCTTGCCTGAACTGATTGATCTGCGTGGTCCACTTGGGCTTGTTTCTTGAATTTGCTTTCGAATGTTTCATCTCCGGGTAGTCCTGCACAAAGCTCGCCGTAGAAGCAGACGTCATCTCCTGCCTCTGCGTATTTGCGGCCGCCATCCTCTGATCAATCGACTCCCACGGGACCAGGACTCTCGGCTCATCCAGGCCATTAAGGGCCAGGTCCATATCAGGCAGCTCAGAGGATATCTTCCTCAGCATGTCGCCCCAGACTCTAGTCCTGAATCTGTCCTGCGGCACCTCCATCACTCGTCCACCCCTGACTTTGGCAACAGACTGCCACCCTTCAAGTGAAGCTCGAATTGATGTGGGATCTATCGCCCAAAAAGGCTCCAAGTCGCGGTAGATTTGATCGAAGAATTCTTCGATGATGATGGCGTCTAGCGATTGAGCTTTCTTGTACCAGCGATCGAACCAAGGGGGTGGGTGTCTTCCTCGTCGAGCCCGGTATGCAGCCGCGCCATCTTCGATGTTATTTGTCCTCTTCTGTATCACCGTTGAGTATGTATTGTCAGCATGACGTACGATCGAGTCGATTGAATGACCCTCGTCTACTTCGCAGCGGATATTGCTTGTTGAGGTGTTCAGAGAAGCGAGGGGCAAGCTCTGAAAGACAACAACGCCCAAGCCGATGCAGCTAACGAAGTATAGGAAGGCCCGTAGCCTCATATTATCACCCACGAGCGGTGCATCTAACTCCAAGGGTACGTGAGAATTTCAAGTAGTATTTGGCATTCATGTGAGAGGTGCAGTGGTGAGGTTGGCAAGGGGAAGTTTGTACCACATGGGCGAATTTGCGAGCCACTTCGCGCAAAGCCCGAGGTGTGACAACAAGTCTATTACCAGTTCCCACGTGCGCTAGCTGCAATTTTTGTGCGACCTGCGCGACGGATAGATTGGCAGAGGGCGCTGAAGTTTAGTGGACTCGGTTCCGTCTTGTGATGCAAGCCAAGGGAGGATCGGCGTGATGTGGTATAGCATTCAGCCGTTCGGTGCTTGGCAAACGGAGTAAAGTGACTTCCAGGGACCACTCATTCTCGACAAAGATCATTCACTCATCGCAGCCGCTAATGCTTCAAGCCGAGAAGCAGCCTCCGACAGTCTTGTAGCCTCCTCAGCCTGCCCTTCGCCAAGCGTCTCAACAAGCAACCTCATGGTACCAGCTTCTTGCTGCATGAATTGTTTTCGGCTCCGATTGCTGCGTGCTTCAAGGGAGCCCAAAACTTCTCTCAATAGAGGCTGGGCCTCATCAAACTTCTCCTCTTTGACCAGAACAGCAGCCAAGTTGTACTGCTCGCGGCAGGCGGCATCAAGCCCATCAGCCGCAATGCGGGCTTGCCAGATGCGGCGATAGACTTGTTCTGCTTCATGATATTGGTGAAGTGAGAAGTACGAGACGGCCTCAAGCTCCATTGCGTCCAGGTCAGCCGAAGGTATGGTGGTCATTTCGTTTCTGCTTTCAAGACTCTCGCTGTTGTCGACTGTTTTCAAGGTCAGCAAGCGGCAATGCATATCATCCGAAGGCTGCGCACTGGTGAGCTAGGCTAGTTATCTGTATAATAGTATGGAATACTGATTTGTGTAGGAAGGAGACTTGCTAATAGCGAAGAGAGCACACTCACAACTCCAGGTCGTGCGGCACAGTCGCAAATCCCACGTATGCTCGAGCCCGTCGTCAGCCAATTGCATAACAGCTTGCATCAGGCAGCAAAGGTACATTGAGACATTGCTTGCCACTGGTGAGCAAGGTATTACCAGGTCTCCTCCGACGCGAACGATGTCTCGCCGTGCATCGCAACGCCCAGGACATGATCCAAATGGCTCATTCCTAGTTCGCACTGCTGGCTCTGTGCAAGCAGTTGAGCCATCTTGACAAAGTTCTTGATTCGTCGCCCACTGAGGTTGTGTTTTCCGAGCCGCTTGTAGTCGTCTTCGGACAGGACTGAAGTACCAAGAAACGTCTTCCAGACTGCTGCCCGAGCAGCTTCATCTAGAGCATCGTAGTGCAGAGTGAGATGTATCCTTGAGTGAAAGGCTGGATCGAAGGTGAGCAGACGATTGGTGGTCAGGATGAGCACTCCCTTGTAATACTCTAACAGCCGCAGAAATACTGTTCTCGTCAGTCACACGTTGAAGATATTCTCAAGCCAGAAAACGCACCAGCAACTCTTTGATTTAGCATCAAATCATCGTCAGAGCGTGTCTCCAAGAAGGCGTCTGCTTCATCGAGGAGCAGGACGGCGCCCCAACGGGCAGACAATTCCAGAACCTTGCTCAACTCCTCTTCGAGGCTAGATGCGTAGGTACTGTCCAAGTCACTCACCGTTGCCGCAAAGATCGGAATCCGAAGATGCTCAGCAATGGCCTCTGCCGTCAATGTCTTGCCAGTACCAGGAGATCCACTCAGTAGAATCACAAGCCCTTGCCCTGCAATGAGGTCAGCAGAGTCGAGCATGGACTTTCTGGGCCCTTGGTGGGCGACTTGCCTTTGCCTTGAATAATGTCGTCCATTTTGCCCTTGTATGAGGGATTGCTGTCGATGAGTGCTTTGAGCAATACTTTCCTATCCTGCGCCAAAACAAGACGATCGAAGGCAAATTCGCTCCATGTGATAGAGCGAATGTTGTCAGCTTCAAATTCAGCCCATTGCTTGCTGGTCAGATCGTAGCCTCGAATGTATGGGCTGAAGAGTACTAGCGACTCCGGCGCGAAATTGCCTGGTGATACTTTGTTACAATCTGTTTCAAATGGTTGGTTTCTTGTGCTCACCGTCTGCTTCAGGTGCCATCTCGTTGGGGAGAGGTTCAAGCGAAATACCGTGGGACACGTATTTCCAGTACCTGTCACCATCAACGAGGATTCGTCCTTCGATCTAGACATGGTATAAGCACAACTTCCTCATGCGATCTTGAACTCGGCGAGCTCTTACGAATCTTTCACGACAGACACCAAACCGCGATAATGTCCAAACAAAGCCATTATACTGCATGTACTTTGCCTGATTAAGCTCCACAATTCGATGGCCTCTACTTCGCAGCTTATGCTCAAGATCTTCTCGTTGCGCCTCGTAAGCAAGTGGTATCCCAGGCAGACTGATGATCTTTCGACTGCCCTTGAACTGATCTATTTTGAAACACGATTGACGGAGGCCGTATTCACTGCCATCGAAATCAATGTACTCCGTCTCAACGTGAAAGTTCGGGGTTTTGTCGTTGACATAGTCGGTGGCTACAATGCGCTGGGCTTGTTCGATTTTGCGTGAGCGAGTCACGATCACAGTGCCGGGCTCGTACAGATAGTCCAAGAGGTTCCAGGTGACCACGTTCTGTTTGGCCATCTCATTGAACTCATCAGGCTTGCCGTTGAATTCCTCATCAAGAGCGCTGCATAATGCCTCTATCTCCTCACCCAAGCGTGTGCCAGTCGATGCCTTTGCCTCGTCTCGAAGTGCATCCCATTTGTGGAAGAACTCTGTAAAGGGTGGCTGGAACTTCCCTTTCTGCAATTCTCTGGCAAAGCTTGGATAGCCTTTGAAGACCCTACGGAGCAACGTCTTCAACTCCAAGCTGTGCACCACGATGGAGTGCAAGGTCAACGGCCTCTCACGAAGCTCGTCGGTGTCCTTTTTGAACCGCAAGGCTATTGCCGACATGTCCGCGTACTCCTCCTCGACCAGGTCATCAGGATATTCCTCCACCCAGTTACGATAGCCATCTTCATCTCGAGGCCCGCGATATAGCTTCGTCACCAATCTCTTCACGGGGGGTAGATCTCCTTCGACATCGCTGGCTTCTGACGCTGCTCCAAGCACATCGTCGAGAGAGGGTAAGCCCTCAGGAGCAGCAATCGAATCTTCCTCATCCTGGTTCGCACTTCTCGGGGCGGCTGGGCGTTGACGTCGGGCGCTCCTGGGCTTTCTCAAGGTGCGTGTTAGGAAGGAAAAGGGATCGACATCTGACCTGCTGTCCGTGTCGCTTGCACTGTTCCGGCGGGATGATGCCGACGACGACGACATCCCGGCTTCAATTTCCGCAGGATCGAACTCAAAGTTCACGACACCACGACAAGCAACAACACGATCGGAAACGATCTCAAGGCAGTCAATTCAACAGTCCCGACGCGAGGAGAGTCTCGTCTGATATACTGTAACCGACGCCATGTTGTTGAGGCCGCTCAGCTGAATGCCAGCGCATCCGTGTCCCCACGCTCCCCTGCAAGCACACTCGGCGCATGCTTGGTCGAGTCTCAAGCGACAGCGGCAACGAATGACTCCTCAATCATGGCGAACTTCGAAATCATGTGCTCTTCAACTATCTGGGCATCTCAGACTGCCCCGGCTGCGGCCCTCCGCAGACTCAACAGAATAGCCCGCCATGGAAGGAGCATCATCGCCAATCCGAGAATTGCAAAGACTGAGTAGAGGCTGGATTGGAGCCCTCTTTGAACTGCGACGAGGGCTTTTCGACGATGATGGAAGATTTCATGGGACAGATCCTCACATCGAACGGCTTGCTCAAATCTCAGCTGGGCTTACGAAGGCTATTCAGGAGAGCAAGCTCGAGATTTGCGACCAAGAAGAACTGGACAAACCAATGCATAGCATGGATGAAGAGTTCGACGCACCCTTCTCGCCAGTGAAAGAGTGCATAGTCAGGGCCACGCTGGAGTCAACCTTCCTTCGCTGCATGGGCGAACTTACCAACAGGTTCGTTGACGCTGGGGCCAGTCTCTCCATTGCCGGGGTTTTGATCATTCAGAGCATGGCGGTGGAGACTGGGCAACCTTTGCCAGCACTTACGAGTCTGCAGCAGCTTCTGTGCGACTCCGCATTTGAACCATCGCCCATGATTGATAGCTTGTACGTTTACAAGCCTTTCCCGTATCCAGAGCATTGGTTTCGCATTCTGGTCCTGTCGCCAGCCCAGAAAAGGGACGACCCCATCAAGTGTTCTCTGGCGTTTGAACTGCTTTCAAGCAAGGCGAATTACGAAGCACTTTCATACGCTTGGGGCGATGAAGCAAACAAACGCACCATCTACATAGAGGACCAACCATTTGAAGTCACCTCCAACTTGTTTGGCGCTTTGAAGGAGTGTCGATACATTGGCAGAAAACCTCGAGTGCTTTGGGTAGACGCAGTATGCATCAACCAACGAGACGTTGCGGAGAAAAACGTACAGGTGCAGAACATGGCTACAGTCTACCAGCGGGCCAGCAGGGTCTTGGTCTGGGTCGGACCTATCAGCAACACCAGTGCGATGTTCTGGCAAGTACTAGATTTGTATCGTACCAGGAGAACCCTCTGGCAAGCCGAGCATCCTGATCACGACCAGAGTCACTTCTTCATGCCCTTACATCTTCCCGTCCAGGCACGTCTTGCTGTAAACAAGTTCCTTTCTCGATCATGGTTTGGGCGTGCTTGGGTCATCCAAGAAGTTGTCCTGGCAAAAAGCGCTATCATTCGTTGCGGACATCGCGAAATCGACTGGGAGACATTCAGCTATTTCGTGTGTGATTTCCGACATGCGTATGTGACGGACACGTGCGATAGCGAATACTCTAGGCCTAGGCGGTCTCTAGGATTGTCGGGAAGATTCCACCACAAATACAACGAAGCACTCGACGGCTCACGACTACTCAACCTGCCAGCCGCTGTTCTAGCGTTCCGCTTCGCACGTGAAAAAAAGAGGAGGCTAACGTTGTGTGAGCTTCTCACATACTCTCGTGTACAATCCTCCAAGGATCCCCGCGACAAAATCTACTGCATATTAGGTCTCCTGGACGCCGAGGAACGTGCACGCCTACCCACGCCAGACTATTCTGCACCTTTCCAGAGCGTTTTCTGTGCTTGGACAAAAAGCTCCATCATCGAAACGGGCACACTGACGCTGCTCGCCGCGGTATACCCTTGGAGGAGCAGTCGTTCACTGCAGCCCAGAGACCTCCCCAGTTGGGTCCCTGACTGGCGATCCGACCATCCCGACCCTACATTCAATACTTCGCGGATGCTACTGGAGTCTTTCCAAATCAAAGAGTCCTCGATCTTCAATGCAGGGCTATATCGCAAATCACCATACCCATTCAAGTTTCTTGTAGATGACAGGGTACTGTGTGCCCAAGGCATTCGGCTGGGCACGATTTTGACATTTCCTGTCAGCGGTCCGATGGGCTTCCAAATTTCTGATGATACTTCACGCACCCTCGACGACAAGATGCGACGGATGTTATCCGAACACAGACGGGCATTGATTTATCTGAAGCAGTTTGTACGAGACGAATTTTGGCGGACAGTTTCATGGGACAATGCTGCCAAAAGTGTTTTCAAGGCATTGCTGAGTAGCCGACGCATTGGGCACGACAAATCTGTGTTTGTGAATGGCTGCCCCTTCCCGCCCACTAACGACCAAGAGGAAGCCGTGCTCCTCGCATATGGCGAGGAAGACTATCGATTCGAAGACGACTTTCAAATCAGCATGCTGGGCGCCATGGGATCCGTTGCACGCCTATCTTCAGGGCACCTTGGCTCCTTCCCTCCAAGGGTAGAAGAAGGCGACGAAGTGGCCATCCTCTTCGGCCATGACAAGCCTGTTGTGCTTCGTGCATGTTGCGGTTATTACACCTTTGTTGCTGAGTGGTAAGTGACGGCACCTAGCTGACAGAGAAGCTCTGACTTTCGCAACAGTTATGTTCATGGAGCCATGGACGGCGAAATCGTTCGAGATCAGGAAGCCGGCAAATACGCAGTTGAAGAGGTTCAGATTGCGTAGACGACGAAAGCCATAACTGTTCCTAGTCTCAGATCAGTTTCTTGTGGCCGGCACATGTAGAGCAGATCCCGCAAAAGGGTCATCGATGTCAACCCGAGACGAGCCAGTCCATACCTCCACCAGCAAATACCTTTGCGTCCTGATTCATGTGTTGTACATGGACATCATCGAACAAGCCAAGTCGGCCAGGCCTTGAAAGAACAAAGTTCAGATGAAGCTTCCAAGTAACACTGGTCGTCATACTCTTCGCAAATTCTGGTACGTGCTTCTTTGAGCTTGGTATTGCTTGGTAAGTTGAGCTACGGTTCGTGTTCTTCCCAGCTGCACTACTGGCCAGATTGGAGTTCGAATCGCCAGTCGAAGGATATCCATTTTGGGATGTAGCACTGACATCGTCACTACCATCTGCATCTGAAGGCTGTCACTTCTCCGCGGCGATTCAAAATCCAGCGGTCAGGCTTCCCACACCTCTACCACCTGATCTACTCGTTTGCCAGACCGTTCTTCACCTACTGCAGAGATACGATGCAGCCTCTTTCCAAGCTCTGGCACCAGCATAGAGCTATGCTGCCAAGTATAGCATTCCGGCACGTAAGTGCCGATGGGATTCCGCATATAGCTTATACTCCACGCCACTGGAGGAAGATCGTCTAGTCTTGTAGCTATTGGTTTGCCAAAGTGGTAAGAGCGACGTCACATCGGTGTGATGCGACCACTTCATGCTTTGAGCTTTGATACGAGCGACATCATACTGCTCGTGTCAACTTGCCGGTGGCCGATATACTGGTTCTTGGTGCTGTTGTCAAAGGGATATAAGGAAGAGCGAACATCAGCATCATGAAACAGTATCAACGCATCAACAACACAATCCAAACTCACCGAACCCAGTTCCCGACATCACAGACCATCTACAACAGCAAAAATGAAGACCACCATCATCTCTACCGCAGCGGTGCTCTCCCTCGCTTCCAGCGGCCTCGCACAAACCAGCGAGCAGTCGGAGCCATTCCAGCTCATCATCAAGAGTGCCGACAAGAGAATTGATGGCAAAATCCTCGAGGCGTGCCACGAGGGTGCGGCCATTGAAGGTCTTTGCACTGTCAACGCCGAAAAGCCTACAGCATACAACACCTTCCAATTCAACACCACCTCAGGACAAACCATTTCCGACAAGAACCTTGGGCCAACTGGCCTCTTGACCTTTGAACTCCAGGCTGACAAGCTGAATGGTAAGTAGACACAATTTTTCGTCGTTCGATTGATTTGAACTCCTCGATAACCATCTTGCAGAGTCCGAACCCCTCACCTTCTTCTCCGACCCTTCGACGAACGTGGCTCTCCCACTCTTCGAGCCAACGCAAACCGGCCAGCAAGTCGGTTTCGACACGGCCAACTGCATGCACGTGCAGTCCTCCCTCGACGACACCGTGAACCCACCAACGAGCACAAAAGTCCGTGGACTGTACCGCTGGTATGTCTGCAAGACGAACTTCGAGGGCTACGTCTACGAGACCTTGGCTTGGGTGTTGGGCAATGGCAAGCCGGAGAACCCATCTTGTCAGAAGGTCGATGTTGTTCGCCAGTTTGAAAAGATCTAGAGTGATCGGGCAATGTCGATATGAGATATGTACACATAATAATTTATTGGAGATGTGCAACGACACAAGATTCGCTCTCGCGATCCTTCAAGCAGTGAAATGCCGCTTCGGGCATAGAGTTCGTCCGCAGTTTTGAAGGATCAGTCAACAATAAGCCCCTAGAACCTCTAGACTTTTGCTATACCATCTTGCCTGCTTTCCCGTTCCGGTTACATCTGCGAGAAGAAAGATGTAGCAAGGTGGCTCTCGCAAGACTAACTCATTGCAACAAGTAAACGACAAAACACATGCTCCTGTTCTGTGGATTATTAAGCATTCCATATACTCTGGCAACACGTGAATACAACGATCAAAAATCTTCTCCATCGTTTGCCCACAAACGGCAATCTGGTAGTACAACGTCTGCCCAATACGGTCTTAGTGAAGTTAGCTATACAGCGTTCAGCATTCCGCATTGGGAAGTTGTCGGAGAATTCTCGCAAGTTACTAATCCGGTCTCATGACGATCGGCAGTGTATCTCCAGGATGTGAAATACAGTGAACGAGTTGTGTTGCTGGTATTCTCGTTAAGGAAATCATCAGCTGAATGACTGTTGCAAGCGAGAGCAAGAGTCCAATAGCCACACATCACTAATTGAGCAGAGCGCGTACAGACGGAGTTGTGCAAGCTCTATGCCGCCGTTCGAATTGGTAATACGCACGGAAAATCGGAAGAATTCGGTTTTAGTCCACGGGCCTCTCAGCCATCGAGCATTGAATTTCTGTAGGGCTCTGAGCATCACACATAGCAATAGATAAGATCGGTTATCCCGTCGGTAGATCCAGTGGGACGCACGCCCGCAGACTAAGAGGGAAATTCGAGGGAAAGACCGCAAATATGGGCCTGCCAAGCACGATGAAAGCTATCAAGATTGTCGAGACCGGCAAGGCTGAGATTCAAGATTCTCCGCTGCCGAAATTGAGAGATGGGACTTTGCTTGTGAAGAATTCCTGTGTGGCACTCAACCCGACAGACTGGTGAGGCAAACAGATCTCCTCATCTACTTTCCCTAGCTGACGTCCACAATAGGAAGCACATTGACTGGATGCCAACCCCCGGAGCAACAGTCGGCTGTGATTTCGCCGGAGTAGTTGTAGAAGTCGGCCCAAATGCTGGGACCAGATTCAAGAAAGGCGATCGTATTGCCGGTGTAGTCCATGGGGCCAACACTCTCCGCCACGACAGCGGGTGCTTTGGTGAATACACTGTTGCCAACCCAAAGGGCTCATTCAAAATCCCAGACAATGTCACCGACGAGGAAGCGGCTGGAATGGGCGTGGCGACTGCCACGATCGGCTTGTGTCTTTACCAGAAGCTCGCTCTGCCGATGCCAGGCTCGATCCCTGCTGAGTACCCGATTTTGATATATGGAGGAAGCTCAGCCATGGCTAGCGTGGCGATTCAATATGCGAAGCTGTGAGTTCTGGTCGGGTCGAGGTGTTCTTCTTGTGCTGATGATAGAACAGTTCGGGAGCCAAGGTCATTACGACTTGTTCGGCCAGGAACTTCGACTTCGTCAAGTCTCTGGGCGCGGACGAAATCTTCGACTATAACGATCCTGACGTTGGTAAAAAGGTGAGTTTTTCATACCTACCTCCGTTTCGACAATAAAGCTGATTCACTCTCCAGATCCGCGAAGTTACAAACGACAAGCTCTACCACGTAATGGACTGCATTGGCGACGGTGGAGCCAAAATCTGCCTGGACTCCCTGTCTTCGTCTGGCGGCCAGATCGCCACTATCAACTCCCGGGCCATTTACGACCGAGACGATATTCGACTGAAGAAGGTCATCGCCTACAGCGCAAACGGTGAACCATGGCGTATGGCAGGCAACGATTTCCCAGCAACAAAGGAAGAGACCGACCTTGCGAACCTGTACTTCCGCCTGAACGAAAAGTTGATGGGCGAAGGCAAGGTCAAGGCACATCCACCGAAGACGGGCCAGGGGCTGGAGGGAGTTCTGCAGGGCTTGGATGAGATGAGACAGGGCAAGGTCAGTGGGGTGAAGTTGACTTACAAGATCTAATGATAGCGAGCATGATCGTGGTATAGCCAAGTTGCATAGCGAATCAATCGTTTAAGTCGAGACCGGTTGTACTGGTTGACGTGGCAGTCGTCGTTTCGTATAACAGTCAGCTTTCAATGCGCGGAACACCGAACTCCACCTTGATCGATCGATCTGAAGACCTTCTGTTCGTGTCTCAGAGCATGGTCGCATTGTCGCTACAGCTCATCGCGTTGTAGGATAATCGGCGACCTTGCCGAGAGATCAATGACCATATCAGAACACAATTGGCAAAGCCAGCCACGCATGTCTCGCCTGCGCCACTCCAACCAACATCTCTGGTTAAAGCAAGACGTTCAAAACCCCTGCTCAGCTGACCTTGAAACACAAGCCATTCTCACAGAGAAGTGCCACAATTCCCGGAAGCGACCACGCCATCTCAGCAGAACCACGGCTCGCCAACGGCTCGGTTTGCCGTGTGACCCAGCCCAGAAGCGTTCCGGAATCCTGATTGAGTGCCGAACTTTGGTGGTTCTCCTCTCTCTACCAAACTTCGTCGCAACGGGTTCAACGGCAGACGCTGCGTGAACGACTGTTCCGTTCAGCGGCGCTTAGCATGGCTGTGCTTTGCCGCGGCTTCATTCGATCGCGAGGCAGGACAGTGGCAAGGAATACCGACATCGTTGCTGTGATGTTGATCGTTTCACATGCAAGGACATATAGTGACCTTCGTTGACCGTCTGTCTGGAGGTCTCAAGGTATTGACTCGTCAGCTCTGTCAAAGAACAAAGAATCGAAGACATGCCGGGTGCTTTCCCACCTTGCCCAGGTCCACCGCCTACCAAGCCATTACCGCCGTTGCCGTCCAAGTGAGACCAGACGTCAGCAGGACGAAATCCTTTGTCAATTGTCAGGCGGGGCAGACCAAGATTGACGGCATTAAATCCAGAGGGGTTGGACACTTTCCCGGAGTGGCCTTGAACGTCCTCGTTATACTTGGAGAACGCAGCCATGAGTACCATCTTCGACAAGAGTCAGCAACCCAATTGCATCTTCTTCCAATTGCCCGCCGATATCCGCAATGTCATCTACGATTCCGTCTTCTACGAACCCGAAGGTGTCAGCGTTGATTTCACCAACCGACGAAAGGACAGAACAAAAGACACCACATTTGCTTTGGCCATAACCTGCAAGGAAATCTACAACGAGACGCGCGACCTCCCGTACTGGCTCAATATATACCACTTCCAGGTGCCAGTGCTCCAGAACATGGAAAGCATGTTCACGGCAGCGGGTCCTCTGTCGGCGTGGCCGGTACCACAGGGGGATCCGTTTGGGGCAAGAAGGAGAGACCTGCAGCTACCAGAGGGAAGCAGCACCATGAAGCAGAAAGCGCAAGAGTTCGTCTCCTCAGCGACACGATCGCCGCACGCCCGAGATATTGCCGACGACCTTAGCAGGGCGATCGATCAAGAATGGGTTATGTTCAAGCTGCGGAAGGTCCACGTCCATCTCGGCTCGCAGATCAATCACACCTTCGTGGAGAGATTCTTTCATGCTTGGAATGAAGTTGAGACCTCGCTCTGCCGGCTCAGAGCACGTGTGGACTTGCGAATCTCGTTCGAGCTGAGGGTCAGCCGCTGGCTCGTCGTTGAATATAACTTTGGAGTTGGAAAGCCGGAGGAGACGTTAGCGGAGATGGATAATTGCGTTAGGGTGGATGGGGCCTTGACTTTGCCTGAGATTTCGACTATCAATGCTGTGCGACTTAGGGTGTGGCGCACTTTCTTCGAGAGGGACTTCAGGGGAAGCAAACCTGTCTCATTTTTGGCTTTGCCAAAAGGCAGCGCTGTCGCTCTGCCATCGACTTGCGGTAAGAGAGCAGAGGAGCTTATGCACCGCATAGCATTCGAGGGAACCGCTCGTTGACGGCATCGCATGTCGGTCAGTCATTAGCTGAGAGACTGTCATGGAAATTGCTGAATGACGGCGGAAAGATCCTGTAGCATCATGGAATGTTCGAGCTGGTCTCGACTTTCTTCCTAGGCCCATAGCCTTCACCTTCTCAAAGAGCAAACACTCGAATGGATGTTGTTTTGTCTTTTCTGTCGTTGCAAGACAAGTATGCATCAAAGAAAGTAAGTCAGCACATATAGTCCACCAGGCCTAGTACTGTATCAGAACAACTCGCAGACTTAGCTCAGCAACGCCAAATGGCTCGCAAGAAGAACCCATCCCTCCCAACATCCTCCTTCGCTCACATAAACGACACCCTCGACGCCGCCTTCGCGGACCTGCACCTCCCCTCCAAAAACCCCATAGCCTTCCGGCGCCTCGCCGAAGACCACATCTCCCGCACGATCCCAGCACCAGCCCTCCACAACATCTGGCACGATCTCGATTTCCTAGAAACGCAGGCCACGATCGCCTACGATCGATTCCTTCTCCTGCACGGCGAGAAGTTGTGGGAGACGACGTACGCGGATCTGCAGAGCAAACCGGCGTTTCAGAGACTGGTTAGGAGGTACTTTGTTTGCTTGTTGCAGATTCCGAGGAAGGAGAAGGAAAACGAGCTGTTGCGAGAAGTACTCCTGCCCGTGGAGGAGAGGCCTAGGAGTTTCAGTATTCCAAGAGACAGCTGCGAGGCGAAGGCGGAGTGGTCTCAGGAGCGAGAAAGGGAGAGCGACGCCGCGGAAAGAGATGAGGAAGTCGAGGAGGAGATGGCCAAAATCACCATCGGCGACGACTCCGCTCTCGAAAATGGAGAAAGTGAAGAAGCAAGTCCCGAGCGTGGCATGGAAGACTCCTGCTCTGTGTTTTCTTGCGTGATCGATGGCTGCGACGAAGTGTTTTCGGATGCCGCTGCTGTGAGCGATCATTTCGATCGAGCGCATCCGTTGTAGTTTGGCGAGCTTGAGAGATTGTAGTTTGTCTGTGTTAGCGGTTGGGGTCTGGTAACATGGGGATTGCACCGACTCACAGGTACCGGGTACTTGATCGAAGGAGTGCATCATAACAACACCCAGACTCGACCAGTATCGACGTGGTGAGGCAGGTAAGGGCAATGCAAGGGTCAACAGAATGGTTTCAGGAGGTAGCGACTGTGACTCTGATACAGAGGGTAAACGAGATTCGTATTGAGGGCTCGTTCAAACCAGCTTCATCCAATCTTCCTCCTTCAAACAACTCTTTCCTCAAGAGATCGTAGGGCTGGAAAGACATTCCATCACAGTAGTTACTGTAGCGCACACGCAAGGACCTGAATCATACATGTCAGCACAACTATTCTTCCCGCAGCGACATATCACTTACCTGGCACTTCAAAATCCACCGTCTGCAACGCACACCCTCCACAATCCACACCAACAGTCTTCGTCGTAGGAAAAGCCGTAGCTCCACAGTCCTGACACCCAGGTGTTGTCTTCGTCCCAGTAGTGGTGCAGGTCGCCGTAGGATCATCCAAAGTGATCGTGCCGTCCTGGCGGCGGACGTGAGTCTCGATCGAAGGCGTGATGCTCGCAGCGCAGGAGGTGACGGTGGAGGTCCGGTCAGACTGGACACCGGTGGGCGCGGCGCAGCGGACCAGGTCGCATACTGTTGGGTAGGGGGTGTATAGCCAACAACCTTCGCAGTCGACGTAAGACGTCGCGGTATGACCTGGAGGACCGAGACAGCATTGGGGGTCGGGAGTGAGCGTTGTGGTGCAAGAGGGGAGGGACTCTGCAGTTGTGAGAGTGGCAAGGAGGGCGATGGCGGTGGTAACTTTGAAGGACGGCATCTTGGTGTGTGGTCGAGAGTTGACGTCGACTGCCTTGTTCGGGTTGGAGCTTCAAATCTTTGCGATCGATAGATGTGGAGGTGTAATGCTGCAACATTGTGGTAGGCATCCAAGTCCTTTTTATGGTGTCCAATCGTCGCACAACGAAAAGTCAGCTCTTGGTTCGGCGCCATATTCAATTCAGCCCTCCTCTTGGCCGCGATGTTATTACCATCCCTTTCTTGGTCGTGCGAAGCCACAATCGAATGTGGCAGTTTCCAAGAGCCAGTGAATGTCCAGATTCACGTTTACTCTCCAGTCAGCTCCCGTTCTACGATGGCAGCTGTATTCGTATCCTGCGCAAAGCCTGCTTTTTGCGCCGCAGGGCTGGAAGTATCCGAAACGGAGGGCCTGATTCTGTGCGACCAAAGGAAGCTGGAGTCGCATCTTGCTCGTCTGCAGAGCTCGTACTGAACGTTGCACATTCATGTTCGGGTGTCAAATTTGTTGGGATCTTTCGCCGTTTACAAGCCATTACTCGTCCAAGCAATCGGGCATGCCGTGTATGAATGTCTCCCCTGCCTTCGCATTCGCTACGTCCGTAGCTTGAGACAGCCGCGCGCTCAGACCAGATCAGTGCTCCTATCCTCCACGTGTGTAGCTCTCAGACAGGTTGAGCGATCAGTCGATTCGATAGGCTGTGAACGCAATTCTCCCTGATCGGCTTTGGGCGAGTGATCCTCTGGTGACGAAAATCTAAGATTTTACGAGATGAGATTTGATCTGTGCTCGTTAGTAGTCACTATTTATTGTGCTGGACGCGCACGTTGGCGTCTGTCGCTTCTTGTGGGTGAGAATAGAGGGCATGCCTAGATCTGAGGATATAATCCCATTGCAGCCAGGGCTCTCGGAGGCCGAAGCTGATTCTGCAGAACTCCCGGATAGTACACTTGTTGGTCGAGGCTGTTCATCAGATGGTGGCTGGGAACTGCTGGACGTTGCTCGGACGACGGGCCACAGACAGAGGTCCAGCGAAGTCGAAGAACATGGCTTTATCGTCATTAACATCAACGAGCCTGGTGGCTTGCGGCACATGTGCTTCGTTCGCGGTTGTGGAAGAGTCTTCTATTTCGTTTGGCAGCTGCATGAGCATATTAGGAATGATCATGGCGAGCAGACGCTTGGATGATGTTGGCTCTTGATTGCTGCCTCATCGTACAACCTTTTCCCAGGATGACGATCGGAGAAATGTGATGCTATTGTATGGTATCTCAGTAAGTAGAAGCTGGTGTTAAAAAACGTACATCTCAACAAGCGTATGACTCTAGCCACCGCGGTTAAAGATTCGCGACACCAATGCGCCGCCAACATTCCTGGCCAAAGAGCCAGAGTAGAGCCCGCGCTCGACTAGACCGCTTGCCTGGCTGAACTTGTCGCATCTCGAGAAGGCCAAGGTGTTGGTGATTGTGAGAACCAGTGCGATCACTGTGAGTGTCAGATCTTGCCCAGCCCATGTCCGGAGAAGTATACTCACCAACAAGCGTCAGCCACTTGAAATCAAGCCTGACGATTGCCAGAATCGCGAGTCCAACCCAAAGCGCAGGCTGCGCGTATAATGCCAACCAGAAGAACCTCTTGTCGGTTGAGTTCACAAGCTTTCCACCTGGCTCATTCGGCTGTGGTGCACTCTCAAACACCCAGTGTGAGTCACCATTTTGCGGGTTCACTTCATTCCACCATCTTAGTCCCACAAGTCGTCTTCCTGCGATGTTTTTGAGGTAGTAGAAGTCGGCTGCGAGGAGGTTGATCGTGATGATGAAGATGAGGACGTAGTTGCTAGTGAAGAGCATGCCAAAAAGGTACACGAGAAGACTCGCTACTCAGATGTTAGTATGCGCATGATATAGCGGGGTCGTCGTGCATACCAGCTCTGAAGGAGAGGAAGGTTACAAGAGTAATGGGATGGGCGCTGAGCCGCCAGTTGAGGCTGCCCGGGGGCGCATTGATGTCGGCCATGGCGAGTGATTATCGTGGTGAAAGGGACATCAACCACGGGGCGTGGATCGAGTCGGCGGACGAGGGAGTTGGGCTGGTTAGGCTGCCAGATAATTGTTCAAGGCATTCACTTGACAGCTGCTCCAAGAGGACGCGTTGCGAGCCGGACCCCTGTTGTGAGACAAGGTTTCGGATTAGTCGGCTCGGTCCGTGCTGGTCCAACCAACCTCACGTCCTCTGATGCTGCTGTGTCTACTCCACTGTCACAATACCATCATCATTGATCGGAGACCCAGACTGTCTGTCTGTGCATCTTGATTGACTTGTCTAGATGCTTGCCAAGGCTGTGATATCGTGGCAGCGATCGTTCTACCATGTGTAGATCCTCCAGCCAGCCGCCAGGGCACCTCAGCCGCAGGGCATGAACAATGTTTTGTGACCTTTCAACACGGTCCCAAAAGTTACTTCTTCGTTCTCCTTACATGTACAATCGGAATGACGCCCTGTGCTTCTCCAAATTTCTGTGGTATCTGCCAAGTTTTCAATGTCCGCGCTTTACTGCTCGCAGCCGAAGCCTCGGCGGCCAAATCGAACATCGATGATCGAGGGTTGCTCAGGTCGACCAAAGAAGGCGTGGTTCACGATGCCATCCCAAAGCACTTCAAGCATCAGCCCGGTCTCCATGCTCTGAAGGCAGCCTCATCTTCTTGCGATCTCTGCCGTTCAATCTGGCGGGAGTTCAGCCGGCAGAGGGAGCCAGCAGAGCTCACTGACGAAGCATTGTGTAGGGGAATCGGCAACGAGCAAATCTACATTGGAACCTTGGTATGGGATGCTGGTCTCAATGCAACACCGCATGTAGCCGTTATTCAGCATGGACCGCCACCTCACAATTCTCAAAGGCAGCTGGCATGCTTTGAGGTTTGTGCTGACTACGGTAATGAATACGATCACAGGATCACGAGCTCTGCTGATTGATGTGATTAGGTGCTCTTCCGTCCGATAACAGCCGCCTTTTGGCTCGGCTTCAGGCTTCATCGTCGAAGGATGAGCAGTGTTTCGACCTTGCTCGAACATGGATGCGCAACTGCCAGAATGAACACGTCACTTGCGGGCAGAGTGGATCAAGAGGTCTCAGGCTGCCAACTCGTCTTCTCGCCGTTGGCTCGGACGATGCTGATAGCAAGTCTGACGGTCTCGTTCGTCTGGTGCAAGGCTCAGATTGCAGTGGAGCATATACCGCACTGTCGTATTGCTGGGGTCCTGACCGTGACCTGATTCTAACTCACGAGGCCGAAGAGCGCTTAAGGTCCGGTATTCCCATCGACGAGTTCCCTGCCACACTCAGAGACGCCATCTGCGTGACAAGGCAAATGGATATACCGTACATCTGGATCGATGCGCTCTGTATCTTTCAAGATCAAGAACGGCAAGATTCGAAAGACGACTGGGCACGAGAAGCTGGTAGGATGCGAGACGTCTACCGAGGAGCAGCCATCACCATCGAAGCCGCATCAGCTTCTCGCGGTGGCGAGGGCTTCCTGAAAGAAAGAACTAGCTCGAAACCATACTGCGCTTTACCGTGGGAATACGACGCCAAAGGAGCTCTTGTCTATCTGCGACCAATTATCGACATCCCAGACAACCAATTGCTCGGCACGAAAATATTCACCCGAGCGTGGACGCTGCAAGAACGGCTTCTGGCGCCGAGAACAATCTCTTTCGGGACGCAGCAGATCTCATTCGAATGCGCCAATGGTTTTGTGGATGAGACTGGCCGCTCTTCACTGCTACCACGAGCTACAGAGTCATATCTCAGCAAAGACTCGATGCTCCAGCTCCGCCGCGATCGAGGCCCCCTGGCCAAGCTCTGGCGATTCCTGTCTCGCACCCTTGGTCTGCCTCCCGTTGTGACGCTTTGGGACGCATATGACATCGGATGGTCGAGTCAGGGTGTCTTGCATGTGCCGGGGGATTATTGGGCAACATACTACGATGACTGGCGAGGTGTCGTCGAGCGCTTTACGGAGCGACAGATAACCAGCCGGCAAGATCGACTCCCTGCCCTCTCCGGTCTGGCCGACGAATTCCAGCGAGCCACTGGTGGCGTCTACATCGCCGGCATGTGGAAGGAGGAATTGATTGAAAGCCTAGCCTGGACTGTCAACAACCTCTACAATGCCAACGGCGAATACGGAACCTATCCAGGCCACATTCCGCCCAGCAACTTCGTGGTCGGCCCTTACCCAGAGAGCGTCAAGCCTCCAGGTTACGTGGCCCCGTCATGGAGTTGGGCGTCCACTCAAGGCAGAGTCACGTTCTTCCAAGGCACCTATCAGATCAACCGCAGTATCAAGCGTTTTGCCAAGGTCAACAATATCCAAGTCGTGCCCAAGTACAGCACAGACACTCTGGGAGCTCTCGCAGGCGGTTCACTGACCTTGACAGCTCCCTTCCTACCTTTCCCGGACCCTCAAAGTCCATGTCCTGAAGACTATACCCTGCGAACGGTCCACAGCTACATCCGCCGGCAAAAGCTCCAAAGAGGCGACAGCTTCACGACAGAATTCTACCAGCATCACGAACCCCATGCAGGCCAAGAATTTGCGCTTCTGAAACTATTCGAGGAGAAAGCACGAGTTGGGCAAGTTGGTAGCCGAGTGTACATGTTACTGCTTGAAAGCACTGGAAACGGGGGATGGCGAAGGTTGACTTGCACCGAAGTGCTCATCGTTACGCTACAGGAGCTGGAAAGGGATAACTTCCAGTATATGGATCTGAACAACGACCAGGACCGGGAGTACATGGAGCATCTGCGACCGGCGTTGAGGGAGAGTGCGGAGATGGCGAGGGAAGTGAAGGAGGCGGCTTGGGCGAAGAGAAGAGTGACTCTGTACTGAATTGCCTTCCTCGAAAGAGTATTCACTTGCACATATTTCTTGTCTACAGTCAGCGCGGTGAGTGCTGTAGCTTTCACTGAGCTACCCATTCACTCCAATCATTCACGAGACACTTCAGCACCACGCCTGTACAGAGTACCTTGCGGCCCTGTCCAACGATGAGCCGAGCAGGCATCTTCGAAAAATCCCACTCCTGATGACTTTGTACCTACTGATAGAACTTCGCAGGTGTACGGATAAGACTTGTCCGAGAAAGGTGCTCGATTTTCATGCAAATTCAATAGTCTGTGACGTATATCCGCGAGGTCGTGGGCGGATGCTTGGGAATCTGCGTCGTGTTGGTCCATATAGAGGCTGTATAAGATAATGAGTTGTATTTCATAAAGAATAAGAGAAGATGAAACAAAGAGTCCTGTGACCGCCAGTATCTCTTCAGCCTCCAAATGGGTTACACAAGACCGCATGGCCTCCTCGCGCGCCCGCGCAGTCGGCGAGGCCTGGAGCCCATGGCTTTTGCTAACGGGGGAAACACTTGCGCCGATTGGCATTTTGTAATTCAGCTATAAACGATTTAGCTTCGGATTTTTTTCCGAACTGGCTGATCGTGTACGAAAGTGAAGTAGTTGAGTGAAAGTGCAAGTGACGTTGATTTTGATAGACCCTTGCCCCACTTTTTACCGTTTGTGCGCACGGGCACGCAGCTCCCCACGTACTAGCTCCAGGCCAAAGAAACGCAGCAGTTGACCGCCAGTAAACACTTCCCCAACAACCACCTCCTGTTTGTCTGCATCCCCTTCAGTACACACCTTACCCACACGAGCAATCATGGAAGAAATCGCCCCCGAATACGACCTGGTCGTGCTGGGCACCGGTCTGACAGAGTGCATCCTGTCCGGTGTTGAGTCCGTCAAGGGCAAGAAAGTCCTCCACTTGGACCGCAACGACCATTATGGCGCCGAGGCAGCATCCGTCAATCTTGAGACCATGTTCAAGAAGTACGGCAACTACCAGCAGGGCTCCGAGCCTTGGAAGAAGTACGGCCGTGCCAACGACTGGAACATCGATCTCGTGCCTAAGCTTCTTATGAGCAACGGGGAGCTCACCAACATCCTCGTCTCCACCGATGTCACGAGATACGTCGAGTTCAAGCAAATTGCCGGCAGCTATGTTCAGCAGGGCAGCGGCGCAAAGGCAACCGTGGCCAAAGTGCCCAGTGATGCTGGGGAGGCGTTGAAGAGCCCTCTGATGGGTATCTTTGAGAAGAGACGGGCGAGGAACTTCCTGCAGTGGGTAGGCAACTTTGACGAGGCCAACCCAAGCACACACAACGGTATGTATAAGGAATGAGATGGATTGAAGGGCCACTACTGAGGATTGCCAAGGCATGAACCTCGCTCAAACCACGATGCGTCAGGTCTACGACAAGTTCGGCCTCGAACCCGGAACCCGCGACTTCATTGGCCACAGCATGGCTCTCTACACCACTGACGATTACATCGAAAGCAAAGGCGCGGCCAAAGACTGTGTCGAGCGTATCCGACTCTACGTCAACAGCATGGCCCGTTACGGAAAGAGCCCATACATCTACCCACTTTACGGCCTGGGCGAGCTACCACAGGGTTTCGCCCGTCTCAGTGCCATCTACGGTGGTACATACATGCTCAACGCCAACGTGGACGAGATCAAGTACGACGGTGGCAAGGTCTCAGGCATCAAGGCAACAATGAAAGAGCGAGGCGAAGAGGGCGAGGGTATGAAGTTCGAGACCAAGTGCAAGAAGATCATTGGAGACCCATCATACTTCCCTGAGAAGGTGCGGGTAGTGGGACACTACCTCAAGGCCATCTGCATCCTGAATCACCCCATTGATAAGACGGATAATGCCGATTCGCTGCAGCTTATAATCCCTCAGTCGCAGGTTGGAAGGAAGCACGGTGAGTAACGAATACCGTGAGGAGTGGTTTTGGCAGCACTGACTGACTTTTGCAGATATCTACATCGCCATGGTCTCTTCCGCACACAACGTCTGCCCCAAGGGTTACTACATCGCCATCGTCAGCACCATCGCCGAAAGCAACGCGAACCATCACCTCGAACTGCAACCCGGTCTCGAGCGTCTCGGCAAGATAGAAGAGCAGTTCATGGGTCCGCCAATTCCAATCTACGAGCCTCTCGAGGATGGAACGAAGGACAACATCTTCATTAGCAAGAGCTACGATGCCAGCTCACACTTCGAGACCATGACTGATGATGTGAGGGATCTGTACAGGAGGGCTGAGGGTGAAGCCCTTGTTGTCGCGGGCCTAAAAGAGGGGCAGAACTTGGTGGCTGATGAGTAGAGAGATACCATACAGAAGATTCTGGGGAGGAGAGGAGAGGAAGGTGGAGGCAGGATAAAGAGAGTATTAGTGCGAGCAACCGTGCCCAAGCATTGCAAGAATGGAACGGCGCCGGGAAGTAGACTGAAGATACCATCTATGGCCCATACCGTTTTGCAGCTGTCACTTCTGGGTTCATTCGCAGGTTGCAGACATATGTTCACTTTGCCGTAATTAGTGTGATCAATCCGAGGCTGACAACGATGCAAAGCGAATCCATCCTTCATTGAGCTATATGAACCGTCGCAGCGAAAAGCGAGCTGCCTATGAAACTTGAACCCAAGCCGATGCGATCGACCGTGTCCGTACTCGGATACTCCTCCTAACCACCAGATCCCAGACATCCCGGCTACTTGTGGCGACAGCATGTGCACTGCGAAATGCCGTTGAATTGAGGCCGAAAGCCGCACCATCCTCCAGCAGCATGGGACCGACACTTTGGGAACAGGAGCCAAGTGCACTGTTGCTTCGAATCCGCCGTCTCGTACGCGATGCCATCATCCGTCTCTCTCACGGTCTTGCTGTCGGCGGCTGCTTCCGTGGCTACATCCTCTTCGACGATGAGCAGGTCTGGATCGATGTCCCAGGCCTTGATCTCGGAGGAGAGAGGAATGTGGAGCGAGAAGCACAGGTCGACTTTGTTGACTGCGGCGAATGCGGTGTGTTGATCGTGGGCGAAGTATGCGAAGGTTGGCGGTTGCACTAGACGCCGGTGAGTCCAGTCTTCGAAATCCTCCATGCTGCTGTGCACGACGAGGTCTGAAAAGAGTTAGCGAGGATCATGGAGCGGTGTTTTGAGTTCATACCGATGTAGACGGACGCCTGCTTCTCCCGGATCCATCTGCCCAGCTGGTTCAGCATGACAGAGAGGCGCTCGACGGCGTCTTTGGAAAGTCAGTACCGCAAACAATGTACAGGGCAGAGTAATCACGAACCTTTGGAAGGCGTCCACTCGCGGTCATACGTCTCTTCCTCGGCTTCACCAACGCTGACATCGATAATGAACTCGCGAAGTTGGTTCGGGTCGTCGACCTCCTGCAGCAAGTAGAAGGGGATCTTGAGATGACACATGCTGACATTCTTGAACAGCTTCTTGGGGACGCCACGTTTGAAGTCGAACGAGCCGTATCTGAGATTGAGCATGGTCGCGTAGATTAAGATCATCGCCTTCTTGAAGCAGACGTCCTTGTACTCGGCGCGAATTTGCTTGCAAGTCTGGAAGACGCTGACGATGGGCGCATTGCCTAGGACCACCGTGTTCTTGGACTCTGCGCCGGGTTCTGTTGGGTGGGTGATGTGGACGGGGTCATCGACGGTCAAGTACTCGTAGATGATGTTTCTGACTTCGCGTGGGATTCCGAGCAGACGACACGGCTGCGCATCAGCGGTGTCGCTAGCCATGGTGGCGGTGGTGTAACGTTCGGATGCTCGTCTGGATTTGGATGTCCAGTGTGTGGTGTTGTTGCGAAGTCAAGCCAGGCAAAAGGTTGGCGCCTTGAGCTTGAGGAACGGCGCCTTCCAAAGTCTTTCTGAAACGGCAGTCGAGGGCGGTCACATGACCGGCTGCAGCTTTTTGGGAAGGTGCGACTCAGAACATACCGCATTCAAGGACATATGTTGGTGACAGGCCAATTTCTCTTCTCTAACTTTTCGAGTGCCATTCAACTATCTCCGTCGTTGTCAACCATGGCCAGCCTCTCCACACATTGACAACGGCAGAGTCAGACCGTCAGATGCGGGGAGTCAACAAACGGCCATGCTCGTTTATTACGGCTTCCCCAAGAGTTCAAAGACTTCATCTACGAGCTTGTCCTCACTGGCAACATTGTCGACGTTAGCGATATATTCCTGGTCAGATATTGCACAGCATCAAAGTCATCAGTCATCTATGACATGCCATCACTGCGACCCCAACTACCACAGCCAGCGATCCGTGTTAGGAATGCTCCAAGCACCCAGACAGTTGCGTGATGAAGCATCGAAGATCTATACAGTGCCAATCCCTTCACCATCAAGAACACTCCTCAAATTCATTTGGCAAAATATGGAGAGTGAAAGCAGCGACCGGAAAACTTTCACTATACAATCTGTTAAGCTAGGGGTACCATCACGGGCAGCTTTCTGAGCACTCGTTCGTATCTCTTCGCGACCCATGAGCTTCCAACCTAGAAGACCAGCTGGGCCAAACGAGCCGTCAAACCAGCAACGACCACAGAGCTGGTACCGAAGACACTGAAGCGCGCCATCACTTTGTTGACCGTCGCGTGGATGAGCGAGTGGATGATACGAAGGCCAGTGTATCCCCATGCCGCATACACGGTGTATGGGTGGCTGTCGCCAATCAGGGCCAGAGAGAGCGCAACGGCATACTGTGATTTCGTCAGGTACGGCCTCGCATACAACGGATGATGTTGGCCACTTACAAAGACCGTTGGCTGCTCATGAAGATGGTTGTAGTTCTCGGCCTGCCAGCGAATGTGCGGTGGAATCTTGGTCTTCACTGCACAGATTTCAGCCCCAGACTTCATCCTCGCAAGTCAATCATTTACTCACAGTCCTCCGTCACAGTCTCTCCATTCGGGGCGACACCATACTTCTCCATCGCGGGGAGACGAGTAGCATACATTTGTTGACTGCGGCGAATGCGGTGTGTCGATCCTTGTGCTCGTCGAAGATCTTGTGAGGAAGGTGGGATGTGCTCGTGGTGGTGCCTTCCTCACGGCTGTTCGCGATTGTGAAATTCGACCTCACCTGGTGAAAGTGGGAGTAGATAGACGGTATACAGAACAAATTCACACCATGACGACTCCCGAGCGCCAGAACATTGCCTGGGCAGGTGCCCGAACCCATATCGATGCGCAAGGCGTGAAGACCGTTGTTTACCTTTGTGATAATTTGATACCGCTCCGCGTCGATCCCGCCGATGTCCCCTTCGATACGAGCTCTCCCTCGCCAGTATGTCAAGTACATACGCCTACGAAGCGACAAGCCGTCGCTTTCGGCGTCGAGGCTGCTGGCGAGGGAGTAGCATCGTCCAGCGGTGAGATAGCATTGATGGATTTCGCAGAGCCGGGAATACTTCGAGCTGACCCATGCTAGAAAGTGAAGATGACGACGACGACAAGGAGAATGCGCCGCCGCGTAAGTAACCTGCTCCACGCGCTTGTAAGGCCTTGCTAACGTACTCGTAGCAGCAAAGAAGAAGCGTTCGTCTTCCGCGTAAATGCTGCGGGTGCACATGGATGCTAATCGTATATTTTAGGAGTCGCCACCGCGTTGCTGGTCAAGAAGAAGTAAGTTTGATTGATCTCGTCTTTGGGTATAATAGCTGAATGTTGTGTTTTGCAGGGTGAAGAAGGCCAAGAAGGAGAAGAAGACGTAAGGGTTCAAGCGGAGTCGGCTACCGGCTTTATGCTGACTTTGCACAGCGAAGACGACGACGTGGAGATGGACGACGCTCGGTAACTATGCCACGAGCCTTTGATTAGCATGGTCTTCTAACAGTTGCAGCGCCGACGCCTACGATTTGTGATTTTATGCTCGCCATTTGCTCGACATCTTGGACCCAATTTCAGCATCATTAAAAAAAGCCCAAAAACAGCGGCGCATTTCTTTCAGCATTTGGGCTGTTGGAAAGCGCCGTTGCCATACCATAACGCCGGTTCTTCTGGCGTCCCAACTTGGCTTCAAAACTTGTGCCCGTCGAAATCAGCTGGCCGGAAGGATATCAACTTCTGCGAGGGATGAGCATGGGCGCCTGTCCGCATCATTCATCCAGGAATCAAACCCACCACCACTTCAGCACGACGCTCTATGGTCCGGCCGAACGACTTCGTCACCAGCACCCAAATACCGGCATCGTCACGTCCACGCAAACATTTGCCAGAGTTGCGCCTGCTCACGGTCAGCATCTAAAGTACCGTTGCGGTATTGCATCGCGGGAGCCATGCCTGCTCAACGGTCGGCGACCAAAGCACCGTTGCCATACCATATGGCGGGAGCCACGCCTGCTCTCACGGTCAGCGACCAAAGCACCGTTGCCATACCATGAGCTTCTTGGGCCAAGCATCCAAAAAATCACGTCGTTTCGACAAGATCAAGAGGCGAATCTATACTTTACGCAGACAGTACCACGGATGAGGTCCACGACGACTTCCAATGACATCAGCAGCAAGTGGTGAGGTTCTTGAGGATATGATACCCTTCTCGGCCATGTCCAGTGGTCTGCGCCCGAGTCTTGTGTGGCCACGCAAGTCTTATCCTTCTGCCTATGCAGCCTGGTCTCCAGTGTGCAGGTGAAGGCTCTGCTCTTATGTCGCTTTGAGCCAAACAGCCACGCCTCAATCCGACTTGCTTCGCAGCGACTCTCATCGAGCCAGACTGGACGATGGCAGTGCCAATATACAGCAGATGAGTGTCAAGTCCTCGACGACCCGACAAACATACGTTGTGGACGCCAGACGGTTGGATTTCTCGGAGAGCCGAGTGCTCCGGCCCTTGCGTGCCCCATCGATCATCAGCTCTTGAATGCAGCCCATTCCACTCCTCTCGAGTTCTCGCGGCGGTGGCAAATCCTCAACAACGTGAACGGCGTGGCGTCGATACTATTATGCGATGAAGTGGGACGATCGAGTTGTCGCAGGCCCGAGCAGGCCGTCGACCTCTAACACGGCAACCCTGTGTATCTTCAGCACTCGTCAAGGAGGATCCGAAGGAGGCTGTTGATTAATCTACTTACTGATGTGATTGTGTACATATTGCAAGATGGGCTGGAGGTATTGGATTTGTTGAGGTTCAAAAGAGAAAGATGGGGCGGGACAAGTGGCCGTTCTGGAAACAACCCGATTGGAAACAACATCTGATCATGGAACGTGGAGCGTGGACACCATTCTCAATCTTGGATTGATGGCAAAATTCATTTATTACATTCGATGATTCATTTGATGGACTTGAGATGGAAGGTGATGAGATATATGCGATGTAGAAGGGCAGTTCGATACTGTAGTACGCAAGAAACGTCACTGACCGACAAAGAAGACCAGAAAAGCCTTGCAGTCAACGGCATGACTACCGGGATATGGCTCTCATATCCTGCCGCCTTCGCCATCTCGAAGAAGACCACTCAGAAATGCGATATGAAAGATGTCCGAAGTGGCTGGCACATCCACATGTCGCTCTGGCAGATTGGCCTGCACGATAGTCTCACCAACCAACCCCCAGTCCTTGCCTGCCTTCACCTGCAGCCGCCTTTCACATGCAAGAGCTACCACTGCCAGGGTGCTGGTTCTGAATCTCCAGTTCTTTGCTCCTCGGATGCCAGTCTATACAGAGTGTAATCCCGACTGCTGCCGCATATTGAGGTTCTGATTATCTGGTCTTGAAACCGTGGGGCCATGCGTAATTGTCCAGGTGCTCACCACAGTGCCACGAAAGAAAGCCCAAGCGTAGCAGTGTCTCAGTGTGCACATGATTCTTTCATGCACATGCATGTTCGCGAGAGATGAGTCAAGCAGGTGAACGCACTTTCCCTTTGCAGCCCATGTGATTCTGCGCTTTATTCACCAACAACCTTCTCTTCCACTTAAATAGATCGCAAGAGCAGCTTTTCTTTTTCTCTTCTCGTCACAGACAACACACTCGTCTACAGCACCTACACCATCTTCTTCCCTTGCCTGCTTCCACACCCTACGACACCAATTCGCATACCTCATCTCTCAGCATTCGCCATCATGGGTCGGCGCAAGAAGCGTGCGCAGGACCTGTCGCGCCTCTCGCCATGGCTCATCTCTACGCAAGAAGCTCGCTGCGACCACATGCGCCTCCGCCGACAAAATGCTCAAGCCTCTCGCCACCTCCAAGCAGCTCGTCGCGATCGCCGTGCTATCCAGCATCAGCACCAAGCCCTCCGTCTACACCGTCTACCCGTCGACCATCAGAGACTGTCCCTTCTGCCATCGCGCTTGTACTCTCGCCACCAGCGTGGGTATCGCCGAGACTATCATCATCGCCAGTTCTTCAAGTTTTCCCGCCCCCCACGAGCTACCGAGGCCTCGACTACCAGCTCACGTGCGAAGGCATCAAGTTTCGCATGCTCGATCAGCCCCGTGCTACTCTACTACAGCATTACATGCATCATAGCTGGCATCTTCATATGCCCAGTGGCAGCTCTTTCGGATACAAACGACACGAAGCATAGTCTCAACGTCTTGGGCCTTTTCGCGAACGCAAATACTGTCATTCTGAGCTTGCTCGGGATAGCTGTCTTTGCTGTCATGTGGAAGCTTGTCGGCGTTGTCCAGAACACTCTTTTTGCATTGGCCCAGGAAGCTGGGGACTCAGCTACTCGCAATGGCCACAAGCGCGGCAAGAATGTTCGAGCAAAGTCAGATGCTTTCGCATCGCAGTTGCAGAGGGCTGATCAAGCGGTGGACGAAGCAAAGGCCTTCCTCACGACTGCGGTGACTCGACCACCCACACCCGCTACGCTGCCAGTTGGTACTCGGCAGGACCAGCAAGACGCTGAGGTGGCCTATCTTATGTCCAAACTTCCCGGAGTATCGCCACAATCCAATGATCACACGAGCATCGTTTTCGACAAGTATGGCACACCTGTTTCTATTCCGGTGGACAACAGCCCCTTGGCCGTCTTCAGGGGTATTGCACTGCCCGAAGAGCATGCCAAAGCCGTGAACAAGCCGGTCGAACTTGTGGAGGACGCTGTCAGCATCAAAGGAGATCGTGTCAGAATGGGCGAGATCGGTTACATCTCTGGATTCTTACCATCGCCGAAGAACGAGAAGGACGGCAAGAAGTACATTCAGGTCACTATACCATCACATGACCCGCAGACGATGTGGCTGCCAGTGGACTCACTGAAAGGCAATCCGAACAGGAAATGGGGAGATATCGGCATCGAGGCTACAATTCAAACCAGGAGACCTCGTGCCGAGAAGGACATGACATTCGAGGAGGACGACTATCCGATTACGGAGCTGGTCAGCCAGCTTTACACCGCGTTCGCCAAGGCTGGACAGGTGAACACCATGCTTTCAGATGACATATTCCGAGTCCTCAACAATCGCGACCGGATCAAGGCGTTTGCACGGAAGCTAGGCAAGGCTGTCGAATCGGCAGGCATCTCTGAAGCCTTTGACAAGACAGCTAAGTGGTCGATCAACGACTTTGAGGATCGAGGGGTTTGGGTAAACCAGCAGACCCAAGGTACCGGCATCTACATGTGGATATACAGCGACTTCAAGTCCTTCACTGCCTATGATGGCCAAGAGCCACGCAACTACATCGGCAAGACGCAAGTTCGCTTTGGGAAGCGGTGGAAACAGCATGTTGACTCCACCCAAGAAGCAGAGCAAGGCAATGCCCCTGCCGTTCACTACAAAATTGCAGCTGCGGCCAAGCGCCGATGGTGTGTGATGCTAGCCCGGACCGACGACACCTGGACGTCAGAAGAGTATCTGCTTGCTGAGCAAGCCCTTATTCTACTTCTCCGCGCCTACCGACCAGAAGCTCTTGCTATGAAACCAGCGGTCTTGCACAACAATGGACAGATCCAGCCTGAACAAAAAGAGAGCATGAGAAGCCTCATCAACGGGTTGGACGCTCAGGCTGTGGCTTCTGTTCTTTCATGTCTAGCGGATACAGTTTTTGATGACATTGGATGGACCAACACGCTCAAGCATTCCGGTGGATGCAACTGGGACAGCCCTCTAGCACGCTGGGACGAATTCGACGAGGTCCTTTTCGTCAAAGTTGACAGTGGTGACAGATGGACATACTTCCGGAGACCGCGTCAAGTTACCAAGGTTGGAAGTAGTGGCAGACAGCTCGCGCAGCTTTGTTACGGCGTGGTGAAATCATCGAGAGGCAAGAATATGAGCCCGACATTGGCTTTCAATGAATCATTGGCGCAAGCTGGTCCTGGGATTGGCGACACTGTCTACATGTCTGTGGAGATCATGAAGCAGGGGCGTCATGACCATGCATTCGGTCGTCTGCCTGACATCGCTGGCCGAAAGAGCTGGGACGAGGCAAATCAAGTCGGTGTGCGTTTTGAGTGGAAGAACTCAAAGGGCCAATGGCTGGCGAAATATTGGCAATCAAGCGCAATGATGGACCTGAAGGACGATGCATATCCGGCCAGCCAAACGACGTGGGCACATGCCATCGCTCTACGACACAAGCTAGAGCGTAAATCATTCGTTCAAGCTCCTTCCTGGTGGCAGGTGATGAACCCTACCAGGATTCTACAGGTCGAGTTCGATAACTTTGAACAAAAGTTCATCATCAAGGAACCCGATCTTGCACGTACGACAGTCGCCTTTCCCGGTGTTGAATCTGACAATACAATCAGGCAGAGGATGCAGCTGTTGGGTTTGGGAGGATATGGAAACACAACGCCGACCATCTCTCAGGCGAACCAGTTGAATCTCTCTGAGGCAAAAGGGCAAGGCAGGCGAAGACAATACTGCGATACTGCGGAATGCGACATTGTTCGCCGGCTGTCTGAAGGCATTGTCTCCAATCGAGAGACTGCGGGAAGCGGAGGAAAATACACCCAACTTTCACCAGGTCAGTGTAGGATTTGCAAAGCCTTCGGACGCCGCTGCACATTCACGCTGAACTCTCGCCTCTTCAATTCGGCAAACTCCACCCAGATCATGAGGGCCTTGACTTTTTACCCACCCATAAGCATGCCCTTCAAAATCAACGATCCCCACTACAACACTGCAAAGGCTGAGTAGTGACCCGGCTCAAAGCTGATGCCAGCTGGGAACTCAGATCTCAAGTTTGCAACTCAAAGAGACAGGAGGGCCAACCTCACCATGACTGCATCATTTTTTAGAGCGTCTGTACTTGTGAAATCTCTTTTTCGAGAGCGTCTTCTTGGAATCAGGGAGGAATCATGGGACAGAAGATTGAAAAGCGTGATTCATTTGATTTTTGATTGCAGTGTACAGTAAGTTAGATACTCACACATGAATAATCGTCTTGCGTTCTAGCTTTACTTTGCATTCTGTCGAATTCATCTTGCTTGAAGGCAGCGCGTTCGAACGAGCCTAGTAATAAAGATCAGGCACAACTGCGTCGAGACGAACTCTGATCTCTATGCACCTCCTTTTCCAAGCACTTCTGAAACATTCCAATGCTGACGCGAGGAATTATGCTACCTCACCGGGGTCCTAACCCCGGCTGTTCAACTTATGCCAGTTGATATGATCGGTAAGTGGTATCGTTGGAGAAACATGATGAGATCCGTTGCCGTCGTCTATACAAATCTTGAAAGGCGGGATCTACAATTCGAGAAAAGGAAGCCTCATCTATTCAAAGTGGGCGGCATCATATGTACGTGAACAGCACGGGAAAACCTGCACATCAGTGGTGGAGGAAACGCGTAGGTCAATCCTCACTGCCGATGAATACGCCACAACATACGAAATGCAGTTGGCTGAGAAAGGATTCTCCTTCTTGGCGGGTGGGCCTCGGTGACAGTAGACTATCTTGGCATACATGGGTACATCCAGAAATGTACCGTCGAATAGGACATGGAAGGTGAGGAAGTAAAACAGTGTCTTGAGATGGCGCAGCTGGTATAGAAGAACAAGCTTACCGCTTCCCAGTCCTCTTCGCCTTCTCCCTGGCGTAAGCATTGCTCTCGGCACCCTCCTCGGCCTGCACGCTGGCCACCAACCGCCTGTACTTCTTCTCGTACTCCTCGTCTCTCGTCCTCTTCTCCTTGAGCTGCTCCCTCGCGATGAAGTTTGCGTCCTTGCGCAGCTCCCGCAAGGCCCCCTTCCGCTCGCGCTTGTATTCCTTCTCCAGTTTCTTCGCATCCGAGCGTTCTTTGTCCGGGTCGTAATGCTTGTCCGGGTTGAAGTTCTCTTCAAACTTGGGCACACTGGTCCGGATGGGAAGCTTGCGGTGGTGATGAAGCTCGAGAGGTCGGCGTCGGAGGCGAGACTGTTGGAGCATGATGGTGAGGGTTTGGTGTTGCTTCTTAGCATGACGCTTCTTGAGCACCGCCAATGCTGGTGTAAAGATCTCGATGAAGGCAGACTTGTCTTGCCAGAGATCAGCCATACCCATGAGGTTTGCAATATGGGGCGCAAGCCCTGTGTTGTCCACGGTCGAAGTACTGAGGACTTGCAGAGTGAACCGCAAAGCCTCCGGGACATAGCGCTTGCTGAGGCCTTGATACTTCAAGCAAAGTGCCACGAAGAATGCCCCTGTCATCAGCGTCGAGGTGGGCGCATGTTTGGCAGTGGACGGAGCGTTCAAACCAAGCCACCTCGCCATGAGCGTGACAGCAGGCGTTACCACTTGATGCCAATGGTCACTGGTGGGATAGATGCTTCCGATTGCCGTTAAAATGACCAGGTCGCCAGCATCTGGTTGCCCTCGCTCACGAAAAGAAGCAAGATTTTGCCGAAATTGGTCCGCGATTTGTGTCGGGTATGTCCTCGAAAGAGAATGCAAGTGCCTGATGATTTGCTCGACAACAGCCATGGGCTGCTTGTTTCTGCCCATATACGCAAGATGATCCACCAGAGAACAGCTGAAGCCCGCCATGGCCTCCTTGTTGGCAGCTGACAACGAAGGGTGATATAAAGCTCGGATTCGTTGAATGACGGTGATGAGCTGGTCAGGAGGCAGATCTTGCACGAGTTCCAGCAACTCCGGATGGGATCGCGGACAGTTATAAGTGAAAGCCAGACCAGAGCCGGTACTTGTTGCACCTTTCTCGCCCAGCTTCACGTCGTTGGAGCCGGAAGTAGTCTGAGGACCGAGGATATCCTTCACAAACTCATCCTCTTCATCTTCAGGTGCATCGATCTCGGCTTCATCATCACTACTGTTATCAGACTCGTCCCCGCTAAGCTCCACATCTTCGTCGCTAGCAACGAGATCTTCATCCAGATCGAACTCGTCCTCGTCTGGCTGCACATCTTGCTGACTTTGTTCTTGAGGTTGCGAAACCGAGGCAGTGAATCCGAACTCTGCGGCCTCATCCGGGATGTCTTCGTCACCTTCCAGGTCGTGATCGTCCCCGACATCATCTCTAGCGACATCATCTTCCACCTCCTCACCACGCATGCGCTTCAGCCTCTTCTCCTCTAACACCTTCAAACGCTCTGCTTCCTCTTGAGCTTTCTCTTCTGCGGTTTTGCTTCTCTCCGAAGGCTTGGCTCTGGTGTCTCGGGCGAGCTCCTTAAGACGAACATCGTATTCCTTATCGGCTTTGTCGCGGTCCATACCATCTAACAATCTCTGGCGGTCAGAATTTACGACCGGACCATTGCTGTCATGTGCGGGCGCCTCTTCAGACTGCTTTGGCGTGGGTTTCTTCACACCCTGAAGCAGTCCCATAAGCTCTCCTATGCCCTGATCCAGCTCCATGCGAAGGTCATCATCATCTTCCTTGGCTTTCTGTCGCTCATACTTGTGCATTTTCGACTTGGCAATGACCTCCTCCATTACTTCTTTCTTCGTCTTCTTGCGCTCTGGCTGTTGCTCTTCTGCATCGACAGGGCCCTCCCCTTCTTCTTCCTCATCCTCATCAGATCGTCGCCTCTTCCTTCTTAATAGTTCTCCATCATCTTCGTCATCCTCAGACTCTCCAGAAACCTCTTCTCCAAAATCGTCTGCGGCCAGATCATCGATCCTCCTGCCACCATGAGTCAATGCTGCACCAAAGCCATTGCCAGCCTCATCATCGCTTCCTTCGAGATCAAACAGACTTCTACCCTTCGCCTTCCTTTCCTTCTCCTTTGCAAATCTCTGAACAGCCTTCTCTTCCGGCGTCATGTCCACATCGCCCTCTCCAATACGTCGATCCAAGAGTCCGCCGACTTTGTTTCTCCTGTGCATCTCCGGCAATAGTGTAGCCCTCCTCATCTCTTCTCCTGCACTTTTCGACACCCCCGGTCGATGCAAGACATCTTTGTATCTGCCCTTGCCGTTGACCGCAGCATCTTTCGCAGAGGCCGAATTGAACTTTTCGGGTCGGGCGTTGGTTGCACGCAGTTCGAACGGATTGAAGGAATCGCGTATTTGCTGTAGAGCGGCATTGCGCTGAACTCGATCGGTGGCAGTCTTGCCGGCGCTTTGCTGCTTCTTTTGCTTCTTGGATTTCTGAGGACCGGTGACGCCTTGATCTCGGAGAGACGCTTTGAGGCGTTTGAGTTGTGAGGCCGGCATGGCTGGGTATTACATTTGAGAGGAAGAGGCAGACTGAGAGGTTGACGTTCAACTTTTTTCGAGGTGTGAAGCTTGTGACTGTGGCGTCCTGAGACCGGGCCGCGATCGCAGATTGGCTGGCTCTTCCACCTCGTCCCTCACTGCAAGACCACTTCTTCGCCCAATGTCACCGTCGACAATGTAGCGCGACAAGCAGCATCATGCCCGCATGGCTAACCACATCAACGACCACTGGCTTTGGCTGGGCATTGGTCTATTCTTCCTCGCTGCAGCCAAAGGAATTCAATACGCCATTAACGACATTGCTACCTTGACTGAGCTGGATCCGATCGATGGAAAGCCGCAAGACTCAGACAGGCCGGAAGACTGTACGTGTACCACCATTTACCCTATGTCATGTCTCCACTGACTCGTTCTGAAGCAATCTCCATCTCCACCTTTCGCAGTCTCTCCGCCCACCCAAATCCCTCCATCGCCTCAGCAGCCCAATCTCTCATTGTCACGCGCTTCGCAGCCTCGCCCAACGCCGCAGACCTCATAACAAGCGATCTGACTTCCAGCGACGTGGAGATTCAACGCAAAGCGAAGCAAGCAATCGTCTACTTGCAAGAATGGGATGCGGAACTCAACGGGGCTGACACACTCCTTGAGGAGTATGATACAGCGCGTGAAGAAGCGGAACGATTGCTTACAGGCACAGGACATTTGCGTGCTCGTAGATCGAGCGGGGAGCAGAGTCCGCTATTTGGCCCGGAGATGGAGACGGTGAGGCCAGTGACGACTCTGGAGGATCTGGCGAGTACGAGGGAAGGTGCCTTGGATGCACCGCGTTTCGCAATGGAGAGTGCCCGGAGGGCGTTGCGTGGTGTGGACGATGATGATGATGATACCCCAGAGCGATTTGGAGAGGCGCGGTTTGCCGGTTGGGAGCGAATCCCAACTCAGCGACCCGTAGTTGGAGAACGAGAGGACGAGAGACGGCGGCGGCGGCGAGAGGCTATGGTCGTCAGTGAGGGCGATGCTGGAGGGATGTTCGAATGAGTGAGGCAGGATCCAACAGCTTGGTCAAATACGCCCCGGCCAGCTTCCAGAAGCCTCCAGTTGTGTCAGCGGACCGAAATGAGAACGAGAGCAGCAGCCTCGATATGGTACATTTCGAATCCCTATTACTACAAACGTGATCAAGAATCGCCAGGCGACAGTACCTCCCCAATACTTCATCTCTTCGTCATCTCGTCTCTCATTTCGTCATCTCCTCGTCTCCTCGCCTTCCAACCATGACTACGCTCTAGTGTGGTCCCGACCGCATCTTTTCCATGGCTTCTGGAGTAGGTGCAGTATCGCACACAGTCCCACACTTCTTGCACGTCCTAGCCTCATGGTCCTCCTTGAAAGCATTGACCGCCTCCTTGATCTGTGTGCCCAAATCATACATGTAGAAGCTCGCCTCCCTCACAATATCGCCACAGTTGGCACAGTACCATCTCAGCCGATCCAGCGAATTGTCCGGTCTCGGCTGCTCGATCACCACGCCAACGGTATTCTCGAATCGTACGGGGTTGTGCGGGGTGTTTCCAGGCAGAAGGAACAGCTCGCCCTCGTTGATATAGACGTCACGAAACTCTTCGGCGCCGTTGATTTTCTGCACGGTCTTGAGCAACATGCGGCCTTTGTATTGATAGAAGAATTCAGGCGTTTCGTTAATATGGTACTCCGTACGAGCATTCGGGCCACCGACGACCATGACCGTTATGGGATCATTGTAGACGCAAAAGTTGTTGATCGGCGGCTTCAAGAGGTGGGAGTTCTCGGACAGCCATTTGGGGAGGTTGAGGGGCAAGCTCAGAGGAGCGCTCTGCGAGGCGATGGTTGCAGGAGGGACTTGTTGTGTCGTCGTCGCCATTCTGCGGACTCGCGGGATCTGAGATGATATGGTCCTCACTTGGAGGCTGCGGCATGCGGCCTGGGCCAGTGGTCTTCTTATGGCTTGCATCCTGACTGATTACCTACCCAGTCGCCTCCTCGGCCGGGCAGGTCCGGGAAAGGTATATACGAAGAACGTGGACCCGCCGTCCTGAATGAGTAGTTGCTCTTGTGTGGTTTGTAAGCTGTTATCTTTCGCAGTCCTTGCCGGTGGTCGTGGCCGGGTAATAGCTCTGTTCGCACGGAACAGCCTATGAGGAAGCTTGAGCGAAGATGATGGGTTTCGGTCCGGTTCTTGTATGTCTTGCGGCCGTTATTTATTCGCAGATCCTAGGCCTGTAACGTGCTGCAATCGACTCGTTTTGCTCGAGATTCGAGTGAAGTCGAATGACTGTTAGACTTGATTTGAAAGCGTTGATGTTCTGGTCTGCTGTCATCATCAAAATCGATGATGTTGCGCTAGCCCGATATCTCCGACCGCACGGGCCAGTTATTCCGACTTCACCTTGTAAATCTGTACCACTTCCTCATCCCGTAACTCACCTTACTCCTTTGTGAACCATCTCTGAATAGCGTATCTATCTCTTGAATTGGCGCACGCAACAACTGAAAGCGAGGCATGGGGGCTATACGAAGCCTATTGCTTCGACATGTGCGGCAATGTCGGTTTCGCCACGTGTGATGATCTCTCCTCATCCACTGCCGAGTGTGCTCTGAGCCAGTGGCCTAACGTTCGCATTGGACGATTCTGACTTAGCCGACCTCCAGCGTCTGCACTTATCCAAGTCACTATGATCGTGCCCGGACTTAGACTTGGCAGCTGAGCCCGAAGCCGATTCACGACCATCTCTTCACGCAAGCTCTGTGGCACCTCAGTCATCGCACTTCTACCAGTCAAGAATTCTCCCCTCTCCCATGTCTGTAGAGTCAGACCGTTGAGAAATGTGTAGCCTGATCACCGATATGGATGTTAGGATCAACCTCGCATGTCCACCTCATTAGCATCTTGCTAGGCTTGCTTCAACTCTGTCACATCTTCTCATGGGTTACTTAACTACCCAATTATTACTACAGTAGGTACTGTATAAAATTAGTAGGTACTACATGTTTTGCATTTTTTTTATTTTGATTTTTTTGCTTTGTTATTTGCTTCCATCTTTTACTTCATTACTTAGAAACGGATATAACTTTATAATCAACTGGAGATGCCTCGCGTTGAGCTAATTGCAGAGGCAGAAAACATCCAGATCAAAGTTAGCTGTATCACAATGATCGCTAAAGTCGCTGTCTGCACGAAGCTATAACCTGATTCAATAAATTGAAGACTCCTGGCTACGAAAGAGAAAACCAGTGAGAAGCTGCTATCAACCCTATCCAAGGCCAAGCAGAAGCCCATTGAGGCTGAAACAAGCTGAAAGCCGCTGATGTAGGTGAATTTGTTGGTGGTGCGGAAGAAACTTCTGTCGCGGGGGTTGGCTGCGTTGATGTCGGCACATCCGTTGACGTCGGTGCATCAGATGTCGAGTCCGGAGAGGTCATGGAAGCAGATCCAGTGTCAATCGGAGATGCTGGACTCGGTGCAGGTGAGTTGACAGGTTCAACATCGGAAGTTTGAACAGACGGTATTTGAGCGCCGACCGCAGTGCTTCCATCGATCGTAGCAGCGAACCTGACAGCGTCAGGGCCTGGTGTACAGTACTCCGTATACTCCGAGGCTGTCTCGGCCCAAGTGCACCAGGGATCGTTGAGATCGCAAGCCAAGTCGGCATCCGTCTTGTACCTGGCACATCCATACGCCAAGGAATTCCACATGTCCGGGACATAGTACGTGCCGGAATAGCACCCACATGAAATTCCGCCGTCCTGGCAGAATGCCACAAGTGAGGTCCATGCGCCGCAAAGATCTGCTGGATTCCTAGGAGCAAACCTCGAGAAGTAGGCACTTCGGGAACCAGCAGTGTCGACGATGGTCCGGGCGAATCGAAGAGGCTGTCCGGTGGGTAACGCATTTTCCTGGTAGGGAGCTTGCTCTTGTTGGAACGGCTGGCTCTCGTCGGGCTGGTCCGCGTACACATTCTCGCTGGCGAGGAACTCGTAGCCTGGTACGCCGACGAAGAAAGTGAACATTTTGGCAAAGTAAGATCTGTCTGCCGGCTCTGCAAAGTCTTTGTGGCGATAGCTAGCTTTTGTCTTCTTTCCATCATCGAAGGAGAAGGGAAACACATACTCCAGTACAGCTGGTCTTGGTTTGCCGGCGCCCGTCCCAAGTCGTATTCTGCGGCATCTGCGGGCGTCGGCTTCCAGATTTCGGGATCTTTGCCTGGAGGAAGGACCTCCTGATCTTGCGGTTTTATCTGCGGTCTTCCACCTTGACCTCTACCCCCTCCTCCCCTAGGCGGTCCAATAGCTTTCTCCGGGAAAGTCGGCAGAGTATCATTCTCGAAGTGCTGCGGAGAATTTGCGAAGGTGGTCCCGACTGCAAGAGAGAGAAGAACGATGATGTGCTTCATGACGCTCTTTGCTCCGCGATGGTCTCAAATGCCTCGACCTCATATAAATGATGTGATGTTGCTACAGCGCATTATTGCAACGAGGAAAGATATCAATCGCTAGGACAGAGAAAGACTTATGCCCGCAAAACCGCTACCACGTGCACGGGTATATTCTTATTGGACGAAAGCGGCCCCCATGGCTCCGCGGTATGAATCAACAAGGCTGAGTGCATAAGCTTTGATGATCCTCAGCCCCAGCCTTCCTCTTCGGGTAAACGCTGGTGCTGGATTCTGCTAGCGTTGCAGTAGCATACCTTCCAAACGGTCATAAATTCGCGCCTCTCAGGGCATCGTTTGACGGCAGATCGGAGCCGCAAGAATTCATGAAAATGGCATTATGGTCTTGCAGCATCCCGGGCTCTCTTCACAACATCAACCGCGATGCAGGAGACGATCGATTATCGGCCGCTGAGAGCAGCTGTTGATGAGATCCGAGTGCTCGAGCTTCGACCGGCCAGAGATCCCTCGAGGCCGCTCAAAGGCAGGCTTCGACATGTGTTGTTGCGCGACGCCCGCTTCGATGCGCTCTCATATGTCTGGGGCCAGCAAAAAGATTCCCGATCCACGATCAGGATCAAGTACAAGGCGCAAAGTCGCAAAGGCCTCCGGCAGACATTGCTGTGCGATCATGCATCAAGCACTTTCGACATCAGCATCGGCAATAGTTTATCGCGAGCATTGAGATCAGTGCGGGCGAGGGATGGCCCCATCTTCATCTGGACCGACATGCTCTGCATTGATCAAAGGCCGGGTGTCGGGAATCAGGAGAAAGAGCGACAGGTCGCCATGATGAAACGCATATATTCGCGAGCTGGCACTGTTCACGCTTGGCTGGGCCCGACGGTGACTGAAGACGTCAATGTCGGTCATGCCTTCAATCTAGCCGCGCGACTGGCAACCCGGGTGAGGCAACGGCAGTTCGGAGACGTACCGATCTCAGATAACGACTGGCTCCAAGCCTGCTTCGCCGTCGCTGGCGAGGATTTGGAGAAGCGAGAGACGCCCGACGGGTATATGCAGCGATGGAAGAAATTCGCAGAGCGACTGCGAGACGCTATCAAGACAGACGCTGAAGCATTGCACTTGCTCCCTAGCCTTAAGGTTGTCTCGCAAATGGAGTACTTTCAAAGAATCTGGATTTTGCAGGAGACGGGACGTGCCAAAGCGTTGGTTTTCCACTACCAACAGCGACGAGAAACACGTTAGAGCATTCTCCTCATGCTGAGTCTGGCGTACTCCCTTCGCAAGGACTCCAGCATTGCTCAACACGCTCGGGAAGGTCTAGAGGGCTTTGACAGTCGCTTTCTGGCATGTCTCTCAGCACGAACGACTTGCTCACAAGAAAGGTCGGTACAGGACGTATTACAAGCCGCCTATCTCAGCCCTCCACCGAATCAATCTGCTACAGATCCTCGAGATCTCATCTTCGCCCGGCTAGGTTTGGCCAGTGATGTGGCTCCGGATCTGAGAGCAATCAAAGTCGACTACTACGCAACAGCCACGGCAGTGTTCACTTCCACGTCTCGATTCCTGCTCAACAACGGCTTCACCGATCACTTGGTTAGTTTTAAGCCGTATCCTTTTCTCCGGGAAGCCCCACGCAATCTCCCACCGAGTCTTGCCCACCTAGCAAAGGATTGGGACATGCCGACTTGGGCTTACGACTGGCATATCGATGGTCTGCACACCTTTGCCTCGTACAATGCCGCGGGTGATACTAAGCCTGACATTCAATTCACCTGTTGCACTGTCGCCCGATTTGGACAGGCTTTGCACATGAAGGGCGTTCCCCTTGGCCACATCAAGACTCGTGGAGAAAGGTTTTCTGATATGGTCACGAAAGTGAACATGGGAGCGGCTGAGATTGAAATGAGCAGCTTGAAGACGGGGAGGAAGGACGCCTCCATTGGCGAAAGAGAAGAGCTTATGAACAGCATAAAGAGCGTTTCCCGCAACATGAGATTCGCCTTCACCGAAAGCGAGGTCAATAAGCTGTGTAATGCGAGCGACCTACAGATGGCACGCTTCTGGCGATGGTGGCTATCGTGGGTCACGGAACTCATTGAGATGAGCTCCGGGGTAAGATCATCTCCTGGTGTCGAGAATTTCAACCCGTCAGGCAATTTCGCTGAACTGCTCTTCCGCGAAGCATCGACAAGTCTAGACGGCGACATTGTCGCACAAGTGTTTGGCAACACGGGCGCCTTGACGAGACTCGCGGATCTCGGCCGTTGGTGCAGGTTACTGCTGTCTGACGACCCGGCAATGAAAGCCGTTGGAATCGAGTTGATGGAGACGTTTTTTCGTTCTGCCTGGGGAATGCGAATTGCCGTGCTCGACACTGGGCATCTTTGCTTCGTGCCAGAGGCTACCAACGACGATGACGAAGTGGTCGTTTTGCATGGTGTGAATGCTCCGCTTGTGTTGCGGAGGAAGAGAGACGACAGCGGTGTGCAGAGCATCGTTGGACCTGCACATGTTCGAGATGCTATGCAGGGACAACTCATGAGGCCCAGTCTCCCCGGCCAGATGTACACATTGCTGTGAGGCTGTTGACATCAATGCGGGTTGGGGTGGAGCTGGCAGCCGCACTTCAGCCTTCCTGGCAATTATTACTCCTTGAAAAGCGTAGAAGGCAGCAGCCTGTCTGTATCTTGAGACACTTCCTTCCACACATCAAGAGCCTCTCCGGCTCCAGATTGTCATAAAGCGAACCATAATCGCTCAGATCACAAAGCCCCGGACAAGCTGGTTGATCGAAAAACCTGCAGCCTGGTTGGACCAAGCTCAAGCTGGTGCTGACTCGAACATGCATGGAGAGACTCGGCTTGCCACCGACTTCAACCTCTGTTCTCGCATTTGCACCCAGTACGATCACCGCCATGGCCACTTCAAGCTCTACCAACGACATGGCCATCGGTTCAGACGAGATGTTGATCAGCTTGAAGGCCACAGCTCATCTCCGCTTTCAGGACCCTCATAGCGACATCGTAGTCGCACGCGCGGGTACTATCGATACGTCGGGGAAGGCCATCAAAAATCACGAGCGTGGCCAAGATGTCCTGGTATTCATGCAGAAGGGGACATCACAGAGCTGCGACATCAGTCGAGCAAAGGCTCGCGCCTCCCGTGTATGCCTCATGCCTCCTGACATGAGCTACGCAGATGCCGCCTCCATGGTCTACCCCTTCGTGACCGGTCTCACCATTCTGCAAACACAGCTCGGGATAGAATTTCCTTCCCCATCGATAGGGCTAGCGAGGACCGTCGGCTCTGTGCCGACCGCTCTCATCCTGGGAGGCGAACGCGCTCTCGCAGATGCACTCACGCAGCTTCTGCATCTTGCTCTGCCCGGGACGAGCATCCTCGTTGCTTGCAGAGTCGAGGACACCTCGCACCCAGAGCCCTTCGAAGAAGCCGTGAGACCCTTCTGCCACCGAGCGCTCGAGAATGGGGCAGTCTATAGCATCGACGCTGCGGCGCCGGACTTGCTGGAACATCTGCAGGCGGCTGTCGATACCTATGGTGCTTCGTTACAGTTGGTCCTGGACGCTGGGGAAGAAGTTACTAGATGGCCGGGGATTATGGGGATGCTAGATGGTGGTGGTAAGTTCGTCGACTGCACGAGAGTTCATGTAGATGCTGGGACACATGAGGACAACTGTTTGAGTAAAGTGATGGCGACCCTGGAGAAGCTTCTGGATGAAGGCAAGCTGCGGCCACCAATATGCAATGATATGTATACAACGACGTTATGATGCCTGTTCGTCCTCTCCAGAATTCTCAAGTCGTCTACTGTGACCTCTTCGATCTTCACCACTTCGTCAGTTTGACCTGCTCCGCAACTCATCTCTCTCACCACCCATCATCTCCCCCTTCCCAGCCCCATAAACCACATAATTCGCCAACATGCCATCCTGCTGATGATTATTCACATGGCAAATGGCCTGCCAGAACCCGACGTCCGACGCGGTCATCAGCAGCGTCTTGCTGACGCCGTCGTTGAGGGACACGGCGAACGACCTGACGCCGTCGACGACGACCGCGTTGCCGTGCATGTGGAACACGTGGCTGTCGCTGCCCCAGCCGTACGCGTACCAGATCGCCTGGTCGTTCTGGCACATTTCGAAGGGCGGGTTGTTGCCGAAGATGTAGCCGTTGAGGGTCTCTGTGTTTTTGGGCGTTAGGGTTTGAGGATGTGGTGTCTGCGTTACGATGGAGAAGGGCGAGATTGTCACTTACTGAACTCCGGCGCCGCCTCGAATCGTCCCGAGCTGGCCAGGTTGACCACCTGGGGATACCAGACGGAGTAGTTCCCACTCCCAAGGTCCTGCGTGACGGAGCCGAATGTAGACGTCGACACATTGCCGTTGTTCAGCGTCTATGCATTCTCGCCGGACAGGAACGAAGTCGGCTCGTTGTAGGTCCCGAACAGCAAGGGGAATTCCTTGTAGTTCTGCATCGTGGCGTTCATTCGACCGCGGGCGTAGACGATTTGGGGCCCTGTCAAGCCGGCGTCGCTGTCGCTGAGGAGGTCGACGTAGGAGTGGTAACTGAAGGCCTGTTTCGTGGTAAGAAGAGAGATAAGATACGCTGGGGTTGGAACAACGAACCCTTGATTGATCGTTTCCATTCGGCGCTACGGCATCATCTGGGAGCCACTTGTAAACGACGCACTCACCAGGTCCTATCCCACCATCGAGAGGCGGAACAGCCGATGAGAGGGGGATCGTGGCATTTTCATGGGGTCTTGGGTTGGGAACGTAGTCGGAACCCTCGTTCTTCTTGTTGTACGCCAAGCCCATGGAGTGCATCGTAGCGTAGTTTTTCTAAAGCTTGTTGACGAACATGATTTCCAGCAAGTCGCCGACTTCACTCCTCAGCGTGGGGCCCTGTGTTCCTTGCCATGGCGGTTGCTCCGTGAGCTGAGTGAACGAGGCGTCGGTGTACCCGCGATAGAGGGCTTTGAGATAAGTCGTGTTGAACTTGGTGTAAGGTTTCGCGCGTGGGGATTTGTCGATGGGCACCCCGAGCCAGTTGTCCCATCCCATAGGGGCATAGTCCCATTGAACCTCCTCAGCGGCGACATAATATCTGCGCACATTGCCCGAGAAGTGGAAGTCCGATGGGGTCTGAGCAGGAAGTTGGCCATTCATGGAAGCTGCACATGCTTGCCATGGTGAAGCAGAGCTAGGCGTAGGCGATGGCTGGATCGAAGTACCTGCGGCGAGGCCTGAGAGGACAAAAATAAGGGCGGTATGAAGCATGCTCGCGACAATTTCCTGCTCTGTAGAACGCGACACGCCATCATCTGTTGCCAGACCAGACCTTTATAACGATCTCGAAAACCTGTCCCCCGTCAGCTCGTTTGGCGTAGATGCTGTCGTCACGGTATGTTATCTGAATACGAACGTCCGTCATCTTTCTAGTACGTCGATGTACGTTCATCGAGTCGAATAGCCGAAGAAGTCCTGCACACGTACGAAATTCGGACCTACGGATAAAAGTAAAGGCTAATCGGTTTGAGGCAAAGAAAGTGAGATCTGTATGATTGGAGAGAATTCTGTTCCTGATCATTAGGGCTGGTACAGATGCTATGTTCAAGACATCTTTGCCGTAGAATAGAGGTCGTGAGTTCGTACAAGCTTATTAAAGTCGTCGTCACACGAACCTAAAGCTTGGGGATGAACATGGGCGTGTTCTTCTTCCACTCCTGGTAGTCCTTCCTGTCGCCGTACCGCATGTCATACTTGTTTTCGCTGAGAGGAATACCCGACACCTGTAGAGTCAGTCTATGTTAGCAGCGAAAGGCAGACTTCGAGCTTGGTACTCACCTTCAAAAGCAAGAAAGTCACAAACGCAGGGCTCACGGCAGCCATTGCCAAAGCACCAATTCTGCTGACAGCACTTCCACTGAATCCCATGCCTGCCTGTCCCACATTGCTCAACATCACGCCGGCAGCAGTCGTAGCAATGCCGGTCCACAGCGTGCTCTCGCCAAAGTAGTTGGGATGTCTGCTCTTCGACCAAAGGCCCCTCGTGAGAAAGTCCTCGCTGTGCTTCTTCTCCTTCTTCTCCTTCACCCACTGGCTCTTCTGTTGGTCTGCTGTGGCCTCAAATGCCAGACCTCCTACATACAGCAGGATTCCAATGATGTCTGTGATCGTGACCAATGGCAGCGCGGCGAGTGTCGTGGCGGGGATGCTGTTGATGGCGAGAACGGGTATCAGGCAGAGCGAGACCCAGGTTGCTTGGGCGAAGAAGGCGACAAAGAACTTGGGCGGGGACGAACGAATGCTGTCGAATCTAGAGTCTTTTCCATCATCGGCCGTGATTCGCGAGAAGAGGAAGCTGCCCAATCGAGTTGCCCAGAAAGTCACAGCCGCACTGAGGACGACCTGGCGCCAGTTCCACGCGCTCACCCCTCCCTTGGACACGAGGCTGCCGAGAAGGCTGGGCCATGCCGGTCCTGTGCTTCCAGGTCCTGCTGCGAGACGCGCGCGGATGGTGGGAAGGTAGAGGGAGAGGGCGGCGCAGGAGATGTACGTCAACGAGCCGGACAAGTCGTAGAAGCGTTCTGTCTGGAGGAAGATCGAGGGCACCGCGACGGCTGCTTGGATTCCATACGCCAGGCCTATGGATGGGACCAGAGTTCGCAGGAACGGGTTGCGGAAGTTGGTCGCGTTCAGGACGCCATGGAGGATGGAGGCCATTGTTGGTGATTGGGAGAGCTGGACTGACCTACCTCGACCAGAGAGAGAGGATGTCGCAGCTACATTTGTAGTAGGTACGATTTGTGACGTGCCGCGTGCCCTTTGTTGGTAGAGCTACATGCTTGAGGCAAGGTCAAAGTCGTGGGGTCATTTCGATCCTGGCGTTTCAACAAGCGCGCTTTGCTCTCCCCGGCCAGAATTGCCCGTGTCTCCTATACACCGACCGACAAACACACGAGCGATCGTAGCGACTGCCAGCTTGTGTTGATATCTCTGTGGATACGTGAGGCACAGTCGGGCGGTTGTTGAGCCGCCGTAGCACGTTGACGGGGTCGAGAGCGGCCGAGGAGAAGGAAGACGTCCCGGCGTCCTGTACACGCTGAGCTAGGCATCGCCAATGACAACAGTGCCCGACAAGTCTATCCAGGCTGGAGTCGAATGTTTACACTGGAATGCGATGAAGCCTTGAATGAGCCCACGGACTGGAATGCCGAGGCGTATTCATAAAGCTGTCCCGGATCACGATATCACGATCAAGCACTTCGACCACAAGGGGATCCCCTGCCTGTAATCCAGGTGTTAAGATTCACCACAACTGGGGAATACTTGTCTCGAAGATGGCTGAGCTCCCAGCAACGATACAAAAGCCGCGGGATGGGCTGCAGCTGCCAACTTCTTTACTGTATGGCAGTAGCCTGACCAAGGTCAGTTGAGACGTGTCGTCAGCTTTTGAGCTTTGTCCTTGTATTCAACTCTCGGTATGGAAGCCTTTGAAATCTTCAAATACCATCAAGACGCCATTTGAACAGCCCGAAAAGCGTGGGAAAGTCCCGCCTTCACGATGTCGAGCTTCTCCAAGACCGCCATGCACGCGACCTCCTCCGAGAGTGTCATGCACAAGCCGCTATTTGGATACTTCGAACCCAGCAACTCTCACCAACAATCTGAGTTGCGAAATCATCTGGTTGCCGCGACAGGCGAATTCGTAGGCACATACATGTATTGAACATCCCGGATCAGCGACCATGTCCAGACGTTGACAGTAGATCTTGACACAGGTTCTTTCTCCTCGGTTTCCTGGGCCATTCTGCCGCGATGAGAGAGGACTCCTCTTCAACTACAGCGGTCACAAACTTGTATATTGCATTGTCTTACAGCTTCTCTTACCTGGTCAGCATCCAACTCATGTACGCCGCACCACTTCAATGGTCTCATGATCGAAGCTTAGGAGGTCCCAGGCATGCCATCAGCGGTGGCTTCTTTAATCCAGTCGTCACGATTGCTCTCGTTCTCTGCGGTGAGCTGCCTCCCGTACGAGGACTCATCTTCTTACCGGCTCAGTTTCTCGGAGCTATGCTGGCAGCGGAGACTGTGAGCGCGATTATACCTGGAGATACGCACGCTCTCCAAACATTCTTACAAGCAGATGTACACGTTATCCAGGGATTGTTCTTGGAGATGGTTAGTCTTCACACCTCAACAGTCAAAGCAGGGCTGACCCTTTGACAGTGCCTCACAGCGATCTTCGTTTTCGCGGTGCTTATGATGGCTGCCGACAATCCCAAATCGACTGTCAGTATCATCATCCGATTCGAACTGACACGAACTGATCGAGATAGCCCACGTTTTCTATTGCCATTGGCCTCACCTACTTTGCCACTCAGCTGGCCGGCGGAGTCTATACTGGCGCTTCCTTCAACCCAATGCGGTCACTTGCGCCTTGCATTGCCACAGGAGATTTCCCTCCATACCACTGGATCTATTGGGTATGGTCCTTCAATTAAGTCTCCAAAGGCGGTGAATCTGACCACGCAAGATCGGACCTTTGCTAGGGGCTCTCTTAGCCAGCAGCTACTACCACGTCATTCGATACTTCAACTACTGGCCAGTCGAGACAGAGCAATCGATGTGGCTGCCATCCGAAACCAGCCCCTTGTTACAAACAACTTACCGTCGAACAGAAAGCCCTGGACCAACCAGCCCCAGAACAAGACGGCAAACTCTTTCCGAAACAAGCCAACGGGACACGAATGATAGCCAGGAAAGAGGTGACGATAACAGAAAACAGCACCATCCTCACTATCCGTACTATCGATTTCGCAGAGAGGGTCATTATGACCTGATTTCGCATAAGGACTCAAGCAGGAGATCCTCTGACGGGAGGATATTCGAACGGGCTCAGAGAGAAGGACAAGCTGAACATGAACCATTCGATGAAAACCAGCAAGTGCGAAAGAGCCGCGGGAAGGAGAAGGTGGTTGCTCTGGATGTTTGACTGAAGCTGAGTGAAGGATTATCAAAAGTTAATGCGGACCGCCCTTCTCAGTACGTGGCAATGAGAGATTCCAGAGGTTCCCAATGGACTGACGTATTACTGAAAGCTCTGATAAGACTGGACTCGGGCAACAAAGGATACGGTAGACAGAACTACATTACGATTCCAGCATCACGACGCGGAAGCTCGGGCTCGCAGAGCACCGACCCCCATACGTTCAATACCTCCGTACGGCACGAATCCAGCCTATCTCAAGAAATGCCATGAGCAGTTCAGTGTCACATGGATATTGGAAACCTGTCAGGCTATACATACCTGAGCTCAAAAGACAGCAGCTCGTTGGCCCAATCTACGCGCCTTGCCAGCCACCTGCCCTCCGAAGCGAGGTAGCTGATCTGCACGATGCGTTCAAGTGGATGCAGCCTTGTGGCACCACAACACAAAACGCAGAGCTCTCCCACTTCTGCACTTCTTTCTTCCTTCCTACCTACTTCCACGGGTTAATAGCTTCCTCAGTGCTGTTTCTCGATTGCTTGCTACACTCCAGCGGCCATATGGTAGGATTGCCATCCCGGCATGCCGTCCTTGGATGCAAGCCTCACTCTTCGAACTTAACCGTCGGACCGTTTCGCGGAACGCAGTCACCAGTGTCGAAGAAGAGGCAAGATGCGAGTGTCTAGTTGCGTCTTAGCAGGAGCTGAGACGAGTGGCAAGATGGCATACCAGTTCTTGCCTCAGGAACACACAATGATGACGAAGCTCGGAAGATACTCGACGATGCTACGATAAGATGTTCACTGTAGGTATCTCTGTTGGACAAGACTGCTCCCATCATCCATCACGCACAACTGCGGATTACGAGGCCACTTCGCTTTTAAGTGCGCCGCCCATTCGCCGCCCCTTTGAGGGCGGCCTTGATCATGTGGCCGCCGTCGTCATCCCGCCACCCCTTCCCATCAGCCCTCTGACTCTCCTGCTATCATTCGCCGGTACCTGCGTTTCCTGCAGAACATCTCGCTGTGCCGATCAGAGTTCGAAAGATTACTCCTACGACAGAACATCCCCCTCGAGGAAAACAACCTCTTACCGAGAACCCGACACGAGCGACTCCCGCCGTCGACGGCGTCGAGTCACGAAAAACGCAGAACCGATCCACAGACTCCGAAACGAAACATCTATCCTCCCCAACATGCCAGCCAACACACCAACCCGACCACCACCGCCCGTCGCCCAACCACCCCGCCTCTTCGTCAACACCAACGGCTCCGGCGCCCGCTTCTACTACCACGACACCAGCGTCACGATCCAATACTTCGACCCCGTCAGCCACCGCTCCGGCACCTTCATGCCCCCCGTCTACGAAAAGCAGACGTTCGTCTGCACCGACGGCACGAGCTTCGTCTTCTTCCCGGATGGGAGTGGGAGTTATACTTTCTTTGGTGGGACGCGACCGATCGCTCCTGGGGAGGTGGCGTGGATGCCGCCGAGACCTGTCCTCGTGCCGGTGCCGACGCCTGTGGTTGTGCGGGCGACGCCGCCACCACGAATACGCCAAGCACCACCTAGCGAGTTCCAGGAGGAAGAAGACTCGAGCGACGACGATGAGAAGACGCATCGAAAGTGGAAGCTCGGGCTGGCTTGAACGGGGCGTGCTTGCTCGTGGGAACTGTTTCTTCGACGTTAAAGCGCCTACCGGGAGACATCAATATTTGATGTCCCAAACCCCTTACAATGATCCTGGACTCGATGACGACCTCCTCGCCACTTCAACCTCGCAGAACCATCGCAACTGGTCCCTATCCAGCTTCACAGCCACCCACAGCGAGAGTCTGATCCCAATTAACTCGAAAGTGCGAACCAGCATAGCCACCCTGCGTCGACCGTTTCCCACACGCCGGACAAGGCGGTTGATCCAACGGAATAATCACAATCCTCGAGCGATCTCTACAGAAGAAGCGCGGCGAACTATCCGCATATCCCTGTTAGAGAAGGAGCGCCGCCATGTGGATCTCCGTCCCAAACGTCTTGACGTCGTCCACCACCCTCCTGAAATCAGTCCCGTAGCTCGACGTCAGCAGGCCTTTCGCGTACTGCGCGCTCACGTGCACGACAGCTTGGTGCATCTGGCGATCTGTGTCCGCAGCGTTCAGGTATAGCTCGCGAATGGCGTCCGCGAAGGCAGGGGTCTTCCACAACTGAGTTCCTTCTGTCATTTGAGAAGGTCTCTGGACGAGACGATCGCAGAAGCGCTGGGAGGCTATTTGGACGAGAGGTGGGACGTCCAGCTTGTCGGCGAGAGTGTACACGAGGACGTCCAGAAGAACGGGGCGACGGTCCGATCAGTGCCGGTCTTGCTGCGTTTGTATTGGTAGCTGGATGTGTACAGGTATTGCAGCACGGCGTCGACAGCTTCGGAGTGGTCGTCTGGCAGCGTCACTTTACTATTCTTCGCCTCCTGTTCGCTGGTGGTTAGTGGGATTCGAATGAGAAGGACTGCGATACATCTCTCACTTCCCAAGTATCACCCTCGCACGCTTTCGTGAAGAAGCTGGACTGCGTGCAGAGCACGAACTTGTGGACTTGCCATGAATGGTTGTCGCATTCGAGGAGCAGGTCGCTCCACTTTCCGCTGGTTAACAGACTGGGCTTGAGCATTAGCCGACGGACGTGGAACATGAACCCACTCGCAACGGGTTACCTTGGTATGCTCGAGATGACCGGGGCGGGAGCTTGAGCTGGGATGGGAGTTGGAGGCATTGGCGCGTGGTGGAGAGATGTGGTGCGGCTTGGCGATCATGTGAAAGCAAGAATGGCTGGCATATTTTTAACTTTTGACCAGCGGTTTGAAAGACAAAGAGCCGATTGTGTTTGTCTTCGTCTTTCGCCAACCTTGGTTGCAACTGCTCTAAAGGGCAGACGTTCTCGACGGGGTATCATATCATTCTTCCAAGACAGAGCTTTTGTCGTTTGCAAACCTCCACCTTCGCTGCCTTTCCAAATCATATCGCAGCGCATCGCTTTATATCCGCCCATGCCAATGTTCGCACAATTACCTGAGTGGCAATGCAATGACCAGTCCGTCGTCAAAACTAACGAAAAGACAAAATCAACCAGTCCCCCTCCCAAGCCCCTTTTGTCTCGCAATCGCAGCGATTTGGGCATCAGCCCCAAACGCCTTGCACTCCTTAACAACCGCACGAAACTCCGTCCCATAGCTCTCATGTAACAGCTCCTGTGCATGACGAGCGGCGGTCATGACGGCGACTCTCCGCATGGTTCGGCTGTTAGGAGCCTGCTCGTACAGCGCGCGCACGGCCTGCGCGAACCCTGGAGTCGCCCAGTCGGTCTCTGTATGCTTGCAGAATTTGGACGCCGCTTTCTCCGCCAACGGCGGTATGTCGACCGCGACGGCTAGCGTGTAGACGAGGACGTCGACACGATGGGCGGGTGGGCGTAGGGTTCGCCGTAGGAGGTGGAAGTGCCGGAGTAGTCCGAAGTGTAGAGGTACTGCAGCATGGCGTCTACCACATCCTCGTATTCGATCGGTATGTCTACAGCCGGCCCCCTCTTGTTCTTCCTGCCAGACATTAGCGGCTTTAGGTCCCTCTTTTGTAACTCGCTTTGACAGACTTCGATCTCTTTGAACGCAGTGGCAAAGAAGCTGGACTGCGTGGATAGAACGATTCTGTGCAATTTCCACTTCTGGTCCCCGTACTCGAGGGTAAAGTCGCTGTAGACTGGGTTGGTCAGGAGTCTGCGGTGTTGTTAGTAGTCTTCTGCAGATCCAAGGTTGCGTGTTGACTTACTTGGCCACGCCGATGGCCCTTTCTACCGGAGCCTGCGCCATGTTGCAGGTGCTGAACGAAGGTGGTGAGTCCCGGGTGGTATCTATGTCAGAAAGGAAGAAAACAAAGCTGGCTTCAAAAGCCGAAATTGGAGCGCCGTATGTCTAGTCTTGGCATTCATGTGAATGACTTCATTAATCCGTAGAAGGAAGGAGCACGTCCCCTCTTCCTTAGCTTACCTTACCTACTTCTCCACCCCAGCCATCTTATACACCGCCCTCTCGAAAATCCCCGTCATCTCCTTACACCCGGGATCCCCCGGCGGCAAAACCTGCGTCCCAAACGTCAACGCAATCCCGGCCTCACGATCAATCGCCCAGAAAGGATTGACCAGCCCACCCCACTGCATCGTGCCCTTACTCCTCCTCCCCACATCGTCCTCCATCCACAGCGGCCCACCGAGCCCATGCTGCGCCGGAATCCCCTCCGCGACCTCGCCCGGCAACATCGTGGAGAAAGCCTGCACGAAGCCGTTCAGGCCCGCGGCGGAGCCTTCGCCGAGCTGCGGCGTGAACATGGCGTCGACCGTGGCGGGTTGGAGGAGTTTGCTGTCGTTGGCGAGAAGGGAGTGCAGGACTTTGATGTAGTCGCCGAGTTGGGCGTAGGCGCCGTGGCCGCCGAAGCAGTCGGTCGAGTGCGTGTTGAGATGATCCGCGGTGTTGGGGACGAGTTTGCCATCGCCCCCGCGGACCGTGAGGACGGGGATTTTGTCCTTGAGCGTGGGATCTTTGCTGGGCCAGAAGGTTATGCCTTTGATGCCGAGGGGAGGGAAGGTGTGTTTCTTCATCCAGCCTTCGAGGTCGAGGCCTGTGAGGCGGTGGATGAGGACGCCGGTCCAGTCGAGGCCCGTGCTGTACATCCAGCTCTCGCCTGGCTCGTAGATCATAGGGGCGTCGAAGCGTTGGAGAATCGTGGGGGCGTTCTCCTGGCCCTTCTGCCACTGGCCCTTTTGCTGGAGATACTTGACAACATCCGGGGCGATGAGAGGGATGGCCAAGCCTGCAGAATGCGTGAGGAGGTGTCGAAGTGTGATGGTCTTCGTGACTTCCTTGAACTTCGGTTTGTCGTTCTCGTCAAACCCTTCCAGGATGCCATACTGCTTCATCTCAGGAACATGCTTCGAAACATCATCATCAAGCCCAATGAATCCCTGTTCAACCACCTGCAACGCGGCAATCGAAGTCAAAAGCTTCGTCTGCGAGGCCAGCATCAACACAGCATCCTCCTGGATTGGCGAGTCGTCCTTGCCGTAGTTCTGGTACCCGGTCGAGTAGTGGTACTGGAAGCTGCCTTTACAAATCATCAACAACAACGTCAACAAGCCTTAGAGGAGCCAATCTCACCATCTCTATTCGTAGCATAGACAATCGCATGCGGAATCTTCCCATCCTTAACACCCTGCTGGAGAGCCTGCTCCAACTCTGCCTGGACGGACGACATGGTCTTCTCAAGATGTGATCAGCTCTTTCTCCAAACAAGTAACAGGACACGAATGTCAAAAAAAAAGCAACCCAAAACACACTCACCTGCTCAGCCCCTCCCTTTATATGTGCCCCAATCTCCCTTACCCTCCGACTCGCATCCATCGCGTTGGCCAAGAGTTCGACAAACACAGCAGCAGCCCGCTAAGAGCAAGGGAATCGGAAGGAATGACAAGCAGCGCGACACGAAATCCTACCGCGCAAGCTCTGCTACAACAGAACGATGATGCAACAAGTAGCAGGCAAGTCATGAACTACGAACAGCTGGGAGGTCTGACAGGCAGCGAGACTCCTCCCCATCAGCGGTTCCAGCGACTCCATCGTATCCGTCCCTCGGCATCTTCGAATCGCTCTATCCGAGTAAGTGCATGTGCACTAGGAGCAACCCAGCTCTGCTGCTGGAAAGCAGGTACAGCTTTCCTCTCTGCTAGCTCGGAAACCCCGCAGGAACGACATCCCTGTTCGGGGTTGCGCCTAAAGAAGTTAGAACAGCGCTTGGAAGGCCAGGCAGTGAAGTAGGTGAATGAATGAAAGCGACATGTACGCTGCGCGGAACGAGCACTTACCCGTGATCGTATCATCACGTATAGTATCCATCCAGACATCGCTGTCACACAGGGCAAATCTTCAGAAGGAGCAGAACCGGACATATTCCCCCGGTGTCTGTCTGACTATTTCTGATGCCTGATGAATATGTCAGAATATAGCAACACCAGCGGTTGACGCAACTCGGCCAATCGATTGGAGCTTGTAATCCGATCACATGCACTTGCGAGCTCGTTTGCTAAGGTTGGCTAATACTAGAAGCTATTGCGAGAATTCTGGGTATCCACGCTCGTTTGATGACTTCCGAAGACAATCTGCAAGACAGTCTTCAGCTTGCTTTCCAATCCATCCCTTTAACGCCGTCGCTATCATACACACCATGCGAGGAAGATCAAAGCGCAAACCCTCTAATAATGTCCACATCCATCGTCGGCTTCGAAGCTTGATGCAAGAAGCTCAAGAGCGACGATTTCCCTCCACTGTTCGTATCACATTCCATGCCTTTCGCCTCATGAAGCTGCTACAGAAGCAGGCTCCTCGGGGATGGCCTTGACAGCACCAGACGCTTCTAGGCTCTCGCGTTTCTTCCTCTGATCCTCCTCCTTCTTTTGCTTCTGCTTTTCTTGCAGCTTCGCCATCTTCTCCATTTTGATGCGCTCCTTCTCCTCCTTCTCCCTCTCTTTCTGTTTCTGCTCTTCAGACTTGCTCTCCTCCTCCTTGGCTGCGTAATCCTTCCATCTCCTCCAACCATCGAAGTCAATCAGCGCCTGCATGCATCCCCACTCCTTGACTTTACGTTCAAGCCAGACGAAGTTAACCGGCTTGGTCAAGAAATCGTTGCATCCAGCTGCTAGGGCCTCGTGTCGATCGGACTGCAGGGACGAAGCCGTGAGCGCAACGATAATGATCGGTGATTTGAACAGCCCTTCGCCCTTGGCCAGCCTGTCGTCCTCGGGATTGTGGGCCTTCTCCTTGCCCTTTCCATCCGCTCCTTCTCCCTTCTCGGCAGGGCTGGTAGGGGCAGACGAGGAGAAGACGCCAATACCATTTATCCTCTCCAACCTTCGAATCTCTTTGGTGGCTTGCAGCCCGTTCATGATCGGCATCTGAATGTCCATCAAAACCAAATGGTATCCTCCTTGCTTCCACTTGTCCACAGCAATTTGACCGTTCATCGCCGTCTGCCATCGCACTTTCAACCTCTTCATCAAACCCTCCAGAATACGGAGGTTAATGATATTGTCCTCCACAATCAGGACGTTGATTGGCGGGACAGATCCATCGAGCATGCTGGACACATTTGGCAACGTTGGATTGGGGGCCCAAGTGTCGGTTGTGATTTGACCGCTACGTCTCGAGCTTGGTCTGTCAGGAGTTGGTTTACGCTGCTTTTTCGGCCGAGAGGAGCGATGTGTGTGTGCTGAGTTGGGCACACCGCTCGAGGGCGTGGCAGGATTGGAGCTGGTTCGTCCCATCGGTACTGAGTCTGGCGCTGGAGGTGTGGGAAGAGGCGGCGCTGATGCCAGGCCGTTAGGATGGTGGTGCTCGGAAGCAGTCGAATCGACGCGAGGTCTATTAGAAGCTCGGTGTGGTAGGTGTGTAGGAGGTTGTGGGTTAGTGGCACTGCTAGGTGGAGCGGCTGTGCTGCTGTGAGTGATGATAGTAGGCGATGAAGTGTGCTGTCGGGTGTATTTAGGTCTGTGTTCCCTCTCGGCTCGATGGCCTCTGTTCCTGCCACCGGGTGAGGGCAGAGGCGGTATCTGGCCAGTGTTTAGGACTGATATCGATCTTGGATGGTCAGCGGCGACAATGGAGTGATGATGATCGCGAGCGTTGGGTTGGAGTACTGTGTGTGGCAGCGTGGGTTGTATCATAGCCGGCATGGGTGGGAAGTAGTCCGTTCCGTTCTCGTGCGGCCTCAGGTCCTCCATAGGGTGATAGGATTGATACTGAACATTCCGTGGCGATGGTCGGGGTGTCCTCTTTTGCGGCACATCAATGATCAGCGCCTCGTCCACCGTCTGCCCTCCAGGGTAGTACGAATCTATTGTCCTGCAAATCTCCTCTTCTGGACCAAGCATCCGTATGCTGCGAGGGCCTGCATGATCCGCTCGAGCAGCGATAGACAGTGTCATGTCCGGAGCATCGAAGGTCTTGCCCAAGGAGTTGGCGTACTTTCGCAGTATCATATCCCTCACATCATCTACCAGATCGTCTTCTCGAATCTGGACAAGCGTTGCTGATGCGTTTGGCCGCTTGACCCAGATCTTGCGCTGCAACATCGCGGCCATGTTCGGTATGCTAGACGCAAAATAATCGTTCAGGCCGTCGCCAGTGGGCAAGGCACCGGTGCTGGCACTGGCTGGCGCCGAATCTGCTCGTTGCGGAGCGTCGATGAGCGTCCTCACGATCTTAGCATTGGCGCTACCGACGATGCTCTGGCGACGAGTATCGGCGTTGGATGTGAATGAGAGACTCTTTGTAGAGTGGGCAGGGGAGGCGGCGAGGGCGAGGCCGGGTTGGGTAGGGTGGTAGTGGATGTTCTCAGAGCTGGTGGATGCGAGCGTGACTTCTCCAGAAGCTGGACGTTGAGCGAAGCTGTAGCGCCGGTGTTAGCCGAGATATCACCACGAGGAAGGCACGCAGAAGCAATAGAGAGTGTATGAGACATTGTGAAGATTTTGGCGGATGATGCACACAGCTGAGCAACAGCTTATGCACGAAATCGCTGATCACACAGGCATGGACGGGTTGGATGGGTGCACTCACTCAAAGCTGTCCAGTGCCCGTGACTCGCGTGCTAGAGCGTCCGGCGTGGGCTCTTCGACCACCAGACGCGGGTTCACGGGCAGTTGGTCCACATCCAACTTCAACTCGGGCGGTTGGTCGGGGTGGTCGTTGTGTGTAGACTTCGAGCGAGGCGAATCCGCGCCGTCGCTGCTGCTGCCCAGCTCTTCGGTCTGCACCACGGTATCGACCTTGTCCGCAGGGTCTGAGGCCACCCTCCTCCGAGTCGTAGGCGTCTGCTGCACCACGGCAGCAGTGTTCAGGCTGGGGACGCTACCGCTGCGCAGGTCCTCAGGAAACTCCGGGATATCCGCGTCTTGAGCTCGGAACTTGTCTCTGAGCTTCGCCAGCGACGACGACTTGCGCGGGGCGGTGGGCGTGGCGGTGCAGCCGGGGAGGACGGGCGACGGCGAGGTGCTGGTGATGTTTGTGGTTTCGCTCTGGTCGCTGGCGCTGCTCTCGGCGGCCACGGAGTGTTTGGAAGACAGTCGGCGGAAGATTGGGCGCAAGGAAAACCTCGCCATGGTGGTCAAGCCACAGCTGCGGCGGCCATTGATCGACAAGCAGCTGTTGGGTCTGGCGTCGACAATGATAAATGTGCTGGGCGGAGCGTCGTGGGGAGGTGTTGGTAGGTGTTCAGGGTGCGTTGAAGAGCAGAAGAAGAGTGCTCAACAAGAAGCCTCTCGCTATCGACCGCTCCGGCGCTGAATCAGGTGGCTCCTGCGGGTGGTGAAGCCTTGGAAAGCGCGTTGGCCGTAGCGATCGAGGATCGAGGATCGAGTATGATCCTGAGCGTCTTGTCTGTCTGCGACTTTCCACAAACAACTCGCCGAATCTCAGTGTTCTATGTCTTGAGACACACCAACAATGTGATAACAAGTATTCACAGCTGCCTAAACCACAATTCACCGAAACCTGCTCACTATAACCTCCCACATCCATGGCAGGACACCGTCTCGCATATATCCAATAGCCCAACCAGCGCACTAGCGATCGGGCGAGGTACCGCAGTCTTCCCCAGATCGAGTGTGGCGCTCACGCATCAAGCAGAGCTCACGATTACGCGCATCTCGATCCGTCGCCGCTCTGCCAGTTTATCTGCCGCACAAGCAACGTGAGGATTCCTAATTTGCATGCATCTCCTCACGCGTGGACGTGTCTGTGCCACACGCTGGAGTTGTTGTCGCATGGCATGTGTTTCGAAACCGGGATTCCAGCGTCGCGACGGCGTCAACCTGCCTAATCTCACTGGATACGATGGAGAAATTGCACCGTCGGTGTCGACACGCGCTACGTGGATGCTGCCGGAAAGGCTTAGAAGAAGCGGTACATGTACATGTGTATTCTCTATCAAGCATGTGATGCGCAGGAGGAGCGCACGTTGGCACGACGTGGCAGTCACGATCCTTTTGCTCGACGCGTTCCCCTTCTTCCGTTGAGAGCCAAGTCTACCTTCAATCGTTCTATGTATTCATATCCTGCCGCGAGTGCTGTCCAGTAAGGTCATGCATCGAATGTGTCTTTGCCTACTGTTGGATGACTTGCACCTCGAAGCAATGTTATCGGCACCTGTACCCGCCGAGAGCAATGCTGTTGATATCGTCGTCGCTTGCTGACGTGGCCCAGAGCAACATGTGAGGTGCCCGCTCGTGGTTACGACGAGAGTCTTCAGTCGGGATGTATCCGGGTTTGACGCTCAACAAGAAGTAGCCGTACGTCCTGCGTGAAGAATATCGGTGGATGCTCCCAGACGCCAGTGGTAATTCACAGGGTCAATACTTCTTTTTAGAGTGCAAGCTTAATGTTTGAGCCTTGATCCTTGCCATCCTTATCCAACAGTCCAGCAGGCCTTCTGGATGTGAGACTGGGATCCCGGTATTCGTTCAGCCTGGTGAGGAAAATGCCATTTCCGAGCCTCAAACAGTGCTGTTTGACCGTGCTCATCCTTCAAAACCCGGGCGTGTTCAATAATAGCATTGTCGCAACATGATCGGTCGTTGTTTCGTGTCATCAGATCAGGTTCACAACACCATCATTCACCCACCTCCAATATCGAAAGTATCACAGCCTCTCATGGTGATATTCTCATAGCAAAGCCACCTCCTTCTCCTCTTCTTCCATTTCAAAACACTGACAACCATCCTCTTGAGCTCCACGGGCCATCCAACAGCTTCCATGAGGAAGTACACTGTAGCATCCCTGCCATCGTCTGAGATGTCTGCTGTAGCCGCAGTAATCGTATTTTGATATCCCGGATTGGCTGCAATCCATCTTGCCATGACAGCACAGTACACGCTCCAAGAAGGTATGCTTGCCGTGTCCAGACGGGCTGTGAAGTCCGGTGAGACGTGGCGTTCGCTGAGGCTGGTAAGGAAGGCGGGAGGGCCATTTCTCATGGCATCTTCGAACGAGCGGGAAATGCGAATAAGTTCGGTAGCGACTTGGCTGTCGTCGATGTTGGTGCTGGCTTGCGACTCCGATGACGGGCTGGCCTCGCTGGGCTCGCTCTTGGTGATGGTGGGGCTGTCTGGGAGGAGGAGCGACAGCGAAGTCGTCTTGTCGTCCTGGCCGTCTTCGGGCATGTCGCGGTCGTACACTACTATCGTATCCTGCACATCATAGTAGTGAAGTCATTGATTGCTGTCGGAAGTTTCGCATAATCCTCCCACATGTGTGTCTAGTCTCTGTGAGGATCTGCCACACGTGCGAGCGGAAGGTGCTATGATCGGGCTACTCATCACCAACCACCAACTGCGGTCCTGTCGAGCCGTTCGTGTTCTTATTCGTTGCTCAATATACTTAACTTCAAGGCTGTAAGACGTAGTGCAAATTGCGGAGTGGTACATCGTTGCCAAACCCCAATCGTTCACTTCAGCAGTTCCCCATTGCGACTCGCAGCTTGTCTTTTCGTGGTAGGGTTCGCGGGCACATGTTCCAGACCGGTAAGGTCGAAAAGCGTTCTCACGCCCGGGTCGTGGGGGCGGTTTTCTGATCACCTTGCCTCGTCATCTCGTCGAGGTCGACGTCAAGTCTAAAGCGCGTTCTTCAGTATCGAGGTACATGCAATGAAAGAGGAGAAGAAACCACAAAACGGGAAGAAGTCACCGTCGTCGAGTTGCCAAGGGATCCCTCCCTGTGCCACAAGCTAGAATCGGAGCTTTGACGCGAAATGGACTTCACGTCGAGTCACATCTTTTCTCTAAGTCCGGCTATGTTTTGAGGCGCCCCTCATGCGTAGGGCGCAACAGCGCTGCGTTCGTATATAAAGGCACGGCACCTACCCGAGTGACAAGGCAAGTCTAAAGATACATGATTTTCCAAAGAGCTCTTCATTTTTCCAAGAACTCCCTTGCTAGGTACCACAAGATGCCTCTCCAGATTCTTCCTCTTCCCAGATCCGAGTTCGAACAGTACTACAATGTCTGCTGGACTGCCTTCGTGCCAGGGATCATGGACATGATGTGGCCCGATGGCCGCTCCAAAGAAGACATTGAATACTCCGTGGCGGGCATGCGACGAACGGACGAACGCTATCCAGGACGAATGCATTGCTTCAAAGTCATCGACACCGACCTTCCCGACACAGACCCATTCGATAAAGTCGTCGGCGTGAGCCATTGGAAGATATTCCCGCATGAAAGAAGCGAAGAGGAGTTGCAGAAGGAGAAGGAGCTGAGCGACAAAGACGATGAGCTATATCCCGATCCACCAGGCTACAACAAGACCGCCATGGAGGACTTTGGCGCATGTACCAAGGCATACAAGGACAAATACATCGGTCGGAGACCCTACATGTTATTGCAAGTGATTGGCACACGGGACGGACATCAGAGGCGAGGAGTGGGGGCTATTAGCATGAAATGGGGAACGGAGAAGGCGGATGAGCTGGGGCTACCGTTGTATTTGGAGGCGACGGCGAAGGGAGAGGGTCTCTACAGGAAATGGGGTTTTCAGGAGGTGGATGTCTTGCCATTCGATGCTAGGAAGCATGGATATCCGGATCCGCTTACACATCTTATCATGTTACGGCCACCACAGCAGAATGCTAAGCCTTGAGCGCCTGATAATCGCCCATCTGATATTTGCTCCTTTCACAACCACTGACCCACGCTGGACGTCTGACATTATCCCAATCGATGAAGGCGGCCGGCCCTTCTCCTTTACCAGACTACCGACGCCATCAACGACTCCGATTTCGAATACCTGTGCATTCGCAACTTCACAAGACCCCTTGTCAGCCGCCGAACCTGCGATCATCCCATTCCAGTACAAGGATAACGAACCTGAAGACCTGGCTTCAAGCTGGCTCTGTTCGAGCTTAGGGAAGGTGCTGTCCTGAAGCACTTGTTTTTCACATCTACACGGTTCCTTCCTTACTGACATATTAACTGCGACCAAGCATGATGACCCTAGTGCCGACGGGCGTGAGGCGAGAGGTAGAACGACTGTTACTATCAAAGACCCATTCGCGGACTCCAGGTCGATCTGACGATCCTTAGTGAAGTGAACGCGGAATAAGTAAGTATTCGTCACATGCCAAGACGCATCACATGCTTACGCCTAGCGAGTCTCGATTAAGGTTTGACAGGGGCTTCGAGTCCGCGTTTGCACTGCGTTTGTCACATCTACTTCACAGCCTGCTCTCACCTTCAAAGACTTCACACCACACACACCGAGTCAACCACCAAACATAGCTCCACTTGCGCCTCCAAGCGACCCACCCGCAGACATGACGCAACTTCAAGATTGCATCGCAAGGTCAGCGGCGTCCAACGGCGTCGCCTCCTTGACGATGAAATATGCTGACTGGAGTCACAGCATGTACGCCACCGGCGACTACTCTGACCTCACCGTCAAATGCGAGTCAAGAGAGTGGACGGCAAGTACGCCAGTGCCGACCATCGTCAGCTACTAACATCCTGAGGATAGGCTAAAGACGATGTCATCGAGATCCACAGCTCTGCGGAAGTCGTAAACGCGATGATCAAATTCTTCTACCGAGGCACCTACAGCGACGACTGGTGCAAATTGCCTCAAGCTGAGTGCGGACCCATGGCCTTCAACCTCAATATGTTCAGCGCGGCGGACCTGTACGACATCCCAGGCTTGGGACAGCTCGCTAAGACCAAGCTACTGTCGCGGCTAGAGGAGATGGCCGATGTTCAAGACTTCCGCAGCACCATCATATTGATGTACCAAGACGGTGAGTTGCCCTTTGACTCAGCCGCAATACGCGGGAAGGTCATCGAATTAGCCATACGTGAGCACTGTGGGTCCGTGGACCCCGTTACTGGCGCTGTCGAGGATTCGGCCATCGACGACCTCATGGAAGATTTCCCAGTCTTCGGCAAGGACCTACTCGTGGCATTCGTGGAGCGCTTCACGCTGTTGCGTGAAGACGCCGAAAAGCGGAAGCAATCTCTCGAGCAACGCGCGAGGGTACTCACATATGAGCGACTGCAGCATGAAGCCGAAATTGAGCTGAGTCTCAAAGAACTCGAGAAACAACGAGCCGAGGCTACTCAACGCCAAGACGAGTCCCTCCAACACTTCCGTGACCAAACCATGGAGCTTGAAAAGAAAGGTAAGTCCAGCGAGAAGAAGGAAGCGGATTTGGTGAAGCGGGAGACGAGTATCGAGCAGAAGGAAGCGGATATGGTGAAGTGGCAGATGTGTCTCGAGCAGAAGGAAGCGGATTCGGTGAAGTGGCAGACGAGCATCAATCAGAAGGAGGCGGATTTGGTGAAGCGGGAGACGGGCATCGAACAGAGAGAGGAGATTTACACGCGTTGGTACAGCGGTGGCGAACTTTTCCCGAAGATAGAGTGTCAGGAGTGCGGCTGCATCTTCGTCGTCATCGATGAGAAGACGGCAATCGAGTCACTCCACTGTCCTCTTTGCAAGACGAACAGGGAACCGGAGCGTCACTCGCGCTGGACGAAGCTGAAGTCGCTGTTCTCCAAGTAACAGACTTGCGGAGAGTGGAACGGGTGGACTTCCTTCCGAATGGCTTGAAAGTGCGATACTGATAGCTGAGCTACATACGGTGGATGAGCTACTGGGATGGAGGCCAGAATAGCGCGACAAAGATGGATATATTCCGTCAAAATTCAACAAAGTTGAGCTTATCTCAGAATTCACTCACATGCCGAGACTGTCACAAGCTCACTCCTGCCCAGCTCGTTTCAATTTAAGGTTTGCCAAGACGCTCGTTTGTCTCCCCAAGAGCTAGTTTTCCACGGCCTTCCGTCTTCTGATCTTCATCACACAACACCATCTCCAAAATGCCAGCGGTCGAGCAGTGGAGGAAAGCAGCTGACGCTGCCGGGCCAAGTCGCCGGTCACTACTCAGAGGCATCAACAGGTAAACGCCGCATGTGCCAAATTTGATTGCGAGTTTAGCTGACGCTGCTGGTAGTCTGTACAAGACCCGAGACTACAGCGACCTGGTCATCAAGTGCGGGTCTCGAGAATGGGCAGTACAGAGGGCATTGTGTGCACCCAATCCACGTTCTTTGCGAAGGCGTGCAAGCGAGAGTGGCAGGTAAAGCAGTGCCTGAGATTGAAGACCACAGCATACACTTATCTAACTAACCTCAAGCATGAGACCAAAGACGCCGTCATCGAACTTCACCACGAGCATGAGGATGTTATCGACCAACTTGTCGAATACCTCTACACCTCCGAGTATGACGACGAGTTGAGCATGACTTCCCACAGTCCGCACGGCCCTATGCATTTCGACGTGAAGATGTACACCGCAGCCGACAAACTAGACATCCCCGACCTGGCCGACCTTGCCGTCGAGAAGTTCATCGCTCGAGCCGAGCGCTACACTGGCGAGAAGGACTTCTACGGCGCCGTGCACGAGCTGCACAAGGAAGCTCCAGATACGGCCACGAAAATGCGAGACGCGATCGTCACAGCGACCATCCGGGATGCTCACGTGCTGTTCCAAAAGGACCTCGACAGTCTCGTCGCCGACAAAAACTTTCAGCGCCTGGTCTGCGACGTCCCGGCATTCGGCATGGAGGTCGTCATGGAGCTTTCGATGAGAGTCGAGGAGAAGAGCGAGGGATTGAGGGCACTGAAGGCACATTTCAAGGACAGTGAGACCTGGCATTGCGGGAATTGCGAGGTGAATTTCCACGTCACCAACTTCAGCAAAACTCACTGCATGCGTTGCCCATGCTGCCAGAAAGATGGCCTTTCCATGATTCATCGATCCATGTCGACGTGATGATGTGATCGATTTGCTGGATAGACGGAAGGCTCCTTACTATGGATAAAAGTCTCCACAATGGAACAACTTCAGAACGAGTGCTGCCCATGAAGTAGATTGCTAGATACGTGAAGGGAATGACAAAGCCATTGACGTTTTTGCATCCCGTCTGTGGCAAGCAGCATCCTCATAGTATCTGGTAAGTATCAAGCTTTCTCACGCATGCTTACCTTCGTACCTGTGTGGGAAATCGAGAAGTCTGTGAACGACATTAGATAAAGGGACAGCGAAGCGCACATGCATTACACTCCTTTACCCCAAAGAACGGGCAGCTTTCTCGATGATCGGTCCCAGAAAGTGAAATTATTCCTACAGCTTCACGGCTCCATCGTGAAATCACATTGAACAAGAATTCACTTACAAGCCAAGACTGTCACATGCTCGCTCCAAGCCCGTATAAGGTTTAAGGTTCGACAGGGGCAGGGTCGCGCTTGCCGACGCTCGCTGTTCCCGTTTGCAAACTTCAAAATCTCAAGTCCACCTTCTCGCACACTCCACGCCCAGATCAACAGAGAAATGTCCTCCACAAGCTCCGCAAAGACCTCATCGAATCGCAAGACATTGATTAACGGAATTGCAGGTGGTGTTTCTCTTCAAGCTCCAAGTGCGACATCTGCTGACGAACCTCCAGCCTCTACCAAAGTGATTGGAACTGCGACCTCATCATCAAAGGCGGGTCGGAGAAGGAGTGGAAGGCGCACACCATCATTGTCTGTCTTCAGTCAGACGTCTTCAAGAAAGCGTGCAAACCCGAGTGGCAGGTGAGAGATGCCGACAATACCTCCTCGCCAACACCAACAGCTTCCACTGACACTTCTCCGTCGCCGAAGAAGGACTCGAAGCAGAGTGTGATCGACCTCAGCGACGAGCGGGACTTCATCATTGAGCAACTCGTTCGGTTCCTCTATCTCGCCACATACGACACCGCATTCTGCAAGAAGACTGATAGCCCTTTGGGTCCGATGCAATTCAACCTCAAGATGTTCATCGCTGCCGACAAGTATGATGTTCCTGACTTCGCCGACTACGCCAAGAAGAAGTTCCTGTCCGAGCTCGACAAAGTCGATAGCCCGGCCGAAGAGCAAGACTTCATCCGTGCAGTGAAAGAACTATACAAAGCAGGCCCGACCAGCGCCGCCGAGCTACGAGCCAAAGCAGTCGAGGCGGGTACCTCGAACGCGCACATCCTGCTCGAGAACGGACTCAAGATGTCCAGTAAGAGCAAAGGAGACGACCTCACGTTCCACCGACTCATTCGAGACTTCCCCGATTTCGGTGATCCTATTGTGCTCACGCTTTCCGTGGCTTTTGCTGAGAAGAAGAAGAGCTTTACCAGCACTTTGATGTGCCGCTGTGACGCCTGTCGAAACCAGTTCAACATGACGTGGGTTCGAAACGACGTCAAGGTGTACTGTCCAGTTTGCAGAGAGCCAGCGAGGAGGCTGTATTGATGAGAGCACCATACCCAGGAGAAAAACCTCAGGAAGGGACTGCGAGGAAGGGGAGCGGCACGATTCGGCTTGAAGAGCGTACGATCAGAAGTATTCAGACGTAGCAAGCCTTTCAGACTTATGAGGGCATGCTGTATAAGCGAGGGCTCCAGTTGGGAAGCGATGAGTGAGTTCTATCAGATCAATCAGGAGGATCAAGACAGCTTCTTTCCCGCACCCACCAGCATTCATTCCCCTTGCCTCACACACAGCTTCAGTCCAATATCGGCAAAACTTGAGAAGTTCAAACATACCTTCTTCCCAACACAGAGAACCCGTTGAACTTCTTAACATAAAAAGGCATCAACAATAATACAGAATCCATAATCACCCTCACGCCCAGCCCCAACAAGCCAAGCTCGACGCTACGCTCCACTCCTTCCGCATTCGGCAAGTCACACATGTACGCATCATAATGAGAAGACTTTCCACAACATCGCCAAAATCCGTGGCTCCACATCCCACTACACTCGCCGAAGGCGACTACAGTCACACCGTCTCTTCAAACCCCCAAGATCTCGCATACATCTTGCATGCGATCGACACCAATGCAGGAATCCAAGATCCTGGCACAGAGGAAAGCATTGACGTTTCCTGTCCGGCATTGATGGCCCGGTGGTCGCGTGCTGCATCGAGCCGCCTGTCTAGTACGAGATCATCGTTTGGACGAATTGGAATTGTCGAGGAGTGGTGTGAAGGTTCTTGGTCGAGTGTCGCTTCAATGTTGCCACGGACTAACATCCTTGCAGTCTGGAACAGACTTAGTTTGGGACCATGAACAGTGCGTCGTTGTCTGGAGGGTATCCTCGCATGTACGTCAAGCTGATCGATGGCAAGGCTCACCGACGGCATCATCGATGTCGACATCTCATTCGAACATGAGGGGAGACGGGGAGATGTAGTCATTGTTGCGTACGATTTATGATCTTCATAGCCGGAAGACTGAGGTCTGGAGAAAGACATATAAACCACGACGATTAGCCACTCATTTCCATTCTCTCCAGCATCCAAAATCCAGCAGACTAAATCCATCAACACTCCCAAGTAACCCAAACCAACCTCATCAACACCAACCTCCAGTCCCACCAACAATGTCCGACTACAAGCCAACCGGTACGCAGCTATCCCATTGCCTCCTCCATCTTCAACCCCATCCCCCTATCCCTTAACCCCCCCATCCTAACTACCCCACTAACTCTCACCCTCCCAGAAAACGACGGCCTCCGCAAAGACGGCCAACCAGACCAACGCGTAGCCCAAGACTCCTTCGCCCATGGCAAAGTCGACCCCGTCGAAGCCGGCAAAAAAGGTGGTGCCCAAGGCGGCTCTCAGGGCGGACAGTCCGTCGGCGATAACCAAGGCGCTGCGCACCAGGGCGGTGAGGGATTGCGGAAGGACGGACAGCCGGATCAGAGGTTGAAGCAGAATCAGGAGTAGAGTACAATGCTACGCACTTTGATGTGGCATGCTTCGTACCTGCTCGAGATGTCTTGGGGAGATGAGATGAGAGCAAATGTGTACAAGCCTTCCAATGAGAATTGTGACGCTGTGACTTCTATACCTCAAATACACAAAGACGCGAGCGAATACATTTTCCCAAAAACTCCTCTCGCAATGACCAAACCACTCGACATCCCAGACCGTTCAATTCCATTCCATCCATCACATCCATTCCATCCATCACATCCATTCCATCCCTCATCCTCCTTTCCTCCCCTTCACATGAGATCTCAAAACAGGGGGTGACAAACCAAGAAGAAGGGGTAGTAAGTATTACAAGAAAACAGCGATCGAAGGGGGGTATTTTGATCAAAATCACCCACACATCCAGCAGCACACAAAACTCCCTTCCAAACGGAAACAAAGCGCCTCAGTAAATGCGTACCTCGGACTCTGCTTTCGACAGGAACCCCTATGCCTTCGCCAACCACTTGAGCACCTCCTCCTTCTCGTCCACCGGCAGCATGCTCAGCACCTGCGCCACACCCTTCAGACCGCCCGACTTGTGGCTGCGCATGAGCGCCGCGACGTCGTACGCGATGGCGTCCGTCTTCATCGCCTCGATCTTGTCCGCGATCGTCTTGCGGTTCTCTTCGAACCACACCGCCACCGACATGTCGTCGGTGCTGTACTTGGGCAGGCTGGACCACGACTCGAGGATCTTGAGAATGTTGGTTCGGCTGACGAGCTCCTTGGACTGCGACGTGGCGATGCGCTTGAGGACGTATTCCTCGTTGAGACGGCGGCGCAGACGCCAGTAGAAGAAGCGGCGGGCCTGGGACCACTGCAGTGGCATGCGGATCGTGTCCTTGGCCTTCATGCGACCAGCACGGTCGTGGAGGTCGGCGTACTGCAGGGAGACTTGGAGGTAAACTGGCAGAAGCAAGTTCTCGCGCTCGGTCATCTTGGCTTGAACCTCCTTCTGTTGCTCAGGAGTGAGGCTCTTGTCTTGTGATCGGCGCTTGAGTTCGCCGTAGGTCTGGTCGAGGCGTGCCATGGTCTCAAGCTGTCGCTCCTTGCGGTACTTGATTCCAACGATACCCTCTGGCTCGAGGACACCACCACGAGCATCCTCGTCGGCGTACATCTCCATCATCTCTGGGTTGATGGTGGGGTCGACGACGACCTATATAATTATTAGCATGACCATAGACATCATCAAGAGGAATGTCAAACTTACCCATGAACCACCACGAAGTTCACCGAACGGCGGAATGTAGATGAACACTGGCTGCTCATACTTGACGAGCGCATCGACAATGTACGATCCATACTTCAGGACCTCGTTGTACATGTCACGCTGTCCACCAGAGAAACCTCTCCAGTTGGCCAGAATCATCAATGGCAGCTGCTCACCATTGTTGAAGTCGCGAATGGCCTGTGCAGTCTTGAAGGCACTGTTGGGGTACCACACCCCACCGGCCTCGTTGGTGACCTGCTCGATGGAGTCGGGGTTGGCGGGGTCGGCAGGCGAGACGTTCTCAACTGAGCGAGTCTCAACACCAATAACACCGACTGGGATACCGCCAAGACGAGCACGACCAACAACGACAGTGCGAGCCCATCCGCCAAGAGCCTCCTCGAAGGAGTCCTTGTCGAAAAGACCGCTCTTGAAGCCGTCAGCAGTCTCTTGACCAGCGATGAGGTGGCGCACATCGTAAGGAGCCTTCTGAGGTGGGAAGAAGGTAACCTCACGGTCCCAGGTGTCGGCGGAAGGCGAGATTGGCACTGGAGCGCCCTTCTTCTCCGGAACAAACGACATCCACTTGACGATCTTGGAGACACCCTCAAAGTCGTCGTTGGCAGTCATGTGCGAAACACCGTTCTTGTACATGATCTGAGTGCCACCAAGCTGCAAGTTGGAGGTGTAGACCTCACGACCCAAGAGCTTGTTGATGGCGGGAGCACCAGTGAGGATGATGGGCTGGCCTTCGATTTGGATCGCACGTTGGCCGAGACGGACAAGGTAGGCACCAATACCGACGGAACGGCAGGTGACGAGCGTGCAAGTGAAAATGTCCTCGTACGCACGAGAAGTCTCACCAGCGATGAGACCAGAACCCTTCAAACACTCAACACCGAGACCCTCCTCAGCACCAACGATAGTGGTGATCTGGTGTCGAGTCTCGTTGCCGACCTTGATCTCCTTGGTGATGACGTGCTTGAGCGCGCCATCCTCGAAGCGAGCCTTCTTCTCAGGAGTGAGGTAGAGGTAGTCGAAGCCAGCCTCCTGTCGGTTGGGATCCTTCCAGGCGACGGAAAAGTGTGGAATAAGCTCCTCAGCCATACCAATGCGAGCACCAGAGTTGGCAGACAGGTAAATGCGAGGAATGCCCAGCTTGCGGGCAAGCTCCGAGCATTTGTGGAAGAACCTGTCTTCCTGAGGACCGAACGAACCAATCTTGTGGGTGATATCGTTGGCAATGATGATGAAGCGACGGCCACGTGGGTACTCGGGAGTCTTGGCTGTTACAATCCAACCGATCATACCGATGGTGTTGGCGCCAGGCTCGCGGTTGACCTCGGCCAGGTTGTCGTTGTCGTCAATGACAAGCTCGTTGTACTCAATGCACTCGCCCTTGACTGGTTGCTTCTCCTTCATGCCAGGGTGCTGAGCAGCGATGGAGTTCCACTCATTCTCAATGGCCTGGCGGAACAGCTCTGGGAAATCGTAGACGTACTGCGTACCCATGATGTGAGCCTTGTATCGCTTGGGCTGGAGAGCGCCCTTGGTCTCGTAAGGAGTGGTGACTGGACGCAAGTGCATGGAGCCAATCTTGGTGGTGCCACCAATGCTGTGGAAGAGCCACTCGTTGGTCTTGTCACTCTTGCGCTCCTCGTAAAGCTCGACCTGGATGATGTATCCAGAAGTGTTGGTGATGTTGACGCGCATTGGGAACGGAGCGCCGGTCTCTGGGTTGGTGCAAATGAGACGGATCTCAGCACCAGTGACACGCAATCTCCATGCACGACGGCCGAAGCGGTCCAAGAAACCCCCGAGAGCCTCCTCGACCTCCTTGGGCTCGAGAGGGAAGACAGTCGAGAAGTTGATGAAGATGTGGTTCATATCAGAGCCGTTGTTGCCAACAATCTCCATGGCATCCAGGATGTCGGTCATGAGACGATCAGCCTCAGACACCATGTACTCGGTAGTTGGGATGTCCTCGCGGAGATGGCCAGGACGGACGGTGGCACGAGTGAAGTAACGCTTGTCAGAATCGGCGTTCTTGCCAATCGCCTCGTACATGTGGATGTTGCGGTTTTCAGTGAAGACTGGCCTGATGTTGAACTTGGACAGACGTCCAAGCTCAAGCTGGAAGGCAAGGGCTGGCTCGATGTGACGGATGCTGCTGTCTTCCTCGTAGGTCGGGCCACGGAAAGTGTAGTAGCCTGGGTATGTGCCATCCTGGTGACCGCAGATGAATGTCAGACGGCGAACGCGGCGGGCGAGCAGCTCCTCCTTGTATTCCTTGACGATTGGGATGAGGCGGGAGAGGATCTCCTTGTCATCGGTGCTCTCAGAGTCGCGGACAGCGACGTTGCACACGGCAGTCAGCTCATCCTCGCTCTCAATCTTGGGCGTCTGACCAGCACGTCTCTTAGAGAGGTCAGCCATAAGAGTGCCTCCCGCGTCCGCCTTGCTCTTATGTCCGGCAGCGACGGGGAATGACTCGAGGGCCTTCATGAGGTACTCGTCGGCCTCGTCAATGAACGGCACCGGAACGACTGCACCACGACGTGGCTGCTCGGCACCACCAACTTCACGGCCAATGTAGCTCATGTCGCTGATGGAGTGCACACGACCGAAGCCCTCAGCTGGGGTGCCAGGGGTCGATGGGTGTGATGACGAGATTGGCAGACCAAACTCGGAGTCTCCAACCTTCCTAAGGGAGAAGTCCCAAGCAAGGACGTACGGCACGTCGTTGTCGGCAAGGTACTCAATCGTCTTGAGAGTGTACGCACGGTAGGCGCGGCGGGTGTAGACCTCGAGAGCAGCGAGGGAGACCCATGGATCCTGGTGAACGAAGAAGTGTGGCAGCACATCGAAGACGGTGTACTTGGAGTCCACAACCTCCTTGATCACATCGTAGTTGGGCTCTCTGTGGTCCCAACCGCTCTCACCGTAGCGAGACTCGAGAACGGCAGAGCGCAGGATGTGCTCCATCTGTGAAGTACGCTCCTCAAGCGATGGCATAGCGCACTGGATGAGCAGCTCACGAGCCTTGAGTGCAACCTTTGCGGTAGCACGGCCCTCAAGCTCCGCAAGCTTCTGAAGAGCTGGACGGAAGTACTTGGCGACATTACCGACACCAGGCTGGTTTGGTCGGTAGGCGTGGAGCAGAGCAACAACGAGGTTGTTCTTGGGGCTGGCCCTGGTGTGAGAGAGCACATTCTGGACAACGCTGGCGACCTTGTCCTTGTTGGCGTCACGAAGGGACAGGATGACCTCCTCATCACGGTTCTGGCGCGCAGAGAAAATGTTCTCGACGTTGTAGTACTGGTCGAAGAGGGTGATAACCTCAGCGAACTCGTGTGCCTTCAAGCCATCCTCGTACTTGGCGATGATGTCGGTCAGGGGAGTCAAAGAAGCACGGAGAAGCTCAGCATCGCCCGCAGAGACGTTCTCCGCAAGGAAGCGGTCAAACGCTTTGCGCAATTGACGTGCTGGGAACTCAGCCTTTCTGCTGTGAGCACGCTCAACGATCTGCTCGAAACCAGCGTCAAGCTTCTGTGGCATACGCGAGTGGAGGGCAGATGCCTGGGCATTCCATTCACCATATGGCAGTTCGTGGTCGCGGAGAACAGCAACGAATTCCTTGAGCGTCTGGTTCATGATGACCTGGTTGTCGTAACCCTGGAGGATGGCCAGGAGGACACCCTTGAGGAAGGCGAATCGCTGCGGTGGCTTGGTACCGAGGACGACTGGGGTGCCCATATCTGGGAGCTGTCCAAGGAATGGCTGAGCAGACTTGACCTTGGTTGGGTCGTCCAGAGCCAAGATACCGAGAATGTCACCAGCCTCGAGAGTCGCGCCTGGCTGCTTGATGAGGTTGACGATACCGTCTTCTTGAGCGATCAAAGGCATGTACATCTTCATGACTTCGACCTCAGCGAAAGCCTGGCCCTTCTTGACGTGCTCGCCGTTCTCAACAGAGTACTTGACGAGCTTACCGGGCGAAGGTGTCCTGAGCTGAGTTGGGTCGTTCTCCTGCTCGAGCAAGCAGGTCTTGCCGTCAACAGACATGCGGACAGCGCCAACTTCCTCCTTCCAGTAGACGTTGTGCGAGCGTCCACCGAGAAGCACTAGCAGACCACCGTCTGAGAGGGCTCGGATACCCACAAGCGCCTTGCTGCCGTTGATGAAGAGAGTGTAGGTGTCGCCGCTGGATCGAGTCGCGGTAAACTTGTACTTCATGCCCTCGTAGATGAACTCGATGGGGAAGACGGTCTTGAGGATGTCCTTGCTAGGGACTTGACCCTTCTCAAGGCCAGTCCTGTACTCGTTCAGGCAAGCCTCGCTGGCGACGTGTGCCTTGGTGACAGCACCGCAGATAACAGCAATCATGGGGTCTGGTCGTTCGGCTGTCAGTCTCTTGCTGATCAGCTCGTCGAGCCATCCCGTAGTGATCGTGTTCTCCTCGAAAGCTGGAGTCTCCAACAACTTGATGAGGTATTCGACCGTTGTCCTGAAGTCACCACGAATGCTCAGCTCTTTCAAAGCAACAACCATGTGCTTTCGGGATGCCTGTCTGTTCTCGCCGTATGCAAAAATGTGACCGAACTGCGAATCGGAGAAGTTGTGGATGGCGGATGCAGCACCGACGGAGAAGTAGCCCCAGACGTTCGAGGAAGACCTGAAGTTCAGTTCGTGCATAGTACCAGAAGATGGCTTGAAGCCCTCGCCTGGATCTTCGGAAGTGATACGGCAAGCCGTGCAGTGGCCCTTTGGCATCGGTCGGCGCTGGTGCGTGGCGCTGTTCTCCTTCTCGAAGTTGAAGTCGATCTGGGTGCTGGTGTGAGGGTCCGCGCCGTAGAGCAAGCGAATGTCACGGATGCGGTGGAGTGGAATACCCATGGCAACCATGAGCTGGGCGGCTGGGATGTTGACGCCTGAGACCATCTCAGTGGTTGGATGCTCGACCTGAAGACGGGGGTTCAGTTCCAAAAAGTAGAACTTGTCGTCCGAGTGCGAGTAGAGATATTCGACAGTACCGGCTGAGACGTATCCCACCAGTCTGCCGAGCGACACAGCAGCGTCTGCCATGTGCTGAAAGGTCTTCTGAGGGGCAATGGTGACGGGAGCCTCCTCGATAATTTTCTGATGTCTTCGCTGCACCGAACAGTCACGGCCGAAGATGGAGATGTTGTTGCCGTACTGATCTGCCAGCAGCTGCACCTCCAGATGTCTTGCATTGCCAGCGAGCTTCATGATGAAGATGGGCGAGCCAGGAATTTCACTGGCAGCAGCCTTGTATAGTGCCTCGAAGCTCTCCTCGTCTTCGACCTTTCGGATACCCTTTCCACCACCTCCTTCTGAAGCCTTGACCATGACGGGGAATCCAATCTTCTTGGCTGCCGCGAGACCTTCAGCGACATTGTTGACGCAGCCCTTTTGGTAGATATCGTCGGCGACAGTCACAATGTTTTTGTCGTCGACCTCGACCTCGTCAACGCCGGTTCCGGACCATGGGATACAGGGCACATTGGCGTGCTGGGCGACGATCGTGGAGGAGATCTTGTCACCGAGCGATCGCATAGCCGAGCCAGGGGGACCGATAAAGACAATCTTCTTCGGTGATGCTGCGAGGGATTCGGGGAGCTTTGGGTTTTCAGAGGCGTGTCCCCTATTGTCGAGTGTCAGCTGCTTGACTTTCTCTCACCATTGTCTCCTCACTGTCCAACTCACCATCCTGCCCACACGGCGTGCACGTTCATACGCTCCGCAATGTCGACGATGAGCTCCACGTTGGCGTAGTTGTTGTTGTTGGTGCCACCGGGCACTTCAACGTACTGGTCCGCCATCCTGATGTAGTCGGCGTTGGCGCCCAAATCCTCGGGCGTGGCCATCACAGTGAACTGGATGGCCCGCTCGTCGCCAAACGTCTCGTAGGCCCATTTCCGTACTGATCGGATTTCCTTGACGGCCGCAATACCGTTGTTCGCAATCAGGACCTGTGCTGACCATCAGCTCCTCGCTCAGCGGGCAGAAATTTGCCAAGAAGTGGATTGTGAGCGGTATAGCTTTGCATTTCACAAATTTGCCGCCGCCGCCGCCAGCTGGAATGGAATGGAGGGGTTAAACGTACGTTGGTAATGACAGTGTGCCCATCATGTGCTTGCACAAAGTCCTTCACTTTGGTGGGAGGCGCCTTATTGAGCGCGTTGCCCCCAATGAAGTGGGAGGCCAGGTTGTACTTGGCGGCATAGCTGCTGGGATAGCCATTTGCGTGGCCATTGACCTTGGCCGCTCCTCCGACTGCGTCGGCCATGTTCGCAGTCGTGCCGTAGAAAGTGGTTAGGAGCTGGGATGGGAGAAAGTTGGAGGGAAAGGCCTGGGGGAAGAAGCTGGGCTGGTGATGATGTCGGTGCGGTGAGCAAAAGCCAAGTCCTAGGTGGCCGATCAGCGCCCACTTGCTCGACTCCCTGAAAGAAGGAGCGAATCTGGCGTCCAATTGCGGGCGGTGGACGAGAGATTGAGTTTGGTCAGGGGAAACACGGCGGCCGCAGAATGATGTTCCAGCCGTGTCCTGGGGATGCAGCAGCGCGGGGCTCGCGGCGAGAACAAAGCAGTTCGAGGAAGAATCGGTGAATTCTTCGCTGGTGCTGTGCGGTGAGATTTGGGCACAGCTACGTCAAGATACTAGCAGGCGGGCTGGAGCTGCGGCCAGGGTCTAGTATAAGTGGTGGTAGCGGTGGTTAGGTAAATTGGGGCGTGAGCTCGCTCGGTGGGATTAGAGAAGATCTAGAACGAAGCGAAGACGAGCAGCACGAAAACGCCGGCGCACGCAGGGGTGATGAGAGGACGCGGCGAAGGGAGAGGGAGAGAGGTCGTTCGGGGAAGCAGGACCTGCGCAGGAGGCTGATCGGTATATGTGTGCTTGCTCGCTGTCGCTGCTGCTGCTGCAACAAATTTCCAGGCTCCCGAACGGACTTCACGTTGAACGTGCCCTGTTAGCCGCATGGAGTATCGCGCCGAGCGTCCGCAACTTCCTCCGGCAACGGTCAGCTGTCGATATGCGCATCGCTTTGATTAAACACCTCCACCATCTCGATAATAATACTGCCGTGCTGCTGCTGCTGCTGCTGCTGCTGCTGAGCTGCGGGCGTCTACGGAGACCAACAAGGTGCCAACGCCCTTATCACCCAGCGCTCGCCAGATGCATTGGGGCCAGCCAGCATCGCGGTGGATTCAACAGCGCGGTTGAGAGCTCTCCCCTCGCCTTGCGGAGTGCAGACCACTGCAGCCAGACCCTCGCCGGGAGTCGTCCACCTCATGGTTGGGAAGACATCATCATGCCGCAGCGACACAGCTCCCCCCAGAACCGCTCACTGCAGGTACCTCCCGCCTCGACTGTTCTCAACCAAAACCGCCCCAACCCCAATCAATCAACAGTACTGCTTGGAGAGATGGAATCGATAGCTAGCTACAAAACCGTTGTCCTGTCTCTCTTTTCCACCTGCATATGTTCAGTCCTGCTGTTTCCCAACTCATCCAGTCCAACAATCCCCATCGTCGTCGGCGCTTTACAAACAATTTTTTTCTATATCCAGGGAAACTTTGCTCCCAAAAACGGCCGTCAGGGCCCCAGCACTGGCCTCCCGGCGCCCGAAGACCACCTCTGGCCTGTACGCTATCGATGGCACCCCACGAGGGATTTCCGCATGGTGGTGTCGTGTGTGCACCAAAAAGATTCCGAAAGCACCAAACCTTCTCGCCGCCGCACCGCTGTGTTGCGCGAGAGACAGACACACGACTCTAAACTTAGAATTCTCTTGCGCAATAATGGACAATCATCACGGCTCTCCTCTCCGCCCTACGCTACGCTATCTTTTACTCCCTCCCTCCCTCCCCTATCCACAACGTCTTTTTCCAGCACCAACGACGATATCCACAAGTATTGGCCCTCGCGAACGTTGCAACATTTCGCTTTCCACGGCTTGCGCGAAGCGTGCATGGGCGAAAAAGGGGATGGGGCCTTTCGTTCGCTTTCCGCGCCGGGAGTTTTCTGCTCTTCGTGCCCACGCCAACCGGGGATAATGATTGATCGTGCAGGGTTGTACAACTGACGCTGCTGTTTTCGCTTTCCGATAACCCATCATCAACGCGCTCCATCTTCACGTCCGCATCGATCGCGAAGGCACATCCGGATCGTGCGTGTGACCTCGTGCATCTTTACACTTGAATCCCGGATGTCTGTACACGTGGTATAAAAATGTTTATAGAGTAAGCGATGCATTCATTCTTTCGCGTATGAGGAGTATCTCTATGAACAAGGCAGCAAAACCCATCACCTCTACCGCCGCCATCGCCATCTGCAGCAACCGTGGGTGTCCAACACGGCCCCCATGTAGGGTCAGCGCCATTCCGATGCTTCTGTTCGCGTAGATTCCATCCACCACACGTCAGAAAATCCGCCGGTGTTCTTCTTCGTGCCGCCCCAAAAGTGCTTGGTTTCGGCTTCGTGCTTCCGACCCACGATCGCTGCATTGCCCGCAAACATCTACAATCCTTTCTTACCATCAATACGTCTCGCCTACTTCGCTCATCTGCCGCCGCCGAGGTGGCGGTTTCATATCACCTGCATCGTCGCCCTCTTCTTTCACTTGCGCGAAGTTGTTGCTCGTCCTAACACCTCCGGGTCGGGGTATTTGTCGGATTCCCCCGTTCTGACTCTTGTTTAGCGCAGAAGGTGTAGGTAAGGCTGATGGGCCCCGAATACCGCTCTTTTCTAGCGTTGTTCGCCGGCTCGGCGTCGCTGTCAAGGCTGAGTCTTCGCTTTCAGCTGCTCTCCTCCGTACGTCTGTCAAACTCGAACTGGGTCGGTGGCCATGCGTGGCGTAGCTCCCACCGAGGCTGGATCTGGGCCGTCCAGGAATATGGTGAGTACCAGCGGACGTTGACGATGTGGTTCCTGAGTAATGTCCGAGTTCAGTCCGTGCGCCCGACCTACTGGGCGGTCGATTAGGTTGAGACGCCACACTCGCGCGGCTGCTGGGCCGGCTCGCTGCCATTGACGGTGGTCGATCCATTGCAGACGGAGGTCGATCCGGAATATCTGATCTGTGTGTCGCCTGGGATGCAGGGCGAGGGATCCCAAATGACAGCCGCTTGATGTGGCTTTCACGTCGTTGGGTCGCACCACTCGATGGGTCTTCTTCGATGATGGACGTGTCGTCGGCCATGGAAGAGGTTCTGCTGGCAGTCGGCCGCTTACTACTCCTTCGTACCGTGACTGACGAAGGGATGGCCTCGCCTAGAGCGGACCCTGCTCGAGGTGATCCCCTGGGTGTGCTACCGGGTGCTGGCAGTTTTGACCGGGCATTCTGGACACGCTCTTCGATCTTTTGCATTCTACCAATCAACCCACGGATCTGATAGAGCGAGTCGGAGCGTGGCAGGTTGCTCGGCGCATTGCTGGGCCGGGCCGGCTTTGGTCTGCTGGTAGGTGGCTTCATCGACCTGTTGATATCTGACATGGCAGTGCTAGCAGTTGACGCTACTGACGGACCTCGCGAGTGCTTGGCAGGCAGACCACGTGGTCTTGGTGTCGCTGCCGAGTCTGGGATGAGCGATCTCCTCCTTATCGCAGGCACTGGTGTCTTCTGCTCCCTCTTGCCATGCGTTGGGTCGTCTGAAAGTGGCGGCGAGGGCGGGGTTGGCGCATCTGAAGCCGTGTCAGACTTTGGAGGAGGCGTTGAGGCTGTGGGCGAGAGAGGTGTAATACCGCTTGCCTCGCTCGCTGGACTCCTCGCACGCAGATGATCCACCGGCAATGGAGATGGCTTGCCGCCTCTCAAATTGTCTATTGTATCCTCCGCCAGCCGCAGCTTCTCCAGTGTTATCTCGTTCTCGATCTTGAGGTCTCCCAGCTCGTCCCTCAATCTCTGAGTTTCTATTCGCAGCTCTTCTCGCTCTTGTTCTCCCGAGCGTATTGTTTCCTCCAGCAATACACCACGCTCGAGTGCAGCGTTATACTTGCTCTCCATATCCTCCAAACTCGTTTCTGTATTCCTCGCCTGTCTCTCGTAATCATCATTCATGACCTCCGTATCTCGTAGCTGCAACTGCAACGATCGCGTCGTTTCGCGCATAGTCGTAATCTCCTTCTGCAAGGCATTTTGCGCAGTGTTTGACTCGGTCTTTGCCTTGTTGTGCTTGGTCTTCCATTCCTCCACCTCGAACTTCAACTTCTCCACCTGTTCCTTCCATTTGCGCTCGTTCTTCTCCGCAGTCTCTACATCCTTTTCCAATTGCTCTTCCAGGTCCTTACTCGACGCCTGGAAGTCAGAGAGATCGGTCTCCAGCTGCGCATACTGGGTCTTGTACCAATCCAGCTGCTCCTTGAGGTCGGCGCCAGGCCGCAGCGGCGACGAGGACATGTCGCTGTACGATGCGCGTTTCTAGCGGCGCATTGCAGGAGAACAAAGCTAATTATTTGTGGTGTGCGTAATATTGAGTATCGCGCGTTGCTATGTCCTTGGAACAATCCTGGGGGCCAGCTGCCTGTGGTTGTTTGGGTGTTTCACGGTCGTCCTTCGGCGGTGAGGGTCGCGTTCGGGGTGTCGATATCGTGGTCGTTGGTGGTAGTAATCGTCGTCCGTATTTCCAGGTCGTCGGTCGGTGTCGAGTGGTTTGCAGTCGGCAGTCGCCGCTGCTCGGTGGCTAGAGGTCGCAGGTTCCCAATGTGTTTGTTATGACGAGGGAGGCAGGAGCGACCGGGTCAAGGTCCGTGCACGCTAGAGTTGATTGGCCAGGAGGAGGCGCACAAATGTCTGACTTCCACGACGGCCAGGAGAGCAGCAACACGCCTTGCAATTGGAATTTCTGCGCCTGTTCGCTTCTCGCCCGTCGCTGTATTGTGTGGCCATCCACAAAACCTGCCTTGATGGCCTGAGTCGACTTCCAAGACTTCCACCACCACCTCCTCCTTCTCGGCCCATCTCCGCAAACTAGGGATAGCGCAAGGGTGTTCATTCTTCGCCTCCTGCAAATATCTGCCATCGCTCATATCTGGATTCCTTTCATGCTGCCACTCCCTTCGTCCATGTTGGATACTTGACCGGCCTTGATCTCTTCTGGATTGGCGTTCGGGTGCGACTCTGTAACATAACGACTTACGATTTCACGACGACACGACCAGCACCCGCTCATACACCACTCGCTAGATACAAGACTCTCAGGCATTTGCAACCACCACAATGGCGGATTTCGCGTTTACTCGCCAGGATGAGACCAATATCACCACAGGTGTGTGTTCTCAACAAGCAATTTTGACGCGCCACACTAATATCGTCTTCAGGCACGACCAAAATCGTCCCATTGACATGTCATGGCCATTCACGACCAATCACACATGTCTCATTCTCCTCCCTCTTGGCAAGCTCCGGATCAGCATCTCAATTCTACCTTATCTCGGCGTGCAAGGACAACAACCCAATGCTCCGTGACGGCCTCACTGGTGACTGGATTGGAACATTCATTGGCCACAAAGGCGCAGTATGGAGTGCCAGACTCTCAGACGACGCTACTCTAGCAGCCACTGGATCTGCCGATTTCTCAGCCAAGGTCTGGGATACGTTCACCGGCGAAGTTCTACACACCTTACAGCATAACCACATCGTCAGAGCCGTGGCGTTTCCACCCCAAGAGAGACCACAAGTCCTGGCTACGGGCGGCATGGAGAAGAAGCTGCGTATCTTTGATCTTTCACGAACCGTGCAAACTCCTGGCGAAAGCACCACCAACGGCCTCAACGGCAACGCAGAAGCACCACCATCATTCGAGATCGGCGCCGGCGAGCATCAGGGTGCGATTAAGAGCATCATCTGGACCCGCGACCCCAACATTGTCATCACCGCCGCCGACGACAAGAAGATCCGCTGGTGGGACCTGCGCGCAAGATCCTGCATCGCGACCTACGAAATCGAAGGCCTCCCCGGATCCTGCGAGCTCAACACCGGCATGCCTGGCCACCCCGAAGGCATCGTGAGCGTGGCAGCCGGCAAAAACATCTATTTCTTCGAAGGCGGTCGATCAGGCCAACTGATAAAACACATCAAAACCGACCGCGACGTCGCGAGCGTCGCCCTCAACGGAGAAGCCAAGCGTTTCGTAACCGGCTGTCCCAACGACACCTTCGTCCGCCTCTGGGACTTTGACAACGAGCGCGAACTCGAGACCGGCAGGGGTCATCACGGCCCTGTGTGGACGACATGCTTCAGTCCCGACGGCAAGCTGTACGCCACAGGCAGCGAAGACGGGACCGTCAAGCTGTGGAAGTTCACCGACGGGCCGTACGGTCTTTGGCGGTGAATGTGATCAAAGTCAGGAGGGGTTGAGTGCAGTTGGGTTGGAGATTTTGCAGGGAAGACTCGAAGCTTGAAGAGCAGGTCCTTGTAAGTCTAGACTTGTCTGCGGTTGAGTGGAGGAGAAGCAGTTAGTTGTTCGGTCTGGCGGCTCGCTCAGGTCGAAACACGTCACAGCCCGGTGCGGATGTGCGTGCGTGCGTGCTTGCTCGTGCTCGTGCTCGTTGGGGTTTTGCTACCTCCTATGATCCTGGACATACATACATACTTAGACGCCTTGTCAAGCACCCTGTCACAACGCGTTGAGCTAGGCTACTGCGAAGGCGAGGCGCAGCTGCTATCGAGTGTACTGCACCAACACCTGATCAACGTAGAGCAAGTCCAATACCAAAAGAAAAGCATGAACATGAACCAACAAAAACCATTCCCACCTTCCCCTCCTCTTCCTTACCATAGTCAACATTAATAGCAACCCCCCCCCCACGTTTCAACATCCCGTACGTATATGTATGATCGTCACAGCCCATCCATCCCACAGCCCACCCTCTCTCTTCACAAGACGGGAGGCAGGCAGACAGCTTCATGACTCGATCAACATCAAACTTTCGTCTGAATGCATATCCGAGACATGGGTTCATCATCCGTGCGCCGCGAAATGCTAGGATCCGGCCTTGTTAGGTAGTAGAGCTACCTCCAGCTTCCATCCGGCTCGCAAGCGGTTCTTCATGTTGGTCAGTCGGTCGGTCAGTCGCAGAGGTCTTAAGGCCTTGGCGGCGGTGTGTGTGATTGCAGAACGTGTGCAGCGTGCATGTTATACGATTCATGTCTGAAGGCTTGATTGAACGTATGGGATACGAGATACGAGATACGACAAGAATGGAGGACGTGATGATAATGATGATGAGGTTCAAAGATCCAAAACAACCTCCCCAACTTTCATTGTACCCAGGCACCTTTGTGATAAAAGGCGCAAGTATTGGTTAGTAGTAGCAATAGTGATATCGTCCTGTCTACAGTGCTCCATTTCGATGTGGCACTCTCATCCCATAAAGCGAACTTTCCCTGATGCTATTCCCAAGCGAGCAACAAAGCCAACAGTGTTAAAAAAAAAACAGCACAAACAGGCAGTCAATATCCGGCCGTCACAAACAGCAAAAGACCTCCTCGCGTCCTTCTTTCATGCCCCTCTCAGAAATGCAACACATCATATGATTTCCCTTCTCTCTCAAAAGGACGCAGCAGCAGCAGCAGCAAACAGAGAGCTCGCACTCTCATCTCGGTTCGTGTCGTTGTCCAGCAAAGACCCTATGCATGCCCTCCCTCCTTCCCTCTTGGTGATATGCTCCCGCGTGTTGTACCATATGCATCGTATAGGAAAAAACCGACGCTCTAGAGAGAAGCGACAGAGTTCCGCTCCCATGGCAGCCTGTTGTGGCCGCCGTATTTTGCTGTGTTGTAGTGGTAGTAGTGAAATCAATAATCAGAGCACACAACCTTGTATGCCAGTGAAACGGGGTTGCGTGCTCGTCCATGTATGGCCCGACTTTTCCAAGAGCCCCCGAATCGAATCGAATCGAAATGGTGTTTATTCCAGAAAGGCACCCACAAGCAAACTCCCGTACGTCAAATGTTCTCCTGCCATGGTACCGTCTTTCGCGCAAAGGGGGAATCTCGCACTGGGAACAAAAAGTGCAATAAGCAAGAAATCCAGAGAGCCTCCCGATGTTATGTTTGGTATAGAACGTGCCCTGTGCGCCGTGTGTGCCTCGCGTCGTGAAAGCAAAACGCCAAAATCGTAAGGAGATATCCGTGTCGTCATAAGTGGAGAGTTGATAGTCGTTTCATGTTCAATCAACGGCCATTGTGACCATGGGGGCCTTTTGGACCGTTGGGGTAATCAGGGTAGTCCGGATAGTCGGGGTACTCGGTGTAACCATTGCGATTGTCTCTGCCGTACGTGCCAGAACCCAGAGCAGGTGGCACCCCACCAGAATAGTTGCGTGGAGCAATTTGACCCACAAAGTCGGGGGAAGAGACGCCGAATGGATTGGCAAACATGCCGTCAATGCCTGCAGCCGTCTGTGGACGATAGGCGCTGTTGCCATTCATGAGACCCGGTGCATTACCGTTCATGAGTCCGCTGTTGCCGTTCATCAGCGCTGGACCGTTGCCGTTCGTGAGTCCTGGTGCATTGCCATTCATCAGACCTGGTGGAGATGCAAGTCCTGGCGGCGGGCCTGATACTGAACTGAAGTTCCCGCCGTTCGATGATCCGCTGTATCCAGGAGCCATGGCCTGGGGCGACATCACAGCGCTTGGACCCATGCCGTTCGTCTGGCCAGAGCGTACACCGAGCGGATTCTTCGAAAAGCTCAGACGAATGCCGCCCTTGACGCTATTGTGCAGTGGATGACCGTAGAGCTCATGCAAAGCCTTGGTGGCGAAAGAAATGTCCTCGAACTCCACAAAACACATCGGCCCGTTCTGCTTGGTTCTGAAGCAAAGCCGCTTGTAACCACGCTGCTTGGAGAAGAGACCCTTCAGCTCGTCTTCAGAAGTATCAATTGGCAAATTTCCCACGTAGAGAGTGTTGCAAGGTGGATTCTGGTCGGCGGGATTGACTGGAGGGTACTGTGGTCTGGGGAAGTTGGGTGGTGCATAGCCGCCATTGCTCATACCGTTCGTTGGCGACATTGGCGAGGCGCCGTTTTGCATGGAACCATGACGTGGAGAGGTAAAGCCGTTGGGTGTCATGGGCATCATGTTGTTGCCAACGCCGCTCGGAGAGCTGAGAGAAAGACTGGCAAAGCGGCCCACTGGGATGGAGGAGTTAGTGGGCCGTCGACTGAGTGGCTGCTGGCCGCTTTTGGCGTATGCGACCGGATCTTTGAGGAGCTCTCCGGTCTCGTCGTCCACGGAGTCGTCGTTGATCATCGACTTGCCACTAACACGATGATCTCCATTCGCCAAAGGAGACTGGGGCGAGAACAAGTTCTGGAAATGCGCACTGCTCTCGGGCACGGGAAAGTCGCCAGCAGATGTGGAATTGGGCAGAGGTGGGGAGATTTTCTCGGTGGATTGGAAAGTGCTGCCAAACCTGGATCTTCCAGGACCGCCATTGGAGCTGGCAGACGAGGCAGAGCTGGTCTGGGTGCGGGAAGCAATGCCGTCAATGGTATTGCGCCTTTCGAAATGTCCGGCCGCACCGCCGCTGTGTGCTTCCACAATCATGTTCGCCTCCTTCGTGGTGTTGGGTTTCCCGTTCAACTTCTGCTGCGCTTCGAATGCGCCGGCCGAGGATTGGAAACGGGCAACTGCGGTCGCAAAGCCTTGATCTTCTGGATATGGGGAGCGAATGAATTCAGTATCAATGAGATCGCCGGCGAAGATCAGCATGCTCCTCAGAGCCTCAGGGCCTATGGTCCGGGGAAGTCTCCGGATCACCACTGCAGGTGCCGGCCTACCGTCGACGCCGAACGCGCTCGGATCAGAAGAGCTGGCGGCCAGAGCAGGCATGATTCCAACGCGGTCGGATGGATGGCGCTCAGCGGTGGGAGATGTGCTGTAGATTTGCGCCGCGCCGATGGTGGAGGTCTGGCCAAAGATGTCGGATCTGAACGATGGAGTCGGTGGTGACGTGCCGGTTGAGCCGAAGGTGTTGCGGGAGTAGCTGGAGGGTTGATTGGGGCGGAACGAGTTATTGGTGGGGTTAAACTCGCCCATTGCGCGTGCCTAGAAGCGCTGAAACGAGGACGCCGAGAGGGGAGTGAGTGGCAGACTGCTAAGGAATGTTAACGACAAGGTGGGCACGTCGACCCACGGGTCGTCGTGGGCGACGTGAGGAAGGGCCGGGAAACGCGATCCAGGAACCGTGGATGGCGATGTAGCGCGCGGGCTTTGCACAGACCGTCGCCGTCGAACTTCACCGGGAGGATGGCACTCGAAGATGGCATATGAGAGCCAGACGGCGGTCGCGATCGGGTCGCAGCGGGCGGCGCACTCAACGTCTGCGACAGGCGATGTTTGAGCTGGACTGAAGCGGACGGTCAGTGCGGCAGCAGCGAGTTGACTGGCAGCGATGCGCGCGCGCGACAGAAAGTGCGATGGGCCAGAGAGGTGGTGCTGGGGCAGGAGCGAACGCGTGCGACGAGTACGGGCAGGAGCAGTAGTTGTCGCAACCGCACAGACGACGGTCGGCTGCTGCAGGCCAGGTAGGTCGGGAGGTAGGTGAAGTGCAACACGCGCTGTCGGCCGGCTTGGGGCGGCGCGATGTCGCGATTGGTGAGATTAGCGACAGCAACAAGGCGGCGGGAGGACGTGGCGGGCGCGCAGTGGGTGGCTGCAGCGGAGGATGGCGGTGGTGGTGTGGTGTTGGTGGTGGTGGGAGGAGGACAGGTCGGCGGAGGGGGATGCGCGCGCAGAGGGAAATGGTGGGCGGTCGCGGTGTGTGAGTGAGGATGAGGGCCTGGGAGAAGTCTCCAGGGCGCTGGGCCCAATCACGACGGCAGAGATAAGGGAGCCGTTGTCTGGCGTGTGCGGTGCGGTGTGTGGGGGAAGGCTAGTGCGGTCGAGGTCGAGATGAGACACTCGAGGGTGTATCTCCGTTTGCTGCTGCTGCTGCGACGACCACGACGAAGTGAACAACGAACGCGCGCTGATGGCGGCCCTGTCGAGACCGCATCGCCAGCGGCGCGCTAACAGCCAACTAACAGGCCAGGCGGGGCAGCAGCTGTCGCTCTCACTCACTCACAGCGCGCTCCCACTCGCCGGCATGTGGTGTGGGATCCGGGTACCGTGCAGTGCGGGTATTGCTTGGTGCGTCTCTGCACCGCAGCTCTCTGTTCTGCTTCCAATCATCCCTGCCCGCCGCCAACCATGCGCTTCAAAGGGCAGACGTCCTCGCTTGCTTGCCTGCTTCGGGCCTGTTGCTCGGCGCCGTCTCTTCTGACCCGACCATGCCACGAGCTCTGTTCCCACTGCCTCCCTCCCTCGCTCGCCCAGCCAGCGCGCGGTGATCACGCTGCCACGCCTGCATACATGTAGTCTACCTGACCTGCTGCCAGGCTTCGGCTGCACGTCGTAGGGGCACTTCCTGGCCAACTCCCGCTACTGTGCCTCTCACACCGATCCGCCGTGTCGGTAAAGGCTGATGGCAGAAGGCGCCATTCTCGTGCTCGACGGGGCCGGCCAGCAAACCGCGCAGCAGACACTCGGCGGGCCATCCGTCTGCCACGAGTAGGGGTTCCTGGTCGTGGTCTGTCCCATCCATCATCCAACACTCCTCGAGCAGAGCAGCCCACCACCACATCATCCACCACCGCGTCGACATAGCCTGCTCGATTGGGCCGGCACCTTACCTCCAGCACTCCCCTACGCATCCGACGCCTGGCGAGCGGCACAGCTGTTCACGAACCTGTCCAATTGCATGCCCTCGCACGCTTTCGCGCATCTCTGTACCACTGCGCAGCTTCTCGCGAACCCTTTCGCTCTCGCGCTAGATCCTTGTGCCTGGGGTAAGCGCGACCACCTAGCTAGTCATCAGCGTTCACCGCACTAATTCCACCCCTACTGCACTGACTAACCGCTGGAATCTAGATGGCCTGGAGAGCTCTTGGATCTGCCAAGAGCACCGACAAACACACGTTACACCGACACTTCGTATGCTGGGACTCGAGAATCGCAAAGCGGGATGTTGTACCACCACCATCGCGCCTCGTGGCCCGGCTATGTGCATGGGAATAACGTAGGTACGCCGGCTGACTGTACCCAGCCGTTTTCGTCTTCGGAAGCTCTCCCAGACGGCCTTAGCGATGACAAGGGTATGCAACCCATACGGCCATTTCAGCGGTGACGAGCCAGTGCGAGGCCGCCAGCAACTTCGCCAATCACGATACCACGACACGTGCCGAAGTTGCACGACATTCGGGGAACGGTTTGCCGGCAGTTCACTGCCAGACACGCAAGCCTCTCACGTGCGCATCGTGCCGAAGCGCCACAGAGACATGGCCATTCCGTCACACCAATGGTCGGATGGGTGACACAGACGGCCACAAGTACGCCAATCCCGCTTTTGCTGCACTCGTCATCGGCCATGCACGAGAATCAATCGAAACGAGCTGCGCGTAACGTGGCAGCGTTGAGAAAGCTGGGAGCTCAACGCCCATCGGAAAGCCTCGAGAGTGCTCTGTTGTTTCGAAACGGACCCTTTGCATTCGCTCGCTCGTAGCAACACTTCCTTGGCCACTTCAAACGACCAGCACATCATTGCTTCGACTGCGCCACATTCAAACGCCGTGACTTTGAGCAACTCCTCTCATTTGCGATTGATATGTCTACATGCCGAGAAATCAAGGAAATGGTAATTCCAGCCGACTCACAATCGAAGTTACTTGGTGCTGGGTGTCGACGGCTTCTTGGGAGGTCCACCTGATGGGGTGCCTTTGGATGCGCCGCCAGCCGCGGGTTTCTGCTGTTGCTGCTGCTTTTCCTGCTGCTTCAGCTTGATGTCGAACGTATCCTTCCCGACACCAGACGACGACATCAACCTTAGCACGGGCTCGACATTGTCATCCGTCAAGAGAGTATCCTTGGGGAAGAGCTGCTTATCTCTCCCCTCTGACGACCACTTGACCCTAATATCCCCCACTTCGTCCTTGTTCTCCTTGTTGCGATAACTGCTCAAGATCTCGGCGCAGTTCGGTGATTCGAGCACACCTTGGACAGTCTCCTTCAACTGCTCCAGGTCAAGGCCGGGATTGACCAGGATCACTAAGAGATAAGGTCATCAGCGGTGGACCCAGCTCGGCCAAGCTATTCTCGTGCTTACCCTCGTGCCTGTTCGATCCATCAATGGTAAAGAGCACAGGGAAGTCGAAACCGTTCTGCCCTGCCATGCCGCCGGCTTTCTTCACGCTGGTGCTGCTGTTGGTGTTGGAGGTCGGTTTCTTTGCAGGTCGACTGGGGAGCTGCTTCGCCATTTCCAGCTCCAAATGTGCGTCCTCGAGAGCTCTACCTCTCCTCTCACGGCCCTAGGTGCTGGCGATCGTCGGAGGGTGATCCGGGATTAAGGTTGGCGCCAGTGCAACGCAGCTTGATGAGGTGCCGCGTGCTTTCACGTGCAGATACGTCCAGGCTGAGCTTGTAGGAAGATGGCAAAAAGCTTCAGAATCCGCCCTTCTCGGGTAATAAAGGATGCAGGATGGGATCGTTGAGAGATGCAAGCTGCAGAATGTTGAGTGGAGGATGGAAGGTCTTGATACGTTCATTCGTTTTGGCTGATTTCGTCACAGGCTTGCGGCCCACACTTCGCCTACATGCATCTGCGTCTACGTCATGCTTCGACCGGGGTTGGTGCAAGACAACAAAACGTATCTCGACTCCCTTGCTTCGAACCTACTTGGGGAACCACTGCATGGCATTTGCATGCCGCTCCTGTCGCGGCGGTGACTCCGTTGCAGGTCATGGGTCGTGAGTGTCGGACCGTGTCGAGAAGGTCAATAGCCATGGCAGTACCAACAGGACTTGACTACAGCTTGGGCATGCCTGGCGAGCACCCAAATACAACCCAAACGATCCAGCCTGGTCAAGGATATCTCTTGCGAATCCTCTCAGCTTTCTGGGATTGCTCAAGGGCTGCGATTGGTATGATATACTGCCTGTTCGTCGTCAAAGGCCCGTCGTTGGCAACGACGTTGGAAGAAGGCAAGTTTCACAAGCTAAAGAATGGCTGAGGACGGCAATTGCGGACAGGTAAGTAAGTACTGCACAGTCCCTTTGTATTCTTACTTCGATTTAATCTGGTCTGTCCTTCGAGGAACTTCTACACGCCATTCACGCCACATTGATATCCTCAATCACAGTTCTTCCTCAGCAACCATGTTGGTCTTCGTGTCGAGCCGACCTTTCCCCTCACAACTATTGTACCATATTCTGCGGATTACCCGCAGCGAACGCCTCCAAATTGGCCTTGGCCACCGCGACGGTATTCTTGATCGTTTTGGAAGAGAACCAAGCAATGTGCGGACTCAAGACGAGGTTTGGGATCGTTGGGTCCAGAAGAGGACAGTTCTCCCTCGTGGCGGGCTCGTGCTCGTACACATCCGTTGCGGCGCCGCCGATTTGCTTGTTCTTCAGAGCAGCGGCGAGGTCGGATTCGTTAATGGCGCCTACGATCCTCAAGTGTCAGTTACACGACTTCAACAATCTCGACTCGAGAGGCGAGAGTACGCACCTCCCCTCCCACAATTAACAACCACCGCCGAAGAATCCATCACCTCAAACTCCCTCCCAGTGAACATATCCCTCGTCCCCCCATCCACCGACGAAGGCACCACAACCAGAAAAACCGTCCCGAGCACCAACCCCTCCTCAAACGCCACCCGTCCCTGCCTCACCGCCCTCGCACCCTTCCGCTCCGCCACCCTCACACCCATCCCCAACGCCCTCCCCAACCTCTCCACCTCCTTCCCAATCGCCCCGTACCCAACAACCACCAGCGTCTCCTCATCATTCGTCCTCGGCGGGCGTTCGAAGCGTTGGTGCAGCATGTTGTCTTCCTTCCAGGTTTGGCCTTCGAGGGTCAGGCCGTGGAAGGGGAGGATTTGTCGGCGCAGGGCGAAGTACATCGCGAAGGCGTGCTCGGCGACGCTGGCGGCGCTTTGGGCGGGGACGTGCGTGATGGCGATGTTGTGGGCGGCGGCGGTGGGGAGGGCGATGTGGTCGGTTCCTGTTCTGCATGGGGATGGATGAGGTGAGTACTTGCACCAGACGTTTCCCCGTTCAAAAACCACCTCTACCTGGTGGAGATATTAGGGGAGGGGGGATGTTACCGATTACAAGCAATCAACTCCAACTTCCGCGCATTCTCAATCGCCTCTTTCGTCACCGGCGTGATGGACGTGAGCACGATGGTGGCGTTTTGGATTCGCTCGGGGAGTTGCTCCGGCGTTGTGTGCGGGTATTCGATGAGCTCATGGTCGAAGGAGACGGGTGGGGAGGGAAGGAGGGTGTCGAGGGAGACGATGGTGTGTTTGACCATTTTTTCTTTTGGTGGTGTTTGTCTTTTGGGGCGAGGAAGTGAGGGACGCAGGGAGGGAAGTATAGGAAGCGAGACGAGATCTGGTGATCAAGGGCAGAGGGTATATTGCTATAGTTGACGAGACTGCTGTGCCGTGTGAAAGGTGGATATATACTCGTCCCAGCAGTTGATATTCATTTGATCATGACCATGCTGGATTTGCTACTGAGTAAGTCAGTCAGCCATATCTCCTCGGCATCGATGTCTTCATGCCTGCACTCACCGAACAACTCCCTAAAGCCTGAAGAGAAGTGAGACTGTATACGACCCAATTAATCGAGGTCGAACAGCAGCTCCATCGAAATGCTTTCTGATAGATGAAAGAGGCAGGCAAGATTCCACTCTCGTACTAGACTCGAATCTGTGAAGCTATAGCAGGTCTGACCAACCTTCTCGAACTCTGCTTGTGGTGATGTGTATGGATGAGGCCCATCCGAAAGGAGTAGTTGACTTTCCGGAAGAGGAAGTAGTGTCGTTGCTGCTATATCACATGAGACTGAATGCACGTCGGAGCCACACGGAAAAGGTCGTCTCGTCATCATCATTCTCGTAGAGTATAGGTACTACGTACTAGAAAGAATCACGCCTTCGCAAGCAATCCAGCTTCCCTACCCACGCACCCTCCCTTCCTCCCTCTCAACGCGGGGTATCACACCAATAATCCAATCCACAAGAACAACGCCGATGGGGATCACTCGAAGATCTGAAAAGCACACACAAAAAAGTCAGCCATATCTCTCCCTCTATCAGTAGGAAGCGCCCAAACATGCCACCATGAGCTTCTTGTAGTCGCCGTTCGTCTCGCTCTGGACGCGCTGCGCCAGGTCCCGCTTGTAGAAGTGCTTGTACGCGGCTTTGCATTGCTGCAGTCGTTGCTTGTCCCAGTGGATGGACACGATCAATCCGACAAGGCGCACGTCTTTGGTTCCCATGCCCTTCATGGACTCCTCGAGCCGGTCGGCGTCGTACTTGGCAGGATCCTCGGCGGCCGACACCATGCTCATCAGCGCGGATTCCATGTGGCCGGAGAATTCCTTCTTGAGGACCTCCTGAAGGGTGCGGTGGTACTTGGTCTTGTACGACTGGGCGATGGCGCGGAGTTGGCCGTTGCTGCGTTTGGCGAGGACAGTGCAGACGGTGAGTTGATCGGTGCCTGCGCGTCCCTCGGTAGCGTTGTAGATTTCCTGCACCCAGGCGTCGACTTGTTGCGGGATGACTGGAGCGGACTCCTCATCGCGGTGCGCGGCCATTATCATGTCGTACATGCGTTCGGTCTTCATCGACAGGTCGCCCTTGACATCGCTTTCGAGCGTACGGCGGAACTTTTGCTGATAGTGGGCTTTGATGGCGTTGATATCGGCGTTAGAGCGGGAGATGAGGACGTCGTCGAGGAGGGTCTCTTTGGTGCCCGCGCCCTTGATGGCTTCGTTGATGAAGTGACAGTCTTGATCCAGAGGCCCTCTGATGATGGCCTCCAAACCGTCGCGGAAGTAGCTTGACGTCTCGCCATGGACGTCCTTCAAGAGATCGCGCTTGTGTCTTTGCTGATAGGCTTGCTTCACACCTTCGACTTGAAGAGCGTCGAGGGAGGACAGAACCTTGATCAGCTGCGTCTCATTCGTGCCGAAGCCTTTCATGGCGGCGCGGAGGTCGTCTGCCGCACGTGACATGTCATGTGGGCATCGCTGGCGCAGGTCGTAGCCCAAGGATGGCATTGCAGGAGGACCTGCAGGCGCTCCATAGCCTGGACCGGGTGGAGGAGGTTGACCGTAGCCGCCGGGAGCCGGTGCGCCATACGGCTGCTGTCCGGGCGGTGGATAGCCTTGACCTGGTGGGGGTCCTCCAGGCGGAGGATGGCCGTAGCCCGGCTGAGGCGAGTGTCCGCCATAACCGTGCTGAGGCGGCGGGGCGCCGTACGGGGCCTGGCCTGGGGGCGGATATCCTTGGCCTTGGGGAGGAGGGTAGCCTTGGCCGGGCGGTGGCTGACCGTAAGGCTGGCCGTACGGTTGCTGGTATTGTTGATTCATTGGCGGTTGTTGGTAGTAGCCTTGCTGTGGGGGCGGGTGTTCTAAACGAGGAGTCAGAGCTCGAGAGCTTATAAGGAAGTCGAAACGCAGCGACTTGCAAGGCAAACGTCGCGCGTCATGGGCCAAGAGTACAGGTACTTACGTGAGCCATACGGCGGCTGGCCAGGTGGAGGATAGTATGACATGGTCCAAGGAAAGTTCTCAGCTGAAGAGGAGTGTTCCTGCGCAAGTCGCTGTGGCTCTGGTGGTGGCTCAAGTAGACTCGTACGGGGGATTGTGCTAATCAGTGTGCAGAAGACAAAGAGATGGGGGGTGAAGATCTGAGAAGTTGGTGTGGCGACGCAGCTGAAAGATCGCCTGACGATACCTTGTCACTCGTCACTGCCACAGGACTGACGCGGGGCAGTGTTCAGCGGGCTGGTGAGAGCTGCTGCGCCTGGCAAACACTCACAGCAACGTGCTCTTCCAAGAAACTAGGCGAGTTATTAGGTGAATAGCTTTGCCGGCTTACCATCTTGGACTGGACAGATGCGCGGAGAGTGAAGTCGGGTACGCGGGGAGTTGACACGTGGAGTGGCTGGTGAAAGAATGGAAAAGTCGAAGTCTTCCCTTTCTCTTGGCAGCGTCACCACATCAACAACAAAGACTCCTCTCCCCGACTCCTCCACATCTCCAGGAATCACGTTATCAGATCACAATCGCCGGGTCACAGATTTGGGGAGACATCCAGCAAATTCCTCGGCTGACTCTCAGTGCCACTGACAACAGGGAACATCCAATACCCATCGTAGCACTTTCGTTACACCTTCGCCCGAGTCTCGCCCTGCTGCAGGAGATATCTCTTCATCAGGTCGCTGTTCACGCCAGTGCTACCACAGTACTGCACTCGAGGGGCACATAGCCAGCAGGAAGCGGATCAGCACTTGAGACTGATGTCTCTCAACGACATCAGCGTCCAACAAAGTCACGACCCGTGCCTGAGGCCAAGCCGGCTGATCCCAAGCTTGACAGACGTCACAGCCTCGATGGCTCGCACACCTCACGCGCTGGTCACCCAATCACAATCCACGTCTCCGGTTCGCTTCCATGACTGTGACTTGTGTGTGACAACTGCATCGCCGCTTTGGCAGGGCAAGCTTTCCGCGGTGACTTGGACTGGCTTCTGATCGCGCCGTTCGCGTTCGTTCGCAGGCCAAATGCGAACTGGGTTGTCTGGGCATGCCCTCACACGACATATGTATGAGCTGGCGGCGATAAACCCGCAAGGTGAGGTGAGAGATTTTCGTTCCTGTACATCGCTGTCCCTAACTGGACATTTCTCGCATTGGCTCTCAAGTATTCGTTTAGCATTCGGTTACCTACGAGCTCGTACCTCTACCGGTCTCACAACAGCCTTGTCTAAGCCATCAACCATCATCCCGGGTCAGGCAATACTCAAGACCGCCCACAAGCATGGTGATATAGACATATAGCCCGGCTCTGCTGCCGAACTTCTCTCGACATCATTGTTTCTACTTTCTCGGTGCCCCGTGGGACTTCTTCGCGCGGACCCACCCATATTGCCACTACACTACCATCTCGTGACGAAGAAGAAGACCATACTTAAGACTTCCATGGCAACCTACACCATGGCCGACCACACGGCAACGAACACCATGCCTCACTACGCACCAAACACCTACATCGCATCCCCACCAGCGGGCACACGTTCACGGGGCAGCTCAGCAGCCTCGCGTTACGTCCCAGATAACTACCCCATCCCACCACCCACAAGTAAGGATGAAAACAACCAGCTCCTCGCCCCACCATCCCCCAACTCACAACCGGAACCAGATGCCCAAGCCTTCACGCCCATCCGGCCAGAACAATACCGTCCACCACCAGACACGCGAGGGATCCCCCCAGCTCAACTCCGCCCCTACCATCCAGACGCATACATGCGATCCAAGTCCGATGGTTACGAATCTCGACGCTCGGGCGACGTTCGGAGATCTTTCGATTCGAGATACTCGGACGATCCCAGGCGCAGTTACCATTCAACACGGAGTCATCGGTCTTCGCATGACGATTCCGCGAGGAGGAGGGAGTATGAGCGGCGGAGGGACCAGGAGGAGGCGTGGGAGGATGAGGAGCGGAGGAGGGAGGCGAGGAGGAGAAAGTCGTCGGGGCATTTGCATCATGATCGTCATCATCATCACCATCATAGGGATGATGAGGATGGTGGTAAGCCTTTGAGGAGGCGGGATACGCCGAGAGGGTAAGTTGATTGTAGAATTTTTCTGCGGAGTGTTGAGTTGATGCTGACTGGTGGGTGTAGGTATGGCAGCTCGCTGTTTGCCGTCTTTGATCACATCAAGAATGCTTGGAAGGGGTAGATGTGAAAGCAATTAAGGACTTTCGTCTGTTAAAGACAATTAGCGAAGCAGCGGATACATTTCCTAGGCGTTTGATGAGAGATATACACCAGCTACGAAATAGATTTAGCACGACTTTACGAATGATGAAATGCTTTACATGTACCTTTCGCTTCATGCCGTCCCGGAGAGGATGGTTATCGAGCTAAGAGATAACTTGCGGCTGCCGGAGTTGATGAGAGATATAGTGAGAAGAGTGTGCTTGTGGTAAACAAAAGAGACATCCGTCCTTCTTATGATTGTTTTCGGCTTATATACATCACGCTCTTCCGAGCACCATTTCCCTCTGCTCCTCGCCGGTCTATGCTTGTCGTAGCCATTCACTCGGTAGTGGGACTGTCTAGTTGGCGCCGAACCAGGTCTTGTGGCCTAGGACCATGCGGATCATCATGTACTGGGAAGCTGTATGGTGCGCAAGTCAGTCTGATGTCCTTCAAGCTGCTTTGGAGGATGATCTTGATTGCACTCACCAGCAGTGGTGGAGATGAGGAGGGCGTAGTATGGGTAGAGCATGTACTTGGCGCGAGGGCCCTGTGTTTGGAATTGTCAGTCCCGTTGTTTCTCCAAGCGCTTCTCTCTGCGCAGCTCTTCCGGATGTCTACAATCCTCATATCCACCTCTTGACGACTCTCTCAGCTACGCACCTTGTCCCATTGTCTCACGCCATCGTGATTCTGGTGCAGTCGCTGCCAATGAGGCACATTGTTCTTGCGGTAGAGGCCGGGGAAGGGCAGCCTGTGATCTCGGTCAGGCATTGGGTTCTCCGGCGAGCTCATTGAAGCTCTCTGTTCGCCGCGAAAGTATCGGATCGACTCACTGCATACGTCTGACGAGTGTCGGCCGCATCTTGGAGGTTGTTTGGTGAGGTAGAGGGGAGATGAGGGCGTGGTGGTGTCGCTGGTGAAGGGTGCCGTCAAGGAGATTCGCATCCAAGCGGGATCTTCCGGGCGCTCGCTTGAGATCTCAGGTGATGACTTTCTGGAGAAGCTTCACAATGTCGCGTGCGGACATCGACAACAACGACTACGATCTCCGGCGACGAGTTTTGTTCGACTGGATGCAGATGCAATGGCGCCAGATAGAGGCCTCTGTTTGAGCCGCGCATCACCATGGGTGCGCCTTTCGCGCAATGGCTAGGACGACCTTCGACCATTTGCTTTCTTCGCCGACTTCTTGCTGCTACTGGGGATCCTATTCGTGCGCGAGCCACTACGAGAAAGCGATGCAATGGCTACAGACGATACGCACATACCGCTGCTGTACGTTTCCGTCACAGAGACGATGCCAAGCAAGAGCACAGCAATGAAGAGCATGAGGAGAGTCGCAATCGCAAACAGGGCATTGTTCGAAGAGCTGATGCCAGGCCAGCGGTTGATCATGAAGTGGCACTGCGAATGTCGTTGAATTCGGGAGCAACTCTGCTGGATGAGAAAACAGCACCTGAAGAAGCGTTCAAAGCTCTATGGCACCAGACCAATGTGGCATCACCACGTAGACTGGGACAGCTCGTTGTGGACCGCCCTGAGCATCGCACAAACATGAAGCTATGGGTTGAGCTTCTCGAATACCGGCAACGTATCGACGGCTTTGCTGGTATCGAGGACGTGTGGAAGGGGATGAGGTTTCGTGAGGTGGACCTTCCTTTGTCGGGCGACGAGGCGGATATCTTGTGGACAACTCTGCTTCACGCCTGCATCACGTCGGGCCCAGGTGATTCGGCACGAGAGTTACGAGACAGCGTGCTAGATCATGCAAAGAACTTGTATCGCCGACACGGTGCTGTTTGGCCCAAGTTATATGCCTGCATCGTAGGCCGTTGCCTCCGCCTCAAGCCGCATTTGGCATGGGTGTTCCACCACCGGCTGGCAAATGAGTGGGACATGTCAAGTTTTGCTCTCACTGACCTGGTCGATGACTGTATAGCAAGTCTTAGGCTCGGTGACGCGCGACGAGCTTTCGGCAACATCCACAAAGCAAGTGGAAGGCGAGACTTGTATGATTTCTTTCTACCAGAGCTTTGCAGGCATCTTGCTGAGCATGAAGCCCTGCGCTGGCATCAAGACTTCATCAAGCTTGGCGATGGTCCGTCTTCAGAGGTTTTTGCGCTTCCTCATATCCAGCGACTCTTTGAACTCGACAAGAACAAGTCCCTTCCGATGCTTCATCACAGATCACGAGCAGATTCCTTTGTACCGGTGCAACCTGGCCATCACAACCAACCGCTCACTCGGGCCAACATGTCTGCACTGGTAGGTGAAGTGCACGGGATTAAGCCCAAAGAAGTGAGTGACACATTTGTGGCGAAACTTTTCGCTACAAGGGCATTCCCCTTGAATCTCGTCATCAAGGGCCTGAGCTTCTTTGGACTGGACAGACTCGGACCTCTCGCGCTTCACGAGATGGCATCGAAGGCGGAGACGTATGCTGAGTTTTGCAACGGACTCAGTGAGCTAAAGTCGATGGGGATTGCGGTCAACACATCGACCTACGGACGTTTGATCGAGGAGGTTGCGATTGAAGGGCGTTCGGACCTTTTCCAGGTTTTGATGGCTAGCGATCAGCATCCGGAAGCCTTCGATGAACCGCAAACGCAAGAGTTGCTTCTCGTTTCGTTTCTGGAGAGAGGGGACATGCTGAGCGCTCATCTCACTCTTCTCGCACTGTCGCTTAATGGCCAAGCTCAACATTCCAGGGCATGGAACCGAATATTGCAGCATTACATCATGGAGCGGGACTACAGGGCCGTTGACAAGACAATGCGGCATATGCAGGACTCGAAGATGCCACCAACGGTGTTTACATTGAGCATCATGAACCGCCACCTCTTGCCTCGAAGAGACCCTGGCAAGGCACCTTACAAACCTAGACGCGAGGAGGCCATTCTCAGACCGCTCCAATTTACTACCAACGCCTATATGTTCGCCGCCCGGAACAAGGTACACGTCAGGCCTACACTTTGGAAGGAGCTTCTCAAGAGATACGCTATGGACTTCAGGTTTGACGAATGTGAGCGTCTCGTCCACTGGCTACTTTCCTGGTACGGCAGAAACAAGTCGTCTCTTACTCGTGAAGGACGACGCGATCACTACTTCGGTATGAAAATGCTCGAAACAATCTTCCCTCCCATGATGCAGCAAGCCCTCATCCACTGGGGTGTACGCTGTGCGGGCCACTCCGGGTTGTTGCGCAGAGATGCCAGTTCCTCAACCCAACCGGCCTCAGGGCATCACGATGAATGTCAACCGTGGGCTCGCGGGCTACTCCTGGTCAGGATTCTGAATAAGTTTGGCATGCAAGTTTCGCTGCGTGATATACGGCGTGCTCTGACGATTCGACTTCTTCCGCTGTTTGGGCCTGCCTTTTCCTGCAAGCGCATCAACGAGGAAGCAAGACTTCGCAATCGTCTTACCCTCGCCGATTATATCAAGCACGCAAACGAAATTTGTGATGTGAACCTTTTCAGCGTCGATCCCACTCTCTTGAGTGAAGAACGGCCCAATCCGTCGAAATTAATGGTTGCTATCTTCAGCGATCGCCGTCGCATTGGTCAGAAGAGTAAAGACTACGCCGATATTGCTGAATACACTCAAGCCCTGGAGAGAGGCTATCGATTGCCAGCTGGCGCACGAGACTCGCAGAGAAGACAGCTATGGCGATACAGCCCTTTCCGCCTTGTTCGAAGGACGAACCTCCATCATCGGCCGCCTAATCCCTCTTCTTTGGACGACCGTAGTCCCCATTCCCCTCGATCGCATCGATCGCCTTCTGCTCATTCATCGAATTCGCATCCGCCACCCAGTCTTGCAGATACTCGGGCACAACCTTGACCTTGTTCTCCTCGCCCGCGATGGGCTCGCCAAGGGTCATATACGTGGGAACAACGCCAATCCACGTATTGTTCACAACGTCCGGATTCTGCAAATCAAACTTCTCGTCACTCGGCCCACCCGTGCGCGTCTTCGCGGACGCCGTCTCAATCCTCACTTTCAACACCCCCGTCGAAGTAATCTCGTCCTTTCGCGGCGGTTTCCGGCTATTCTCCCACCGATCCGGAATCGTGTTATCCGTAATCAGCTGCAGCGCCCACTGCACTTCCTCCGGATCCGTCACCAAATTCCCATACCCAAACACGACCGCGGAGCGATAGTTGCACGAATTATGAAACGGCGCCAGGGCAAGGACATATCCATCGAAAAGCGTCCCACAGACAGAGAGGGGCAGTTCGCCGTGCTCGGTCAGTTTGAACAGCCGTGCAACACTGGAGCCGTGCAGGTAGACGCTGGGTTCTTCGTCGGTGGTGTAGGTTGCTATGGCGCCTAGCATGGGGAGGACGGTGGGGAATTGGGGGCCGGCATCCTTGGCGGGGGCGTTGAAGGAGACATGGAGGATGGGCGTGTCGTTTATGATGGTGTGGATTAGGTCGGAGTCGTATTCGGCTGGGTCAAGCAAGTAGTGTGTTAGTCGATCGATGGATGGTAGATAGATGAGTGAATGGATGGAAGATCTTACTTCGTTGCTTCAGTCTGTTTCCCTTGCTGAGTTCCGTGGGCGTGTAGAGTGCTGACGGCGCCATGGTTTCGAGTCAAACCAACAATGCTGCTGCTGCTGATAGGTGTCTGTCCCGTTCGGTAGAGCGTCTCTTGGCTGGCTCTTATATCTCGTCCTAAATACTATCTGTCCGACACGCCGCAATAACCGCTCTCACGCCCTTTGATGTACTTGCAGTGAATCTAAGGCGTAGATAGGAGCAAGGGAAGGGAAGGTAAGGTAGGTTGCATCCATTGGGTCTTGGAGAGTGAAGTGAGCTTTGGTTTCGGCTGCGACTTCCTCAATGGGTGTGCTCTTGGAGTATGCAGGTGGTTGGTGGTTGAGAGCTCTTGGAGAGCGAATCAAATTGGTGGGATTAGTGTTGCGTGCTGAGTGTGGTAAGCGGATGAGATGAAGGGATGGGAAATGATAGCGCTGGCGCTCTCTTTGATATCATAATGGTTTCTTCTTTATTAAATTGTTGTACTGGTGGTGAAGTAGTGTAGAACGCTGGTATTGCTCAAAGAAGTGGTATCATATCTGCGATTCATTCCTATATTCGTACACCCCATCCAAAAACCAAAACGCCGCGCGCAAAACTTCATCTGTCGATGTCACATCCTTCCTTCCCCTCTACACCTTGTAGCCCTCCAACTCCCTCTCCGTCCACTCCCACAACTTCGCCGCCAACTCATCATCCGCCGCCGCAGGCACCAAACTTCCCCTCAACCCCACAGGCTCATAATACGTCCCATTCACCACCTGTCTGGGCCCATCCCCCAACGGCGCCGTCGCAGCCCACTGCTGATTCCACGCACACTGCTCCGGCGGGATCATAAACGACCACGACGTGGTGTAGACAAGCGCTTTCTGCCAGAACGTCAGGCCGCCGACGAGCCCCGTCGCGGAGACGCCGGGGTGGACGGACACGGAGGTGATGCTCGGGTGGTGTTTGGCGTAGGCGCGGGCGTAGAGGAGGTTGGCGAGTTTGGACTGGCCGTAGCGCATCCACTCGCCCATGATGGGGAAGATGTCGGTTTGCGGCGTTTTGAGCTTGTCGAAGAGGATGCCGCCGGTGGGGTGGCCGCGGTGGCCTAGGGAGGTGTCCCAGACGATGCGGACGTCGTGGCCTTTTTGGGCGGTGGCTTCGAGGAGCGGGGTGAGGAGTTTGACGAGGAGGGCGTGGCCGACGTGGTTGGTGCCGAATTGGATCTCGTAGCCGTCTTTTGTGAGGCCTGCGGGGACGGCCATGATGCCGGCGTTGCAGGAGAGGATGTCGAGTCTGGATTCTTTTGAGAGGAAGTGCTTGGCTGCGTCGCGGACTGCGTCGTGGGAGGCGAGGTCGCATTTTAGGAAAGTGACTGGTGTATTTGGGTATTTCGCCTTGGCTTCTTCGGCCACCTTGTCGGCGGATGGCTGTGATCTTCCGGTGAAGTAGATGTGTGCCGGGTTATGCGCGGCAAAGGACAGGACAGATTCTTTTCCCAGTCCGCCTGTACCACCGGTGATGAGGAGGACCTTGCCTGAGAGGTCGGGAATCTCCTTTTCAGCATCGAAGACAGGCTTCTTCATCAGATTGAGTGCCCACGCCATGGTGATGTATCTTTCTCTGGTTCTTCAAGCCTGGCAATGGACTCGAGAGCTTTCAATGTTGTGTCTTTGTTGTCGTTGGAAGTGGGGTCGAAAGAGTTGAAACTGGAATGCTGTCTCACACCTTACCTGCTCGCGGCTCGTTTTTATATCGCACCTACATCATCGTCCCAAGCCATTGACAAGACTCCAGTTCTAGGCGAATACCGGTCGTACTCGCACCTTATTGCCGCCGCCGTGACAAGACTTCGCAAAGTGCTGCCCTTCGCGTGCCCTCAGCTGGCAGGAATAGAGTTGCGGGTTGCTTGGCAACGGCTGCGGCGGGTGCGGCCGCTGGCTTCGGTTCCATGTTCTCCCGACGGGACAGGAGAGACACCTCACTCACTGTCTCATCGTCTTGGTATCTACGAAAAATGCTTCTGCCTGGTGTATATGCCAGACGACGATGCAAGCCGCAGTTAAAGTCCGGATCGTGAGAATCAGCTGTGACGCTTCTTACGTGCGAAAGCAATATGCAATGGCGGATAGTGTAGCACTTCATGCCGAAATATTCCGGACGGCTCAGTGCCAACAATGACGGCTTCTTTCTGGACGCTACCAAGAATCACCATACGTATAGGGCGCGTACGGACTTATTCTACAAGATTTTGAAGTTCTCCCCGATACTCTGACCCTCGAGTGCCTCCCTCCTGCTCTTGCTCGCCGGATCGAAATATGGACGCTCTCCAATACCAACAGCTCTGTTCCCAGCACGATCACCCAGGCCATCAAAATCAAATGTCGCGCAATGGAACGTATTCCGGTTATCCCATAAGGCTATGTCGTTCACATTTTGCCAATGGAACCGGCATTGCAGGTCATGGTTGTCCTTTAGGAGGGTCTTGAACCATCCCAGGAACATGGCGCTTTCTTCGACTGTGACGTTGTTGATGAACTGGGCGTGCTGGCCAACGGGATACACGCTCTTCCACCCGGTGACGGGATTGGTGCGGACCACTGGATGAACTGCTGTGAGGGAACTACCGACGTTCCCTGGGGAGCCGCGAGGCTTGGTGTAGAGATCGATGTTACTCCTCTCAGCGGCGGCGATAAAGTCTGGGCGAGAGAATGTGCAGGTCAAGCCCTCCAAGAATTTCTGGACTGGAGGCGAAATGCGATCATAAATCTCGTACCCTGATGCCCACAGAGTGTCTCCGCCGGTCTTGGGCAACTGGGTCAGACGAAGGCTAGAGTAATCGGCTGGGACAGGTTCAAAGGCGATGTCGCTGTGCCATTGGTCGCTGCTTTGCTTCTTGTGGCAGCGACCGTCCTGCCCCTCGACCGAGTAGAGCTTCTTGAACAGCCTCGAGCTGATGGTGGAAATTTGCTGGTCTGGATCCCTCTTCTCGTCGACTTCACCCTCTGAGTTGAGCACAGGATGGATGTGGAGTGTCGAACTTGATGGCTTCCCAGCAAGTTGACCCATTCGATGGACGAGTTCCTTCTGGAGATCGTTGGTCAGGCTGTCTTGCTTGCGGAAAAATACCACTCCGCGGGAAGAGACTGCCATCAAGTCAACAACAACATACATCTCAACCCATTCGTCTTCTTACTTGTATAGGCCAGCTCCCTGAGCAGCTCATGTGCGTTCGGAGCTTGAAGCCAGTCCACAAGATCGACTTTAGGGAACTCTCGACCGATGACTGGAGTCAGATCGAATTGCTCATAGTGATCAAGAATCCCCGTTGGCTTCAATGGCGTGGTCTTTATGCCATTGCCGTTGGAGTGACCACTCTCCGCCCGCAGAGACACATTCTCCGAAGCATCCTCAAGACTTGTTGCGATTGGAGCCATTTTGGACTCTTTGGCTAGGTAAGAAGTATATCCACAAGCGTCTTCTGGTAAGGTGATAGAGAATGACTTAACTCTACTGCCTGGCTTTCAACTTAACGTCAAATCCTTTTGTGGACACCACTGCCGTGGTTGAGGCGATGTAACAGCTGCGTGAGCTGCCACTGATCAGACAGCTCGATGTGACGTGATTGCTGAGCTCTCTTGCGTTGCGATCAGGGTCTATCCATATCGACTTCGCGATCTATCGCGACTCTGCGCATCGAAATGGACCACCGACTAATTCACTCACATGTACAACTAGTGACTTTACAGGCGCCATGTGACAGCCACGTGCAAGGCGTACTTTTTGTCCCAAAAGGTGAATATCGAGAGACTCGTGAAGAGTCCCCGCAGCGGAGACATGGAGCTACGAGTGTATTCACCTGCCAGCTCGCTGGAAAGCTTCCGCTTCAGGCTATAAGTACCGAGCATTTCTTCCTCTCTGAACATCAGCAAAAACAACCACAACCTGATTCGAGGTTCAAAAGGAGATCCATTCGTACAACCCATACACCATCCACAACACCTCAGACATGGCCGCCGACACCCTCACCATCGAACAAGAGTACGCCAACCGCGGCGCCTCCCTCCTCGACGCGGAGAAGAAAGCCATCGCCCTCTTCGACGAAATCGAGAAGACCCTCGTCCGCTCCGGCGTCCGCGAGAAGCAGCTCAGCGACGAGATTCACAAGCTCGCCAAGGAGCGGTATGGCGTCCGCACGCATTGGCACAAGCGTGTCGTTCGTGCTGGACCAAACACCCTCTCCCCATTCAAGGAGGACCCGCCGGATCGAGTGATCGAGGAGGATGACATCCTCTACGTCGACTTGGGCCCGGTGTTCGAGGAGTGGGAGGCGGATTTTGGACGGACGTTTGTGTTGGGGGAGAAGCCTGAGGCGGCGAAGGTGGCTATTCGGGATGCTCTTGATCCTGTTTGGTGAGCCAAACCTCCTACTATCCCTTCCACATCAACTCCACTAACCTCTTACCAGGCACGCCATCAAAGCCCGCTACGACGCCGACCCCACCATCACCGGCGAACGCCTCTTCGAGATCTCTGGCGAAGAAGCCGGCAAGCACGGCTACCAATGGGGCGCGAACATCGCCGGCCACATCGTCGGCTCCTTCCCGCACGAACGCATCCCGGACGGCATGACGCAGCTGTATATCATGAACGGCAATCATGAGAGTATGGCGAAGCTGGGCAAGGATGGGCATCGGCGGCATTGGATTTTGGAGGTTCATCTTCAGGATCCGATTGTGGGGGTTAAGGGGTTTATGGAGCAGTTGTTGACTGTTTAGAGTGGTGGTGATGAACTGGGGAGGGAGGGATGGTTGGGGGTTGGGGAAGGGGAGATTCTGAAGTTTGGCTTTTTGGAGAATTGGTCCTCTTGACCACGTCTTGCTTCTTCTTTGCCACCCTACGCCTCCCAAAAAGATCCAGCTGCGATGGAGTTCGAACGGTTGATTAGCTTGGCGCAGCTTTCATTCACTCACCATCCCCACAACACGTGAGAGATCCAGCGCGCCAGCCACAGCAGCTCTCATAGACACAAAATGTAAGACTATTGATTCAGCAAGTTCAAGACCAACCCGAAATACAGTCTCAAGTCCACTCATTCCCCCGTCTCAAAATTTCTGTCTTCGCCAAGTTTCTCGAAATGAATTGTCTCAGAAACTTCGACATGCAAGGCAATACCGGGGCTTCTTTGTCTCAACACCTTCGAGACAGTCGTAGAACAGACCGCACTGAAAGATGAACGTATGCTTAAACAGACATTCTCCACATCGTCAGTCCACGTCAATCAGTTACACAATCATCGAACATCAACAACAGACTCAGCACCCAAAATGAACCCCACAACCCCCAACAAACCCATCCCCCCCATCGATCCAACCACCCCCTCCCCCTCCCATCCCTCTCTCACCTCATCCAGACCCTCCCCCTCAACACCCACAAAATCCCGCACGCCAACACTGACCTACACGGAGCTCGAGTTGGCATGCGAGAACTTGAGCATCGGATGGGATGTTCAGAAGAAACAAATTCTGGAGTTGAAGGAGCGGAATGCGCGGCTGAGGGGGCTGCTTGGGAGGAAGGGGAGGGGGAGGGGGAGGAAGGGGGTTAGGTTTCGTAGTGGGAGGAAGAAGAAGGGGGAGAGGGAGGGGGTGGTGAATGATGATGCTTGGGTGGATGTTGAGGGATCGCAGGATCGGCCGGAAGCAACGACGACGACAACGACGGCGAGGCTTCTCGCCGAGAACGCAAGACTGCACCATCTGCTCCTGCAGACCATCAAATTCCGGAAACGATTCATCCCTATCCAAAACGCCCGCCACACTCGCCTCATACCAGCCTTGAAAGCCAAACTCACCCACCTCACCCACCACACTACAGACCTCCAAGCCGAAGTCGCCCACCTCCAAACCTCCCACGCCGACCTCCTCGCCCAAACCACCGCCCTCCAGCAACAACTCCAAACCCTCTGGACAGAAGGCACCGCCCTGCAGCAGCACGCCACGCACCTGACGCATGAGAACGAAACCCTGCACTCCACCATCAGCGACCTGAACAACGACCTCGCCTTCGCCACCTCCTACGCCCAACAAGCGCAGTCCTGCGTCGAGCGCCTCGCGGCCGTGAACGGGGAGTTGGAAATCGCGTTGGAGGGCCGGATATGCAAGCTCACGTCTGGACAGCCGGGTTGGTTGATGAGGCAACTCGATCTGCAGGAGAGGGAGATGGGGGGACGGGTCGAGGAAGTTGGGGCTTCTTCGAGTTCCGGGTCGGGGGTGCTTGGTCGGAGAGGAGGAGGGCGTGGTGCTGCTGCGAGGATGGATCGAGGAAGACGGGATCTTGCTGTGATCGAAGGCCCTGACGACGAGGTCTGTGACTCCAGGTTTCGGAGCTTGATCGCGAGTCTCAGCCGTGTCCTGCACAGACGACGCTTGCGCCAGGAACAAGCTCATATCAATATGATGGGAGCGGTCTGGGTTGCGGTATTCTGGATGCTGTTTTCCGTATTCTTGCTCGTGGTGTTGAGGTAGCCGTACAGGACCTTGGTGCGAAGGCGATCCAGGGGTGGGAGGTTGTGGTAATTCGTGCTTTTGAATTGGTAAGGAGCGATTTGTAGTGGTTCTGAATCGGGACGTTGCGATGCACGCTATCCACACATTCTCGCTATTACAGCTCATTAGCATTGGCTGTTCCCGAGGTCCTGAATCAGTGTAAACGAAAAGGGAAAGTGACAGTTCGCTTTTCTGGTCTTTCAATCGAGCAAGTCTCCTCTCAGAGACCCGCCTCGTTTGATTTCCGCTTCAGAAGAGTTCTACCACTCCCGTCAGCTTCGACGTATATCAGGATAACGAGTATGAAAACAGAACGAACGCCACGCCTGCCATATGCATGCAGGCTCCTCGCCGGAGAACCATCTCCATGCCCCTGCGCCGCCGCTTTGCAAAACAAACAAATCGATCAAGAAATCCTCTCCTCTAATGCGAAACCCATGTCAAACAACAAAAGCAGGGGCGCCATTCAGCACTTGAATAGCGATGTATCATGCGAGCACAACACCAGCGCAATGCTCTCTTCTTTCTTCCTTCTGTAGTTTAGTAGTGTTGGTGGTAGCGACGGTTTGTGTGTGATGTGTGGCCTTTTTTTCCCAGCTGTGGTGGCGGTCGGCGCAGAATGTCTATATGTGCATCAAAGGCAACAGGCTTTTGTTCTTTTCCCCCGTGTCCAGTCTATGATTCCATGCGCTCCAGGCGCATTGTGATGTGCGTGTGCATGGAAGTGATGTCCGTCATGGCAATTCGGCGCTTTCATTGCGCTGTCGCTGGCCCCGAGCATGTGCCGTAAAGTCGTGAATCCCGCGCGTCTTTCGCGGGAGTTTCATCTGCGAACTGGGATCGCAAATTACTCCTTCTCACCGATGTGTCGTTCGCTCTCTGGCTTCCATGTGCCTGGGATCTTGTTAGTGATGCAATTTGTGCCAAACTTCGGAGATATGCTTACCTTCAAAAGTGTGGTGAACAAAGGCCATTGGATCGTCGATATCACCGGCGCCCATCTGTCCAACACCTGGCGAGAATGACGTGATGGGCAAGACAACAACATCGCCGACTTTTTTGGCCTGGGTAATACCGGTAAACTGCTGCCAGGTGATGTTGCCCTTGCTCGTGGACATGTCGAAGTAGTCTGGGTTGTTGAAGAATTTGAAGATGCTGTCCGTCCAGAGCGCTGGTCCTGTGAACTCGACCACGCTCTTCATGTGCTTCATATCCAGTTCTCCGGCCTTCTTTCTGCGCAGCGTCTCTTCAGTGATGGTTGCGACGATGTCGACGAGCACTGGATGTCCTGGCTTGCTCTGAATTGTCCACTGGCAGAACTGAATCCTGCGCGAGTACCAGTCGTGCCAATCTGGACGATCAGGGTCTGCCTCAATTCCCACCACCAATCCGTAGCTCGTTCTTGGTACCTCGGTGGGGACCCATTCTACCGCAGATTTGAGAGCGGTCGTATCGATATCGGTGTAGATACCACCTCGGGCGAGTAGGATGAGGTATCTGAAGAAATCGGCTTTGAGGACGGCGACAGGGAGGGCATCGTAGGCTTCTTGGACTTCGGGAATGCTGGCGTAGAAGTGACGGATGAGATGGACGGCGACTGAGTCAGTAATGACTTCGTGCACGAAACTGGGATGAAGTTCTGTCCATGACGCCTCTGCTGGCCTCCACTCTTCTTGAAAGTCTCCTGATGACGGGGTGTATTTCCATGTCTGCCAGATATAGGCGGGGAATTTGCCCTCGACATCGTATGGGAAGGTGTATGCGAGCTGCTGTCGCAGAGGCTTCAACTTCAAGTCTTCGAGGGCGATTTGCGGTTGTTTTGGCTTCTTGGACAACGCGACGCGGCCTTCCTGGTCGACATTGCTGGAGCCTCCAGTCGATTGAGGCTTCGTTACCTCGACGGGGATACTCGAGTGCTCAGGGCCGGCTTCGACGATCTTTCGGTTCTCTTCGTGGGTGCCAGTAGGTTTGGGGGAGTTGTTGATTTTGGTTGTTGCTACTTCGGGGGCAGTTGGGTGGTGGTTCCGTAAGAGCAGGAAGACGGTAAGTATTACGGCGGCGACAACGAGGGCGCGGCGGAAGGTGAGCATGATGGCTCTGGGGATAATATTATTAAGGACCGCCGAGCTGTCGCGGGGTCTGGAGGAGGTCGAAAAGAGTGACGGGAAGTGAGCGGCTGGCGAGTCGAGGAGGCGAGTTGGCAGGGCGTTGGCCTGTTAAGAAGAAAGCCAAAACGCGGGTGGGTGCGGTGAAGTTTGGGTAGGTAGGGTGCAGGTACGGTACGAGCAACGTCGTCGCAGCCCAGGAAGGCTCAGGCCGGACCCCGTGCGCGGTGGGCGTGCAAGGACAGCGACGTGGTGAATGATGCTGCTGAGAGGAGCGCTCGGACCCTGCTCGTTATTTTTGCCCCTGCAAACCCCGTTATTGGCTGCCGATGACGATGGCCATGTTTTTGGTAGAGGAAAAGTGCTCTCTGGAGGAGGGGACCCGGCGGTGGTTGGAATTAATGATTAGACGGCGAAGCGTACCTGATCAAGATTGTTATTTCACAGCCCTGCACCCATGCACTGTGGATGGCACATGCAGCACAGTCAGCCGGATGGCGCGATGGATAGATAGGCAGTGCTGGAAGAGCCTCTTGTTGCGTGTGCGACCGTGGGGGCAGCGGTGCTGATGATATGGCTGCGGCGAGAGGGACGAATGCTGCAGATGAGTGATAATGCGAACTGTGGTGCGCAATGTCACCGTCGCAGATTCCTCGCCCCGCCAGTCGGTACAATTCGAAGGCGATCCACCCAGTCTGCGATGCCCGTTGCAGCGGCCGCGTCGAGCGTTTCAGATGCTCCAGGAGGCGGGTTTCGCAGGCGTGTGGGCGAAAGCCGATCTTGGGGGGCGGCCATCACCATTTACATGTGCCTTTGGTGATTCCATCTTCCTCCTCCACCGCCGGATGTCATGACGTTACGTGTCAGCGCTTGCGCCGCCTGCTTCGCAGAGATGCACACTACGACGCGGCGACTGGAAGCGCGCAGCCTGCCGTCCCAAAGCCAACTGCCAGCTGCGACGACACTACAGCGGCCATAAGGACAGCCAGCCCTGAGAGCTGCGTTGCACCGCCAGCCCAGCCCAGCTACCGCGAATGCGCTCGCAGCTCGCAGCTCCTACCACAAGGGAACGCGCGTTCGGCGGCCATGCCATCCTGCATTGTCTGCTGCCCCGGACGGTTCATCCTCTGTGGCACCGAACAGAAAAGGAGTTTCTCCTGGGCTGCGAACAACACCAATATCTCAACGCCCGCCTAGCATCAACGGCTGTCCGTCGGTGGCTGAAACAGCCTATCCTCTCTCCGCCATGTCGTTTTCTGTACGTGACGTCGACAAGGTTTGACGTACAACACCAACACGCAGTACAGATGAACGGCCATTAGGAAGAACTTCCTCCCACAGCGACGACTTCCCGACGTGGAGGTTGCCGTGCACCAAGCACTAACCATCTGAAACACAGCATTGCGACACCTGCAGCACGCAAGGGAAGCTTGTGCAGTTCAATCGGTCGCCGTGTCGGGGCCGCGAGGGGCTTCGACATTTCTACACCAGTGGTTTGACTCAACTGCAGCACGCTCAAAGCACTTGTTGACTTCTGATCCGGCTATCCAGGTCGGTGGAGCCTCCCCTCTCTCCATCACACCCCAAGCTCCCCAAAGTCAACGCGTCCTGCGAGTGTCATCACTCCCACTCCATCCGGCGACGCTGTCCGAGTTCGTGGTTGGACTCCAGCGTCTCAAAACCCATCAAGCACTCGTCTGGACGACCAAGGAAAGGAGAATGAAAACAACGTGCTCTTCCGATACGAAAGTCTGTTACTATTTTCGCGCGACACTATACGAAGACGGCGCAAACGTTCGCAGATCTGAGTCTGAATGGACGCCGCACACGTTCGGCTAAGGAGTAATCAAGCTTTCGGTGGCAGCGCCGGATGGCGCAATGCACCTGCGAAGAAACTCTCGCTAAAGGTTTGACGTGGGAGGGCACTTCAAATCAACGAAAAGACCAACAACACTTGTTGGAATCAGATCTCACGTTCTGTGGACGCCTTTGATCAGACATACGAGATGCACCACCAAGCGAGCTAGCCTGCTATTTTCGCCGTCAGCACTTCCTCAACCATGGCACCACCAAAACGCCCAGCGCCAAAGCTTCCACCAAACCATTGGGCCCACTCGCACGTGAAAATGGTGGCTGCCATCCGCACGCCTCAACGAAAACCACTCTTCAACTATCGACAAGGGTATACGAACACCGTTCCAAGTTTTCGACCATTCCGGGCTCCACTACACGTGAACGGTGGCGTACCAAAGATTTCTCACCAGATAGCAGTCCGGCATCCCACGCATGATTGGAGTGGTGAAGCACCGCGTGCCTCCGAGATTTTAGATTGCTGTTGTGGACCTCTGTCTGGGAGGATCAGGAAGGAGCTTTCAGATTTGAGAGGAGTGCATACGTTGATGGATATTAACAAATGGTTGGCCAAAAGGCACGTCCCTTATGACACAGCCATAAGGGTGCTATTTATGCATTCATCTGACAGATATGGATGCCAGCCACCTCTCAATCACCGCGGAGACTACTGTCAACTCTTAGGCAGACCACGGAAGGCCATTGCGGTTAGCAAAATCACTGAAAGGTACCAGGAGCGGATTCGACAGCTTATCACGAGGTCTGCACTTCGGCCTTGCTAACCATTGATGAATACGGCCTTGGCTCGTCGGAATTCGTTCTCATCAACAGGTCGAACCTAGCATTTCGGCCATGGTGAACTGTTGGCAAGAGCATCATAATCCAGGCTTGGAATGGAGAAATCAAGCGATCTTCAATGTAAGTGCTGTCAATGCCGCCGTGTTCATCCTTGCTTCGCAAATCGCCCAGCAGACATGAGCATCCTTTGCACTCAACTGTTTTTAGCCAGCCACGTGTGAAGACGCTTTGCATTCGAATGAGTGAGCCGGCATGTCCTCCTCAATTTGCTCGCAGTGCAATTTTTATGCCAATTACAACGCTCGCGAGCTGTCTAAAAGTCATGTGAGCCACGAGGAACAGCTTGGTTGCCTTAAGAAGTCAGACAGATAACGACCCCGAGTGTTGCTCTTTGAGAAAAACGAGTCTCATCGATGAAGGTAACCGTTTTCTGTTTGTCACAGGTTCTTCTTCTCGTTGTTCACTGAATCCGATCCACAAAACTTCGACTTCATCTCAGTTTGGAGTCGACCTTGCATGTTATGAGCACCGCATTGAAAGTATAGCCACAATAGAGCAACAACTATTCACATTCGAGATTGCTAATCATATATCAACCATTCTGTCGACCTGCAGTATTGTTTGCAGCAAGATCTACCTCAGACGACGATCGTTAGCAAACTCGGTCGAAGGATTGCAGAAGACCTCCAAGAACCGACGACCACTCTCCATCTTTGGCAAAATGAACGGGAGCAGCTGGCGTGTTCTGCATTAGATGGGGGACACATCACCTCACCTCACCTTCTCTCAAGGTAAGAACGACATAAGAGGCAGTACATCTCACAGCGTATGAGCCAAACCTTTCTACTCCCTCATCATATCAACTTCACGTCCGAACAACCATAATGTCCAAAACCACCCACGAGAACCAACAAACCGCCGACCGCAACGCCTACCCTCTCAACCGCGACGTCCTCGCCTCCGCCCGCCTACACCTCCAACACCAAGTCTGGATCTCCTCCCTGCACTACCTCCTCCACCCATCCATCCCCCTCTCCCCACAACCACCAAAAACGCAACAACCCCAACCCAACCCCCTCCAAATCGCCGAAATCGGCAGCGGAACAGGCCTCTTCACCCTCCAACTCGCCTCCCACCTATCAACCCAGAACGTCCAAGCAGAAATCTATGCCTACGACCTCTCCCTCTCCCAATCCCCCCCTCAACCTTGGTGGCCCCCCAACACAACCTTCACCCCCCTCGACATCTTCGACCCGATCCCGCTCCACCTCATCTCAAAATACGACCTCCTCTGCTTACGCCATTTCATCTGCGTCATCCAATCGGGGAACCCCACGAGGTTGTTGAAGCAACTCCTGAGGATGCTGAAGCCGGGCGGCTGGCTGCAGTGGCAGGAGTGGGATATTTCGACGAATTGCCTGCTTTCCGCGGAGGGTGCAGTGGCGAAGGCGCCGAAGTTGAAGGCGTATATGGATCTCACGCAGGGTGTCACGGCGTTGCAGGAGCAGACGGCTTGGGTGAAGACTTTCCATACGCACCCACTCCTCGCGTCATCATCTCCGGAGGCGGAGTTGATTGTGCACGACCGGCATTGGACAGCCAAGGAGGTCTTTTTGTTGAAGCAGGAAATCGCCTTCTTGGGGGCGAGGGAGTGGAGTGAGAATTTGAGGGGGAGGGGGGAGGTGCGCGAGGCGGAGAGGATTGAGAGGGTGGCGAGGGAGGCGGAGGCGGAGTGTTGGGAGCAGGGCAGGGGGACGGTGGTGGATGGGGAGATGGTGACGTGGGTTTTGCGGAAGAAGGGAGGAGAGTAGCAGAGGACGGTAGCGGGAAGGGTTTGTGGTGAGGTAGTGGGTGGTCGTAGCTTTGAGGAAAAAGTCTTTTTCTCTTGTCGATTTCTCATTACACTTTCTGACAAACACACACACATGGCCCTGTCGCGGCATCGACAACGTCTTATGTGAGTTTCTCGCTTCATCCTTTCCACCTATCCAAGTTCCTCTCTCTCGTTCGCGCCGCAAAGATGCCCAGCCCAGCCCAACCCACGTTGATATGTACAAGACCTGTCACCCGCCGCGATGTTAGCAACACAACCCCCAAAACAGTAATACAGTGTTGGTGAAGTGAAGTAGGCGGGCGGAAGGCGGCAACTGAAGTCGGCATGGCATGGCATGGCGGGGCGAGACCCGTCTTTTTGCTTTGCTGGTTAGAAACAAGATCAGTTGCTGCACCAGGGCCGACTGACAATTTGCTCGTGCCTCATGTTCGAGCACCCTCTTATTCGGTTGGTATGCATGCCCTTTGACCCTATTCTGAGCGGGTCTTCCGATTTGGTGGGTCGCTCGCTTCATTCCAAAATCTCGTCATCGACATTCTTTCATTTTGCTTGAGTCTGAGGAGATTGGGGCCTGCCCCAAAAGTCCATTGAGGCGATAACGTCGTCGCCGACTTCATCTTCGTAAGCAAACAGGATCTGCAGGTAGTTAGTAATGTCAATGTCATACGGTGATGTATGATTGCGCTCACCTCTCTCGTGCTCTGGTGCAAGAATCGAATGTTCTTGTGCGTCTGTATGCACACAAGACCACCCGTGTCACTCTGCCGGATTTCGATAAACTCCGGCTCGAATGCAAGAATGTACTTCTCTCCCCATGTTGCAAACGCTTGGGGTGAACCTTCCCACAAGATCTTCCAGTCGCCCCTCGCTCTCCAGCCGTTCTTGTTGACGTAAAAGGAGAAGTCGTTGTAGCAGAGCAGGAACTCTGAGGTATTGCGTTCGATGTAGATTGGCTTGACATTCTCCTTTCGTGCAACAAAGTCGAGCGAGGTGTCGGCTTGGTCGAGCAGCGATTGCGTCTCGAGGGTCTCGAGCGAGACAATCTCGAAACCCTTGGCACCGCCGACACAGAGCTTGGATCTTAGGAAATGGATGCTGTTGCTTTCCATAGGGATGTAGAACTCCTTGTATGGCTTCAGGACTTCTTGGCCACTTGCCAGCATCTTTGCCAGTCCGGACTTCTTCTTCCCCTTGGTCATCGAATCCATAGGCTCAAAGACCTTGACCGTTGAAGATAATGACGATGACTTGACACAGCACACCAAGGTCTGTCCATTGCACATGCCCGCGCTGATATAGCTGGCGTGGCAAATCTTTCTTCCTCGCTTCGATGGCGCACCTGGGCTTTCGTCTTCGAGTGCTTCGAGCGGAAAGCTGTACACAACTTTGTCGGCGAGCACAATCAAGATCTGGTGCTGCTCGAGGACTTCCAGTTGCGTCACAAGCTTCGTATCCAGAACTCGCTTCGGCTTTTGAGAAGCGTCCTTCGGTTTGCGCTCGCAGACGTACACACCAAAGTCTGTGCCAATGACCAACTTCCTCCCGCCATCAATAGGTCGGCAGCAGTTCACTCTGACGGTCGAGTTGAAATAGCCCTCGTTGAGCTTCGACATGGTGAAGATCTTGTGTCGTTCGGAGAGCTTCTCCTTCTGGGTCATGATGTGCTCCATCCACTTTTCTCGTTGTACTTGAGACGTGCAGTACAATGTGAGCTCGTAGCCCCCTTTACCGAGTCCTTTGAAGGTGATCGGATAGCCTTGCTCGTTGGGGGCTGGTCTAGCTGCTACTCTGCCCACACCAGGGATCATGCTGGATGATGGTCGCTTTGAGATGCCCATTCTTGGTAGGACGTGATCCATTTCTTTGATTTGCAAAAGCTCCAAAGGAATGGGCTTGCGGTACACTCGCACTTCCTCCCTCTTGTTGACCGTCTTCACGCGGACTATGAGGACGGCATGATCGAACAAGTAGGCTGTCACGTCAGCCTGCTCAGACGTCAACTGCTTCTTGAGATTGCTCTTGAAGATGAGCTGTCGCGACTCTTCCGTGAGCTTGAGATCCATGTGAGGGATAGTGCCCCATTTGAGCTGCGAGTTCAGATTCATCAAGTTGAAGTGGTTTTCGGACTTTCCAGACTCCTCATTGACCTTGCCTAAGAATTGGCGAATCTGTTCCACGGCCTTGGGAATGTCCTTCATATCCGGGTTGTTCTCCTCGGTGAACTTCAAGACATTCTCTAGTAACAATGGATACCTTGCCAAACGAGTGGTGGGCTTCGTGAGATAACCGTTCAGCTCCAACTTTCGAGACTCTTTCAGACGCTCCGTGTCCTCGGTGAACTTCGCAAAGGCTGGGTTTGACCCCTTCTCCTTCTCAAACTCGAATTTACCAAACAGCTGATTCGCACCGTATCTGATAAATGGGTGGAACTGCGGGACGTATTCGAGGAAGATATCGCCGACGTTGCGGACGACTGGGTTTTGCTGCTGACGTCGTGTCAGAGCATTCGCCATCCGTGCGTTAACGCTGTGCACCTCCTGACAGTTCGAGAAGACCGTCCGGATGAACTTTTCGCGTCGATGTTCGGGGATTGGTGAGATGTCGGGCATTCTCAGTGGCTTGATCCAGAAGTCTCGCAGATACTCGAGGTCCTTGACAAAGTCGCGCTCGGTGTACATGATCTCAGAAATGACTTCCTGTCGCTTCTTCTCTTTATCGCTGACGCTGTCCGAAATCTCCTTTGAGACGGTGTTGATCCACAGCTTCTGTTCGTTGTCGACTTCATCGTGCAAGCTGGCGCGAGACGTCTCCCGCTTGAGGCCAGGCGTGACCTTCATGTTCAGGCGCTGCTGCTGCTCCAAGCGCCGAGGGCATGCAATGGAGTAACAAAGATTATCTCGATTGCATGTTGGGGAATAGCATTCGGTCAAAAGCGTAAAGACGCCATTGACTTCGGGAGGCTCCTCGTTGATCGTTTCCTTGAATTGATATACCTCATTCGGCGAGTCTCTCAGACGATGAGCGTAGGCAACTTCGTGGAAGAACTTTTGCGCATCCAGCGATCGGCCCAACAGCAGAGCCAAGTTACGGTCCGAAGTTCTGATGATGTAGGCAATGAGCTCAACCGCCTCGTATCCGCTGAACGCATTCTTGTACACCAATCCATCTTTCTCCTTCTCTTGTAGCGGGACCCGATCTCGGAATGCAGATGCTACATTCGAGAGCAGCGCGCCATAAACAAGCGAGGGTCGTTTCTGTGCCACCATCGTGCCAGTACGTGTGAGCTGGCTGTCCGAACGTTGGGCGTTACCAACGGAAGGCCTGGGCGAGTGGTTGTCCGAGGGTGATACGACAGTAGATGCCATCGACATAGATCTCGACCCATGACTCCCTGCACTGGGATGTCGCCCGTTGACATGGCCATTGGGCGTCCTCTCCGGATGATAGCCATTTGTCAATGTTTGCTCACTCGCGTTTGTCTCACCAGACTCCCTTCTGCGATTTGGAATGACCCTACCGCTAGCAGTCTGCGAGTAGTCCGTGTCTCTTGTATACGACGATATGGACATTGTCCGCTCGTCCTGCGGCCTATCAGGCACAACTCTTCCATGTGGGGTGGTTCGTGCAAGGTGCTGATTCATGTGAGGTTGTTGTCGAAAGGCGTGTGCGGGATTGATAGCATAGTTGCCGCCGCTGGGAGGCTGATACATCGGTCGGGTGGTGGTCGCGAGCGATTGCGTGCGGAAAGAATCGTTGTTCAACGCAGGACCTGGTGGACCGTACGGACGCTGGGTGAACGAGCGCTGGTACTGGCCCGGCGGAGGAGCCCCTCGCGCATCAAGCCGCTGTGGCTGGCCATATGGAACTCGGTCTGGTCGGATAGGCTGCGGCAGATTCTGAGGCGGCGGTCGTCGCTGAGGCGATGGGCCCCCATTCGGATACTGCGGCTGTGGGGGTGGGAGGCCGTTGGGGCCATCTGAGGAGCCTGGTGGTCGTGGATAGCCGTTTGGCTGCTGGACACCAGGACGGACAGGAGGGGCTCGCTGCATGTACTGGGTGGTGGCGGCGGACATGGTGTTGGCACGGTCGCCCGGTATAGGTGGAGGCAGGCCTGTCATCGTCTGACTGCGGCCTGGAGGGGGTGCGCCGCCAAAGATGTTGCTGTATGCGGCATCTCGCTGAGCGCTGGAGGCCGGGCCGATGTTGGGTGGAGCGGCGCGGGCATAATCGCGTCCCTGATACTGAGCCATGCTGGCGGCGGCGTGAGTCGGTGGTGCTGGCTGCCGCCGAGTCTGCCAGACATCCGGCCCTGCCCTCGCCGCAGCCCTGCGCGCAGACCCAAACTGTGCGTGCCGCGCTCGTCACCGTCGTCTCAGCGGCCGTTGCCCGCAGGGTGCTGGGCGGAGCGGAGGGGTTCGCGGCGGTGGATCGGGCCCCGATGGCGGCGTAAGGGTAGGTCAGAGGGCGCCTAGGGCGATATGATATGTACAGGCGAGCGGAGGGCAGCGGAGGAGGCGCGTGGGCGAGGAGGGAGTGTGGTGGGCGTGGTGTGCGAGGTGCTGGACTGAGGTGCTCTCCGCCCTCGCTAGCCAACAATCCCTGTCGAAGGCACAGGGTCGAGGCCGTGGGCGATGGACGAGGATTGCAGACACGGCCGCACACGCTGAATCAAATCAGATATTCGGCGGATTGGCTGCAGTGAATGGGGGTGAAGGATGTCGTCGTCGTTGTCACGCCCGCGACTTGCGCTGGCTGCAACTCGACCGCGAGTGGAAGTCTCTTGGCTTCAATGTCACGTGCGTCTGGCCCATTCGTCTAGCCCGGCTTGGAAGCTGTACCTCCGTGCCGACACTACTACTGAGATCATCATCGACCTCGCCGCTCAATAGCTGCGCAAACAACCACGACATCGCCGAGAAACGATCCACACTATCCGTCTTCCTCACCGGGCTCGCAGCCATGTCTACGACCGAGTTGACACCCAAGTTTGCGCCCTTCTTGGGCATGGCAGGCATCGCCTTTGCCATGATCTTTGGATGTAGGCTATGGAAAAGAGCACGCTGGCAGGAGGAATACTAAAGGGGCATGCAGGTGTTGGAGCAGCATACGGCACGGCAAAGTCTGGCATCGGTATCGCAAATGTCGGAACCTTCAGACCAGACCTCATCATGAAGGTATGCGGAAGCCTACGAGACGGAATATGAGCAGGACACAAGGTCTGACAATACGTGCAGTCTCTAATTCCAGTCGTCATGTCTGGTATTTTGGCTGTATACGCGCTGGTGGTGGCAGTCCTGATAGCGGGAAACATGAGGCCTCCGCCCGACATGGAATACAGTTTGTTCAACGGCTGCATGCATTTGGCCTGCGGTCTCTCAGTCGGCTTGACTGGACTCGCAGCGGGATATGCCATTGGAATCGTTGGAGACTCGGTACGTGGATTGTGCGTGTTCTTTGGGGTTGAGACGGCTAACAGTGGGCACAGGGCGTACGCGCGTACATGCAACAGTCACGGATTTTTGTCGGCATGGTGCTCATTCTCATCTTTGGTGAGGTTCTGGGTCTCTATGGGTATGTTGGGGATGCAACGCGTACGAAGACATGAAACTGACTGTCGGCAACAGGCTGATTGTCGCCCTTATTCTGAACACGAGAGCATCTGGTTAAGAGTCGAGTATTTCCAGCGTTTCGCATGATCCCATCGCGCTGCATGCTTCATTCAGTAATGGCTGGCTGTCAGCATTCTCAGCCTGGCTGCGTTACCGCAACAGAGTTAGGAGCATTAGGTTGCCATGTCGGCAGGCTTCAGCAACAATCAATAAAATTGCCTCGGATTGAGGCTCAAGAACGATGCTGTTGTGAGCAGTAATAATAAGCTGCAGGCAAAAGATCCGACAGCGAGAGATCTGCCTCGGCCATGCATGTACGCAGCAAGGCAGCAGATGTGTATATTTATGTACTGTATGAAACGAGTGGCAAACACACCCAGTGGTCGAGGAACACAACCTTTCATCAGCAACACAATATCCATCACCATCTACGAATCTTCAGAAATTATTTTCCTATTGTTTTCCTCGCACGAGAATGCGTGGCCTGTTGCGAGTTGGTTGAGGTGATCGACAGGATGCAGCTGACGCCCGGAGTTTGGCTTTGGCTTTGGAAATGCTGGAGCCTGCGTGAAGAGCCGCTAGCGAGCGACAGTCCAGGCTTCTGAATTCCCTACCACCACTACCTACTCCACCACTCTGCACCAAGTGAGATTCGCTCTTACAATCATCACCATCACCGTGGACTGTTATATCGAATTCGAACCGAATCTGCCGCCCGGACGACCAAGAAAGCGACCACAGGACTGGACGACGGGGACGCGCAAGCCGTGCTGAGGCACAAACCCCAGCTTGAGTATTATGCGCCTGGGACACGATGGAAGCATACCGCCATGCGCATCAGGCGCATACCCGGACGAGCCATCTCACCAAACTGTACTCTGATGCGAAGAAAAGCGCCCTTACAAGTCTGCAAGTGCAGTCGACGGCAAATGCGCAGTATGCCTCGCTCCACCGGAAGTACCGAATCCAAAAAGACCGCCTGATCACATGGGGCCTGGAGTGGAGTGATGGCGAGAAGGGACCTGACGGCAACATTGACGAATCCATTGCGAAGGCTGGTCTCACGGAAACTGTCGAAAGTGTTTTGCACAATATCCAGGAAGTCATCGAAGAATCCGAGCGGATCAAGTCGGCCAGCTTACCCATCACGAAACCTGGAGAGGCGTATCCACAGCAGCCTGCAGTCTTCGACGAGGCACGGTACGAGGATCTCCTTCGTGATTTGACTGCTTCGATCGACACGCTCTATGATCTGTCAATATCTCGACGGGCACTTGCTCGTGGCGAGCATCCCACCTTCGAGCCCCACGTCTACGAATCTCAGCCCTACGACGAGTTCCCTCCCGAGAAGCCATCTGCGGCCAAGGCGAAACCACAACCACAACCGTCAAAAAAGAGCCTCTTCAGCAATCTTGCGTTCAATAGCTCTGAGACCACATTGGTCAACCCAACCTTCAACCGACCTGCATTGTCGCCATATGCAGGGCTCCCGGCCCGTATCGAAGCTTCCGCATTGCGTCTCCCAAACGAAGGACCGCCCCCATATGAAGCTATTGGCGTGCCATCGACGACACGAATGGTGGCTTTGCTCACCAGGAAGAAGGTGTCCGAAAGTGTGCAGGCTGCACTTGGAAGCCCAGCACCAGAGGTACCGGTCCTGGTTGAATATGCCAACTTCGATTCTACCTATCGCGATACTGGCGTACCTCCTCCGCTTCAGCGGTTGGAGGCTCTAGCCAACTTCTTCCAACCAATGCGAGCAGACTCTCAGACCAATCTCAGCTTACTCGGCTACTTTGAAGATATGAGCCAGCCCCGTGTTGGTCTTGTATACGACTTGCCTTACTCTATCCAAAACAGGCTGCAGGCTGGGAGCACACCAGAGCCATTGGCGCCACTCAGTCTTCTGAAGCTCGTGCAGAAGGCCAACAAGGCACAGAACCAGGGCCCAGAAATGCCGCCACCTGCCTTGGAGCATCGTTTCCGCATGGCTCTTCGCCTGACAGAACAGCTCCACTCTCTCCACGCCCGACAAATAGCCCACGGAAACATCAACAGCAGTAGCATCATCTTCACCACCACCGACAACGAGACTGAAGCAAATCGTGTTGAGCAATTAAGGAAGCCGCTATGGGCGTCTTTCGATCTCTTCTCCAAATGCACCATCGAAGGCATTCGGCGAGCAATTGACTTTAACATCTACCGACATCCTCGTGACGAGCCAAGCAGCAACCCGAACCGAGACTTCCCAACTGATATCAAGTATGATTTGTATGGACTAGGGCTGGTACTTCTTGAGATCGGCCTCTGGACTCCAATTGGAGATCTTTACAAATCGAAGTACACTCTACCAGACTTCAAGCTAAGGCTCGAGAAGATCTGGATCCCTAAGCTTGCCTCAAAGGCAGGCTCTGCATACATGCGTGCCGTTGAGACCTGTTTGCGACTTTCTGATGACCAGGACAACTCGCGACTGACTGTCGAAGGCATCTACGGAATTCTACTCCAGTTCCTGAAACGATGTTGCCTCCTAGACGATGTCGGCTCCTCGACTGAACTGATACCCGCATCAGAACTCATATCTACACCGAGTTCGCCAGCTCAATCAAGTGCTGCATCAAGAATGCACTATCGGCAGCCGTCAGACGTGAGCTCGCTGGCCAGGCATCAGACTGATCCCAGCGAGCTCCTTCGAGCCCATCCAATGCCTCCCCACAAGCCCATAACCAGAAAGTCACTGCCAACGCCAGCCCCTCAGCGCCAGCCACAACTGTCGAGAGAACCCTCGAGGGCGAGTCAGATCTCCATGCAGCCAAGTCTCACCGATCCCATGACGCGCGTAACGGAAGAGCCCAGCACCCAAGCCAACCCATCCGCATCCTTTCAAGACTTCAAGCGCCGCATTAGGTTCATTCAGCAAAAATGGAGAGAATGCAAGGCTGTCAAAGAAGAAAGAGCAAGAGCACAGACGCACGCTCGCTCCGTGGCAGACAATGCCGCAGATCAACGCGTCAAGCCGAAGAGGGAAGAGTTCCCAGACGTGAAGCTACCCCAGGCCGTCCTCGACCACTGGCAACAAACCATGTGCTTCCAACTACAGACGCTGGTTGAAAAAGCTCTCCGAGGATCTCCAGAGACCAGCTCCATTCGTCTCTTACCGTACGGGGAAACACGAGAGACTGCAAGACCAACACTCATTGTTGGCTGCACGTCCACCGCCAAGGTGAAGCATGCGCTTAAACGCCACCTTAAGTACGATCCCAGCGTCTACGACGTTCGCGTCAAGAAGGAGGTCATTCGACGATGTAGGCGATCAAGACGTGCAAGATCAGCATCAGCAGAAGCGTCACGAAGCATGGCGCCGATGCGAGATCCCGACGTCAAGGAGGCAACCAACCCCGATTACCAAGAGCGCCCTTTATGCGGAGCTTCCATTGGAGCGTTCAGGTATGAGGAACACCTCCCGCCGGTATCTTTTGGCGGTGTTGTCCTGGTCGATGGCCATCCATATGGGATGAGTGTTCACCATATGCTCGAAGACGAAGATGATGGCGAACACGATGAGGATGACGCCGAGGGTGGTGCTGAAGAAGATGATGACGACGACGACACATCCAGCCTTGGTAGTTCTGAAGGCTCAGAGGATGATGACATGAGTACTGTGCGCCCGCCATCGGCTCACTCTTCTGACGACGAACCAACTTCAATGGACGATACCACTGGAGATGCACCTGGAATCTTACCCGGTGACATGGAAGAAATCGCGATCACCCAGCCTGCTCTCGACGACGCCATCGACTGCGACCTGCACGCCGAAGAAGAGGATGACGACGAGGATTCTGGTATCGACGAAGACCATCTCCTCTCCTTCAAACTCGGCCAAGTCCACGCCTCATCCGGTCTCAAACGCACGGCCAAATCCCACGAAGGCGGCTTCAAAAGCATCAGTCAGTCCCTCCCCCAAGAAATCGACTGGGCTCTGTTCGAACTCCTCCCACCACGAGTCCACCCTTACAACGTCATCCGAGGCGGCATGAAACACTGCCTCGTCGGCGGCGACCGCAGCGGCAACTCCCTCCCCGTCGCCGTCAAATCCAGCTCCGACCTCGCCTGCGCCAAAGTCCACTGCCTTGGCCGGACTAGTGGTCTCGGCAGCGGCACCGTCTCGAGCACAATGGAACTCGTCAAGATCCACGGTCGAAGTACCTTCTCCGCCAGCTGGACCATCGCTGGGAACTTCGGCATCGGCGGCGACTCCGGCGCATGGGTCATCTCCAACGATGACGGCAAAGTCTGCGGACATGTCCTCGCCTCGAGAACTGGAAGAACGTACATCTGCCCCATGGACCTCCTACTCGAAGATATCAAGACCACCCTCGGGGCGAGGGAGGTCGCGCTGCCTATCGTGGCTGGGAAGGAGAAAGGCAGTCGCCCTTCGAGTAGCAGGAATAGCGAGGAGAGGGTCATGAGCGAGGCGATTAGTCGGATGAGGTTGCAAGAGGGGACGTCGACGGAGAGTGGTGGGGTGGCGTTGCCGATTTCTCCTGGGCGGAGGCCGGCGAGGGCGGTGGTTCCTGTGGGTTAGCGATGGGCGTTTAGACGGGGGAGGTCAACGTGTGGTGCTTTGATGATACCAGGGAACGAATCTTGTGGGGTTATGTAGCGAATTGAAATGATATGTGCATCTTGATATACCATTACCGTCATCTTCAATCGTTCTCTTCCTCACTCCTTTCTGCTCGGTCTTCGCCCATCGTGGGGTTTTGCTTGATGTCAAAGAGTTCATCCTCGCCTCCTGGTGCCTAATCATACCATCGATTTCGAATGTCGACCGTAAGCTTGGCGTCTCGCAACGACCGTAAGCTTGGCGTCTCGCAAGGATCGTGGGAGAGGTTTTCGGACAGATTCAAAAGTCCAAAAGAACAGTTTCGATGGAGACTTCAACATAAACCCATAACTTCATGAAAAAGAACTACCGTGGTATTCATATCCTCGTCCCCCTAACGCCATCCTTCCTCATGAACCCATCAACCTATCTAATTTCCCTTCAACCACCCCAACAACTGCCCAAAAGCCTCCTTCTGCTTCTCCTTGATCGTGCCATCCTCATAATCGCACAACACCGCAAACCCATGCGGTACGGCAGGGTACACTTTCTCCTCGACTTCGACCCCATTCTCCTTCAGCTTCTTCACGCCAGCTTCGCGGATATCGTCGGGGAAGAGGGAGTCCTGCTCGACGGCGACGATGCTGAGGGGGACTTTGCAGCCTGCCAGATCAGCTGCGGAGATCTGCGTCCCGTGCGCGATAGCCCCGACTTTGATCTGTGGGTCCTTCTTCACCATCCCCTCCTCAGCCTCGCTTTCTGCTGACCTTTGTCCTGCCACGACATCGGCGTGAACCTCTGAGCCAAGCAAAAGCACATACCGCGCCCCAAAACAGTATCCCACGCCGTAGATCCCTCCGCCATGCGCGACGGCATCTGCGAATTCCTCTTTGATGGCGGCGATGACTTTGAGCAGGATGGGGAGGACTTTCTCGGGCGTGTGGCGGGCGAGCCACATGTCGATCGTGAAGGACTTGGCGACGGAGGCGACGCCGAGTTTGACTTGTTCGATTATGGAGGGGTTCTGCTCGGCGGGGACGGTTTGCGTTGTAGAGATGGATGTTGCTGGGTCGCCCGCGAATCTTGTGGAATGCGATATCAGTATGCGTAGAGGTCGTCAATTGTGAGAGGATTTGTGCCTTACTGATCTGGCATGACGACCAGGAACCCCTCGCCAGCGTATTTGTCTGCTTGGAGTTGGTTGTTTGTGCTGTGGATTCCAGTGCCGCCGGTCAGGAGCAGAAGGAGCTTTGACGGGGAGTGTGGATAGTCGGCTGGTTTGGCAATGTAAACCTCGACATCGTTGAGCTTGGCTATCTCCTGTAATGTCCTCGTCTTAGCAAACGATCATCGCGATCGATGTTCTTAGTCGACCTTACGCCAGTGGGTTGATCGCCGGCCGCTGCGTTCAGTCAGCCTTGTTCTCTCTCTCGTCAGGCTTGGGATTGGGAGGTGTACGGGTGGGACGATCGGTCGTGCAGTGCTCCTAACCAGAGATCAGATATGCTGTCCCTTTTGTCACGAGTTGTCAATCGCTCACACCCATGCTCGCGGCACCTTGATCTGGCTTCGAGTCTCCAGCAATGCCGCTGGTCTCCTGAGCGTCGCTCTCAGGCGCCTTCGTTGCTAGGTCTTCGTCTGCCATGTTTGCGCTGTTGTTGTAGTTGTGAAAGTGAACGTGTTTGTTAGGCTTCCATACCAACAAGAAAGCCCACGCTGCTGGGTCACAAGCTCGCGAGTGAGGTCAGAGTGGGTCTGGGGAAGTCATTGGCCGCGTTAGCGAGCACGTGGAAGACGGTCTGTGCCCGTGAAAAGGAGACAACGACGTGTCCTCAATTCTTTCTACGACCGAGCTATGGCTACTTCTTTCCTGTACCACGCCTGCAAGGCTCTGCCATCTGCAGTCAAGACGACTAGATCAAAGTTCTCGCTCGCGGCCTTCGCGGAGGCGCCATCGACGACCACCATTCCTACGTACTTGCCATACTTTTTGGCTGTAGCAACGACCTTGTCGATCGACGAATAGTAGATCTCTTCGTTGCCTTTGGGCGGCGCATATCCAAGAATGGCCAGCGAAAGGTCGTTTGGGCCGATCAACAGCAAGTCTTTAGAACGGATCAGCTTGCTAGAATCCCGAGTTTTGCAAGGGCGTTGCTCACCAAGACCATCGACTTGACATATCTCATAGACGTTATCGACGGCTTCTGATGTCTCAATCTGGGCCATGACTAAGATCTGCTCGTTGGCATGGGCCACATACTCCGCTGGTGTGGCAAAGCCATAGCTGAAGCACGCAAATGGAGACCCTTGGCCTCGAGTGCCAACCGGAGGGAACTTTGACTGCCTGACGACCAACCGTGCGTCTTCAGCCGTGCTGACCATGGGCGCAATGATGCCGCTGTGCCTTATGAGCTCTCTGCGTGTCGATAACGGGCGATGATGACATACTGTGCACCAGTGTCGAGTGCTCGTTTTATCTCCGAGCCTTTGAAGCCAGCTATCCGGACAATAGGTGATACGCCACTGCTTGCGACAGTAGGTACCATGTCGTGCATCTGGGAATCATCGACATGGCCTTGACTCAACGATCAGCCCAATCTGATGTGTAAAGTTTTCAGGACACATCGCGTACCATGCTCGCGGTCAACGATCACTGCCTGATTATGTCAAATCAGTTGCTGAGTCTTTCTGTGTGAACGGACGAGTGGCGTAGCTTACGTCTACTCCAGTATGAGCGAGGACCTGAGCAACTCTGGATCCACCGAAGACGTTAAACGTGGCGAAGGCCGTCCGTCCTTGGGACAAGACATCTTTGAGAGCGAGACGTGGCACACCCTTTGTGACGGCACTCATCATTGCAATGAAGCTTTCGAACTTTCTTGGCAAGGTGACATATCTCGAGAGATCGAAAAGGTTGTTTTGAAAAACCCCATCCGGACTGCTCGGTCCGAAGTCGCCGAATGTCAGCCTTGCTTCGGCTCAGATATAATGACTACCGGTATTCGCCAAGACGGTAGGTAACAACTATCTAGCCCTACTATTTTGCCATGGCTGCAGTCGTCGCTCTCGATGCGTTTGACCCGGAAGGCTCCAAATACCTGCATCAGGTCTTTCCCGATGTAATCGAGCAAGGACACCCGCTGCACGCAACTTGGACAGAGCATGCCGTGGGCCTATTCGTTGCGAAGAGTCGAGTCACTCGTGAGATGATTAGCAAGGCGAAGAAGTTGCGGATCATTGTCCGCCATGGTACTGGTTACGATAACATCGACGCTGAAGCGTGTCGAGAGCACGGGGTTATTCTTTGTTACTGCCCCGGAATCAGTGTGAGCAAGCCTCAAACCCAGGCATATCTGGTCTGAGATGCCTACTAACGATACACACAGGCGATGAACGTGGCAGAAGTGGTGTTGGCTCTCACGGGCGCCTGTGCCAAGAATCTGATCGAAGTGTCACGACAACTTCGAGCTGGCGAAAAACTGAACAAGAAGTTCAAAAGTCTGTACTCTGCCGCATTGCTAACGGGGAAGACCTTTGGTATCGTTGGTGGTGGCACCATAGGACAGCTGGTAGCGAAGAAGTTGTACGATCCCTCCACTGTGCTGAAAACAATATCGATGCAGCTGACCAAGCGCCATTGCAAGCGTTGGCGCCTACGAAGGCAATTTGATAGTCTATGATCCCGCTTTACCGGCACAAAGTTGGGAGGCCCTCCCTCACACCCGCGCTGCTTCGCTGGACGAGATACTCCCTCAAGTGGACGTGCTATCGATCCATGTTCCACTTCTATCAGCAACAAGGGACATGATAGCCGCGCCGCAGCTGAGAATGATGAAACCCACGGCTGTCTTGATCAACACAGCGCGAGGCGGTGTCGTCAATGAACCAGATTTATGGGATGCATTGAGGAACAACATCATCGCCTCTGCAGGAGTCGATGCTTGGGTGAAGGAGCCGCCGACGAAAGAGGACTATGGGCATGTTTTGGAAATGGACAACGTTGTGACAACGCCGCACATCGGCGGCTCTCCTGCTGAAATACAAACGGCAACTTGTCGCGCCATGGTCGATCGTATGAAGGAAGCATTGATTGACGGGGTAAAGCCGAAGGACCGGGTATGCTGAAAAGTCCTATGCATGTTCATGGTTGCAGTACGCTAGCTTTCGAGTTGGTCCAAGCTTGTATTTATGAGGATCATGTGAAAATGCGGGGACCGGCATTTGTCCGATGGGTCTCGGAGCGAAGACCTGAGCGTGATGTGAGCAATCATCCTCGCCATTTTGACGATTGTGGTCATCTTCACAGGAGAGGAAGCAAGCCATGTCGCCCTGTACTCTACAGGCATAAAGATGAGCCTTGCCCATGTCAGCTCGCAACTCTACAGCATCTGCCCAGCAATCCAACAAACGAGCATTGAATGCGTACGAGAGTTCCACATCCAGTCTCTGTAGCCTGCTGACTCTGTGTTCACGAAGATGTCGAGCATGTCGCCAGCGAAAAGTCAAATGCTCAGGGGCGAGTCCGTGCCAGCACTGCGTCAATCGCAACGAAGCCTGCCTTTACGATGAGGCGGAGAAGAGAGTGATCGTCACCGAGAGGTCAGCGGTCTCTTCCCAGCCAACTTCGTGTCTTTCTGGCTGATACCTCAAGAGGATAGACACCTACGCAATCTAGAACGGCGAGCGACTCGATTGAAGGAAGATGGTACTTCTCCTCCCGACAATAATTCAAAGCCGCTCAGTGCTACGCCTGTTGGAGCGCCTGCAGATCGTAACTTTCAGTCGCTCCCACCAGAGGTCGTGCCATCATCTGCGTCAGGCCCTGAGAACGCACCAGCGATCTCTGCAGGAGCCGGTAGTGTCTTCCCTTCCAAGCCTCGCATTCAAAACATCTTCACTTGGGGTCTCAGTGATGAGCTACGCCGACTGCTTGGAATGCCTCAGAGGAAGCAACACGACGGCCCTACCCTTCCACGACCCGACCTAGTCTCACTTCCCAGTGCACTGGTGCCGTCTCGTGAACGCATCTTGCAACTAATCTGCGTAGTTGACTTTCACTTCAAATGCCAATTTGGGTTCCGCTACCCTTCGAAGGTAGTCGGCCTGCTGGAAGACGAGAGTCACCCGTTTCCTGACTGCCTAGATGACACGCCTAGAAGCTGCATTGCTCATTTGTTCGCCATTCTTGCCTTTGGGAGTCTACTTGCAGCTCGGAGCCCACAGCAGGAAGGGTTTCCAGGAATGGATTACTTCGTGCAGAGTGTGCACATGCTTCCGTCAAATGTCGAGGTCACTGATAATGACCTTGGAGATGTTGCCGCCACCAACTACGTCTTTGCAATGTATGCACAAGCTGTGAGCCTGGATTATGCGGCTTATCTCTACGTGCGTCTGATGATGAATTACATGGAAGACGAATGTGTCTACTTACGAGAAATAGGCAGGTCAAGCATCCAGGCTGGTCCGTTCAATTCAGCCGGGAGGGAACATAGAGGTTGAGGAACCTGTGAACGATTCCGAAAGACTGTATTGCTTCGTGTCCATGCTCGATATACGACTCTCCGCTGGCATCAGTCTTGCCGGTGAAAGGCCTTTCGAGCATGAACTGGACAAGAGAGCGGGACGGAATAGCCTCCTCGCTCGCGAAGATTGCGATGGCCAGAGACAGGAGACGTCCGCGCTAAGCATCCATCTTGTCTTGGCTCATATCCTTGCGAAGATATCGAAAGGTATGTACGTCCATAGTGACCGTGCTTGCAATAGCTGACTTCAGGGATGAAGCCATCTCAACCAAGGAACAGGACAGCAGCCTGGACTCGGCGGAAGTTTCGGACTCTTTCTTCGACACCATGCACGCGCCTCTGACTACGCTGCAAACCTTGAGCGGACATATACACCAAGCACAAAGGCTCTGTCACCATGCGTCCTTGTCTACGATCTCGAGGACTGCTACCACGGCCCATCTAGCCTACTGCCAGGTATGCAAACAATCACTATGGATCTGAACATACATTGACTCTGGGGTCGCATCAGGGTGTAATGTACGCTACGAAGCCGCTACTTTTGTTCTACTTCAAAGCTACTCGGCAACGAGGAGACGCAAACCTCTCTGTATCTCCACAGCATCACAGGGCATTGAATTCCTGCGCCAAAGCCGCTGTCCACAGCTTGAATATTCTCGCAGCATTGCTTGAACAAGACTATATCGGTACGCACAATCAACACTCGCAATCCCGACTCACAATCTAACGTTGAGTGCGACCAGAAGCTTTCTCACCCATAGACCTGGAAGTCGCCTTCATGAGCGCCGTTATCTTACGTATAATCGACACTATCCTGCCAATAGGGACAGAAGATTCTCCTCGCAAAGATATAGCGCCGTCTGTACTCGAACAGATGGCGCAAAGAGGAAACGCACAGGCGATGGGACTTTCTGAGGAGCTCGCCGAGATTGGCAAGGTTCTTGACGAAATGCCACGCAGCTCATCGAATATGGAAGCTGGTGAGGGCGGTCTGCACATTGCCGCTCCTCGTAGAGTTACAGATGGCCTCGTGTTGAACGATGCGATCCTGAGCATTGTGCAGATCGATGAATCTGCTGGTTCGGATGAGAAAGGACAGCCTGCAGAAGAGACATTAGGCACGAGCGCAGACCCAATATCTACGACCACGATATTGGGCGCGGATCTCACGTTCGATATGTTGTTCGATTCGACTGATAATAATTGGAACTTCGGGTCTGAAGACTTGCAGTGGCTTGACAGCGTGCTTTGAAGGGCATTGAGACAGAGACAGTACTGCTTGACCTCTGCTACTTTCAAGACTATCTTCATGTCTTCAAGATTGTACAGCCTCGACGATGTCTCGACCCGCCTCTCCATTCATAAGGCGTGTTCCGAAGGCGCAGAGCTTCGCGTGGTCTCTTCGGGCCCCTCGGACCGAGCTGACCGAGTTGCGTCGAGTTGCCACAATCTTCGGTATCTTGTTTAGAAGGGCGATCTTCCAGTACCTGTGTCCAATCGATTAACATCGGCAGGCAGTGGCTGGTGGTTTCTAGAATTGTAAAGCCCATTCATAACATGCTCCAGAACAACTTCTTATCGAATGTAGCCCAGTGGCGTTTGACCACGGTACGTCTCCTGTTGTGGCGGATGGAAAATAAGCATAAATGTCAACTGACTAACTTCTGGGCAGGCCGTTGGCGTCAAACTCGTTACCAACAATGAAGTCGTCCACCTCGCCAAAGGAGCCGGCTATGATTGCCTGTTCATCGATCTTGAACATTCGACTTTGTCTCTGCTGGACGCTTCGAGGCTATGCTCTGCTGGATTGATGGCTCAGATTACGCCTTTCGTGCGAGTGCCGTGGCAATGCGGTAACGGCTTTGTTGGAAGAGTGTTGGATGGTGGTGCTTGTGGCATAGTCTTCCCGCATATTAGTACAGTTGGTGAGTTGCTTTGCTTCCAAAAGATCCATGAAGACCAAACATAACTGATCCCGCAATCATTCAGAGGATGCTAGAGATGCAGTATCTGCTTGCAAATTTCCTCCCCTAGGCAAACGCAGCCTGACCGCTGCCCTCCCACACTTCAACTTCCAACGCACTAGTCCGGCCGAAGTGACGCAGACTATCAACAACGTGGGATCCACTGTCATAGTCATGATCGAAACACCCCAGGCATTGGACAACATCGATGCGATAGCTGCTGTTGAAGGCGTTGACATCCTGCTCCTTGGTGCGAACGATCTGTCTCTTGAAGTGGGAATTCCTGGCGATTGGGATCATGCGGAGTTTCGTAATGCTTTGACCAAGATTGCGGCTGCGTGCCAGGATCACGCAAAGTGTTTTGGCATCGCCGGCATCTATACTCGACCTGCTGTTTGCCAATGGGCTGTGCAGGAGTTGGGGGCTCGGTTTGTGTTGGGACATCTGGATATTGGGTTACTTGCCATGGTATGTACTTTCCGATGTGTAAAGTTTCGGAATCTTGTTGCTGCTGATGATCTTCTTCTAGGCAATGAACAGAAATGCAGAGATGCTGAGGGACTTGGAGAAATAGACGTTCATGAACAGCTTGTGGGGATTTATTGAATCTCCAATTCAGACGCGTCGATCCATAGTCAGTGGTTTTCTGTTCGGAGTAGATGTAGCCAATGCCCCAATTCTTGGACTTGTATCTGATAATAAGTTGGAATATGTTGATGAAGAGGTTGCGACAGGACACCTCGAGGTGAGGTCAATCGGAACAGCGGGCCGAAAAGCCGGGTGCGAGTCCTTCGAACTTTCGCGTTTCGACGCGCAGGAGTCCACATCTCACCAAGTGCTACACAATAATGTCCAGCGAAGATGGCCGTACCAAGACGGTGCTCTGCCACGATGTATATGGCAACACTCACGAAACACCTATTGACCAGCTACAATGGCGGCCATCGGCCTATGGAATCGTGATCAAAAACGACACGGTGCTTCTCCTCAAGCAATTCGGCAACAAGTATGACCTTCCAGGCGGCGGCGTCGACATTGGCGAGGATCCGAAGGAGGCTGTTATTCGTGAAGTCCAGGAAGAAACAGGAATCACCGTAAAGCGACCACACCTACTCGGAATGGAGTCGAATCTGTTCCGTGCGGCTCATTCTACGGACAAGTCTTTCCACAGTTTGCTGCTCTACTTTAGATGTGAGTATATCGCGGGCGAACTGTCTCTGAGAGGTCTGGACGAATATGAGCAGAAGTACGTGCTAAAAGCGGAATGGATCCCTCTGAGCAGCCTCGACGAGGTTGAAGTTGGGAGTACCGTGGATTTCAGGCCGCAAATTCGACAGTGCATCTCGGGAAACACGACGACGCTGGTCTGAAATACTCGGGAACCTCGCGAAACAGACACAGAAGGATTCGCCGACACATGTCCTCCGTGAAAGAAACACACCGGAGGATCACAGAAATACCCCATTCAGAAAGGCATGGCTTGCCAACTCAGCTTGCCATTGGAGCTTTCGCTGCGGACGCTAAGGGCTTGTCACTTTCGGTGCATATGTGCAAAAGCCTCTGGAAGAAGCCCGAGCAAGATCAGTTTCTCATTGGTCTCTCGGTTACGGACGCCAATGGCTTCCTGCATATCGGTGCATACCTGGAGATCCTACGGGGCATTGTGCACTTGGGGTTCGAATGCTCTGGCATTTCTGGTTCGTACAAGTTTCATGGAAGCTAAGGGGATGTCTTCTCGGTGCATATCCTCGAAATCCTGTTCAAGATCCCCGACTTAGGGCATGTTCTCATTGGGTCATGGACCATGGACGCCAGTGGAAGGCCTGCGGCTCGGTGCATATCTGTGAAGGATGGTCAGCATGTCGGGCATTGGTCACCGCACTCTGCACTGCATTCTACGATCGTTGTGGTGACACGCCTTCATTGGCACTGCGAAAGTGGGCGCCAGTGGAAGGCCTACGGCTCGGTGCATATCTTGAAGCGCAAGGTCAGCATGCCGGCATTGTCACCACGCTGTCTTGCGCTGCAATTCCACAATTCGTCTACCTTATGGAGACCTGCCCTTTCATTGGAACATGGACTGTGGGCACCAGCGGGAGGCCTGCGGCTCGGTGCATATGCTCGAGCACTCGCACGGAGTCAGTACGTATTGTATTTCAAGGTCTTCTTGGAGAAACTCCATTCATTGGTACTACAACGGGCGACACTAATGGAATGCCTCTGGTTCGGTGCATATCGCTGGTATTCTAGTCCGCAGCTGAGTACTCTCGTTCATCATATTTCCGGAGGCAGGCTCGCCATTGGCAGCACAACTGCAGACGCTAATGGAATGCCTGCGGCTCGGTGCATATCGATTTTACGATGAAGTCTTCAGACGCCTGTCGCCGACTGGAACGCATCGTACGGTGCATATCGTGGACGTACATCGCTCTACAACACTCTTCCTGTCGAGCGTGAAAAGGTCGAACCTGAACGATGGAAGTCACCACGAATAAAGCCTGCTACGCTACGTTGAGGCACATTTTGCATTGTTCTTGTTTCGAGACCGGAGACATGCGACAGGAGCCAGACACTGCCAAGCTGCGTATTTATCATCGTGATGGTCCCGTTGAGCCCTTCGATCTGACAACTGCAAAACTGTCGCTGGACTTCTCTAATTGGTACGAAGGGTATGTTTGTCAATGTCTATACTAAACGTCGGAGCTATCTGAGAAAGTTGTGTATGCCGCGCCATGTCGACCCCTGTGCATTATTTCTGTAGTGAGGCGAAGCTACTCTGCTAGATTGTCCAATGGAATAGTCTGCGTGTAGAAGAGCCCCCGAGGATCATACCGCTGCTGGATCGCTTTCAGACGCTCGTATCTCTCATCCCCGTAGCTCAAGAAGACGTTCTGTCCTACACCAGCATCTGTCGCCAACAATGGACCATAACCCACTAGCTGCTGTGTTTCGTTACTCACTGCGCCCTGGTAGTTGGTAGGCTTCAGGTCTGGGTATCGAGCCTGCATCATGAGAGGGCCATTGTCAACCACGCCTTTCAACGCTTGCGTGTATCGGACATCGTCTTTTGGATTGGCCCACGCAAGTGTGTAGTCAAGCCACCAAGCATCGCCGGCGGCAGGGTCGAGGGTATTTGCCGCTGGGCCACGCTCATAGCTTGCTTGGTGGAAAGCAACAGGTATGGTCTGGAAGGCCATCTCGAAGAACGCCAACTCTCTCTCGTTGTTGAGGATCGAGGTCATGTTGAGAGTCCGCTCAAGATGCTCTTGCAAGAATGGTACCATCTGCTTCTTGGGCAGGTTGGGATACGAAGACACGAAACCAGCCGAGCGGTTCGAGAAGTTGGGGACGTCGATGGTATTCAAGATCTTGGAGTATTGTGTGATTCCGACCGGATCAGTGACCCCTGCGTCAGTGGGTACAGAGGGGATTGAATGGAATGAGTCGAAGACCTGGCCAGGATCTGTTCCGTCATAGAAGAAGTCGATTCTCCAACTGGAAGTACCATTGAGGCCGAAGATGTAACCCGCCTGGATGAACGTGAGAGTAATCGCCGCTTTGGGATCTTTGAAGCCTGCCAGGAAGTCCCATGCTGCTCCCAGGACGCTCTCGGTTTGGTTGGAGTAATAGGTACGTGTTCCTGCATAGATCATACCCAGAGGGTGGGTTTGCAAGATGACCTTGGTGATGGCACCGAACAGCGCGCTGCCGCCACGCATGCCCCAGAAGAGATCTGGGTGGCTGGTTTTGTTGGCGATGACAATGTCACCGTTTGCAAGAACGATTTCGAAGCCGATGGCACTATCTGATGCAAGTCCCTGGCTTTCATCAGCTTCCTGACCGTGGAGTCTGTTTCCCGAGCCCGTGACGGATACTCACATATTGCGAACTCAGGTAACTGATACCACCTCTCGAGATGTACCCTCCTACGCCCACATCTCCGTACCTTCCTCCCACAACCGTTCGATTGATCGCCTCCAAAGGCGGTATGACTTCTTGCCATCTTGCTCCAGGACCAATCTCAGCGCTGAGCCCGTCATGACTTGGTGTTGTGTAGTTCAGATATGGTCGGAAGTAGATCAAAACGCCGCCGTTCGTGGAGCTCGTACCCCTATTCCAGTCGTGTCCTCCCGATTTGAGAGCAAAAGGAACATCCGGTGCGTCATGCAGGAGCTTGAACGCGGCAGAGACATCGGACGCACAACTGGGAAAGAGCACGCATGCAGGGACGTCGTCCGCGTTAGCTGCGTTGTTGTATCGTTGAGTGGCTTCTTGGTAAGCAGCAGCAAGCTTCCCATTGTTGGTCGTGTTGTCGAAGGCGACTCGAGAGGGTATTTGCTTATGAAGCTGGTGACATATGGCTTGGGCGTGACTGATTGAGTGGCCGTAGTTCGAGTTCCATTGCTCAGCATGGCTTACGGCAAGGAAAATGCTGAATAAAGAAAAGACGCTCATCGCGTTGAGTCTCATGTTGCGAAGGGCTCGATGTCGATGGATGTTGCATGGCTCTCAGCACGATATATACTACCATGATTGACTACCTTGGTCGTCCAGGAGTAGTGTCCGAGCTGTGCGAGGAGGTCTAGGCTGCGACTGTGCTCAGGGAGGTTGACGATACATCCTCATTTGCAAGCCACGTAAACGAATAGACTCATTTCGAGGCTGAAGTGGGGCTCTCTTTGAGGCTCAACCATCAGCTCATACTGACTATTAGATCTATGTGGCCATTGATCGACACAGCTATACCCCGAAATAGCTAGTTTCTCGAAGGATGCGAGTCTTGCCTCTGTCATCAGCTGAAACCAGGCTAAGGCTCAGCCCTGGCCTCAGGACTCATCACTATTTGCACACCCGTCTCATCTCGCATCATGCGAGATCTCGCAATACCCCAGATCTCTTACTGGAAAGCAGTGCATCAGATTTCGTACCGAGAGAGCGAAAGACACTTAGCACGATCCCATGAGGCTCCACAGCAAATCTCATACAGGTTGCACACAGTGCAAAAGACGTAAAGTCAAGGTCAGGCCGTGTTGTTATCCGTTCGTCGTGAGAAGAGACCTGACAGCCTTGCAGTGCGATGAGGAGCTTCCGGCATGCGGCACTTGCGTTCGAAGACAGACAAGATGCTCGTTCTTGGAAGTCACGCAGCCTTCGGGGAGTCCTCGCTATTACGCATGCGGCGAACCAGAGCAGTTGAATGTCACCACAGTGACTGAGCGCTCACCAGAAGCCCTGCTGGAGATTGATCTAACACACTTCTTCCTCATTGAGACTCTACCGACGATTTTGGAACCGGCCACACGGCAGGAGATTTGGCGGCGATCCATTTTCCCTTACGACGGTCTCACTCACTCGGTCAATTTGGATGCGCATCTGGCAACTGCAGCTATGCACAAGATAGCGATAGCGCACAGTACCACGCTCGAAGATACGAAGTATTTGGAGTATGCGATCGAGAAGCAGTCAAGGGTACTGGAGACGTTCGTGCCAATGCTAAGCCATCCAACTCCTGAAGACACTCGAACGCTGTTTGCATTGGCGGCTCTGGTAACAGTCTGGTCGTTCGCCTCTCGCTCTTTACCCTCGCAGCTTAATATCGTCTCCCGGATGCCTTTCGAAACAACGCGTTCAACTCCAAGTGAGCCCACCAGACAACGCCAGCTCTCTGATTTAATATCCATCATGAAGATCTCACGAGGAATCGGAGCAGTAGTCGATCAGTGCAGGCCTTGGTTCAAAGATCAAGGACTTGCAGGCATGATTCAGAGTCGCAATATCCCAGCACAACCTTGGGGCATGGAAGCCTGGCGTGCACTCGATGAGCTTTTCGACCACATCGAGAACGGGTCTAATTACAAGAGTCGACTGGATATGTACGCTGCAGCGATCCATCGAACGAAGAACTTTCTCCAGGGCTTCAGCGCAGACACGAAGTCACATGTGGCCATGGGCTGGCCAGTGGGCCTTCCACAACTCTTCATGAAAGCTGTGTCCGACCATGAAGCACCAGCTTTGGTCATAACAGCATTTTGGGGTGCGTGCGTTTTCGCTGAGCCATACTGGTGGGCGCAAGGCTGGGGCAGAGGTGTCATCTCGGAGATCGAATCGTATCTCCCTCAAGCTTGGCGAAGGCATCTGGAGTGGCCGTTTAGGCTGCTCGCGAGTACGCCTTCTGTGACTGGATCTATCAGTGTGGATGAGGAAGCATATTGAGCCCCGAATACGCGGATTTGGAAGTCCGTCTGGACGGCAATCTTTGTTCCCTGCGAACATTCATACCTAGTTCATTTATAGTACGGAAGCCTGTGGTACGTCTTCTTACTCGGTGTAATATGCAGCTTAAATATCACTATACTAATGTGTGTTTCCAGTGGAGATTGTGAGGCGAACAATCCTTGCGCGCGGGAGGATTCAGCTTGGAGTACCCCTTACCCTAAGGCTGTGCGTGCTGCAGGCGGATCTCCAGCAATATTAAATATGTTCATCGTGACACCTGGCAGACTGCCATCCAATTCATTCTACTGCCGTGGAGACTTCCGTGTTAACTTTAGTATCCTCCACATCAAAGCAGCATGTCCAGCGTTCACCGTGTAGCCCACATTGGAGCGTCTGGCTTCATCGGCACAGCTGTGTTGCATGCCTTGCTGGACAGCGATCTCAACGTCACAGTTTTCGCCAGGAAGGAAAGCGAATAAACATTCCCCGAGCATGTGAACGTCGTGAGAATTGACTTCTCAAATCGATCCTCGCTAGTTGAAGCCCTCAAAGGACACGATGCAGTCGTCTCGACGGTCGGTGTACGGGCAATAAATAGCCAGCATGCGATGATTGATGCTGCCGTGGAAGCGGGAGTCAAACGGTTCATTCCAGTATGTCATGCGCCCCTGAACCCCAAAACTCCAGCTGTGAGAGACTCGGCTAATCTATCATGCGTCTTTAGTCTGAATACGGCTGCGATATTACGAATCCGAAGACTGCCAATCTCCCGGCATATAAAGAAAGAGTTAATATCAAGAACTACTTGCAGAACAAAGCAGAAGCGTCAGGGACAGTTTTCAGCTACACCACCATATCAACCAGCATCCTCGTAGAAGCAGTGGTGGGAGGTCCTCTCCCGGATATACGTCCGCGAGATCGACATGCAACGATCTACGACGGTGGGAAAGTCCCTGTGAGCATGACCCCAGCATCTCTCGTTGGTAAAGCAGTCGCCGCTGTGCTTCGAACTCCAGATCAGACCAGGAACCGATCTATTTTGATCCACGGAGGAGCTTTCACGCAGAATCAATTTCTGTCGATCGTTCAACGATACGTTGGCACAGATGGATGGCAGATTGATCGACAAGAAACTGCCGACATGGAAGAACGATCGTGGAAGGCTTATGAGAAGGATCCTCAGGATGTCCTCAGTTGGCTGCCCGGCTTCGTTCGACTAGGGTTGTTTGGCAATGGGTACGGGGGTGATTTCACAGGTCGAACAGCCAGCGCTGACCTGGGACTGAAGGAGATGTCCGTGGAAGATCTTGAGGCTCTCATTAAGAGTATTGTTTCGTGACTGGAGTGGACCAACGGCCTGCGCGCCCCAGAATGGGATTCGACGCTAGTGAGCCGCTAAGCTGAATTGAGCACTTTCACATGTCGCTGGGCCCGTGTTTCAGCTCGAGTTGGGCTCGAAGCATAATGAACTTCGGTATCTCAAGTCTAGAGGACATATCGCTTGCAGCTCGATACCTAGCTATCGAAGGATTTCTGGCGAAGCAAGTGTCAAGGTCGGCGATCAATCGGTATGTGGACTTTGCTAATCTCATGTTAGATCTTTGTTCCTATGATAGGTCTTTACCTTTCCAACGGCCTCCATGGTCAGCTGTGCCCTTGAAAGATGAAGACGTGGAAAGGTTGCGTTGGCCATGTAATGCAGAACCTACGAGTTGAACTTGAGTTTGTGCCTCAGGCACACCTGCATCCACCTCCGCATCTCGCTCCACACTTTCACTCACTCACTTCGCTGTGGAGAAACACATGCTCAACGAATCCATCAAAATGGCTCGATAGCATCTTCAGCGGTCGTTCCCGTCTACCCGTCTACAATGCCTCCTCGGATATCATGGCCTTTCCAGGCTGCCTATCGCTACCGCTTGTCCGGGAGTCGTACCTGCCGCATACCATCGAAGCAAACGTTCAATGCCGGTAGAAGATTCGCATCAACCACAACGAAAAGCAGACCGAGCTTAGCAGTCAGCGCCCTGATTGGAGCTGCTGGAGGCGCCGGTACGCTGGCCTCTCTATATTTCCAAGGACAATGGCCCCCGCAACGAAAGACACAGCAAAACGAAGGCATTGAGTATGCGTCCCGTGCCCAAATGCTCAATGTTCGTGTGCACAATGACCAGCACTGAGTTTGAGATCTGACAAAACTACGTAGGCTGCTATGGAAATCGAACAGACTTTAAAGAGTGAAGACTGCGTCAGCTACGATGAAGAAGTCATCGAACACCACGGCCATTCAGACTGGTCATCCTCAAATATAAACGAACGTCCTGTAGCTGTCGTCTACCCCCGCAGCACCGAAGAGGTCTCTCTAATCGCCCAGATCTGCTCCGCCCATGATGTCCCCATGGTCCCCTTTGGCGCGGGCTCCAGCGTCGAAGGGAACTTCCTAGCGCCCTACTCAGGAATTTGCATCGACTTTTCCTACATGGATAAAATCGTCGCATTCCATCCGGAGGACATGGACGTCGTGGTGCAGCCGGGAGTCAATTGGGTAGATTTGAACGAGCAGATTAGGCATGCTGGGTTGTTTGCGCCGTTGGATCCGTCGCCGACGGCGCAGATTGGGGGCATGGTGTCGACGAATTGCTCCGGGACGAATGCGATGCGGTATGGGACTATGAAGGATTGGGTGGTGAATTTGACGGTTGTCTTGGCGGATGGGTCTGTGATTAAGACGAGGAGGCGGCCGAGGAAGACGTCTGCGGGTTACAACCTGACCTCGTTGTTCGTCGGCGCTGAAGGTACTCTGGGCATGGTGACTGAAGTGACGTTGAAACTTGCTCCTATTCCGCAGGATACGAGTGTAGCGGTTGTGTCGTTCAAGGATATACGTGAAGCGGCGTCTGCTGCGTCAAGTATCATTAGATCGGGGATCCAGCTTGCAGCGCTCGAGTTGATGGACGATTTGCAGGTTCGCTGATCTCACCCACGGATAATTCAAAGACCTTGACTGAAATCTCCCAGATGCAAGTCATAAACCGCCACGGCAGCGCCGCAGTCCGCAAACGCACCTGGGACGAAGGTCCGACCCTGTTCATGAAGTACCAGCCTTTCTCCCCCTCCCTTCACGCTCCAACTGACCACCTCCAAGATTCTCCGGCACCACCGACGCCATCCAAAGCGATATCCAGCGAGTCTCAGAACTCATCAAACCGCATAACGCGGGCCAATTTCACTTCGCCAAAACCAAGCAAGACGAGCAAGATCTCTGGGCGGCGCGGAAGGAAGCCCTGTTCACGATGGTGAGTATCCGGAAGGAGGGGACTGTGCTCTGGTCGACGGATGTCGCGGTGCCGTTGAGCAGGTTGGCGGATATCATAGGTGAGTTTCCCTACTGCCTCAACATGACGGGCTATGCTGACTGACTGTGTACGAAGATGTTTCCAAAAAGGACTGCTCGCAACTCGGCATCTTCGCCAGCGTCATCGGCCACGTCGGCGACGGCAACTTCCACGTCGCCATGTTCTACGACCCTAACGATGCGGCGCAGAAGGCGAGGGTGAGTAAAGTCGTGCATGATATGATGGATCGGGCGTTGGAGATGGAGGGGACGGTTTCGGGGGAGCATGCTATTGGGCTTGGGAAGAAGGTACGAACAATTATTCATTTTTTGGGTGACATGGTGTCTGACTGACTTGCCTTGGTAGGATTGTCTTGTAGATGAGTTGGGGATCGAGACAATTGATTTGATGAGGACGTTGAAGAGGAGTGTGGATCCGAAGTGGTTGTTGAATCCTGGGAAGGTCTTCGATCTACCGTCATAGCGAAACGTATGACTTGTTACTGCTTTCTAAATTGGCGTGTCAGCGACTCGCAGCGATCAGCTTGCAGAAGTGGAGGTGACTGCGCTGTGAATTGCTGGCATGATCATTTCTGCAGCTCAGCAAATTCCTCCTTGATGACCCTTCTCCGCAAGAGCGGACTCTGCTCGTTGATCCGCTTGAAGTCGTGAGCATCCAAACAAGCCTGCCGAGAAGCAAGTACAGCAAGCTCAGTCCTTGCGACGACCTCCTGCTCGTACTTTCGAGTGACAGCGCGAAACGACTCGTCCAGATCATCGGGTCGGGCAGCAGCCTGGTAAATGGGCTTGATCAAATCCAATAGGTTTGCAATGTCCACGATCGATTGGTTCGCACCCTCTCCTCGATACATGACCATTGCGTGAAAGGCGTCACCGAGTAGGACCACTCTCCCGTCGAAGACATTCTTCTCGTTTGGCTGAGGAACCCAATCCGAAAGCTCAACGGGCTTGATCTCGCAGTCGTGAGGCAGATTCTGCACCACAAAGCGAAACGGTTCCGCCCACTCAGCTGTCATGGATTTCATCCAGCTGCGTCGTCCGGTGTCTGTGTTGGGCACATCAGAAGGATCTGCTCGGCCAAGGAAACCTTCTCGATACGGCCATGAAGTTACAATTTGGGAGCGATACATCTTCTCGCCATTTTGATTAGTCTCAGGAGCTCCGTTGTCACCAGGTGCCTCGAGGAAGGAGAAGTAGAGGAAGACGTCGGTTCGAGGATCTGAGCCGTGGAAGAAGTACGCATCTAGATTTCTGATGGCGGACATTTCACGTTCAGTGTACGTGACACCGGCTCCGAGGAAACGGATTGGCAATTCGTAGTTCTTTGCTTTCTCGTGATGGATCAATTTTCGAATTGCAGAATGCGCTCCGTCACAGGCTACCAGAAAGCTGCCGGAGGCTGAGGTTCCATCGGTGAAGTGGGCATGGACTCCAGACTCGTCCTTGGTGATACTTGCAAGAGTCTTGCCCCACTCTACATCCAAGCCAGTGCATAAGACTCTTCTCAGCCTGTGTCTGCTGACACGGATCCGCTCAGATGCAGTGGGCACCTTCCACTTAGAGTCTCCATTGCTCAAGTCGTAGAACGTGAAGTCCCCCTTCTCCCCAGCTTCGACTGCAGCTTTGTTCACGAGCGCTTCTGGTAGGCGACCGAGGACATCGTCGGGGAGCAGAGATTTGAAATGTGAGAGTGCCGAGTTCAAAGTAATGCCCCATCCTGCGCTTCTTGACGTTGGAGACTCATCCCGTTCGAAGATCCTGGATGGTAAGTTTTCCTTCCTGCATGCTTGTGCCAATGTGAGGCCGCTGATGCCACCGCCGATGATCAGCATTGGCGGCAGGGTGGAAGCCATTGCAGGATGGTCGCGCTGATGCTGTTGAGTGAACTTGATGCTGAATTGAAACCGAAGCTGTTCAAGCTGTATTTGAGCTTGCTGATCAATGCGGCTGCGAGTAAAGTGCGAGGTGCCGAGCAGCAGCTGAAAGATAGCGACGCCATTTGGTTGGCTGCAGCTACGAGTGCGAACAAGGACTTGGAGGCTGCTAAATCCGTCATCAAATCCCCAGGCTGTCGTTTGCTGCGCTGTAAAACTTTCCAGAGTCGGCTCGTAGCACGGCATGCTCCATAGAAACCGAAAAGTGTTGCAGACTACGATCGATAAAGAGCACCTCTTTAATCCACATCATCGTCTTCGATATAAGCAGGCTGAAATCCGTGCTCAATCCATGAGAAACCTGGCAGAGTTCCTGGTCGGTCGACCTTTGCCATGACTTTGCCGGATATGAGTGCCAAAGGTAGAGGCCCAAACATACGCGAATCCCGCGAGTGAAGCATGTTATCACCAACGACCCAGCAATGTCCTTGAGGTACCTAATGCGATCAATAAGCCCGGCGCTCCCAATCTTTGGCGATTTGTGTTACCTGAATCATAGCCTCACTCTTCCCAGGGGTGTTCATCAAGACGAAGTCTCCTTCCATAGCCAACACTCTCTTGATAGCATTCTCCCCAATCCTCACTGGATGCTTGAATGATACAACATCCCCAGCTTTTACTCCCCTCCCACGTCTGTAGTATTTGCTTATGAACACCCAGTCTCCAAAGCTCGCCAAAGTCGGGAGCATTGAAATGCCCTGTGTCGAGTCGAATTCGTAGACGTAGGTGAAGAAAACATGGACGCTGTTCATCAGCACGAGGGCATATATAGCCAGGCGCAAGTAGATGGGAAAGGGCGGTTCGTGTAGTACGGGAACGGAGAGACTGAACCGTCGTCGAAGCCAGGTGTTCCGGATCTTTTGTTGCGGTTGGTTAGGTTTCGTTTCATTCGATGTCATGCGTATGAAGGGGCGAGGTTTGATCAGAGCCAAGCGTTTGATGGGCTGCCATCGGGGCATCCATCGCAACATCGCGTGTCCTCGACAAGAAATGCGTGGAGGAGGAGACGGCCAGTTTCACATGCAAGATTTAGAGTTTGGGTGGATCGACGGAGGCAGGTCCGCTCCGCGTTTGCTGAAATTCTTACCTCGCCGATCCTGCACTTCAACTTCTCGACCACACCTACAATCTTATCCTAGACGCACAACAAAGGTGGACAACATGCCGCGAGACCTCAAGCTCAAAGCTGCTCTGGAACGACACAAAGGCGTCAACCACAAACTGGATCGTCAGAAAAAGCTGCAAAAAGATGCAGAAAAGAGGAAGAAGCAGAAGAAGCAGTCCACGGTCGATGTCGGCGCGCTGGATGATGCTGTAGCGAGCGAGGAGGAGGACGATGAAGCACACTCGCTGGCAGAAGATCCTTCAGAGCTGCAACGGGAAAAGATCGCAGCGAATGGAGCGCAACTCGCAGAGAAAGCGAATGGAGAGGCGGACGGATGGGAGACAGAGGAGAGCGAAGATGCGGACGACGACGAGGATGCTGAAGGTGGTATTCAGATTGGCGCCATGGAAGACGAGTCTGACTCGGACTCTGAGCTTGGAGAGGAAGAAGGCGAGGAGGATATACCGCTATCAGACATCGAATCGCTGGCATCTGAGGACCGAGAAGACGTCATTCCCCACCAACGATTGACGATCAACAACACGTCTGCGCTGCTACGCTCGCTGAAATCGTTCGCCCTCCCGTCCAGCTTACCGTTCTCGGCCGTACAGTCTGTCACATCAGGCGAGCCGATCGAGGTCGTAGATGTGGAGGACGACCTGAAGCGCGAAGAGGTGTTCTACAATCAATGTCTCGAGGCTGTGTCAGAAGCAAGGAGTCGATTGAAGAAGGAGGGTGTTCCGTTCAGTCGGCCCACAGATTACTTCGCTGAGATGGTCAAGTCGGAGGAGCAGATGGGCAAGGTGCGGCAGAAGCTCTTAGATGAAGCTGCTCGAAAGAAGGCCAGTGCAGACGCGAAGAGGCAGAGGGACCTCAAGAAGTATGGCAAGGCAGTGCAAGTAGCGAAACTGCAGGAGAGGCAGAAGGAGAAGAGAGATACGCTGGATCGCATCAATACGCTCAAGAGGAGTAAGTTTGGTACCTTCGTGCCATGCATTACAATTTGCTAACTTCATTACAGAACGACAAGGCGCAGACCTGACGACCAACGAGGAGGACATGTTTGATGTAGCATTGGAGGACGCCGCAGTCACCGCGAAGAACGACAGGGCAGTAAGGAGAGCGAAGGGTCCAGGCGAGGCACCGAACAAGAAGCGCCAGAAGAAGAACGAGCAGTATGGGTCTGGTGGAAAGAAGAAGTACAAGAAGAGCAATGATGCGCAATCAACCAACGACATGAGCGGGTACTCGGTGAAGAAGATGAAGGGAGGAAAGCCAGGCAAGCAGAGACCCGGCAAGAGTAAGCGCGCGAAGATGTCGTAGGGGTCGCATTGAGGTCTGTATAATTTTGTTCACTAGCAGCTATGCTTGCACTAAGCACGTGAATTGGCGACACGGCAGCCTGCGCTCAAACTGCAGTCGCGCAACAAACTTCATGTGGAGCAGCAATCACTTCGTCCTTCATATCAACTTCTCCTCGCCGACACAGACGACATCATCCACTTCGTCTACTGCTCGACCGTTCCCCAGTGCTTCGCCGACACGAGCATCGAAGCTTCCCTGCCATCGCACATCCCAACCAAACGCCTACACGACCGCCATCAACATGGGCGCCTGGGTGAGTTCAGACACAATTGTCACAGTGCACTCATACTAATGCCATATCAGGGCCTTGGACTCTTTGAGTCTGACCATGACTACGACATCATCTCTGACCTCGACGCCGAGGCTGGATTGCACAAGCTCGCGGAGGATGCTCAAGCCAAGCTGAAGGCCGAAGAGGAGGCAAAGGGCATCAAGCATGGCGAAGACGATGATGAGAACAGCGTGGAGGCGCGCATCAGCTACTCCATCTACGCTGATCATTGCTCTGACTTCGACTTGGTTCGTACCTACCTCCAATCGAGCGGTGAGCTGGAGAAGATGATCGAGAAGTGGACTGCCAAAGCTCAGGGATGGCGCAACCCTCTGGAGTGGCACAACCCAGGCTACAAGCTTGTTCTCATCGGTGCTTGCGCTATGATGTATGGCTGCACGCTGAAGGACGAGTTCATCCAGTACCTCAGGGACACCTTCACCGAGGTGGGACTGATGAGGGATGCCCTCAAGCAAGTCGACACCACGCTCAACGGTCCGCATGGTTTCAAGAACGGTGTGCCGTACAAGTGGGGCTCTTTCGGTGTTCACGAGAAGGCGAAGAATCCAGATGACGACCTGCTCTATCCTCCAAGACCAGGCACTGCGTTCACCCTGATCAATGTGCCATCACCAGGACCAAGCCTCTTCCGCGCCCCGGACAACAGTGCGTTCATTAAGAAGATCAAGGCGAGGATGGAGCTCATCAAGCAAGAGAAGTCGAACAACGTTTGTGGTGGATGTGGCGCTGCTGATGGCAAGGACGGGAAGGCCCTTCTGAGCTGCGCGAAGTGCAAAGTCCGCCAGTACTGCAGCCGCGAGTGTCAAAAAGATCACTGGGAGACGCACAAGCAGCTGTGCGCGAAGCCTCCCGGCGACCCGTCCAACAACGAGCGCGTCAAGAGCGTCACTATGAGCGCTAATTCGCTGTCTCCATGAAGGGAATCAGCCATCGTCGAATGTGTACATGGGCAGCCGGAAATAGCAAGAAATCTCGTATGATGGTGGAAGGTATTGCTCAGTTGCTCTTGGGAATCAGAAGTCGAAAAATGCGAAGGGAAGTGGACGCCATTGATGCTACGAATGATCAGAGTATCTGCAACGATCAAGGATTGCCGGCGTCATTGCACGATGCTAAGGGAAATCGCCTGATAGCGAAAGAGTCAGAATAGAACGTTGCGTTATCGCTTGCTTTGAGGACATACTGAACGCTGGAAGAATGAAATGGTGACTCGCTCAATCGATGTAAATCTTCGAAGCTCCGTTACCTATGCAGTGGTCTCGAAGACTTCTATTTCGCGTCATTCCTTCCCATCTTGGAGATGGCTGCCTGAGAGTAGCTCGCTACTTCCTCATTTGACTGGAACCTATCATGTTCACCCTCCACCTCACTTCCTCGCACCTTCATCCCAAGCACAATAATCAATGTGATCGAAACCAAGCTCGCATTGAACCTGAACACCGTTCACGCTCACCAGAACAACGAAGCCAAGATGGGTGCTTGGGGTACGAGAGTTGCTCCACACCTTCAAGGTGCCTACTGACCGTTCATCCAGGGCTTTCGCTCTTCCAAAGCGACCTGGACTACGACCTCATCGGAGATCTGAACCTCCAGCTCGGGCTCAAAGACCTCGAGGAGGCCGACGGCAAGCCGCGAATGCCAGACATCAGTCCTGCCGAGCGGCGCCAGAAAGAGAATGCCAAAGTAGCCGAACACTCCAAGAAAGACATGCAGGGCGTCAAGCGATTCCAATCCCCCAAGACTCCGAAGCAGGACCCCAAGGAGATCTCCTACTCGGTCTACGCGAAGCTGTGTTCTGATCTTGAGAGGGTTCGAACGTTCCTCGACGACGGCGCGCTCGCGAAAGGCATGAAGTACTACATTGACTGGATTGCCAAAGCCAAGAAGAGACATCTCCACGACCCGTACGGACCTGGATACTACGTCTGCTTGCTCGGAGCTTGCGCGATGACTCTGGGAGCGAAGATCACGGACGAGCAGAGAGATGCCATGCGGAAGCGGTACGACAACGCATCGTTCATGCGTGGTGCTGTGGCCCAGTTAGAGAAGGCCATTGAGGGCTATGTCAACGGCGTGCCGTGGGAGTTCGACAGCAAGGGCCTTCAGGATACCCAGCTGACTGGAGGCGTGGCGGACGAGGACGACTTGCTCTTCCCTGGCACAGGCATGATCAATGTCCGGGCACCAGATCATGGCAGGGGCAGAGAGGAGATGGTGAGATCCACAAGCGACCATGATCTTGAACATTATCCCCGCTGACATCTTTCTGCAGGACATGTGGAAAGTCATGGTCACGGCCCAGATCACCATCAAAGGTATGAAGCCCACTCCAGACCAACTCGCCAAGTGCATGGAAAGCCTCAGCGTCAACCCCTATCTCGAAAAAGACCTCTCCGACGAAGGCGAGTGGCTCGAAGCGTTCTGCGGAAACTGCGGCGCCGAGGAGCGGGAGAATGGCGAGCCGCTGCTGGAATGCACTAAATGCAAGAAGCAGAAGTACTGTTCTCGCCAGTGCCAGAGAAAAGACTTGAAGGACCATAAGAAGCGCTGCAAAGTCGAGCATCCGAACCATGTTTGCGACGCCTGTGGGGCGAAGACGGCGAAGGATGGCGAGCCGCTGTTGGAGTGCAGTAAGTGCAAGGTGCGGAAGTATTGCTCTCGTCAGTGCCAGAAAGATGACTGGAAGACACACAAGACGGTGTGCAAGGTCGCATAAAGGGGGAAGGATAAGTCGTACTGGGATGCTGTTAGCCAAGCGATAGATGGCCTTTGCTCACGAATTTGGAAGCCACGAAGCAGACGAGGGATGATCGCTCAAATGGATGAAAGCACAAGAGTGCCTTGAAGGCAATGAATCGCTCACTTGCTGTCACTGTACACATGCAATATCAATACAAAGTCGTTCATCAATCAATCCCCCTTCGTCCTTCCCCGACTTCGACTCCGATTCCCCTGACCCCCCCTCGGCGCCAGAAAATCCTCTGGAAGATCGTTCCAGTTGGAAGTGGCCCCTGCCGTCCCATTCTGTGATCGATGCTGCCGTCGTGCCGTATCCTCATCACTCGACGTATCGTACGGATCCGCATCACCTGCTTTCCGCTTATCGAGAGGTTGCATTTCGTTTTCTTGTCCGGCGCGAGGTTCATTCCTCGGTGGTGGAGGTAATGGTCTTTGCTGATCCACGAACCCGGATCCAGGCGTCCACTTCCATTCTCTCTCCCGCGGGGGCTCGAAACTACGCATAGCCCTACTCTGCGCGGCGTTCTGCTGGTTCCAGAACGCTTCTTCTCGTGCTCGCTGCTCTCTTTCCTTTCCTATGCGATCTCGTGCTTCGATCCAGTCGGGGCTCACGTCCCAGTGCCATCCGTCACCGGTAGTGTTGCAGACGGGGAGGAACCAGTAGAGCGGGTTGTGGCCAAGGACGTGCAAGGCGTTTCGTTTCCAGCCGAGATTGAAGGCGTTGGGGAGCTTTTCGCTGTCTTGCTCGTCAAGGTACAGGTTGTATCTGTCGCGCTCGCGTTGGGCTTCCATGGAGGCGTAGGTGCGTTGGAGGCTTTCGTGGGCAGGGGAGCTGTTAGAACCCGCTGCAGGGGCTGGTGGGATGGGGCTGTGGTTGCGGGATGGGGTGAGGGATGATTCGCCTTCTTCGGGCCGGAGGACGCCAGGCAGGGCGTTGGCGTGGATTTCCTTCAAGCGCTCGCCAAGGGGTTGGTCGTCTCCTGCAGTGCTGTATTCCCGGCCGAGATAGTTGCGACCCGCCTGGAATTGACGCTCCATGCTCTTGCGCAGTGGGCTCAGATACCTGGTCTTCTCCAGGCTCTCAATCGTGGTCTGCCCAGTCACCAAAAGGTACACATGCCACCCCGTGAAACCTGACAACACCAGCCCAATGATACCCCCAAGCACAGCCAGCAGAATCGTGTTGACAACCCGGAACCCTTCTTCAAATTGTGTCGAGTCCATTATCTCAGCCCACACCCACCACGCCGACACCGCAAAACAAAGCCAACAGAACAAACTCGTATACACCAGAAAGAGAATGAACGCCTTGTAATTCCGCATGCCCACACACGTCGCCAACCACGGACAATGATGATCCATCTTCAACACGCACTTGCCGCACGTCGAGCAGTGATGTGTCCGATCCGGCTTCACAGTCTGGCACTTCTTGCAGTAGCGGGGCTTACCCGTACTCTTCGCCGTCACCGCATTCGTCATCCATTCCCTAGGCACAGCTTCGTCTGGAGCTTGTTGCTCGTCCTCGTAGGTCGGCAGACCCTCGTAGCCTCCGCGCTTCCTGCGTCCTCCTACTAGTCCTGCGTCGCTGTGGTCTCGTATGGGGTCCAGAGGCGAGCCAGGGCTTGTGAAGACCGCGGTTGTGTACGAGACGTTGGCGAGTGTGTATAGCAATATACCAAGTCCTGCTCGGAGATATGCCAGACCGCTATGCAGGCCTAGGAATGAAACGTCGACTTCGACCCATACCGCCCACGTCGTGAGGCCGTAGACGAATAGCAAGGGGAAGTATGCGAACGTCTGACAACAGCACCGCTCTATCCTCCTCGCCCAACTCTTTCGTCTCCGGTGGAACGGCGGCGAAGGCGTGTGTGAGGCATTCTGCCGGGCCAGAGTGGGCATATCGGCGAAGGAGGTGGATGGCATGGCGGCGCGAGGCTATGAGGAATGTAAGGGATACATGTTCGATCGAATTATTTTTGACGGACAGTCGGCGCGTTGAAATCGTAGGAAGGAATCGGCGTCTTGCTGGACGAGTCGTTGGGACTATGATACAAGGCAGAAGGGGGTATTTGTTCGTTTGTTTGCGTCAGCGAGCTGCACTGCCCTGCTTCGGTGGTGTCGTCGTGATCGTGCAGCTGCTGGCGCACGTGGATTGGCGCCGATCGCGGGCCGTTCCTGCCGTCCTGATGAATGATCCTCACCTGGTCGAAGGCCAACACTCCGCGATTCTAAACTACTCAACGCGTACTCAAGTTCTTCAAACAGTCTTCGATCGACTTGCTACTTGAATAAAGCAAGACTCATCTCCTCAAAGTCCTCCGCATCGACTTTCACAGCCCAACCACACACCGCCTCTTGACACAAGATGGCATCCGACGATTCAGCCTCTCTCTCAGCACAAGTCAACAAGCTCAACCTGACAGACTCACCGGTACGCCTCCTAATCGCGACGAACCAAACCAAACACCCCTCGATATCTGACTGTTGTCTACTAGAACTCCCAATCCTCAACGCAACCCTCCGAGCTCGTCGCCGTAGTCGATGACTTACTCAACCAACTCTCCTCGAAATTCAACAATGTCTCGGCGGAGATTTTGACGAAGAGTAAGCTTTCCGATAACGTGGTGTTGCATGATTGTTTTTGGCTGACTAGCTTGTCATTAGTGGACGACATGTCCAAGCGACTCGATGCGCTCGAGACACAGATTCAAGCCGGGAATGCTGCGGCGGCTGCTCAGGCTGAGGGTGCTGGGGATGATAAGTAGATCGAGGGTGCGAACGCCTTGCGAATATGATAGGATGTCTTTAGCGCGGCGTTGGGGGTAATTTGCAGCCACCGAGCATCATCTGGCTCTTGGAAGTCATGACAGCCCTTGTTGATAAAAGATACACTGTCTGGATCAGAGTTGATTTTGATTTTATACAATAAGCGGCTCGCGCTCTACTTTACAGTATTCGCCATAACCCAAAGCTTTGGCTTGCATATCCGAGCGGAAGTGGTATCATCCCAGAAGTAAACCTTACAGCCAAACGCCGATCCACCCATCGCATGTCGTCTTCTACATCATGAACCGCCCCAAAAGCAAACGCCACCATCCGCTAGTACCTCTGCTGTACAGTCGCATTTCCAGGTGCTACTGCCAAATCCGGATACCTCGACGCCATTTGCCTACCCGCTGGAAAGCCCTCGATCTTCGCTTGTTGCCTGACCCGATCCATCAAGTGGTTTGCGGGAAGACTGGGAGCTGCAAATTTCTTCACCATCTGCACCCGTTCGTCGTCGTCAAATGCGTGTAATGTGTAGTGCTCTCTTATAAGCTTCTGCGATTCAGGTCGTGATGCGCCGTATACTTTGTGCGTACAGCCATCCAACGCACAGGTCCATGTGTCTTCCTGCACTGGATCTGGCATGTGATTGAGGGTTCGGAGAGGAAGGTCGGTTATGTCAGAAGGGGACGCAGCAGTATCGGCATCGCCGGAGACTGAAGGTGATGTCGGTATATCGATGCCTTCATCATCATGTGGCTTGCTATTCCGGCGTTTTGATGGTCGCCGTGTGTCGATATTAGCCTCGTTCTTCCGTTTTCCGTTCGTTGGCGAAGGCGCGGCCTCGGAGTCTGTGTCCCCTTCTTCTGCCGCCGGGCCTTTGCCGCCTTTTCTTGATGCACTTTTGGAGGCTTTGCTGGCTCTGGGCCTGAGAGAGGATTTGTTCTTGCGCGCTCGCAGCCTCGTTTCCTCATCTGTATCCTCTTCCTTCGCAGGCGTGGCAAGGTCCTCTGCTTGCTCCACTACTGAGTTTTGCCTCGTTCGCCGAGTCTGCTTCGTGGTTCTCGGTGCTTGGGATTTCGATGCTCCCTCCACGGCAGCCAGAAGAACCTCATCTCTCGACTCAGAGCTGCTCTCTGCGCTGCCGTCTAACGATATGACCTCTACCTCTTTCTTCGCCGGTGGGCCATGCTTTCTCTTCAGGCTGCTCGTGGTCGACGTCGTGTCCACCGAACTCTGCCGTGCAGATTTGCCTCTAGCTTTTGAAGCTTTTCCAGGTGTGGGCGGTTTCATCCGCTGTCTCATCTCTGACCAGGTATCGGGAAACTTTTTGTAGAAGTGCGTGTAGAGTGGAAACTTGCTCCATGAGAGTCCTTCCTTGCCGCTTATCATAGCCAGTATCAGGAACTCTTTGTGAGCGTAAATCTGCTCCATGCCCTCCTCTGCGTCCGACGTGCCAAGCTCTTCCGCTGCATATTTCTCGAACAGTTCGGACGGGCTGTAGTCTGGCAGTACTGTGGCATTCTTGCCTTTGCCCTTCTTCCGAGGCGTTTTGTACGAGTCGGCGATGAAGTAGAGGGTCTTTATGGCATCAACCATCTCGTGATAAATCGCTTGGTAGGCCTTAGACGGACGAATCTCGAACCAGCCAGCTTTTCCAGCAGCCCAGATCGCAGTCGAGCCGTCACCATATTGTCCATACGAGAAAGTGTGTACGTTCTCTAGCACAATGGTCGTGCGCTTTTTGATCGGTGCCTTCTTGTAGAGGTGTGCATCTTCGTCGTCCAATGGCTCCAGCTGTCCGACCAGAGTGAGCGGAAAGCCCGCAGCTGCTCCCAAAACACTCGTTGTCGCCTTGTTGTCGCCAGGAAGATGCGCATATACGTTCTCGAGTGTCAATTCGGGCCACTCGTCGGTGAGTTCGTCGAGTGAGGGGTCACGAGGCTCAAGGATGTCGCTCTCAGGTGTTGCTTTCGTCATGGTGTGGGTCGCGATGGTGCATCAATTCGGGGTGTTTGCTGGGTGTCATTGGTTTTCCGCCATCCATTTGTACCGAGACTGAGAAATGGAGGTGGTGCGGGTGGAATTGAGCTGCACATGCAGTCAGTTGACGCGCTCTCGCGACCACTTTGCTGACTGATGCGCTGTTGCGCGGATCAAGCAGCAACAGCCGAGCCGACATCGCGGCAAGTCTAGCCGATCGAATCCATAGCCCACCAAAAGATTCACTCACTTCAAGAGCTCCACAATCACATGCACATCTCTTCTTAGCTGGCAGACTAACTCATGGGCGGTCGCCAGATCCTTTGGCGCAGTCTACAATCTATCAAACCTCCGACAACACTCACAACGCCCACAATGTCGTCCGGCCAAGTCCTTGAAGGTGTCCTTGGTAGGGTACGGTCCAACTCACGACACATTTGAACTCCGTCTTACTAACCGCACTGTAGCTATCCACAAACCAGCCGCCATAAGCTCTGCACAGGTCATCCGCGACGTCCAAGACCACTTCGACCCATCGAAGCTATTCCAGCCCTGGCTTGCTCGTGAACAAGAGAAACGAGATGCAGAAGGACACAACCAGAAGAAAAAGCGGAAATGGAGAGGAAGGCGCGGTACGAGTGTCAAGATGGGACATGGCGGTACACTTGATCCAATGGCGACGGGGGTGCTGATCCTCGGTCTGGGAAGCGGAACGAAGCAGCTGGGGCATTTCACGACAGAGTGTACGAAGACCTATGAGACGGTGGTACTTTTTGGCGCTGCAACCGACACATACGATACCGAAGGCAAGATTGTTGGGCGCAAACCTCACGATCACATCACGAAGGCGATGGTTGAGGAGGCACTGGTGAAGTTCAAAGGGACGGGTATGCAGAAGCCGCCGATATTCTCAGCCCTGCGGGTTCAGGGCAAGCGGCTGTACGAGTACGCGCGAGAAGGCAAGGAGGTGCCCGTGGAAATCAAAGAACGCCCAGTGGAGGTACATGCGCTTGAAATGACAGAATGGATGGACGGAGGAACGCACAAATACCACTGGCCGCAGAGGGAAGCAGAACCGGAAGAAAAGGAATTTGCTGAGAAGGCTTTGCACTTGGACGCCAGTGAGATTTCAGCCCCTGCAGAGGACGGCGACGCCACTGCAGGTGCGAAGCGGAAACGAGATGGTCATGGAGAGGATGGTCAAGCTCCAGAGGAAGAGTCGTCTAACAAGCGCTCCAAAGCAGAGGACGCCACCCAAAACCAGAAAGATATTGAGACATCTGAGGCAGACAATTCGGAAGAGCCTAAGATCAGCGACGAGAGCGCCGTGTCGAAGAAAGACGATGCTGCTGGAAACCCAGATTCTGAAGAACAGCAAGCTCCATGCCCAGCACCGGCGTGTCGAATACGGTTGAAAGTCACCTCAGGCTTCTACGTTCGGTCACTCTGTCAGGATCTTGGCGCAGCAGTAGGGTCGTTGGGTATGATGACCGAGTTAGTACGCACACAGCAGGGAGACTTCGATCTGGGGTCGAATGTCCTTTCGTATGAGGATCTCAAGCAGGGGGAAGAGGTGTGGGCGCCAAAAGTCAAGGGCTTGCTTGAGGACTGGAACGAGAAGCAGGAGCAGAAAGCGAACGGCGATGCAGCATGATCGTCTGATGATAAACGACAAGAACAATGCGACCGCGGCTTAGTGGTAATGCAGAGCATTTCCCACCTTGATGCAGACGATCTTCGTTCATCGTTTGCAGACCTCGGTCTGGAACCCGCTGCGTTCGCACAGTCGATACCACCTTACCAACTCGACTTCACCTCACTTCAATACCTTTGAACAACTGTCTAGTGAACTCAAAGGCACTGCTCTCCGCAAGATCCCTCTGCCACGCCGCCGCAGCGATGAAATACTTCTGCCTTCCAACATTCCCATTCATTGTCTTCGGCATAATTGAACCGATGTTACTGTGAGCCCGTCCCTTAGATTTCCCACCATCCCAGTCACTGAAACAATCTCCAGGGCGTCGGCGTACATAATCGGCATCTATGACCCCATTGCATTCTATGCCTCCCAAACCCCCAATCACTTCTCACCGGCATCTTTGCCTCCCCAAGCCGAAACTCTTACCCTCCAACTCCTCAATATCCTGCTCCTCCTGGCGGCAATGGCCCTCATATGCTCCTGGACGCTCAATCCCAGCACGACGAAAGCCTACCTTTTTGTGGTGGCGCTGGCGGACTACGGACATATTTATGCGACTTATCGGGCAGTGGAGAGTGAGTATTTCTGGGATGTGGGCATGTGGAATCTTGTGGTTTGGGGGAATGTGGGAGTCAAGTTAGTACTAAATGCTGTGAGGGTGGCGACGCTGTTGGGGTGGTTTGGGGAGGTTCGGGGGGTGGATCAGAGGTGGAAGACAGCGTGATAAGATTATCAGTACTGGGGCATCGAGGAGGCCCGCAAACTGATCTTTCCGTGTGGTGATGCTACTTGTTAATAGCAACTTCAATAACATCCTCCCGTAACCCAGGCCAACTCTTCCTCCTAACCACCCACAGCCCAACCGCAGCCAGCACAACAAACCCCAATATCGGACTCGAATAATTGAAATTCGCCCCCGTAATCGGCATCGTCGTCGGGAACGGCAGCCAAACAATAATATACGCCGTATACACCAGCGCGAAAAGATTTACCGGCATGCCAAACCGTCCCATCGACCAGGGTCCCACCGGGGGTGGCGAAGCGGAGAGTCTTCGAAACACCATCATGAGGATGGCGATGAAGTAGCTGACGTACATGGAGATTGTGGAGAGGGAGGTGAAGACCTGGAAGGCGACCGAGGAGCCGAAGTTGATTAGGGTTAGGAGGAGGACGATGGTGATGGAGAAGAGGACGGCGCGGGCGGGGACGCGTTTGATCGAGTCGACCTGGGGAGTGTTAGTCTATTTCTATCGATTCGAAGGGTTGTCGGGGATACTCACGTAGGCCAACACTTTCGGCAATCCGCCGTCTCTCGCCCAGCTCCAGGAGAGTCTTGACATGGATGCGATGTTGACTATCATCACCAAGATGCCGATGAGGACCAGAAGTGAGCCCATTGCCGTAGCGACCCGGGCTGAGCCAGTAGCGTTGAGTAGGACCGCGAGCATGGGCTGGGAGTATTGGAGGGCTTCCTGAGGATCGCCGACACAGAAGAGGATCACAAGGATGAAGAGCCAAGCCATGATGCCATTCACGAGGTTCGTGTAGACCATCACTCGCGGTACGGTGTTTGGAGCTCGGCGGACCTCTTCCTGTGGGAACAGTCAGCTCTCGATGCTTTGAGGTCAAGCTGAGAGACTTACACTCAAGTGCACAGCTGCGTCAAATCCTACGAACGACCAAACAGAAGTCTGTAGTCCCAAATTCCACCCAATGAAATCGTTCGTCCAGCCTGACGTCTCCGCCGAATTGACTCTGCCCAAGAAGACGAAATGCGCATTGTTCTTAGGAGCCAGCGCCAGCAGCGTGATCGCAAAAGCAAAGAAGCACGAGATATGCAGAACTCCAGCGGCCGTCTCGATCCACGGAACCAGCTTGCCGAATTTGAACAGGTTGACAGAAACAGTCAGTAAAATCTGTGCCCAGATCATCAACGTAGTATGCCAAAGCTTCGACACATAGTCCGGATAATTCAACTGCACGATACTCGTGATCCAGTACGCGGTGCTATTCCCAATCCCCACCGTCATAGAAACCCAGCCACACCAAGTCACCCAGCCCTGGATCCACGTCGCGAAGCGTTTGATGTTCTCCGGCGCAAGGGCATACGTCCAGTGGTACATGGCGCCCGCGATGGGTTGGACGGCGGCCATTTCCGCGAGAGAGGCTGCTTGCGCCATTGCGCCGGCCCAGACGAGGAGGAAGCCCCAGACGAGGGTTTGGGGCCCGCCATTGTAGAAGACGCTGTAGAGGTTGCCGGCGATGGACTCCCAGCTGCTCATGAAGGTAATTGTTAGGAGGAAGAATTGGACGGAGTTGAAGACTCGCTGGACGGTACTGTGTTAGTTGACGGTGGTGAGGTCTCGTGGGTGAATTTACCTCGACTCTTGTCTGTGCGATTACATCGCTGGATGCTTCTTGGATCTCATTCCCTGCGACGTGTGCTTCTTTCTCGTGGTCCTGAGTTGCCATGTTGTCCTCCGAGTTGGATCAAAGAAAGTCAAAACACAAAACAAGCAAAGCGAGCTGAAGACGAAGAAGAAAGACACGAGAGCCGCACGCCCACCTACCAAGACCAGAGTCGGCTGAAGATCTACACTGCACATCAATAAGGGAGGTGCGGTCGTGCGGTGACACAGCAGCGCAGGGTCCAAGATGCGCTTGACGCTGTACCGCCATGGCTTGCAGATCGACTTGACAGCCACGCGCGAGACGGCGCCCAAGATACATGCAGTTGGTCTGCTAGTTCGCAAGCGTTTCCGGGAGGAGGCAAGCTTGCTGCAGCTAGATCTTCTTGTTCTGCATGTTGTACATGTACTGGGTAGATTAACCGTCTTGGCGTTGAGAGAGGTGTGTCTACGTGGCTGATGGCTCTTCTCAAGGCTGGCTGTACGATCCTCGCGTCGAATGCCAAGTTGTCAAGACGCTCTGATGGACATATTATTGTCGTTGTTGGGGTAGAGAGTCGTTGAAGAGAAGTAAGATAGTCGAATTTAGAGTTTACGCTAGACAAAACTCTCCGAAGTTCTTCCGATGTGGACCAACTTGGCCTCACCTCAAAAAGCGTATGAGAACGAACACACTTCCAATGTGTCTTGGAAATGGCATCGTTCTCTGCGATCTACACTTCGACTATTTTTCAAAACGATCAAATACCTGAGATACGCAAGACTATACTTCTGGTCGAATCTGGCGAGTATGGTGGAGAGAAGGAAGTCTCTTTCCCTGCCTTGGACACTATGCCTACGTGGTCGATGTTGATATACTACAGACTATTGCCATTCGAAGAGATCACCGGCCAGAGTAATGCGACACAAGCTTCCCATGCACTCAACGATGCCGAAGCACCTTTGAAGCGTCCTGCGAAAGAGCTCAACAAGGAAGTGACCTTCAAAATAGGAGCCATTGTATCTCTAGCGCCATTCGTTGAGGACTGATTGCCAACCACCTGCCCACTCTGACTCTGATGGACGAGGTAGAAGAGCCATACCATTCCGCACCGTAGCACTCGATCAGCTTCTAGCCATAGGCTCAATATTTTGTCACTCTTGTTCAGTTCATCTAGGTGGTCGACAATGGTACATGCGGACGTTGCAACAATTTGGAACGCATTCAAGGTGGACTCTTCCAGAGGTTGTCCGGACAGAATTTCCTCGGTGATGAAGAGCGGCTGTAGGGTGGCGTAGAGCAAAGCCGAAGAAAGACTTATGCGATCATGAGGCAGCTCCACTCGAAGCGTTGGCGGTATCAAATTCACTGCATCCGCCACTGACACATCGGATGTGTCCATCAGCGTCTGCGCAATGTTCGCGCCACTAGACCAGACGATTGACTGCTCATCAATGCTTCGGGCTCCAGATGAAGTTATCTTTCCTGGGAATGATGACGGACGTTGAAAGTGTAGCACGACGGAGCTGTATACCGTCAGCATATATCTGGAACAGCACATTGTTGATCCATTGTTCACCTTTCGAGCTTCAGCAGAGAACATTCTAACTTGAAATACTGTTCATTCAAATTGAGGTGATGGGACCGATACCCGAGGCGAAGCTCGTCCAACGCCGATACTGCTGCGCCGAGCAGATCCCAGACTTGATACGACTCCGGAATGATGAGCTCGCAAAGGGCTTGAGAGATCAGGATCGTGCACAGCAGTCTTTGCCGCTCCAATTGGTCTTCCACAGTGATGCCAGAATCGACGAACTCTTTTAGAGCCCGTCTGAAACGCACGAACGCATCGGATAACGAAGTTTGCAAATCTCTGACTACGAGGGCAAGAGAGATTGTGAGGACTATGACGATGGTGATCGAGTTTTCGCTGTTAGTATCTGAGCCACTCAAGTCCGGCAAATCCAGATCATCGATTAGTGACTCCAGATCGCCATGAAGAAAGTCGAAGTTGGGCCCAACAACGTTCAGGTAATGCTGCACCAAGGCGTTCTTCGTTGTTGAGGTCAACAGGCCTGAGAGCTCGAGGCTGCCCAAGTCGCGAGGACCAGATAATACTGCTCTGGGCTCCAACAAAGTATAGTATGCCTGGGCAGGGACTGGGAGATGAAAGTCCGGCAACGGAAGCTGCTTCTGTCTATGCCACTCAAGACCAGCTTTCAAGAAGCGCTGGACAATTTCTGCGGAGTGGCCGGGGCCAAGATAGAGTGCTTGCGAAGGGAAAGTCGTTCTGTCGATGGTATCTCCATGGTGATTACTGCCTGTGGCTGTCGAAGAAGGCACACTGTTACTCCGCGACGGGGACAGTAGCTGGCCAAGCTCATCGGAGCGCTGCTGGATTTTGCGCTTCAGGCTCGATTCCCTTTGATGCAGGAAGTGCAAATAGCTAGACAGGTGTATCATTCAGCGAGCCGACAGCGGGAGGACTTGAAGATTGTGGCTGTCTCACCCACAGTACACTGTCTTCTCAAGAATTGGATCCCAGAAGCAACACTGGACATCAGCGGCAGCACAGCGCTTGCACGATGGCAGCCGAAGATCGCACTATCAGACTCAAAGTCAGCACGACCATGATACCTGGGCCTTGAGCCAGGAGGTCTCTCTTACTCTGATCTTCTTCTCGCGGCATCTCGTGCATACTTGCGGCGAGGTATAGGAGCGGTCGCTCATGGAAGGTGTAGTTTGGACGGCTGGAGCGACCGTGGCGGGCTTCACATGGCTGGACACCTGTTCGACAAACAACAAGAATGTTAGGTACAGCAAGTGTTGGATGCTCGATCTATTGCATTCGACCGACGGGATAGGTAATGCAAGTTGTTGAACAGACTGTGCCTGGGAGCGGAGAGGCAGGATACCGCTTAGTAAGGCTCAATGGCATGGCTGAGTAATCAAATATAGTCGACTTCACGTTCCAGTTTCGCGTCGAGGCTGGCCTCCGTCAACAAACATGTACATCACCGGTTCTCGACGACACGTCAGCTGCACACTCCGGTCTTAATACGGCGAAAACTATTACCTTGAGCCTTCGCCCCCTGCTCACGGCCATGCCTGCTGCCCCAGGAGGCAAGGCAAGACGACGAAGGCAACCTCGAGCATGCAGACGCTGTCGCGACAAGAAGATTCGAGTGAGAAAGCTCTCTACGGCGTCCGAATGCATGACTGGCGCGCTCATGACCATTCCAGTGTGATCTTCAGGTTCCAGCCTGCGGTCCCTGCTCAGGAGCAGGGGAATCATGCCTAGGTTTCGATCCTGTCCAAGGGGCAACAGCTCCTCGAAGCGCCCTTCTGCATCTTGAGGACGAGGTTGAGCGTCTAGCGCGCGAGCTGGAAGTTCTGGAAAGGCGAAGAGAAACATTGTCGGAACCAGCCGAGCCAGCCATAATAAGTGAGATTGTTGCACGACTTGTCACCGAGACAGTAGGGACAGCGCGCAGCCTCGAGCAGCAGCCCTCGTCACTGCCGCTCACGTCGCAATTCCTGCTCTCGCATTCCCCGTCGCCATTTCTTGGCTGTGAAACTTCCGACAGCGCGCAGATGACCGAAGCAACAGAGGCTCCAAAAGCTAAGCATGTATCTACCATTCCGCGAGACGCTGCGCTCGTTCTTCTCAAGCACTATTGCGACATCTATCGACCCCAATATCCAGCAATCGAAGAAGCGGACCTGTACCAGTCCTTCGAGAGGGTATACAACAGTACCGAATCCTCACACCTCGATGCCTTCATCGTTCATATCTGTCTTGGTATTAGTGTGAGTGGCATTACCAATGTCCTAACTCAGAGTTCCTGTCTGACGGTTCTAGTCGACAACATTAATGTACAGCGACGATGTACGCGCTCTGACAGCATCAGGTAGCTTTTGGAGCACTACTGCTGCGCAATTGGAAAACATCGGCCCGACAAGCTCTTGGGAGCGACTTCAGGCCTTGCAGCTACTTACGCATTACGGCCTTTTAAACCCACAAGACGTCAACTGCGTCAGATGTGCAGCTGCCGCTACGAGGTTGTGTTTCCAACTTGGCTTGCACCGTGAAATGTCTGCTACTTCTAATAGGGACATAATCGAAGCCGAGATAAACAAGAGAAGGACAGTGTTCTGGAATTCTTTGTGCATTGATGCGTATGTGCCGAAGTGTCGAAACATCCCTGTTTGTCCTCATTTACTGACTGATGGTATCGTAAGTGGTATCCATACGACCAGGTGTCAATCCTTAACGTTGACGCCAAGCATCACCACAAAGGTTGCTACCTCACAATTAATATAGGGCTAGGACTGATGAAAAGCAGGAGCCCGATCTCCGCTGGACAGCACCCACCACCATACACATCTGGGAATTGCGGAAACTGGAGCGTGAGATCACCCTCCATATGTACTATCCCTCGGACAGCAACATCGGTCAACTGTCAGAAAGTCCCCTCGACAATTGGCTCGCCCGAACCCTGGCACGGCTAAAGCGTTGGTACCAGACCACCTGTGAGAGCGTGTCTTTGACCGGCCAGGTGGAGTTCTACGAGTTGCTTTATCATGTCCAGATGCTGAGATTGAATCGTCCATCCCCGCGGTGCCCGATTCCAACTCTCGAGATGCGCCAGGTGGCTCTGGTATCTTCTGTTGCGATTCTCCGAGAGTTTGACATAGTCAACCGACTTGGCAAGCTCTTCTACATCTGGCATGCTGCGCATGTTGTGGTTGAGTCCGGAATCTGCCTGCTGTCATCGGTCTTGAGTGGAATGAGTATGAACGCTGATGCAACTCTCTTAACGCAGGCCGATGTTGCTGTTATCACTAAACGCATCGAAAGTATTCCGGTCCTTCTTAGACAGATCTCACGCCGCTGGTCGAGCATTGCCCACCACGCTTCTGTCTTTGAGGAACTGTGTCCTAGAATTCTGCAAGGCTTGAATAGTTGGAGTAATGGCGAACTTCATGGCAATAAGGATGACGATACTTTACGACAGCGGCTAGAAGATATCTCGCTATTCTCTCCCTCCCTCCAAGAAGGGATATTTTTGCGCGAAGATCTGCGCCACACAACCTCTGCTCCGTTGCTTGACTTCGCAGGTACGTACAACCCGCAAGACTTCCGTTGCTTGACCTCAAGGTGTCGCGCTGACCTCCCATAGCAGCAAGCAGCTCTTCTGCCACATTGTCCTTCCCTTCCGAGCCGTTTGACTTGTCCCTCCCTTCAGACTTTAGACAAGAAAACAATTTGGCGGCCTGGGATCTCCTCGACCTGGACGCAACGCAGCTATTGGCATCTTTATTTCCGGACGATGGAGCGGAAACTTGAGATGCGCTTAAAATATATACCACAGCGCCATGAGACTGATTGGGATGACGGTTGAAGGAATGCCTTATGCGAGAGTTATGACAGTCTTGCCAAAACCGCTGCCGCGTGCCTAACTTGTGATCAGCTCTGGAGGATGGCGATATCTTGACAATACGTACGCAATGCTCGAAAGCCTCCTTCGTTTCGTGGATACTGAAACTCTTCCTATCGACAATAGGATGGATATCTCTGGCTTCGACGACGGTCACCATGTCCTCCATCTGAGCCCTGGAACCCACGGCTACCCCACGAGCAACGAAGTTATTGAGCCAGCAGTCCAGTACCGAAGGCACATTCTGGGTCTCGTTGATCGCGCCGGAAACCGAGCCGATGCAGCTCATAACACCTTCTGTTCGGACTGCTTTCATGCTTTCGCGTAGAGTGCGAACGCCACCCACCTCTATGACATTGTCGACACCCTGTTGGCCTGGAGTGAGATCTTTGACGCTCTGTCCCCAGGAGTGATCGCGGGCGTAATTGATCACATGGTCCGCGCCCAGCTTTTTGAGAGTTGCGGCCTTCTCTTCCGATGAAGTCGTTGCGAAGACTCTTGCACCAGCAGCTTTTGCGAACTGAATGTAGAGTTAGCATGCTGCAAAAGGCCTAGGAGAGGAAGGGAATAGGTACCTGCAAGGCGAAAAGGCTGACACCACTGGTGCCGAGAACCAAAACTGACTGCCCAGCTCTCAGTGGCTTCAAGCCGTACAGAGCGTTCCAGCTGGTGACTCCAGCACAGCAAAGGGTACTGGCTTCAGCATAGCTCAGATTTCGAGGCGCCCGGACTAGCCCCTGTTCGTTGAAGGTTCCGTATTGGCGCAATGTTCCATCTCGACCACCACCAAGCCCGGATTCTGCGGTCTTACTTGTGGTAGGGCCGTACAGATGGCTTTGGCTCATGAGAGTTATCACGCGGTCTCCCGTCGCCCAGAGTGTTACTTTGCTGCCAATCGCAACGACTACGCCGGCACCGTCTGAGCATGGAACGACCGGAAGTTGCAGTGAGAAGGGATAGTCACCCTTTGAAAAGCATTAGCAGATCAGCGGATAGGAGCGATGGAATAGGAGCCTTCTCACCCGGACAATCATCAAATCGCGGAAATTGAGAGACACGGCGTGGATTTTCACGAGCACTTCGTACTCTCCGGGGGTTGGAGTATCCACCTGCTCAACCTCAAGCTTGTTCGACTTTTCGTCATTTTTGGCGATCCTCCCCTGGATTTGAGTATTCGTGCTCATTGTCGGCGTATTCGTCTGCCAGCTGCGAGAAGAGGTGCTTACTTGCTCTCTATCTTGAAGAGAAGACGAGTCATAAACGAAGTCCAGGCAGAGATTATATCACTGTGCGTGAAATGAGACAACGACTGGTCTTTGCCTTCCACATTGGGGCAAATTACAAATGCAAGAAGCCATACCTCAGCTGGTGTGAAGCCACCCGGAGTTGAGCGATGGGCTTCGTTGGGTCTGTTCGCCCACCTCCGGACGGACCCCAAATGGAGCCACAGGGCCCACCAAAATTTGGCCGACGTCTAGCTGAACATTGATGGAGCTTTCGCAAAAGGTCAGGCAGCTTTTCGCTTAACGCCGGCAAAGAGTTACTCAGTAACAATTAGGACTCTTTCGATGATGGTGGATTACAAACCTACAAAACCACTCATCGTGGGACTTCAGCAACTCGCAAACGCTTGCCTCGAAGGTGCATCTATAAATGCCAATAGACGTCGCCATGAATTCGCCTGCAAGCCTCGTTCACATCGGATCAGCCACGACTAGGATTGACTCTACAAATTCTTCTTCCTCCAGACACTCCAGATTTACTCAGATCGCTCGTCCAAGATGTCCGCCTCGCCTCGCTACAAGTCCGAAGACCACGATGCTACAACACTAGCCAGTCCGTTACACTTCAACTTCGCGAACGTTGATGCGCCGAACCGATTTCTCAAGGCCGCCATGACTGAACGATCATCTACATGGGATCCAGTGATCCCAGAGAATCGAGGAGTTCCGGGTGCGGCGATGTTCCAATTGTACAAGACATGGGGCGAAGGACGCATAGGACTTATCCTGACCGGTAACGTCATGCTTGAGTACGACCAAGTTGCAACGGCTGGAGATCTTGTTGCTCCACGTGGAGCGCCTTTCTCTGGGCCGCGTTTCGAAGCCTTCCAGAAACTAGCAGCAGCTGGAAAGGCTCAAGGCAGCCTCATGGTAGCTCAACTGAACCATCCTGGCAAGCAGATCGACAGCAGGATCCAACCATACCCCGTCTCAGCGTCAGAATCCCCGGCGCACAGCACGCTTCTCGGGTTTGAGGCAGCAAAGGCTCGTTCGGCGTCCACAGGAGACATTGCTCGTATTGTAGATGGATTCGCACACTCCGCAGAGTATCTCGACAAGGCTGGATTCGACGGAGTTGAATTCCATGCTGCGCACGGCTACTTGATCGCTCAATTCCTTTCGGCTGATACGAATTTGAGAACAGATCAGTATGGCCAAAGCCTCGAAAACAGAGCTCGACTACTCGTTGAAGTTGCGCAAGCTATACGCAAGAGGACCAGACCATCCTTCATTCTCGGAGTAAAACTGAACTCTGTCGAGTTCCAACACGCTGGTCTGAGACCTGAGGAGGCAAAACGTCTTTGCGAAATACTTGAGGAAAGCCAGTTCGATTTCGTGGAGCTCAGCGGTGGAACACTTGAACACTTTGTCCACAAGCGGGAAAGCACACGGAAAAGAGAGGGTTTCTTCATGGAGTTCGCTGACTCGATTGTCCCGATGCTGACGAAGACGAAGGTCTACGTGACCGGAGGCTTCAAGACGATTGGTGGTATGGCCAAAGCAGTCGAGAGGGTGGATGGTGTTGGTCTCGGACGTCCATTAGCCCAGGAACCTTGGCTGGTCAAAGAACTGCTCGCTGGCGAGATTAATGGGGCGATCTTACAACGACAGGATGAGAGTGACTACGGTCTCACCAACATGGTGGCGGGATCGCAGCTGAGACGTCTCGGAGCTGGCCAGCAGCCTCTTGACATGAGCCGGCAGGAGAACGAGGAGGCGTTTGGGAAAGCCGTGGGCAAGTGGTTGGAGGAGGCGAAGAGTGACGCTGTGAATCCTGTGTATGGATATCCGGACATCACGAACGTGACGTGAGGCTAGGAAGCTGAAAATGAAGGTCTGCACAGACGTTTTTAATTGCTTTAGGGCGACTGACTCCTTTCGTGTCATGAAGTGCTGGGCGGTTTGATTCGGTAAGACCTAGAGCTACAGCAGAGACGAAGCACCAGTGACCCCCCCCCCTCCTCTGTGCCTTCATACATTCTTCCGTCTCGCCTGCGAGACATCGGTTACACCACCTCCACAGTCCAAAGACATAGCCGCCGCCAAGGTCTCCAAGACTACCAAGACAATCGAAATCGAGCCGCAGCTTACAACAAAGCCCGGATATAGCAGCTGAGGACTTGGGTCTGTTTGTGCCCGGGAGCTATAGCCGCTGCTTTTGATTTACAACCCAGGTGTCACCAACCGCGACAACTCCCCATATAGCATATTCGTCTACTGTGGTCTTCATGGCTTGGTTAGGCCGCCTGAATACGATGGTGTGTTGTAGATGGTATCACGGAGTGAGCGACTCAGCCTCATCGGATAGCAGAGATCGCAAATATCGTTCAGCTCGTTAACGGCATCGTGGTTTTCTTCGTCGACGGAGAGACAGTATATGGCCGGCCAAGGTCCTACGAGGAGATAACTCAGAGCAGCATTCAGCACAATCACCATCCCACCAGATCATCACACATCCTACCCATCATGTTCAACTCTATGCCCCTCGCCCTCGTCGGGCTCTCAATCACCGCCCACGCCCTCCCGCAAGTCCTCGACCTCAGCAAAGCCTGCACGCACAGCTTCAACTCCGAACAAGAAGCCCATACCGCGTGGATCAAGTCCGGCGCCGGCATCGTCCTCAAGTCGCTCGATGGCATGCCCGACCAGCGCCCCAACTGGGTCGTCGATATGGACGCCTTCATCCGCGATACTGACGCCGGCATGACCCAGATGAACTATGGTTCCATCGATGGGAATTGCCTGCCTTTGTTGGATTGCGAGGCGTACAAGGCGAAGAATCTGGGCTCACATTATTATGTGATGCGGGCGATCCAGGGGGCGCATAGTCTGGCGAATTATATGAGGGAGGGGTTGCAGGATAGTGAGTTTGGAGATCTTGGAGATGGTTGAGAGTGTTTCGCTGACTTGGTGTGATCCTTTCAGGTGCCATTGAGTCCAGTTTTGTCGATTGGCAGCTTGATCGAATATTGGAAGCCAGAAGACAGTGCGGACAAGACGATGTTTTCGTACCTCTCTGCTGCCTTCAGCATGGCTTCTGGTGCAACCGCAGCCGACGTGAGTAGCCCGACGGAATGAACTCCCTTCATCGAACTGACAAGTCGCACAGCCCAGAGTCTCCGGCTTCATGGGCTTCATGTCCGGAGTAACAGCAGCCGCCAGCCAGGCTCTCGACAGCGAAGGCGACGAATACCGAGGCTCCATGGAAGAAGTCGTTCTGAGAATGTTCTCTTCGTCCCGCGATGCCATCAAGAACACCCTCCACGCCGCTATGGTCTCGGACAATGCCGATGATGTGAAGAAGTATCTCCCAGAAGGCACACTCGAAGGGTTCTTCGGCGAGGGTCGCTATCTCTTCAACGACGTTTCGGCTGTTGGCCAGCCTGTCATCGACGGCATGTTCACGCGCATGAAGCAGGCGCTCGTGAATGTCATCCTGCAAAAGACGGGACATCGGGTGTTGGTCGATGATTATATTCGTGACGCTGGTGATTGCAACTACCCGGGAGCGTAAGTCAAGCTTGCAACATTTCTCGATGGGACAGGAGCTAAACGATTGCACAGTTGGTGGAGCGGCTCCACATCAACATGCTACTACCTGATCGAGAAAGTCGGTACCAGCGCACACATGTGTCTCGCTGGCGATGCCGATGCTTGCGACTGGAAGCCCCTTACGGACGACCAGAAGAAGAACATCGAGAGCTACGGCGTCGACCTTGGTGATCTCTACAAGAACGCTTGTCAGGTATGTATCAGCAAACACTCAAGACATTGTTCAAGATGAATCTAACACATACCTGTAACAGTGCGCCTACCAGTCCCAGAACAGCCAGACGTCTCCAGATCCTACAGCCGTGCCCACAGATGGTTCCCTGCCACAGTGCTTCTACTCGATCGAGTGCAGAGTCGGCACCCCATGGGACTTCTCTTGGGACCATAGCGAGGTTCTTGAGTGGTATGCGATTGACGAGAAGCGTGTACCTTACAGCTAGATGTGTCCAGAAGCCGGCCCTGTCTCGGCCGTGCAATCCAAAAGGTTCGTGACGAATGGTCTTGGGGTTGGGTATGGCCAGGTTCTGGGGGTAAATGTTAGACGGAGTCTAAAGCATTGATTTAGCCGTAGTAAACATGCAGGCACCTGCAATGCAAACTTACGATGAGCTGTATCTCTCACGCCGTGCTCTCTCTCAACACCAATGGGAAGTCCTCCTCTTGAGGTGGTCCACCTGTACAAAGCGCATAGTCTAGATACAGCATCAGTCTCAAGAATAGCCTTGGCCGCCGGTAGACGAGATTCGCCCAGTCGAGTTTGACTTTCCCCTGACCACTTGAAGAAGACACCGAAGAGGAGTCGTTCGCACTGCCATTCCTGCCATCTCGCCAGTTCGCCATCGAGCTCTGGAATTTCTCGTCTTTCAACGCGTAGGCGACGATATTGGACAAGACATCCGCGCAGAAATCAGAGCCATCGAAGTGGTCTTGTTGGGCTTGCAGAGTGCGAGTGAAGATCTGGAGACGCCGGTTCTCAATTGCTTCGGTCTTGGCTCCACGAACGGCTGCCACATTGATGGCTTGGAGAACAAGCGGAATGGCGATGAAGGCTGACGCGCTGATGGGTAAGTATTTGACCAGGCGGACCTGAACGAACTCCTGGATTCGTTGTCCTACGTCCTTGTTTGAGCTCTCCAGCGACTCTCGGGTTTGATCGACGGAGAAGAGCGTCCTCGCGCTGGGGAACGTCTCGGCCAACAGAATCAGATGCTGGTTGAGCGCGAAGACTGCGCTCGAGTAGTAGCAAAACATCATGTTGGCGCATATGCAGATCGAGGGAGTCTCATCGGCATCGTCGAGGCCGATTGGGAAGGGGAAGTCCGCAATGGCTTGATCGTACCAGATTCTCAAGCTCATAAGCGCTCGTTGTATGTGGTTGACGCTGGTTGCTAGTGACGACTCGGCATGTTCGAGACGCTCTTCGAGACTCTCGTGACGGTACAGATCGAGAGCATCGGTGAGGTGCTGCATAAGCCTGCACGTCGTCGAGATGACTTCTATGATTCGATGCTGGGCGTCTAAGCTGTGAACGGCCGAACGTCCTAGTTCCGAGTCGAAGTCACTAGCGTTCAGTAGACTGGACTGGTCGCTCCACGACGAAGTAAGAACGATTTGGGAGGTCCTGCGCAGACCAAGCGAGAGGATACGATCTCGCAATATGACGCCCCACCAGATACGTTTGAGCAGGCTCGATTTTGTCGTGTCCGGACCTCGAGGACGGTAGTGGCGATTTGCTCCGGCAATCTGGGCAAAGTGTACTGCGGTCCTTAGCCAGAACGAGTTGACTCGTAACGAGTTGTACGTTGGTGCGTAGTAGGTTAGCAAGAGGCAGCTCTGTGCCAGAGCAATCGGATCTCTCTCGATTCCCATGTCGAAGAATATCTATTGAAAATTAGCTAGTGCACTGAAGCGTGATGAGGGTGCGTACTGACCTTGGCCTGTTTGTAGAAAGAGACTCTAGCATCCCGTTTACTTTGATATCTCATCGCCGTCAAGATGTCGAGTTCGACAAACTATGTCTTCGTCAGCAGGGGATAGAGAGAACATTGACGGCCGTGTCGACTATACGTTTGTCGCAGCGAACACCATTGCTCGCATGAGAAGGAACGAGAAGGTCCCAAGTCTGAAAGTATCACCTTCCCACAGTGACCAGACTTGATCTTCAGCCACGACAGGAAGCGCAGGGTGGACCATATAGAAGTAGGACCAGATCATCTGCCTTAGCACGCCAGTCGGTGGAAGCTGTAGACAACCTTCACGTTGAAGATATTGTTCCTCCGACGTCGAGAGACCAGGCACATGGATAGATGGAGCCCGGTCCTTTTCATTGGTCTCATTTCCACTTACGGAGTTTCGAACAGAAGACGGACTCAAATATTGCTGGACATATGTCCCAGACCAAGGATCGCCACTGTCAACGCCAGTGCATCCAGGCAATGCATTTTCTCGAGTGAAGGCGAAGATATCGTCGATGTCAAGTAAATGACTAAAGTCGATGCCTGTACTGGCTGAGCCTGGGTCTGCTGTGAGATGCTGGGCCGGGAAGGAGTCGTCTCCAGTCCATGTGTTCTGAGTTGAGATGTCTCCTAACGCGGCCCAGGTGGGCTGGTCACCAAGCGTCGAGAACGCAGCAGACTGGCCTTGACCGGGGAGAGGAGTTCTGAATGAAGACTCATCGTCCATGTTCTCTGGGTCAATTGCTTGGAAACTGTGGCATCTCTCACGCAGCCGTTGGTCATGTTCGTCCGGTGGGCTTTCGTCGCTCTGGCTTTTCGACGTCTTCCTTCGGCGTAAGACGCATGACACTCCGGGCACGCCTGAGCAGTTCGAACAAGGCACCCCATGTTCGACGACATCGCAGCGTATCTTTCTGATTCGGCACTCCTGACAAGCCGCTCGGGCTCTTCGATGCCTGATCCGATGCTCAACGTTGGCCGTCTTGTTAATCTGTTGGACAGGCATGTCCATCCATCGTCCGTGTTCGGAAACTTCCACGGCAGTGAGGTCGGTTGAGTGTTTGCAGCTAGTTGTGAAGACTGTACTGTCCCATGGGGATGTTCAGTGTAAGGGCATCGCTCGGTACAGTACAGATTTGGTCGACCCCGCAAAACCCCTCTGCGAAATAGGCTTCACCAGATAGTCTAATACCATTTCGGCTTTATGGATGTGCAGCGAATGTGTTGATTGGCTGACACCGTAGAAGCTCTTTGATGCTTAGCCGTGGTGTATACTTTGGCTTAAGTTCTTCCCATGGGGACGGATGTCGGCAGTCCTTCGCAAGCCGGGTCCAGGTCCAGAGCGCATGAAGATTGATCATATAGATGTTCGCTGTCGGAGCTAGCCGAAGGTGAGTGGTCGTCCGTCTTCATTGTCTAGCCAGAGGAAAGATGGCCTTGGAAGAGAAGCCCTCATATATTTCCGAGCATCAGGAACATGACACCAGCTTCGACGCTACAAGTCATGTCGAAAAGCACGAGCATTATGACGACGATTCGTCCCAGCAACTGACCTGGGGCTGGAAAAAGATTATCGCAACTGCGTCCCTCTGCGGTATCTGGACAGGTAAGTCAGCCCAAACATATTGGAGATCATATTGTTGACAGAGACTCCATGCAGGCGCTCAGATTCCGCTCTTCTTCATCGGAGGAGCCTTGAGCTATGTCGTTACCGACCTGGGATCTCCGTCGGTCAGCTCATGGCTCACCGTCAGCTACACACTTGCAATCGGTGCTGTAGCTCCTTTCTGCGGTTATCTGGCAGATCTGCTTGGACAGCGGAATGTGGTCCTCTTCGGCGAAGCTCTTGTGCTCATTGGCCTCATAATCGTCGGCACTGCTCAAGGGTTCTCCCAGGCTTGTGGAGGCATGGGCATCATCGGTGGCGGTGCTGCGATTACAGAACTGACTGCTCTGGCTGGGATTGCCTCGATCGTTCCTGTCAAGAAGCGTGGGACTTACCTGGCCATTTGCACGGCATTCCTCTTCCCGTTCACGCCATATGTTCTTTACGGCCAGCTGATTGCGACTCGATCAACTTGGAGATGGACGATCTGGCTGTGCTTGATCTACAACGCCATCTTCGGCGTTGGCATTGTCGCCACATTCTTCCCGGAGAGCAACACGGCCAAGAAGATTTCCACGCGAGAAGTCTTGCGCAGGATTGATTACGTTGGCGCCTTGTTGTCAATTGGAGGAATCTCACTTTTCCTTGTTGCCCTTGGATCCGGTGGCTACACTCACAGTTGGGACAGCGCTTACGTGCTGGCAACGCTTCTGGTCGGAATCGTACTCATCCTGGCGTTCGTCGTCTGGGAATGGAAAGGAGCCAAATACCCAATGGTGCCATCACAGCTGTTTAGCAACAACACTATCGTCTGGAGGGCCTTCGTTACTGCCTTCATCGCGGGTATGAATCTGTATTCGCTGTTGAACTTCTTCCCATTGACCTTTTCGACCGTCTTCAACCCCGATCCGGTCCAGGTTGGACTAAAAGGTCTTGGCTATGGTATTAGCGTTACTGCAGGAGCTGTGACCGTCAACGCTTTGCTGTCCGTACTGAAGGGCCACAATCGAGAACTGCTCATCTTCTCCACGGTCGTCATGAGTAAGTCTCTTAGGCTATGCGGATTAGTGCCTTGCTAACTTCCTCACAGCTGCCTTTGGAGGTGCTCTCGCGGCCGTCACTCCCAACACTCCAAGGATGGCTGTTGCTCTTGGAACGATAGCTGGCTTCGGTGTTGGAGGAGTGTACATCCCAGCAGCCACAATCGCATTAACAGCGACCCCGGATGAGCTCCTCGCAACGACAGGAGCACTCTCGCTCTCCGTGCGTACCATAGGAGGCAGCATCGGGTATACCATTTACTTCAACGTCTTCTCCACAAGACTGGCGAAGAGACTGCCAACAGCACTCGCCGCAGCGGCCGCAGGAGCTGGTCTTCCCACGGAAAGCCTGGAGACTTTCGTCAAGACGTTCGTTGCGTCTCCAGCCATGGCAGCAGAGATTCCCGGAGTCACACAGCAAATCATTGCTGCTGCGGCTTCAGCATCCCAGTGGTCCTACGCGTACGCGCTCTCGTACGTCTGGTACGTGTCGATTGCTTTTGGAGTACTGTCGGTGGTCGCCAGCATCTTCCTCGGGAATGTTACAAAGTACATGACGAATCGCATTGCGGCTCAGATCAAGTAAAGGGATGTTGCAATGATAAGACGAAGATCGAAGTGCGAAGAGCGGAGTTGAAGAGTTGAGGTGGATTTGGACCGTGTCTCACGGGCTTCACACCCCTTGTTCGGGTTAGAATACCGTTTTGGTGTCCCGGAGCTGGAGAGTTCTACGTCACGTCGCCGGACCTCACTCACGTCTTCACGAACATCTATCTTACTCAACTGGTGCCTTCGTTCGCAGTCTCAGGCAATCTCTCATTCCAGGATCATGATCTCGACGTGCAACAATAAGCGCAAGATGGGTCAGGCTCCACAAAACCCTGCACACATCCTCACCTGTGTCACCACCAAGCACTGCATTATGACTTCAGATTGGCCTCATCTGTGATCGTGATCTCTGAGGTGAAAAGATATCGTGAGCGAAGAAGTTTTCTTCTCCATGGTTGTCAAGTTCGCAACGCTCATGCTGTGAATTGATCTGTGTCTTTTACTCAAAACTACAATCTATCTACCTCCCATCATTTGCAGACATGGAAAACGTAGGTCGCAAACGATTCGCCGACTTGGGCCTCAAAGGGCATGTCTTCGTCGTCACGGGAGGTGCGAGTGGTATCGGTCTGGCGAGTGCAGAGGGTCTTGTTGAGGCGGGTGGAAAAGGTATGTTGCAGTGGATTGATGAAAATAATGGGGGCAATCTAACCTGAAGAAATCAGTCTACTGCCTCGACCGTGCAGAATCGCCCGGCGCAGAATGGGGCGAAGCCGAGAAACGCATTGTCCACGAATGGGGAAGCTCGCTCCACTACGAGCGGGTCGACGTAACCGACACAGGTCACTTGAACGAGACCATCGAGAAGATCGCAAAGCAGGAGCAACGACTCGACGGTCTCCTCGCCGCGGCTGGTATCGTGCAAGTGACCCCCGCCGTGGAGTACACCCCCGAAGACGCCATGAAAATGATGGCCGTGAACTACAACGGCGTCTTCATGGCGGCGACTGCCGCAGCGCGCGAGATGATGCGATATAAATGCCGAGGAAGCATCTGTATCATCGCCTCGGTGTCAGGACTCATCGCGAACAAGAAGATGCTGTCGCCCGTATACAACTCCAGCAAGGCGGCCTTGATCCAACTGGCGCGGAATCTGGCTATGGAGTGGAGTGCCGTGCAGCCTGATGGGACTGGTGGCATTCGTGTCAATTGTATCAGTCCAGGCTATATTCGCACTCCGATGGTGGAGAAGGTTATCAAGGCGGACCCGGCTGCGAAGGAGGCTTGGGAGGCGGAGAACATGATGCATAGATTTGCTGAGACGAGCGAGTTCAAGACGGCGGGACTGTTTTTGTTGAGCAGAGCGTCTTCGTTCATGACGGGGAATAATCTTGTGATTGACGGGGGTCACACTGCCTGGTGATCTACCTTGTGGTTATTGCGAGGGTTGTGAAGAGAGTCAGCTTGACTGATGTGATAGACATTTCGAGCTTTAGATGTTGCAAACAAAGCAAAGCGTATAGTAGAATTTGAACCATAACGCCACAGCAGGTTACTGGCGTCATTGCCATTTATCATCCAACAAGAGCTCTGCGTCCCAAAAGACGAGAGTGGATGTCGGGGCCCCTGAAATATGTCTGAATGCCTGAGGCAGTAGCGGAGGCCTGGTCAGATTGCTCGATTTGGATGTTTGCCTGCTGTTGCCTACATATCGATAAGCGAACTCAATTCAGCTCAGATTCTCCTGATACTGCACATCTATTATCTATGTCCATCCTTTGGTAAGCGACCCAGATGACTGGTTACTATTGACGAAGCCGAATAGAAAAGACTTCATGTTGTCTCTCCTCAGACAGAGACATGTGACAGCGTCTCGCCCTTTCGCCTTCTTTGACTCACTTTCCTTTGGCGACAATTCACTGCTGAGGCAGAAGTGTCGTGCAACATCGTGCCTGATGGCGCTCTTGCCATCTGGTCCGTGCGCTCAGGCATTTACCTACCTCCAGCAGCGACTTCCCAACTTCTTTCTACAACCACAACCGCCACCATTATTCAGTGCCGCGCTACACCACATGACATCGGCCACCATGGCCAAGCGACAGCTTCGTTCAGATACCAAATCAGAGCCTCATCATTCACTTCCGGAACCATCGGCCAAGAAGCGAAAGACCCAGAGAGATGTCGTTCGGTATCTCTGCTTCGCGTGCGACACGGAGCGCGCTCCAAGCGCATTCCCGGACTACAATCCCTCAAGCGAGTGCGATCATCTCATCAATACTTGCAAGACTTGCTTGAAGGCCTGGGTTGCTGCGCAGGTCGAGGGGGGTCTCTTCACGATGGGTGGCGAGGATGGTAAGACATTCGGTGTCAAGTGCCCACAGTGTCCAGCAATCATGAGGAGTGTCAACGTTCAGATCGCGGCGACGAAGCTAGTCCACCAGCGGTTCGACGTGGCCGAGCGCAAGCACATTGTCAGTAAGATCAATACGACCTTGGTAACTTACATTGACAATTCTCATAGGCTGAAAACACGCCAGGATGGCGCTGGTGTCTCGCACCAGGTTGCAAAGCCGGCCAAGTCCACGAGAAGAAAGCCCCCACTCCAAAGTCGAAAGCTGCGAAGAAGCCGAACGTGAAGGCCGAACTCAAGGAGGTCGAGTCGACGGCGGACATCTGCACTTGCAACAAATGCGGCGCGAAAGCTTGTGTTCCATGTGACAGACCTTGGCATGAAGGCGAAACCTGCACGGAATATCAGAGGCGGATCAGGGACAGAATCGAGGAAGAGGACAAGTCGGTGTCGGCCATTAAGAAACTGACGAAGAAGTGCCCTCATTGCCAGATGAATATCCAGAAGAATGGCGGATGCCCGCACAGTAAGTCCCAAACTCTGAGTTGCCTACCGTGAAGAAATGCTGACTACTTGATGCAGTGTTTTGCACCTCCTGCACCAAGACCTTTTGCTGGAACTGCGAACACGAGCGGTGCCAGTGCGTCCCCAATCACCCGCCCCAATAGGATGAACCAGGAATTGGCGCATGGTTGCAGCAGCGACGGATGTTGGAGGACATAATCTATTACCTGGAAAGAGCGAGAGTGACGTCCCCGACCCCCGGGCAGGAAGAATAGGCGAAATGATCGGAGCGGAGGAATGGGCCTGGCAATGAGCAGTCTCTCTGCTTTGGTATACAATCTTACAACGAGGACTGTGCTTCCATCAGTGCCGCCTTTCGCTCCTATACCTTGCCGGTATTGCCTATGCAGGTAATGCCCTGTGCCACTCGGATGAATTTTGAGCGTGGCTTGAGAAGTCGATAGAAGATATTCGCCATTGCAGCCTCAACATGCCACCGATATGCAAGGCTTCATCGTATTCTCACCACCATGAGCAGAACAACACGTAGTGGACCAGAACGACAGAATGAAGTTAAGTGACGTGAAAGGGACGGAGAGTTTGAAGTCCCGCAAAGAACTTGGCATTCACTCCACGTCGACCCCACAGAACTGTGCACTGCTCTCCCTGGAGTCCAAGCTCTGTGCGGGGATCCCAGCTGTGTCTCGGCGAGTCGGCGTTTGTCTCGTCTCGCTCCCTCATCATTGGACTCGCCGCGAGGATTATTGCCGATGGGGCAACGGAACGAAGATGGAGGCTGGCGAGCCAGGGCCATCTTGACCGCGGTCTGGAAATAAGGTACAGCTTCTTCCTGTTCTTCTTCTTCGTCTCTTATCCCTGTTCTTCCATTCCGCGCGTGGCCTTATAACACCTTTCGTTCTGTCATACACTACTCAAAGGAAGAGGTGGACTGCGCGAGGCATTGATAAGACAGCACCCTCTTACTCAAGGTCGAGACTATCACCATGCCCTTCACCTCGCCATCATGGGTGCCAGCTCTGCCCGAAATCCCCGATTCCATCTCACTCGAACGCTTCATGTTCGACGAGCACTATGGCCGTCATCCTCTAGGCTACTCCCGCCCACCCTTCAGCTGCGCATTGACAGGCCGCCAATTCAGCGCCCTGGAAATGAAAGAGCGAGTCGATCACCTCTCAAGAGCACTGTGCAAAGAATTCGGATTCAAGCCCAACGAAGGCTCAGAATGGGATAAGGTGGTCGGTGTCTTCTCCTTGAACACAATCGACTACATGACTCTTGCTTGGGCGGTGCACCGAATAGGCGGGATTTTGACCTGCGTCAATGCCGCGTATAATGCCTCTGAGCTGGAGTATCAGATGAATGATTCGGGAGCCAAGGCGATTTTCACTTGTCTGCCGTTATTGCAGACTTGCAAGGATGGAGTCAAGAAGTCCAAGTTGCCGAATGATAGGATTTATCTGTTGCCTTTGCCGGAGCAGGTCACGCCGGGGTTGCAGAATCAGGGACATCAGACGATTGAGCATTTGGTCAAGTTGGGCGAGACATTGGATAAAGTCCCGGCTTCGGATGAGAGATGGAGTAAAGGCGAGGGGAAGAGACGGTGTGCGTTTTTGTGCTATTCGAGTGGTACTTCCGGCCTTCCCAAGGGTGTCATGATCTCACATTACAATGTATGCGAGTTTTGAGAAGATGACAAAAATCGAGCTAACGAGAAGTACAGGTCATGGCCAACACAGTCCAGCTCGTCACGCACGAGACGCCAATCCGGGAGGAACTCCAGAGGGAAACAGAGAACATCAACTACACCGAGTTCAGCCTCGGCTTGCTCCCCATGTCGCACATCTACGGCTTGGTCGTCATCTCGCACCTGGGCCCATACCGCGGAGACGGCGTGGTCGTACTACCGAAGTACGACTTCAAATGGCTCCTGCAATGTATTCAGGACTACAAGATCTCCATGCTGTACCTCGTGCCGCCTATGATCATCCACATTACGAAAGCTAGAGATGTGTGCAAGCAGTACGATCTGTCCAGCGTTCGTGCGGCGTTCACGGGAGCGGCGCCTCTTGGGCCGGAGACTGCGGATGACCTGGCGCAGATGTTTCCCAAGTGGTCGATTCAGCAGGGATATGGTCTTACGGAAACCTCGACTGTTGTATGTGCCACCTCGCCGAAGGATGTCTGGTTGGGCAGTTCAGGATCGATTCTCCCTGGTATCTATTGCCGAATCGTCACGGTTGAGGGGAATGAGATTACTGGATACGACCAGCCAGGCGAGCTGTGGGTCAAGTCTCCATCAGTGGTGCTGGGATACCTGAACAACCAAAAGGCGACCAAGGAGACATTCATCGATGAGAAAGATGGAAGATACATGCGCACTGGAGACGAGGCTGTCATCAGGAAGAGCAAGAACGGACACGAGCACATCTTCATCACCGACAGGATCAAGGAATTGATCAAGGTAAGCCTCTCCCCACGAATCGGCAATAACCTCATACTGACTTCCCTTCCAGGTCAAAGGCCACCAAGTCGCCCCCGCCGAACTCGAAGCCCACCTCCTCACGCACCCCTCCGTAAACGACGTCGTCGTCATCGGCATCCCCTCCGCGCGCGAAGGCGAAGTGCCCAAAGCCTTTGTGGTGAAAAACGCCGGCGTCAAAGAATCCGACGACGAGCTCCGCCGATCCATCGAGAAGCACGTCGCGGACCACAAGACGGATCACAAGAGGTTGAGGGGTGGGGTGCAGTTTATCGAGGCGGTGCCCAAGAGTCCGAGTGGGAAGATTTTGAGGAGGTTGATGAGGGATCAGGAGAAGGAGAGGTTGAGGAAGGAGGGGGCGAGGTTGTGAGTTGGTGGGTGTTGGGGTTTCGGGCCCGGAAGAATCATGTCTTTGTTTTTGGTTTCTCAGCTGTGGCGTGGATTTTTCTGCCGTGCGCACGCGCGTGTGTATTGCTATGTCGTTCGTCCAAAGCGAGAGATCGGACCCGAATCACACAATTGTATAGCCATAGCCAATAACCAGGTATGTCATCGTATTCGTATCAAAGACCTTTTCCAACAGCAGAGCCATCCGGCCACCGACATCCCAGCGTCCAAATATCCAACGTTTGTCATCAACACCACCCACAACGCAAGACCAGAACCTGATAGATGAAAAGGAACGGAAGACCCACGGTCACGTCTCCGTTCCCTGGGTTCCCTGTTGGTAGTGGATATCCGATGCAGGTACCCTTGAGACCACATTCCTTGTTAGGGAAAGTCGGGGTTGGCAGCTGAATGGTGCCGTTGTGCGACCCATGAACGCTTTCGCTTCAGCTTTGTTCGCTGGGTGCTGTTTTGCGAGGTTGTGTGAGGTTTTGTAAGCGGATGTGGTGCGACTCGTGTGTTGTCATGGGGCAGGGGTTTGGCGTGGTGGAGGAGACAGAGATATAAAAGGAGGGGAGAGAGGTTGATGAGGGAAGGAGTCAACAACGGCGACAACAGCGTACGACACTGCTTCACTTCCAGCTTCTACATAAACTCGACAACACCAACCACAACAATGCCCTCTTGGCTCGTCACCGGCGCCTCACGCGGCCTAGGCTACGCCTGGATCACCCACCTCGCCGCGCAAACCTCCAACACCGTCTTCGCCATCGTGCGCAACGTCAAAGCCACAGAGGACCGCCTTGCCAAAGACAACGTCAAGAACATAACAGTCCTCTCCGCCGATATAGTGGACTACGCTGCCCTCGAAAAAGCCGCCGCCGAAGTCGCTAAAGTCACCGGCGGCGGGCTCGATTACTTGATCCACAATGCCGCATTGGTGAGCGCTGAGAGTGCATTCTCGACCTTGTTGGACGGTACACCGGAGGGAGTAGATGCAGATTTGACGGAGAGCTTCAATGCGAATGTCCTTGGAACAGCACACGTGGTGCGGGCTTTCCTGCCTTTGATTCGAAAGGGACAGGCGAAGAAGGTCGTTGTCATCAGCTCTGGAATGGCGGACATCGATCTTATCAATCGCTTCAACGTCGCCATCGCAGGTCCTTATGCGATTTCCAAGGCCGCTGCGAATGCCCTCGTTTCAAAATATCACGCCGCAGTGGGCAAGAGTGAGGGGATTTTGATCTTTTCGATGAGTCCTGGGTTTGTGGACACGAAGGAGGGCAAGCCGCCGAGTCAAGAAGAGATCGAAGGGGGCAAGGCGATGGCTGCTCAGTTCGCGGAGTATGCGCCTCACTTCAAGGGCCCGATCACCCCGGAAGAGAGCGTGAAGTACCAGTTGCAGGTGATTGACAAGGCGACGGTGGACACATACGGAGGGTCGTTTGTGAGCCATTTTGGAAATAAGCAATGGTTGTAGATCTCGAAGACGGGCGTAATGTAAATTAATCGGCAGCGGTATAGTAGTTAACAGCTTCTTGTCCGTAGTGCTTGAGAGCGACATCTTTGTGACTTCTGATCCATTTTCGCAGCTGGCTCTCCCCTAGACTGTCCCAGCGTGGGTCGAGAAAGCTCTGCGTCTCATCGTTCGTTCGTCCAGTTTCTCTCCGCATTCGTCGTACTGATTCTGGGACGTAGTTGCGGACTTCTGATACGGACATATCTAGCGGTAAACCCTGCGACGAGTTAGTCGTAGTTGCGAGTCGTTGAAGTGGGGGAATGCATACTTGGAAGAATGGTATCGAGTACCTCACGTTGCTTCTTGGTCCTGGTGAGATCACACGATGTATAGTCGCCTTGACCGCACCCTCAGTCGCCGCATCGAATGCATTGCCGAAGTTGACCACGAAACTCCCTTTAATGGGCCTCACAGGCAGCCATTTTCCTGTCGACGAAAGCACTTCCAGCCCCGGCTCGTCGCCAACTTGATAAAGGAAGGTCAACCATCCGGAAGAATCTTTGTGGGCACCTACACCCTGACCACCATCCTCTTGGTCTGAAGGAGGGTACCTGAGCAGTTTGATGCGGTGTTGAGGTGGAAGAAAATCTCCGGTCTGCTGGCTGGCCTTTGCAGCTTGTCTGCCGAAGAAGTGATCGAATGTTCCCACGGGGATCCCGAATGCCTCTTCGACCAGATGAACAAAGCGGTACGATAGCTCTTGGACAGCATCGTGGTACTCGGTGAAAGCCCTACGGAAGGTGGGGACTGCATCTTCAGGTGGAAATTGATTCGGTCCTCGTAGTCTCCAGTATAGCTTGCTGAAGTCCCGGTCTCGCTCAGAAGTCTTCTGTTCCTCGCCGTGAACACCATTCGTGATTTGGGAGTTGCTATTAGCATCACCATGATAAACAACAGGTAGTTCTGTAGCCAGGTCGAACTGCTCTCTGAGATCCGGCTTCCCAATCGTTCTCTCCTCGGCGAAGCCACTATATCCCAGGAAATGAGGACTGTTCAGCTTGCTCATCTTAGCCTTATCTTCTGGACATATAGCAAACAGGTCCGGCAGCAGATCCGTGAGGTTATCAATGGTTTGCTGCTCGACGCCATGGTTGGTGATGTACAGAAATCCAACATCGAACAAGGCCGCCTTTAAATGCTGTAGCAATCCAGGCTTCAATGTCGGATCGGATGCCCAGGATAGGTTGAGGATGGGTATTGACATCTTCGATGTTTTTGTGATGAAGAAGAGGATTGGCAAAGAAAAGCAGTCGAAGGTGGGGACGTTGTTTGGGGGTCGCGTGCTTGCGTGCTCGCGCGCGGCAAGATCTCCGATGGGTGGTGGTCGCTGTCGCGAGTGATTTCCGGGTTTCTACCCGTCCCAAACCTGTATCGCTGCCTTCAGAATACAGCTACTACATGTATTGTAGTTTCGACAATGGTCTCTTGAACTTACAGTCATTTGAATATCAATTCAATTTCCCGACATCCCCGACCATGGCCCCCCAACCTACACACTTCCACTCCTTACCTTCCAACTGAAACTCGACCACAGCGACACTCTTCCTCACGATCCCAACCGGACACCCCGTGACCTCCACATTCACAAACACCTTCGCATGGCCTAACTCTCGGTCCACATACGTGGTCATATCCAGCGGGTTTGCATGGTGCTGAGGGTGATCTATCGTAAGCTCGCGAAACGCCAGGAGGTACTCCGGTAGAGTGAGTTCCCTTGACGAGAAATGTTCGGCGTTCGCGCGGAAGCTGGCAGATTTGTGGCGATAGATAGGATTGGAGATGTCAAAGTGGCGGGCGTTGATGGCTTGCAGGAAAGCTTGGACAAGGGATTCGACTTGTTTGGCAACGGCTTTGTCCAGAGCCTCGTCGGTGGCTGGGTCGTGGACGTTTGCTGTGAGATGGTATGGCTGCGATGAGCTTCTGAGCTCCGCGGCCATGCTGAACGGATGTTGGGTGAGAGAGCGTCGTAGGGAAGTATTTCACATGGACGAATGTTTCTATCTCCAATTTCAGGCCCTTCTGCTTACATAAGACCGTGACCCAATTTTTCGGGACTCATCCCGTATCAGCTTGCGGAGCGAGGCGGAGTCCATCTGGGCAGAGCGCTCTCTTTTCGCCCTCCATCAGACTTACACTCGTAGACTACCAATACCATAGATGGCCCAGTCGCCATCACGGAGGTGGCATAGTTGAGGCATCAGCCGCTGCTTTGGACAACGTCACGTCTCCTCTGGGCTTCGAGGCGGGCTGAGCATGCGCCTGCCCTCCAATATTGCGCACCTGGCTTCATGCTCAACTGCATTCGCAACTACAGATTAATAGCATGGAAGACGTGTTAGTAAGTGATGAGGAGAGAGTCGATTGAGCACCGATCATCTGCTAGACGTCCGCGTCCGAGCATGCTGGAAGAGGCCATACCCGCTTCCAATCTGCCCAACGCAACAGGACATGGCCAGAACAAGATGCAAGTCGGTTGATTGCTTCAAGATGCTTGAATGAGTGTGAGGCTGGGTACTCGAAGCTTGCGTGCTGCTTAATCCGGCGAGATTGCGAGCTTTGGCGCTTCAGCCACCATCCTCCTGGCACATGACCTCTCTGTCGAGCGAATGTCACTCGCGGACCTGAGCGAACAATTTCCTACGAACTAGAGATGTGGCTAGCCTTCGGCAATCGGCAAAACCATGAAGCAATACCGACGACCGGCGAGTGACTCCAGAGAGCAATCACTCAAAGGTCTCCGTCTGGGACGAACGCGAGCTTCATCCGGCCCGAACATGCCTTTCCCCTCTACCAAGGACATGGGCACGACGCTCACAATGATCTACTCGTTCGAATTCAGCCTCGACAGACACCCTTACGATCCGGCGGCCTGCCTTCAGTACTGGGAGAAACATGTGATGACATCCAATCACTTGATATGTCGTTGCGACTCGCTACGTGAGGTGCAGACGCTGGGGCGTTGCGAATTCAGCCTCCCTGCCATGATCTGCATGTACATATCCTCTTCAGCATTCTCAGCTTCGCGAGCTGAGATGCAGCTTGAATCAGCACGGGACAACCAGCAATCAATAAAAATGAGGCCACTGATATTCTCCAGATTCCGGCATGTTTCGCACTTGCTTCAATCCTCCACAGAAGGTGACCACGAGCAATCCAGCAAGCGCGTAAACCAACATGACGAGACTGGGCAAATGTGACACTTGCAGGTCTCGAAAAGTCAAGGCGAGCTAGCCAGCTGTTCCTGCGCGATAGACGAGCTTGGCTGACCGTTGCATATGCCACTAGTGTGACGAAAAGACCCCCACATGCAGCACCTGTCAGAAAGGGGGTCGCCTCTGTAGCTACGAACACCGGCAGAGGGTAACAGCGGACGAGGCCAGCAAAGTGTCCATATACATACGCACCGAGGACGGGCGAGATCATTCCAACACTGGACTGCGCCTGAGAAGAACGCAGAAAGCTGCATCAGGCCAGGGCAGCTTCTCGATTCTAGCTTTGGCAAAACCCGCTGGCCCACTTTCGAATGCCGACAGTGAACTTGCCGGTAGATGGGCATACATGCTTGGACCATTGCCCCTGGACCAGGCATCTTCGGCGGGCTTCTATGGCGTTTTCCGGACCATTCCGTCCAGGCTGGGCATAGATCGAGTTCTGAGCGCGGCTGCTTCCTATACCGTGGACAGCCATTGGGCGTTTATGACTCAAGACTCCCAGCATCTAGAAAAGGCACGGAGATCTGGTGTTCGCGCGACGAGAGCACTCCGACTGGCAATCCAGAGCCCAGTCAGAGATCTTGCAAATGCGATTCCTGTAGCTGTCCTAGCTCTGAAGCATGCTGAGGTAAGAGTATTATTCCTGATCGAGAGATTGGAGCTGAAGCCTGGTAGTACTTCATGCATCTACATACCTTCACCTATCAATTCCACGTCATCGCACAGAGTGCGTTGTTGAAAGCGCAATGGAGTTCTGGTCACTGGAATGAGCTTCAAGAAGATATCATTCGTACCGTGTGGCTCGAAGAGGTAGGCCAATCTGATTGTTTGGAAACGATTGACTGAGCAGTCGTGCAGATCGAGGAGGCCGTCTTCGCAGGCACAACCTCCGAGCTCGACGATCCACTGCGACATGAAGTCAGAGCAAGAGCGCGTCTACCCGAGAACGATCGGCCAACCGACATGTATCACTACTGCATGGAACAGTGTATCCTGATCCCGCGACTTGTACGTCTTGTGAGGAAATGCGCTTCGGATCCGGACGAATGTCTTATTCAGGAGACCGTGAGCCTCGCCGAGCGCATCTACGACAGAGACAAGCAAGCCTTCTATGAAGACCTCTTACGCCAGAACACGGCAGTGGAGTCGCGGTGTCAAGGACCTTTCAATCCCCTTGGGAGATCACTGGTCTTTCTATCGACACGCATCTTCATCTTGACTGGAATTTATTACATGTACCGCAACATGATCTGTGGCCTGATCTTGCGCATGCTCGATACTGCAACTGTCGAAGGGACCGTTTTTGATAAGTGTGAAATCGAGCATGAAGATGTTCGTGCAGCGGAGCACATTGTCATGTGTGTCGAGCACGCATTCAATTGTTCGGACGGGGACCCTCCTTTCAAGGCGATGCGTCTCCACGACCCCATCACGATGGCGTTTGGCGCGTGGTCTCGTCTAGCGAAGCGAGAGTGTTTCCCAACCTGCGAAATGTCCTCACTCGAGCGAGGACGTGGCGGGGACATGAAGGAGTTCTGTAAAATGGTCGTCGCTCGAATCATGGACATGTGGCATGCAGGACCTGACTTGTTGGAGATCTTCGAAGCCACTGCGGAGGCTTTCGAAGGTGGACCTACACTGCCTGGAATGTCTAGAAGAGGGAAGGCTTGGAGGGAGACGCTTTCTTGACTGGTCGACAGAGAGATATGTATTGGTGACGGATTTGCACTTCTTTAGCTGACCTTTTTCGCATGCAAGAACAAATCAGGCGAAGTCTCTTCCATTACTCGACGCAACATCTTTCCGAATGTCCATAACAAGACGATCGTACCTCCACTGATGCTTGGTTCGACCTTTCATCAAGCTGATTCTGTAGAACTTATGCTGCCAGCATGAGACCGCCTGCTACCATCCACGCTCCAACCAAAGGACCGCTTGTCACAAGAGCCGCAGCAAGTCCCGCATTGCTGGAGGACGAAGACGATGGAGGACTATCTTCCTCTCCACTTCCACCAGAAGCAGAAGAGGCAGAGGTCGGCGTACTGTTATCTCCAGATGTCTGCTTGCCAGTGCTCACCGCACCATTGCCGCTAGTGTACGCCGCCGCTTTGCTGCTATAACCCGGATCCGTCAAGTAAACACTCGCCGCACAGCTTTGCGTCGACGAACTGGCTGTCGCTGAGCCGAAACAGAAAGGGAAGCATGGTGGAAACGACACCGTGCCGCCCACGCAGCAGTATTGGCTACTGGCTGATCCCACGAAGACGCCGGGGCAGCAATAGCAGCCGCCGTTCCAGGATTGAATGGCTTGGTTGTCTGGGTTGCAGGTACAAGTGTCTCGGCGCTTTGTAGAATCTGGTTAGCAGCTGTTTCGTAGGTTGAGGGTGTGGGACTTGCGTTGTGGATGGCTTGGACGCTGCTCAGGAGCAGGCCGAGGGAGATGAGTGCTGGGAGCGAGGGCATTTTGGTTCTTTGCTTGGAGTAGAATAGATTCGATGCGGAGGTAGGGGATTGCTGAGATTTTTGGGCGCAGAGACAGACCTTGGACGATACGATATATATACGTCTTCTGCCCCAAGCGAGCGACTCTGCCGTCTGGGTACTTCTCCGTGCGGCTGAGAAGGTGAAGGAATCAAGACTGCGACGAATTGCCGTGTTGCACGAAATTATACACCGCGCGGACGGGCGATGCAAGACAGATCGAGTTGTCGCAAGTATCCCTGTTCGAACCACATCTTGAAAAGTAGGCGCTAATCCGCAAGCGGGAATTCGTCGCAAAAATGAGGCTCCTTTGATAATGGTCGGCTTGTGACGAGGCTGAAAATTTGCTTGGCAGATTTCTGAGACTGGCACCTATAAAGGACGGTTCAAGTCAAGGCATCTCCCACTCAACATCTATCTCTGTACCTTCTCTGAATACTTCTGACACCATGATGAGTGGCGAATTTCTCTTCCTTGTGCTCCTAGCAGTCCACGCCGTGTCCGCCTGCAAGGGAGCGAGCACGCTCTTGCGCCAACTCCTACCCGGTTCGACCCCTATGGTCGAGGTGAAGATCAACGGCGTGCCTCGCCAACTCCTGCTTGACTCAGGCAGCGCAGACACATACCTCTTCACCGACGAGGTCACATGCCTGGACGGCAACGTCTCCGTCCCTTCCACCGTCTGCCAGCTCGGAGATCTCTACGGCGGCGCAATAACGCCCCTGGACGGCCTGATTTTCCGACAAGTCTACGGAGGACCAGGCTCTCTAACCGAGGTATCAGGAGTCTACGCGTACGCGACCGTCGAAGTCGCTGGTGTGGTCCTCGACAAGCAGATCGTCGCCTTTGCGAATCGCACGGACACGGGCCAGATCCACACGGGGGCGAGCGGCATTCTGGGCCTGGCACCGAGACGCGATGAGGCAATTTATTCGACGGAGAATCCGCCGAGGAATAGCAGCAATGCTTACAATGTGAGCTTGGACTATCCCACCGTGTTTGAGTCCATGGACGCTCGACAGCTTGTCGAGCCGTTTTTCAGCATAGCGATGGAGAATGCGGTTCGAGGGGGTTATTTGACGTTTGGTGGACTGCCGGAGATATCGTTCAATAGGACTTTTGCGACCGCTCCTTTGGCTTCGCCCATCGACGAATCCCGCCAATACCAGATTGGAGTCGACTCCTTGAATCTTGTTGGGAACGTATCCAACAACACCTTCACAGCCATCGTGGATACTGGGACCACAGTATGTTTCCTCCCGGAGCAGCTGGCCACAGCAATCAACCGTGCCTTGTAAGTAACGACCGAGATTTTCGTGATCAACTTCGATTAAAATGTTCTGACCATCCACAGTGACCCTCCAGGCGAGTACGACAACCAGACGGGCCAGTTCGAGACGTCGTGTACCGCTGCACAGCCGAAGGTCGAGGCCACGATTGGCGGAGTGCGCTTCCCCTTTACACAGTCGATGCTGGTTCCGAAGAATTTCAGCGATCTCTCGCAAGGCTGTACTAGTATGTATGCTCCACAACAGCCAGGCGGGGTGATCATCCTGGGTAGCAGTTTCCTTAATAATGTTGTCGCTGTGTTTGATGTTGGGAAGGAGGAGATGAGGTTTGCGAGGCATGATTATGCCGCTTTGGTTTAGCAGCAGGGCGTTTCTGAAATGGGAACGTCGATGCAGATGTATAATAACCTGTTGGTTTGCCTTAGTATCAACGATTTGAACGGTGCCAACACCTTTGCCTTTCCTGTCATATCCTTTGACCACGTGAAACCCAACACCAAGAAAGTCACACCCAGACCCCAGCGATAGGCTCCAGCCTTTGGTTGAACGACGTCTGCAAGCTAAAATCGACGACCACGTCCATTCAAAGTCTACCTGTATCGTATCATAGCGACTTTGTCCTTCCTCCTTCTCCTTCCTTCCAGAACCCGCCCGAACCCCCCGGCATTCACTCGCGCGCCGCGCACGGACACAGCAAGCAAGGCAAAACAAAGACATGTGAAAATTGGCTTACGTCAGGGGGGAAAGTCTCGTTTCCATGACAACCTTGTTCAAAAAATCACCACCACTACCACCGCCAATTTGTCGACACGGCACATCTCGACGCACCGCAAGCACATACATCAGCCATCAGCCGTTAACGAGATGTCGTCGCTCCCCGCTGCAGACAGCAGCGAGACCGACAAGATGGTCGTCGCACCAACCGCAGCGCAGGCCGCATCAACCACCAGCACCACGCCAACCCCCGCGAAAAAGAAGCCCCCAACCACCTTCCACTCCCTCCCCGCCGAGTTACGAAACTACATCTACCACCTCTCGGACCACCTCACCATCCTGCAATGCACTCTCTGCGCCAAAACCGCGTACAAAACCGACACCGCCCAATGGAACGTCCTGCCGAGCCTCGCCTGGGGTGAAAACTCGGAGAACTCGGGACGGCGACGCATCCATCTGGGCTGCGATGCGAGCGGGGGCGTGGGACGGCATGGGCAGGAACGAGGGGCGGGGAAGGGCAAGGCGAGGTTGTTCGTGGGCGGGTGGGTTGAGAGTGCACTTGTTGTTGCTGGCGGTAAGGGTACCGTTACGGAGGAGGCGGATTCGACGGCTGTCGCGCAACCCCCCATCACGAAAGTCTCGCCGCTCGTGCGCGCCGATACGCTGCCCATCTTCTATGGCGCGCCGCAGTTCTACTTCACGCTCTTCGACCGGGACCCCGCGGACGGCGCGGCGGTCGTGGTCAAGTGGCTCAAGGGCATCGGGCGGGCGAACGCGGCGCGGTTAAGGAGTCTGGCGATTGTGTTTACGCGCAAGCAGACGGGGAATTATATCAAGAAGGACTTGACGGCGGGGATGTCGGAGGCGGGGGTGGATATTGCTGGGGAGGTGGTGAGGCATGTGAGGTTGCGGCATCCGTTTTGTCGGTGTGGGTGGTGTGTTGTGGAGGCGTTGAGGAAGGATGGTGGGGAGGAGGTTGATGGCGAGGAGGTTGATGATGACGAGGAAGACGCTGGCGGCGACGATGTCTGGGACGATGGGTCTGGCGAGGGTTGATGAGCGTGGAGTTGAAGTTCAGTGGTGGCGCCGAAGTTGGTCTGTAGGATTAAGCAGTGCACTTGCCTTCAAGGTTGGCATCAGGCGTCGCTTGCAGAAGACTCGCATGAGAAGGAGTTTACCAGGAAGAAAGTTGGGACTTGAGGCATGAGTACGTAGGGGTCTTTGAATTTCTCTGTTCGATTAGACATCAGCTGCATTTGAAGAACACACAAATGCGGCGCTCGCTCGTACCAATGCAAAAGTCTCCGATCACTATAAGCCATTCATGCCCTCTCTATTCGTGATATTCGTACATCGCTAAGGTCATTCAATACATCTTATCCACCGCCCCTCAAGGTGCCGAAGGTTCGCCCTGCTGTGAAGGCGCCGGCGGATCGATCCAGTTATTCTTATCCCACTCCACATTCTCCAACCACTGCAAGAAGTCCGCGTCATTGCCAATGGGGAAGTAAAGTGACGAGTCATCGTATATCGGAGGCTCGCCCGATGCTGATGCTGGGGGTGGTGGGTTGGGCGAGAGGATCTGATCTAGCACTCGTTTCAACGCTCTTCGTCCTTGGTCGCAGATGGAGAAGTTCCCTTCCCCAGGGCCGACCGCGCCAAGGGCTGAAATGAAGACACTCAGATCTTGAACTGTCTCCGATCGCGGCAGGATCTCAGGTGTGTACTGCTTTGTCTGCTCTTGTTTCAGCATTTCCACGGCGAGCACGCCGGCTGCAGGTAGGCCGTGAAGGGCGAGCTAGAATTTCCCAGTCAGCTTACTCTCTAGTCGCTTGAAGATGTGTGCCGCCTCACCAAATAAATAAGATCTCCCTGAAAATCTCTGAAGAAGTCTCGCCTAGACTGCGCCAAGAGCACAAGCTTGAGCATCCGCCTAGAAATCGGAATAAGCTGCTTCGTGTCCGCTCGAAGACGATTGACCATTGCTCTTTGCAACAGAAATTCGGTGTGGATGATGCCCGTGTGTATGCAAACGACAAAGATGGCGTTGACCTGCCGCACCGTCTTGTCGTTCTTGCCCATCTGGAAGGCCGCACCTAGGTTTGCTTCACTGCCTTGGAGCATTTGTTCTGGGCTCACTCTCATGAAGTCCGGGAACGACTGATGCAGGCGATCCATCTTCATGCGAATCTGCTCGGCCTGCTCTGTGATGTCTTCTTCGCTGGAGCCCAACGCAATCTCGAGAATATCTTCCCTGATGCGGCAATGTTGAAACCACACTCGAAGCCAAGTCGTGCGATTCAGGTAACCACCGGTGTTCCATCCGTTGGCGTCCAACGTTGCTAGAGCTGCTTCTAGTTCGGCACCTTCTGAGAATATTTGGTCGTCTGATAGGTCGAGTGGGTACTCCATCTTGCAGTACCGATGGGATAGTCGAGGTGGCCTGCCCAAGAAAGTCGCAACAACTTTGTCATGACCATACGCAGAGACGAAGATCTTCTTGCGGAGTTCAGCGAGGAAGAACGGCGTATCGGCTGAAGGACGATTCCCTTGATGTAGACCCAGGGCAACAATGGCATCGCATACTTCGCCGCATCGCTGCCATGCTGCGTAATGCGCTTCGCCCTTCAAGCTTTCCACAAGGACCAAGTCCTCAAACATGAAGCAGAGATATATGTCGTTGAGAACTTCACTCTCATAGCAGAAGCACAAGCAGAACTCTGAAGCTTTCCGCATCCTCTCTGCAAAGGTGGCTCTGTCCACGAAGCGCTCGCGAATCGAATCGAAGATGGTGTCCCAGTTGCTCAGGTTGACAGCCACAAGTCCGACCAGCGACAATACTAGCCCAACAACCTCCCATCGAAGATTGCGACCTGAGGCAGCCTTGGCCCATTCCCGTGCTGTCATGTTGCCGTGGACTTTCATCGGCCTGCGGGTGTTCCGCCACACAAGATCTGAAAGGCTGCGCAACTGGTCTGCTTTGCCCTCCGAAAGAATCTGGCCAAACTCATCCCAGAGCTCGTCGATCCAGATACGGAATACAGGCTGAATCACGACAATGCCGTCACAAAGATCGAACCATCGTTGCGTGAACTTGCGATATACGGGGATGTCTCGGAGCATTGACAGAACTTCTGCACCTTGTTGAATCCGGTCAGAGGATATCGCTGGTAGATCAGGGGCATTCTCAATGTCTGGCGCTTCCAAAATGGTCGGGTTTTCTGTGTATACAGCAGAGTAGCTCGTAGCACCAAGGAAACCAGTCCTGCTGTCGCGGAAAGACATTGCACTGTCCGGAGTGGTGTAAGAAGCAGTTGAAGAAGCCCTTGTCCTCTCGTCCAAAGGAGTCTGAGCCATTGATGGATGTGCTGGCGCAGGCGACTGTATGACTGATGCTTGGCCGAGGGAGGTATTGTTGACTGGTCGAAACGCGGCGTAGTCTTGCACTTGCCCTTGCTGAGTACCGGTGCTGCATGGAGGACTTGCAAGCCCACTCTGATGTCTCTCGAGCGGCAATGGTTGATATGGAGCTACATGAGATGGCCTATGAGGAGCAGTTCGTTCGGGACCAGGACCATTGTTGGGAGCAGTACGTGGCTTGGTGAGAGGAGCAGGGTGATAGATGCATTGATCCGGTTTGTTTCTGCGCGCACACCTGCCACATACGGGACTGTTGTGGTCACATCGCAGCTTGCCGCGTCGACACTGCGAGTTGCCTGACGTTAGCAGAGGTAGAGTTCAGGCAGGTCGAACAGGGTTGTGCTCACTGGTTCGCAACTGAACAGCTTGCCATTGCGGCGAAAGGCTGGAGTGACGGAGACGACTGGGGCGTCGAGTGGTGCATCGGGAGGAGCCGCCATCAAATTCGCACTGATATCGGCCATGATCGCAGCACCGCGAGTGGGTGGACGCGGCTCTAGATGAATAACGATCCGTGCGGCGTGTGAACGGGGGAGGGAGTCACCAGGATGTCCCGTTGGAGAGGTGAATGACGGGCTGGATTGGTGGCAGTGGGCAGCCAGACGGCTTGATCGAGCGTTAGACCAGGCTACAGCGATGACTGTTCGTGAGGTCGGAGCTGGGAGGTATGCGGTGCCTGAGGTGTCACCAAGCCGATCCTGCGAGGAAGATTGCGCGGCTACGAAGATGCAATCTGTCGCGTCGTCGAGCGCGTCGTCGTGCTGGGCGGTAGATCTAGGCGCGTATAGTGGTGGTGGAGGATGTTGAGGATAACACAAGGCAGCAGAATAGTGCTGCTGTCAGTCTCACAGTGCGGTCAATTGTCCCGGCGGTGGTGGTTTGTCATGGGTCGGAGTTAGAGATGCAACGGACAGCGGAGAAGGATCAACCATCCACGATGTATCTCATGAAAATCATGTGGCTTATTATGCACCAGCGTCACAATCGAGCACTGGCCACATCAATCCACACCTCGATCTGCTTTGTGCAAGTGGACCATCAATCCCAACGCCCGAGGCCTCGCGTGGAAGACGGAGTTCAGCGCGAAGGCAGCTGCTTCGAACACCGAACATGGTGCTGCGGTCATGTCGCCATCTCTCGCCACCGAGACTCTTCACGATGGAGCGATATGATGTTGATCCCCCCTCTGCTGGCGTGTTCTACACGTGAGGTTGATATGCTGCCGTCGCGATCAAATCGTGATCCTTCTCCTCTCTTGGCATCGCGCTACGGCTGATTCAAGTCCCGAGTTCCGGCGAGCACCTCTCTTACTCTTCACTCCTGCTAAACCAACACCACTCTTCGAGGACGAGATCTATCATCAAACACCGTAGCAGAAATGCTCCGATATCACTGCACTGCGTTCTCGCAATTCTCCCAAGTCGCCGTGGTCTGCCGATGGAGCCTCATCACAACAGCTCTACGAAGTGCAGTCCAGCCAGGTGTGAGAGGGCTTTTTCCCGCAAGCGCATTGAGGAGAATATGTATGTTCAAAACAAGTATTCTCCAATGCTTCAATCTTCTCCATGTTGGTGCGACCTCATCTCTTGGCTCTGTCGTGAAGACACGTGCGCCGCTCGCGTAGCATACCAAGAGCTGAAAAGCGGAGGCCCTCGATAAACACCCTCCATCCATCATCATGGACTCGAGTTCCCTCCTTCCCCAACACCATAATGAAATCGCTATTCCGCAGAGTCTTCGGCTTCACCCCCAGCACGCAACGTAACCGACATGCAGAACGATCTCGCGAGGAGCCTCCTGTGCGACCTCTACCTCACTCACGACCACGCCAGCTGAGCTCCTTGTCCCTCGCCAACCCTCAACTGCAATCGCTCTTCATCACTCGAATCCCGCCGGAGCTGAGACTTCTCATCTGGGAAGCCGTTCTCGCTACGTCCGGACTCATACACCTCAAAGCAGCGAGAGGAACTCTCAAATACTATCCATGCAATGATGATGGCGACAAGCTCGGTTTCCGGCACAAGTGCTGGTGGGACGTACCGAATCCGTGCAAGACGCATCTGCTATCGCTTCTACTATCTTGCAGGCTGATGTGAGTACCACAATTACCAGCTTGCACCAACGCGGTGCGCTTATCATCACACAGATATACAGAAGCCATCGACGTGCTATACCAAACCAACACGTTTGACTTCAACCGACTCGAGGGCATAATGAGACTACCTCAAGTCCTATTACCCGACCGACTACAACGCATTCGCAGCGTCCATCTCAGCACAGCCTTCCAGTTCCCACGCGTCTACGGCATTCCACAAAGGCCACAAACGAGGCTCCCCGACAATGTGTTAGAATGGTCTGCCGCCGCTGAGATCTTGGGTTCGCTGACTGCTTTGGACGAATTGTGGATTGAAATTGCTTCTTGGCCGTACGGTGTGGGCCGTGTTGGACTTGATGAGGCCTCGCTTTTGGCGATGCTCTCAGCTTTGGCCGCTCTTCGTGTCCGGAGTTTCGAGGTCACGATGACGGCGTTTGTCTCGGAACATGTTCGCGAACAGTTGGGGCCACTGCCTTTTCGTCTGACGAAGCGTAAGAAGCCAGGCATTGGATTTTATACAACGCCCGATGACGACTGAAGAAGGAATAGAGAAAGCATCAAAAGCCATGTACTTCTATGTGAATAGATTCCATCCACCGACGCCGATGCCACCATTCCCGACTGTGCTCCCTAGCTGCTGAATGCCGTGGCCATGGCACGTCTTTCCTTGATCACGGTGATGAAAGTCTCGAAAGCTCGCGAAGGCGCCGTCGATGTTGGATATTCGAAGTACGAGGGCACAGCTCTTTTAGCAGCTGGATTGTTCTTCGTGATCCGGCCGTCGTCGGTGATGTACGAAGGAGGCTCCTGTTTAAGCAATCGAACACCTACACGAGATCAGCATTGCGCGGTCCGCGGAGGAGATGAGTACGTACCGCTTCCAAACAGCGCCAATGTATCAGCATTGAATTCAGCACCGACCTGGCCTGATTTTGCCAGTTCTTTGCAAGACGTCCAGCCGTACGCTTTGCCGAACATCTCGTTGTCCGGCCAGTTCACCTGGATGCGTCTGTTAGAGTCTACCCTCTTGATACTGGACCGATAAAAACTCACATCGTCAGTACGGCCTCCGGCAACGGTGTGCGTAAACTCATGGAGCAGGACTTTGTCGAGAAGATTGACGGTGTCAATGGGCTCGAAAGGACCAAGCTTCGTCGTCGACAGCGGGATCTGGAAGAGGGCCTTCAAGTACTTGCTCGAGATGTCCTTGAACGTCTTGAAGAGAGCACAGCATCAGCGCATGGCCACCGCACGGCCCTGTCTTTGGAATTCGGGGCTTACCTTGTACTTGAGCTGGCGGCTGTACTGCAAGAACCACGGGCATATGGTGACTTGACCGGGTCCGATCGGCTGTTCTTGATCATTCTCCGGTACCCAGGTGTACATCAAGGTGCGATCTTTCTTGTCTCGACATTCTTGCAGCTGGTGGTCCGGTGGATCTGCCAGAGCGACGCCGCTCTCTGTGAACGGTCAGGCTCCGCTTCCATCACGACGGTGGACAGTTGGCATACCTGTGTCGTACCAGCCATCATCGCGCTCTTCGAGTCGGTCCATGTTACAGTAGATGACCTTGACGAAGCATCAGCAATCTAAGCCCTCCCCGCGACGTACGAGAAGAACGACTCACAACTTCATCAGGATTATTCCCCGGATCAGCGTTTTCATTTCTCATCTGTCGAATCCCCAAGAACGAGTTGATGAGCGCCGAAGTATCCAACTCCGCAGCCGTCTGTCCCTCTCGGCAGAACAGCAGTTCAACCAAGCGGTCGACGTTACTATCGCGCATGCCGGTCACAGTCAGGGCGTCGTAAGCCTGACTCGCCATGTCGAAGGCTTGCTCGGCCGCGGTCTTCATGAGGGAGGCATCGTTGCCGCTGCAGGAGGCGTCGATTTTGTACGCATACAAGCATGGCAAGAGGGAAAGCAAGGTGAACGAGATTTTGAAAGTCATGATTGAGGATGTTCGGGATGGCTTGAGAAACAACACCCAGCGATTCAGGAGACTCTATATGGCTTGTTCGAACAACGCTCTCTCCACGTTACACACGACTTCGACAAGTCTGCCCTTCACCCGATGCCATAGCCTCCTGTGCTATACCTGGAATCCCAAGCGCATCTTTGGTCGCGAAGTCGGAATGAAATGACTTCCCTATCCAAGGAGAACCGCACGCGACCAACAAAACTAACAACAATGATCCTCCTCGCCAACTGCATCGTTTTGCGCAAAAGGAGCGTAGGGCTGGATGGTCAGTCTAACCCAGGTCACACAACCGAGAGAATGTCTTTTATTTCAAACTAGAAATAGAATCCTGTGGTTGGGTGGAGTCTACATCCTCCCAAAACCGAGCCGAGCCACCACATTTTCCAGGGGTAGGATATTATATTGCCTGGGCTTGTTCAGCTGCCAAGTCGCGTCAGAGCCTTCAGCTATCCATGAATCTTCTCTTTGTTTCCACACTTTCTCAAATGATGTTTTTAAGGCGTCCTCGATCAGGCGCTACGAGAACGAACACGGATGGTAGAGGATTTTGGTCCTTGCTGGTGTTGTTTCTTCCGATGGTGGTACCAACTGGGTGATGTTCACAGCCTCGTTGTATGCGCCTGGCCGGGGGTTGGGACTTTGTTCGGAGGGGGTTTGTTTGGCGAGCTGACTTGTCTTAATACTTGCGATGAGGGCAGACTTCGGATGGTATATATCGTAGATACCACATGCTGCCACTGGACACTCTGCAACCCAGCGAACCTTCACGATGAAGGGCATCATCAACTTGGCCGGCTTCATAGCCGCAGCAAACTGTCAAACTGTCACTTTAGGGCCGATATCGAACTATGAGCAGCCTCCTGTATGATAGTCTTCTCCGTTCATACCTCAAATTACTGACAACATTCCAGGCCGCCACGGTCACCGCCTCGGGAGACCACCTGGAGATCTTCCCCGAAGACTTCAGCAACGGCATCCCCCCTGAAGGCATCAACGTCGCCTTCGGTCCGGATCTCCAAGCAGCCATAACGTCCACGCTCGACGGTGTCTGCGCCAATGGCTTCTCGCAAGAATGCTCCGACGAACTGTCCAAAGTCCTCGACACGCAACACACATACACCGTCGCCAGCCGAGTCGTCGGCATCGACGACCTCCTCCTTGTAGCCGGAGTCGCAGCCCTAGGTGTCCTCATCCAAGCCATCATTCTCGAGCACCGCAAATCCGACCAAGGCGGCCAACCCATCTCAGCCATCAACATCCCCGCCACAGACATCGCACAGGTCCAGTCACAAACCGCCAGCTCCGTCGTCATCGCCACCGACACCAGCACCGTGACCATCACGCCCGCACCCTCGGCGAGCATCTCCGCAGCGACCATCACCACCCTGACCGCCGACGCAAACGGCCATCAGAGCGGCGACATCGTCATCGCCCTCCCCACCGCCGCGGCGCAGATTATGAACGAGCTGATTTACAAATCCGACGTCTCGAACGAATGTATCAACATCCAGCTTCGGAAACGTCAAGCCAGCGGTGGAGGGGACTTTGCGGCTGTCAACGACGTCGCGGATTTCATCATGCCGTTCGTGCCGCCCGATCAGCTCCTGAACGCTTTGGGTGTCGAAGTCGGTCAGCATCTCCCCCGTGTCGTCGACACAGCGCAACAGGCTTCTCTCGCCGCTGCACAGGCTTTCGCAGCGGGTTTGCCTGAATTTGCGGGTCTGGCGACAGAATTCACGGATGTGCTGGCCGAGGTAGCATGGTTGGGGGTGCTGAGTTGGTGTGCGGATCAGGTGAACGATTTGTCTGAACTTGTGTTGAAGAATGGGGACTATGAGGCGGGAGATGACGGTGGTGGTGATGATGACAATGGGGAATGTCCGGCTGATGCTCCCACTGGGAAAGATGCGCCGCTTTGTAAGGACTCGAGTTGTGAGAGTAAGGAGGGGACTTGTTCGACGGTGAGTTTATTCCATCGTTCTTTGACACAACGCCTGATTTGGTGTTTAGGGCGAGTATAAGGGATGCAAGTGCCTCACTCAAGTGACACCGCACTGGACGGGCGGCGATCAAGAACTCTGGAGTGGCTTCCAATTCGTGCTCCAGGGACTCCTCTCCGACCAAGGCTGGGGCTGCGACCAGGAAAACCGCATCACGCTGGACACGAAAGATTTCGACGGGTAAGACCTCCCCCCTTCCACACCACTTTCACCTCACTAACAAGAAACCCCCAGCCTCGTCGAAGCCTTCTGCAGAGACGTCGACCTAACTACGTCCATCGAAAAAACAATCTCCCCCTCCGACGCCGGCTTCTCCGGCTACGAAGACTACATCTTCAAGTTCTCCTGGACGAAAAAGGACGACGAGACCTGCGTCACCTCCTGCACCGACATCTACCAAGCCTTCACCTCCAACAACATCTGCAGCTACGACAGCCACACAAAAGTAACCAACGGCTATCAAGACTTCACCTGCGGAACCGCCGTCTTCAACATCACCGAGAAAGGCGACGACGAGACAGGGAGCGGTGATGGAGATGGAGTCTACACCAACCAAGGCAACCTCTACTGCGGCACGGAAACCGACCAAGGCAACCCCAACCACTTCACCACGCGGGAGACGATGGGCAAAGCCGCCGAATGGTTCTGCGAAACCCTCACCGTCGCCGGCCTGCGCTGGACGCCCGGCGAAGTCGCCGAAGCGGACGCCTTCGTCGACTACCACTACAACTCGTACACAGGCGACCCGATGTACCTCACCGCGAAATGGATCGACAACTCCGGCTGTCCCGTCACAGATTTCAGCGGCTCCAACGCCGAGAGCATGAACAGCACGTGCCGCTCGTACTTCGGCACCATCACGGACGAGTGCGACACGGCGCAGAACGGGAAGCACTGGTGTAAGCAGGGCGGGACGTTTTTCCGGGACTGCGTCGAGTGGGGCGTTAAGCGGGATACGTTCCAGGGGGACTGGGTGCCGGCGGAGGATGCTGGGGATGATTGGAGGCCCGGGTGGACGCTTTGTGGGGGCGATGGGGATTGTGGGGATTATGCGGATGGGGAGTGCGGTGCGTTGGGGTATGGGGCTTATTGTGTGTTGGGAGGGGATAGTTATTGTGCTTGTCGGTTGAATTAGGGGGTTGCGTAGGAGGGATGTTAGGGTGGTAGGGAAGAGGAGTGGGCGGGGGCGTTGTTGGTTGTCTGGTCGAGGGTTCTGGTTTGAGGATTTTGGGCAGGCAAATTATCACTTTATTTATCGAGTCGGTACTGTCTTCTGTTTTCGTCCTTGCTCTACCGTACTCTTATCCGCACATTCTCTTGCCAACTCTCCAACTCCCGTCCAACTCCCGTCCGGAAAGCTGCCATCTCACAAAACAAGTAATGCGCAGACAGTACAGCAGAGAACAGGCTCCATCTGACCAATTCTGAATTGCAAACACCTTGGCCGGCTTGATTGTTCATTTCCCAGGCTCTTCTGCACCCAGGAGAGATGTAATCACAGCTCGAAGTCAAAAGCCAACCTCATCCATGCTGATCGCAAGCATCGTTACCCCTGAAATGATCGTATGAGGCTTGGCGAGGCTGGAGAGCGAAAGAGACGAGAAGGCTCACTCAATTGCACAGTACTTTCAAATTCGCTCGCCATTAGAAAGTTCGTATCGAAGATTACTTCACCATTCCCACCCTCCCTTCCCCTTTCCTTCTCACCAACCCCTCCCCCTCCAAGCCATCATCCCACATCTCAAATCCCCAACCCTCCCTTAACAACCTCCACCGCCCTCCTCACCCGACTCGGCGGCGCAGCAGCACCCTCCGGCGGCGGCCCCCCCGCCGCCGCATCCAGCGCCGAAGCGCCCAAATCCGCCGGCAACGCCGCCGCCGCCGACAAATCCGCCGTCGCGGGCGCCGCACCCCCATCCCCACCACCACTGCCGCCAAACATCCCAAGAGGATTGAAGTTATTGATGAATCGATTGTCGCCTGTGAAGGGGTTTCCGCCGACGGCGGCGAACGGGTCCGGACATCCCGCCGCGTAGGGGTTGGCGACGCAGGGGTTGCAGTAGGCGGAGTAGGGGTTGCGGATGCAGGGGTCTTGGTAGGGTGGGTAGGGGCCGAAGTTGGAGTTGGGGTTGGGGCAGTAGGGGTCGTAGTTGTAGTAGCAGTAGTTTTGGCAGGCGTAGCTGGGAGGGTTGGGTGAGTGGGTGGGGCTTTGGGGGCCGGGAGGGGACTTACCTGTAGGGGGCGTTGAAGCAGGGGGAGGGTGGTGGGGGTCCTGGGTTGTAGTAGGGGAAGCAGGAGCCTTGGTAGCAGTAGTTGCCGGCTGGGAGGGGTGTTAGCGGGTGAGGTTTGAGGGTTGGGCGAGGGGATTCATCGTGAGAGATCCATTTTTTGATGGTTGGCGAAGAGTGTGTGGTCTGAGGGAGAGACGGTGTGGGAAAGGGAGACATACCAGGACACGGATGCGTCAAGCACTGCTGCGCCTTCACCAAAGACGGCAACAGCGACGGCAAAAGAACAGCTCCTCTCGTGAGAACTCTCATCTTGGCCTCTCTCTCACACAAAAAAGAATGACTGCGGTGGGTATACAGTAAAGAGCGACAAAGAGAGAAAGAGCGTTGAAGTTCAAAAGTCACAATCTCCCCCACGAGCGACGCTCCCATCTCTTATCATCTCCTGACCCTCTTGCACGAAGGAAGTCATTGCTCTATTGAAAAGCACAGACGGACAAGAAAGTTTTCCTACCGAGCAAGGCTTTTGATTGCCAACTTTCCGTATTGGGACATCGACCCTGGGAATTGCAATGATACACCAGACCTGTATCCTGGGCTATACGAGTGGACTGATCAGAGTTGTTGGGTGCTGAAGGGCATTTTCCAAGGCGGGAGAGATTTTTTTTTCTTTTCGTCCTTGCGATGATTTGCTTGGGTTGAAGATTGTCGGCGATGTGGGAAATCTGGACGGCGTCTGATCTCGTCATGTCGGTCTAGATCGAACTCCAAGGATTGTGTGGTCCAGAAGGTGTCGTGGTCAACTTGCAGAGTCTCTTTCTCCGAGCTGAACAACGACGGCCGGTCTTTCGAGGTTCAGAAGGCTTCCGGGAAACTGCCTCAGCGACATGTCCAGCTCGCGGAATCCTCTCCTTTCGTCTCCAGCAGTGATGGTTCGATTCAAGATCGCAATCCGTCGCAATGTAGCCATGCCGCCAACATTGATGAATGCCGGCGCCGCCATCGCCGCACAGCGGCATGGTACCGGTTCCTCCTAGAAGTACCGAATCACAGCGGGAGAAAATTGACTCATACAAGTCGACTTCCCAATCTCGCAAGACTAGCCCTTGGCGTTGCTTGCTCAGAACATCTTGTTCATGCTTGTTCTTCGGGGCGCTGCATTTCTCCACATGGGGCTATTTTTCAGAGACGGCCACATCGGGAAGGAGAGTAGCGCAAAGGTGACTCAGGAACAAAACTTATGCGGTTTGTTGATCGACTCACCTCTCCATAGCCGAGTCGAGAGGCGCAGGCTGCGTGATCATTGGTCGCCGGGAGCTCGAAGGCGTCCTCAGAGTCGGTGTGGTGGAGCAGAGCTGTCCTGTTCTCTGCGAGTGCGAGGTCAACGTAAGCAAGCAGCAGACGACATTGCTTGCTGCAGCGTGGCAGTACAGTATCTTGATGCCTGGGGCCAAGGCCTCAACGATAAGGCAACGCGCACGACGGCTTACGACTTCGTCGTGGTCGAGTAAGCAAAAACGTGGCTTGCTTTTCTGGCAGCGAAAAACATGTGGCAGCCATATTCCGGATGGAGTAGTGATGATGAGTGGTTCGAGTGATGAGAGGAGTCATGCATGCGGCGCTAAGGGCTAAGAACCACATGTAGGAGGGCCTACGGAGTTCGGGGTTTGGGCGAGCTAGCGCAAGCCATTGCCTCCCACAGCCTCCTCGATACCTCAACAATGGCAGGCATTGTTGCGAGAGGGAGTGTAAGCGTGGTATATAAACAAAGCTCCTCACCTCTCACCTTGGCCTTGGAGCCAGAGATATCAAAAATCAAAGTCAACTCTTGAACTCGCAACGACGATCAATCCAAAGCAACTCACCATCACCAACACTCAAACCACAATGTCTTCACGCAACACCAACCACCAATCAACCCTCCCCGCCTACACACAATCAAACACCGCCTCGCAAAGTCAAGACCAGCTCCCCGCCTACTCCGAAGCGACTCACGGCCGGTCACCCGTCCACGTCACCGACGAGAAGAAGTCGCAACAACCACCTAAGAAGTCCAAATTCGCGCAAATCAAAGACGCCCTCAAGAGCATACCGCTCGAGCCGGAGACTCCTTCGGGTTCGAACGCCGGAATTGGTGAGTGGCGGGTGATGCAGTCTATGATGTACAAGAATGCGTATCTGACGACGGGTAGGTGGTAGGGAGATGCAGATGGGCGGTGGCAGAGTGAGGTAGATGTCGAAGAGGGGATGCTTGTGTTTGTTTGATCGAGTGAGCGGACGGCGGCGGCGTTGGCGGTATAATGGCTCCCTCTGATAATGGGGAAGCGTGTTTTTTTTTTGCCATGCGATGTGAAGGGATACCATCTTGTAAAGGGTTTACTTGGTGATGTTGTGGGTTAGACAGTCGCACCGTTGATCACGAGTAGGAAATAATGAATTTAATGAATCATGACCTTAAACTTACTGTCGCCTTGGCCATGTTTTCCTCGGTCACTACTTCATCGCCGTACTCGTCGCGATACTCGCCTGCCGAGACAGTCTTTGCGCCTCTTGTCGGGGACCGCCTCCAGAACAAGGTACAAGACGCGATCGTCAGCAAGATGGCGTCTCTTGCAACCTTCGCGCGTTCAGAACCTGTAGGATCAATTGACAAACGCATTACCAACACTGAAGTGGTCACGTAAGCGTTGATCAATCCTTGCGGAGTGTGACGAGACGACGTGCAGAGCCACTGCTCTGGTTCTCCGTGACACCATCCGTTGACCAACGAGAAGAGTAGCCATGAAGCCCAGCACTCGCTTAAGTCACATCCTCTGCCGTGGATGTCTTGTTGCACAGCTTCAGGAGCATTGATGAGGCCGCTGATCAGAGCAGATCGAATGACCGCAAGATGATAATACTGGCGTCATATCGAGGAGCAGCACACTTTTGTCGTCGAGTGGCTGAGGCGCGATATCCAGGCCGCAATTCAGAGATCATCATCGTTATATGGCACGGTCAACATCTTCGAACACGTGAGTTCGTGCCAAGCGCCATTGCCGCCAACACCGAACAACTGCGGCATTTTCGATGCAATCAGACTGTCTCCACGACTGAGCATTGTCGATAAGTCGCGCAACCGGATGCAGCAATAGGCGAAGCTGCAGCTTTGTTGCGGAGAAAGGCCAGATTAGTGGATGGTGCTGATTCCAAGGGACACGACTGTGGATATAGTCCACTCTCTGCACAGGACGGTGAGCCAGGACCAAAAAGGATGAAAGCAGCTTAAATCAACCTAAAGGTGTTTTAGTATCTGCGTAGGACTAGCGACAACAATACTTCTCCCACGTGCGCTCGAGTCTGATCAGTCTGTGGATACGTAGAGCGCGCGGTGAAGCGACGTTCAATGATGAGCGGTCCAGACGATGTGCAGTCAATTCCGGCAATGTCGACTGCAAAATCGGGGCCGACGAAGTCCAGATGGTTATTCTCTCCGGTACACGGGTGAAGGGTAAAGTATCGAGTGTCTGTCCGTAGCATGTGACTCCACCGTTCAAATTGTGAAAGCCCTATGATGGCAGGGTCAGACTCCATCTCTAGAGAATGCCGTGGCCCAGAATCGACACATTCCCATTTATGAGTGTGGTCGAATATGTGAGATGATGAACGAAGAATTGCTGGCAGGCGTCAGACTGACTTCAGCAGAATTCTTTTTCGCAGGATCTTGGATATTGGAGCAGGCCCAGAACCTGACATGTGCAATCACATGCAATCAGGTGTTCCTAACAGCAACAAGGTTCAATGGCAGATAACGTGATGTCCAGGTAGTGGCAGGGTCATTGCCAGCTAGCTCGAAAGTGTCGAACCCGGATGGTGGGAACCGAGGGTATGCTGTGTTTCATGTGATGATAAGGCGTGGCACACGACCAAGTTTCCTCACATCCCAACACCCGTAGAATCATTCTTTGTCGACGTGGCCACCAGTCGCTGACCGATTGCAGTGCAGCGTTGCAAGTGCGAATCCGCCGTCGCCTCCACGCGCAAGTTCGTCACCGAGGTGGAGAGCAGAAGCCAAGCCGGTGGATCTCTCAGCCCAGTGGCATCTCACGACTGGTCTCGATGTCCGCAACACGTAGGACCCTGGTGCCGTGGAGGAGTTGGGTCACGGATCTGGCGAGTGTTTGGGGGGAGAACATTGCCAGGTTGGCTGCCGATGCTGGTCGCTGTCGTCGGCTTCTGCATGTCGAACACGTCGCTCGGAACGAGTCGGTTGTTGTTGGTGGCACTACCGAAGCCAGCAAATCCCTCACACCGGCGGCCCCATTCGTGCGGCGAGCGGGCTGCCGAGGCTGTCTGTCGTGAATGGCGGTGGCGAGGTGAAGCAGGGCAAAAGGCCCGCATGTGAAGATGGACGACTGACTTTCGTCCCCCCCGTGAGTGGCAGAGGAGCGCTGTGAAGAACAGAGCGGCTTTGTCTTCTGGAAACCTTCTGGCGCGGATCGACAGGGACTGGCCGCGGCTCCCCGGCCCGGCAAGCGAGCCCGTGCCTGCCTCCTAAACCGCGGCAGCGTCATTGGCCCTGACCACACCTGCCTGTGCGCCCTCCACGCTGACGCTTGCTGCGCGAGGCCCTTGTTTCGACGTCGCAGGTATTCGCTGGCATTCGGCTCAGCCCAACGTCCACCAACCCTTTCCCATGCATGAACCGCCGCTGTCATGGCCAATATGACCGACGCCGACCCGACGAGCAGCTTCGCGTCCTCACCACCCGTTCCTCGAGTAAAGAGCCCGCCGCTCGCTTTTGAACGGACTCCCAACGACGTCCTCCTCGCGCCGACAGACACCGGGAATTCTACCGGGGGCAGTCTAGGATCTCCCTCGAACATAGGGCGCGCAAGTCCGCTCACTCCGGGGAGCATGCACGAGCAACACCTTCAGATACTGGTCGACCAGCAGGCGAACGCGATACAATTGCTGCACGAGGCATTTGGCGCAGAGAGGCAGGCATGGAGTCTGGAAAAGGAGAGGTTATACCAGCGCATTGCCAGTCTTGAACAACTGCTGAAGACTGGTGATCATTGGAGGTGAGGTACATACAACACGCTCGCTTTCATCGCCACTAACCAGGCGAAGTAGCCCGGCTAAATCGCCCATCATGTCTCCCTCTGGTGTTGGCGAGATTGTGTCACCTACCGCACGCGCTGTCGCCGCAAACCCGTCACTTCCGACTATCGTGGAACATGAGAACGTGCAGCCTCTGTCATCGCGACGAGAAAATGCGCCGCCATCGATTGACCTGCCGAGCATATCCGGGCTTCCCGATGAAGAGTCACGTAGGCAAAGCGTTGTGACATTCACGAATGAAGATGGGCTGCAAGTTCAGGAGATACCCCCGCGGAACAGCGTCCTGTCACCACCTCCCCCGTTGAATCGCATGCATGCTGGCCATACACCGATTCGTGCTCCACGGCCACCCACTCCTCCACCTCAGAACATGTCTATGGACGGTATTGAGGATACGCCTACCAGGAACAACACTCACATCAACACCTTGCTCAGCCAGAGCAACGACGAGGACGAAGACGTTGAATTGAAGGGGCCTCTAAACATGCCTGAGCTCCCCAACAATCCAGACGAGACAAACTTCACCCTGGACATGCTTTCCAAGAAGCTGGAGAAGATTCAAAGCAATCCAGAAGAAGGCAAGCCAATGGTGTTCGCTCAACCATCCCCTGGCTTGGCATCACCGGCAAGTGAGCTCGACAGCAAGGACATCAGTCCAAACTCAAAAGCGAAAAGGTAAATTGCAAAAAGCTTTGAGATTGGTACAACATGCTAAAATGCATCTTGCAGAGATGAGGAGGCCCCATATGCGCCCATCGGGACTCACCAACCTCACTCACAACTGAGCTCGAATGCGCTCAGTCCGACGACATCCAATGTACTGCCGATCTCGCCGCAAGAAGCTCACGAAGCACAAGTACAGGCCGAGTTCGAACAGGGAGGGATCAGGTTGAAGAAAAAGACGAGTGTCAACTTCGGCGCGCCTTTTGGATCCTTGGGCTTTGCTCCAAGGCGATCGTCACAAGACAAGTCGTAGGAGATGAGGAGAGCGATGGCGTTTTGATCTGGAACAAGTTTCATTTGTCGCATTCAAAAAGGTGTTCTCAAAACAGCGCGGCGGTTTGACAAAAGGGATGTTGAAATGAGAGATAGACCGGCGCAAAGTAGACATGGGAAGAAAGGGAGATACTGCGGGCGAGAGATACCCCAAACACTGGCCAGAGTGCCTCGCATTGACGGAAAAAGATGAGTTTTAGAGCTGATAGGGAGATAGTCGTATCTATCGCTGTCGAAGAACAGCAACGATTTCCACCGATCCATCGATCACATGCTAGAGAGAGGGAGAGAGAGAGGTCACTCGGCATCCCGCGTCTTGGCACGTGTCTCGGAGCGTGAAAAGTTCAAGACTGGAATGTGCTGAATCCACGGACCCCCTTGCTTCACTTCATGCTACCACTTTACATGCCTCACGGACGCGTCCCCCCAAAACATTCTTGGACGCGAAAAGCACAAAACCTTTTCAGCCCCGGGCTCCTGGCCACCGAGTCCCTCCTCTCGCACCTCGCGCTTCATGCAGGTACGACTCCACGAAGACCGGGAGGGGCTCGATTTGGATGGACATGCTGCAAGGCATGTTGAACAGTCTGGCGAGCTTTCCCTTGGTGGGGTGGAGGCTGGGTTTCACGAGTGTGGTAGGGTGACAGTTGGGGTGTGGGAGGGATGTCTCTGGGTTTGTTGGAAGGGCGATTTGTGGTATATGAAGCCGTGAGTTGTCTCAGGCTTTCTTCTTCTCGTTGGTTATTGAGTATCTCTCCTTCTGAGCCATTTCACTTTCGCTACTACTCTCCTGCCAACGGCAAGACGCTCGCTCGAGGGAAGAATATCTTGTACACTCGCGCGCTCAGCACGATTGATCTAGAGATCAACCACCACCACCACCCATCAACACGAACGAAGAAGAACAACAAACCATGCGTCTCCTCCTCCTCGCCCTCGCCCTCCCCCTCGCACTGGCGAGCCCCCTGCCCAACTTCAACGAAATCGAAAAACGCTGGGCCGAAGGCCACTCCGAGGTATGTGCCGCCTCAGCCTTCCTCCCAGGCTGCTACGTCCACGCTTGGGTGGCTTCTCTCTCAAAACACCTCCTCTCCTCCCCTGAACCGTCACTCTCATTCTCGCCTCTTCAGGTGAGCCTCCACACATCTCTTCACCTTCCCCAACCATGGTTGCTGATCGATTGTGACGTAGCAACAAATCCACACCGGCCTCACCCACCGCGACATGACGCCCGCGTGGCCGATGCACGCGCGCGACAGCGAGGGCTCCGCCTTCGCGACCGCCACGGACGAGAGGTCGATCGAGGCGAGTGTGCTGCGGACGAGGGCGGGGAGTCTGATGGAGCAGATGAGGGATTTCGCGGAGAGGTTTATGCGGAGTAAGGGGTTGGAGGGGGTTATTGCGAGGAGGGGGAGTGGGATGGGGGAGGGGGAGGAAGTGCCGGTGTTGAGGCCGAGGAAGGGGGTGAGGTGGAGTTTTGGGGAGGAGTCTTGAAGGGGGGATGGGAGTGGTGGGGGAGGGGGGATCATGATGTTATGATGGATGGGTTTGAAGGTTTTGATGATTTGATCGGGTGTCCTTAGGTGTTCACAAGGCGCTGTTGTGAAGTGGTATCTCGCATCTCCCTGCTGAACGATGAAATGAAGCAACACATCAGAAGACCTTCCCATCCCTTCCCTTCCATTTCCCCATCCGTGCAAATGCAAAAGCAATGGTGTATCTTCCCTACCACCACCCGTTAGCAACTCGCCCCCATCCCCAGTCAACACCCACTCACCTGAACGCCACGCTCCCAAAACCACGCACACTCCCACATCACGAATCAAACCCAACCCCAAACTCCCCCCGACTCACCCTCTCCGCCCGCGCCAACATCTCCCTCAGCAGACTCAACTCCCGATTCACCTCACTGACACTACTCAACCGCTCCTGCAAATCCGCGCCCATCCTCGTATCCTTCCCCTCCAGCTCCCGCATGCGGGCCTCGTTCGCTTCGATCTGCACGGCGTTGCGCTGGAGCTGGAGACGCAGGGCGTGGACCTGGTCGAACGAGGTGGAGGTTTTGGCGCTGTGCGTGCTTTCGGGCGAGGCGGGGGAGGTGGTGGTTGTGATGGTTGTGGTGGCCGAGGAGGAGTGCGTGCTTTCGCTGAGGGAGTGGGATTCGGTTTCGCTGGGGCGCTGGGGATCATGTTAGTTGAGGGTTTTGGTGAAGGTGGTGGGTGTAGAGGTCAAACCCACCCGTAGAAACGTCAGTTCGAAATCTCTCCTCTTCTGCATCCGCGCCGCCCATTCACCAGTCGCCGCCGTAGCCGCCATAATGCTGTTGCTTCTGCTGCTGCTGCCGCTGCCGTGCTAAGGATCGCTCTTTCTCACCGGCGTTGAAACGAACCAGTAGTGATTCCGGAAGTAAAGATGCATTTCTTTCCTTCCCGCTCTTTTGCCACCGCTTTCACTCTCCCTTCAGCTTTCACGCCATGCACCGATTCGCAACGTTTGCGAATTGTTGGTTCGGTTTCTGTTCCTGTTTGTGGCCTCCTGATGTCTCGGAATCGGTCCTGTCAACTTTCGCTCTGGGATGTGGTTGCCGGTTGCGTCGTTTGGGTTTATAGGCCAACACACACGCGACCAGATTGGAATTCCAGGGTTTGGCTGTCGGCGATCTGTCTCGTGCCTGTCCTTCCAAACTTATCGCGAGCTAATACGATCGTCGGGAATGGTCTTGTCGCTCGATTAATTGTTTTCTTCTTAGTGAATGTCGTGTGTGATCGTGAAAGATGAAGAAAGGCAAGAACGACCCAGCACGAGAGAGATAAGAAGTTCAAACTCCTCCCTTGCACCCAGTCGCTGATCTCCCACAAAATGACGTGCGTCGTAATATGAACAAGACAGAACAAGAAAATCGTCCATGCGCTACAAAGAGGTCCCCGTGCCGGAGCGAGATCTGCCTTTTCGGTCTTTCAATTAAACACAACCAAGCCTGCGTGCGTGCTCCGCTAGGGCGCTATAGTTATAATACCTGCCTTGACATCGACATGGGGAGGAAGGTACACATCTCCCTCCTCGAGCGCGCCTGCCAAGGTCGGTGAGGCGTGATACAAGATGACAAAAAAAGGTCATTCTTTCACGAGAATCCTGCGTTGCACACTGTACGTTCCCGCTTCAATCACAACAAAGACCTGGTGTGCGTGTGTGCAGGCAGGTGGGATGTGTGATGAAGTCGCAACGCATCGGGCAGCTCTTCTTTCATTAAGAGCAAGGATGCCTGCCGTGCTCGTGCCTGTCTCCGCTCCAGCGATCGGCCCCAAGTCCCTTGCCGGTCTCTCGGTAGACATGGGTGTTGATTAGGGGAACCCTGCCCAAATGCCGCTGTTTGGCTGCGAGTAGGCGAGAGGGAAAGCGAAGTGAAGAAGAAAAAACCAGGTGCATGTCCCCTCTCTCATGCCGACGAACTTCCGATCCTCGGTGAAAGATACAGGAAGGGCGTGTTCTTCTGCTTTTTCTTTGATTTGCAATTTCACCCCAGTGACGAGGACGATTGGTCCCAGCAACGCTCATCCTGAAACAAGTCGACAGACCAGCATGTTGCTTGAAACGCCGACATCTTTTGAGGAGGTCGAGCTAGCGCGAACTCAAACCCTCACGTGCTGCCTTACAGTGTTGCCCTTTCGGGAGCTCATAGAGGAGGCTAGACTTTCTGGACCTGATTTCTTCACGGTGTTTGACTCGTGAGAGTTCAGAACGACGGGACATGTCGTGTCAACAGGGAGTCCACGTGCTCAAGCGGCAACCAATATCACACTAACCGCCGATGAAAGACTATAAACGAGGAGTACGAGACCCAAGCGATGCACTTTTGAAACACGCAGAAGAAAGATCAACGTCTCAAAGAAGTCTGCTTCAGTCATGGCAGGCGCTATCTGCCTTTGAATCACTGTGGTATCTCAACCCATTCAATCCGTGTCAAACGCCTTTCCTTCTAGTCGCAGGGACGCCGTTGCTATGCAAACACAATTTCATCGCTTTCTCAATCCGTTCCCACGGCCATGATGGCACCACCGAAAAGTCGCTTGACTTCCATCCAATCCATCTCACGCGGGTAGTCTATACCAGCATGCAGTTTCACCCACTCGAGCCAGTTGATCTTTGGGCCCGAGCGTGGTCAAACACCCATGGTGAAGTCGTGCTCGATACCGGGCGTGACCGAAGCCATGAACTTCAGAAACACAACCAGGTACTGATCAACGCGAATCGCTGGAGCTTCCGCATCTGACAGCACCTCCCAATCAGCATCACCCTCCTTGTCCTTGCCCTTCGATGGGGACGATTTGTCTTTGTCCTTGATGTCGAGGGTTGAGGTCTGATCGACGAGACCCTCCATACCGGCGTTCGACGGAGTCTCTCCGTGCTTCATCTTCTCAGTGCGCAGCTTCAGAGCGGCATCGGCGCGGTCGAGCAGCACCTTCATGACGCTGGCGTGCTTGCATGGGTGGACCGAGGCAGTCTTGATCGGTGGGTTGTTGAAGTAGAAATCCTCAAGCGTGACCGTCTTGTCCTTGTAGTCACCGATGATGTCCTCCATCATGCTCATCGGGGCAAGTGGCTGGTTCGAGGCGGCATCGTAGCCGAGGAGGTAGAGGCGAGGTGTGCGGTAGTATGGAGTGTAGGTGATGTACAGCGTGTAGGTGCGAAGTCTGCGGATATGTCAGCAGGTGCAGCGCTTCAGCAGGATAGGCACTCACCCATCCTCGCCAGCCTTCTTGATGGCAGAGGTGTCGCGAATGATGGCCTCCTCATCATCTTCCTCATCTTCCATGTCTGGGATCTCCTCCTCTTCTTCATCCTTGTCTCCAACCTTGCCATCCTCATCAACGGTTCTAACGTCCTTCAGAAGCTTGCTGTCCTCGTCACCACGGCTGCCACCAGCTTTGAGCCAACCGTCATCTTCACCACCAACCTCGGCACCCGTCTCTTTGAGCATGTCGCGGACAAGCTGGTCCTCGCCATCGGCAGAACCAGCAAAGTCCTCAGCCTTGATGCGCTTGCGGCATGGCACACCGCGCGTCACGAGGTACTGCTTGCCGGGGGGGAAGTACGGGACTCGCTGACTCGGGGTCGCGGCGTCGGCCCAGCTCCAGCTTGGAAACTTGTAGACGAGAAAGTCGCCGGCAGCTTGGAACTCCTCTGGGCTGATCTGGCCGGTGGCGCGGAAGTTGGAGTTGTGGTTGAGAGGAGCGAAGCGGTCCCTCAGCGGGTCGATGATGGTGTGGATGAGGTTCTGCATGTTTGCGAGTGATGGACTGTACACAGGAGAGGATTAGTTTAGGGGCCTTGCTTGCGATGAAGTCCAGTCCAGAGGGCGCGACTGGCTGGTGGCAAGGCAAGGCAAGGCGGTGTCGTTGTCGTGGTGGAAGAAGTGAGTCGAGCTGGCTGCCTGAGTAAAGTGACCTTGACCCCGCGGCTTCGTCATATGCGCGTTGCACATTAAGGTTTGCGCTAGCGTTACAAGTCTGACAAGGGTCTGCCACCAACAACAGCAACAACACTTTGAACGTAAAGCCACACAGAAAGATCGTATATTTTTGAGAATGCATGGAGCTTCTCGCCATGAGCGCTTCCATTTCTTCATCCATCGATTTTATTACTACGTCCGCTGTCTTACGCCACTTTTCTCTTAGCTCCCCAGGGCCAAGAGTGGAATCTAACCCTTTGCAACATGGTCTTGAAGCATTCCTCCACGGTTAGGTGTGGGTGCTGTCTAGCCGGCCCAAACAAGAGCATGATGATGCATCTCACCGACTCCAACACCGTGCGCTCTGGCACAAACCCCACCGCACTCGGTTCCAACATCACCCTTCCAAGTCCAGCCCTTCAAGCGCAGTTCACTCGCATAATACCTCGCACAACGAACTCCCCCGCAAACGCGGTCATCGGCCAGATTGTACAGCTCGGAAGAACACCCCTTTCGCGAGATCACAGCCGGCGAAGACAGCGTCGTGCAGATCCCAATAGATCCCAGCGCTTTCTGGTGTGCTTCGCTGAGATTTCTGAGCCAGTGCACGATGACAAGCTCGCAGTTGATGCCGAAGCGCCTGTTGACGATGGTGATGTTGAATGTGTTTTCGGAGTAGAAGACGGATAGGACTTCGTGGCGAATTTGGCGGCAGACGAGTGAGAGGGGTGGTTGCTTCAGGTCTGGTGAGAGGCGGTACCGACTTCCCCGTTCGATCACTTCGATGGTGGTGTCCTGGACGACGAGCAGCTGGTAGATTTGGTTGCGGATTTCTGCTGGAAGACGAAGCAGGCGTGATGCTGCGTTGTGGATCGATCTTTGTCGATGCTTCATCTTTCGCTTCCTCTCACGTTCGATGCGAAGGAGGTCGGAGTCGCTGACGATGCGGTCGACTGCGTGCGCGCCATAGTGGGTGAAGGCCGCTCGGAGCATGTGTCCGAAATGGTCGTTCATGTTGGCGGTGGTGTGTTGGATGAGGTTGTGATTTGCGTCGCGCCTTCTGCGACTAGAAGTCGCGAGATAAGGTTGTGCGCTAGTGTTAACTTCCAGCGCGCCGGGCATGTGACGCCGAGCTTGATGTTCATGGCTGTTCTCAGGCTTCTGCATCCACTGTCGACGTCAAACACCGCCTGACTGACACTACACCCACCGCATCACATCGCTACAGTATGGTGATTTCTGCGAATGGTGAAGGTCAGCCTTCGGCCGACAACAGCGTAAGTGCGAAACTGCCCTTTGACGTTGCCCATGGTGCTAACGAGCAAACGCAGAACGTCCGACCATCTCCAGCCCACACAGACAACGCATACAACACAGACAACAAGAACCTACCCCTCTTCCGCCTCCCAGCCGAGCTCCGCATCCGCATCTACCGCATGATCGTCGTCAAACCGAACCCCATCCACCTCACGGACCTCATATGCGTCGGCCACACGGACGAACGCCACAAGCTCGCCCAAGAAGCGAAGCAACCACCCCTCGCCCACGTCTGCAGCCAGCTATACCACGAAGTCTCGCACACCTTCTACGCGGACAACGTCTTCAAGTTCAGCTCCATCAGATCCGCCGGCTATGCCGTCCGGCTTCGAAGTGAGCAGGCTGAGCGGATGGTGACCACGTGGCTGGCGACCCTGAGCGAGGCGAACCAGAATGCCCTTGGAAGCGTGAGGGTCTGTGTGGATCTTTGCTGGACACCTGAGGGGAGGGATCGGAAGAAGGCCGGGTTGTACAAGTGCGTGGATGAGCTTCAGGTCACCAGATACAGATACAGCCGGGCGCCGCGGAGTGAGTGGAGGGATAGCCATGCGGAGTTGACGGGCTGGTATTGGGAGTATAATGTGGTTCCTAAGAAGGGATGTGGCCGAAATTTGGGGACGAAGGACGACCAGTTCCATGTTCGGCATCATTTGCTCGTGAAGAAGAGCTGAGAGCTCATCACGTCAGAAGAATGATGCTGTCGTTCCGACTTCGTTGAGAATGGCAGGAGATTGGCTAGCCCACATTGGATACGGGATGGTTTTGTTGGTAGGGATTTTGTTCGGATAAGTTCTGCTCGGAAAGGTCTCGCTCGAAGACGTGCTTCACAATAAACAGGAAGCCGCATTCGCCGCTCGTTTCATCATCTCATTCATCACTCGTTTCAGTTTTAAAAATGCCATCATCATCCCTCAACCTTGACTTCACTGCCCTCATCACCCTTCTTCTTCTCCGCCACAGGCTCCCCAAATCCCTCAGGCACACCCTTCGCCGCCCTCCCAGTAGCACCATAATGCGGTCCAACCCACGCCCCCAGGATAGCACTCCACTGACACCCTCCCATCAGCAACCGCTGCACCATCTTGAACGTCTGCAAATCGTGGTAAGGCAGTCCAGTCTTCGGATCCCTAAACTTAGCAGGCCAGCACGTCAACGCGCATTTTGCTTTCGTGGGCGCGACAGGCATCGAGAGATCATTCGCACGCTTGCGCATCTTCGTGGTGAGATATCGTGTCTCTTCGGGCGTGAAAGACGGATACGAAGATGGTAGAAGAGTCGAAGCGAGAGGTGAAGGGTCGGTCAAGGAATCTTTCGAGGCTTTCGAAGCGCCGCGCTTGGAAGTCGTGGTGTTCTCAAGGTTCTCGAACTGCTCGAGCATGATGAGTGAGCGCTGGGCTTGTTCTTTGATTAGAGGCGGTGCTGGTGCTGGTTCTGGTTGGGGTGCAGGTGCTGTCGGCTGCTGTAGGGTGAATTCTTGGTAACCAGGCGGCCAGGCGTGACATATCGGGGTTTGTGACGAGGGTGGATTTGTGCCGGAAAGAGGTGCCGCCGCAGGTTGAGGAGCAAGCGGTGGAGGGTTGGGCGCGGCGTTGATGGCGGGAGCGCTTGGGGTGTAGGGGTTCGCCATGTACCCGGTGGGATTTGATGAAGCCTGCACAGCGTTGTTTGTCTGAGAAGCGTACTCCTGGATTCCAGCTAGCCAGCCCACTTCCATTTGATTCTGTGGCGGCTGTGGAGGTTGAGCAGGAACAGGAGCTGAGGCTTGAGCAGGAGCGCCAACTTCATTCGAAGGCGTCTCGTAGGCCACAGTCGCTGGCAATGAAGGATGAGAGACTGCTATACTCTGCCCCTGCTTTTCGTTCCCTGAATCAGCCATCGAGACGTCTCCTTGATCATCCTTCTTCTCTTCAGGTTTGGGCTCGTCTTTGATCTCGTCCACATTCTGGCTGCCATGCATCCTCTTGATTTTGATCTTCTCGCCCTCCCACATCACGCTGCCACTCCAATATCTCATGACAGGCCCATCAATGCCTCTCCTTCTCTTCGCTGCCAACTGCTCTTCTCGTATCCTCTGCCTCTCCGCCTCTTCTCTCTCCCATCGCCCAAACTCTCGTGCAGTCTCTTTCTCGATCCTGACTGCCTTCGCTAGCCTCTCTTCCTGAGTCAAATCCGCCCGCTTGTTTGCCGTTGTCCTCTCATTGTGCCTCGCCATGATCTTCTTCTGCTTCTCCGATCTTATCAAAGACTCCTTCAGATTCTCATGTATGCTCTCTCTGTTCGCGATAGCTGAAGCACGAGACGACTGGCGTATAGGCGCATCCGCCGCAGTGGGTAACCAGTTCGAACGTTCGCTCTTCTTCTTAGGCCTTTCTGCCGCACCATCCTCTGCCTTCGAATCATCTGCCAACTTGACCTTCTTCTTTTTCTGCCACGCCGGTAACCGCATCTTGACTTCCTCCATCTTCCTCTTCTTCCTCGCCTCTGCGCGCTCCGCTTTCTTCAACTCTTTCTCGCCCTCTAAATCCTCCTTCTCGCCTTCCTTGGGTGGTCCTGCATCATCCTCATCGCTCGAAGATGACATGGCATCGTCATCATCCTTATCTGAGCCTTGATAGTCTCCCTGGTCTTCCTCATCCTCGGCGAGCAGCTCTTTCTGCAGTTCCTCATCGTCAAGATTCTGCCGTAATGTAGCGTACAAGTTCCCCGCAGTCGCACGCTTTGCTCGGGTCGCAATGAGTCCAGTGGTGCTGAGATCTTCGCTTCCAGAGCCAGACATGGAGTCATCGTCGTCGGACATCTTTTCGGCGGTGTTGGCGCACCCTGGCGTATGCAGTTGTAGGTGGAAGAGGGAGACGTGAGGTCGCGAAGCGAGAATTGCCGAAGTGTCTCCGGGCTCAAGCTTCTTCCCAAAGAACCACCTCTTCCAACGGTACAGCAAAACTATCTATTTGAGTCAAGCAACCAACTTAGTTCAGGGCGAACCCGACTATCTGGATCGAAAGCGGACTGGAGCAAGATATTGGTACACCAGTGGGTGTTTCCCGCCGCCAGCGTGGTATAAATGCAAAATACGACTAATTATCCAACGGATAAGCCTACTACCTACTTCCACCAGGCTTTGTGTGGACCGCCCTGGATAAGCTCGATCCAGGGCAATGGGCTGGGTCACGTACACAGGCCTCCACGGAGGTACTAAGCATGAATATACGCCACGGGCATGCGTTTCTTGCCAGCAGCCTCGCTCGAGCAGCGAATACCAAAGACAGGCTACCTTCTTAGTACAATGAGAGTCAACTGAAGACTTCACACAGACTCTAGGACACCCTGCCCAAAGCCCTGGCTACATATCTCGAGTATCAATCCACAAGGATCCTGCAGGTACGCAATGCAAAGGCTTTTCGTGCCATACACCACAGGATCCGCCAAAGCCTTCGCGCCAGCCTGCACCAATCTCTTGCTGAGGCCTATGGGATCGGCATCCGTCAATGCGAAATGAAAACAACCAGTCTGAGTCCAGAGTTGAGGTCCGAATGGCAGTGTCGTATCGTGCTTGGGATCAACGAATTCGAAGAGCTCTATGCCGATTCCATTGCCCGAGACGAGAAACGAGACATAGGCTTCGTTTAAAGGCTCGGGATATACTGGTACGGAAGTTAGTTCGCTTGCTTCCACCACGTTGATACGTCTCGCATGCCGGTATCATACCCTGGAACAGATGGATGTCTTCGTGGCGAGTATTTTGGGGGTCTCGCTTGAAATGGACTTTCGATTTCAAGATCCGGAAGCCCAGATTCTCAGAGTACCATTTTGTTGCCATCTCCAGGTCTGCAACAGAGACTCCCACATGATCGAGACTGATGTTGGCCTGCACGCGAGGCGTTTGCTCGAGATGTGAGCCCACCATGTCTTCACCGTGCCCAACTCACCGATCCCAGGACTGGAGTAAGCATAGTACTTCTTCTCTTCGTTACCCAGAAGGAATCGGAACAAAGTGCTAGCGTGCTCGGGCAAAGAGCTAGAGAAAGCAGCTGGTGGAAAGCGGAAGAGGTCTATTGGAGCTACAAGCAGGCTGAACGGGAAGCGGAAACCCGACGTCGATGAGGTCGTAGAATTGTTTCGTCACCTATTCAAGAAGCTGAACACACGGCCAGTGAAGCGATGGGAACTCGTTAACCTCAATATCACACATGGCGATCGCAGCGACAAAGACTGTAGCCTTCAACAAGGGCGCATCCGTTCAGGATACGGCCTTGGCCAAACACGATCTTTCTCAAACGGAATGGCGAAAGGCATGGGGTATCGACAAGAATGCTCAGATCCGACTCGTTCGGCTCGCTTTTATGCAGTATCAGCATCCTGACCTCGAGGTGGTCAAAAGGTTCATGCTGGGTGCGTATATATTATATCGAAGGCCGCGAACTGAGATCAAATGGCTCATGTGTTCACTAGACTTTGGAATGACGCCTGTGAAGACTACAGAGCAGGATGTCTGGTTCAGGGGGTATGGTAGCGATGCGTATGTGTACCATGCACGTAAAGGCTCCAAGGCTTTCCTTGGAGGAGCTTTCGTGGCGGAGACCTTCCAGGACCTGGAAAGGTACGCCATGATCAAGGACGACACCCCATGTCGTAAAGCTGATGGAGGTCCAGAGCAATGGCAATTCCAGGCACGAAAGTGCTTACGAACGGAATCGAAAAGATGGATCATGCACCTGGTGGAGGCAGTATTGTGACCAGCACCGACCCCGAGGGATTTCCTCTCAGTCTAGTATATGGAGAGGATCAGAGGGAGCCGGACGAGATGCCTCCCGAAATTCTCATGAATGACGAAGTGCGCAAACCTCGTCAACGCAAGTTTCAGCGGTTCACTGCAGGACCAGCCACGGTATTCAGACTTGGCCACTACGGACTGGTCGTGTCCGATTTCGAACGACAATCCCGATTCTACGCCTCAAACTTCAACCTCGTACCAAGTACCCTGCTTCACGTCGATATACCAGCGACCGAAGGAGAACCACAGCGAATGTATGTGGCAATGTTCTCCCATATCGATCGTGGGACTGAGCTCGTCGACCATCACTCCTTCTTTCTCGCCCAAGCCGCTCCAGGAGGCGAGACGCATGTCCATCACAGCAGCTTCGAGATCCACGATCTTGACAGTCAAATGATGGGTCACGACTGGCTCAAGAAGCAGGGCTACCGGTTGGTTTGGGGGATTGGTCGTCACATCGCCGGCAGCCAGATCTTCGATTACTGGCGAGACCCTAACGACTTCATGGTGGAGCATTATATTGATGGGGATATTGTGAATGAAGATACCCCTGTGTCTAGGGATCTAGCATCCTCTGCTCAGGATGCTGCTTGGGGTCCTGAGGTCCCCGACGACTTCACAAGGTAGATTTGTAATCTACATGTGGCATCGTGTCCTTGCAGGGCGTGTATCCTCGGTGTTCTGCTCAAAGTAGAACTTCTATTCCCATTACTCCTAAATCGTCTAACCAGCTTGAAGTGCAATTAGTAGCGCTGTATCCTACGAGAGGGCCCAGGAAGACGGCAGTTCGATACGTTCCATTTTGAGCGGACCGAGGAGGGTACACATTCCAGACGATGCATCTGTTGGCTCAGCCTTGCCCCAATCCTGCTCCTGCCGCTGCTTCCGCCTTCAAACATCCGCTCCGCTCTCCGCCTTCCGCTTTCCGCACCTACCTTTTGATGGAACGAACGTTCCGCTTGAATTTAGTTCTACAGACACGCAATGCCATCAACCTCAATGTCCCCATCGCCAATGCCCATCCGCCGCCTGCCACGAACACGCATCCGACAGGCGTGCCAGGCATGCCGCAGACGGCGGCGGAAATGTGACGGCTTGTGGCCCTGCCGTCTCTGCAAAGCCCATGGCTACACTTGTGTCTTCGAACCCCGCGGGTCGGCGGACAAGGCGAAGGTGACTGGTCCTCCGTCAGCTGTTGTGGTGAGCGACGACCATCCGCCTCCTCATGCGTCGGACCAGTCCCCCGAGGACGTCGAGGCGGGTGACGCAGAAGTCTCCGCTCGTTTCAGCAGCAGAAGCATTGCAGAACTTCCGCAGAGCCAAGTCCATGGTCAGCCGGGATCGTCGAAAGAGCAGAAGCCTCCAGTCATTGATCTCGTCAAGGGCAGATACTGCGATGCCAGCGGTAGTTGCGTCTTCCCGCTGTTCGTTAGCCAATCCATCCAGTCTCGAGTGGCTCTCCGGCCTCACGCATATGGGTGGAATATCAACACACGACTGGAACCATCGCCGCCGTCTGTGTCGTCGATTCGGCGCTTTCTGGCCTATCAGGAAGTCGCTCTCTACAGCCAGTGCTTCTTTGAAGCCGTGGGTCGGAGTTATTGTTTTGTCGACGCGGGCTCTTTCCACCAACGGACTCTCCAATACTGGACAGATGACTCTGCCATCAGTCACGGTCTGGAAGCCATGATTTGCGGTGTCCTGATACTGGGATCTCTGTTCTCTGCGACAGGCATAATGGCCGAGTCACAACTAGTGGAGCATGCCAAACTCATCCTGGACAACTCTATATCATGTGCACTGGGTCGACTCACGTTGGACTTGGCTTGTGCCTGGGTTTTGAGGACGTTATATCTGCGTCTCACTACTCGGCCCAGCCTGGCCTGGTTTGCATCCTGCACTTCAGTGCACGTTGCGGAGTCTTTGGGCCTGCATGCTGACCTTGACAAGTTCCACGGGCGACCTGCATCTATTGAGGACTCTGAAATCCGAAAGACTAGACGCAATATCTTGAATTGCGCTGTGTTCTTGAACACACTCATCTCTGCCGAATATGGTCGATCTAGACTTACTCTGGAGCTCTGGCCCTCATCGATAGATAATGAGGACAATTCTGTTCTTGTCACTCTTGCACAAGTCCTCCGGAATCCGTCAGATGACGACGAAGATGTGGTAGCAACCCTTGGATCACTCGCGGATCTCACCTCAGAAGTACCACATTTGGCTCTTCTGATTGCCGATGTTGCTCTCTTCCTGTATCGCAAGCGAATTCACCAGAACAATGGACAATTAAGCTCATCGGGATACAAGGCTTTACTGTCAATATTGGATGGTGGCATCGGACGGGCTAGAGAAAGTGCGGCCTCTCAACTCCCATGGTGGAACGTACTTTCAACACCCTTCCAGACTCTACTTGTGCTGATCCACGTCAACACTACTGAAAGCCTAGCACTTGTCCGCAAAGCCATGGAGGCGCTCGAGATGGTGAATACCGCGTTTACCTCATCCTCACTGGTCCGCGAGGCGCTTGTAGTAGCACAATTGATAGTGGGCACCCTACGCGAGAGGAAGCTACAGCAAGTCGACCTGCTTCCGTCCTTTGATGCTTCTGGAGATCCAGTAACGGGAGCTTGCAATGGATCTTCAGGCATCGATCTCAACATATCGCAACTCCTGAGCCCAACTGATTGGCCGAGCATCGATTGGCTTCAAGATCTTGATCTTTCCTCACGGCAAGGCCCTACATGATGCACTTGCATACATCCCCTGAGCGCCTTTGTCCGGGAGACATCATCCCACCGTACTCTCGCCCGACCAAGCCAAGCAATAGCATTGAGCTCTTAAAGCCACTGCTTTGTGCCGAAATGACTGACGAACATGCCACCATGCGTCTCGACCGTAGCATCCCTATGACCTTCAACTGCATCGCTACACTCTGGCTCGGCGTCATTTCAACCATATCCGGTGCAAAACTCCTGAACTGGTCTGCTATGAGCGCTCATCCCTTGACTTTCTCAGGGGTGGAGTTCTCCTCGGAAGTGTCGACGAAGCCCGGACTAATGACCAGGAACAAGATTCCCTCCTGCTTCCCGAGCGCAGCGTGGAACTTGGCAACGAGGGCGTTCGTTGCCGCTTTGGAGATGCCGTACGGTCCAGCAACTGCAATCCCTGCCTCCCTGATCATATCAAGATCTGCAACACCGGTTGAGATCGTGATCACATTCTTGACATTGCCTTTCCGAAGTAGCGGCAAAAATGCACGAATTGTATGAGCCACCCCTACGACGTTGACGTGAGAGGAGTGCATCAAGTCTTCTTGCAGCTCCTCGTCTGAACCGTCCAGCAGCGTCTTGGCTCGAGTCTTGTCGCTGACATATGCGGCGTTGTTGATGAGGACATCTAGACTACCATGTGTGATGCTGGCAACTTCTTTCATCGCCAACGAGAGTCCTCGAACGCTGGTGATGTCACCTTCAACGAGGTGGACATTCTCAACTGCATCGCTCTTAAGCTTCTGTGTGCCAGCGTCTTTGTTTCGGACCATACCGATCACGGTGTTGTTGGGGTCGGCGGCGAGTTGTTTTAGGAAGGCATAGCCTAGACCGCGTCCTGCGCCCGTGATCAAGTATGATGGCATCTCAGGGGTGTCTCTCGGCTTTGATGATAAGACTAGATCATTAAGTCTGGATGATGGACCATGGAAGGCTGCTTTATAGCAGAAGGAAGGCGTAACATTGAGACACGGAAAGACTCGTTTCTGCGCGGATCCCAGGGGATACTGGCGGAGCGGAAAGCGGTAAGTCCTCTGTTTCTGTTATCCGCCTTGCAGATGCTTTCAAGCGTTCGTTCTTTGGGACTGACACTGTGTCAGGAAGCCTTGAGAGACGCAACTCCTATTCGTTCTATCAAAATCTATAGCTATCTGCCTAGGCGGACACCCGGAACCACAGAACCTCCCTGCAAAGACGGTCCATCGCCCCCAGCTTCGCCAAACACCGCGCTCGAACGCCTTGCATCTAGTGCGCCTTCCAGTTCCAGCAGCTTGTACAGCCACCTTACCAGCCTTCTATTTCCGTCGCCTGAATCTTCCAATCTTCAAAGATCTTGAACAAAGTCAGGGCAGCCTGATCTCCAATTTCCAGTCCGTCGTCCGACTCCCTCTCTGGTGCCAGGGGAGAGAATTCAAATCTTCCTACCAACCCGGCAATGAGACAACGCATCTGCGCTCGCGCGAACTGTTCGCCAATGCATCGTCTGGGTCCGGCACCGAACGTCAAGAAAGAAAGCACGTTGTCGCAAACACCTTGCTCTCTGTTCTCGTCCAGCCACCTGTCTGGGTTGAATGTACGTGCATCCGGTCCCCAATGATTTGGATCTCTCCCCAGTGCCCAGGGCGAGAAGACCACTTTAGCGCCGACCGGGATGACAGTGTCGAGAATTCGAGCTGGAGATACGCACTCCCGCCACAAGATCGTGTTGATGGAGTGGAATCGAAGAACCTCTTTGATAACAGCATCAAGATACTTCGTCCCTGCGAAGTCGGCCTCCTGGAGATCTAAATGTCCATTGATCGAGCGAGGGGACGGGAGCTGTTGTCGGATCTCCTCACGTAGACGGGTTTGCATCTCTGGATGGCGTGAGAGCAGATGAATTGCCCAGGAGACGCTTCCAGAAACCGTTTCCGTCCCAGCTGCAAGCATGTGAACTGTTTGGACTACCAAGTCCGAGTGAGAGAAATGTCCCGATTTCATCGCAACACCCAGCATGTCAATGCTGTTGGTATCCTGGGACTGTTCATGCTCTTGAACGATTGTCTCCGCCGTTTTCACCACGAGTGCGACGCCTCTGCGAATCGTCTTAATTGCGCGCAGAGGCAGCTGTAGAGCGAGCTTTGGCCCAATGATAGCGGCTTGGTGAAGCGTCCCCTGACCACGCTTAGTCGTCTTGAGAATCTGAATGTAAGTTCGACCGAACTTGGCTGAGGGGTCTTGGACAGCGTTAAAGTCTTTGGAGAAACCCCAGCGGCCGATAATGTCGATGCTCGCGGCAGAGAGTGGTTTCAATAGACCGATGCCTTCCTTGGATCCAGTCTTGTCGCTCGTGTCAGCGTGCTGTGCCTGGGTTTGCATCGTCACGGCGTTCACGAGGTCGAATGCGGTCTCCCACATGATCGGATACGCTCGGCGAATGTGATCTGCATGGAACGCTGGTTGAAAGGCCTTTCGTGCCGCCTTATGGATCGTTCCTTCTTGGAGCAGGAGTCCCTCCGCCGCGACATTGCCCGCCAGAAGCCGCTGCAGCTCTGGCTTCACGAATTGGTAAGCTCCTGAGACGAGGAGGTCTTTGACGGCTTCTGGACTCGCGGCGAAGATTCGCTCTTGGTTCCACAGGCCGTAGTATCGAATCAGGCCTTTATGTGGGAGTTCGTCCAGCCATTGCTCGAGTTCGCGGACTGTTGGCTCGTGCAAGAGTCTGAAGAGGAAGAAGCCTTGGTTCGGACGAGGAATGTGGCTGAGATTGTTCTGTCGAGGCTTCACAACCAAAAGGTAGAAGAGTCGGGAGATGATGAAGAAAAATGCGAGGAACAGTTCTGTGGAGACGACGTGATCAAAGTGAAGGCTCGAGAGCATCTTTGGCGGTGGTTCTTGGTGTTGCTCGTATCGGTTTCTGTGCTTGTTGGGGACGATGTTGCTTGGAATCTGCGAGCTGCGGCACGGCTGCCGACCACATTTTATATGCTATGGCGTTGTTGTGAATCTTGCATCGCCTTTGCCGTGACTATGTGCACGATACACTCAATCGCAGTATCCTATTCTTGTTCCGGACAGCGCGCGATGGCACGGTGTTGAAACACATGTTGGTTGGATCTGTTACGTTGTTTCCAAGCCTCGCCGTCCTTGCGCAAGGCCAAACGGTCCGACTACCGTACGCTCGGTGTCTGCGGGCACGGTGCCAAGTACATCGTCCCATGCAGATACTCTCCCAGACAGTTCGACCGGCGAGTGGTCGAGAGGCTATTTTGGGGCCCTGACGATCGCACGAGCGATAGCAACCCATGGAAGAGGGGTATCACCGAGACGAAGGCACGAACGTGAGCGCCCTCCGTTGAGACGATCGAACTTTGCATCAACAGCGAATTCCCCGATCTGAAGTCAAGCGACGTCGCAGCAACATTCAATGAGATTGGAGGAGGAGCTGACTTCCAGCAATGTGTCTGCGATGCCAACAGTCAATATTCAGTTGTACCAGGTCATGCCACGCATCGATTACATCTCTCGTTCTTTCGGTATCAAAGTGTGACGACACGATTATCCCCCCTCGTCGAATACAGAGATACCGGCAGAAAGTTTAAGGGTCAATCGCGGCAAGTATACATTTCCATACTTAACAATGACAAGGCTGCCCTGCATGGCCAGGCTCTAAATGCCGAAAGGCCTCCCGACAGCGGCCATGTGCCGACCCCTCAAACCTGCTTACCAGGACCATTATTCCGATTGGTGAAGTCGAGAGTAAAAGACGAACTTCTGGCTCAAGCTCTAGCCAAGAATACTGGGTTCATCCTTCCAATGCATTGAGGCACAGGGCTTAGCGCAACTTCACCTTCCAGGATCTTGATACTCTTCAATTTTGGAAGTATGCGGCAGGACACTGGCGATCTCCAAGCCATGATCAAGATGCATGGTCGTGTGGCGAACACTATTCTGTTTGCTAAATCTGGAAACAGGCTGTGAGGATGAACAAAAAGATCGATATAAAGCTGCCACAGCAGAACATCGGCTTCTCCGGCGACACAGCTGCACAACCACACGATCATGACGGACACAGCGAAGCATTCTGAGTTCATTGACTCCTCCACCTCCATCTCCACCATCGTCGACTGGGATGACGAAAATGACCCCGGCCGACCAAAGAATTGGTCCACAGTTCGCAGGTGGGCAATCGTGGTCACTACGACTTTGATCACTTTCGTTGTATCCTTCAGCAGCAGTGTGTTCTCTGCTACACTTGCTGAAGTTGCGGACGAGTTCGATGTCTCGAAGAACGTTGTCGTGCTGGGCATCACTCTGTTCGTGCTTGGCTTTGCCTTTGGACCTCTACTGTAAGTTTTTCTCACCAAGATCATCCCGCACGTACTGATAAGATCACAGATGGGGGCCAGCCTCCGAACTGCACGGTCGAACAACTCCGCTTTGGCTCGGCTACACCGCCTTTCTGATCTTCCAACTTCCTCTCGCAATCAGCTCTGAGATCCGAGTCATTCTCACTTCCAGATTTCTGGCAGGGCTGTTCGGCTCTGCGCCGCTTGCCATCGTTGCTGGCATGTACGTCGACTTCCTCAACCCCATGGAGCGAGGCATCTCCAACAGCGCATTCAGTGTTGGTGTCTTTTGCGGCCCTGTCACGGCTCCCATTCTGGGCAACATCATCACCGAGCATTTGGGCTGGCGATGGACGGGATGGATCACACTTTTTGTTGGTCTAGTCCTTGGGATTGTCTGCTTCGTCTGCACGCCTGAGACGGCCGACTCAATCCTCCTCCAGCGGAAAGCACAATCGCTGCGATTGGAGACTGGCAATTGGGCGCTGCATGCACGATGCGAAGAGCAGCCGGCTCGTATGCGAACATTTGTCGAGAAGTATTTGACCAAGCCGGTCAAGATGCTGGTCCTTGAGCCTGTAGTGAGTGGATTTTGATCGAAGCGATGGGACACACATTGACGAGTCGACAGCTCCTGATTTTCACCATCTACATGTCCCTCGTGTATGGTATTCTTTACCTGACGTTTACAATGTACCCCTATTCATTCCACACCATCCGCAAAATGTCATCGATCGAGGCAAGTTTGCCGTTCCTGTTTCTCCTCGCTGGCATCGTTCTGGCGTGTCTCTTCCTTGGACTGTACAGCGTCTACTATATCGGAAGACTCCAAAGAGCGGGCAAGACACTCACACCCGAGCACCGGCTGCCACCAGTGATATTAGGGTCATTGCTATTACCCGCTGGTAAGTTCAGCCAACTTCTCCCTTCATGAATGTCAACTGACAAAATATCAGGTTTGTTCTGGTTTGCATGGACTTCCCAAACACAAATATCTTGGACCTTACAAGCCACTTCAGGAATATTTACCGGCTGTGGTATAATTTTGGTCTTTATGACCTCCATCTTGTTCCTCGTCGAGGTCTACCTCTATCACGCCAACAGCGCTCTTGCCATGAACACCTTCGTGCGGAGCATCGTCGCAGCGTCATTTCCAGTCTTCTCCCGGCAAATGTTCTCCACTTTGGCGATCAAGTGGACAGGAACCATGCTGGCATGTATCTGTGTTGCATTGACTCCGTTTCCGGTGGTCATGATGGTTTATGGTTCTCACATCAGGGGCTGGTCGAAGTTTGCACGATAGAATTCGATAGATTCCGATTATGTGGGAATACGATGAACAATCGATTCGATGTGTACGCCTCACAAAGTCCAATTCGTCACAGAGAACTCTATCTCAGAACTGATCAAGGTACTGCAATGATCACGAGCGCTCCGTGTCAGGGATAATCCAGGCCCACCAATTTCCGCCTCTATCCTTGGGTGCAGTATTTGCGTTGTCCGCAAACGGAAGGTAAGTGTACACGGCTGTCTGTCTTCTCCAGTGCTTCAGACATATAAAAATGTGTGACACGAGCACAAATGAGTGACTTTTGTCGGAGTGCATGCTTTCATCAGCAACCCCCCCTCAACATGGACAACAAGATCAGCTTACGAGAGTTGCGAAGAGCGATACCTCATCACTGTTTCAGGCCGTCGAACATTTGCTCGCTGAAATATGTTTTCTGCGACCTAATTTTGGCCATCTCACTCGGCTGGTTGGCATCGACACTCATCCCTCACCAACCAACCTTTCCCCTGAGATGCATCTCATGGATGCTCTATGGCTACTTGCAAGGCCTAATACTCACGGGCATATGGATCCTCGCGCACGAGTGCGGCCACGAAGCCCTCTTCTCAAGCAAAATCGCAAATCACATCGTTGGATTCGTCCTTCACAGCGCTCTCCTGGTGCCTTACTTCTCGTGGCGATACACGCATGCTCGTCATCATCGATACACGAATCATTTGGGGAAAGATACAGCCTTTGTTCCACGCCAAGAGGATGAGACACCTCGTTGGCTAGGCATGATCCGTCGATTTGGCGTCATCGAGGACACTCCATTCTATGCAATCTGCAGCCTTGTGCTCCACCAGGTCCTGGGTTTGCCGGCTTATTTATTGTTCTATTCGAGCGGAGCTCAAGACGGTCCTCCGAATGAGTCTTGGTCGTTCTCTCGTTGGAGCCATTTCGACCCCCTGAGTGACTTGTTCACCGAGTCAGAACAGCCATACGTTTTACTGTCAACGATTGGTGTTGGCGCATCGATCTCCATCCTTATCACACTCGCGCAGGCCGTTGGAGTAACCAATGCCTTTTTGCTTTATGGCATCCCGTATCTATGGGTCAACAACTGGCTTGTCGCTCTTACATACCTTCACCACAACGATCCCAAGATTCCGCATTTCGAACAGTCAACGTGGACTTTTCTGGATGGTGCGCTATCCACCGTCGATCGACCCTTTGGATTTGTTGGTCGTTATCTATTCCATGGCATCGTCGACTACCGTGTCGTACACCATCTGTTTCCGTGGGTTCGACTTGGGCTTCCCGAGATATGACAACACTGATGCTCTGCAGACGGATATCTTTCTATCACGCGGAAGAGGCGACGAAAGCGATCGTACCATTGCTAGGCGAAGCATATCACAAGGATGAGACTCCATTCTGGCTGGCCTTGTGGCGGACATTTCGCTCCTGCCGCTCAGTTGAAGCAGATGGAGCTCAGCCCGGCGTACTTCGATGGAAGGCTGTACCGATGACAGAGCAACAGTCCAAGGAGAAATCGACATAGGTCTTGGCATAGACGAGCTTTTGTGTGTAGAGCGCATGCATTGGCCGGAACGAGTAATTCACATCCCAGCCAGGGCTCGTTCGCTTTCGGCCCCAGGGTTGTTCCTTCTTTTTTGAGCTTGAAGATGGCTGAGGGGAAAGTGGAGCTCGCTCTTGCTTTCCTTCCTTTCATGTGTCGTGTCAAGTCTTCATGCAATTGGTTTGAACACCGTCACCAACATCTTTTGCTCTTGATTTTCAAGTACTGATTGGCACCGTCAACCTCATATACGAGAGACAAAGTGCTGGATTTTGCGGCCATATCAATTTCGACACCCTAGCAATCGAAGACATACACCAAGTGAACTCACCTTTTTCAGCGTCTCATCTACATTATCATCAATATGGGACCTCGTACTCTGGCGGATCTGACAAGGAAAGATCTGTTTCAGCAGCAAGGCTTCATCAACGATGAGTGGGTCGATGCCACCGACGGCAAAAAGTTCGATGTTGTCAACCCAGGCACATTGGAGAAGATTGCACAGTTGCCAGAGATGGGGGCCTCTGAAGTCGAGAAAGCTGCTGCGGCCGCCGAGACAGCTTTCGAATTATACCGCAAGACCAGTGCTCGTCAAAGAGCTCGATGGCTCCGCAAATGGAATGATCTAGTGCTTGAGCATACTGAAGACCTTGCACTGATCATGACGCTCGAGAATGGAAAGCCTCTAGGCGAGTCAAGAGGCGAGGTCGTGTACGGCGCCAGTTTTCTTGAATGGTTCTCGGGCGAGGCAGAGCGTACACATGGCGAGCTCGTTCCAACTGCCAACCTCAACCAGCGGATCATAACCATGAAGCAACCACTGGGAGTGGCGGCTTGTCTAACACCATGGAACTTTCCAGTTGCAATGATCACGAGGAAAGCTGGCGCTGCTTTGGCAGCTGGTTGTACGACAGTCTGGAAACCAGCCGGAGAGACACCATTGAGCGCTTTAGCACTCGCTGTGCTGGCCAAGGAAGCTGGGTTTCCAAAAGGCTCGATCAACGTGGTGCTTACGCTGGACAAGGTCTCCGAAGTGGGCGAGGCACTCTGCAAATCGGAGAAGATCCAGAAGCTGAGTTTCACAGGCTCGACTCGTGTTGGCAAGATTCTGGCATCTCTTTGTGGCCAGTATGGACTGAAGAAGCTTTCCTTGGAGCTTGGCGGTAACAGCCCCTTTGTTGTTTTTGACGATGCCAAGATTGAGACAGCCGTTGAAGCTTGCATCATGGCCAAGTTCCGAAATTCTGGACAGACGTGCGTGACTGCAAATCGCATCTTTGTGCAGGATGGCATCTACGACCGCTTTTCGCAAGCACTGGCTGAGAGGATCAAGACTCTGAAAGTCGGGCTAGGGACTGACGATGGGGTGTTCATCGGACCCATGACTCACGAGCGAGCGGTTGAAAAGGCACTTGCTCATATTGAGGATGCAAAGAAGCATGGAGCATCTGTGGTAATGGGAGGCTCATCGTTCCAGCCTGATGATCATAAAGGGTACTTTTTGCAGCCGACAATCCTGACGAACATGTCATCCGAGGCTTTGATCACGCGGGAGGAAGTGTTCGCCCCTGTAGTTGCCTTGTATCGCTTCAAGACCGAGGATGAAGGCGTGAGGCTGGCGAACGATACCAAGGTCGGACTCGGCAGCTTCATCATGACTGAGAATATGCCACGCATGTGGCGCGTGGCAGAGAACATCCAAGCAGGGATGGTTGCAGTGAATATTGGCCTGCTTTCGGCCGCTGAAAATCCGTTTGGAGGTGAGTATTCCCGTGATTCTTCGTCGATCTGGGCTAATGTCTGTTGTTCTAGGCGTCAAAGAGAGTGGGTATGGTCGAGAAGGCGGCCGGCAAGGTATCGAGGAGTATTTGACGGTCAAGAGTATCTTCCTGAACGTTGCGAATTAGGATGATGTCCATACGGTTTGACCCTCAATAGCCAGACTCGTCGGACAGCATGGGGCCAGATTAAATTTGTCTTCGTGTGTAATTTTCGGCATACATGGACATTCGTGTTTGTTCATCTCTGGCAACAGTTCAATACAAAACTCGTTCCAGAGCATGAATTCTAGGTCATAGTCATGCCTCAGATGTTGTTGAAGGTCAAATGCTGTCAGGAGAAAACCCGTCGGATTTTGACCGAAGTGCATGGGCCACCCAGTGCCGGCTATACCAGCCTCCCTTATTCCCGCCACCAGGGAAGTCGTTGCCCGTGGGGAATCGTCGTCCGACTTCACAGCAACATACTGATTTGGATGGCGAAAAATCAATGATCAGCTACCTACCAAAACACCATGCGGTCTTTCTCCAGCGGCAAGATCTTTTCTATGCTAACCACGATATAGATTTAATCAGGAGTTCGAGGCCTTGAGCCGAGAAGGTTGTACTGCGAGAATCGCAGTTGTTTGGGCGAGCATATCCTCGCCATCAGCATCGTTGCCATCCACCACACAGCATGATGTTGCAGCCTCGTATACCACGAGCTGTTGGTAATGCCATACGACTATCGACTCGCCGCTACTATGCCTCTGGCTTGGGCCCAAATCAGTCGCCTCCAGCACAAGGACCACTTTCTGGTATCACAGTCGTCTCCCTGGAACAAGCGATTGCAGCTCCTTTCTGCACAAGACAGCTTGCCGACTTGGGCGCTCGGGTGATCAAAGTAGAGCGTCCTGGGGTAGGCGACTTTGCGAGACAATATGACGACAGAGTGAATGGCATGGCCAGTCATTTCATTTGGACGAACCGCTCTAAAGAAAGCCTGGCCCTGGATCTCAAGAAGCCACAAGATCTCGACGTCCTGAAGTCCCTAATTGGACGTGTCGATGTGCTTGTTCAGAATCTGGCACCCGGAGCAACGGGACGAATGGGCATGGCATATGAGGACCTCAAGGACAGGCACCCTGGTCTGATTGTCTGCGACATATCTGGATATGGCCAGGATGGCCCGTACCGGGACAAGAAGGCCTACGATCTTCTAATTCAGAGCGAGGCCGGTATGCTGTCTGTCAATGGTGTGCCGCGGAAGACCGGGCCTGGAAAGGAAGACACTGTCATCGACCCGGCCAAGGTTGGAGTCTCAATTGCAGACATTGCCGCCGGCATGTACTCGTACAGCTCAATACTCGCAGCTTTGATGCAACGGCAGAAGACAGGTCAGGGCTGTAAGATCGACATCAGTATGCTGGAGGCCATGACCGAGTGGATGTCGTTCCCACTTTACTACACCTTCAACGGAGCTCCTGGACCAACGCCAGCTGGATCATCACACGCGTCAATTTATCCCTATGGACCTTTCCAAGCATCAGATGGTGCTGTCATGCTCGGTATACAGAACGAGCGAGAATGGGCCAATTTCTGCAAGACTGTGCTTCAAAACGAGGAGCTAGCTAGTGATCCACGTTTCGAAAGCAACACACTTCGAAGCCAAAATCGCGCACATCTGCAGCAGATAATTGAAGACTCTTTCTCAAAGCGCACAGCCAATGAGGTTGTTGATCTCCTGGAGAAGGCGTCCATCGCTAACGCCAATGTAAACGATATGCATGGCGTCTGGAAGCACCCGCAACTACAAGCTCGAGAGCGGTGGACGGCCGTTGATACGCCCAAGGGGGAAGTACCGGCATTGTTCCCTCCAGGTTTTGAGCCGCTCAGTCGGACAGGCCTGCACGCTAACATGGGCAGAGTGCCAGCCGTTGGAGAGCATAATTCAAAGATCTTGGCTGAGCTTGGACTGTAGCGAGAATGAATGGACATCGCGCTGAGGATAAGGATAAATGTTAGATGGCATGGCGCTTGGGGCCGGAGGCTTGCTTCTCAGGCAAATGATAGCCGAATATCAAAGTATTTCATGTTATTTCCTAATTGAGATTAGCGCTCAGGTCTCGAGTGAATGTTCGTACCGACGGCCAACATGCTTTCGAAGAGTCAAACCATGTGGACACGAACACTTGGGGCTACACACTGACTGTAGGAAGGTGAGACGTCATCACAACTTTGACGACAACGAAAGGTGAGCCCTTTCGACGTGGTCGGGGTCAATCGGACATGCACTTCTCGAAGGATCAATAGACTTCGCCTGCATCGGAGTGGTACCTGCTCACGACGCAACACTAGATTCCAGCCGCAGCATCTTGAATTCATGGATCCGGGCCGAGCACATTCAACATTCTCGACCAATTGTTCGAAAATGCTATGAAGCGATCGTTCTCCTGCTACTATGGACGACCGGGGTGAGCAGAAACTACGCTGGCTGCAACCGAAAACGTACCCCAAACGGGGGCAACATGTCGAGACGAACACCGAAGAGGAGAAACCATCGACTTCAGGCTACCTCGGACACATCTCACAAGATTTCATTCAAGCGATCAATTCGAGACAGTTGTCCAGAGATACTCTGCCTTGGACGTACATGGACCGACGAGTCTTCCGCGCCACTTTCGACCAAGCGGCCCTGACCGAACTCGATCTGGATGGATATCTCGACGCACTGAGACACATCACCTCCACGCATCCGAAGCATCAGGTTCATGTCCAACAACTTATGGTATGCGTGGAGGAAGGCGCACAGCGAGCAGAGGTCTTCTTGACGGTGAAGACGATGGGTTTGCCCGATGATGGGCTGGTAACTGAGGGGATTGGGATTTTGAAATTCTTGAAGTCAGATGAGGAGTGGTGGTGTGTGAGATATAGGGGGATGCGAGGGTCGTTGGGCGCGAATGATGTTGGTGGTTGAGGATGGTGAAAGTTTGGGTCAAGTTGAGAGGTCATGTTGGCTATCTGCTGCTCAGATATGGACTCCGTACAGAGGAAAGTGAGGCAGCTTTGGCCAAGGCTTTGCTGTGATGGATTTCCACCATCACCTACCCTCGCGACTCCTTTCTTTCCCATCATCGATGACAGTGTCCCTTGGGGAGCCTGTACGCTGAGCGACACCGTGTGTTGAGTAGGCCTTGTTCTACTTGGGTAAGTCTCATTAGGCGGAATTCGACTTTATGGACGTAAAGGTCCGTTCGTACGAGCTCTGGATCATGCCTTCGTCGAAATTTTGTACCGCTGCCAGATGCACTGCATTGGACATTCACAAGGCCTATAAGTCTTCACGGAAAGAAAGTCGACAAACAAAATACCTCACACAGTACATCCTCTCACACCACACTTGCAGCAAAAAGGAAGAGCTAAGTTCGCATAGTCACGCGATTCCTCCCAGCCGCAACGCCACCTACGTCTTCACACTTGCATCGTGCGATGCAGGTGGAGCGAATCACCAACGAAGAACTCGCCTCCATATCCCTAGCGGCTTATCAACCCCCGCCAGAGACAGAGCGAGCTTATCAATCTTATCAGATCAAAGCTGTTCCTTCCCGATGCGGTAATTCTGATTGTCACCTGCCTGCCCGTCGCCCTTCCATACCTGCTCGCATGATCAGCCTTTTTTGTCGCAGCTCCGCATGCAGGAAAAATTCCTTTCGTTTCTCCACTATGTCTATTGTTCGAATTATAGGCGCTTGGCCTCGATCGGGAACTGCATGCTTCGCCTTCGTGGGATTGGCGATGCGGTGTCCTGATCTCCAGCCCGGACAGCTGTACTTGAACCTGTCGATGAATATCCTTGTTCACGCGAAAAAATAAGCAGCACAAATGCGGGTGCTGAAGAGAACTTTCAGAGCACTTCATCAAACATTTCTACCACCACGAACTTCCAGCGGCTAAGGCGGCGTCCTGGATGTTTAGTGCCAAAGCCATGGAAGACATTCGACATTAGCTCCAGAAAAGCACACGATCGATCATTCGTCATTTCGTCTACCTTCCTAGCGAGGTGTTTGTCACGAAGAGGCGAGATCCTTCACATTGAAGGGACGGACGGTATAAAAGAGGTCCACCTGATCAGATAAGATCACCCCGCTAGTCAAGATACAACAGCAGACTACCACAGCAACATGAATTTCTTCAGCACCATAGTCGTCACCTTCGTCGGGCTTAGCATGGCATGCCCGGCCCCGATGCCCGAGGCTGAGGTACATATTCCCCACCACGAGGCATTAGCGCCAACAATCTGCTAACTGTTCCTGTGACTGTTCAGACCAAACAGCTTCAAGCTCGCCAATGCTTCTCTCCGTGCCCGCCTGGGACTATCTGTTCAGTTGGGCCCAACCTCATGCCGGAATGCATTGTCAATCCTACTGGATAAAGTGGTAAATTGAGATACCAGAATGATTGTATTGGGGAAGATCATGCTGATGGATAGAACGTAGGTAGCTGCGAGAGCAGTGGAACCTTTTCGAATCAAGCTTAGCTTGGAGCGATGGAAGGCATTGGATGGTAGTCCGAGAGTGATGGAGCGGCTTCGCTGTTCGTAGATCAATTCTTGGGCACCGTATGCCGAATGCGAAACTCGCCGCGCAACAGACGTAGGAAAGGACATGTTTGAAAGAAGGCTTCCACCTCCTTGATCTTATCAGATCGTTCCACTTATGGCAAGCAACAGTATCAAAATCATCCCCTCGAGAAAGTCCACCCCATCCAACGCCGTCATGAACTTGCTCCTTAGTGCCCTCGCTTTCGCCTTCTTCGGCCTGAATGCCCTGGCGAGCCCGGTCCCTGAGGCTGAGGTACGCACCTCCCCGCCTATCATCTCTCCTCACCAATACTAAAAAAATACGTAGACCAAAGAGCTCCAGGCCCGTCAATGTCCCGGTCCCTGTCCAGCAGGAACGTGCTGTTTCCCGGGACCCTTTGGCTACAACCAATGCATGGGCTGTCCGTCCTAGAGATCGGTCCATGGAACTTTCCCGACTCGTATTCAAATTGATTGAGTGTTAATGGAAATGATAGACATGGCGGAGCAGCGCGTGGCAATCCCAGCGGCACAGGCGGCCGAGCCTCCCTTAGCGTCCAGCCCGGCCCAAATACCCAACACTTGTGTTGGATGGTTAGCTCGCGGAATCGGTCTCTTTTGTCTCGCAGATCGCTTTGTTGGCTATGACGAGTACGAGGATCCTTCAGGTAGCAGGGGTACAACAGAGGCCTATAAAAGATGCTTTCTGCCGTCGTGATCTTATCAGATCTTTCGATCATCAATCCTCACAGCCTTGTCTTTCCATTCACTTACACGCACATCACTGCACTCCAAAACCACCTACCATGAAGCTCTTCGGCCTCGTCGCTTTCGCCCTTTTCGGCTTCACGATGGCCAACCCTGTTCCTGAGGCTGAGGTGTGTTCAACATTTATCCATCACCAAATCCTTGGGACGATTTGCTGATCGTTGTCGTGATCTAGGCCAAGGAACTGCACGCCCGTCAATGTCCGGGTCCTTGCCCCGTTGGAACTTGCTGCATTCCAGGTCCAAATGGTTTCAACCAGTGCATGGGCTGTGGTGCTTAGATCGAGGCCTATGACCTTGACAATAAGGGTAGGTGTCTGGAGTGTGCAGTCTGTTACCTGCATGACGAGAGACAAATGCTGATAGGAAACAGGCTTGAGAGAATGGTGGAGCGGGACGTCTTTTTCTCGGACTTCAAAGTCAGATGTCAGGCTTGGAACGTATCAGACGTCGAGTCTATTGATTGAAGAATGATAACGAACTCATCCGACAAAGATTTCAGCTGCGTCTCTCGTTGCGGACCAGCCTCTTGACATCAGCATCAACATCGACAACCCACCGCCTCGCTCCCATCCAATCCCTTCCACTCACTCCTTAAACTTGCCCACGATACACTGCTTCACAAGCTCCTGATCCGTCCACGCACTCCCACTCAACGTCGGCGTCTCACTCAACTCATAACTGACATTAAACTTCCCCGCCGCCCAACCCACCCACCCAAGAAAGACATCACTATAACTATTCATCGTATCAAACTGCTCACACAACATCGTCAAACAAGAAGCATCACTCGCCCCACCGCCCGTCTCCGTCAAAATCGCCTTCCGGCCCTCCGTCCGCAACCAATCGCCCAGCTTCTCGAACGCGTCGACGTTGTTCGTCGTGCAGGTCGTGTGCGTCCCGCTGCCGTCCGAGTCGAGGTACGTGTGCACGTCGAAGATGAGGTTGTGGGTGGTGCCGTCGACGTTTTTGATCTTGGAGAGGGCCGCACCGGAGCCGTTGTCGATGAAGGCCGAGACGTGCGTCCAGTCATTGCCTGGGAGGAGGATGGCGTGGGTGGGGTGGTAGGCGCCGGCTTTGCGGATGGCGGTTACGGCGGCTTGGACGGTGGTGGCCCAGGTTGTTATGTCGACGTCGTGCTGGTGATGCGTTAGGGGGTTTGTGTCGTGGGCAGGTGGTACTTACGGGTTCGTTCATGACGCCGAAGGCAACCTTTGGGTTATTCTTATACTTGCTCGCGATCTGAGACCACAACGAAGCAAACTGAGTATCCGTCGGACCTCCCTGTCCCACAATATTGCCATTCCAGCGAGCATAGTTGTGCAAATCGATGATACACATCGTCGCGGTGGTATTCAAACACCCCTGAACAAGCTTGTCGTACGTAGCAAAATTCGTCGAGTCCAAGGTGCCTCCAAGGTTTCCGTTGAGCAGGTACTGCCAGCTGACCGGCAGACGGAAGACGTTCAGGCCGTCGTCGTTGGTGAAGTGCTGCATCTGAGCAATTCCATCGGAGCCGGGGTCGACGGCGCTGGACACGGTGCAGCCTCCAGAGGTATCCGTGCCGAAGTCGAGGCCGGCGATGTTGATGCCTGCGTATTGAACTTTGGCGACGGCAGAACTAGCTGCTGCGGCCAAAGTAAAGAATGAGGTCTTCATGATGAAAGTAAGGGAGCGTGAAAAGAGTGGCACGCTCACGAAAGGAGTAGGAAACGAATGAAGTTCTTGACAAGCAAGAAGAAGGAAGGCTTGGGTAGCCAAGAGAGAAAGGCCACGAGGTGAAGCTTATACTCACCTGCCGGTGTTGCAGACTCGTGTAGCGGAGAGGCTTGACAAATCGATCCGAGATGGTGTGTTATGTGAAGCACTTTGGCGTTTAGTCCAGTGGCCGCTGGTGCGAGATAGATTGCTTTGAGGACGCTTGTGTTCGGTAAGCACTGTATCGAGCCTTGTATGCCGAGTGAGTGTTTTTGGAGTACGTTACTCCTTTGTCAGAAGACATCCAGCATGCACTCCATATGCCCGTCTTACCAAAGCACTCGGATGGCTCGTCGTTAGACATTCGAAATCACCGGCATGCGATCGAGGAAAGACGAGATCTCCGCGTTGAGTACACTGTCGTCAAAAGTGCTTTAAGTGCTTCCAATCCTCCGGAGAAATTTCTTGCTTCCATATGCAAAGCAATCAAAACGTCGTGCGCCTTTGACGTTTCACCTGAGGCCACTAAACCGGTACGCGAGCGCCATGATGTTGAGACCCCTGCGTCGATCATACACAGTGATCTAGACCATCGCCGTGAGCACGAGACGCCATAAGGCTGGTGACAAGACTCGTGAAGTCTTGTAAGAACAAAGATGTTGTGAAGATTTGTCGATGAACAATGCTTTTAGATTCCACACACTCACGGAGGAGGATTCAAATCCAAGCCATCAACCGTCAAATGAAACGCATCATTCCGCGAATAACTCCCCGCCACATCCAGATCCAACCGTCCTCTCTCGCAGTCCTCAAAATCACACTCCTGGATCAACAGCCCACCATCTTCGACCTCCCACAGCGGGCCCGCGAGTGCCTGGCCCATGGGACCGCAGATGCAAGAGCCGCCGCGACAGACGAATTCCTCGCCGTCCTGTGAGGTACCATTGATGCTGGAGGTGGTTGGTGCGGTGGCCTTGGTGGAGACGGTAGACTCGGAGGAGTCAGGCAGGACGAGCTCGTGTTCTTTGACGGTATACGTCGACCTTCTCCTGCCATGCCCCGCCGAGAAAGGCCCATTCGCCAGCGCAGTCTCAGGCTGCGAGTCCTGCAACCCCGTAATCCAACCGGGTAAATTCTTCTTCCTCACGCAAGAAATGGCACTCAGAACAAAACACCTCCCTTCCGCTCCCACGGTCCTCATCAACGGATGCCACGTATCCCTCGCGTCCGCCGTCGGGGCGAGCCAGAGGTTGACATTCTGGCTGTAAAGTGAATAGCGAAGTAACGGCATCATGTTTTCCCAGCAGATCGCGCTCGCCATGGTGAGTTTGACGCCTCGAATCGTCGTCGTGACGGCCTTGAGCGTGCTCGGCGAGCCCTGTCCCCAGACCAACCTCTCGCTGCCCGTGGGCATGACCTTCCTCCTCTTGCCCAAGACGCCCAGCTTCGGACAGACGTACACAACAGCACAGTATAACGTCCCGCCGCTCTTCTCCACCAACCCCGTCACAACAAACACCCCCGTCTCCCTCGCGACTCTCTCCAAAAACTCCCTCGTGCCATCCCCTCTATACTCCGCCCCCTTCGCAACAGGCAGTCTCCTCTCAACCCAGTCCTCTCCAGCTCCCAAAGGTGTGTCGCCAAGATCCACCGCCGACTGGAAATACTGCCGGAACTGCTCTCGTCCCTCATCAGAGCGTCCTCCCACCGCTGCCCCAAAAGCACATGTTCGCGGGTACCCGCCGAGGAACGCTTCGGGGAAGAGGATGAGGTCAACGTGCTTGGAGGCCGCGAGACGTGTGGTTTGTTCGAGGGAGTGGAGGGTTTCTTTGAGGGTGGGGAGGGTGCGGGACTGCGAGGCGGCGAGGAGGAGGGTTTGTGGCATTGTGAGAAGTCTGTTTGGTTTGTTAATGGTTATGTTGGGGAGGAAGACATGAGCTGAGTGGTTTTATAGGTAGTGAGATGGGAGGAATGGGGTGAGGTGGTATTGTCTTGTAACAAGCTCCACCACACCTCCGCCTTCGAACCCCACTTTTTCACCTCACGCCCTTTGTAGCATTGTTTTTTTTAGTCGAGGCGAACGAACCGACCTAACCGACCTCATGCTGGGAACGGACGACGCTGAACGCAGGTTGATGTTAAAGACACGGAAGTTGAAGGTGGTAGGAGATCCTAATTGGACCCTCGTCGCCGTTCCCTAAAAAGGCAGTGCAAGCGAACGCATATCACGGCTTCACCTTCATGTGCAGCTAACGAGAGCGTTGTACAAAAAACTGCGTTTGCCGTCATAAGAGGTGGTAGCTATAAGCTTACATAGCAGAGACAAGAAAGGAGTCCCACCTCCGTCCTCCGAGCGAACAACTCCTTCTTTCCTTCCCTCCCTCTTAACAAGTCTCCTCCTCCTGCTCGCACAATCAAACAATCTCAAGGTCGTGAAGCTGGCTTGGAAGTCGAAACAAAAAGCGTTCGCCCTCCTTCAAAAAGCATGTCCAAGAAGCATAAAAAAGTATGCATCCATGGCTGCGTGTAATCACCGTGCGCCGGAAGAGAAATTCCCTTTCGCCGTTCATTCTTTGCGCCTTGCTTTGCCCTTTCACACGCCATTTGAGGCGAATCCTTTTTCACACACTCCATAGCTCCGAGCCGGGTACAATTGAACAACTCCGTTTTCGATGCGCTGGCGGACAATGCGCGCCTGTGTTTGTGACAAGATGATAGGAACGTAGATGAGATCCTTTGAGTGGATGGCCGCGAGCTGCGTGCCGTGCGTCGGTCGTTACTGTAGATCTAGTTTATTTTCGAGTCCTCTTTAGACGACGATGGATCAACGCTAAGTATGTTTGTCAGCCGAAATCTTCAAAAGATTTACCTTCAACTTACTCTGCCTCTCCGGTTGTTTCCCCCCATCTGTCCTTGCATTTGGCCTTGAGGGTAGAACTGTGGCATCTGAAACTGCCCATAGCCGTTCATGCCGCCGTTCATACCCATCATCGGATTGCCAAAGCCCTGCTGCTGATATCCAGTCTGCATTCCCATGCCTGGCGGGACCATTGGCGAGCCGTTGATGTTTTGCCGGTAAGGATCCATCATCTGCGGTGCAGGGGAGCCAGTACCAAAGGCCATTCCGTTCGGCATACCGCCAACAGGAGTCATGCCACCAGGGCTGCCACCATAGAAACCTGGTGGCCGTCTAATTTGTCCTTGAAGCATCGCTTGCTGGTACTGAACGGGGTTGATCGGACTAATGCCGGCATTGGACATGGCAGGGCTATGGGTGTATTGCTGGACGTAGGGGTCGAAACTGTTGGAATCCATGCTGATGGTGCGTTGAAGGTTGGGACTGATGCTTTGCTCGATCTGCGTCTGCTGCGGCACCATGTTGCCGTATGGCGACCGACCATATGCATTCTGGTTTGTATCGAGATGCGGCAGATGGCCGTTCATTGGCCTGGTCTTCGAATTCGAGCGGCCATCGTGGCTGACTGGAGTTCCCCCATGGCGAGTGGACAGGCCAACCTCGTCCATCAGACGCTTGTATCCCTGGGAGGGTTGCGCCTTGATGCGGAGGAGAACGTTGCGTACATTTTCCAAACACTCTGGGCGAATGCTCTCGTCCAGAAAAGGAGTGGTAAGAACCTTGAAGATCAAAGTCGCTCCACATGAGTGGTCGCTGACGATATCGGTAAGAGTCTGCTCGTCGAAGAAGAGAGCACGTAGAATGCTGTCCCGTGCGTCGTTCTCGTTTCGTTGGTTGATAATTTTTAATACAGTCAAGTAAGCAACTTTGTGGGTGCACAGGTGTACAAGGTGAGGAATCAATCTTGGTGCTAGTACAGAACGGCGTCTGGGGAAGGTGCAAGTGTCCAGGAACCAGGTCAAAAGGAGGGCGCCGTTGGAGTTCGTAGCAAGCTGAACGCTGTGGAGAGCGATGGCTGCAGCCATCAGTCTCTTCTGGTCGGTAGTGGCGAAGTGGCTCTCAAGGCATGCACGCATGGCGCGAGCGCCGAATCGGCCTTGAGCAACATCCCACAGTCTGTTCAGCATCGTGTCGAAGATGAAGTTGTTGAGAGGAGCCTGGAACCGCAGGCAACACTGCATAACGTAGTTGCCGTATTGGTCCAGGAAAAGGTTCACGCCATGAGGCTTGAGAGCGTCCACAATCATGTGCATCTGGCTGGGAGTCCTGGCCACATCGATGATCTTCTGAGCAGCCCAGGTACCGTTCTTGTGCACACCGATTTCTGCCAAGTGTGGTGCAATCTCAGCGAGCATGGCCTCCTTGGTCTCTTCGGAGCAGTGCTCGAACAGCTTCTGCACTACCGTGTTGCCCAGGTAGTCGGATGACAGCTCGGCAATCTCTGGCAGCATGTCCATGGCAATGTTCTCAATCTCCATCGGCGAGCACGAGTTGTTATCGATTCGTTTGCGGATTTCTCGCAGCCTCGGCGCATCGTGAACGCGGCTATGATTGGGCTCTGGGATTGTCGAGATTTCGGAAGCGTGACCATCGTAGCTCATCGCATCCTCCAGGCTTGCAGCAATGCGTGTCTGATCGTCCTGTGCTGCACCAAATTGCTGAACAATGCTGAAGATCTCTTCGCGCAGGTCCATCAAGTTGGGCGTAACCAGAGCGGCCGCAGCTGTCTCGGCATTGATGTTACCACCAGGTGCAGCACCACCACCAGCCATGGAGCTGTCGATGCGAGATTTCGATACGAATGGATCAGGACTCGGCGATGGGTAGGCACCATTGGCTCCAGGCGTATTCGATGCGCTCTGCTCCTTCGCGAACCCAATCCTGATTGGGCCACACCCTGGGAAGATCTCTTTGCCATTGCATTGTGCCTTGGCTGCAATCGCACTCTGCACATTCTCGAAGTTGACGAAGCCACAGCTCTTGTGTGTCAAAACTCGTACAAACTCAATCGGTCCAAAATGGCAAAAAATGTGGTTCAGTGAGGAGACAGTGGTCGACGAAGGGATGTTCCCCAACCATAGAGCCCTGGTGGGCGCTTCCAAGCTGGCGTCCATTCCTGGCTCATGTGGCGCTTTCTTGTTGAGGTTCATGTTTTGAACGGCAGACGCAAGTCCACTGAACTCAGATCCATCGTTGCTTTGCAAGTCTGCTGCAGTGATACTGTTGTCCAGACGGGATGGCGTGGGCATGTAGTTTCGCAGTACTCGAGACGACGGCGAATCCAAAACACCCGCAGTCCTTGCTCTCGGACGATTCGCACTTGCAAAGTTTGCAAATGCCTGAACCTCAAGGTTGTGTTGGCGGACGGCTTCGTGGATGGCAGCCGCCTGCGCAGCCGTTTCAACATTCGGCGTCAGCGTGCCAGAGTATAACTGCTGTTGAAGAGCCTCGTACTCGTCCAAGTCGTCGTCTGGAGCATCCGCGTACTTCTCCTTGGCGTTCACAGAGTATGATCGGAATCGATTTGCCGTGTTCTTATTGTTGAAAGCGTTCAACGCGGCCAAATCAGCAATGGTCACGCCTCCAGCGCCATTCAGTCGTTGCTGTCCTCCAAGCAGATCCATGCCGTTTCTACCAGACTGTGGTGTGTCGACGAGGCCCAAGTAGTCCAAAGTCCTCACATCATTGTCTGCCGGCGACTGATTTGGCGAGGATGGTCCATCTGACGACCGGATACTTTGCAAAGTACTCGCACGATCTCTTCCTGACATCCAGTTGCTGGCGAACAGCGAGCTACCAAACGGGCTCGACGCGTTCAAAAGACTTGCTCGCTGTGGCATCGACCCAGCTCTTAAACGTGAAAGTAGGGCGGCATTACTAGCAGGTGGGGCACCAGCGGCAGCTTGCTGATCAGCCAGAGAAGGCGAGCCGCTGCCACCTTGATACGGACTAGAAGATGGCGTTGGGCCACGGGATTTCGAGAATAAAGAATTCTGGGAGCTGTTGAGCGAGCCCATGACTGGGAATCGTGAAGGTACGGTGCCGGCTCGAGTACGTCGGACGGAATTCGATGCTGAAAGCGAGCCTGGACTGCCGCCACCTATTTGGCCGGCGTCGAAGTCGGGGAAGCTGTCGCTTCCTGGGGATTCGGGGATGGTCTCTCTGAGCGGTGTTGAATGTCCACTGCCAGTGGTGGGTGGGCCCCAGATCTGCGGTGACAGTCCTTCTTGTGCCTGTATCTCTCGTGCACTGCCATCTGTCAGTATCTCTCCTTTCCACCTCATCTCACACCACTTACCGCTTGGGGAACAAGCGACTACCGTATTCTTTGGATGGAGAGCCTGCTCCAGCTCGTCCAGTGCCCGCCTGGTTGCTGTTGTTCCCTAAACCATTGCCAAAGGGATAGCGTGAGCCTGACCCGGCAGGCGGTTCGATGGGAGAGTTGGCCTGTGACGTGTTTGCGGAGCGAGTCTGGCCCATGGTGATGGGAGGCAGGCCCTCGAGATTGAGCTTGTAGTCGGGGCGAGTCGCAGGAGCCATTATCAATTAGGGTTTGAAGATGTGTTTCGCAGCCCAAAGGAGTGTGGGTAGACTGTGCAACAGTCGAAATGTACAAGGTGGTGGAGCGTCCGTCGAGGCGCTGTCAAGGCCTGCTTGTCATGTGTTGTTTTCTTCCACCGCCGGCCAGCTCGGCGAGGAGCAGCAGTGCTATCTCAGCGAGACGTCGATGGCACGGCGTCTGGTCTCTTTCCCACAGCGTGCGTCGGCGGCGGCAGAGCGTCTGGAATGCGGCGGCAGCTCACGTGGAGGGGGCGGATGTCCGACGGCCCCTGTTTGAGACGGTGGTAAAGGCGACGTCGCAGCGATGAGACCCGCAGAGTTTCAATGGGGATGAAGGAGGGCGTGGAGCGAGGAAGACCGCTGGCGTAAGCGTGTGGACGGGCGATTAAGCTTCACAGCGTCGGGTGCGGTTCGATCTCAGGAATAGACAGGACTCGCGGCGGTAGCACACGGGGCTGCGCGGGCCTGGAGAAGAAGAGGGAGGGCGGCGGCGCTGTGTCAGCCGTGGCAGACGCCCAAGTCGTCCAAGGGCGGGCAGCGGTGGTCAATCAACAATACGGTGATGGGGGAGAGATGAGGGAGGGTCGACAAGTGTGCTCGGTCGGTGGTGCGAGGAAAGGCGGCGGCGGCTCTCGTCGAGCATCAGCGAAGTCAGTTCTGGTGCTTGCCCCATGTGCAAGTGGCCGGACGGCTGGGCTTGGCAATGACTTGAGGCGGGTGCGCTACGTCTCGCTTCAGCGCCGGGTTCGTGTTTCAGAGTGCACGGCGCGATCGAGGCGAGAACAGAGAAACCGACAACAACAACGTGAAAAGATTCTTCACCGCGACTCATCCACGTCCCCAAGTCTCCCCTCCTGCGCAATATGTGCGCCGCGTAGTAGGATTGGCTGCAAATTATTCGGGTCGCCTCCTGAGGACTGCGCGTGCCAGGGATTCGCAGACTGCCGATTCGCTGCGCCTGCTGCGTAGGGCTGGACAATGGTGCGACATGCCGCAGGGAGAGCGCCTATAGCTTGGGTGCGTGTGTCGCCAGCAGTCGTGTGATGGCTTGCTCGATCAAGTCGGTCCCTGACTGGCAGTCTACATCCAACCTGAGGTGCTTGCTAAACCACAGCATTAATCACGACAGCGGCCGGTATCTCGCATATCGCCTGAGCGATGCTGGGCGTGATATGGATGCTGAAACGTCAAGTCTTCACAGAGAGATGTGCTCACACTTACGTTAGAAGACGACGGTAAGAAGACGTGGCGTCGAAACAAGCGTGCCACGAGGTCAATGATCAATACAATAGCGCAGTCTGGAGAAGGCAGCAACCCACTCGCGCCTTCCTAAACTACATGATAAGCACGTGTTATCTTACTGGTATCTCCCAACCACCGTAATGCTAACAAGGCTGTGCGCCTGCGAAATCTCGTCTATTTGTTCCACATGCAGATTGGAAAAGAAATTCGTAACATTCATTATGACTGCTCGTTCCTCGAGCGTAGACCCATCTTCGCGCCAACGTGCCGTACCGCATCACTGACAGCGTTGACGATGGGGACTCGACCTCGTTCTGCGGGTGCTTCGTGCAGGGCTTCGTCGTGCGCGGCGTCTGTGGCGGCGTCCTCGTCGAAGTAGACTACCAATTGAATTAGTATACGCCGAGCAGTAGTCGAAGGGGTTGATACTCACGGTGTGGCCGAATAAACCAGCTGACGATAAACGCCAACCCAAACGTCGAACACAAACATACGAAGACCGTCTGCCTGAAGCTGTGCACCGTGGCAGAGTAGATGGCATTGAAGACAGCCGGCGCCACAACTCTCGCGAGAGCATGCAGCAGACCAACCGCTCCCAATAGCTGGCCTGTCTTTTCCACGGGGATGTGCTTCGTGAGGGATGATTGCAAAGTGGGCGATCCAATCCCACCCATCGAAGCAACCACACCAGAGAGAACGAATGGCAGGCCGGATCTGGAAAGCGTGTAGCCCAAGTATCCGATGACATCGAAGAGAATGGCGACACGGATGACAGCCAGGTCAAACCGGTCACATCCATGGCTCTTGTGGTTGTGTGGGTCGGGTTTGCCACGGACGAGACGTGTGACTGCTGGGAGGATGACCAGCAAGCAGAACACTCGACAACTGTTGACTATCGTCATGAAGCGTCCCGACTCAAAAGTCTTCCAGCCGAACTGGATGTTCATATAGATGACGACCACCGTCAAGCTGCCCATAGCAACGCCAAAGACAATGGTGTCAACCGCCGACAATACCAGCAGGTTTCGTCGCAGAGCTGGGCTGCTTCCAGGGCCAGTAGGTCGCAGAATCTTGAGCGGCTCCAAAAGATTGACGGATCGCAGTCTGTTGACCATATCCCATTCAGGCCCTCGCAACGAATCCATGAGCTCGTGCTTCTCCCTCGCAAGTTGCTGCCTCTTCTTCGACAGCGATTCCGGCACGAGGATCGTCACGAATAGCACAAACACCACATGCACCGCCGTGAGGATGTAGAAGACTGTCACAATCTGGCCCGTCCATTCCACGATGTACCCTGCGATGATCGGTCCCAGCGCCAAACCCGTGAACAGACATCCATGGAAGTATCCAAACGCAACATTCCTTCGACTCGGTGGCGTGCAGTCCGTAGCATACGCATTCGACATGGACATGGCCACGATAAACGATCCCGTCAACCCATCGAAAGCGTAGCTGAGCAACAACACCGGCACAGGGAACGTCTGCGGATACTTCGCGGCAAAGATCGTAATCACCTCACCCGCAATTGTGCCCACACTCGTAGCAATCAACACCGGTTTCCGTCCATACCTGTCAGAAAGAGCCCCCAGCCTAGGACTCATAATGGCCGCCAAAATCCCAGAGATCAAATTCCCCCACAGCGTGAACTGCGCAACCCGCGATTGCACATCATCAATGCGACATTGGTCATTATCCCCATTGTTAAAATCCACAGGAATCATCGTGAACCCCGGCTCGTTGATCACCCGCTCGGAGAAGTACTCGCGACAGATGAGCTCGAGGATCAAGTTCAACTTGGGCGTCACGATTCCTCCAAACGCGCACGCCATGATGAAGAACGGGCCGATGACCCAGAAGATCGAGGGGCGTTTGTACCACGGGAGATGCTCGAAATCGATGCTGCCCGGCCATGACGGCCGTCTGTCTTCCTCTTCCTCGCCATTACTCCTGGATCGTTCTAACAAAGGCGACTCTTCATCCGCGTCGTTATCTCCTTGCTCTTCAGGCGATGCTTTCACTCTCACGCCTCCCTTCGAAACCCTCGCGGCTGGCTCGCCCCGGTGGAGTTTATCCCGTTGTTGTTCGCGCTGCAGCGCTTCGGCGTCGAGATCGATCTCAGCTTCGATGATAGCGTCGGCAGTATCCATGGCGAAAGGTCATCCAATGATCCCCAGCGTGAAGGTCAAAAATCCGAGCCAGCGGACCAACATAGACTTTCAACGGAAGCAAAAGGCGTGGAGGATCGAGTTTCCTTTGTTCCTCAGACTCGTGGCAACCATCCAAATGTTTATAGGTTGCAATCCAATCCAATCCCCGATATTTCCTATCGCGCAAGCTCGCGTGCGGGTGACGTCGTCGTTTTGGCGAAATCCACCCCTGTCGCTGGCGGGAGGTAGCTTTATCAACCAACGAACAACAATAATTAAACGAGAGAGAGGCAGAGAGCAGGTGACAGAGATAAGAGGAATGCGCGAAACTAGAAACAGGAACATGGGACCTAACCACCTTTTGGCTCGCCTCCATAGCGGCAGCGGCAGGAAGTAGCTCCGGCGGAGAGTTGTGTGTCTGTGCAGTCTGGGTGGTGTTGTTGTTGGGTGCTTGCTAATCTAGATCGAGGATCGTGGACCAGCACCAAAAAGCATCGAACAAGTCCGAGCTGGGATGAGCCCGCCGCGGAACGCACTCCCTCTCCCACATCCCATCATCATCCACCACCACGATGGCTCTTTCTCACCCACGCGGAGCTTGAATTCAGAAAGGCCAAAGTCTGGGCGTCTCGAAACACTCTCCCACGACAAAGATCCTACGCTCCCCGCTGTCCGAACTCCCCTATTCGCCCACACGTCCAATCCTCCACTCCTCGCCCTCCTCACGATTCGTTCCACGTAACAGCAGAGTCCACGAAATCTAGACGCTTACGAGGCGCCTCAAACCAGCTTTCCCACAGCAATTGCTTCAAATCTTGATGCCTGCCTGCAGTTATGATCCTTACACTGCTTCGTACATTGATTGCCGGTCTTGCAACTCCGCGACCAAGCTTCGTGGACCTCTCGTCCGCGTGTGCATTGCATCAACGATCTGCCTTCGCCGTCGATTCTATGCATTAGCGCACGGCGTCCGGCGACTGCGAGGTGACCGATTCGCCGACATTCACCGTCGACTTCACCTCTCTGTCTGAGTCTTCGCCGAGCGCATTCCTTCTTTGTGCGTGTGTGATGAGAGAGCGCGAAGAGAGTTCCTTTTCCAGCTCCCCTTACCATAATCCTCGTTATCCCAGCTGTGTGCTTGGGAGCTCTCCCTTGTTCTTGTCACAGCTATCTCATCCCAGTAGTTACAACCCATCTCAGGAGAACCTAGACCACGGGAACCCGTTCCACGGTTCCACGGGCTGACGACCGAGTCCTGCCCGTGGTGTGACTTTGTGACAGGTCCCCGGGTTCCTCTGCTATGCCTGGTCCTTTTCGCCAAGGGCTGGTCTGGATTCAGTAAATGGCTGACCAAACTTTTCATTTCGCGAAGCACTTATTCGTCGCTGGTGATATTCACTTTTGCATGGCCTTGTGGTCCGCTGGAGAACTTTGAAAAGGCCATGCGGTCGACTGCAAGCGCTCTTCGCGGCTGTGGCGGCGGGCGCAATCGACATGTGATGCACTTTCTTACTGGCGTAGATTTTGCGAGTTGCACAGCAAGCCGAGAAGTGAAGGTGTTGCCGCTGAGCTCTTGGACAAGAAGCAGAACATACCACAAGACCCGTCTGGACGAAGCCTCGATCCTCCATTCCCACGCATAAACACCCATGCAGTAGTCAGCAGATGTCAAAATAAAGTGGTTGTCCCACGTGGAATGATTATGCTCTTCGGGCTCGGCTTCCAGCAGCTTGACCGGTTACCGACCTCTTTGCTTGCGTTAAACGCTCTACTGATCCGCCCGGATTGAACATAATCTCATGCGATGCCGAATCTCTATAGTTACTCGCATCGTCCTAGCTGGGAGTGGCTGCTGTTGCTGTGTTGTTCCAATTATCAAATGGCCGCTGAACAGGTCGTTAATCTTTCGGGATCAGTCCACTGGATTGACTGAACGCACAACTTGAGGATCCGCGGGCTCGATCCCCGCGTGTTCTCCCTGAGACGCTGGCTACGACGTCGATGAGAGTGTGTTTGTTGTGCGGCGCTCCGCTGGGATCTCGCCGGAGTCTGAACTCAACGTGAGCGACGCTCACACAAGCACGGCGGGCAGACGCAATGGCTGCTGCGATGGCATCTAAAGCTGTACATTGCAGCTTGATGGCACTGCACCTTTGATCATCGGATATTATGGCACTAGTCGCTGTGGAGATGATGTCCACAATGGCGCATCGAGAGGCTGCGTCGCAGAGCTATTCCACAAGATACTCGGTTTCTTTCTTGTACTGTTCGTCGCGGCCAGTGGGTTTTGCACGATGGGGAGCCATGTTTTTCTTTTGTTTCTGGCCAGATCGGAAGAGCGCTACCGTCCACGGCTGGGAGTGAGAAAAAGAACAGATGATTTCCTTCTTCATCAGTAACTCTCAGTCGTCTTCTCGTAGCGTTGCAACTTACCCCTTGACTCCCGGTCTCGATCTCTATTCGTGCTGCATGGTCCACGCGTGGCACGGCAAGAGCGTGCCCGCAACCGCTATGTTCTCCCATAACCAAGTTGGCAGTGTTGTTGAGCGCGATAATAATACCAAGTGCTAGAGGAGAAACAGAAAGATGGAACAGTGAAGTCCCCGCCAAATAGCCGAGGATTCGCCGCTGCTGTTCACTCCCGCGGTCTTCTTCCAAAGCTGGTCATCAACGAACAACGACAACAACCCATCGTAACTGGAAATCACAGATCCAACGAACCGCACCTCCTCAACAACCAAATCCACCCCAACCACCCAAAATGTCCAACAACTCCAAACAAGAAATCATGGACCAAGTCCGCCAACAAGCCGCCCTCGCCAACGCCCGGTTACTCGTAGAAGTACGTCCACCGTCCATCCCTCCACCTCCCCTTCCCAAACCCTCACTGACACGTCTTTCTGTTACTAGAAAATCAACGAACACTGCTTCGAGCGCTGCATCCCCAAACCCGGATCCTCGATGGCCTCGGCGGAAACGACGTGCTTGAACCACTGCATGGAGAAGTACATGGCGAGTTGGAATACGGTGTCGAAGCAGTATTTGGGGCATATTCAGAAGGGGGTGGGGAGTGGGCAGAGTTTTGGGGGACTTTGAAGGAGGAGTAGTGTATGGTGATGGACTTGCGCATGAGAGGGGGAGGTTTTTGGAAAGAGCTTGTGTACGATGAGGTGTGGGGGGAAGAGCATTGCATTGCAAGGCGTTCTGGATATGGAGGGATTGTTGAGTCGTAAGAGGCTACGGTATCATTACGGCAGAGGAAGATGTGGATGAGATTCGTGGAGATGAAAGCTCTCATCTTGTACACTATATCAGTGCCTACGAAGAGGCTACGCGCAGGGATAGAAAGGCCACCTGTATCATAGAATCCATGCTCCGCCCAAATGCAGCAAATACGGCTGATGCTAGAACGCTTCAAAACATCGTGGGAGATCATTTCTGAATAGGACTCGCTTGCGCGGCGATACCCTTCGCGGGTGGAGGAGTGAGAGGTGTTCTCTGGCGCTCGGCGTACTCCTTCACGATGATGCTGCAGCTGACTTCCTGGCACAATTTCTTTCTCCGTGCTGGAGGGAGCAGGCTGGCAAACTCCAGCCCAGACGCTCTCTCAACTGCTTCGACGGGAACTTCGAAGTCTTGAAGTGGCTTATCGTTCGGAATGCGGTCGTTGGGCAGAACGAATGCTCCCAAACTGACCTTCCCACCAGTCTTGCCATCCTCTGCAAAGACCACCTTGTAGAAGTGCGTTGGCACTGCAACATTGGGTGGGTGGCCGACGACTTCGTACGAGACACGCCATTTGCCGTCAACGGGGTCACGCTTTGGCAAATAGAGCGGCCCAGTGACGATCCGTACAGACGGATAGAAAGACGTCAACCGCCGACAAAAGTCCTCGAAATGTGCCCAGTAGTCTCGATTGAATCCATCGCCAACCTGCGGACACATGTTGGACAAGGCAAACGTAGAGTCCATCGCTTCCTGACTCCACTTCGCATCCGCTGCTGGGACTTGATGTCCGCGATCATAGCCTGATCGGAAGTAGTCCTTCAGCTTCGCTCTGAACTTCTCGGGTATGCTCTCGTCTTCCGCGAAGTATGAATGTCTTCTGTCTCCTCCGGTCATGAGCAGGCTTGCGGGTGTGATGTGTTCGGCTACCCAGTGTGGGTTTCTTGTGGTTCGGTTGAAGGATGATGTGAGCGAACATGCGTTTCGTATATCGGAGACTGGTCCTGGAAAGCCATATTGGAAGACTCCAGCGGGGTCAACCGGCGGTTGGAGGGGGACTGCGTTACGAGGCAGCGGTACAGGGGCAGGCGGCGGAGGCGTCGTCCGTGTCGCGCCCGGATTCGAGACTGTCGTCGTCGTCGTAGCGATGGTTGACGCCGACGACTCTTTCTTGCTTCCGATGCCGTACAGAGCGGCAGTGGTGGCAGCGCCAACGGCCGCAGAGGCTCCAGCAACAACGGCGATGGTGAACTTGGACATGGCTGCAGATGGCGGTGGCATTCACAGACGACACGAAACGGTGCGGTGGGAAGGCACCGCTTTATGGGTGTCGTCCTCGTCTGCTGCTGCTGCTGGCTCAGACAGTCATGTGCAGAGGTCATTCACATCGACTTTCTTTAGACGCGAGGCAGGCGCGTGAAAGCGGCCAATCAACGCGGAGATGTGGGGGTCGTGCCCCTGCGGGTGCGACAACACCTTCACTTGACCTTCTTCCTCTGCATCCTCTCGTTAACAACATCAACACTCTTATTATTCAGTGAATCAGAAACTACATCAAAATGCTGTGTGTACTGAGTCACCAAAAAGCGCCAAAACTTACGACCGATTGAGACATAGACCACTCCAGCCGTTCACGCGATCAACAGGTTTTCGTTGGCGACGATGATTCCACAGCCTGTCCACGAGAAGATTGCGACCGAGACATTCGCACGATAGCCTAGGCATTCTGCCATAGACTTGGACGGTATCTACACGTTAACGTTCTAGGCATTGCATTTACAAGCCACAATCATCTCCATTGCCCAATGTCTGCTCTTCTATATTTATCCAGCCTTGTTGCAGTACCACCTCGCTGCCTTGCAAGGAGGGGTAGCTGTTCGCAGATTTAACAGGATATATATAATGGCTCTCCAGCTCAAGAGCCAGAGACAACTCAGATCAACTCTTGAGATAAGTCTTCATCTCGCCAAATTGATCCGAATCTCCTCCCGTCCCCACACCACGCACACCACCAGCAACAATGACCCTTCAAGAGCGCTTCAACGAACTAAACCGCCAAATGGCGCGCCATAAAGCCGAACAAGGAAACTGGGCCTCAAGGAAACAAACATGCATCGGGAACATCCAATCCCTGCAGAACCAAAACATCGACCCGAATAACCTCAACGGTCTGTCTCACATTAAAAACCTCACTTTCTTCAGAGCTGACGTAGTGAGTAGCACGCCACCGGCATCGCCATGAACTCACGGCGTGGCGGAATCGCCTCAATGAGGCCCGGGAGAAGTTGGCGGACCTGAATGACTTGATGAATCGGAAGCATGGGCAGATGCAGGAGATTCAGCAGAAGCTTAGCGCGCATCGCCGGCAGCAGCAGCCTCACCATCGTGGATGAGCTTTGGGGTGGCATTTCTTGCTCCGGCGATGTGGACGAGATGGCTGATCGGTATTTGAACAGGATGATCTGGTGGCAACAGTTAGGGTGCACTACCTACTGCTTCATAGCTAAATGCACCTTGTACGGTTCTACACTGCCATTTCCCCCAACCTTTCCATCTCCCGCCTCCTCGTAGAATCGATCAATCCTCTCCTTGTACAGGTCCAAAGAAGGCGCCCGCTGCACTGTTCCCTTCCCGGCCCTTCTTAATGGAACCTCAGGATCAGTCACCAGAACATGACTCCGCGCAATGCGACAATCTTCGGGATACATCTCGTTCGCCTCTCCTACGGCAGGCCAGATCCGCTCGACAAACTCCTCTCGCGATACGGTATCGTCTGCGGGCTCCACTAGTAATAACATCTGGTATCGGCCGGACCCGACCATCAGTGCAGCTGCGACGTCAGGCCGTCGAGAGATATGCTGCTCGGATTTGATGGGGTTGCTCATCAGTCCCGAAGCGGCATTGATCATATCGTCCGCCCGGCCTCGATACAGCCAAAGGCCTGGATCAGTCGGATGCGGGCTGAAGAGATCTTTCGTGCGGTATTCCATAAGTTCAGGAAAGAGATGAAACACCGGCTGTATCGTGCGCTCATCGCTATTCCTAACCAGAGTCGCTCCAAACATGTCCGTAATAGCAGTCGGCCGGAACTTCATATTCACCACCGGATGAAGTTGGATGTACTTCACATCCGCCGGCTTCCAGCCCTCCAGGGGTCGGATCAGGGGATACGGAGACGTCTCGGTCGACCCATTGAAGCCAGCGATGTTGACGCCGCGGGAGATCCAGGCGTTGACGCAGGCTTCGCTGACGTCGCCGCCGCCGTAGGTGACCATGCTGATGCTCTTGGTCACCGAATTCAGCATCTCGTCGCTCTTGGAGATCTGCTCCGCAAACGGGGCCGGTAGGTTCAGGACATCAATATCGACCAACTTGAGCGCTTCGACGATTCCTTGAGCCGTTGGGGGGACGCCTGCGAGAGGTATGACGTTTGTTTTCTGGTTGACGAGCGAGTCCATGAGGGTTATGAACATTGCACCGGCCTGTTTTGTCGTCAGAATGCAGCTTTTGTACGTAGCTTCGGGGCGGTTGGACTTACGTGAAAGAATGGAAAGGGTGTGAAGCATCGGCTTTTCCGTAAAAAGTTGACGGTGTTCTCACAGCCCGGGGGAGGTGGTTCTTGTGCCCACGCACTGTAGGCGGCTGCATAGGCATGCGTCCAGGTAATGAGCTTCGGCGTGCCGGTCGTGCCTGAAGTGTGCACCATCACGAGGGGCTCGTCCTTGGCGGATGCGAATGTTTTGGGATAGGGGAAATGCGAGGATTGTCTTTCCAAAAGCTCGAACGTCGTTGGGACGTGTATGATTTCGGGTTTCTGGGATGCACCTTCGAGGATGGTATGGACTGTAGGCGAATACGGTGGCGCTGGTGTCAGGACGTACTTGAAGCGTGTGATCTCCAGCAAAGCGGCATGGTCTTCTTTGGTATTGCGAGGAGACAGCGAGACAAGGGTATGCCCAGCCTTAACACACGCCAAAGTGTAGATAGGATATCCAATGTCGTTGGCCCCGACATGCGCCAGCACCTGGCGCTCTGCATTCTGGCCCAGCTTTTCAGTGAGTAACCAGGCTGCAAGGTTCACAGCACTTGCTAGATCGCGATACGCCACCCTTCGATACCCCTCGGAGTATGAAGTGTAGGATTTCGGAATGAATGCAAAGTCGCCATGTGGCTTGATGCTTGCCAGTCCATCCACGATATTGGGTAGTAGCTGTTTGGGGATGCTTGAGGCAGTCGGTGGCTGACTAGCACCTTCCGTGAACTGTAGGAAAGCCATACTGGAGAAACAAAGCTGAAAGTGTCGAGGGGAGTGTTTTCCGTCTGTTCCGGGTGGTCGTACTCGTACAAAAACGTGAACGAAGAACCCTATGCAAATCGTAACCTTTACTCAAGATGGATTAATGGCCATCCAAACAAGCTTGAATCCAAAAAGAAGGAAGGATCCTTTCGAGGAACGGGTGACGTCTATTCGAGGACGCAGCCTTGCGTCGATTGCCTATTTAGTTCAAAGATCGTCGTCGGACTTTCCCCGATGCTCTCCTAGGGTTATGTGGAATCACTTCTTACGCGTAAACTAAGTTAAGCTTGAGGTCTGCATGGTAAGCACCTTCAACGTTTTGTAATAAGTCATGCGAAGACTGCAGACACGTGCTATCCTGTTTCTGTTCACGAAGCCTTCAAGGTCGTTGCTCAAAATGTGAGCAGACTGGAGCTCTGCATATCATCCTGAGGAAACTCTGCAGACTTTCTAGGTTCACCACAACCACCTCGTCCAAGCCAAATGATCAATCAAGCCAAAGACCTCATCGCAGCCAACCCCTGCTCTGCCGTCACCGTCCTGCCCAGCAACCACCCCACACCAACCATCTGGTCGGCCACGGCTTTATTGCTCACATCCATACCCGGCATGAAAGCCGCATGTGCGTGCGGACATCCAGGATACAGGTCAATCTTCGTCGGAACACCAGCTTCCTTCAACATCTCCTCCCAGATCAGGCCGTCGTCACGCAGTGGGTCCCGGCCGTCGACTTGGATGTACGCTGGAGGCTGTTGTGCCAGTGGGGCTTTGGTGTATACTGGGAACCGCCAGGGGGAGGCTGGATCTTCCTGTAGAAGGATAGTCAGTACGGGGTTGTAAATGAATGTATGACTTCGAAACTACCCCTGTATACCCAGCAATTATCCGCAACGCATCCGTGGGCGAAATCGGATCTTCCTTGTTTTGCTCGTTCGCCAAAAAATAAGGTTGATACTTCTCCGGACAACCCTCCTTATTCATCAGGGACGGAACGTTGAGAAACTGCCCAGTAATGGGATTCGTGAGCTGGTGCTCAATGGCGTGTGTCGCAACTGCAGAGGCGCAGGTTCCACCGGCAGAAATGCCGCTGACGATGAAGCCGAGTTTGGGGTCCGCTCCGAGTTCAGTGGCGTGCGAGTCGAGCCATGCAACTGAGTCCCATGCGTCGTATTGGCTTGTGGGGAATTTGTGTTCTGGTGCTAGACAATATGCCTGTAAGAATCAGGAGTTAGCGTCGCGGAATCGTTGGGGCGGATGAGAGAGCTGTCTCGATGCGACTCCTCTACAAACGTTTCTCGAGGAAGACTCGATGGTAAGCTGCAAGACTGGCGGCACCCTTTCTCCAACGATCAACTTACAGGACAGACAACTGTCGCACCGAACAGCCTAGTCCAAGCACGAGCAAACGGCGTACCTTGGTCTACACTTCCAGTAATAAATCCACCACCGAAGAAGAAGACAATAAGCGGACTGCCAGCAGAAGGAGGATGTCTCGGCCGGTGGATCTTAATGGTACTCTGGAAACCGTCTCTCATAGGGATGGTTCTTGTTTCTTCTATGATCCCGGCTTCGGGCGGTTCCAGCATTGCACGTCCTTCTTCGCTGAGCACTATGCGGAGGGAAGGCTGTTAGCTACGTCTGTTGCAAAGGGAAAGGTTTTCAAGATTTTACCAAAGCTATCCATTCTCTCCCGGAAACTGTCGACGGTCAGCTGCGAGAAAGTCTTCTGACGCTTGCTTTTGCTCACCCTTTCAAATCACCCCAATCCATCGGCGGACTCGGGTTAGCCTTCGCGAACTGGGGCGTGGAAGTCAGCAGAGTGATTCAGGGACAAGAGCAAGGGACTCGATACTTCTAGGACTTCTGGATGAATCTCAGTCGTCTTCCTCAAAGTCTCAGCGTCTAACAACATCTTGGCGAAAATTCAGTTCTGTTCTCGTAGACTAGGAACGAAAGGCGATGTTGCAATTGCGGGCAAGATTTACTAGACGAGTAAAAATCGGTCGCTGACTCGACGAGTCTCGATGCTTGGACCTTATAACACGAAGAACCGATAGTAAGTTGCTATCTCACGAGTGATATGTAGTCTCAATTATCCCAGCCTTGTCGATGAGAAAGCAAACTAAATCCGGGAAACTAGATCCAGTAAGATATTCCAAAATCTAGAGCATGTACCGCGGGTTTTCGGGCTTCGCTGTCTATCCGTGATCCGTACAGCACCGTCTAGCCTGTTCCAAAGACCTTTTACTCTGACAACTGCAAAACAAAGGATGGAACAAGCCCAATTCGTGCGAAGATTGGTCCTTGATCGAAACTTAGTAGAGCTAGCCCTCTAGCACTAGAAGTCCGCCGCTTTCCGCTGTGTCCCTATTCTGCGCCCGGTATAGAATTTTTTAGGGCAAGCTCATAGCTTGTATATGTATCACTTTCTATGACTCCGTCCATATACAGCACCCGATGGTAATGTGGTGGTTTGGATTGAAAGTACGGCCCATCACTGACGACGAGACTCCGCTCTCGGCTCCGTACGTGCGATGCTGTGTGGGCGTGTAGCACCTTATAAGACTCAACTCCTTCAGCATCATGTCAAATACCTGCACCTCTTAACTTTCCTATCTCCACCACCATCCCTCAAAATGGCCGCGGACCCATGGACTCAACCCCATACCCTCCCCAACCTGACCCCCAAAGAAGGCATCCTCGACGCCATCAACCGCATAACCTGGGGCCTCGACCTACACGACCGCGCGCTCTTCAAATCCGCCTTCAGCACCCAAGGCACCCCCAAACTGCACTTCCCCTTCCGCCAACTGGACCTCTCCGGGCGCGACGAAATCTCGACGAAGTTCTTCAACGGCGTCAAATATCACGAGACGGATCACCAGATCAGCAATGTCCGCATTAGTTATGAGGCCGGGAGGAAGGAGGCGAGGGTGTGGGCGATGGGCCAGAATCAGCATCATAATAAGGGGGAGGCGCTGAAGACGAGGGTTGAGGGGCGGATGACGGGTGCGAGGTATGTGTTTGATGTTGTGGAGGATAGTGATGAGGTTTGGAGGGTGATGGAGTGGTGGGTGGAGATAACGTGGGAAGGTGGCGATCCGAGTGTCGTTGGGAAGGTGGAGTAGATGGACTGGAGTTCTGGCTTGAGTACCGGCTCAATGTCTGAAGTAAAAGCCTCGTTCGTGTTGGACCATCACACAATCCATTCTTGCTCACGCGGGGATCTCCGATGTTGCATGATTTCCATTGACCTTCGTCTTCGATGCCGCAAGTTCTCTGTTGAGACGCTCTTCCCGACTCTCACTGTTTGGATCGAAATATGCTGCTCGAAGATTCAGTCATGTACCTCGCTATACGTAGCTCACTCATGTTTCACGACTTACGCTTTTCCCCAAACACAGTCGTTCTAATGCCTTTGCGGGAACCTGCTGTGTAGAAGCCCGGAATTACTCGATGGACGGTACATCTGACGGACAGCCATTAGCATCTGCTTGCGAATTGATCAAGACCGATGCCTCACCTGTTGTCCCACATTGCTACACTGCCAACTTCCCATTTCCAACGTACGGCGTGATCGTCTGCAGAATGAAGATGATGTTCAAAGAATTGCAGCAGATAGTCTAGAGCCCGAAATTAGAACCAATCTCCCACAGCGAAGCCTACCATCGCACTTACCTGATTCTTTCTTCTTCAATTCCGCGAACCCGGTGACGAATCCCAAATTTACGTTCAGAGCTTTCAGTGCAGAGACAGGATGGGTTCGTACGGCAGGATGATGTGTGTCTTTGGAACGCAGTCGACCAGTCAGCTCGCATCTTGGATGTTGCTAATAGGCCATTGATAGCAAAGCGCAGAAGCGTCAACTGCCAACATACCAATTGGCGGTCGATTTGGACCAGCACCCCAGAGGTCTAAGATCGTGTCGTACTGCAATCGTGAGGTATGTACAGCATGTAGACCATCCACATGCTTCTTCATGGCATCGCTGAGAGCGTCGTAAAGGCCATACTGGGACAGCCACGCCGTGTCGCCGCCAACTGGTGGGTGCTGTTCGAAGTTGACATCAGTACTCTTTCAGACGCTGTCTGAGCAGTAGAAGAATCGATGCAGGCATTTCGGCCCCCAAGCTAGAGGTCTAAGCTCTGTCTTCCTCTTCTTCACTATCACTATAGAGATGAACATACTAACCTCTTCCATTCGTAGCATTGAATACGAAGGTGGATTGATCTCAAACGACGTATCTGCGTGGAAGTCCCCAGAAGGCCACGGCGTGTAATTAGCGATCTGCCGATGGTCTTGAGTGCTTCCTTTGATGACCACATGCTTCTGGTCTTTCTGTGCCGGATGTCTGTCGAGAATGCCAAAATGCTGGAAGAGCTCAACCTGCTTCTCGGTCGTCAGGTCTTGATCTCGGAAGAAGACGACACCTCGCTCAGTGACCAGGAGAGCGAGTTCGTCGAGCTGCTTAGAATCTAGCTGAGACAGCTGGACGTTCTCGAGGACTGAGCCAATTGATTCTGCGAGATCGATCTTCCTGGCGACTTTGAGCAGAGCTTCCTTGTTGGGATCTGCGAACGATGCCCGGTCCTTGTCGACTTCCAAATGCTGTCGGATTTGCTCTGGCGGCACATGGTTGGCGATCTTGGAGTTGAATGCTGGATGGAGGGTAACGGGATAGCCAGAGTCCGGTGAGATATGTTTGTAAGCTTCGAGGTGTGCCATGCTTGATAAATAGTCAATTGGTATAGGTGTTTCAACTTTCACACAAAGATTGATAGATAGGAAGTATAGAAGACAGGTCGACCGTCAATAGACAGTTCCTCAACAAATTTGTGAGATTACTTATCGGGTTGATCTGACCACTTATGGTGGAGTACACTTGTATTATGTCTTCGCGTCTTGGCCGTGATTGATGCCAACTTGACAGAACATTGGTGGCACACACAGTTCGCCGCATCTTACGCGAAGGCGTGATGAATGCAGGTTATGGTACAAGAGCAAGGACAGCTCGGTGGTAAAGGAGGAGTTGAGATCCTACAAGATCCGGGGCAGGTAGGCCGACGTCCAGCGGCCCGAGCCTTGCTAGCGTTCCCGTTCAATCGTCAGCAAAGAAAAGGGGATAACAGAAGGGCAGTAACAACAAAATTCACTTACATCCAAGTTGTCACATGCGTAGAAGTCGCTAATCCAGCCTCGCTTCGCGTGGTTCGCGTAATGTGACCGCCCAGAACTGGGTACGAGCGGTGGCTCGTTCAAGAATCGTGTCATGCAAGTCTCGATATGCTACCGAAAAATGATACTTGCTGTTGAACCATCAATCAGCATTTGAGGAAACAAATGCAATCCACCGCATGTTGTGAAGACAGAGACGAACACATCTGCCGTCCAAGCCCCGTGGGCCGTGGAGATATGGAGAGGATCCTAACACGCCTTGATAAGGTTTCGCAAACCCTTCGGACTTCCGGTCAACAAGACCACCCCTCACGGAACATCCGAGGTTTCCTCCAAGTGTAAATCTCGAGACCGTCGTCTCCACATCGTCGTGACTCCTTCTGACTGCTACACCGCGAGGAGACAATCCCTGACATGGACAATCCTGCTTCATCCGAAGACACGGGCGGTGCAAGCCAGCCGAATCGGGCCCAGAAGCGGAGAAGAGTTGAGGTCGCCCGTAGGAGCACCAACGCCTGCCATCGCTGCAAGGCCAAGAAGTTGAAGTGCCACTTCGATGCCACGCAAGCGCAGGGTTCATGTGCGGCGTGTAGAAAGGCGGACGCAGGTATATCTTCCTATTGTTGCGGATGAGGCGATCGCTGATGGTTCCATGAAGAATGTGTCTTTGATATTGCTCCAGATGGTGTTCCACGAGGCTCAGCGTGAAGCTTACCCTGGCTGCACTGTGCTTGGACATTGTTAACGGAGTGCTTTAGTTACATTGCCGTGCTTGAAGATCGAATAAACACATTGGAGGGAGACTTACATGTTGCAAGGAACGAAGTTGCTGACTTGCGACGTGGGAACAGTCACATCGGCCATCAAATTTCGGTCTGTTGGATCTGTCCTCGACACACATTGAACTAATGAAGCCTAGCCTAACCCCAGCCATTCTTACCAACGACCTACCAAGGAGGGTCGCCGAGTGTTGGATAATGTGGCAGCGCGCCGAAGGACCACCAAAGCATCATCTGCTGCGACCGACATCACGATATTCAATCTACTGGAAAAGGGGCGGGTTGTGGCAGAATCAGAGACTGGCGCCTTGCCAGATCTTCCTTCACAAGCCGTAGCGAATCAGTTATTCGAAGCGGTACGTCTTCATTTCAATTGCACCCGCGAAACGAGCTTACTTCTCATCACAGGTATACCGGCATACACAGCCACGCTACTGTGTGGGTCACACCAGGGACGAAGCTGTATTTGCACTAACCACTTGATTTATATGTAGATTGTAGACTGGAATCAAGTTCGCTCCTGGCACGAGGCACGGGAGCATCTTTGTTCTGTCTTGCCGGATGAGACGCCAGGGTCAGAAATAGGTCAGTCTGAAATGCTTTCGAGGCTTCGTTGTCTCTTTTCGGCTGACGCAGGCCGCAGGTGCATACTTTGTGTGGATGACCTTCGCCATCGGTGCTCGATTCACTCGGAACCCCGAGCATCCCCCAAAGGCGAGAGACAGAGGCTCCTCCTGACACAACGGTGTGCTGACCTTCGTTAGGCTTACTACGCTCGTGCCCTCAGGCATCTCCACGCTGCCCTTGCGCCCCAAGATTTGACATCTGTTCAAGCTTTGTTGATCCTGGTTCAATATTGCTTCCGTGCATATGTGAGTAGTGAATCCTGCCAACGCTTGGTTCCGCTAATTGACCATCTCGGGCAGGGTGGGCCGTCAGTATGGTGAGTTGACCTCTCCAAACTGCGGGGCTACGTCTTAATCTGACCATTCAGGCATATTGTTGGAGCAGCAACTCGACTCTGCATTGAACTTGGATATCACCGCCAGAAGAACGCAGACGACTCTGATCCCCTTGAAGCCGAGCTTCAGAAGAGGACATTCTGGTGCGCCTATGCGTTTGATCGACTTGTCTCGATCGTATCAAATCGGCCTTTCAGCATTCACGACCAGGATATCGATGTCAATGTGGGTCATTCGGAAGGCACTTGCGGCTTGCTTTGCTTATGTGTTTTGTAGATACCGATTGACATCGACATTGAATGTACTGACATCAGCAAGATCCGTGAGCTTCAGGCCCAGCAGGTTGAATGTAGGCGATACTGGGGCCCGGAGACTACTTCGGTAAGCCTTGATCTTGGTATTTGCGTGGGAAGAATGTTTCTGACCCAAGGCATAGATGAGCTCGTGTTTGCATAATTTGCACATGTACCGACTAAGATCAAAGATTCTGTAAGTGGAGCATTACCCTCTGTGTCTAGACGAGCTAATGTACCTAGAACACAGTTCCACGGGCCCCACGCCGTCGCACCGTCTTTCGATGTTGTTGTCGACCTTTTGGCAGAGCTTGATACTTGGAAAGAGCAAGCGCCACCAACAGAAGAATCTTCAGGCACTCTGACATTGCCAAACGAGCAAGTTCAAGCAGCATATCTCCGAGCAATGATCAACCTAATGCGACCTGTGCTCAGTCGTCCCTCGATTGATCCAAATCTCTTGCATCATTTCGCAGCCCTATCTGCCGATGCGTGCGAGGTGAGCCAAATGTCTTTCTCCACTGCGTCTTCTGCTGACTGCTACGAGAATGCAAAAACGCTTAGCATTTGCTTCAACCATCAAGCCTCGCCGATTCAGGTTCATACGAGCTTCCACTGTGGCATAACATTGTTACAATGTTTGGCAGTGCAACCGACGGTCTTGCCCCTGAGGCGAACACTCAAAGCCATCAGCGCATGTTCCTCTGCTTTGTCTGTATACACGCGCAGCTTGGCTCCGGCGGCACCGTTCTTGCAGCTTTTTGACAAGCTCTGTGACTTGTTCCTCAGCAGGAATGACCAATCGGACGGAGGCTTGCCAATTGACGAACTCCGCAACATACTACAGAAAGTCGTGAGCAGTGACCCTTCCGAGACATCAGAGTATGTTGCAGCAACCACGGTCGTCATATTACACCAGCAACTGATAGTTCACCACAGAATCCTGTACTCCATCCACGATGATCAGATGCCGAACGGGGCTCTCAATGCTCTTCCTCAGACTACCGGCACTGATGATTCGGTGAGTAGATTCAACGTGATGTCAATCCAAGTCGGAAGACTAATGCTTGTTAGATACTCTTGGACGACAACATGTGGAACGCAGATTTCCTGGCTGCTCTCAATTCTTACGATCTGCCTGCATCTTTCGAGCATCTCGTGGAAACACTTCCTCACTGGTCATGACCCTTATTAAGACACGCTCAGCCGGCGTGATTCTCAGGCGGGCTGATTGTCCAACACTACAGTGTCTATCGAATGCCATACAAGCCGTCGTACGCTGGACCATATGAAAGACTGGCAATATCAGACCCGTTTATGTACCCTGAGCTTCTCAGTGACTTCCCTTAGCTCCGCATCTGCACTTTCCAGGTGTCTTTCCTTCGACTCCACCCAAAGACAATTGGCTACAACCTTCTGCCTACTACTCGTCAACAACCGCTTGACCTGTTCTGGACCAACGCTGCCAAAACTCGAGCTTTGCTGGATGTACTCGGCAGGATCCAGTGCTGCCCTCAATTCCTGTTCGCTCATCCCGAGGCCAGTCACTCCCATCTGCTCTGCGGCCGCCTGCAGCATTTCGATCGTGACATCGGCTCTAGATATTCTGTTTTCCAGGCTGTTTTTCACCAACCGCGCTACAACGCCGTGAGCTGTGCGATAACTCACCCCATGGTTGAGCAAAAGCGTGTTGGCGAGGAAATTAGTCGTAACCCAGGTGTTCTTCAGCAACGCCTCGCAACGACTTCGATTCACCACCATCAGATTCAAGATCTCAGAGGTCAATTGCAGCATTGCCGAGGTCTTGTTGCACGCATCACCAAGGATCCCAAGACTTCGGTTCGCAGTGTCTCCCGTCCCCTCGTTGCGAAACGTGGCCAACGCAGTGGCAACCCAACCGGCGGCGTCTTGGGCCACTTTCTTGACAATTTCCAACGCGAATGGGTTCTTCTTCTGGGGAAAGATGCTGCTGGTACCGCAGTGGCAGTCGTCTATCTCGACCACACCAAACTCCGTGGAGCTGAAGACGTGCAGATCGGTGCAGAGATCGTTGAGGATGGTCATGATCATGGCGAGCGTGCATGCCATCTCAATCTGGTAGTACGCATCTCTGCCTCTCCTCGAGTTGTCCAGGATCTGTGAGAAGCCCAGCAGAGACGCCGTGCGATGCCGATTCGTGGGCAGGTTCGTTCCGGAGAGTCCAACTGCACCCAAAGGGCAGCGATCGATTCGGTCGTACACCTGCGTGAGCTGGTCGAAAGCGTCTTCAAGTCGATCTTCGAAAGCCAGCAAGTAATGGCCGAAGTTGGCCGGTTGTGCTTGCTGCAAGTGCGTGTAGCTAATTGTTGGGACGTCCTTGTGTCGCTCAGCAACATCTGCTAACGTGGCCAGCAATTCGGTAAGGCGGTGTGCAACCTCGAGCGCGCTGTCACGATCTGCTACGCGGCGTACTGTAGCACCCTGGTCGAGTCGACTGCGTGCTATGGAAAGCCGGCCGGCGGTATCTTCGCCTATATGTGTGGCCAAGACTCTTTCTATTTGCAGCACGATGCTGCCGTATCCGGGCTTGGAAGCGAACTTCGATGGACCCGCGGCCTTCAACTGGTCGATGACGCCGAGGATGGCGCCTGCTTGGGATTCTGTGATCAGACCCTGCTCTGCGAGCATCACTGCATGGGCTTCGTCGACTCGAAGGACGGAGGCCAGATTCTTCACCTCCCAGTCCAGCTGTGGCTGCTCCTTGTGCTTTTGCACGAGTGCACTCATCGGCTTTGCGAGCCGGCCGGCAGAGAATGAGTCGTTACTGGAGCCGTTCTGGACATGATTCCCATTATGGTTGCTTTCGAGTTTGTGGAAAGTTCCCACATGGTCGTTGGTGTACGGCTTGCTTTCTGCGTGCAAAGTGTCCATGGCTGACGGAGTCGAGGTCTATGTTATGCTGATTCTGAGCGTCAATTGAGTATGGGATTCGTCTAGAGATGGATTAAGAAATTGATGGCTTCAACTATATATCGTTCGTCCTCCGAATCTGAAACGGCTGGCATTTGCTATTGACATCTTGGTCGAGGCGCGAGACTTTTGCTACGTCTCGGAAGCCCGAACGACATAGGGGCAGGGATGATGTCGGCAGCCATACTATACACCAAAGCTGGAAAGCAATCGTTCTCGGATGGTTCACGGACTACACAACACCGCTGCGGAATAGGATCCAAAGACATCGACTACATTACCGACTTAGGACAACGTCGCGAGGCTTCGGGACAGCCGAGAAGACACGGAAGTCCGTGCTGATCATTTCTCCTTCTGATAAGACAACCTTTCGCTCGCGGCACCCAAGAGCTGATGTGAGGAGACTGATACTTTTCTCAGCTTCTTCGACAACGTGGCCGGCACGCGGGGATAGTTGAACTCACTGTGGTATTAAAGTATGGGCCATCTCAGCGAAATGTCGTTATCACGCCCTTGACGACCTCAGCCATTGTCAGCCTTGCATCAGTCGCGCAGCTCGGATCGAATCAAGAAGCGAGATGCATTCTCTGCAAGCGAAGATCAACAAGACATTCACCGAGTCCGCCCTCGCACAGTATGGAAGAAACATCCGGTCGTCACCACGACAGTTATTCCTCAACCGCCACTTGACCTTCACGGCGCTCTTCTACGCCACGGGAGCGATTCCCCAGACATGGGACCAAGGCTCTTCTAGCACGATTGCAAATCTGACTTCCTTCCAACATCACTTTGGGATCAGCTCTGGTACCAATGCCAGTGCTATCAAGAACTTCATCTCTTTCTTCTATATCGGTGCTGCAGTGGGTGAGTTTGGTGTCTGCCAGTACAGACCTTCGATGAAGAGGTGGCTAACATCGCGAAGGCGCTTTCCTGTGCTTCTTCATTAATGACAGAATCGGTCGGCTTTGGTCCCTTCGACTCTACATGCTCGTGTGGATTGTCGGTCAGATGACTGCTGTTGGCGCTCCAAGAGGAACCTCAGGCTTGTACGCCGCTAGGATCATCTCCGGAATGGGCATGGGCGCGCTCTGCTCGACTGCAAACATGTCGCTGGCTGAGATCGTGAGTCCAAAAAGTCTTTGTGGCTTTGACCAACAGGGGTAATACTAACTCATCGCTCGCACGCCAGGCTCCAGCAGAGATCAGAGGTCTACTCGTGTCCTGGTACGCCGTCGCCATGGGGGTGGCTTTGGTGTGCTCGAATTTCTGTGTCCTCGGCGTGTACCTCCACGTTGCACCAATTAGGCTTCAATATCAGATCGTCTGGTTCGCTCCCTGCATCTGTCTGTTTGTCTGGATCATCGCTAGCTTTTGGGCTTGCGAATCCCCTCGATGTGAGTCTCCCCTCATCAAGTCGCTCCTGCAATTCGCTGATCGAAGACAACTTGATAGGGCTCTTCCTAACGGACAGACCAGATCAGGCTGTCAATGCTTTGGTCCAACTTCGAAGCTTGCCAGCTGATCACCCTCGTGTACAATTTGAGATCGAAGAGATCAAAGAATCGGTCAGGAAACAGACGCAATTCCAGCCTGCTAACAGCCGCACACCTGGATTGTGGTTCATCGTCAAAGATGCATTCACTGTAAGCCGAATTACAAGCAGACACACACTATCGCTCCTATCTACCGCTACCACACCCATTTGTGCCACTCGACGGTCTACTGACACCTGAGCAACAGGTGCCCGCCAACCTCCGACGTTTCCAACAGGTCTTCGTCTTCTACATCCTGCAAGCAATCACCGGAGCGAACTCAATCACATCTTATCTAGTTCCGTAAGTTGCCCACGATGTCGTTCTCAAAACACGGTATTGACAACTGCGGGTAAGAATCTTGGCCATCATTGGCGACACCGGAGGCACTGCTCGCCACATCTTCATTAGTGGCATGTATGGAGTGGCAAAGCTTTGTTTCGCGCGTACGTACAGCGGTCGTTAGGGGCAAGTCTTGATCATGATTGCTAATAGCGTCTCAGTCATTTCGAGCTTCTTCTTGATTGATGCTTTGGGCAGACGGAAGTCCCTCTTCATCGGAGCTACTACACAGATGATTACAGACATCTATATTGGCGTTTTTGTAAGCACAAACTCGAGATGTAAACTTGAGCTTTACACGCTCATCATTTCTAGATCAAAGTTCAGCAGTCCCAAAGCGTCTCTCACGGAGCATCCGAAGGCGCTATTGCAATGGTGAGTCCGCTGTTTATGTCAGGCCAATGTCTTGCTCAAATTGTTCCTAGATCTTCATCCATGCATTCGGATACGCTGTTGGTATGTTAGACCAGATCTAACCTCGTGAGATCTCAACTAACTTGAGTTCGAACAGGTCTTCTTGTGCTCCCGTAAGACAATCGCCCTTGGGCATATGTATCTTCTAATGCGCGACCTGGCTGACCTCTGCAGGTACCTGTTCGGCGGAGAAATCTGGCCAAACCATCTCCGATCGTTCGGCTCCAGTGTAACCCAAGTCTTCCACTGGCTCCTCCACTACGCCATGAGCTACGCAACTCCATCCCTACTTGAAGCAACAGACAACTGGTACGTACAGTCTCAAGGCCTCTGTACTGGAAGGGATGTGGTGGCTGATCTTGCGATCTTCACAGGGGAGCATTCATCTTCTTCGCCGCTTGGTGTGCCGTGACGATCCTCTATGTCTTTCTGTTCGTGCCAGAGACAGCGGGCATTTCAGTCGAAGAGCTGGACGAGCTGTTCCAAGGGTCTTGGTTCAATGCCTATCGACGCAAGAGCCGTCCGAAGACGAGCGTCGTTCTGGATGGGGAAGATGGTGATGATGTAAGGTGAGCTCGAAATGAACCGGCGCGTTGCAGCTGTAGCTAACGCGGTTAAAGGGACAAGGAGAAGGCGGTAGTGTCGTTCATCGAGTGAGCAAGCTTTCGAGCCGTGAATAGAGGTTCCGGAACCTGTCAGATCTCGCTGTGCGTGAATACTCTTGCTATGTATGCTCTCGAGCTTTACGACGAACGATGTGCCATTTGGTCTAGACTTGCGTCCCTACAGGCCAGTAGTGGTCACCACCATGTTCCTCTCAAGGCTATATCTTCCAGATCAAGTCCTGCCAGCGACTCATCGGATCCTCGGGCGGATGATCGTCCTGTTGTATATCCATGTAGCCCGCCCCTCCCCACGCCTTGGGAATGACACAGACTGCCCGACCTACACACGCACATCAGTCGGAGTCTCGATTGTTAGGACCCAATTCTGTCGACCTACCGTTCAGATTTGTGTCAGAAGACAATTGCATGACCGCCGTGGCGGCGTCTCGGATATCGGCGAGGTCGACGCCAACGTCTTTGAAATGTTGGTAGAACTCGGGTGGGTTGATCGCGGCGGGAATGAACCTGAAAGACCAGACGTCAGCTACTAGACTATCGTCGTGCGAGATGAGCGTCACACCAAGGAGCCAAAAGGTTAACACGCATATTGTCCTTCGGCATGGTCGTCCTCAAAGACCTAAACAGGCCCCTAACCCCAAACTTAGCAGCATTGTACTGCGGCGACCCCGGCTTGTCCAAATATCCCGCAATGCTCGACGTCAAAATCAGGCAGCGGTCCCTACCCTGGGGTTGTTTGGCCAGGTAGTGCAGCGCCAGCTTCGCCGTGTACGTCGCACCGATCAAGTCCACATTCAATATAGCCAGGCTGGGCTCAGCAGGGTCGCCACTCTCCGTGAGCTTGTCGTCGATGAGGACATCATGTCCCGCCTTGCCGGCATTGGCGATGACGATATCGATGGTCTTGGAAGGCGATTTCTCCAGCGCGGTCTTGAACAGATGCAGCTGATCCGCCCACTTCAAGACGTCGCAGGGGACGAACTGGACTTTGTCGAAGCCCAGTTCGGAGACCAAGGCGTTGCCCTTCTCGGCAGATCTCGCGGCGAAGGTCACGAAGGCGCCGTGTTTGACATACGCGCGCATGAAGGCCTCGCCGAGACCTGTCGTTGCTCCGGTGATGATCACGCTCTTGCCGGCGAGCTTGCTTGCATCGTACTTTCCTGGTGAGGCTTGGAATAGGACTTTGCCGCTGAAGTCGGTTGTTGGAGCCATGATAGTCGATTGGAGGTCGGGGAGGGTCTGAGCAGTTTCTGGCCAAGCTGCGAGAACTTCCAACTTATATGCTGGTAGAGGCACTGCATTGTGCTAAACCACATGTGCTATGATTACCTGAGCGTACCGCGCCAGTGCCGTCTTTCTGTCTTTTCATCAATAAGCTTGTTCAACAAGCATGTCCTTGAAGACGGCAGTGAAGATGCTCCAGGTCGGCTTTGTCATGATGCAGCTGCAGGTAGCGAAAAGGCTCCGAGAGAATGCAGACGACGAGGATTCCGAAACCTTTTCAACTGAAACATCGACCAGCCGATGTACAGGTGATACTGGAACTGGTGGAGGATGTTCACGGCTTGATCCGTCACATTCGTGCCTGTATTGTGTAATTCATTCTTTGAAAGTCGAAGTAAGTGTACAAGAAAAGTATCCCAGAACTCACTGTTCCCTCTCTTACCTCTCAAACTCATAAACCAACCTCGTCTCCGCCCTGCGGCCATTCCGCTCCTCGCTTCCCTTCTCCACCCCCAATGTAACAACCCTCCTCACAAACCGCTTCCCACCCTCCACCAACCAAACCTCTCTCTTTAACCACCCCTGGCTTTTACACTCCACCTCAACCTCAAAGAACTCTGCTGATCTTGCCAGCCCATCTGTCAAATACCCGACACCCTCCTTGTGTTCGAAATCAGTACCTTGGATCCAGCGACATTTACTCCTCGTTCCTTCCGTCGCGCTCTCCCACCAATCGCTCCAGGTGCCAAGTCGTTGAGGTGGATACCAGCGTTGTGTGAAGGCCGGGATTGAAGAGGAGGTGTGTTGCTTGACGAAGATCTGAGAGGGATAGTGCGATTGAGTGATTTGAAGACGGAGTGGAGATGCAATGATCTCTTTGCGAACGTCTGATGAGAAGCCTTGAATTTCGAGAGCGGGTGGAATTCCAGTGGACAGAGACTTGGACATAACCCACGAGCCATTGAGATCGCGGAGGCTTTTGTTCGCAGCGCGTGGTCGGGATTTGGGTGGAGATATTCTGGATGGCATACTGGAGTCTCGTGATGCGGAAGACTTTGCGGAGGGCGTCGAAGGAGGTGAGTCGTCGAACTGGGCAAAGTCGGGCTCTTCAGGGAGAGCACTTGCACGAGTGCTGTACATCGTCGTCGCGGTAGGCTTTCCATCTGTCTTTTCGAAGTCCATGTTCGCGGAGCTATTCACGTACAAAAGAGGGCATCGAAGAGTTGCAGAAGTGGTTCGGGATTTGTGAAATCCAGGCGCAGATCTTTGGCTGCCTTACCTGACGGAGGCGACCTTTGAAAGCATATTAGATTGCGATCCATTGGTACTGTTACTGACCATCGTAAGCCAGACGGCATCTCGAGCTCGGTAGTCGATCCACCTGAATCACAGAAGACATCATCACTCTTAGCTTCCTAACTCCGGCCCTCGCCTCGGCCAAGCCCTGTACGGTAGGCGGCGACCCCAGACACAATTTCCCCAGCGCCATGCTGAAATCAGAACACAGAAAGCCATTTTTCCGCCGACGGAGTGCCGTGAATGCTCATCTTGCAACCGATACGGTAACCCCAAGATCTCGCAGGATGCACGTGGCGTTCCAACCGCTTGGTACGCTAAACCTTAACCTTCTTATGACCATTTGTGTTTGGGCCGGTCTCTTCGTTTTCTGCTCCAGCCGCTTCCTCGTCGTCGTCGTCCTCTTCGTCGTCGATGACGGGTCGCTTCCTCTTGGGTGCACTCGCATCAGCCGAGGTATTGACATCCCCCATTTCAACGTCGCTCTTCTCCTTGGCCTTAACCTTGTCGATCATCTCAGAGTACGCTTCAAGTACGCTATCAAGCGCGCTTTCAAGCTTCTCAACTCGCTCCGTATGCTCGACTTGCTTCAGTTGATCGGCATTGAAGATGTACAGGCGCTGCTTGACGTAGAGTCTCCAGAAAAAGTATGCCTTGTCGTGGGCATTGGTTGACTTTTCCTTCTTCGTCAATCTGCTGCGTGAGCGATTGTCGATGAACGACAGAGTATGCATCTCGACCAACCGATCGAATTGACGTTGCATAATCTTCGTATCTCGCATCACCTGCTTTCGCACTTCAGCCGGTACGATCAACTCTGTAGGAATGTTCACATCCATCCTCATCTTGTCTTCAGGAATGTCCGTGTTGATGCGCAGTGCGGCAAACTCTGGTACGTTTTGTCGCAGGTAGAGAAGATCGCAGAAGTCACGGAGGTCGTCGAATCTCTCGTTGGGATCTTCCACAGTGAACTCGCGCACGTTAGGTGGGGCAGTCAAGTGCTTGTACATGGTGTTGTACAGCTCTTGTCCGTGACCAGCACCATGGAATGGTGGTAGCACCAAGAACTGCGACAGGCGCTCACGGCTCGGCAGATCGAGCGGCGAGTCGAAATCGGGAGGATTTGCGAGTTCGTTGGTTTTACCGTCCGGCGGTGGCATGAAGAATTCGAGTGGTTGCGAGCTTGGCGAGAAGTCGTCGAACTGGACAGTTTTGAGCCGATCGGGGAAGGTGAAGCTGCGATATGATGTGCCATAGCCGACGAAGCTGTAGGGCGATACCTTGTCGGAGGGGTTTTGATCGACTTCGTAGACTAAGAAGACCTTCCATCTGGCTGCAGTCCAGCTTTGTTCCAGTTCCAGTAGCGATCCACCGTCGATGAACATCGGAATGAGTATCTGCACGTTCTGTACCAGCTTCTTTGCCCGCTCGTCTGATAGACTTGCGCACCACGTCTCGTATGTCTTCCCTTCTCGTTTGTAGGTGTGGATCTTCTCTCCAGGTGGCTGGAAATCTGCTGCGTCGTCCTCCGATTTCTTGCTCTTGAAGGCAGACTGGGGAAGAAAGTCTCTCAGCGCCTCTATTATGTCGGTAGGCCGGACCTCTCCTTGCGCCTCAAAGATCTTGCCATAGCTGAACTTCAACTCAGGCTCCAAATCATGTGCTCGGAAGGTCAAGTCGATGGAAAGGTCTTGATAGCCGAAGATGGCCTCTTCGTCGCCAAACATGGAGTATGTGTACTCTGGCTTGAACGAAGCTGTGACGGCGCCATCACCGCGGACAAGCTGGACCGTGAAGCATTCGTTGCTGTTGCTGGACCATTCGTTGACTTGCGCCTCGATCTCTTGAGTGAGCTCGTCGTCGTCCTCGACAGTGACGGAATCGGAGGTGCGCGGCATCGTGGGTTCGAGTGTCAACGGACGGAGATGGTTGTGGATGTGGTGAAAGTGGTGATGGATGATGAAGCTGTTTGTGCTGGAGCTGTCTTAAAGTTGTCTTCACGTGAAGCCGACGAGTGACGCGACAAGCCGCGACGCGCGAAAGTGGCGTTACGGCTGAAACAGTGGCTAGTGCGAAGCTTATTTGACGTCAGGGTCCAGCAATGTTCTTCGACCGGGAAGGAGCTGCCACATTTCATTCACTTACTCACGACTTTCACGAGATCACGGGCCACACAGAACGCGGACGGCGGCAGCAGCGATGAAGCGATGACGCGATAGTAGAGCGCTCTTTGGATAGAACCTCGACGACTAGGATCTTACGCGCTCACGGCTTAGCAAGATGTGGCTTCTTTTATTGCTGTGCCTGGTCATGGGAACTGCGTACGTTCAGATGCCAATGACTCGAAGAAACTATACTGATCGCGTCGCAGCTCTTTTCTCGCCGGCATCCTTCCTCTATCTCTCTCGCTTTCGCCGCGCCAGCTACGCCTCATCACAGCGCTGGGAACAGGCGTCCTTGTAGGGACATCGTTGATTGTAATAATACCAGAGGGGGTGGAAACGCTGTATACTTCAAGTGGGAGTGGACATGGTCACGATAAAAGAGCGGTGTCTCTAACGGCAAAGATGCCAAGTTTGCAAGGGGAAGCATTGCCCATTGCCCACGGACATCCCTCAGGACATTCGATAGTCGCTGTACGGTCACCATTGGAGTACGATGATACAGATACCACATTCAGAACTGGGCCAGATGATGGCTTCTACACTTCCGACGACTCGGATAAACTGGGCCATGACGGACACGGCATGCCGATAGATCACGATGACCTTGGACAGGATTCTGCAAGCGACGACGAAGATGACAGGGAAAGCCATGACCCGCATGCATGGATTGGCATATCTCTGATCTTGGGCTTCATCCTCATGTACCTCATCGACACACTCCCTCAACACGCCACCACGCCATCCAAGCCACAGCGATTTCAGATCAGCTTGAACCAGTTCAGTTTCAACCGTTCATCCTCGACGTCGAATGAAAATGCCGAACAACCTGCTGCAGACACGTTCGCTACATCGGACACGGCTTCCCACCCCCAAGGCTCTACTGGACGACCCAGTTCCACGACTGTGGGCCTGGTCATCCATGCCGCTGCAGACGGCATCGCTCTCGGAGCCTCATCCACCAACTCGAACAGCAAGCTAAGCTTTATCATCTTCATCGCACTGATGATCCACAAAGCGCCAGCAGCTTTCGGCTTGACGTCCGTCTTGCTCAAACAAGGCCTGTCCAAGCGAATGGCAAGAGCACATCTCATCGTCTTCTCGCTGGCCGCCCCCATTGGAGCCATCCTGACTTACGCCGCCGTGCATCTCTTCGGCTTCTCGTCCGCATCCCTCAGCAACAACACTAGCACGGAGTTCGCCACTGGTGTTCTCCTCCTTTTCTCTGGCGGGACCTTCCTCTACGTGGCCATGCATACCATGCAGGAGACCGGGGCTGGGGAACACTCGCACGGTGAAGGGCAAGCCATGAACGGCTACGCTGGCGTTCCCATGGACGATCCATACTCTTCGCATGCGCCAACCGCACCCAAACCGCAAGGGCCGGCGTTGGTGGACACGTTGGTCACTGTTGGTGGCATGTTACTGCCGCTCCTCACGCAGTTTGGGCATGGACATTAGAGCAGTCGTGTAGACCTTCACACAAGTAATTGGATCTTTGCATAATCTACACGCGTCCGCAAGCAATTCCATTTGTTCTACTCGTGCGAAAAGGCATACCAACATCGTTGGGGCCACAAACGTGACGAACCAGCGCCCTGAACAACCTTCTTTCGACTCCACCATTTTCTCGGACGTAACTCCGACTCAAAACTGTGCGTTCGCCATCTACGGAAAATTTTCCATGCCCTCGCCGAAAGCACCATGCTTCTCGTATGTGCGTCTATATGTACGTCGAGCAGCTGCTCTCTCCTGCTGCTACTGCTACTTTGAATTTGCCCAGCCCCTGAGACCCCGGCTGAAGGATTCTCGTCCTCGCAGGCAGGCTTCTCGACGTAAGAGCAAATTGTAGGACGCACGCCGGCTACTTCTTCGTCGGTGAAGTGCGTATGTAGTGGTCGCGATAGGTATGGTGATGAAGGTCCCGGAGAGGTCTCTGCTGCTTTGTTAGATGACGACGCGTACGTACGTCCTCGGGCAGGATTAATCTGTTTGGCAAGCTCATTATTCTATTGTGATGGATGAGGGAAAAGCGCTTCTGCGCGTGGCATTCATCGACTCTGGCTGCTGCGAGACTACATGGTATTGTCCTGCTCATGGTCTTGGAGGCACGCCTTCGTTCGCGCGGTGGGTGGGGAGTCGGTTTGTAATTTCGAGCAGTTGTGCTTCAAGGAAGCCAAGTCGATGAAGCAGCACAATCCGGGAAGAGCTGGTGAGTGAAGACGAGCAGGACCAGTGGACGATGGTATATCTCGGCCTCGCACATGGCGCAAAGATGCTACGGTGTAGGTGAAGGAACAGTGGTGCCCTGGTCCCGTCCCGCTGGTGACCATGCTTGCGTGGGAGATTTCTTCGCTTACCGCGAAATTCGACGCACTCGGTGCTCGTCTCCGTCTCCGCAGGCGTGCGCTTTCACTCGTCGCAATCGATGCTTACCACGATTGTTCCATCTAGATCCCCCCATCTTTCTGGGGTGTCGTCCCAATGGCCTAATCCCGTGCATCACGTGCGGGAATGCGCTATGAGTGAATGAGTGATCACGCGTCTGATTTGATCGTATTGTGATGGTCGCGGCAATCGGAAAGGTGGTGACAGAGAGCAGAATTTCAAGGGATTGTATTTGTGGTGTTTTTTTCTTTCTTCGTCCACGTCAGACGTCTTGCATCATTACGTATCGCGTAGGGAGAGCTGGACTTTCACATCCCAGGCCTTCACCTGGGACGCGCTCTGACCTCCTTCATGCCCCACCGTCTGCGACTGCGAGTCCTTCAACCTGCGCTGACCCTATTCCACCCAAATTCACGTGCTTGTCAGCCCATCTCCCCGCCCGCCCCTTCAATTCCCTGATCCACGCTAAAGGACGTCAACCAAGCCAGATCCGTCTCCGCCTTCAATCGCTCCACCAGCTGGTCCACGTCGGCTCCCAGTCGTATCACCGCCAGGAGCAGCGCGGCCTCATTGTCTGAGCGCGACCGCAGCTGCTCGAAGAGGTATTCGAGGTTCTCAGCGCGAGAAGTAACTGTGTCGAGCTTGAGTTTGAGCGAGCCTTGTCGGGTCATTCCTTCTTCATGTTCGTAGGAGCAATCGACATCTGCTGAGACCGTCAGAAGGGGGTTATTGAAGCCACGTACGAGTGGATGATACCTCGCCGTACGCAGGCCGCGCAAGCTGGTCGTTCGCCGCTACACTGCAGGTTATCAGCGCAACCTCTCACCCGACCGTTTGCCTTCCCGGAGCTCACCTTCGCCTTGCGTCTCCGACAAGGCCAACAGGCCACGTCTATGATCTTCCTCGGTGTCGAGGACTCAGACGAGTCGAGCTCACTGGGGTCAGACGGACTTCGCTTCTGAACCTGTTATTCAGTCGCGTTGGTTAGTCTCGTGTACCTTTCCCCAACCAACTTAGTCGTGGCCATGCTCACCTTCTCTGGCCTGAGACCACGATTGCCTGTCAGCGGGGACGGAGCAGGGAAGACATCCTTGGGGTCCAAAGCTGCATCCATGAGTCGTGAAAGCGAAGGCGAAATTGAGGATGCGTGAAGTTGTTAAATGGTAGGTCGAGTCTGGCTTTGAGTTTTGGCTAGCCGGACGCCACAACGTGGTTGGTCGATGATGAGGAAGACGGACGGCTTTACGGCAGACGCACGCTGGGAGTCGGCACATGCAGGGTTTTTGCATCTGAGACTAAAGAATGGTCGTTCTTTCCTGCAACCAGAAGCAAGCCGTGGAATATTCCCTGCTCGCCCACGTTGCGTTCCTCCTCTCTCACTCGGTTAGGCGACTCCGCCACACCTCCCCTGGGCGCCGCGGCCGGACGAAGATCCTTCGCTGATTCGAGCCCTGTCTTTTGGCAGCTGGCGTGCTGTTTGCTATGTTGTTGCCAACCAATGTGAGTGTCCGGTAAGGCATCATAATGCCAACCCCCGAGCTTCAACCAGCAACTCACGTCCCGTGAAACAGCCACATGCTCTTATCTGCCTCCTCGCTTGGGGAGATATCCCCGGTGAACAAGTTGCAGAAATGCCAGACATCTCTAGAAGCTGCTTCCGGTCGAGCGTGGGTCCGATCTATAGCAGCCCTGACAGGTCGTGCATGATCAGTCGTGCACTAACGCCACGGCCGTTCCTAGACAGGCTGCGGTTGTGGCCAATACTGTAGCTGGCCTTGCCACCTTTCGGGGGCGGCCACTTCGCCGACCACATGCCATCGTTCGACACCAAACTCCAACACAATCCGACTTTGCTAAAGATTTCACTCTGATAGACGCAGGTACTTATAGCGTCATGTACATACAATGTCAGATTCTAGCTCGCTCTATGATATCTGAACGCCACACTTCTACCAATCTGAGCCATAGACATGACGAAATTTGCCGCATCAATCGGGTGAAAACATTGAATGCTCGAACTGACCAGAAAAGAGCAACGACCTCCAACTCCACCGCCATGCATCCCCCCTTCACCCTGCTCGCTCACTTTCTACGACGCAGCAAACTTCGCAATTCGTCCACGAACTCTTTCTTCTTGGCCGGATCAGCTTCGCGATCCTGACTTGCCGGGGTTTCCCAGTAATACCGGCCCCGGGCATTCTTGTTGAACTGCCAATCATCGTCGAAGCGCAGAATATCAACCGCAGCATCGTATCTTCCATTTGCCGCACCAAACGCTTCCAGAAAGTAGTGGCCGTCGCGGAAGATTTGACGAGCGAGCTGCTGTGGACCACGGAGCCAGCCAACAGTGCAATCGATGAACAGGGACTTGAGGTTGGTGCAGGTCGAGAGTATGGATAAAGCAGCAAAGTTATGGCCCTTGTGGACACCTGGAAACAGAAGTTAGCAGACAATCAAGCATGAATCATCATTTTACTGTACCACGACCTGAACCCCAGCCTTTGATAGTGATGTCGGAGAGCAGCTGCCGGTTGTAGGGACCGATCTGAGCAATGAAGACGTGGAGAGCGGTGGTACTCTCAATCACAATCTCTTGCTTGTAGAGGATGCTGCTGGCCTCGTCACGAATCTGCTTGTTCACGGCCAGAAGGTTTGGTACGAGTTGCCGCGTAGGCTTTCCAATCACTGTTGTCTGGGAGTCACTGTTGTTGTTCCTGCTGAGGCCCCAATAGTAGCGACGGCGACGGGGAATGCGACGTCCGTAATAGTGATTGTCGTCTTGTGTGGTAATCGGTCCTCGAGTCACGGTGCGTCGGTAATCCTTTGTCTTCGGAACCAGAGTGATCCCGTCAGGTTCGGTCAAGGCTAGATCATAGATTGCATCGCGCAGTTCTGCCGGCAGATCGAGGAATCGGAAGGGTGGCACACTCTTGGTCTTCTTTGGCTTGCTGACTGTGAGCCTCGCCTTCTTCTTGGCCGGAGTCTTGCCTCGCTTCTGGGCAGTGTCAGTGGAGTGTCTTGGGATATGAACATCACGAGTTGCAAACCTTCGCTGTACCATACGTGTCGTCGTCCTCACTCTGAGCTGCATCATCCTCGTCTTCCTCCTCGACTTCCGCATCCTCGTCGTCCAGATCCATGTCATCGAAGTACGAATCGACAACGTACGAGACTTGGTTTCGCTTGCGCTTGCCAGTGATTGAAGCTCGAGTGGTTTCGGTGATAGTGGTGGTGGCCATGGTTTCTCGGATGATTTGGATGGTGTTGTGTGAATTGGTAGATTGGAATTGGTTGTTGCAGTCAATATCTTCCCGTCTGAGCATTGAAGTTGCTTATAACTTTCGTGGCAAGAGTGAAAGCGGATCCTACCTCAGGCAGCAACGCGACGTGATTGGACGCGACACGCTAGTTTACGAGATCACGAGACTTGCATCCCTGGCGCAAGGCAGCTGCCTCATACTTTCCCATCAGCACAGGAGCAATCTCAAACATCATCATCTCTGAGATGTGAGTGAATGAAAGAGAAGATGCAGATGAAGAGAGACACGACAGCATGGTCGCTGCCAGGAGAGACAAGACTGAACCCCTGGCAGAATCTTTAGCCGGGTGCCTCTTCCGACGCCAACGTGGAGAATCTCGGTTGAGGACATCGGCTCGGAGTCTACTTCTAGAGCTCCCAATCCGCAGTACCCGGCCTGTTCATAAGCGCCTTACCACGCCGATGTCGTCCCTCGTCATCCATCCACTGACTTTTGTGCGGTGCCATTGAAAGAGCACACGACTCCTGGACGGTAATCTCTGGTCCAGTTGCGAAGCCTCGAGAGGCATGAGGTAGAGACCACATCGCCATCATGGAGTTTCTCGCCTCCTTCGCATCTCGCCACGCTGCGGCGCCGCGAATTCAGATCCGCTTTGTAGATGCTCCGCGAGCGTCATGGCGGTTGAAACAGCAATCCAGATCGTTCAGGACGACCACAATCTACGCCCGAGAAGTGACTGGAAAAGCACCCACAAAGGTCCGCGGTAAATCGAAGCTCTATTCCTCAGCGGATGATGCTGTGGCCGATATCAAATCTGGATCTATAGTGCTTTCGGCAGGTTTTGGACTATGCGGCACTGCAGAGACTGTCATCGGGGCGATGACACGGAGAGGTGTGGACAAGCTGCACTCTTTGACTGCAGTATCGAACAACGCTGGAACTGCTATCGGTGGCGGCCTTTCTCCTCTGATTCAGTCTGGCCAAGTGAGTCGTGCGATTTGCAGTTTTCTGGGAAACAACAAAGCGTTGGAAAAGAAGTATCTCTCCGGCGAAATTGCCATTGAACTCACACCACAAGGCACGCTTGCAGAAAAGATCCGCTGCGGTGGTGCTGGCATCCCAGCGTTCTTCACTCCCACCGGTGTCAACACATTCATCCAGTCTGGTCAAATCCCCGCAAGGCTAAAGAATGGCGAAGTCCTAGAATCTGGTAAAGCACGAGAAACCCGCATCTTCGACGGCCGTGTCTACAACATGGAGACGGCAATCAAGGGAGATGTTGCCATCCTGCGAGCTCACAAAGTCGACAAGGACGGCAATGTCAAGTTCCGCTACACCACCAAATCCTTCGCACCACTAATGGCTAAGGCCGCCAAAGTGACTATCGTCGAAGCTGAACACATTGTCGAAACGGGCGAGATCGGCCCAGACGAGATCGATGTCCCAGGCATCTTCGTCGACCGAATCGTGCAAGCCACTGAAGACAAAATCATCGAGATCAAGAAACTCCGCGAAGAGAACGATATCGAAGCCGAAGGCGCCAAATCCGACGCTCTCGCTCGCAGGAACCGTATCGCTAGACGTGCCGCCAAGGAGCTCAAGCCTGGATTCTACGTCAACCTCGGTGTTGGCATGCCTACCCTCGCCCCATCTTTCCTCCCACCAGACAGCAAGGTGTGGATTCAATCTGAAAACGGTATCCTCGGAATGGGTCCTTACCCAACTGAAGAGGAACTCGACGCAGACATCATCAACGCCGGCAAGGAAACCGTCACCCTCGTCAAGGGCGCCGCGACCTTCGACAGCAGCGAATCCTTCGGTATGATTCGCGGCGGACACGTCGATGTCAGCATGCTCGGCGCCCTGCAAGTTGGTGCGAACGGTGATCTGGCAAACTATATGATCCCTGGCAAAGTCTTCAAGGGAATGGGCGGTGCCATGGATCTGGTTTCGAACCCCGATGAGACGAAGATTGTTGTCTTGACGGATCATGTGGACAAATATGGAGCACCGAAGATTGTGGAGCACTGCACACTGCCTTTGACTGGGGCAAGGTGTGTCAGTACTATTATTACTGATTTGGTGAGTTCGAAAGTCATCCACAATACAAGTATAAGAAGCTGACATCTTATCGCAGGCTGTATTTGACGTGGATAGAGTCAGGGGAGGTCTCACTCTGATCGAGACCGCTCCAGGTGTGGGCGTTGACGAGATCAAGCAGAAGACGGGCGCCAAGTTCGCCGTCGCAGAGCCATTGGGCAAGATGGAGTAATTGGACATCTTCTTCTAGTTCTTGGATCTCTTCGCAATGATCTGAGTTATATATCTCCCACATATCCAAACCGACCTCAAATCTCTCAACATCCGATTGCTCTACCTGCGGACTACACAGTCAACATGATCAGCAACACAAGGACTATACATTTTTGCGATGCATAGGAACGTGCCAGTACATAGTAGCTGGCCTTCCAAGTAAAAGTCGTGCTATAAAGATCAAAACATCCCAATGTCCTCCTCGCTCTCTACTTCTGATCCCCGATGTACAGTCCACCGCCATCGGCGCCCAAATCTATTACCGAACCACAGCCGTAACGAGCGGCTGATCGGCTACGGCTCTGAAAGTTTAAGCGGCTCCAACCCATCCATCCCTCCACATTCGTAGACCTCACTTTACTACTATAAACAACAACCAATACAACATACCATTGACCAGCACGACGAAACCATTGGACAAGTCGACCACCAACAAAAACCGGCATAGAAATCGACCACCATGTCCAAGTTATCCGAACCCCTCAAACAATTCATCAACGCCGCCCACGCCCGCCCCAACACCATCCCAGCGCCCAAAACCATACTAAATGTCTACGAGAAAATCGCCCAAGATGCCGCGGAGAATAAAGTAGGACTACCGGCTTGGTTGTGTGCTTCTGTGAGTCGAATCAAACCCCCATTGCGGCCATTGAAAGTTATGTGGAGAGTGGGGACGTGTGTTAATGTGTATTGGTCTTAGACAGCAGCAACCATGACGATGAACTCGCCCGAGTCGATGCTGGAGTTGTATCGGCTCGCGATTAAGGGTGGTGCGGACCAGGAGAGGGGCGTGTATACGGCGGAGTTGATGAGGGAGGTCGGGTTGAAATGTATTGGGTTTAATGGGGTGAGTATTATCTCTCGCCCTTTCACTTTTGCGTCGTTCGAAGATAGGTGGTATGGGATGGGAAAGGAGAGATGCTAATAATGACGGATTACTTTGCATAGGTCCCTCGAACGATCAACGTCCTCGGAGCCTTCCACTCCGGCCTCCCAGAAAACATCCAATCCGCCTTGAAAGAGCGCAAACCTCGACGGTGAGTCCCCACCTCCCATGTGGCAAAACAAAACAACCCCCCGCTAACACAACCCTCTCAGAGCCCTCACCAAATCCAACATCGAGCCCACCCTCGCCCGCGGCAACTCCCTCTGGGACTCCATCTACCACCCCTTCTCGACCAAACTCAGCACAAAACTCGCCCAATCGCACCCAGATCTCCCCGTGCACATCATAGAATCCGAGTATGGCTGCCTCTTCTCCGATCCCCCTTCCACATCCACCGCTTCCAACGCAGCGCCATGCCCTAACGTCGGCCGCGTCCTCACCTCCATCATCGCCGTGGCATGTCTACGCGCGCAAAGCGGCGTGGGACCGCAGGTCGTCAGTCATGTATTTGGACTACGGAAGGCGTTTGAGGACGGGACGGCGGAGGGGGAGGATGTGGTTCCCGGGGGCAAGTGGTTGGCGAGCAATGAGGGAAGTTTGTGGTTGTTGGAGCAGGTGGATCGGATTGTGCATGCGTTGGGGGAGGGGAGGGGGACGACGTTTGCGCCTGGGTTTGAGAGTGCGCCGAGGGCGAAATTTTGAGGGGGATGGCTGTAGACGGGAGCTGGAGGTGTTTGGATCTTTTGGCGGATTTTTTTTTTTCGGTGAGCAGTACAGCATGGATTGGAAGTCGTCACATCCAGAGAGAGCACTCCATTCGCATCACATGCCATTCTCATCCCTGCTATCTCCATGTCCAGGGCTTCTGTCTCAATTCTACCTTCAGCCGTCATTACAACAGACACAGAAGGGGTATCAAAACAACAACAAGTCCCCGAGTCTTGACACAATATGCAAAAATGCCATGCAATGTCCATCATCGAAACCCTGCAAACACCCCCGCCAAGAACTCCGTTTTCCTTTTCTCTTTACAAATCGTGAGTGACGAACAAGAAAATCTATCACCGCTTCTTCGCGGTGCCAATGTGAGTGCCGTGCACTTTGCTGCCGAACAGCAAGCTGCTTCTGCTCTCCGACCAGTGAGCCTGCAGTGGGCTGAGATGTAGCAGCATGAGGGTGCGTGAGGATTTGCCTGCTGTTGTGCCGCCGAGGGAAGATTGGAGCAAGTAGGTCAACTAGAATGCATGTCAGTATGTTTTTTTCGGGATGTGGAAAGGGGATAATGGCTCACCTTGCTGTTGCGATACGGCACATGGGCCTCACCGTTGCCGCTCTTGTTTCCAAGCGCAGCAATGACATCTCCGAGCGATGAAAGTGACTTGTTGATGGCTTGAGCCTCCTTCATACGGCTTCCTTCAGCGCCGGACTGTTTTAACCGCTCACTACCAGCCAGGTCGACAAGATTGAGGACACCCTCTGTTGATTCGTTTGTGGTCGCGCAAGAGCCCTTCAAGGTCAACATGAACACACTATGGCTTCGAGAACTTCGTTCGTTGGCCTTCGTCGCGGCGGTGCGCCTGTTCTTCGCAGCAGTGTCCAAAAGGTTAGCTACAGCCTTTTCGGTGTATGAGGCGGCAGCGGACGCAATGCCTTTATCATCCGGGTCGACGGGTGCGGCAGGAGGCCAACTTCCATCATCCGTTGGAGGCGGCCAGAGGGAGACGGCGGTCAAGTTTGACACTGTCGTTTTGCCAGTGATGGCATCGTGGTGGATTTCGTGCTTGTCTTTCTTCTTGCCCCGGACACTCGCACCCAGATCATCGGTATCGTCCCAAGTCTTTGCATCTCCGAGCAGGTCGTTCAGCGTCTCGTTGTATACTTCCACGAACGAGGCCTCCACTGTGTACTCCCAGCCTTTCTCCTTCAGACGCTGCAATTCAGCAAGCAGGAGGGTGATCGAAGATGGGATGATACCATTCGGACCGGACATTCCAAAGGTCTTGCCGCTTCCAGTCTGGCCGTACGACAAGATGCTGACGTTGTAGCCGTCGATGACCGATTGAATCAGCTCTTGGCATTCTTCAAACACAGAAGTATTCTGCGTGCCAGGCGTGAAGACACGGTCGAACTCGTAATTGTGCTTCTCGTTTCGTTGCTTCCCAGTGGCAGTTTGAGTCGTCGGTGCGTGAACCACCATCTCCTTGCACCCTTCAAGCGAGTCTTCGTCCAGATATTCAACTTTGGCGGCATCATCTTCACCCTTCAGCAGCGGTCTCGTTCGGACAAACACGCGAATGTTGCCCTTCAACTCGAGAATTGTAGCGTTCAACTTCCGCCGCAGCGCCTCTTCTTTGCGCAGTGTCTCCAAAGTCGCCTCCTTTGCTGCGATGGCTTCCTCCATCTTTTGTCGCATATCCGTGAACTCTTGACTTTGTGCTTCTTGGTTCCCTTCCAGAAAATGCGTCTTTGAGACGAGTGCATTCTTCTCCTGCTCGAGCGTTGTGATCTTTGCCTCATATACAGTAATTCGACTTCTCAAACTCGCAAGCATTGAATTGTTTGAATCGACCTCGCTCTCCAACTTGGTCACAGTATCTCGCAGAAGCTGCACTTCCGTGGCAGATTCTGTGGCCCTGCTCTCACCAGCTTGCTGCAACTCCTGCAACTCCTGCTGCAGTTTCGAAATCTCCTTCTCGTGCTCACTGCGCAATTGATCGAGCTCTTCCCAATGCTGCGTCGTCAGATCGGCTGTCTCCCCATCCTTCTGCTTCTCCCAATTCTTCCTGGCGTCATCAATCTTCTTCTCGTACTGATCTGTTTCTTTCTCGCGCTCTCGTTCCCACTGCCATTGTGCCTTCTCGTGCTTTGCTTTCAAGTCATCGACCTCCCGCTCATGCTTTCTTGCCAGATCCTGCAGCTCTCGCTCCTGATCTCTTCGCACTTGTCGTAAATCGGTCGACGTCGTATGTAATTCGTTGCGCGCGCGATCGAGTTCGTTCGTCAGACTTCGAGTTTGGGAGGCAAGTTCGCGGTTCTCGACAGTCAGCTCTTGTACTTTGCTTTTGTACAGAGTCAGTGACTCTTCGGTCGCGCTCTTTGAATCGGCTGCGGTCTGCATTTGATTCATGAGCATCTCGCATCGTTGCTCCAAGCCATCGAGACGGCTCTTCGTATCGTATGCTGCTACAGGACTTAGCTTCTCTTTTGTCAAGAAGATTGGCAGGTCTCGGCGCTTTGCACTGGTCGCTGGAGTGCGCAGGCCATTGACTGAACGTTTCTGCTTGATGGGTGAAGGGGTTTGAAGGGATTGGGCAGATTGTGCATGACGAAGACTGGGTGTGCATGAGAATTTGGGGATCTTTGAAGGCGAGATCTCTTCCTTGATGCGCTCAAGTGAAGGTCGATGCCTTGTTGAAGAAGTCTTGCGTGGTTTTGGGGTGATGGACAGCCCAGCAAATGCCGTGCTGAGAGATACGTTACGACTGGAGGGTTTGCTGGCACCGACAGGCCCTCCTTGCTGTACTTGACCTTGTTGCTGAGCTGGCGCTGGTGCTGAAGAAGTAGAAGAGGCCGAGGCATTGCGTGACTCTTGGCTGAAGACTTCGCCATCGTCGCTGCAATCGCTCGAGGTAGAGCCTGAGTGTTGAGACTTGGCCTTGATGGATGTTTGTTGCGATGGCTTCTGGCGTAGATCGCCTTGTGTGCGGGTCCTGCGAAGTGGGATGCCGTTGACAGGACTGTTAAAGGACAGAATTGGTGTACCTTTGCGTTTGCCCATAGCACTTGTATCTGCTTCCGACTCTTGATCGTCGCTCTGCGGGAGCTGTGCATTGCTGGGGACTTTTGCAAGTGCATGTTGGCGTAATCCGTTGGCTTGCCTACTAGGCGGCCGTGTCGAACTGGTAGTTGAGATATTGGAGTTGTTGCGGTAGGAAGTGAGGTTCGACGCGGGTCGTGAGCCGAAGCCAGCAATGTTGCTCAAGCTGGGCTTGTTGGGGATGTGGGATCTCGAAGCACTCGCAGGCTCGCCGGCACGCTCAGCAAGCGTCTTACGCTTGGGGTTCGGTTCGGGTACTAGAATATACATAATCAGATCTGACCTTCCATCTTTACTTTTAGTCTTCCACACATACACCCAGTGATCTTATGCTTGATGCTGCCATTGGTGGTGGGAGGGGCCATCGTGGAGCCATGTCCGGCCGTGCGCGTGTTGAGGTCGCTGGACGTCGTCTCCTGCAGCGTTGTTCTGCCGCTGGTAAGAGCAGGCAGTTTGGAGGGAGGCTTCAAGCCCGAGGGCCGGACGTTCTCCAGCTGTGACGATGGACGCTCCATGTTGAGGCCAGTAACGAGTCCAAACAAGGTGCGCGCCGCCAAATGATGCCGTCAATGGGTGGTGATGAGGATAGGGTGCCAGGTCATGGTCGGCGGCAGTAGCAGTAGAGTGGTGCTTCAGATCGCGTGTGGTGTCGCGAGGGTAAACACTGGGCTAACAACCGCTAAGCGGGACGCTACCCGGGATGCAGAATTAGAATTTGCTGCCTCAGGCATAGACTCTTGTCTTTAGTAAGATGACGTTCTTTCACATGCCGTCCTTCACATGCGAATCTCTCTCCTCACCCCATTACTCGCCCTCGCCGACCCTGCGCGGCGCTCTCGTCTCTGCACAGCTGCAGAATCCTGGGCTCGCGGCGCAAGGGCTGACCTGGCACCGCACTCCCACAGCACACGGCCCTTTTTCGTGACGTCTTCGCTGCCTCGTCCGCCTCCGTCGAGTTATGTTGTGCACTTGCCCGCGCACACGACCGCTGATTTCTACACCCTCTGCCCGTCGCCAGCCGGCCGCGACATGAGCCATGGAGAAGTACGGCCAGTACAGGGATAAAGGTGCGTCTATTTCGCCTGCCCGCCAAGCTCGCCGCCGCAGCTGTTTGGTCTGACTCGCCTCTGTGCGACCTCTAGGCTCAGGCATTGCGCCCTTCTTCCCCATCGCCCCGCCACCGAGCAACTTCGTCTTCGTCCCATACCACATCGTAAGAAGCACACCTCGGCATCGACACACACCTCAAACTTTGGCTAACTGGGCAGTTCATCTTCTCCCTGCGACTATCGCTGCTGGTCTTTGCCTGGGCCGTCTGGCTCCTCATCATCCAATGGACCCCCGCCGGCGGACTGCTACGAAAAGCCAACTTGTGGTGTATCCTGGGGATTCCTGGCGTGTGGTGGATCGACATTAGAGTTGACGGCGTGCAGCGAGGGTAAGCTGTTCCTGCATGCTTGCGCATCACACCACTTCACCATTCACGTTTGCTGACATTGGATCACCTTTAGATCTCTGGGCAAGTCAGGCGGCTCCGCATTGCCTGGACCCGGGTCCATCATTGCTTCATCATATACCTCGCCTCTGGATGTCATCTATCTGGCCGCCATCTTCGATCCAATCTTCACCCAGAGCTTTCCAGGATCTCGCAAAGTACAGCCATTGTCGCTGGAAGGCGCACTCGCAGGGTGCTTTGCCATGCCATCGTCGCCTCAGAATGCGGTCAATTTGTCTGAACTGGTGAAGCAGAATCCTCAGCGAGTGATTGTGGTGTTCCCCGAGAGCACCACCAGCAACGGCAGGGGAGTTCTTCGACTGTCGCCCTCTCTTCTGTCCGCGACAGACACCACACATATCTTCCCCGTCTCCCTTCGCTACACGCCTGCCGACGTTGTCACTCCCATTCCTGGCTGGATCGAGGCGGCACGGTTTCTTTGGAAGCTGTGTTCTCGGTCAACACATTGCATTCGTGTCCGCATCGGTCTGCCGATGACTTTGGCCCAGCAAAAGTCTGTCTCAGACCAGGAACCCAGAGGTCGTCAAAGATCCAATGGATACGATACTAACTTTTTTGACAGCTTCAAAGCGAACGGCGGCGATGGCGGCAATGCAGAATCATTCTCAGCAAGTCTAGGACCAGCCGAGCAGCGTTCCTTGGATATTGTTGCGGAGTCGCTGTCTCGTCTGGGACGCGCGAAGACGCTCGGGCTGGGAGTGGAGGAGAAGATCAAGTTTGTGGATGCATGGACCGGCAAGACCAAAAAGAGACGATGATGCAAAGACTTGAAACGTCAATGCTAACAGCAGTATATAGTTACCCTAACACCAAAACTCGTACGAAAGAAATGGGATATCGGCCGTTAGGTCATGGACTTCATTACAGAGGATACCCAGTTGAGAGATATCGAACCTTCAATCCGCCTCGCTACATTTCAACCGCTGCATGCCGCCGGGACCCGTCTCCCAAATTTGCACACACCCATACTGATCAATACACGACCTCTCGGTGCTAAGCATTGTCAAATACAAATTATGACTCCCCTCCCTCTGCATCCCACCCTTCTTCGCCCACACCTCCTCCATCTTCTCCCTCTTCACACCTTTCTTCTTCCCATCCCTCACCCGCATCTTCTCGAAAAACACATACGCCGCGTAAAACGCCGGACTATGCGCCCCTCCCCGGGGTCCTTTCATCTTGAGCAGAGAGTCGAGATGGCGAGTCGTCACCTTGTCCGTCGACACGGACACGAAGTGTGAGAGTTCGCGGACGAAGGTTGCCTTGGCCATGTTGGTCTTGGATAGATGCGCCTTGATGTCGCGGCGGACGTCGTTGGCCGTGGCGTAGATGGGGACGGATTCCGTCTCCTCGCCCTCTGGACGGATGGATGCAAGGGAGGAGGCTGTTGTGGGTTCGTCTTTCTTGACGAGGCGTTTGCCTTGGCCGGGCGGCTTTGGATCCGACGAGGGCTTCTTTGATGCGTCTGGTGGATGGATAGGTGAGTCTTGATGGCATTTTGAAGATGCTTGTTCGTGGTGCTAACCATCATTGGTGTTCTTGTTCGGTGTAGCAGTGTTGGCATTTGCATCTCTCTCTTGTAGAGGTTTGGCACAGCTGATGCATCGCTGGTCTTGGGCTTGCTTGAGGTCTGTTCTAGATCGAGCCATGATTGATATATCTTTACGGGAGTTTCTTTCGAGACAGGAATTTGAAGAAGAGGGGAGCAATGGACCAGCATCAACCGTACGTTCCCTTCGTCTTTTCAATCCCTCCTCCCCCCTCCCCATCTTCTTGTGCAACCCTGAGTGGTATCATCTTGAATGTTTCCGCGCGTCGATCAACACAAAGCACGCGCCAGACTGTGATGTCATGAATCCCGATATCAACGCCATGAAACGTGACTTTGGGACGGCGACGTTGGACAAGGCGAATGCCATCGATCGATCATCCTCATTATCGAAGATCGTTTGGAAAACACAATCGGGCTCATCTGGACTTCGATTCGTACCCAAAATTCCTAGCCCAACTTCACCTCTTCTCCGAAATCGAAGTCGGCCGAGCTCTCTGCAAAGGACAATTGAGTTTGGCTTCTTCCTGTACGCTGACACATCCACCCGAGCAAACACATCGACCTCCTCGCAATCTCGGCCTTTGCACATTCCAAGAGCTTCGCTATTACGAGCTCGCAGCTTGTGCCATGTGTGAACCATGCTGAGAGCTCTCACCTTGATGGCATTGGTTGAGTGGCTCGAAGCAGACCACTAGGTTTCTTCCAGGCGGTTTCAAGAGAGATATGACGCAGTAGCGTGAGGGAAGTGTAATGCTTCTGTCTTGACCTTTCTGCGGAATCTTTTTCTAGTTGATCTTCTGTTTTGCTTCAAGTTGGCGTTCCGAATTACTTACCAGGAGCGCGGTTGGTAGCTCTTCCAGAGACACGATGGCAGCAAGTACTGTCAATATCGGCATCGCAGCGGCCGTTATCCTCTCTGCCCTTCTCTTCAGTCCAGTCTCGCAGCGATTGACGACTCTAGGCATCACTCGCGGAAGTATCAAGAACATCCACGGCGTCGATGGGTTAAGAACGATGCCCGGCACGAACATGTGCGAGGACCTCCATCTTGAAAGCACAACGAACCAACTCTTCGCAGCATGCCAGCAGGACGCTGAACAACGAGCACGATGGTTTCCACCTACTGGACTTTTCGCAGATCATACAGCTACTGGAGGAGGAGCAATCGTCCGCATCGATCCCGTTTCGATGACGGCGAAGACTTTGACGTTGAAGGGATTCAACCAGCCCATGGTCACGCACGGAATCGATATACTCAATGATCCCACGGAATCGGATCTACTCTGGATATACGTCGTCAGCCATTTACCCAACCCAGATCGCTGGGATGTCAAGCCTCGCCGAACTGATCTCCCACCTGAGAGAGCTCATATCGAGATCTTCACCCATCGGTTGGGCACGGACGAAGCGCAGCATATTCGCTCAGTACGACATCCCGATATAACCATGCCGAACGATATCGTGGCCGTCTCCCCGTCCTCATTCTACGTCACAAACGACCACGTCCATCACGAAGGCCTAATCAGAGCATGGGAAGACGCCGGCACGCAAAGCATCTCCCCAACCCCCAACACCATCCTCATCGAAGTAACCGACCTCAAAACAAAATCCCCCACCGCAGGCATCAAAGTCCGCACCGCCCTCCGCGTCCACAACAACAACGGCCTCGGACGCGGAAGCCCCCACCACCCCTCAGAAATCATCGTCCTCGACGCCACCGGCGGCATCCTCACCCGCACAACCCGCGACCCCAAATCCCAAAATTTACACATCATCGAACGCATCCCCCTCGCCTCCACCCTCGACAACCCCTCCTACTACCTCGAACCCTTCGCCACATCCACCTCCAACGCCTCTGGCTACCTCCTCCCCGGCCTTCCTCACGCCTACAAAATGATGGCCGACCTCCCCTTCAACGACCGGGCTATCCCGTCTCTCGTCTGGCACGTGCGGAGCAAGGACAATAGACCCGTCGATAAAGCCGGACCGGGGAAGGGGAATGTGTGGGAGAAGAGGCTCGTGTTTCAGGATGATGGGATGGGGTTGAGGAGTGCGAGTGGGGCGGTGTTGGTCGGAATTGATCCGGAGAGGAATGGGGGGCGGAAGCAGGGGTGGCTTTTTGTGACGGGGTTTGGGAGTTTTGGGATGGTGGCTGTGAAGATTGATTTGGAGTGAGGGGGTTGGGGATGCCTTTTGGGGTGCTGATGTGGTTTAGTCTATCCGCCGATGGAAGTAGCGGTGAGGTGGAAATTGGGAATGTGTCTTGCTGAGTGTCTGTTCACAGTACAGGAGTCAGCAGAGGGAAGTTTGGGACCCGCCAGGGGTTTGGGGAGGATGATAATCTAATCGCTGCAGTCGATCTTGCACTGACTTCTCCAGTATTAGTGATTGATCTTGATAACCTTGAGTATTCCTCAATCAGACTACCTGCTTAGGAAGAAAGCAGATGCGGCCTGGCGATGGCGACGTTTCCACCTCCCCAGAACAGATCCGTCCATTCACCTATAATCCCTCGTCTCCCCCTCACACCACTCTACGAAACTCGCCGCCACCCCCGTCCCACCCTCCCCCTCCCCCCTCAACGCCTCCAACATCCTCCCCGGCGGCTTAGGATGCACCCGTCCCCACGGCAGCACATACGCCCCACCATCCCCCGTTCCCAACTCCCCCGAAACCCCACACCACAACTCCGTATACGCCCCATACTTAGGCTGATACAGCAGAGGTCCCACGAGCAAGGGCACGATACTGGGCATATGTCGCGTCAACTGCGTCTTGAGATTGCCCGGGTTCTGGGAGACGCTGAGGATCGAGGAGTCCTGCTCGCTGAGGCCGTGGGCGAGGAACCAGTTGCCGTATTTGGAGATTGCGTAGTTCGTCTGCTGGTTGGTGGAGGGCGTCGTCATCCCGGAGATGTGTGCAGGGGGAGAGGGGCCGAGGTCGACGGTTATGGACGATGTCCAGACCACGCGGACGGAGGCGGGTGGGGAGGTTGCGGCGGTGGCGTGCAGGAGGGGGAGGAGGAGTTGGGTGAGGAGGTAGGGGCCTAGACAGTTTGTGCCCATTTGCAGTTCGTGGCCTTGGGCGGTTTTGGAGTCTTTGGGGGGGTTGCTGACGCCGGCGTTGTTGAAGAGGACGTCAAGGCGGGGTTCGTGGGCGAGGAAGTCCTCGACGGCGGGTTTTATTGCGGAGAGGTTGTCGAGAGATATGGCGAAGGGGAGGAGTTCGCCCGTGGATGGGTTGGAGGGGCTGGAGGCTTTGATTCTTTCGATGGCGGCTTCGGCGCTGGGTTTGGTGCGGCCGGAGAGGTACACTTTGCCTCCGGCGTGGTACAGGAGTTTGCATAGTTCGTAGCCTACACCACTTGTGCCGCCTGTCACGAGGAAGACTTTGCCGCTTTGGCTTGGGAGATTGTCTTCGGTGAGCGGAGGCGGAGGAGGGAAGAAGAGAGAGTATGTGTTGCCCATTGTAGTTGTGAGTGTGATGATTGGAGATTTCTTCTGTAAATGAGGCAGACAAGAGAAGCAATATACTGACCCAAGCCCTTCGATCCAGATGTGGAAGGAAGACATACAACTTAGGGCTGGAACAGTACCGCAGGAGGAACACCATGCTTGCTGCATAAGCGAACCCAGCTCCTGTGCGGGTTTTCGACATCACCTCCTCTTTCGAAGAGCTTTGCCTGCCAGCCTGCAGCCTGGGCGAAAGACGCCGGAAGTGTTTCTCAGTCAAGATCTACGATCATCCAGTGTGACGCAAGATACGACCTTTTCCAACGCACACAAGAAAGAACCTTCCGGTTGTTCATCCTGCACTCAAGAAATCCGATACCCACTGAATCATCAAGCCAAACCTTCGACTCAACCAAGGCGAGTCCGCGAAGATTTTACTCCAGAGCCAGATTGCCGCCATCGTCGCCATCACAGCCTTGTTGCCGTCCATCGATACTGTGCCTCCACGTCAGCAGCGGGTCATGGAGTCATCACTGAACACCATACCGCCTGTCCTCGCTTCCATAGTCCCCGTAGAATAGCCCCCCGCAAGCACGCATGCGAGGATTTGTAGAGCATAGTTGACGGCGAGTCCAGATCCCGCGATCCGAGGGTTTGTGATGGAGCCGAATCCTTCACCCTCACCGAAGGATTTGTAGATCTTCTTGGCGAGTATGTTGCCGATGCAATGTTGAAAGGCGACGAAGCCGCAGAAGGCGCCTGTCCATGAGAAGGTCAGGTCTGTGGGGATGTGTTGCTGGAGTTGAAGCATGGTTGATTGTGAGGGAGAGAGGAGGAGAGGGGAGGAAGGCGCTTCGGCTGAGCTGTTTACTTGGTGCTGTGCCGCGAAGGTGCATTCATGTATGGCGTGAAACGTCAAAGCCGCAAACACCAACGATGTCGTAAATAGCGCAGAGGCACGTGGGCTCAGTGACCTGGTGTTTCATGTTCGAAGTAAGGACTGTTGTTGAAGCAACATCTATATCAAATCGCAAGCCAGTCAACACAGCTTCCAGGTGTATCTCCAGGAATGTGCAGTGCCTGTTGTACCTGACCTTGAACACCCTCCTCGACCGTTTCCTCTCCCTTCCCACCGACAATTCCTGAACTATCCACCCTCCGCCCGTCTCGAATTCCCTCCAGAACACTTCTGTAATTCTCAAAATCTTCATACACCAGCAAAGTGCCAAACGGCGTCTGTCGCTGCTCTTTGATCTTCTTGCCGTCTACAGGCACACTTCCAGGAGTGACCATCTGCGCAAGGCCGTACGAATTTGAATCATACCACATCTCGTACACGCATCCACCGGAGAAGACGTCCAGCATGTCTCGCGAGAAGAGCGCTTCAAACTGCTCGGCGGTCTGCGTCTGAGCGTTGGCCGCAATGCTATACTCGGATATGAAGACTGGTATGGTCGTTTCCCGGTATTGCTCAATCTGTGTATCGACTTGTTCAGTGATAGCTCGAAAATGTGCGTCTACAGAAACTTACCAGGTCCCTGAACGTGATTTTATCTACGCCTGAATCCTGACTTGTTGGGAAGCACTTGCACTGCCCCAAAATCGATCAGCCTGAAAGTGCTTGCAAGACATCGAAGCGAAATCACTTACGGCCCAGAAATCGATTCGGCTCTCCAAATCTTGCGAAGACAGATACCTCATCACAGTGTTGTCAATTGCATTAGCGTTGATATTTCCCCCGCACCCAATGGGCAGTATACGACGCCCGACGGTTCGATGTTTGATGGCCATGTACCGTTTGACGTCTCGCACCACGGCCGCCACTATCGGAGCACATTGAAGGCTCTCTGGATTGTTGATGAGATCGTACGCAGCAAAGACGCCCAGCGTGTTGGGAAACGTGCTCATTGCATCTATGATCTGGAACAACCCGGCCATTGTGTCGCTGTTGTAGGAGTTTCGAGGATCCAAACGATTGATGTACCATCTCTGCGTCGAGAGAGTCTGCAGCTGCTCAGAATGTCCTCCACGAGAATCTTGACGTGGGGCGGACTTACGACAAGGACATATATGCCCGCATCGGCTAACAGTCTCATGGCGCGATCTCTAGGCTTCGAAGGGTCTATCGAGTCTGCTTCCGTCAGTGAAATGGAAAAGCTTTCAGACCGACCTGATAAAACTGACAGACAAGAATCGTGTTCACGCCAAGCTCTTTGAAGAGCTCGACATCGTGTTTCAAACGAGGAAGCTCTGCATCGGCTATAGGATCGACATTTTCGTATGTCTGGAACCCATGTGGGCCTCTCGTGGCATCGGATCTTTGGTATACAAGGCCACGAATGAGGAACTTCTCCTCGTGGTCAATACTTTCCAATGTTCTTGTTTGAGGTCGAGCATACATTCTGGTTGCCTCTTTTCAAAGCCGATCCGTCAATGCCAATCGGGGTGGACTCAACTGCAATTGTTGCAGCTTCGCGCTTATCAAATCTTATTCTTCAGTATCTAGCCACTCCACGCCGGTTGAGTTGGATCGAAAGTGGGAACTGACGATGTCGATGTTTGTCAGATTGCCCGCGTCGAGCTATGAAGTGGACGGCGGTTGGGGATATGACAGCATTGCCATTATGTTATAGGCTCCAAACTTTTCGCCACTTCAGGAAGGTTGCTTTGGATTGACTTCTGCTAGCGTATGTGATTAGATGTGTGGATGACCAAGTATCAATTTTGCAGTAGGAAGCACAGCAACAAGCTTCTACGACTAAGTGTTAACCATACGCCGAGCCGCATATTATGTGGACATTTGCACTCTTTAGTCGCTCGATTGCCTGATTGAAATTTGGAATCAAGAGAACGCTTTTTGCAGGCCAGGAAATGATATGGTGATGTTACGTACCATGCGACAGCAATCAGTCGGCACCCTTCCCTGCAGCCTCATCCCTTTTCAGCGCTGCCACAGCTCCACTGGTGCGTGCCTCATCTGTGCCCGTTGGTGCTTTCCTGATGACTCGCGCTGGGTTTCCGACGGCCACCGAGTACGGAGGAATATCCTGTATGGCATCAACAAATGCCACCCTTCCCAGACGATAGCATTCTCACCTTGGTCACCACCGCCCCTGCCCCGATCGTCGACCCCTTACCGATGGTAACGTTTGGCAACACCGTCACGTTCCCACCAATCCAGCAATCTTCTCCGATCGTGATATCGCCCCCGAATTCTGGACCTCTGGTACCGTTTCTGACCTCAGGATCCAAGGGATGGCCGCCACCGTAGAGGGATACGTTTGGACCAAACAAAGTCCTTGATCCGATCTTGATCTTTCCAGTATCGACAATGGTCGTGTTGAAGTTGAGAAAGACGTTGTTGCCCAGCTCTACGTTTACGCCATAGTCGATGTGGATCGGAGGCTCGACCCAGGCCTCTTCAGCGAACAGTTCTTCGTCTGCTTCTTCGGTTTCTGCCAGTGGTGGAAGAGGTGTTGTGTCGTTGACGATACTGATGTTGTTAGCCTCGGACTTATACACAAAGTAAGCTCGGCATTGATAGCCTACTCTTTCCACATCTCAACCTGGCGTCTTCGAGTTGTAAACTCTCCGGCATTGTTATATCTGGTGCACGCCTTTGAACATCTTCGCCGTGCATTGACCATCTCTGGAGTGAATGCATAGGCGAGTTCGCCTCGGAACATACGGGCTTTGTTTTCTGACATTGTGACAGATATGATGCTGACAATTCTTCTCACAAGCTATCAACCACAAGTTGATTGTAAACAGTTGCAAATGTTCATGTGAAGGAACACGTTACTTCACATGCGAAAGAGTGCGAGCGTCGACTTTTGTCCAAAATGCTCGCTTGTCAAAGGGCCGACTCGCCGACCCTGCCTCCACCTTTTCAAAGCTCGATCTTCACCACAACAATGTCTCTCAAATACGGCCTGAACCTCAAGAAAAAGGCTCCCGTGCCTACTCGTCGAGCTGCCTTTGACGAGGAAGATGGCGACGACGACGATGGACCGGACTCAGGCCCAGCGGAAACCTTCATAGAGGAGATCAGCACATTTGGCGGAAGTGGTCCATCGAGACCAAAGCCTAGCCTGTCTGGCGCACCAAAGCCAAAAGGCTTGCCAAAGAAGGATGAGCCCGACTCACGGCAAGATCTCTCAGCATTGAGTGCGTCCAAGGCGCAGGTGAAAGCGGCTGAAGAGATAGATGCATCAATCTTCGACTACGACTCCTTCCTCGATGCGAAGAACACCGTCACAGAGGCGAAGAAAGCCGCAGCGAAGCAAGATGCCATCGACCGGAAGCCAAAATACATCAACAACCTTCTTGATGCAGCAGCTAGGCGGAAACAGGATCAGCAAGTAGCCAAGGAGAAATTGCTGCAGAAAGAACGTGAAGCGGAGGGCGATGAGTTTGCAGACAAAGAGAAGTTCGTAACTGGAGCTTATAAGCAGCAGCAGGAAGAGAATAGACGGCTGGAGGAGGAGGAGAGAAAGAAGGCTGAAGAAGAAGAGGAGCGGAAACGGAGGACCGGCGGGGGCATGCAAGGCTTCTACCGCAGTATGATGGATCAGACAGAGCAACAGCATCAAGAAGCTATGGAGGCCGCTGCATTGGCTGAGAAGCAAGGTCTGATGGCTGGAGATGGTCTAGCGAAGAAGAAGACCGACGCAGAGTTGGCAGCAGAGCTCCAAGCTAAAGGAGTCAACGTACATCTGAACGAAGAAGGTCAGATCACAGACAAGCGAGAGCTACTGTCAGCCGGCTTGAATGTCGCACCTTCCAGGGGCTTTGGTTCATCAGGTTCCGACCACTTGAAGTCTTCAAATCGACCAGCCCAGCAAGTCTTCCCATCACGAAATGCTGGTAGCCAGCAAGCGCAGCGTGAGCGACAGACTCGAATGATGGAGGAGCAACTGGCCGCTCAGGCCAAGCGTGCTCGAGAAGAGGAAGACGAAGAGCGTGCACGACTTGAAAAAGCGGCCAAATCCACCAAGACTGACAAAGACGTCAGTGACGCCAAGGCTCGGTATCTCGCAAGAAAGGCTGCCAGAGAGCGCGGCGAGGGTTGATATGCCCGGTTTTCGACTATACATGCTAACGAATCGATACGACTTGACATCAGTTCCTCCACCGCATCACAAACAATCCACCACAAATCATCCACGAACTCTTGTTGTTGAAAAGGGCTGCCAATCAGGACGGCGAGCTTGGCTTCTTGCACCATGACAAGCTCGTATCAATACAATGCCCAAGATTGAAGAGTCTTGCCCGCGCGCGGATTCGTAGTACCTTCCACTGGTCGACTGTGTCCTGTTGATATCCGTGGATACTGGTTTGCGTTTGGATGTACTGACAGACACGTATTGCTGACTTTCAGAAATGCCCTATCTCGCAGGACTTACCACAACGCGACAGCCGTCCAACACAGATACTACTTTTCGGATATAGAACATATCATCAGTTTGCGCACGAGACCGCATGAAACGCCTCTTTAAGCAATCCGCATTGAGCTATCTCCACTACAGTCAAACCTGGATAACGCAATATTCCGTAGGAACATAACCTCTTTAACGCTATACTTTCAGCTTCAACTTCTAAAATTCGGTGTGAACCTC